GGCGGGACACTTGTTTGGTTTTGCCGGCAGAGCTATTTCTCTGTGCCCTGGCAGATTTCTGACGCTTGATCGGTGCCACATAATCGAGAGCCAGCTCGTCTGCTGAGGTCTCTGACTCGACCTCGTAAAGTTTCGACAGAGATGTACGGCTACCCGTAGAAATAGTGGTTGACTTGGAAAATGGAGCCCGGCGGGACACTTGTTTGGCTTTGCCGGCAGAGCTATTTCTCTGTGCCCTGGCAGATTTCTGGCGTTTGATCGGTGCCACATCATCGAGAGCCAGCTCCTCTAGAGAGGTCTCTGACTCGTCCGTTAGAGATCTCGAAAGAGATGGAAGGGTACCCGTAGAAGTAGTGGTTGACTTGGAAGATGGCGTCTGGCGCGACACTTGTTTGGTCTTGCCGGCATAGCTATTTCGCTGTGCCCTAGCAGGTTTCTGGCGTTTGATCGGAGCCACATAATCGAGAGCCAGCTCGTCTGCTGAGGTCTCTGACTCGATCTCATAAAATTTCGACAGAGATGCACGGCTGTCCGTGAAAATGGTGGTTAGGTTGGGAGGAGGTAATTGGCGAGCCACCTGGTTGGCTTTCTTAATGAAGTTGTTTCGCTGGGACATTGCCAGGTCTCGGAGATTGCGGTAGGCTGCAGCACCCTCTCGAAACCGGGCTAGAGTATCTGTCATGGCGAATGAGCGCAGTTGTGTCATATGATACTCAGGTTTGCCTCCAGGCACTGTGGGTTGCGTGAGATGCATCGCGTAGATCTGGAGGGTACCTGTGCCCGCATGGTATGTACTGGTGAAACTGTACGCCTTGTTGTCGTAGACTAGCTCATCAGCTCCATAATTCTGTAGTTTGTGCATTGCCCGGGCACCCATAGTCCCATAATAGAGAGCTTGAATCTTTGCCACGTCCGCCCGTCCACACGGACCCTTACCTTCTAGAAAGAAGTTGGGGGCAGCAGGACGGCTTGTGTCGGTAGAGGGAATGATGTATTTGTCAAGCTCACTGCGGACACGCCGATCGATTGCAGACGGTGGCGCTCCATAGTACACATCAGGTTGAGGATCGCTCAAATTCTTGTCCAAGGGTTCAAGGTTGTTGAACACATCATCGGCCCCTGAATGATAATCCCGGTCTCCTGTTCCGGCGATAATGGGGATGAGGCTGGACATTGCCGCTGCCTCACTGAGAACCATATCATTTTGCTGCATAAATGCCCTGAACTCTGTTTCCGCAAATCGGGGCACTGAGAGGGATGGTCGTGCGGCCGTAAGCTTGTTGTGAATCTCATTTAAATTTACGGGCTCAGGTCGTGGATGTCCATCTGGGTGTCGATAGTCTGCTGGGTAAACCCCTTCGTCAATTAATTTTTGCTTGAAATTGCGACTGTATGGTCTAATTAAGGATCTGGCGAAGCTCCCTCGTCTGGACGTTGAAGGCCGTTTGCGGCTTTGAGAGCGGGTCGAGCCGATCGCCATGTCATCAAAAGGAAGAGGGAAGCTGGCAAACTGTCAAATCACACGTTGATTAGCACAGAATGGAGACCCTCCCATCTCGCAGCCGGACTTACTCCTCGAAGATCTGATAGATCAGGACCACCCTGTCGAGCGAACCGCTTGAGCCGTTGTCGAGCTCGCCCCGTAGGGCACTCTACGACTGGAGTTGGTACCGAATCCGGCTGAGACGTCTCTTGATTGGTCCTGCAGTCAAATTCCCCCAGGGCATTGTAAGACAGCCAGATCTTGGACAGCGTGTCCCAGAAGCGGCGATGGCCAGGCCCCGCAGAGCTCTCTGGAGTAGATCTCTGTTTCTTTGCAGGTGGCACCTGCTCGATATCTGCAGGATCTTCTGAGGGCCGTCGCCGTTTCCTCAACTTAGGTTCCTCAAGGATGAACATGAGTGTTGAAGAGTAAAGGGACTGGAGGAAAGGGAAGAGAAGGAGGTTATAAGGTGGTCAGTTCCGAAGGACGCGACGGACGCGATGTCGTGCTGTAAATAAGGCACTGGTGCCTTCAAGAGAGCGAGAGTGTGGTTGGCAACATCTATTGATCGCAAACTCTGGATGGCATGTGAGGTTGACTCAGTTTGTATAATAAAATTCGGGTCAAGACGCTAAATAAGTGCGGTTGGCAACGTGCATGGGCCGCAAACTCTGTGGATCGGCGGTGGGGCTGACGCAGTTTTTGAGACAAAATCGAGCCAAGACGCCAAATAAGTATGGTTGGCAACATTATTGGTCGCTAAACTCTGGATCGCATGTGAGGTTGACTTCGTTTTTCACAGCAAACTGGAGTCACGACGCTAAATGATAGTTGATTGGATCATAGTTCCGAATCCTTTTGGGTCCGAGTGGTGCTGGGGCGTGTTCGTGTGATTCCGGCCTCGGAAAGACCACCTTCCTGAGGCTGAAAGAATAGTAACCTGCTGGGATAAATTCGACGAGGAGAAACCGTTTTGATCAAGACGTGAGCCGACAACGATATCATGGATAATTTCGTGCAGCGGGTTCGAGATATACGCATAGGCGACAAGTATCAATTGCTGCGGAAACTGGGATCGGGCTCTTTCGGTAAAGTCTATCTCGGTAAGAAGCGTTCCCGTTATTCCAGGATGACCATCGTGCACTCACAATCCAGCAGGTCGCGACGTCGACTGTGGCAAAGAGGTCGCCATCAAACTCGAACACTACACTGTTGAGCCGTCGCTCCTCGATGAAGAAGTCGAGATTTACCAAGTTTTAGCGGGCCATACAGGCTTTCCCCGGGTATACTGGCATGGACGTCTACATGATTTCACAATCATGGTGTTCGAACTCCTCGGGCCTAATTTGGAGGACTTGTTTCGATATTGCGGAAACCAATTCTCACTCAAGACCACGTTAATGCTGGCTGATCAACTACTTCGTCGATTTGAAGTCTTTCACTCGCTTCACTTCCTTCACCGAGACATCAGGCCCGAAAACTTTCTTTTGGGAATGGGTCGACGGGGGAACGTGGTCTACATGATCGATTTGGGTCTGGCGATCTACCATCAACCCCAGCGCTTGGGCTCTAGTAGTGCTGCAGCTAGTGACGATCCCGCTTGCAGCTCGCAGTTGTTGGGCACGTCCAGATATGCGAGCATCAGTGGGCATTTCGGCGTTGGTAGGTGACGGAACCACTGTGCAGAAAGAAGCGTGCAGGCTCAGCTGACACCGTTGATAGCGCAATCACGCCGCGACGACCTAGAGTCACTGGGATATATGCTGGTGTACTTCATGCGTGGAAAACTCCCCTGGCAAGGTCTCCGAGTTCCGGATTGCGAGGCTAGATATAGGCGTGTTTTGGAGATGAAGCAAACGATCCGTGTGAGTGATCTTTGCGCCGACCTCCCGATCGAATTTGCCGACTACATGAACTATGTGCGCAACCTACGCGATGATGACATTCCCGACTATCGCAATCTTCGAAAGATGTTCAGCAACCTTTTCCACCAACAAGGGTTCGAGTACGACAATGTCTTTGACTGGACAATTCGGAAATTCCAGAGGCTGGAGGCTGGCCTCCAAGAGCCCCTTGCATCGAATGATGTGGACGAAGGGGAAGGAGAGGACACCGTGAAGCCATCAGATTATGGAGTCAAGGATCAGACTATCAGACTGGCCAAGTCAGCGGATCTGCAAGGGTAATGCCGAGGCACTGGAGATGGAATTGACCGACGTATTGATGTCGACTGGATCGATTTGAGAGCAGTCAAGTACGAGTTAGCAAGATAACGGCTTGCTCGGTAGCCCCATGTACAATAAGGGTCAGACGTTGAGCGGCAAAAAAAAAAAAAATTTAAAAAGGTCCAGAAAAGGTTCGTACGCCTGCAGAACTTGCTAGTGCCAGCGCCTTAATAGACCATAAGGCAGCTTCCATCGTATTTGAACCACAGCATTACTTGTCATGCGTCACCCAATATCGAAGATGACGATACAGACACAGACCCCGACCGTTCCCTGGTACAAATTCTCTCCGGTTCTGTGAAACAGGAAGCCTGTCCGAGGTTGAATGACTGCATTAAGTTGACACCTTCACGGCATCATGAGACATCGTTCCGATCAGGCTAGGTCAGGCTTCCTACCATAGACGATATGACTTGGATTATCCTTAGCAAATTGTCATTTGCGATAATGACAGTCAAGAACTCACAAATGGACATAAGTGTGATACCTAGGATTGAGGAATTCACTCCTTCCTTTAGCCATCATGACAGTAGCCTCCTCCTTTGAGAAGCCTAGGACTTGAGTGAGGCCGCGAAGAAGGTACGCCTCATAACCCTCGTTGAGATTGTGGAGTTCCAGCAATCCGATCTTTTTCAATCTCTGGTCCTTGGCCCATGGACCCATGGGGACTTTCAGATCGAAATGTTGAATATCGACGAAACCAGCTTCTGCAAACTGCGCTTCCCATTGATCCATGGCATCAAGCGGGGAGCCCATCTTCTGCGTTACCTCATAAAAGAGTTTCCCGGAATACGCAAAGTATGAGTGTTCGAGGTCTCGACTCCCATCATCGCAGCGTGTCGCGGGATTCGTCATTGCAAGTTCGAGGAAACCCCCTGGTCGTATATGATCAAAACTCTGCTTGATCAGCTTAGGCCAATCTCGGATGGACACGATTAATTCTCGACCGTAGATCAAATCAAAGGAACTTCATAGATTACTGTGTAAGCGGCGTGTTCTTCGAATTTGAAGGAGATTGTTGATGGCCATCCCATTGATAAGAGATCCACCAGTGAAGGACTTACTTCTTCCGAAAGGTCCAGTCTTCTTCAGCATCTTCGATCTCAAACTGGCAGTTTGGTGGTACCCACTAGGGTTGAACAGCTGCGATATCAATACCTACTACTTGGGCCTCAGGATATTTGTCGGCCATATTCGTAGCCCATATACCTGAACCAGTCCCAATATCAAGAATTTTCTGTGGGTGCTGAATGGGTGCAAGGTGTAGACGACCGTCAAGCAGGAGCAAGAATTTTGCGTGTTGTTTATCATTGCGTTGTTGCTCATGTTCATCGATGGGAATACCATACATATGTTTGCCGTAGGACGCATAGATTCAACCATTTTCTTCCATGCCAAGTAGGATATCTGATGCGACCGAGCTGACGTAGCTAGTATTTGTTGATTGAGCATAGTCTTCGTCGTCAAACTCGTCGGCAAAGATGGGAATGTTGGGGCCGCCAAAGGATTGCGATGCATCCATCGCCCGTGTAGATCATGGGAGATGAGACTACCGCACTGCCATCTAAGGTTGTTATCTCTTGTCTGCTGTAGGTATGTGGTGGGAATGGAGTCTCGATATGAGAAATTGTGCAGCTAACTTGAGAAAGAGAAAGATGATTTGGAAAAGCTTGGATTCAACTATCGGAAGCTTTGCATGTCTGACGGCGTGTTCCGAAGCGAATTGGACTTGGCAACGACGATACGGCCCAGCGGGATGTGGAGTAAGAGGGCCACCCTGGAACCGTGCGGCTTCAAGGTACTTCAGGTCGAGGGGTGTCTAAGAGGTTGAAAGGCACGGACTGCCACGTAGCTCGTATGATCCACTCACGCCAGTTCCGCCAGAGATGTTAGAAATTTGACGCCCAGGCTTACTAACGGCCTCACTTTACGCGAAGGGCTACTTGCGGCCTGCCATCATCTCGCAGGTGTTCTTTTCGTTATTTGCTTCTTCCATGCTGCAATCATTTCGTTCATATTAAAGGAAGCATCCTGGAGAGCGCTTTCTGGCACCTATTATTACACTCATCCATTCTTGGAGAACACTGGTAAAGAACGATGTCATCCACAGCGGAGTTGCTCGATAGGGTCGTCGCTCATTGCACGTCGATGAGGCAGGGCAACCTTAACATCCGATCTGACTTGCTGATGACCCTGCAAAAATTGCAGTTTGAGCTGGAAACGCCACAGGAGACCTTCTTTCGGATAACGTGGGGCCAGGTCAGTTCATTTTCGTCGAATCACTTTCAATAGAGATTCGCTTCCGGGAAGGAATTGGCCCCTGACATCTCATCATCACACCTTCAGCCGGCTCTCCACCTTGCACTGGCCTTTGCGAATGACATTAAAGCCTATGATGTGCTCTCTCTCGATAATGACTCTCCTAAATCAAGCGCACAGCTTGCTGGCCTCTCTGGCGCCGACCCCATTCTGGTGGGTATGTGATCATTGTCCTCAGGAGCTTTATTCTTCTTCCTCTCTCTTTTTTTTTGGGGGGGTGTCTCAATGGATTGGTTGTTTACAATGACACTTTTCCCCAGGCCGTATGATGCGACATTTGGCAGCTATGGGTGCCGTTCGACAAGTGGATATCGATCGTTTTGCTTCTACAAAATTCACCAAGTTGCTGCAAGACAATGTTTACGCAGACTCACTTAAGTTTATGTATCTGCCGTACTCTCAAAACGCTGTAGTCATCATTCTGACTAATGAGCTTCGCTCAGATTCGACGACTTTGGTCCTGTGCGCCCACGGACTGCGGGATACCTGAAAAGTATTGGATGGCAAACCCCAACAGATCCTGAAAACTGCGCGGTTCAGTATGCATTTGATCTTCCAAAAGGAACCTCCATGTTTGGTTGGTTCGGCATGAATCCTGAGATAGGAGCACGCTTTGGAAGCATGATGATTGCTTGGATGCGAAACAAGCCATTCTGGGCCGATTACAACGCCTACCCGGTCCAGGAGCGTCTGATGAGCGTTGAGGAAGAAGACGGAGTTTTACTTGTCGATGTTGGTGGTGGTAAAGGCCATGATCTTGCAGGATTCAAGGCTAGATATCCAGAGGTCAAGGGTCGCCTGATCTGTCAAGAATTGCCTTATCTGATCCCTGAAATCAACGTCGAGGGTGTGGAACCAATGGCTCATGATTTCAACACTCCCCAACCTGTCAAAGGTAACTAATTTAAGGACCGCTACGGATCTGAGAACTGACATCTCTCCAAGGAGCTCAAGCATACTTTTTGCATCAAATCTTGCACGACTACAATGACGGAAAATGCGTCCATATCCTCAAGCAAATAGTGCCCGTCATGAGACGTGCCTATTCCAAGATTCTGATCGCTGAAATCATTGTTCCAGATATGGGCGCGCATTATACGACCACCGCATTGGATTTGGAGTTGATGCAATGCCTTGCTGCGCGCGAGAGGACCGAGGCTCAATTTCGAGATTTGTTGGACAGGGCTGGACTGAAAGTCGCTGGTATATTTAAACATCCTGAGGCCCACGACAGCATCATTGAAGCCGTTCTCTTTTGATGAGGCAAACTTTCTTGGCTATTGCCGCTAACGCATGAGCCGTCGAATGTTCCGCAGAAAATCTTTGCTACATGTTGGGCATACCACAAGCAGTAACATCAATTTAGGAGTCCTCCTGATGCGTGTGCAGATAAGCGTTTAAGCCCTTTGAAGACTCTACCGCAACTAGGATGTGGGCAACTGGTTTTCCCCCTGGACTTCTTTACCGAATCTCGGACACTAGGCGCGAGTGTGACATGTTCGATGCGTAGGAAGACAGGAGCAAAGGTCGGGGAGTGACATGATTCTTGGTAGTCGATATTTTCTGGACACCAATAGGGAGGATTAGCACATCTCGCATGCGGGGAGGGAAGACCCGGGGTTGAGCGAGGGGAAAAAAGCTGTGATCAGCCACCCTTCCTCCGCTTGTTCCAGCCAGCGTCTCTGAGGACAATGAGCACATTCATTTCCATCACGATCTGAGGTGATCCACAATATCGACAAACTGTGCCGAGGACGGGACGGGAGGCTCGAAATTAACACGGCATCGTGCCGCGACAGACCTCCTCACGATGAGCGGAGGGAGCTGTCGAACAATGAGCAGTACCTCTTTACTTGGAAAAGGGTTATCACTCCTATGCAGGATGTAGGGGAAGAATGGGAGTAGAAAAGGGGTCAACCAAGCATGTGTATATACTGGCAATCTGGCAGGATCAGTTGCCAAAGGGACAGAGCATTCAATACATCTCAATTTGCACCCCCAGTTTGACAGGAGCAGAATCAACGAGCTTCTCTCGCCTAGCCGGTTTGGGTATATTCGTATGCGGAAATGACGGAAAAGCGGCCAGCGTGCGTCACGCCGTACCGGCTCACGTTGACCATAAAATCGAACAAGAAATACTGACAACTTGAGCGAAGCAAGAGCCTGGGAATGTCAATCCGTCCTGAAACTAAGCATCATTGTGATCGGGTAAAGAAGCAAGGGCTCAAAACTTGCTGCTACCTCAAAACTAACCGGTAACTAAGTCCGGACCATGGTTCCGTCCCACATTGTCCTCGTAAATTCTTGCTTTTTAGTTCCACTGCTTTGGTCTGGTCTTTAGCCACCTGGCAGGGTTACCCATCTTGCTGCCTTGACATACGGTCATACAAGCTTGTATGTTAGCAAAGCAAGCCGCGCCAATCATCATTCTGTGGCGCACATCAGATCGCGGCAAAGATGACTGGTGAGGGGCCGGGGGGCCAGAGTACGGTAACACGTCATCTCCCTTTCCAAAAAACCAATGATTGGCCCATAGCAACTTTAAACAAGACAAGCTAAGACAAGCTCGTGATTGAGCTTCGACGAACAGCCGAACAGCCGATCTGCAGGTAAAATGCCGCTGTGACTAGAATAATTCGTTAATCGCTAAGCAAGCCAATGCGAGGTTGGACCTCCTCGATCGGGAAAAGCCCGAAGCCTTACGCACCGGCATGAAAGGCTGAGGGGCTTTGTCCGGGATTTCCAGAATCAGCTTATGCGTTCGTTGCTCGAGTACAGCACGCGATCCAGGTGCGGGGTATTCCTCCCTCAGGGGCATCAGCATATTCGCACTGCCAGTCTTGTTGCTGGTGCCTCTGCTGCTTGCTCCTCGGGAAGATTATTGGCCAATGACAGCCCCAGTTGTCTTGCAGTTGGTATGGAAATTGGCGACCGCACAACGCAGGCGGTCTTCAGCTGGAGGCGTTCTTCAACTTTCAGATGGCTGCTTGATCAGTAGCGAAAATGGACCTGGTGAGTGCAAGCCCGCCTCCTTGTTTGTCAATATTGCCCAAGAGCTGGTCGAATTGGGTGTCAGGATAGACGTAACCCACCACCACGGGACCGAATAGCTCTTGGTCAAATAGAAGGTGATCTAAGGTCTTCGAAAGGTAGATGTGGGTTGAATGAAGAACCCTCCACTGGCGTCGTATTTACCTCCCGTGACGAGCTCGGGTTGACTGTCATTGTTCGCTGCATCGATGGCCTCGGTGATCTTATCAAAGACGGCCTGGTGTATGACAAGCACCAAGAAGCTTTCAAAGTCCTCGGGCGGACCCACCTTCACTCGACTCAGCTCCTGCTTCATTTCGGAGATGAATTGTGCAGCGCGACTTTGTAAGATGTAGATTCGCGAGCATGCTGAACGCTTTTGACCGCACACTCGACGGACGCACGGATGGTGTGCTTGACGGCATTGCTGATATCGGCGGATTGATGAATCAGGTGGAATCCTTCCCGGATGTTTCGGCGACAAGTCGTGGAAAGTCACGATATTTCCTTCTCTGAGCTATCTGCTATTTGGCCGTATAATCTGCGGGAAACATCCGAGGACCCGGTGAAATTGATGGCAAAAATCTCCGGTGTTACAGGGCCCCTTTGTGGCCAACTTCGCATCACCATTGATGAATTGGATGGAGACCGGCCTCACGCAAAATCTTGTACACCAAATAGCTGGCAAAGATGTCGGATGGAGATGGTTTCCATAGAACGACGTTCCCCAAAAGAGCCGGACCTAGCGCGCCAGGTTTCCGCCGACGGCGGCGAAGCTGAACGGTGAAATGGCATGGAAAAGCCCTCCATGGGACGCGAACCGGTGTGCCTGTTCGTTTGGGACATCAGCATTTTCGCCCTTTCTCATTTGGTGCGCCACGGACGACTCACCCCACTTAACCCGGCTCATTCAACGTAGGTTATCTCGAATAGATCTCTTCCGCGAATGAGACACTAAACCGGTAAAAGTCAGCCAGCTCTGCGGCTGCGTCAATCTCTGCCTGCCACGTGTTCTTTTCTTCTCCTAGCATGGTTATTGCCACGAGCTCGAATCTGTACTTCCTGGAAACAAGTTCTGCGGCTCTCAAAATATTGCCGCTCAGTCTGCAAACGGAGTATCTTGCCACGACTTCCTTGGTCGGCAATGCCGTCTCGGTAGCTGTAGATACATCCGCTTCCGTTGCTAGAGCATGCATCGCTAAACTTGATGAGGCATTAGATTGCATATATGTCTCCAAGTGAGATCGGATTGGCTGACTTACTATCTCCTCACCGTTGTGAATTGTAGGCACGTGAACCGGAAGGTTCGTCCACAGGTTCTTGACCGCGGCGATCAATTTCTCGCGCTCCGGTCACGACGGTGCATAATGTAGCTAGATGTGTATCAGCCGAAGGGATACCTTTATGCCTTGGCAACATTTGTGTCTCACATTCGGCCCATTAAAAAGCTGTCAAACTGGGGAATAACTTGAGATGCATTGAATGCTCTGTCCACCTCACAACCGGTCCTGCAAGGTTGCTGGTATATACACGTTGGGTTGACCCCTTTTCTTCTCCTATTCCTACCTTAAATCCTGCATATGGGTGATAACCCCTTTTCCTAATATAGGGGCATTTGTTACTCTCCAACCATTCAATGAGACCTTGTTCGACAAAAGCTTAGGAGTTTTGTAGGCTCCTGCTGTAGCTAGCCGTCTCTAAGTTGTCAATGATATTGAACATGAAAGACCACGAGTTGGGGCCTTGGTGTTGCCTGGCGGGGTAATGTACCTGCCGACAGAATGGCGCGTGTCTGCATGTCGTGTAGCAGAGGTCTGATATGGAACAGATTAGAACCCTCAACCAAACGAAGTATACAGCTCAGCACCGAAGGCTTGATTTTGGTAGAAAATGTGCACCAGTCTAGTGGCGGCTTGTTTATCTCAAGTCAGCGAGATCTGTGGAACTCTCAAGCACGCGACACCCGGCGGACTTTCATGCTGAATGAAGTAGTGGAATAGCATGACATCAAGACCCGGAGCCGTCCATACGAGCCCTCGGCAAGCATGCGATTTGTATGGAGTCTCGTCGGCGGTTGTCCAATGGTTTGATTCTCCCCTGTCGGCCAAATCATCGGGAAGGCTGCCGTAGCGTAATTTGAGCCCCGCGCACCATGACTAGCTCCAGTCTGCCAAGCGACCTGTAGGTTTGAAGGGCTCAATCCCTTACACTGCAACTGCATTACACTTGATTGACCGTCGCGTGTCGCGGTCGGTATCATGACTTCAAAGGGGTTGCATTGACGGAAACCGCGTTCCCAAGGACTATCCCAATGATTACGGACTACCACACCCAAATACATATCCTGTGGACAAGTGGTCAACATGATCAGGCCGTGGCTCTTCAGAAGCGGGTGGCGTTGGCCGAGTCGCCCACTAAAGCCGGCATTGCCAACACAAAATACGCCGCCGCTATTTTCACTTGCCCCAAGGCCGGCATTTCGGATGCCATCTCTTTGCTCAAACCTCGAAGACCTTACGAAGAGCCATCCGACGCAGCAAAGAAATCAATCAAAGCAGCCATGGAGTCTTTGGATCAAGAGGAGAAACGGATATTGATGGGGCTCAAGTCCCGTTTGTAGACGGAAAGATCTTGATGTCTTACTCATACATAATCGCGCCCGAGATAAAAGATAAATACTAGATGTCTCTATCCATGTCTGCACAGAACAATATGTCTAACTGGGGGTGCAAATTGAGATGTATTGAATGCTCTGTCTCTTTTGGCAACTGGTCCTGCCAGATTGCCGGTATATATACATGCTTGGTTGACCCCTTTTCTTCTCCTATTTCTCCCCTATATCCTGCATAGGGCTACTGCCTATTATTCAACGCAATAACACCACTTATTGTACCGCGTGTCTAACAACGTCGAAAATCTCCGACCTCACCTGCTCACGACCAAGCTGTAAGAGGGCATTGATGGAGATACCCTTGGGCACGGACACAGACTCCTTGAAGTCCCCGATCGTCATGTTCACTTGCAGCAATGTGGATGAGTAGTTTAAACATTGGCTTACGACTTTCCTGCGCCATGAACCGCGGCACACCTTCTGCAATGCTCCCATCTACAATGGCGTCTGACTGACGCGCGAGAAACGGCTGGATGCAGTCAATTGCCCAGCATATAGAGTGTTGCATTGATTCGTCGAGAGGAGACCCCGGCCAGGAGAGAGATGACCAGTTTTCCTCGTATTACCTGACAAAGACGAGTTGTTCAAAACTTCCAGTAGTTGCCCCGGCTGAAAGGCTAAGATGACCACGTCTGAAGAACGAGCAACTTGAACAGTGTCGGTTGTAATGATGTTGACTTGATCTTTGCAGAGACTAAAGCTTTGTTGTAATCGTCCAAGCGACGTTGTGAGTGAACGCTAATGCAAAATTTGAGCTCGTTCGAGACTGTTCAGCAGCTTTAATCATGTCCCATAGTAAGGCTGTTCCCATACACCCTAAGACAAGTTTTCAGCAGCGGGGGCGTTTGATATCGCCACACGAGTATAGCGTACCACAGCCAAGGATGGCGACACGGAGCTTTCTTGCGGGTGATGGCAACGCCATTTTGACCGTGGATAATGGGTGGCACCTTTGTTCCGCGTTCCTGAAAGTTGTCGTCAATGACCTTCGAGGGAGATCGAGTAAAAGTAATTGAGAGTTGTATTTCGTTCCCATATCAACGGGCCGACGATAAGGCCGTCGGAAACATATCCGTGGGCAAAACTAGACCCGTCTTCATAGAACAACCATGTATGGAGAAGCTCACACCGAATAATATGAAATGTCATCAAAATAGTATCCGATTGGCATGGTACACGGAACAAGCCCTGACCGACACCAACTTCTTCAACAAGCCCGATGCGAACACTTCCTAACCTGCCCGCTTCTTCGAGCAGGACTACACGGGTAGTGCCTAATTCCTAGTGCGGGCATCGATGCCACCGTCCCTCCATAAGCTAATTCAGACGTAGCTGGCTGCTTGAAAGTCAGCGGATAGGATCAGTCATCGTGAGAGGTATATTAAAAAAATAAAAATAAAAAGATATCGAAGATGACTTGTAGGTTCATTACGAAGAGGGAGCTAGATACGATTCACCAGAAAGACCAAGTCGTTCAAAATAAGGCTTAAGAGAGCTCGTGACAGAGAGATAGTATCAAGTACTGCAAGCCTTACTGCCATTGTCCACAAAGACCCTCTTCGGCTTTTCCCAATACAGGATCGTTCTCAGGTTTTGGGACGGACCATACTTGCTCGTAGTTGCCCACATTCTCACCGCCCCTAGCGAAATCCCAGGTGCCGCCGTCCTTCGGATAGGCGCCAATCATGGTAAAGCCCGAAAGCTTCAAGTTGGTCAATGCATGCCTCACGTCTGCTGCCGCGATGTGATGTCCGTCACCGGGAGTGAGTAATTTGAATTCAGCAGCGGGCTGAGTATCGAAGGTCTTATGCGCAGTTCCGGCCGGCAACACGAAGACGTCGCCAGTACGTGCCTGAAGTTCGATTCCACCGTCCTCCTTACCAGAACCATGAGTACTTTCTTCCAGGTCGGAGGCAGTATCTGCGACACCAAAGCGGATCGTCGCAGTTCCCGAGAGGACGGCCATGCACTCATGGACGGCGGAGTGGTAGTGGGATGGTTGAGTCGGGCCATAGCGAAATACCCATTGAACTTGCCATCCGTTCTTGGACATGAGGTCGTAGGCTTGGGCTGCCATACACTCGGATTCGAGAGATAGGAAGCTCGGGTAATGGAGTAGCGGTCGTGGTGAACTGGGAATAAGGGGTGTGGGCGGGAGTAGGTGTTTTCTAACTTCAACGTTGTCATGAAAACTATTTATCTGACCATCCATGTTAGCGTGCGTCGTGGTGGAATCGGAATAATATGGAGGCGTGTGAGCTAGGCAACGATCTAAATGATAGTGAGGTAGCCCATATAACATCGACTGGTTACGCTCATGAAGTCAAACATACGAAAGAGCGTTGAAGACTAGCCTAATCTATGAACAATCGTGGCCGTTTTATCGGCGCCGTCCCCCGGCGTCTTGGCCAGAATCACACTCGCAAGGCGAGTGTCTCGGCATTTTTGTCTTAATGGCCCCTTGACAATACAGTACTCCCTTGAGGAGCCAGTGACCCTCTAACTCGGTCTAGCCCCCATCCCATTGCCAATAATTCAAGCCGTCAAGAAATCCGACCCCGGTTCTCCTTCACCATCTCTCCAAATCAACTCGCTATCCCAACTTGCTTGCTGCCACATCGGTAGCCGTCGTGAAAGCCCAGTTCTCAAGTCCATGATCCACAATGCTGGCCATCCGATAGCTGGCACATAGCCAACTACATTCCCGACGACTTCACCTCTCCTCACCAGCTCCCTGCCTGGAGGATACAGCTCCAAATCATCAAATTGGTTATTGTCGCCTTTGGTCAAAAATTGGCCTTCAGTTTCTTCCATTCCGGCCTCGTCCACGGTCTTGATGGTCCGATGCACCATGGGCATCGGATATCCTTGGAACCACACCACGGGGATATCCCCGACGCTGATCTCTGAACGGTTCCAAAGAATCAAGAGGTCACCACGTTGGAATGCCGGCTCCATGCTACCGGACACGACGGTGACAAGGGGTGTGCGTGAGAGAGTAACCAGGCGGAGGAGCGAGAAGAGCATGAAGAGGTGGGCCAGTGGAAAAAGAAAAGAGAGGAGAGATTGCATCCAGGCCTGACGTTGTGCCTTGGCCATTGCACGGGGCTCCAATCCCAAGTGTTTGGATGAAGAGAAGTTGGATTTGAGGACTCTCAGAACCGAATCTTAGGATGTGGGTTGTGTGGTGGAGAGATGCATTGATGGGCCAGGTGTATGTAGCCTTGCTAAAAGCCTTTCGTGGACCCACTCTAATCAGATGTTGTAAGATCTGATAACAGGCAAGTCAGCCGGATGAGCGGGTCTGCCACTCAAATTCTCACCAAAATTCATGAAATTCGTAATGAAATATCTATATAGTGATGCCCAGAACATTATGCCCACACCCCGGCGTGTAACCCATCCCCTCCATATCAGTTCCAGGTAAAACCATCAGCCTATCATAGAGATACCGAGTTTCTGCCCCCTCCTCCGCTCTCCAAAAATCCGGGCCAAACCCATAGATCCTCATAACCACGAACCCCCATTCCACCAAAATGCCAGGGTCCAATGAAATCAATGGGAAATACTATATCATGGTCCAAATTTAGCATCAAAATGAGTGACCGACCTGCTTATCCGGCCGACTCGCTTATCACCCACGTTATTGGTATTAGTTGCAGGCCTGAAAGCTGGAGACTGGAATTAGGCGTGACATCCGTCCAACGGCATCCTGGCCCCTCAGGGGACAAAGCTTGGTGATGCTTGAAGAGCACTCCATCTAACTGTTACTAACGTGGCCATCTATTCGCCCAATGAGAATGAATGAAGGGGAAACGACGGGGGTTCTGTGAAAGCAATTCATTTTCTATTAACTAGTACTATTGATGTATCGGCCTCCACATGAGAGGCTGGAGGCATCAGAAAGAGCGACTGTCGCGAAACGTAAATGCAAGACCAAAACAATGCGAGATGAAATGACAGTCCACAGCCATTTGACAAAGTGATCGTTGTTGAAACATGAACGCAAGACCAAATCAAATCCACCAGTTCGCTTGCTATGCCAGTGTTTGGTTTTGGCGATCCCCGGGGAAACTCCTATTCTCTTGCCCATCACAATGGGTACTTATCGCAATAGAGAACTTTTCTCGCATCCTCGAATTCGTCAGCGTATTGCAACGCGACGCTTAATAGGAGCGACGGGACCAGTGCTTTCCACTCGGCTTGGTGGATGGAGCAGTGTTTGGGCCAGAAGGAGCGGAGCCGGCGAAAGATCCAGAAGACCCCCAGAAGGCCCATGCGTTCTGCATGACATAGTCGGGCACCTGGGATAGAGCGATTCCATCGCCTTGGACCACGGCCTTGCCGTAGAGGGAGTTGAGTGTCCCAATGTCGTCGTACTGGTTGTATTCGTTGATCGCATCGTAGCATGACTGTGGCATGCCGTGGACGGTCACCGCATTGGAGCCATCGAATGTCATGGTTGGAAGAGACGAAGTCGTTGCCGAGTCGTCCAGACATTGTTGTAGGTGGGAGACCCCGGATCCTGGAGGGCCTTGGTCTCGCCGTTTGAGACCGCCCGAGGCCGCAGCCCCGGCAGTGGCTGCGCCGGCACCAAGCGCAACGCCGACCCCAGCGATGGCTAGAGGAGGGGCTGGAGTGGGTTGAATGAGAGCAGCAAATGCGGCAAAGCCGACAATGATTGCCGTGGAAGAAAGCATGGTGAAATGGACTGCTTGAGAAAATGGAACTGAGATGGAACGAAATAATGAGTGTTTTAAGGAGAAGGCTGTTGGACTGCGAAGGAGTGTTTGTTGGATGTTATGAGATGATGAGAGAGAACTTGATCGCCATGGATTTCCATGGTTGATTTATACCTTTGGCGATGACTCCAGACGACCGGCTTGCCTATCGTCGTGGGATCATCAAGTCACTCAGAATACTTTCTGTATTCCTATTTCAAGGCCACTCCGCTGCCAAAACTAGAAACACATTTCAACATTTGACAGTGGAGCCGTGCTTTCTGGCTGCTGCGCCTGAAAAGATCCATACTTGGAAGACCCGTCGTGGTATTGCGCTGGGCGATCTTCAGTTGCAAGAGATCAAAATAGCACTTGGTACATGGACATGGTCGTGAAATGTAGGGCCTCCAGATTTTCGATGTTCGGCTGTTCAATGCCCAGTTGAGCAGCTCTGTTGTCAGAATAGCATCAAGTAGGGTCTGTGAGAATGTTACCCCTAATTCGGAAAACGCCCTGGGGATACAAAGATGGGGGCTCACCAAGCTCCAAAGTCCGAATCTCCGGATATACTAGTATCAAATTGGAATGCACCCCATTTCCCTAGGCAGCAGTACTTCGTTCTTACCTCGCTCGTGACCAAGTCTGAGTATGACATTGTCTTTTGATTATCTCGGTTGAGCCAAACGATTAATTTCACTGTGAAAATCGAGGAGAATCAGAGTAATGTCTGTGTTTCTCTTGTTTTTACCTTTAGACTTGTCCGGCCATACCCACAAGGCTTTGCCCAGTCTTGTTGTCCAATAACAACACACACGTGGAAACCGTGCTACCATGATCATTCGATTCGCCCCCAGCAGCAGGAATCGCTTTGCCCCTCCTCGGAGGACGGCGTTTTGAAGGTACGTTGTACGAGCCAGCAAGAATAGACCTGTGACCGTAACTATTCATAACCTAGCAATAGGTTGAAGGGGATCGACCAACTTTGCCATTTATAGTCATACCCGGGTTCTATGGCAATCGTCATGGATGCCGCTGGTGCACTTGACTCTCTCCGTAGTTGCTCCCTCCCTCGACAACACCCTGTGTGCCCCCTCTTCATTCTCACCCCGTGTCTAGACTGAAATTTGGCATCGAAACCACCGAGACATCTGCAAAATGTCCAACGAGCAAGAACAACCTCTCATTCCTCGAGACCACCATGATGAGAGTGAATTTTCAACCCAGCGTCGACCACAACATCCTTGGATCAGGCGCCTGCTCGACTTCCTCTCGTCTGACTCTCCTGAACACGGCGAGGAAGATGAACATTCAAGTCGGCCTCCGTCCACGTCCCCAAGGCTCTGGCGTCTCTTTGGTCTTTTCGTCATCTTATTCCTCCTCATCATCTCGTTCATTTCGGGCTACCAGGTCGCCAAAAGAAATCACCGCCACCAACCGGGCAAAACTCAACCACCAGTGGTAGAACTGGAACTAGATCAGGATCAACATTGGCAAACCTGCGGCTCCACTCCTTCTGACGCCCTCGCCCGCGGGTGCTCCTTCGACACACTCTCTTTCGCGTGGCAGACACCAGAATGCTACGACGCCGAGCTCATGGCTGAATGGGAATCCACCGTCCGCACGAACGGGTGGAAATACTACGCCGACATAACAGGCAAACGGCCTGTCTCGTATGAAGCGGCCTTCGGCGGCACGAATGATTTATGGGTGGAGTGGGATCTGCACGTCACGCACTGCACATTCATGTGGCGTCAGATGCACCGTGCATTCACGCAGAAAGGGTTTATTGACAGCCATTTGAATTCTTACAATCATACGCTGCATTGCCAGAGCGTATTGACCGAGGAGCACGATAGCTGGCTTGCAGATACGGCGGCGAGAGTGAGGTATCCGCGGTGCGAGAGGGTTGGAGCTTAGCTTGTCATAGACTCCTTTGGAGATCGATCTCGTGTCTACAGTATCATTGCGGTGATTGCGACTGTAAATTGAGTCGAACTATACTGGAAGTTGGTTCAATGGATGTGAAAGATGGTATCCAGGTTCGTAGCTCCGAATAAAATTAAATCACGAAAAACGATTTGAATCTATGTAGGCTCAGTCTTCTCACAAGTCCTTAATGAAGACTTTCTTTCTGTCCTTCGAGTTCCTCGTTAGGTCCTTTCTCTTTCACCTTCACCATACCGCCCCTATACACCGCGTCCGCAAACGCTCTATCACCTCCCCGTTTCCTTCGTCGCAATTTCGTCGCATACTGCTCATATCCATCTCGGGCCAGCGACCCAATCGCCATCCTCCACAATCGATCTGGATGCACCAATATGACCTGTGCACCTTTCTGTCCAAATCCGAATCCTGTGACCGAGACGGCCGGCACCCCGTCCGTCTGCACACTCTCTGCCGGAAAGCAAATGTTCACATCCAGATTTTCGAAGGCGGGATCGACGTCGTCGATCGTCGGGTTTCCTGGTACGAGGCCCGAGGAGAGGATTTGCAGGGATGAGTTGACGGCCCACGCGCCAGCAGCACCTTTGCTGTGGCCAAGGAGGCCCTTCTGACACGTGGCGAGCAATGGGACGCTGTTTTCGGGCTGGTGGCCTAGAGCGAGCAGCTGCCTGTTGAGAACTTCGAGCTCGTTCGCGTCGCCCGCTGGGGTCGACGTCGCGTGTAAGCAGAGGACGTGGATGTCGTTGGCCGTGAGGTCAAATTTTGATAGAGCTCGTTGGAGGGCTGATGTTGGCTGACGTGGTGGGAGATCGAGTCGATTGTATTTGCTCCAGTGGTCCTGTCTAGATATGTGGTGGAAAGGGAGGAGATGGGGACTATCAGGGGGCGTTGCGACTTTTGGCTCACTGGGTAGAGTCGTAAAGGAGTGCTTGAGGTGAACATTGGGACTTTCATAACTGATGACCCTCTGACTGGGTACACTTCCTCCTAGCGGTGAGGACAGATGCGATGATAGTTTGCTGGAATGTTCTGCCGCGAAAGAAGCAATTCCAGCGCCTGGCCGTGGCACTGAGCGACCAATTCCATCAGCGGCCGTTCCAGCGAAAGCTAGCACACCTCGAATGGGTAGTCCCATCTCGATAGCGAGGCTGGCCGATGTCAGGAGCTGCATGCCACAGCCGTGAGATTCGACAAAGCCTGCTCTAGTAGCGGTCATAGGACGAGACATTTCCCGTGGCTCCCGCCCGCTGGCTAATTCTTTCTCCACGTCAACGGTCGCTTTCATCCTACCAAAGCTCATGGAGATTTCTCGAGATATATCGTCGTAGCCACCAACAAGGCAGACTTGAGCCTTGCCGCTTGAGATGAGATCATAACCTCGATCAAGTGATTCCAGACTCGTAGCGCAAGCACCAACAGGAGTATTCATGGGGCCATTGGCGCCCAAGAGGAGCATGTTCACCCAAGCGGCTGCCGTGTTGACGAAAGTTTCCTGGAGAATATCGCTCTGGATTCCACCACCGAACGATTCTCCCTGGAACTGGTCTCTATACATTTTGCCAAGAGAGTTGATTCCTCCTAACCCGGATCCCAGACAATTGCCGATCTCTGAAGTCTGGACGAAATGGTAGAATTCATAGAAGTCAGTCACTCCAGCAGAAAGAAGGGTTTCTGCGACGCACACCAAGACGGATAGGGTAGCGGGATCTACCTCCGATATGACATCTGGTGGTATCCCATATCGCCGAGCTTCCCATCCTTGTGGTATCAGCCCAGCAACCGCCCTCGAACCTGATGCCGGCTTCGGGATGAGCAAGTCGGCTCCTTGAAGGATTTGAACGGACCTTTTAGAAGATCCGAGAATAGGAGATATCCTGATTTTGTCTGCATATTGTCGCTTGAATTCTTGTGCCGTATCAGCCTCCACTTCAAATGGCGGCAGGTCATGACTCAGGGTGTACTCGTAGAGTTGTCGGGGCTGGTTTTCGGGATCGAGGAAGCGGATCCCGCAGCCCTCTATAATCCGGGAAAGATACTTGGCTCTAATCTCTTCATCGGCTATGGGCTTGGACGTCTCGCAATCCACCCACTCGAGTTGGTACGTCGAGATCTCCTTACATTCGACGAAGCCCATCATCCAAGCCAGCTCGACCGTGCCGTCAAGAGACCAATCGCCTGACGTCTCCATTTCCCAACGGGTTCGCGAGCTTCCAAAAGGGCCGACCTCCCCGAATCCTACAATCACAACAATTCGTTCAAGAGGTATTTCGCATCTGGGACTCGCATCAAAGGGAGCCATCAAAGATTCAAAGAAAGGAAGTGACGGGAAGTCGATCCGAAAGTTTGCTCGGCTGCCAACGAGGTTGGCTTTCCTTTCCATCGCAATGCAACCGTCCCCGAACTTGGCCTTTTCATCACAGGCTGCCTCCTGCGCGAGTCGACGGCATATGTCTTGCCTTTCGGTCTTAAACTCTCGCGCCACGCGCAATTTTTGAGCAAGCTCAGATGCACAGTCTCCTGATCCACTGAAATCGGCTAGGATAGGTTGTGTGTCACACACAGCAACCAAGCTAGCATTGGTGAGTGCAAAGAGACTCGAGGCCATCTCGAGGACTGAAGTGCCATGGGACGCCATCTCGTCAAACTCGTCGAAAAGGGCGTCCTGGTGCTTCGTCAGTCCTGTTCCCCGGGTCCAGCCGATTATCGCCCCGCAAAGGCTTAGGTAAGGGTGCCAGTCCTCAGCATGCCATTTCCGCAGAAGGCTTTCAAGACCCAGTTTTGATTCTGCATATAAACCATCGTGACCTATCTCGCCGTGATTAGGTGACAGTGGGAGAAGTACTTGGGCAGGGTTGGTTTCGATGCCTGAGCGTCGCTTGTGGCGGGAAATACACCCCAAGAGACGAATGGTATTGGTAAGCATGATGCGATGTGCCAGTTCGTTTTGTCCATCGATGTTCTCAATACTCTGACCATTCTGAGAAATGGCTGCGAAAGGAATGACAAGATCCAAATCCCAACCCAAGTTTTCATAGATATAGATCACCAATGCTTCGATATCGACGCGGCTACCTTGATTGAAAGGTAAAATCGTCAGACTTGAGCCGGGGGTTGCGGAAGATCTATACAATTTCTGGAATACGGCTGCCGTGGAAGCATTGAGTTTACTGGTCCCAACCACAACATGAGCGCCCGATCGAAGAAGGTGCTCTAACAAATGCTGTCCTATGGAGTCTTTCCCTGCGCCGGTGAGAAGGACCTTCTTCGGCCTCTGCTGATTTGAATTGAAAGATGTCTGCCATCTTGCTGCATAAAAGAGGGCACTGAGTTCTTTGTCGTAATGCCATGAATTGTTTCTCCAAGTTTCTAGATGAAATTCTGTGCCAGCATCGAGTCGGCCGTTGTCATTAGTGCATTTTTGAGTGTTGTGAGCTTTGTCTGCTGGATGTGCATCGGATTGATTCATATTCTTCCCTGGATAACGTATTCTTTCCTGAGTTCTTCGCGGCAATTTGGAGAGACGAGAATCATAGTGAGCTCGCACTTGATCCTCTCGCCTCCAGTTCCAGGACGATGTAAAGGACCGTGCTTTTCGAGCATTAAAGATACCCGTGATGCCGGTCAAGTAAATTTCGTCATGTTCTTCTCTCAATTTTTGAAGTTCCTGTTCCTGTTCCCGGACTTTGGTCATGAGTTCGAGCACGGTCGAGCTGAACTTGTCCTGTGTCCCACCTGGACCCAGCTCGTGGGAAGACCTCTCGGTATATCTGATTTTCGATTCAGATTGGACCGTTGTGGGCGGTTCCATGGCGATTGCGGGTCGATGATGCGTTGATCCGTTATCCTCAACATCTACTCCCGACCCTGTCAGGTGTTCCATCGCTGCCTTGTCGAGCAAAGCTTGCGATTCAGTTTCCGAAAGATTGCTCATGCCAAAAGATGCTCGCGCAGCCATAAGAAGCACAGTATCTTGGCGGCCGACTTTCAGATTCCAACGTGTTTCAAGGTATTCTCTGACTCGATCAAGATTCCATGGTCTTGACAATTTGGACATCAAGGTTCGCGAAATAAGCCTCCGAGAGACTTTACCGATCCGGCCGTTGTGTCTTGACTGGATAGACTCACACAGTGCTTCCAGAACCATGTCAGATATATTCTCTGGACAATTTTCGAACTCGTTCATGAGGTCTCCGATGATCTCATTTTCGATGACAGATCTCCCCGATGCAAGTCCTTTGATGGTGCTATTCCACATAAATTTTCGTCCCAATCTCGCCATCTTCTCAGTAACAATAGTCTCCAGGATGAGTTTGGCGCTGACTTGCTGGTCGGAAAGAACTGTTGAAGTATGAGACGCCCCATTGGGGATTGTCTCAGAGTGTGTCGCTTTAGGTGGAGAAGTCTGTACAGTTTCTGGGCGGGATTGTGGCTTTGGACTCTTTGAAACAGATGTCGACATGGATTCCTGAGAACTCGGTCCCCCACTTGATTTCTCTTCGATCGGGGTCGAAGTCTTATCGCACATGCCCTCATAGTAGACTTCGTCCTCGTTTCGCACCACTGATAGATACTGCCGTCGCAATGCGAGAGCATCTTCACGTGCAGTAAATGGTGCAGCGCTCTGTCGCATCATGTTAATCAGAGTCTGAGAGGGACCAACTTCAATGATCCGTTGAGCGTTTTGGACGTTCAGGATCTCTTCTTGAGTCTCGATCCACCTAACTGGGTAAGCAAACTGGTGCGCCAGAAGTTCGATCAACAGAATGTATGAGAGGTCTTGTTCAACCAAAGAATTCATTGTAGACGAACGGTAATGAGACACATTGCTGCACAGGTCGCTCTGGGGATCTCGAAGTAAATACATTGGGGCTATGATACTCAACATAGTAAAATGATGGTTAGCTGCTCGCATTGGCTATTACATTTTGGCCCATAAAGCGAAGATACACCCATGATCTTGGCCTGGGTTTTGGTTCCCGTAGAGGACGTAAGCTTCGTACCAAGTCGTGGGAGCGTGATCTCCGATACCTCGGAACAGGAGTTGGTCGCCATGTCCGAAGGCAGGACAATGTGTAATGAGTCGATCATGTAGGCGTATGTATGTACCGCTTTTAGAAGCAGCTGAGCATTGGGTAGAATTTGGAAGGCCTTATGGTTCCGGTGGTCTCGAGTCCGGAGCCTGTACGATCGCGTGGCCCACATCTTAAACGAAGTCAAGGCACCGGGGGGCAGTGACTCTCAATCTGGCCCCATATTATACATGTAAGCGCCAAGGAAGGGTCTCTTACAATAGTGCAGAGCTTGTATTTTTAATTAACTAAGGGGCGATATCCCCTATACAGCCAATCATGAACGCTTAAACCTCTTGGATGGCCCCACCCCAACCCTTCAAGCAATGCCTTCCATTAATCCTGACATGCTCCACCCCAGCACAAAGTTAATCCATACATAGGTAAAGCCCATCTTTCGACTCCAGGCTTAAGAAAATTATGCTGTGCCACGCAGGCCTGGTAGGATGAGCTGCAGTTAGGTTATGTTAAAGACTAGCGATTGCTCAAGGCTACAAGTATTGTAATTCACCATTTCCACGTTCACCACTTGGGCCTTCTTTCTTCCATTTGTTGCACTGACCTTCAGCATCTATGATGCCTTACTCTTCGTTTTGTTTTTTCTTTGCCCTTGCCAATCTTTCTGGACTGGCCGGGCTAGCTTGCCCTGCCAAATACCGGCTGCTCTGGATCCCATCTCTCATTACGACCAGTGTACTTGCATTCCAACGCCTGAGCGATATACCAATCTCTGTGGACGCCGCAAGTACACTGGGGCTGTTCATTATCATCTGGAACGCACATGTCATAAGCTTGGTCACCGTCCACCACTCAGACAGAGTGCAATTTTTAATGCGGCAATCTCGAGGAGAGCATGAGGACACCAAAAAGTCCTTCGTGCTTCTACCAGAGACTCAGAAGGAATGGCATTGGAAGGGTGCATACAAGATGCTGTATAACAGCCGCTGGATCGGCTCCTCCATCGAAGTTCCTGGGACTCGTACGGCCAAGGTCAAGCCCGTCGAACCTGCTCAGCGTAAAAAGGGGAGCTATCCGGCGATCTCCTGGCATCAGTATCTTGAGAAATATCTGATATCTCCAAGGCCAACGTTCATGATCATACAGATTCGACGCTTGCTCGTCATTGCGGCTATGACGAAGTTCCTGTCAGTCATCCTGACAAACCCTCAACATCAGGCCTTCCAACCCTTACAGATTTTCGACATCAACGCCACCCACGATTCATACTTTCGCCGCATCGGCGAAGTCACAGCGCGCGAAACTACAATCCGCCTAATCACCGTATTCTTCTTCATCTGGAACGCGTACGCGAACCTGACATCCCTCCACGCCGCTCTATCCATCATATTCGTCGCCCTTCTCCGCTTTGATGACCCAGATGAATGGCCACCCCTCTTCGGCTCGCTTGGAAAGGCGGTTTCTATCAGACGCTTCTGGACCGGCTTTTGGCACTCACTAGCATACCGGCCGTATGAGGCAATCGCCGAGGTTCTGACGAACACGCTGCTCGGGCTTAAGAAACACGGCGCTCTACACCGGCCGATGAAGAACCTCGTGATCTTCATGTGCTCGGGCATCAGCCACGCTCTGGTCGCGCAGCAGTTACTTCCTTGTGGCGCAAGGGAAGAAATATGGTGGTTCTCGGTGAACTTTGCTGCGGTTGTCTTCGAGGACATTTTTGGACTGATCGTAAAGAAAGCGGGTCTCAGGCCTTCTGGTGCGGGAGGGAAACTAGTATGGAGGATAGGCGGGTATCTATGGACGCTGGGTTTTATGTTCTGGTCACTTCCCAAAGTCCAATACCCCCAACTCCGTTGTACGGTAGGCGGCGAGGTTTAATGTTCAAACGTAGATTCATTAGGTCTAATCAAGTGCAAGTTCAATGTGTCTAAGACAGACGTTAAGGACTGCAGCGGTATTAATGGATGAAGCGGGTTACGTGTGATCTGAACGCCATAATCTATTCCTCACTGCGTCGCTTTATTATCCATAAGACACAGGGCTAATACACGCGGATGCCAGTCTCCATATCAAAACCAGAAACCATGGTGGGAAATGATCACTTCGAGCCATGGTCTCATCCAGGCGCATCGTCGCCTCCTCAATAGTCAGTTTGTTGTGAATGATGTCCTTGTAGACTGCATGGACGTCGTAATGCTTGGAAAGGTTCAATGCCTCCGTACACCGAACGATGTGGGCTTCCGTAGAGCGCCGAACCGTGTCCCTGAATAAGATGAACAATCGTGGGTGTACATTGATTGTTGCTCTGTCTGTTTGACAACTGGTTCTGCCAGATTGCCAATATATGTACTCGTTTGGTTGACCCCTTTTCTGCTTCTATTCCTACCCATAATTATATCCTGAACAGGAATGATAACCTCTTTCCAAGAACGGGGCACTGGCTACTATTCAATGGTGGTGCTTCTGGTGATAAGTCGTTCGCAGCTTTCGTGGAACGAAGAGAAAGGTTTTGCAGTTTCTTACCTCATACCTAACGCAGCTTCTCGTTCTAGCCAGATCTTTTCATCTTCAACCGCAGCACAGAGAAATCCAGTCTTATTTAGCTTGGAACCTTACTCTTCTCATCCATCCATTCTCCCGTTGTCTACTAAACTTCTGAATGTGCAATGGTCTGTGAAAGACGCAGCGCTAAGAAGTTCTGCTTCCGTGAACATCAACCACTGGTTTTTTGAGAGTGTCGGCAGATCTGACCGAGGACCTGCATAACCAAGGTCAATACGGCCCCACCTCTGCTGCCACCGTTCTCGACCCCAAGAGCCTGTCTACAGGAATTGACATTATAAGAACGTTTAGGGTTTCGGTTTATTTCGAAGATTCGTGAGGTATTCGCTCATCATAGCTTCGTCTGTGACCAACACTGCTTCCAAGACTCGACCCAGGATCAGACAGTCTCTAAAAGTCAAATGCATCCCGCACACCAGGTCTCCGCCCTCCACGAACATAACCAGAATCTTCGATACCACAAGTGGAGGCCATAGTAGCTCAAATATCGATTTAGCAGAACCAGTCGCCTCTTCAACGACACTACTAGCTCGTCTTTCGACATCTAGCATTCTGCGAAGTCTGCTTTTGAATAGCCTTTCCACCTGCCCAGTGCTCTTTAGACATGCATTTGCCGTGTTCCAGACGGTTGCAAATTCGAAATCGGCGTGGCTCCATCGGGATTGGAATCCATTGCTTCGCGCGGTCACGCACCCAGTGATCTTCAAAACAATTCTGCACGGGGAGAAATCAGGGGGAGATCCGCAACACATCGTCAGAAATTAAACGGCTTGGATTCTCTGGTGTTGTTCTTTGTTAAGGTAAAGAGGTCCAGCTTCGGCAGGACAACATGTTTCTGGGCTATGATAACGGTCAAACGAATACTATGGATGTGGAAATCCTTCAATGGAAGGAGGGAAATCTTGAAACATTGGATATGGTAGGATAAAGAAGCTGGTTAGGCCTCAGGTAAGTCTGATGGGCTATCATTTCTCTTGTGATGAAACGAAGACCAATCCCCTGCCCAGTTATACCGGAGCCGGACTGCACATCACAAATGCTCTGATTCAAGGCAATGGTACACCAGCAAAGTTCATTGAGGCCGTGGAATCCATATGTGAGCGTGCTGCTGTTCGAGGTTGTCGCATACGGGTCGATGTAGAGTAGAAGGTCTTACAAGGAACGATAGACTAGTAGACCTTGGACTTCATGCGTCACTCCAATCGACCTGGGCAAGAAGATCTGATATGTAATACTATTCAGGCATACCTCGAATCGTCACGAGACAAGGTCCAACACCAGTTGGAGCTCACTCAGAAGGAAGGGTGGTGGATGGGAGTCAAATTCATTCGAGGCGCGTATATCAAGAGTGATATGCGTACAAGATCCGCAAACCAAAGCAGACACTGACGGGTCATACAACGGCATTGTTGAGGACCTCCTTGGCGGATATTTCCCTGCAATCGCCAACCAGCAGACACCAGAATTTAACTTCTTGCTGGTGGGCCTCGATTCGGATAGCATCTGAAGAGCAGCTCGTCTGGCGACCGACCTCGCAGCTCACTCGAAATTGAAAGTCATACCAGAGTTCACGCAGCTTCAAGGGATGGCTGATGACATGGGGTGCGAGCTTCCCAGGTGGCAAACGATGTTAAAAGACGGAGGAGTCCACTTCTGGCCACTACCTTCAGTCCAGACGTCTATAAGTGCCTGACATGGGGTAGCATTCAGGAGTGTATGCAATACTTGACCGGCACACTCGTTGAAAATCGAGATGCTGCTGACCGGATGAATGGAGCCACTGCAGAATTCAGAAAAGAGCTTTGATGTCAAGTATCTGGTAAATCCTGGTGAAAAGCAAAACCTTTTGTGCGGTCGCCTGTGGCCTTGACCAAACTCTGCCACCGCTAGAAAAGTCGGCAATCTCGGGCCAGGCTCGACCCCGGGGGACTTCACTGACGTGGAATGACTAGGTCTCCATAATTACCAACCCCGGCGAGTGTGGCTTGTGATTGACCATGTCGATATCTATCATTGAGAAATCTGGGGGCGTCATATCACGGCATGATCGGTCAAAAGGACCCTCATGCGTAGCGAGAGGTCGATTGGCATTGCGCCGTATCCGATTTGCCTCGATATTTCGCCGAACGCCAAGGAAAATTTTCGGCACACTTACCTAATTAGTCAGGCATGCGTGCGTGCCCCACCGTAGCTATAATCAAACCAATAAGAAGCATCCATTGTCTGCATATGCGTGTATGAGTGGGTGTTCTCCGTATCTATCCCGGGAGGCCCTAACGCTAAGAAAACAAGCCAAGCCAGCCTAGCCAGTAATCCTCGAAATCACTTACGAGGCATGTTGTTTTTCCTATCTCCTCAAAGCACGACTAGTCAATGTTATATTGACTGCCTTGCTGTCATGTGGATTATTACCTGTCACACTTCTTGTGTCACTTGAATTGAAGGAGCACTCCAATACTTAGCCAGAAAGTTCCAGCCCACCTCCGTTGTAGTTCGGCTTTGCCGGTTCTGGCAATACGGCAGCTTCATGACTGGAGATTGCCCTGGAGACTAATCCATGCCGGAGAACGTAATACTACTATAACGGCTTCCGCTATCTATTGTCCTTTGTTGACTGAGTTTCACTCAAAGTGGTCGTTTTCAACGTCTGGGGAGTTTTGGAGGCTAGCAGTCGGAATTGGCTCTGATATACGTAGTATTGAAAGGCATACAGACTTATCATACCGGTTAGCGCTCAGGAGGTTTCCAGCAATATAGAATGTTCTATCAAGACTTGCTTGAGTTGTTATCGACTGATTAAGGCCAAGTTGTAGACAGCAGCTCAGAAATATTTCGGATTGAAGCTCTCTGGGCGTCAAGCATTATCTCCGAAAACTGTCAGAGCTAATACAGAACTTATGTAGATCTAAACCAGGGTCTGGTGTGGACAACGCACACGAACTTCCTGCCTGTCAGCCACGAACGGGTAGCGAAGTCTGAATCCCTCTCTGACGTACTCCGTGCTCTATCTAGTGGTGCCTTTTGTCAATAATGAGACCCCTAGTTGAGACGTATCTGCTTCTTGCGAAAACCGATCTTGAGGTTCGGCTTCGCTCCAAGGGTATCTGACCCAATTGCTGTCTTGGAATCGTCCGCGAGCTTCATGTCATAGTTGAGCAATAGGTAGGCGACCAAAATTTTGAGTTCATAGCTAACGAGGAACCGACCAGGACATGCTTGATTTTCGGCTCCAAAGTTGACGTCCAGATCAGACTGGCCCACAAATTGGTGCATGTTGTTATGTCCTGGTCGCTGACGAAGCTTGTAAAAGCGCATAGCATCAAACTTGTCGGGATCACCCCAGATATCAGGGTCGTGCATGATCGCCTTCGCTGCCACAGCTCCATAGCTTCCCTGAGGAAGATGCAGACCGTTCGACAGCGTGAAGCCGTCTGGTGCTATAATTTCTCGGGTGACTGCCAGCGATGAGGGTGGTGCTAGGCGCTGTGTCTCTTTGATGAACGAGTCAAGCTTTTTCAACTCGATCAGGTCTGCTTGCCGCAGGTCCTGGAACGACCGGTTATCCAGGACCTGCTGGACCTCGGCGAGGATCTCTCGTTGAGCCTCAGGATAGAACATGAGATTGAGCAACGTGTTGGATAGCTGCAAATACATTAGGTTTCTCTGTCAGAAACGCGTGACTGTGCGCTTACAGCCGTTGTCGTTGCAAGGAACGAAAACATGGAGGACATCCAAGACGCCCGCTGCAAGTATTTTGATATCATCTTTCTCATCCTCCGACGCGTGTTTGATAATCGCCTGGAGGAAATCCATAGATTCCGAAAGGTTTGCACCTATCTTACTCCTTTCTCGGGCAAAAGGTTTCACCAGAATCTCCCATTTTCTGCTTGATAGTCTTGAGCTCTTTTGCGGGGCCGATGAAATTGGCGACGATGGTCCGTAACATAACAGGCCATTTTTTAAGAGCCATGGCGAGTTTCAGCGCGGTCAATGCGGAAGATGGGCTTGTCGTCATCAGCAATGTACACCAAAGGCAAATCGATACCTACGCTAACTGTAGCCACATTTCATCGTAGCCAAATTCACGTCCAGCGATCATGGTACCGACCATCTTTGCGGTGACCCAGTTGCACATCTTTAGAACTTCCCTGGATGTCCATTCAGTTGAGTCACCTATTTCGAGTAATAAAGCCGCGGAGCATTCTCCAATTAGCACGTTGATTGAGGTGTTTGATATCCTTGTCACATCGGACCTCATAGCCTTGAGCATGGCAGGATGGTGCTTGCCAATGGTTGTCCAGGGGCCCAGCCACCGATCAGGATTGGTACTCAAGAGCATTAGCTTTTGCCAGCGGCAATGGTTTCACCTCGTTCATTTCGGCGATTGGGAGCATGACAATGGAGAGGTTAGGCTGTACCAGTCTGAAGATGTGGCCGTTCTTGGTGTACTGGATGATTGGATGAGCACGATCGATTGCGAGGAGGCTTCTACCCCCCCCGGTGATATACTTCATCGATTAGTGCGGGGCTTTCAAATTCCGACTTGATGTAAACCCGTGGGAGGTCCCGGAGTTGTCGACTCTCTCCCAGAAATAAGAATCGCGCTATGACGCCGACAATCGCAAGTATAGCAGCTGCAGGCACTATCTGCCAGAATAGTGATTCACTCATTGTGGATTGTCTGCGTTGTTCGGTATCACGCACTGTGAGATCGCCAGCACTCACAGAAACGTCGTGGTAGTCCTTGTCGTAGGGCGCTGGCTGCGGGAGTCAGGCACTGAGCACGAAAGATCTCGATTTCCTGAGAGAATTGTGGGCGACCGTTATGTACCAGTAGCAGTGACTCGGTGGTTCACTGACTATGAGGAAAACCTGGAACGATGGGGAGATAATTCCAAGTCATATGCGCAGACGTCAGGCAACCATTATGTTTTGAATCGATCTTCCGAGGTGAATCCCTAGATCAGGTCGCGATCTGTTTGCCGCCTTATGCTCTAGAGCGTAGGCGTTCTTGAGCCCTGGTCGAGTACGGAGTAGATGGACAGTCCTGACATCCTACTGGATCTTCAGCATCCTGTGTAAGACAGGGGTGCACACCATATAGACTCGAGGTGCCGACTGCGTTAGATAAATCAATGAGATCTTGGAACAATCCTGTGAATATCCGCAAAGGCACTCCAGGGACGAGCGTCCGATGGTTTCTGGGCGCCTTATCAAGAGGAATGACCCGGAAAAGAGGAGATCGATTGACACCATTGTTGTTTGCGACTACCTTGATCACTCATGCTTGGCAATGTCGACGACCCGAGCTGAGGAAAGTAACTCCTGCGAGCTGGCCTATCACAGTGCCCATCTCTTCCCCTTATCAAATAGGTTCGAGAGCCGCTGAGAATCTTGTCGGCCTATTCACCACAGGAGACATGCTTTAAACAGTCTGCCCACACCGTCGCCGCCGCCGCCGCTGCTGCTGCTGCTGCCAGTCCCATCCCCTCACCTCCACCCTCCAACCTGCCGAGGTCGAGAAGGCCAAGAAGGAAAAGAAGAAGATGATGACGATGATGAGAACAATAAGTTTGTCCACATCCTGTGAGACCCCCTCAACACAAGTGAGCCCTGGAATCCATCCATAGTGGTGAGAGCCAAAACGATTCCACGGCCTCGAGTATCGAGGGGTTGACTCTCTAGGCTTTGGCCTCCCAGTCTTCGACTCGTCCGAACATGATTGCAACAACTCACCAGTCCCGGGGCATCAATACCATAATGTCCTTGTCCAGATTCAGCTCCATGAATAGCGCAAACATTTGAGACTTGGGCCGCAATTCATTTCGGGTCACTGAAGGATCAACAAGTTTTCTGGACTATCTGTGCGGAAGTGATGCATGAGCGAGTTTGATTGGCGTTCATATACTATAGGCCAAGAGATGAGGTCTTGCCGCGCCAGCCTGAGATATGAAGCGGCCTCGTAATCACTATTTGTAGTTAGATTCACTCAAGAACAGTTTATACGTATCTCAAAAGATCGGTGCAAATAAAAAATCACGTGACCGTATCATGTACTGTACTAATCAGGAAATTTAGCCGAGCTGAGAAAGAGAGAAATTGAATGCTCTGAAGCGCTCTCGGTGATGACTGCTGACTTACTTCTGAAGATGCGTACCCCTTGAAGTCCGCACCACCTACAGCCGCAGCTTGAAGTCGGGGATACAAATGTCAAGGCGAGACCGGGGATGGAGAACCAGGAACGGGCATGGGGATCATGGGAAGGACAGTCACGTGGCGGCGCTAGTTCCCAATAGGCCGAGCGGTCGGCATGGGCTCAAGAATGATCGATCAGTCGAATATACCTCCCTTCTTCCTCCAAACTAACTCCATCTTTTATCATTTACCCCAGGTTCTAGGGCACGCCTGCACCCTTCGCCGCATGATACAGATGTGATTGGATTTTTGAGGGCGGCAGGCGGCTTCGTATGTGCCTGTTCGACAACCATCCTCTATCTTCAACATGGCAGGAAAAGACCAAAATGAAACTCGAAGTACCTCTCCAAACGGGTATTCACGCGAGATATTGCCCAAAGACCTCCAAAAGCTAGTCGATAGGCAGGATGACTGGATGGATGACCTTTACGAGGGTCAAGGCCCAGATTCCACTAGCACTGGTGTGCGATATGCCGCCTACGCAAATCGTCTGCGCACTATCATGCTGAGCGCCCACCGATACGTTGCATATACATCAGATATTGGAGAGTCTTTCCGGCCTGTGGCCCATCCTCTGATGGTCCGGAGCGCGTATGCGATATCGTGGGCATATATCCTCGGTGATGTTGGCCATGAAGGGTGGAAGGCGTACAAGAGAAACCAGAGACTGCTATATCCTCAAGGCAAAGAATATTTCGACGCAAGCAAGAAAGAGCCCATGCCTGCAACTCAAGACGTACCACAAAAAGGACCAGTACATATACCCGCCATCGAGGATTATCGGAGTGTGATGGCGCAACGAGCCGTCTTCCAGAGCATTGCCTCCATGGGGCTGCCTGCCTTCACCATTCACAGTATCGTGAAGTATTCTGGAAAAGCACTGAAGAATGCTTCAAATGCAACAATAAGGACATGGGCTCCTATCGGGGTAAGTTTACATCTGAGACGGACGGCGAATACTGACATATCATAGCTCGGTCTTGCCGTGGTTCCTGCGCTACCTTATTTGTTTGACAAACCTGTCGAGGAGGCCGTTGAATGGTCTTTCTACAACGCATTCCGTGCCATGGGCGGGGAGAACGCTGTGGGACAGAAACATGCTCATGGAAGAGAAGCAGAACAGGTCGATGAGGCAAGGGCTGCGAAGGAAAAGAAGGACTCATAGCAGAAGTAATAGTGGTCAAGAAGAAGGACGAAGTGCCCTCTTCTAAGCCCAATGTCCCACTTGGCAACCCACTGATGTACATATTACGAACTTGGACGCTTCTCGACAAAATACCATTCCCGTTGTACATTGTATTTATTGTTCTTGACTTAATTCTCTATAGCTTTATCATGCCAGCCCATATCCCTCAATTTTGTAGTCCATCTTCCCCATTCCGCTATAAGTTACATGCGCCGTCTGCGTGGTAAAACCTACAGGCCAGCAGCATCTAGGCCCGAACATCGGATTCGGTACGTGATGGCCCGAATTGAAAATTGACTCATTTCCGTCATTTTCTGCAATTAATTCCCAAAACCACTATCGCATACCAAACTCCCGCAGAGGCCGGGGGTCAGTGGGCTGAAGGGTATCTTGATAATGTGTATATCGATCTAGACAACTCGTCCTGCTGTTCAGACAAGCTCCGCAACCGACCATTCCCACAAGACAGGTCGGCTTCAATGCACTGCTCGGTCCACCCTCAACTTCTTCCACCACCACCAGCTTTATTGACCAAGCAATTCAAGATGCCTTCCCCTTCTTCCCTGCCATCAGCTCTCGTCAACTCTCATCTTCGCTACACAATCGTGAATTGAGTTCTCATCACAGACGTCCAGGGCCAAACATTCGATGCCTTGTTTCTTAAGGCCGACCATCCGCCCAAGATCTCTTGCGGTAGCGAAGACTCGAAAGCCAGCGTCGTGGAGAGCCACGGCTAATGCGTAGCCTAGGCCTTGCTGAGAGCATCCGGTTATAAGCACGGTCCGTTTGTGGACCACAATGGCAACGATTTCAATCATGCGATATGATACGGCACTGTTTCTTCTCTTGGGAAATACTCATATAGTTGAAACGAAGGTCCAAAGAAGGAAAAGGAGAAGGAGAAGGACTTTCTCGCAGAGAGTAAATTAGGTGCAAGGTTGTAAATGAATGATTTGAAGTGAGGGAGTTCCCCTTTCCCGACAAAGATATCATCCTGTCTGACCTTTTGACAGCGTCAAATCCGGTGATTGGTAGACATTTTGAACCAAAGGGGAAGGTCACAAGTTGCAGGGAAGACGGTAGTTAAAACAGCATCCAGATGTCGTGTTTCCTGGAAGAGAGCTCGAATAATGTTAATGATATTATCGGAGTGGACCATTGTTATGTACCATAGCTAACAATACAATTGTAATGCCACGCCCACATGTCCTATTGCCTTCTGAGTCTCCTGTTTCCGAATTCAGATCCGAAATCACCAATCGCTGAGGAGCTCCCGTTGCTTATCTCACCTCGAACTCTCAGTGCTGAAGATCCCTGGTCGTTGACCTGTCATCACAACTCTCTTCCTCGGTCCTTGAGCTTGAGCCTCTTCACTCCCCTTGTATTTTTGGGCCTCAGCGCCCATTCCCTCAGCGATGAAGCCGATGGTATACGCGGCACTCCCAAGAGCAACGACCGTCAAAACTGTCCTTTTAACTCCGATGATTAACCTCTTCCACAGACTGTCTTTCTGCCCCTTTGAGATATCCGTGTCAGAGAACGGCATTGATCCTTCGTCATCCGATGGTGTCAAGGACGAGGAGGTAGTGTTTGGACGAATCGTTCCAGAAAATACATTTTCTTGTCTTCGGACCTTAGGCTGTTCTCCGTAATTTCCAAATGGACGAGAAGGAGGCGCTGTGGGTGCTGCCGGTCCCGGAGTTGGATCGACCTCTGCTGGCAGTTCATCGAGAACCTTGGCGGCCTCTTTGCTCGGTGGTTCAAGGGTGTTGTCGTCAGCGGTAGTAGGAGGTGTAGATTTTCCTTCTTCTGTCGGCTTGGTGTCCATTGCATTCCTAAAGGCAATTGCGCGTGCAGCCTCGCCAGGGTCAGCTTGTTTCTTTTTGAAAATAAGCATATTTTCTCCGCCGTTGAATAATGAATATCCTGCTCGCTTAAGAGTGGTGAAATGTTTGAGATATTCGGCGGCATTGTTGAGTCTTCCCAAGACGCCGAGAGCATTACCTGGTTTGTGCATGGACTGTATTGGTTCGTTCATCGGCGAGAACTCTACTTTCCCCGTTGATGGATTAAACGCCAGAATGAGGTAGAGCGAATCGAATTTTCCGCTCCGAAGCGTTTCGATAGGGGGAGGCAGTTCGTCATTCCAGGCAGGAGATCCCGGAGGTGTGACGAACGGTTCCGGTACTTTCTGGCCCTTTTCCTGGTCCACTGAATCTTCTAATGAGGTCTGGCTCTCATTGGGTTCGATTGAAACATCCTTACGAAGATTATCTGCCGGCTCGGTCGCGGCAGTCGAGGCTTCCTGGGCTTTCAGATCGATTCTCTTCTTGCCAAAGTTCGAGCTGGACGAATGTGGAACATTCCAGACGGTCTCCGGTCTGCCATTTTCAATTGCTCGTATGGCCAATTGAGTTTCGTGAAGCTCCCGCCTTAATTCTTTCGTGCCATCGATGATTGAGCCCAAGTTGGGAGATGGCGACAAAGGGGGGCGGATTTGCTTCAGAGACTCGTCGACTTCTCGAATCTGCGACACAACTGTTTTAGCCTCATCAACCAGCCGGGCGAGTTTTGGTTCGAAGTTTTGAACGTGGTTATCAATCACTGGATTTGTAGAAATTCCTGGTTTGACACTTGCACTGAGTAGCGGATGAGGTTTTGAAGTGTCTGTCAAATTGGAAGTGGAATCAGAGGTGCTCGCATCATCAGGGCCAAGTTTGGTGGGTGTTGGGACTGGTTGTCGATGATTGGGATCGATAGGGCCGTATTCGCTCTCATAAACAGATTTGATGTCGCTAGCCAGTCGAGAAAGTTTCGCATTTTGTATTTCGGCATCCTTCTTCGATTTCTCTGTCGCTTCCCGCAAAGAACTTCTCCGTTCATCAATCTCCTCCATATCATCGGAAACTTCGGGCGAATTTGCAATGAAATTTGGAGCCTTCGCCGTACTTTTGTAGATCGAGGGTGTCTTGCTCAAAGACTCATCTTCGAAGACGAGCTTTTTGGTCAAATCCTTTGCGTTTTCAGGTCGTACATATTTCTTGTAGTTGCTGTTGAGAGCACTCATCGACTTCATGGTTTTCGCTACTATCCCATTTGGATAGTCACGAATATGGTCCAGGACAGTCTTAATACCTTTGGTAAACTTGCTTCTTGGACCCTCTGTCTTCTTCGACGAGACGTCGTCGATGTCTATTTTGTGGTTCTGCCGGGCAGTAAAATCGGTTTCGAGTCTCGCCCTTTCGTCTTCATCCTCCTTTTCTCTCTCTTGCTTCGTTACTCTTGAGGTTTTTGTAGCTGCACGTACATCGCTCGCGCGAAGAAGGTCCACATCTTCGTCTCTTGTTTCGGACGGAAATTTCAAGGCCCTCACATCTGGTGAGCGTCTCTTGGTTTCTTCCCCCATTGGCTTCGGTGTTGACATCTGACGATCAAGAGCTGTCTGCAATTTGAGCGGCTCCTTCGACTCCTTCATAGAACTTGCCTCAATTCGATCTAATGCTGGCTCAAGCTTGTTTGGGAATTTCTGGACAGGAATTTCAACCGACGAGTCTTTGGCAGCAGTAGACGGTTGGGAGCTCTCATTCTGGGACTGGAAGCCTTCTTTAACCAGCCAGTCTGATTTGGTTGGAGTGTCCTCTCCTTTCTTGTTAAACTTTGCTTCATACGTGGTCCCTGAGAATAACGCGCTGCTGTCATCTGGCTCTGGGGACTCTCGAGTCTTCTCAGATGTATTTGATTCGTCGGCATCTTCTTCTATGGTCCGTTTGGAGCCAACTTCGGTGAACCGAGTTGCTGTGCCCATGCCGTTTCCCTCGGCCCTTGTCATTGGACCTTGGAACACTTGCTTTCTGGAGTCATCGAAGCCTTGGCTAATAGCGGCCGATGTCTTCTCGGTTGTCGACTCTTCGGATTTCTTGTTCGAGTCGCCATAACCATATACTTGGTGAGGTCTGTAAGTTTTCACCGGGATGTCAGCCTCAGGTTCTGAGTATGAAGTCTCCAAGAATGGTTTCTTCGGTTGTGGTTCTGGGACTGCCTTCTTGATGGGCACCTTTCTCATCGAAATTGGGTCGTATTGGTAGTCCACTTCGCCATCAGAGTTGGTTTGCTTTCCGCCTGCCGGACTAGTTACCGAAGCCGAACAAGTACTATTAGTGTTTTGGTCGAGGTCTTCCGAGCTAGGTGTTGAAGCATCGGAGTTGTTCTTCTCCTTGGCTTCACTCTGTTTCGACATCCAAGAGAACGCGGTCCAGGAGGAGGTCTGCATCGACGGGGAACTTTGCAATCGTCTACCAAATAGCGTTCCATAAGGATCCTTTTCAATAGCACGGTCGACAGCGGCTCGAAACGACCCAAAGTCTTTGTGCACGGTTTCATGGATATCCTGATTGTGATGTAAATGGGATTCATGCTCTTCTGGATTGGATTTCCCTTCCGATGGACTCGTAGACAATGGTTGCTTGTAAGGAGCGTATCTGCTCGACCAGAATCGGCCCGGCATACGAAATGGCCAATGAGGGCTATCTTCTCTATCCCATGATGCTCTTCTGCGCAATATCTTCGAGTATCGAGACCTCATAACCTTCTGGTGTCTTCTGACATCTTCGAGTTGCTCGTCCATGCTGGACGACCATTCTCCAGCATGACGGCCCCACCACCACAATGTTCGAAGCTGAACGGCATTGTTGCCGTTTGCTCGATGTATAGCAGTCCGTAGACAAACGGGTGCCTTATTCGAGCAGAGAGTGAGAGAACGATGACGGGGAAGTGCCACGGGCATTTCGACGGATCAAGTCGATGTGCGGTAGGCGAATACGAATGAGGATTATATCATCGACCAGATATTGGTAAAGCCTGTCCCTCTGCGGGTAGAGGATGTTCGAATCGTCGAGTCCAAGGTAATGTCACGGATACATCTCAGCAACTGGGGCATGCAACGTGGGTAACCACTTTGTTCTGTCCCGAGTAGCAATAGGATGGAGGTTTATAGCATCTGTTGATGATCAATTGGCTGAGCTGCGCTTGGGCAGACGAGGAACGATGAAGAGGGGTAGAGACATCGACCACCGATAACGAGTCGCGGGATGTGGAGAAACCCACAGACCGACGCATTTAGAATAAGAGCGCAAAATGTCTGCTCAAGCATCCGAGCAGAGACGTAAACGCAAGCCACTACCAAATACCCTTTGCCGGAACGTTCCAACGATCGTATTTCAACGGCCGTCCAGGAAAACGCGAAGACGCATGCGACCGCTCCCATATTCATATTGTACCAAAATCCCGTTTACTCATCAGCTCGTCTTTTTGTCAAGCTATCTACTACCCGTCCGTAGAATTTGGCTGCGTTTTGTCTCGCGAAAGTGATGTCCTCGGTGAGATAATTCGGCATCAACTCAATCATTTCGCGGTCCCTATTAGCATCCAAAAGAGGTGTGTACAGAAATTCTGTTTCTTCAAAACTGGTATTTTTTGCATCCTCTCGATCGACGTACAGCTTGAAATGCAATGCTATAAGATGTTAGCTCATGAATGCTGGAAACGACACCAATCAACTTACTGCCATTGCGACCAGTCTGGATGCAATCATACGTATCACCTTCATCCGTCCTCTTCACACTCCGGATGATCAGTCCCGTCAAGTCACTGTACAAATCCTCCTTCATCTGGGCGATCTGTGCCGCTTGAGCAACTTCGGCGCTTCCCATCATGGCGGAGCGATGTGCAGAGGACTTCATGGCACTTCCTGGAGGCTTCGAGTTGGCCCGGTCAACCGAAGGCGCTCGCGCTGCTGCGAGTTTTGCCTGTAGTGACTTTACTTCATTCTGCGCGGTGCTAAGAGAACTCTCAAGTTCTGACACCGTTTCACGCATTCTGCTGATTTCTGCCTCTTGAGACTGCATTTGTTTCTTCACTTTTCGAGCTTCCTGTGCGAGAGGGACTTGTGCAGCCAGCTCCTTCTTGAGTGATGCGATCAGTTCGTTGGATGCTTGCACCGTGGCATCACATTGCTTGCGGAGTCTTTCCACGTTGGCATTTGCCTCGTTGATACCGACCTCCTTGAGATTGCGGTACTTGAGGTCGACATTCTCGAACTTTCGGGTGATGTCGCCTAATTTGCGTCTCAGGCTGGGGTCTCCTCTTTCGGTGTCTGACGCGCTTCCTGCTCGCGGCATGTACACCGGCTCTTGTCTTGTTCTGGAGTTATCTCGGGTGGCCATTTTGGGTTTTGGCGCGGGCTCTTTGACAGCAGCCTCAGGCTCTTCTTCCATCTCTTCGATTTCTCCTTGCGGTTCTTCTGGGACCACAGACTGAGCTTGCTGTACCGCTTTCTTTTTTGAAGTAGCTTTCGCTTTGTTCGTGACTGTCCGGGGATCCTTATTGTTTCTGCTGACTGCGTGTTTTGAACTCACCATGACTGGTGATTGCTCAACCTCCATCAAGTCCTCTTCAACCGCTCGAGTTGTTTTGGCTGTTTTGGCTGTTTTGGCTGTTTTGGCCGCCTTTCTCCCAGTTGCCTCACGAGCTGCCTTTTTGGGCTTTGCACCTGGATCTTGCTGTTCTGCCTCAGAGCCCTGCTCCTCGTCTTCTTCCTTCCCATCTCCATCGTTGATGATTTGATCCTCGATTGCCATTTGTTTCGCAGCCACGGATTGTTTGGACGACTTCTTTCTGCTCTGCGCGGGGGCAGATTTCTGGACCTTCGACTTTGATTTCGCAGGCATGGTGATACGATGTCGTTTCTTGCCTCTCTGAGCCTGTGTGGGTTTTGAGTCGGTTGTGGCAGCCGCGTCAGAGGCACAAGAGAGTGTGGAGTTCTCGTCAATGAAGTTGGCCGATTCTTCCATGTCAGAGTCTAGCAAATCAGCAATGCCTTTCATTCTGCAGTGAAAACAGGGCCGATCTGCGAATAATGAATTCTGAGAGCACGACTATCACGCGTGTCTTCCTCGACATAAACAGAAAGCATGTTTACTCCATGCAGCATCCAAATATTGCCTAGCTTGCAGTCTTCCCCAGTCACGTGAAAAAGACGACCCTGACCACGTGTTACGCCGTATTTCTTACGGAGCTACAGCGTCTCGGTCGAACGATGAGACCCGTCCAGGCCCGGCCATCCCCTGGTCGGACAGGTTCCCACTTTCGCGAGGCTAGATCTTTTCCGTACACTTGTACGGCCCTTTACGACATAACGTATGTACGCAAGTCTCGGTGGTCTTGCTTTCCCACTCCCCAACCACCGATCATCTCAAGTGATTTGCTCACTGTCGCACGATATGGCAGTCGTCCCAGACAGAGGCGGAGGTGCCTGGTGGCAACGTCTACTGCAAGAACTTGCTCTCGCGGCCCCTCTGGTATGTTGACTGGGCACGACTTCACGAAATGGCATCTAACATCTCTTCAGGCGCTCGGGGGGTACTATATGGTCAAATACATCCTGAGGCAAATGAATTTCGACCCCGAAGCGGAGCAAAGAGAACAGACGCGCCTGCAATCAGCAGCTATCTTGCGAAGACTAGATGAGCCTCAACAGAATTCCCGCGCCAAATCTCAGAACCGGCTTCAAGAGGGGAAAGAAGAGCTACGATTGTCGCCATATGAACAAGTCATTATACAAGATCTGGTGTTTGCGGAAGATATCCCTGTATCATTTGAAGATATTGGTGGATTATCGGATATTATAGAGGAGCTTAGGGAGTCAGTGATATATCCATTGACCATGCCAGATCTCTATTCGACATCCTCGTCATTACTCTCGGCACCTTCTGGAGTTTTGCTGTATGGGCAACCTGGTTGCGGGAAGACGATGCTGGCCAAGGCACTTGCCCACGAAAGCGGAGCATGTTTCATCAACCTGCATATTTCAACCTTGACGGAGAAATGGTTCGGCGACTCAAACAAGCTCGTGAATGCTGTATTTTCACTCGCGCGGAAATTAGAACCGGCCATTGTTTTCATTGACGAGATCGACGCTGTCCTAGGTACGCGTCGCAGTGGGGAACACGAGGCAAGTGGAATGGTGAAAGCAGAGTTCATGACCCATTGGGATGGGCTGGCTTCTGCCAACAAGTCGGGTCGTCCTCAACGGATCTTGGTTCTGGGTGCGACCAACCGCATCCAGGACATTGACGATGCGATTTTACGACGGATGCCCAAGAAGTTCCCCGTGTCTCTCCCCAACGCCTCGCAGCGGTTGAAGATTCTTAAGATCATCCTTCGAGACACCAAAATCGACGCCCCGAATTTAGATCTGGAGTATTTGTCAAGAATGATGGCCGGGATGTCAGGAAGTGATATCAAGGAAGCATGTCGAGAAGCAGCAATGACCCCCGTTCGTGAGATGATTCAACGCCAAAGGCAGAGTGGACAGCAAATGGAGCATATGAAGCCCGGTGTTGTTCGAGGCCTCCGAACGAGCGACTTCTTCATCAAACCGTCGGCGAGCGATCGGATCAAGCCCGTGGATGGAGATAAGGATGGCAGTGAATGGAGCAGTGCATCATCGTCACCCGTAGAAGACTCAAACATGAGGGACGCTGTGGAAGAGATCTAGCGATAGCATCTATCGTAACTCATACGCCTGAATTCTCCAAGATACATCTGTGCTGGGACGGTACGAAATCCGGGGAATACATTATCTAATGTGCTACGGGCGTAAGGACTTTTGAGGATTGGAGGGATTGACACGGGAATGGTTAAGAGCGCGGAGATTCATGCAGAAACGAGCCTGGCTATCCAGGAACAAGGGCAGAACACAGGATAACATCATTTAGAATACGGACTCCTTGCCCGGAAGAGTTACAAATCGACACGAGAATATGAGCCATCGAAAACCAACCGGAATGAGTGTTCTTTTAGATGATGGGAGGCGAAAGCCGATGCCGTTATCAGTATGGCTGGGTCCCCGTACGTTACCCCACAGTCAGTATGCGTGGTCTGGTGCAGACCGCGTTTGAAAAAATGAGCGGGATGTAGTGTGGTGAATGTCCGGGTTATGCTGGGTGCGGGCGGGAGGCGGAGGGTGCGAGTTGCAGGTGCAAAAGAAAAGTGTGGGCAGACCACGACTGGTCACTAGGCTACACACAACCAACTAGAATCTGCTCCATCACCGCTCCAACCCCAGACTCAGATCCCAAGCCCAGTCTCAGGCCTACGTCTCTACCATCCCCATTTCTCAAATCTCGGAGAGCTCGTCGTCGCTACCGGATTTTGTCGTTCTCGTCGTTTGCCTTTGTACCGTAATGCTCTTTGGCCCTTAAGGCAGTCTTCATCTCTTGCCTCGCCGTTCTCCAACACATTTTCTCTCGCCGCCATGGGTGCTCCAAGCCCACAGTCCGAGACGCAGTCGACTCCAGCCCCAGCTCAGTCGCAGACCTCCAACAACGACCAGTCGGCCATAGGTAGTGCGCCTGCAAACCAAACACCAGGACACCCGAGCTTCAGGAGGTATTCGCCATTTGCATGTGTTTTCTCTTCAGATATTTGCTAACAAGGCACTGCAGGCAGCGCGCCTCCCGTGCGTGTGGTAAGCTCCCTCTCCTCATCCCCTTACACCCTACCTCCCCGCAAAGACGGACCAAGCGGAAAAGCTGGATTTGGGTTCTGGCGAGAAGAATATATCTGTGGGCTTTTGGTTGAAGGTCGATCAATTGTCAAAATATCATTGCGGACAACGTCACCTATTACTCCGTACTTGTCGTTCGTTTTGGAGAACGCGACAAACCGAGAACCTCGGTTCTTACGATCATCTCTCGTTCCAAGTGGGAGACCACCCCGTAGACGAAGCGGGTCCAAACCCAACGGGCATTGAGATGTATCTCATTCGTATTCGTTTTTATGTTGTTGGATGGAATAGCTAACGTATCGACTTAATCCAGAAACATGCCATGCGCGGAAAGTACGTCGCAGCCTCATCTATCGACCCATCGAAAGCATGACCAGAACTCTAACATGTCTCTCGAATAGGTTCGGTGCGATGCGGCATCCCTTGGGTAAGTGACGGCGTAAGTGTTTGATAGTGCTCGTCAACGTTGACTCCGTTCAGGGTTCCATGCACAAATTGCGTAGCATTCTCCATTGAGTGCCGAATTCCCATTCCCAAACGGAAGAGGGCTGGTGCTGCTCGAGCGAGAGATGAGGAAAGGTACGACCTACATTCGATCCGCACCCATGAGGCAGCATGTTCTCTATGCGTCCCCGTCTTCAATCCCAAACGAAAAGTCTGACATGGGGCCCTATCAGTGAGGCTGGCGACTCCCAGCAGCCAACTACGCCCACAAATCCCCGGCTTACACGCCCGTCACTACCGAAACCTACTACTGGGTACAATTCTCCTGATGGAATTCCGTCTACCCAAATGTCGGAGGCGCAAGCCGCCCAGCAAGCCACCAATAATAGCACCATGGCCCAGTTCATGAAACCCAAGTTTGCTCGGGCCCCTATTAAAGAAGCCGGCCGAGTAGCCTACCTGGGAGAGTCTTCGAATCTGTCGTTGTTGGTGCATGATCGACATGGCACCACCGATGTGGTGCACTATCCATTACCAGAGAACATTCGAGGAGCACGTGCTCGTCTGACGGAGCCAGACCAGATGGAAATTGAAATCCTCCAACAGCGAGGGGCATTCTTACTTCCGCCCCGTGCTTTGTGTGATGAGCTCGTCGATGCCTACTTTCGATGGGTCGCTCCCATTGTACCAGTCATCAATAGAACACGGTTCATGAAGAGGTATAAGGATACGAAGAATCCGCCGTCATTGCTGCTTCTTCAGGCCGTCTTGCTGGCGGGCTCCAGGGTCTGCACGAATCCGCAGCTGATGGATGCCACAGGCTCCACCACGCCTGCAGCAATGACCTTTTATAAGCGCGCAAAAGCCCTGTACGATGCCAATTATGAAGATGATCGCATTACAATTGTACAGGCTTTGGTATTGATGGGCTGGTACTGGGAGGGGCCCGAAGGTAAGGGCCAGGCGTCAACTGAATTCGCCGACTCTGCTCGGTCTAACATTGCCGCAGATGTGACGAAGAATGTTTTCTACTGGACTAGGGTGGCTATTGTGGTTGCCCAGGGTGCTGGCATGCATCGAAGGTATTCATAAACCAGACAAACTCGACCAAGACATCTGCTAACAGCTTTGTTTAGTGTCGAAAGCTCACAGCTCAGCAGACAAGACAAACGGCTTTGGAAGAGAGTTTGGTGGTCTCTCTTCACAAGAGATCGATCGGTTGCTGTGGCCCTAGGTCGCCCTGTTTCGATCAACACCGACGACTCTGACGTCGAGATGATTACTGAGGAAGACTTCATCGAAGACGAGGGAGATCCAAATAACGACTACAAGGCCGACCCGGTCCACATTCAGTTCTTCTTGCAATACGTCAAGCTCTGCGAGATCATGGGTCTCGTCTTGTCTCAACAATATTCGGTCGCATCCAAAGCCCGGAGAACAAATGCCATCGACCTTACTCATAGTGACATGGCATTGGCGGACTGGCTTCAAAACTGCCCTCGGGAAGTATATTGGGAGCGCTCACGCCATCATTTCTGGTCGGCCCTGCTCCATTCCAACTATTAGTAAGCACGATTGCGATTGTAACCAGCAGTCTGGTCCTAATGAAGTATTTCAGTACGACGTTGTGTCTGCTCCATCGAGCTCACATGCCGCCCGCCACGGCCAAACCGCACGACTATGAAAATGTGGACATGGCCTATCCTTCTAGGACGATCGCATTCCAGGCCGCCGGCATGATCACATCCATAATGGAGAATCTGCTGGCCCATGACCAAGTCAAGTATACCCCAGCGTTCATGTGAGTAGTTATTGACGACTACATTTGGTGATTTCCCTAACGCGCTCTCTAGTGTGTATAGTTTATTCTCTGCTCTGATTATGCATGTGTACCAAATGCGCTCTTCTGTGCCATCCGTTGTGGCGGCCAGCCAGGAGCGCATCAACGTGTGCATGAATGCTCTGAAAGAAGTCTCCAAAGTCTGGCTGGTTGCCAAAATGGTCCACACTTTGTTTGAATCCATCCTTGGAAATAAGGTCCTCGAAGAGAGACTCCAGAAAGCAACGGGAAAGAAGGCTCAACGGTCCAGAGGGAACCCAAATTCTGGAGGTCAGTCGAATGGAAATGCGAACGGCAACACGCAACCTGCGGCTGCCCCTGCATCGGTGCCAGCTCCGCCGCCGAACCCAAGCAAGCGCAAATTTGACGAGATCGACTTGGGATTCAACGTTGGACCGCCGGCTCCTCAGATGTCGTATGAGCGATCGCGACCCCAGACACCAGCCGTGACACCTTCTCGAGAATTACCACAACAGCATCAACCGCACAATTTCTTAGGTTCCCCTCCGTTGCAGACCGAACAATACCTGCCATCGTCAAGGTCTCGAGGAGCATCTCGGATACCATCTCGAGGACCCACCAGGGCCAACTCTCCATTCAATGGGTACTCCATACCTGCCACCCCCCCGGATCTATTCCTAGTAACTCGAGATTCACCCAACATTTCACAACAATTATGGGAGAATTTCCAGCCTGACCAACTGTTCCCCGATGGAACCATTGGAGACGTCAATAATTTCACAAGTCCTGTTATGAATCATGCTGTCGACCCTCAGCTTCAGATGCAGGCTCAGGCAATGACGGGTCAGCAAATACCGCAGATTGACGTTTCAGGGCAACCTCAAGTATGGCCCCCAGGAATGCAAGGTATGATGGGGGCTGGTATGGAGATGCATGACAGCGACGGATGGTCGACGAGTTCGATCGGTAACGCCCCGGTAGCGCCCACTACTCTGAATGTGGAGGATTGGTTCCAGTTCTTCGGTATCAATGGAGAGATGGCTGGAATGAGCGTTGACGGAACCCAGGCTAATATTGAATGATGAAGGGCTCCAAAAGAAGCAATGGTTTGTGAAATAGGTCTGGGATGAGAGTACATGAACAAGGTTGACCCCGCGGCAAAAGTATGGTTTTTGGATCTAGAGAGGAGCCAGAGTGTACATGGGATCATACCCAGTAAGCGACAATGTAAATGACACGTGAACTAGCATTTGTTGGGAGCATTCAACATTGTAAGGCCATAGAAAGTCGCAATAATGCTTATGGAAAGTGAGTACACGTTGGTATAAAGAGACGTACAATGATGCTGGAATCGAGTCTAGTCTTCTCAGAGACAGTAACAAGTGGCTTCCATCTGCCATCATTCACCAACGCCTTATACCCCAATGCATACAATCTATTCCATCACAACCGAGAAAGAAAACACCGGTGAAACTGAGGCAGAAACTGTAGTGGCATCGCGAAGGAGCGTCACGTCAACATCATCAATGGAGTGTGTTCGTGCACAGTCATCGACGGAAATAGAGAGGAAAGAAAGGCGCAGAGGCAAGAGTACGCTGACAGGCTTGATCCTAGGAGGCGTGTGAGATTGCCCGCTGATCTGCTGAGTTGAGTGAGGTTTGATTATCAGTCTAATGAGACCAACAACAGGGGGGTTGGCTGCGTAGAATAGATGTAGACAGCCTCATCATATTGTCACTCCATCGCCCTGCACGTGATGGCAAGCGCGGAGTCGGCGGTTGTCATCGTCTCTGCCCATCTGCATGCCATCATCTATCTGCATTCCCATTGACCACGCTCATCGACTATTCTCGTCCTCAATCCTCCGTCCTCCACAGGAAAAGTCATTCCCTTTTCTCCTTCTCCCTCCCTCTATTCAGCCTCGAGCCTCCCTTCTCCGGCCATCCCACCATCCTCCACACCATCCTCATCTCACCGCAGCCAATTCCGTCCCCCTTAACACTCTCAGAACGTGTCCCACCACGAGTATCGATTGACCCGTTCTTGGTCGCAGAGGCAATCAATCTACTCGACTTTACGACCGTTGTATTTCTGGCTGCTGGGCTCCTTCATGTCGTCAAACTCCAATGTCTCGTGTTGGCATCCAGGCCAGCCATGAACAGCAGTTCCCAGACCGGCCTCTACCAATCTGCCAACAGTAGCACTTCCACACTCCGGCCTCGTGCCGCTCGTCTCATTTCCTACATTGACGATGAGAACTCCATTCCTACCAACGAGTCAAACGCTGTCTCAACTTCCTCCTCATCCACATCACCGCGCTTTCCTAGCCGGGGTGTTTCAGATAATGACACCGTAATCCGATCCAGATCTACCGACAAATCTAAACACGGACGGACAAAGAAACTACGTAATCGATCTTCTTCGGGCTCACAGAGTCCATCTAGCGGAGGTCCAGCACTATGGGACTCGTGGTCATCAATCCAGGGCCTTGCCTCGACCTTGTTAGGAAGTGACGTACCAGGCTCGTCCAAAGATAAGACAAATGGCCCCTTCAAGGCTCCCATATGGATGAAGCAAGATTTGCTCTACGGAACTAAATCTTCCACCCCGCAATGGGGCCCTAGCCATCAATCTCCTGCCGATGCGGCCCAAGGAGCACTCGAAGAAAGACAAGCTATGGTGCAAGCAAAGAGAAGGGAAGAACTCCTTCTAGCCAGCGTGTCAGAAAATCTCGACAGCTCGGGAAGACATAAGCGGAGAGGCTCAGACGCAGACTTATCGGTGGCCACACCGACTGACTCGAACGAAGACGCCCTTGTTTATATGCACAAAGTCGATAAGAGAGATACCATGGCCGGAGTCATTATCAAGTATAACTGTCAAGCTGAGGCTTTTAGGAAGATCAATCGTTTTTGGCCTAATGATAGCATTCAAACAAGAACACATGTCCTGATACCTGTGGAAGGCTCTACCGTAAGGGGCAGGAAGGTTGACAGCCCGTATCTTTCCAGAGGTCTATTCGATCCCGGACCTGACAATGTGACCGACCAGACAACATCAACCTCAGTAACAGGGGAGACTAGGCCTTTGTCACCAAATGGCATGTATAGCCCTTCGCAGTCCGGTCTCACCACCTCGTCAGCCGTCACCTCAGAACCACCATCTGTCATTACCCTCCTCTCCGAAGAGATCGAATTCAAGCACGATTCTTGGGTCATGATCCCAAATTTCAGTGAAGCCGTTGAGATCCTGCGCGTCCCTCGTCGCGCACTGGGCTATTTTCCTCGCGCCAGGCGGAAATCAAATGCCACGTACACCGACACATCGACCACCTCCACGCCTAAATCATCCTTCGATATGCTCCGCCATCCACCCACCCACGCGGCTCAAACCTCTACCTCTCTGAATGCTTCTCCAGTCCGCCGGCTGGGGGTTCCACCCCGCCCCATGTTCGGCAGACAACGCTCCTCCAGCGCGACAGGAGGACCAGGCAATTCCTTCGTCGATGCCCTCCGAGGTCCTGGTGGAGTAGGCAACCTCCGTGGTTTACGCACTGAAATCTCCCGCCCCGGTCCTGCTGACGATCCACTTAACCGCAAATTCGCCCAGTATCTCCCCGATCTCCTTCCACCGGAAGATATGCCTCGGACAGGGTTCAGCATAAGACCTACGCCGAAGACCACTCCGCGCGCGAGTTCAGACTCGATACGATCTACGCGCTCTAATTCGAATAGTTCCGGCTTCGGCGAAGTGAGCGGTGCGATTGAAGGTTGGGTACGCAAGATGGCAGGCGCGAAGCGCGAGAGAGGTGCGGTGGTCGATAAGATGGGCGATCTCATTGAATTAGAAACCAACCCAGACGGTGAAAGCCATCATGTCAATAGTATAGCCGGCAAGTCGAAGGATTCTGCCACCACTCCCACTGCCATTTCGCCAAGGACCAGTGCCGGAGTCGCGTCGACGACAGCATCAGCAACGGAAGTCCTCTTGAACGAGCGTTTCCCTATTCGGGGCAGAGTGAGAAACGCGTATGCATCGGCTTCAAGTTCAGGAAAGGATAAAGGTGACTAAGTGCCACCTCCGACATTAATTAAAGGGCTCTTGCTTTGGACCAAGATGCTTATTCAAAAGTTGATAAAGGTAATGTGTGACTTGTTGCCCAGGAGTCTTAGACATTGTGGGTTGGTGAATTGCGCAGGGTGATTCTGCACTGCAAGCTGGGATATCCGAATTGATATGTATTGAATTAAATTGAAATGAAGTGGAATGGAGAGCTTGAACTTGGGCAGTCTAACTTTGATGAATCTGGCCCCGCTATGGTGCCATTGTAGTGGTTGCTGATATCAGAACAGAAGGGCGTAGTACAGGGACGCGATCCATTGCAATCTTGCAATTCGCTCGAAGTATTACGCCGTTAAGTTATTTGATCACTGAGCAACTCGAATATAAATTCAAGGGTCTCCTAATTAAATTCGGTCAAAGTGAAAGTCAATCCACTTCATTCACTATACTTCTAGGGATGGGTCTAGTCTGTCTTTTTCTGTTGGTTGGTTTACAAAACAAGCCTCACAAGGCCAGAGCAGACAAGAGACTGTCTTCCCCAAGCTTGAAAGGCTCCTGGCAAGAAACTTATCCTCTTGGATCTTGGCTAGCTCCAGACTACCGTCTCCTTCACCACTCCTCTTCGTAATATGTCTGGCTTCATTGTACCCAGCCCCGGCATTCTCCCTCTTTTGTCTAGTTTCTGAACCCTCCCCCTTCCTTTTCATGCCGTCAAATCCCTTGAATTTTGCAAATCCTCAATCAGTCAGACTATCATCCCCAGATCCAAGAACAAATAAACAATAGAAAGAAATAGCTATGTAGAATAGGAGGGTGTATCGTAGACGGGCATTGGATGTTGGTGGAAGATATCTTTCTGTACAAGATCCTTGGGTATCATATCGGCTCAATTCAGTTCCACCCCAAGCTGTTCTCTGCCATCACAGGCGGACTAATGTATGTCCGACCGCTTCGGTTCGAATTGCTGCGATCACTGTTTCGAGAGGTTCGTCCACCAAATCGGGTACCATAGCTGCCCCGGGCGCCGACCATGAGATTTGATTGCTCTCCTGGACGGCTGCCATGACCTGATTGCACGCTGCTTGACCTTTGATGACCAGCCTTTCTCTTCTTGTACCGCCTTGCCACAAGGAACATGGCAGCTCCGTAAACAGCTGCACCAGCAACGGCTCCAACAGCAATACCAACTGAAGATGGACGAACTGGAGAGCTGCCAGAGTCAGAGGATCCGGGAGCGCCGTCATCCGGAGAGCCATCATCGGAAGTCGTGGCTGCACTATTTGCCGAGTTGACTGGGGTACCACCAGGAGCGATAGAAGATCCGGCCAAAACGGGAATGGACGGGTCGAGCATACTCATCAAGGTTACCACCGATGGATTCGGGTTCTGATAGAGGTCTGAGTTGGGATTGAGTAGTTGCATCGACAGCGTATCGACCTTGTCAGAAGGGATGAAAGCCATGGCCAAAGTCGTGACGTATCCAAGAGTATCCAAAGTGTTGTACGGCTGCAAATACTGCATGACCATTTTATCCAGATTCATTTGAAGCCCGTGAGACACACCAACGGGGAGGTAGGAGAAAATCTGAGAGACAGCAGTCGAAGATGAAACCACAAATTCATAGTTGAGACTGTAATCAAAGCCTAGTTGGATCAGAGTAGAGTTCTCTGGCGCATCAGGCACACCTCCTTGTGGTTGAATGACACGAGGTAATGTGGTTGGAATGACGGTAGCGCTAGTCGAGGAAAAATCTGAAGTCGAAGAGGTCGAAGTTGCGGTGATGATGCTCGATCCGGGAGTCAGGACAGTAGCCGAATCAGTTCCCGTCGGTTTGATAGTATTGGTTGGTGGCGCTGAATCAGTTGGTTCTGCGCTCGTAGTCACTGGAGGTATGGTGAAGTTGCCAACCGCAGGTGTCACTTCCGGAGTCACTGTTGGGGTAAGAGTTGGGGGTTCTGTGGTCTCTGGAGGAGTAACTGGAGGGGAGACGACTTCAGGAGTAACAGTGGCTGTGTTATTGACACCAGTACCAGGGGGAGGGAAAGTATTGGTATTCGTGGGCGGTACAGTAGTATTGGTGTCGGTTGGAGTCACAGTGTTCGTGTCTGTAGGAGTTACAGTATTCGTATCTGTAGGAGTAACTGTGTTGGTATCAGTGGGAGTGACCGTCGGGGTACCTGAAGGTGGGAATGTCTGTGTATCTGTTGGTGTTACAGTGTTAGTGTCAGTAGGAGCGATAGTATTGGTATCGGTGGGCGTGATGGTTGGCGTATCAGTCACCGTCGGTGTGGTTGTGTCCGTGTTGATCGGTGGTGTCACCGTTGGTGTATTCGTAGTTATATCAGAGACGAAGGAATTCAAATCCGATGTCACGTCAGCCGGATTAGAAGTGGTGGTTGCAGTTGGTCCAATTGCAGAAGTGATGACCGAATCCGCTGAACTTACGTCGGAGGCAATCGAGGATGCTACTGAAGCGGCAGAGGATAAGGCCGAAGAAATGGACGCAACATCTGCACCTGAAGCTGTTGCGGCAACGGATTGCAATGAACTTGCAACGGACAATATGGAGGATGCAGCATCGGTCGCAGACGAAAGCAGGGACCCTGCAGAATTTATGATTCCAGCTGAGTCCGAGGTAGTGGCGCTTGTGGCTTCACCGGCTGAAGTCTCCGTCGCAGTATCGCTGTTGTTGATGATCGAACCAAGGCCAAGGGTGATGCCATCCTCACTACTACTTGTTGCACTTGTGGTTGGTGCATCTGTAGCAGTTGGAGTGTCGGTGCCCGTCGTTTCAGTATTGATGCCAGAAGGTACGTCAGCCGCAGACGGAGTCGTTGTGGCACCTGTAGCGGTTGCGGTGTCCGTCGAGGTATCGGTCGCGGACGCATCGGTGCTAGCTGGCGTTGTAGAAGTATCATCTGATATAACCGAAGCTACATCAGACAAGACATCTCCTACAGTAGAGAGCAGGCTGCCCACGCCAGAATCATCAGTGCTTGTCGTGCTGGTGTCGGTCGTTGTCGTGGTGTTGTCGAATGAAATCACCTGTCTCTTCACGGCTCTCGGAAAATAGTACCTAGGCTTCAAGTCTGATTGACGAGGGTGAGATGGAATAGCTTCGGCGATTGATGCCGCAGCCACGGCAGAAAACAGGGTAATGAATGAAATCTTCATATCGTGACTCTGTCGAGACGGTCAGCACAATTGCCGTCCGGGTGGCCTCCTGTCAGGATACCTACGTCGATTTTCTTTTCAAAACGAGTGTATAGGGTGAGCGTCGATGTTCAAAAGAGTGGCTAAGGATCAACTGATCCTTATGATCTGCGCGAAGGGGAAGCGTCTCCGACGTTTTTTGGAAGGATGTCTTGTCGTTCTCGGTTGATTGAGCCTAAATGATAGAACACAGAACTAGATGACCAGTCACTAGGACAATGGGTCCAGTAATTTCTCCGGTTCTGGATTTCCGCAGGTGAGAAGTCTTTGGTTACCAAAGCCTTCGGGTCATATATTTTGAACGTTCTTTGACCTAGAAGTACCCGGGTATGTCCAACAAAGAAAACCGTTGCAGCATGTACTCTTCCTCGAACGGTTGGACCAGCCAATTGATAAAGACAAGGACAAAATCCAAAGGGTTGCTGTGTAGACTCTCGTTCGTGGGTTCGCGGCTGTGGTGAGGGAGTCGTGGGCTATCGAAAGGGGGCAACCGAGTTACGAATGGTAGTTGGGAGAAGGAATAAAATCCTAAGGAACGTGATCGATCGTGTCAAAAAAGGGTTGAACGTCGACAATTGAAGGAACGAACGCGAGCACAAGACGAGCGGCTGGCCAAATTGATTGAACCCGGGAGAGATGAGCGTAGTTGGCCGTCGAGGCGAAGTTTGACAAGTCGAATGAGAGAGTTATCAGTCGCAGAATGAGAGACAGCGACCACGGCGACGTTGACGATTCATCGAGGCTCAATGGTGAGGAGGTGAAGGGCAAAGGCAAGTGTCGAAGAAATGGACAGACGAGAACGAAAGCATGACTGTGAATGAATACCAGAAGTCAGGGCGAAGGCCGTGGGAATGAACAGTGGGGAGCGGAAAGGAGAAGGACGAGGGCGAGCAAGCGCAGATGCTACTGTGAGTTGTGGGCGCGTTGGCGAGGCAAGGCCAGCAAAACTGGATCCTCATTCTCTCGGGCTTGAACAGTGGCGTCCGCCAGTACCAGTGCGGTTAGACCGTTTCCGCACACGATACCACGCTAGGCTCTGTGTGGTGGGTATAGCGGGCTGATCATCGTTCCCATCGGCTGGAGATGAGGCGTCTAACTCGAACCAGCATGGATAAAATACAGCAAAACGAAGCCATTACGTGACAAGACCTTGAAGCCTTGCTTTAGCCCCCTTCGCCCTTGCTCTGTCCCCTGGCATTGTCTGCTCCCACCAATTTCACTACTCAATCTCGCATCCTCGCTTTGATTCTGGCTTGGGGGGAGGGCTTCTTTTTCTTTCCACCATTAAGTTAACGAACGTTCAAGAAGTTATTGGCATCGAAGCATAAGCCTAGCAAATCCCGACAGCACAGACCGGGTCATCCTCGTTACCACCAGAGCCGGACCAGTAAGCGCCCCCATGAAAGAGTTTTCTGGCCGAGACAGCCATCGAAACAGTTTGTGCTTCCAACTGCACCTTGCAGAGGGAAAAATTCAGACATGGAGAGGCCGAGTAACTGCGAAAAAAAAGCTGGAGAGCATGCGTGGCCTTTGCAGCACAGAGCCTCCAATCAAGTCACACCATGAGCACAAGCTGCAATTTTAGGGTCAGGTACCGGGAGCCACCTGCGTGTCAAACGGACGCCGTTGACTGACTTAGCGTTCTAATTCGCTCGAGTGGATTGGACCAAACTATCCGTCTGCCGCCCGTTTCGTAATCTTTTGGCTAGCCTTGGGGTTCAAAGTGGTGCTTATTCATGCCGGACAATCTCATCTACGGCAGCTGCAGTATTTCCCGCCAGAAGCTGAACTCGGCAAAAGCATCTGTTGTGCAAAATTCTACGCGCGTATCCCGGTTTGAATAGTACATCAAATACACATACCCTTAACACGTAAGGAAGCATTTTTTGCTATATCGGAACAAGGCATCGGCCCCGCAGGCCGAGAATACCGGTTTGTTTCATTCAGGGGGTGGACAGGAACCACCGAAGCAAAAAGCCACCCTTGGGCCTTTTTCCCTTTGGTTGACAGAATGAATTTTCAACCCTTGACTTTTCGTTCAGAGCTTTGCGATCTTCGGTTTCCATGTTGGAAAGATCCTCATACCAGGGCATGATGAGATAAAGAAATTTATGCATGGCCGTCAACGTTTCACAATTTTCAATCGACTCCATCACACTGAGTCCCAAACAACTTGAATCACTGCAAAACGAAACATTGCGCTTCTGGTATAGTATATCTGGTCTCGGGGACACTTTTTAGCCTGATACCCTGCTGGCGGGAGTCTGTTATCGTTGATTTGTCCTACGAAAGTTGTTGGAAGTCATTCCGTCTTCCCTTCTCGACGTCGAAGCCGACCCATGTGCCGACAAACAAGCACTGAAGCATTGACATCTCTCAGTCTTCTGTTCTCGGAATACCCTTGTGCTCGGCCAACAAGGGTATCTTGGGCAATTTTGAAACGGTTGGCCCTAATCTACGATGCTTCTCGAATGTCCGGGATGTGAACTCAGGCTAGGAAATTGTAGGGAGGAAAGAAATTTGGCCCGGTTATCCTTCCATTCCACCTAGATCTACGTATTTTCAGATGTTCGAAACACCTTGTACTTCGTAGATATCCAGCGTTCAACTATGGTACTACAAGGGAGAATTCCCACATGGCTGGCAACGCGCTCCGGAGGTGGCTGTGAACATCCGTAGCCTCTTGATACTATCTATATGTGGTCGGGATATCTGATGTTGAAGTTCTCTCGACCAGCCCTCCGGCCACTCCAACGTCCTAGTGCGTCACATGGTTGTCTTTTGGTAAGGGAATCTCTTGTCTGGTAGGTTTTCCCCGTAAGTTGTCTCTTCGACAATAGAAGTGGTAGACATCCATGGCGGCAGATGTACACTGAGACGAAGAAACGATTGCAGAGGCAATTCTCGTCCATTGCGTATCGAATATTAGGTATACATCGGGTACGAATCGAGCCCAATAACATCTTTGTTGCTTTGACATTCGGCAATTGCATTCTCTCCCCAAGGCCGAAGCTGACTCTGTGGGTGGAAACTAAACTGAGCACGTCATTCCCCAACTTGCGGAAAATCTGCTCCATTACGATTTGTGTTCCTCTGCAAACGCCACAAGCGTTCACGACGTCGCTCGAACACAACAGAGACCTCTACGTTAATCTCATATGTCCCTGAACATACTAATATCCACTCTACAAGTCGTCGAGCTCGTGCCTCCGGAAGGCCTCCCCCACCGCCACCATGTCTGAGTCCGGTTCATCTTCCACACCGCCCTTGAAAAATCCCAAGCTCGGCGCAATGAACAAAGTCTTTGCCCAAGTCGACCTCGATGGTCATGATCTTCCGCCCTCACCTGCGCCATCCAGCCCCAGAAGTGGGCGTCAATACTCAATCGCAACCCAATTGGTGTACTCCGAAGGTAATGATCAGTACAATGCAAGCAGTGTACCCATCTACCAGGTCAGCTCCGATGATCTTCAGCAAAAATACATAAATTGACAGGGTGACAGTCTGCTACATTCAAGCAAACCTCCGCCGCCGGAGGTGTCTCTGACTATGACTACACACGCAGCGGCAATCCGACTCGCACGCAGCTAGAGAAACACCTTGCGAAAATCATGCGGGCCAAACGGGCTCTAGTTGTGTCATCCGGTATGGGTGCTCTCGACGTGATAACTCGCCAACTTCGCCCAGGTGACGAGGTGGTGACAGGAGACGATCTGTACGGAGGAACAAACAGGCTGTTAAAATACCTCTCTACGCACGGCGGGATTATCGTCCACCACGTCGACACCACCACACCCGAAAAGGTACAGGAAGTCCTGAATGAAAAGACGGCAATGGTGCTGCTCGAGACACCCACCAACCCTCTGATCAAGATTGTGGACGTCCTTACGATCGCAAGCATGGCGCACGCCGCCAATCCATCCTGTCTCGTGAGCGTGGATAACACCATGCTCTCCCCATTACTGCAAAATCCTCTCGAACTCGGTGCGGACATCGTCTATGAATCCGGCACCAAGTACCTGTCAGGACATCACGACCTAATGGCCGGCGTGCTAGCGGTGAACGACGAATCGCTTGGTGAGAAGCTTTACTTCACGATCAACGCCTCCGGCTGTGGACTTGCACCGTTTGACTGCTGGTTGTTGATGCGGGGGATCAAAACGCTGAAAGTTCGTATGGATGCTCAACAGGCCAATGCCATGATGATCGCGCAATTTCTCGAATCGGCGGGGTTCAAAGTCAGATACCCGGGCCTGAAGAGCCACCCACAGTACAAGCTCTTCCAGTCGATGGCACGAGGTCCCGGCGCTGTCTTGTCATTTGAGACGGGCGACATCCAGCTTTCAGAGCGAATCGTAGAGTCGGCGAAACTCTGGGCCATCAGCGTCAGCTTCGGTTGCGTCAACTCACTCATCAGCATGCCGTGCCGTATGAGTCACGCCAGCATCGACGCCAAAACACGCAAGGAACGTGGTGTGCCTGAGGACTTAATTCGGCTGTGCGTCGGTATTGAGGACGGCGAGGACCTTTTGGATGATCTGAGGAGCGCTCTGGTGCAGTCCGGCGCCGTGAGCGTTTCGCTTGATGGCATCTATGCTGGGAACGCGACCGTGGGCAACAAGCATCCCCAAGACGGTGAGCATCGGACCGCCGTAGCTGCTGCGGTCAATGAGCCCTGACCCCGGTGAGGTCCTGGCGTACCAGATCCGCATGAAGGTCTCCGAGACGTCCATTAACCTCACACCTAGAACCCGGAATCAAGTTGACGAATATTGCCCTTTGAGATCGTCTGCCGGGGTATATCCATCAAGGCTTACTCTTGACTTGCAATCCGATTTCTTAGTAGACCGAATAGACAAGGAAACGGCGACGATAAAAAGTTGGGTTTGTTTTCACGTTGGCAGGGTTAAAAGAGAGATGACGAGTTACGGCATGATACGTGGAGTGGCCCTGCTTTCATACTCTTGCTCTTGTACAGATCTCATGTCGTGTCATCTGATCCGCTCAAACGAGGAAAAGCAAAACACAAATCAAGCTCGAGTCTGTATATACACGAAACGCATGAAAGCATCTGCATTGAAATGCCAATTTCCGACCATAGCCTGATCGGAGGTACCTTAATGTCTCTTCTCTCATTCGCGAAGAAAGCCCATGTCAATGACGAGAACAAATACTGCTCTTACTCTTAGAGACACGTTCCCCTTTCCTAGCATAACACCACCTGTAAAGTTCAACAATGGCGCTAACTTCGGCTTGAATTCAATCTGCTACCGTCTTGAAGGGCACTGTGGAAGACAAGCGCTGTGAGTGAGCAGGGATATCAGCGGCCAGACGAGGCTTTGTGGTCCAGCAGAGAGGATAGAGATGAGGCGTGGATGGGCATTGACGATGTCTGCTCAAACCCTCCCTCCCAGTCTTCGACAAGATCTTACCTGTGAGGAACAGTATATTGCAATCAGTCTTCCCTGAAACAGCATCCACATACTCATCCTATGCTGGTGGAGGTTCAGTCTTCTCGGATTCTTCGTTCTTTATTCACTTGTTGAGCTGAGGTCTCAAATCTTTGAATATAGTTGTTCAGGTTTCGGTGAGCAGAGTGTTGGAGGCGGAAGCTAGCCAAGACCAAAAAGTATGCTCGTTCGTGCGCTCTGGTTTTCATTCGTGGGCTCTGCCAGAGCAGCACATAAATTGGCATCATCGGGTTTTCTTTCCCTTGTGCAGTACATAATGACCTCAGCTGGTAGGGGCAACACCCGGTGTATTACCCCATCTCTAGAACCCACCAGCCCGTATTGAGGCACAAGTCACGTGTTTGAAAATTGTCATTCATAGATTTAAATCCCCAAAATTATCTTGAAAATATTGTCAATTCTCGCCAGACATTTCAAGTGGGGGGTGAGTACTAACAGGTGATTGTCTGTTTTGAGCGGGATGTACTGACATATCCTTACTTAGGATTGGCGCAATGGTAGCGCGTGGTACATTAAACAAGCCCAGTTCTGGTTATTCCGCTGTGTTAACATCATCAGGCTCTCCTACATGTTGGTTAAGCCAAGGTTGTGGGTTCGAGTCCCATGTTCCTCGATCGATTTATTTTTGTTTATTTTTTTTTTTTTTTCCTTTGAACCTCTAGTTCATTGTGAAGAGAAAGTGTATAAAAGGCAAAGCAATACTTTTGTGCAATGCGGGTCGAGGTGCGCCATGGACCGGCGCGACCGCATGACATGTGGCCGCCACATTCGACTAACCACTGCTGGATTTCTGACCTGGTCCCGTTATGGATCAATATGGATAGATGACACGTGACGACATACCATTGCGACGTGGAGATGACCATCCCGTTAAAGTCTAAGGATTGATCCTGGAGTGGATATAGAAAGGCTGCACGGTCCCAACAGAGAACATGTGTCACTTGTGCAGAAATTTTGTGGTAAGGTAGGCCGTTGTGGCTTGAGGAGTCTTGGGTCCCTGATATGGAGCTGCTAACGCCAGCCTCAGCCTCGCCCAATATATTGTTCCCCGGACCCTGGGGCAAAGGGAACGTCGACCTAGAGCGATCGCTGGTCTTGTGGCGCTAGACTGAACGCGGATCGTACAGTATGGAGTCTGGGAAAAGAACGGAGTAATATGGAGAATCGGGACGGCGACGTGAGAAGACGACAGACTTTAACGTGGGTGCAGCAACTTCAAGTCGACATCATCAAGCCACTATGCTGGACAAATTGAGGGCCAAGAAAGAAGATGAGAGATTCTGGACTGCGTGACGGTCATTCGGCAGAGTTCGCGGACGGTGCACTGGACAAATCTGTCCATGTGGTTTTGCTCATCTTCCAAATATGTCAAGCGGAGATGTTGGATATTGTCAAAACCGCCAGGAACATTCTGGTCATCATAAACTTGAATGGTAGAGCGTGACCGGTCGAAATGAAATACGCCAGTTGTACAGTGCTGCGACTCACAGACGAATTCGACCTCTTCTAAACACTAATCCGCCGGGACTTGCTTCTGGGAAGTCCACAACAGTTTGATAAATGTTGCCCTCAAGGTCAACCTCACGAGCAAACCCTGTCTCACTTGGCATAATAACCGATTTGGAAGCTTCGCCCAGGCCCCAGTCTTGTGCATCTCCTCGATGTCTTTGTCATAGTCTTCTGACCTTCAAGGCAGATTCTCCGGTAGAGTGGCGATCATTTCCTCACGGAGTCCTTGTTATTGGTTTTGGGATTTCAGTTGAAGGTAGCTAACGCAGAGACTCATAGTCTATGAATTTATCCAAGAAGCGGGCACAAGATAGAGCATCAAGTCATGATGGCTCTGATTGGACCCAGGTGGGCTTCACCCCATCTCGGTCGTTTCGCCTTCATGTAAAGTGCATTTCTCAGGACCTGGTTCCTCAAATTGAGGATAATGTAAACCGCTTAGACAAGCAGGAGGCGTGGGCAAAACATGCATGGGTGAGACTTCATTCTCTTCCACAAAGGAAGAATGCACCGAGAAAATCGCCGCGGCGGCCAAGAGAGTTTCTCGGATGCTAACAGTCATGGGGGTGTTTGGGGAACCAAAGGTAACTCACCCGTGCGTCCTCGGTAATGCTGAGTCTTATTCCACTCCCCAGTTCTCAGTAGAAACGGACTTACCCAAGAATCGCAAACATCAATTGATTTGTGTGGATTGGGTCGCGGAGTCAAGATTCCCAATATGCCGTTCTCCCATCACAGCCATTCAGGACAATTCTGTCCAGGACACGCTCGAGATTCTCTCGAAGAGATTGTGCTGACTGCCATCTCGAAGGGAATGCAAGTCCTAGCCTTGACTGAACATATGCCCCGCCACGAGGAGGACCGATATCCAGAGGAGGTGGAGGCCGGAGTAACGCTGACCTCACAGCTCAGCAACGAAAGCGCCTTTGTCGCTGAAGCCAGCAGGCTGCGAGAAAAATACAAAACCCGAATTGCACTACCGCTCGGCTTCGAATGTGATTGGATTCGACCCGAATCTCTGAGGCTAATCCACCGAAGCATTGAGACGCACCCGTATAACTTCTTCATCGGGTCCGTCCACCACGTCCATACCATTCCCATCGACTATGACCGCCAGATGTATGAACAAGCACGTATGGAATCCGGTGGGACCGATGAGAAACTGTTTGAAGACTACTTCGACGCGCAACTGACCCTATTGCAAGCACTGAAGCCCCCGGTGGTGGGGCATTTTGACCTTATCAGGCTGAAGAGCGATAGTCCCAACGGAAATTTCAGTGGAATGAAAGGTGTCTGGCAACGAATCTTGCGCAACCTGGACTACGTCGCCTCGTATCGAGGGGTGCTTGAGCTTAACTTTGCGAGCTTGCGTAAAGGCATGGACGAACCTTATCCCAAGCGAGAAATATGTCAGGTATGTTTTGTTCACATAGCCTGAGAGCGCATCAGTATCATTCACACGGACTGATTCTTTAGGCGGCGTTAGAAAGGAACATTCGATTCTGTTTGTCTGATGACAGTCATGGCGTAGACCACGTTGCCCTCAACTACGAGCATGCTTTGTCTTTTCTCGACAAGGCGGGAATACCGTCGGTGGCTTTCTTGCAGAACTGTGCACCTGCTGGGAGATTGTCAATAGACCGTTTTCAAGAACTGCAGTTCGAACAAATGGAGTTGTCCGACTTGCGAAACCACAGGTTTTGGCAAACCGCGTCGGCTATTTAGTTCAAATTATCGAGCCCTTCGACGTAAATCACATGGATGAGGGTAAGATTGATGCTCACGTGGCGGCTGAAGGGAAGAAAGAGGGGGGGGTGCTATGATTCCTATTGAAGGCCAGTTTTGTCGCAAACATCTATTGGCCATTCTCTTACTGCTCTGTGCCATACACACGGCGTTAGCGGAAGACCAAGCTTGCAGAAGGCCCAAGTTCGTCAGCTGAAAGACTAAGAGTGGAGCAACTGTTGGTTCTCAACAAAAGCGTGGACCTGTCTCATAGGTCTCGGATACAAGAATTTCCCCTAATTAGAAGGTCAACCCTGCATGTGGCCCGTCTATTTGTCGGGTTGATATCTGAATGAAATTTCGACTTCTGTGGCCTGCGTAGGTGGAAAACAAAATGATTCACGACGGTGAACATGCATAGGATAGAATAAGCCTGACCCCGGTGAAACTCAAGCCCTCAATACTCGATATCCGTAAATGGACGCCTGTGGCGATTCCCAAGCCTAGGCTCTTTTGAGATGTAGGTGCGCGAAAATAGACTTTTTGATGACAACCTCAAAAGAGAACTCGTGGGCGAAGGTCGTCTAATCTATCGAACTAACCGTCCATATCTCGAAGAAGCTTTTCTGGCGTATGAGGATGAGAACTTGCGGCCTTAGATGAGAACAGGTTAGACCGGTCGCCGCGATACCATGCAAACCTGAGCGCAGTGAAAGACTCTCGGTATAATTAATTGTTAGATGGAAGCGCCGGTCGGTGGAAGTGCAGCAGCTAGCGGGTGCATGATAAAATATTCTCGGGAGCTGGATGGTGGGGGAGGGCCGGGGGGGAAAGAAAACTCTCTTTGGGAAATAGTTGACCAACTGAAAATTGTTGCGTGGCGTCGTAGTTGATGGGCAAGGGGAGAGCACGGGATGGTACGATAGGGCGATCCCGAAGATGCACCTCCATGCATCTTCGGGCGGTGACTGGGTACCAATAGCGCAGTTAGCTTGACGGAAACATCCTGGCGTGTTTCCTTGGAACCGGCACCGTGAATCTCAAGCTATTACTCGATAGAGTTAATTCCACCCTGGGCAAGCGAGAGGTGCTGGTGGACGGGCGAATACGAAGGGGAAAAAAAACTCTTTTTCAGCGTACATCGAAGCTGACAGGCTTCAAGTGTTGTCATTGAGGTTGTTGTCCCCCGGCCCCATCGCATCCTCCCGAATGGGTGATTTTCACAGAAAGCAGAACGGCAGTGATAAGGTATTTTAGGTCCCGATGGCCCCGCAAATGGCGGAAGATAACCGAAGCTGTACCAAGATTTCCAGCGGGGAAGGAGACCTGACAACGATTTATCTTGGTATGGAAGAGCTGGTAGAGCCACAAAAATTTTAGGTATGTAGACCTGCAGAGGGAGGTGGGAGCACAAATTACCATTCAGTGAGAAACTCACAAAGAGGCTGATCAGGATCTCATTCTAGATCTGTGTGTGAGCAACGCAACCAACTCCGTATCACAGTTCAACTCAACTACAAGGTGACATTGGTGAGTCTGCAGATGGTACACCAGAGACGGAGGACAAGACCGAGAGGTTGTGAACGCATCCTGTAGGAGGCCTCCGGACTCCTGGATCCATTCCCCTGTAGCTGGCACATGGCTGACGGGTCACGGACTACTTTGGCAAAGTAAAATGGCGGTGACTCGATTGAAACACAGGAGAATACGAGGTGCGACATTCAGTAGGCCATGACCTCACACTTCTGGAGGCGTTGATTCGCTCGTCTTTGGGGTGGGTTTTAGGAAGCGTGGGTGGTATCAACAAGTGTTGAGAAAGCAGTGCGTTGACTGGGGTTGAGCGCCCTGCTCGTCGGGCTGACCGACTTCCTTTGAGTCGCAGGACGGAGGACTGCTTAAGTTGGCTGGTTGGTACTGTAGCTAACTAGCCAGCTACACAGACTTCGTGGTCGATGGGAATGGACAATCAACATGAATTGGCGCTGGCAATTCTCCTTGCCCAACGAGGACTTGTAGCGCAATTAACCTACGGAGCAAGACGCGCCATGGAGCATCTTCAACCGACATACTAAGTACTGGGGGTGCAATGGCTCTCGCCAACCGCGGCGACAACCGATCACGTCAGATCGCGGATTACTGCGTACGAAGTGGTCTGACATAGTGGTAAACGACAATAGAAGCTATTGAACTACTCGAAACTATCCAGGCTGTACGTGGGAAGCCGTGGGGCAGTCGGTGGGCGGCGGACGGCGTGCTGCGGATTCCGTGGACTTGCTTGTCAGTTGCCCCCAAAGGAGGTCGAACCCCAAGCCTAGACTTGATATCTTGACGGCCTTCAGGACCACCTAGCGACAAGCCTTTTTGTAATTGAAAAACTGAAAGCCCCGAAAAACAAAAAAATGACGACAGTGTAGAGTGAAGAGCTGGGTACCCATGTCCTGGCTACCTCGTACCTAGCAACTACCCCTCGATTGTATCTCGGTGTAGGTACTTTTGCTTCCTCCCCAAATTGCGTGCCCTGTTGCGTGCTGGCTGCCTACCTGTAACTCGCACATTGTACCGCACCATTTATTGTCTGTAAACACGTACTCATTAGGTACCTTGATACTGGGTACACGCTGTAGAGTATCGTGGGGGTGCGGAGGACTGTGGATGGTGGTAGACACGGCTCGTAGTTGGGCAGCAGTGCTTTTGAGCCTGCTCCGTCTGCTGTGTCGCCTCTCCATCGTTGCAAAAGGCATTCCCGTTCTGAATCTCATATGAATTTTGGGGGCTCGTGTGGGTCATGTTCCTCCAGCTAGTCGCTAGTCCTTACATATTTCTTGACTGCTATACTAGCAGGATTGTGATATTCGCATTGACCTGCGTTCTCGGACCACATCAAGGCACCATCATAGTCCTCCTCAGTTCCCGTACCCAGCCGACCATCTCTCCCCCAGCCATCCAATCAACTCTCTCTTTCCGACTGATCCCTCTTCCTTCATTCTTCCCTGATCCCTGTCGCCCCAAACCCGTCAATCCCTCCAACCTTTCGGAATTTATCTTCCTTCGCGCCAATCTATCCAAAACCTAAACCTGCATGTTAGGTTCGAAACTCTCTTGTCGCCCTCCTACTCTCCTCACGTCCTTGTGCTTTTCCTCCCCGATCTGATGCCCTTTGCGTCCACGGCGAACCTCTCCCATGCTATCGCCTGGTTGGTCGAATCTAGATACACTTGGACATGTCATATCCCGGGATTCTAGCCAAGTCTGCCTCCCCTCGACATGATCGCCTTACTCTAATGCTGGTCGTTTTTCTTTCAGACGTTGTCACCACCAGTAATGCACGACTTGGTCCGTTCTCGCTCGTACGAGTGCTACCACCACGCTCTTCCTGCCTTGCTGCCCTACCATTACCGTCGTCCTATTCTCCCTTTTTCACCTAATCTCTCCTCGTGGCCATAAAATGGAGCCCTACATCCACGTCTTCTATTCAGGTTCTTGACCATTTGACTCTTCCTATTCCCTCACCCACACGCAACCACGCTCTCACATAGACACCAACACACACCAAAAAGCACCCTTTACATCTCTTGCTATAACCTCGGACTGTGTTTCGCACGTTCATCATCGTCCCCGGTCACTCTCTCCGGCTTGAACGATCGGTATACGACATGGCTACTCAACTATCCAAGAAGCTGATCAGGAGCGGCAACAATGCGGACTATCCCAAGCGTGGCGACGAAGTCACGATTGAATATACTGGTTGGCTGTATGATCCTTCCAAAGCCGACGAAGGTTACAAAGGAGCACAGTACGTCCCAAATGGATGTCACTCGCATCTCGATATCCCTTGAAAAACATGGTCACTGACTTGCTGGCCTTCAGATTCGATAGTTCGGTCGGTAGAGGAGACTTCAAAACTAAGATTGGCGTCGGCAGTGTTATCCCAGGTATGCCGCTGCGATACAAAATCTGCGCCGTCGGTTTCTCTTTTGACCCTGTATAACCCACCACAGGTTGGGATGCTCTCGTTCCGCAGATGTCTCTAGGAGAAAAGAGTACTTTAACCATTCCAGGGTGAGTTTTCCTACATCTCTATCGTCGCCATCATCATTAGCAGTACTTCTACCCCCCTGTTCAATTGGGTAGTGTTGGTTGAGAGAAGGGGCCCCCGCGGCCGGGGGGCCCTTCGGTTTTGTGCCTGATACACACCTTTTTTTTTAGCCTCGATGCCAACATCTTTTGACAGTTACATATTTGCATCTCGACTGATTTGAGTCCAGGCATTTGGCATACGGCGAACGGTCAGTGTGAATGTGTCATTCATCGCATTTTTCAGTCGACCCGACCCGATCGTGGTATCGCAGATGTTTTGTATAACCCGAACCACATTTAAGAGATGGAAGATCAAACGAATCCAACCATATCCCTGTTTCAGTTCTGCTAAGCAACTCGGGATTCTCCCCCCTCTTTTCGCTGCATTTCATTTCCCTTCCTCAGGTCGGGTATGCTAACTACGATGTCACATATGTAGCGGGTTTCCTGGTCTGATTCCTCAAAACGCCCCTCTTGTCTTGTGAGTTCCTCCTCTTCTTGTTTCCAGCCAATAGTCCGATGTTTGTGGAAGCGCTATCTTTGATGCCCAACGACTGTGTGGACACGTATTGACCAAGCCTAATCTCGAGATTGGGGTTCATTATGCGCTGCTTCATCGCTCTCTGCGTCCATGTTAGTTTGCCTGCTGCCGAACGGACCGGCGTTCATTCTCCTATTCATGTCCCGACCTGGTTGCATCCGCATTGGATGATCTGTTAAAACCGTGAATATGCTAATGTGTTCTTTGAAATCAACTAGTGACGTACACCTCAAAGGCATCAACAACAAGACAATATGATCGCAGTCTTTGGTTGATGCAAAAGGTCCGTCGGTCAAGATGTATCTACGATATCATGGGACTGGAAGCACCATTATCGCATGGAATGACATTTGTATGGGAAGGTTACCTGTTCAGTAAAGTTTAACTTCACGCGTCATCAAAAACTGGAGACATGTCCCCATTGATTTTGGTTCTGGCGCCCATCTATAATAAGGGCTGATGGGAACACAGCATTGTCTCTCGTTATGAGTTAGTTGCGAAGGGTTTTGTGTCCGAATCAAGGTCGCAGTGACCGGAATTTTCTCTCAAGATTGCCTCAGGCAAAGCTTTTTGGTATTCTCATCCTTGGAGTTGCTTCACCCGAAGATTATTGGTTGTTGAGCCAACTCAATCCTTGTCAACCTCTTCTGTTACGATCGTCGCTAGGCGGCCCCCCAATGAAGTTTAGGAAGTCGGTCACATTGTCTACGTGGCCCATTGGCCTGCCAGCTCACGGCCGTGGTCTCAGAGGTTGTGTTACCCGCCCTTAGATTGGGGGGATGCTACTCGCCTACCCGAAACCTCACGCTGCGTCTGTCTCACGGTAATTGCTCACTCTGGCCCATGCCTGCTACGAGTCCAAAGATCACCACGCTAACGCCCGAATTGTGGCTGGCGCTACAAGGGTTGTAAAGGTCTTTGCAGTACTATAGGTCGATCTCAGGAATCGCATTCAACCTTCACAGATCACGAAGTCGTTCTACCGTACGAACATCTTGTCCTCCGTAAACAGCACGATATTTCTGTCCAACTCCAGGTGTTTCAGATCTGAGAGGTCGTCGAGTTCGCTCATCGCCATCTTCTCGGTTGGAAAAAAAAAAAAAAAAAAAAAAATTCTTTTTGGACATCTCCACCACAAGTTGCTGTTCGGGTCTACTGTCATGTACCTTCTCGAAGGCTCGCTAGAACGCGACTTCAGTTGCTAGGTCAGAGTTTAGCTCAGAATCGAGGCCGGTCCAATGTTTTGTGTGTTCCAGGTCAGCAGATATTCCATGTCGAATTGACCGAGCCGATCAGTGCTCAATGGGAACCGTGGAATTCAACACCTCTCGCAAGCAATAGGATAATGGACGTCATATCATGTTTGAGAGCTTGGTCTTTCGCCCGAAAGACTACTGTCCCAAGCTTGTTTTCGGAGAGGGTAATTTCTTCATTCAGACCTGACGCTGTGGAGCAGAAGACACGGCGATATAAAAGGGGGCCGCCGTAAGAAAGCCACTTCTTGCAGCTGGTCTCAGAACCATAAATGAAAAGTTTGGAACAGGACTAGTAGGATTACTCAGATGGAACATGTTCCCCGAATGCCGAGTTTATTTTTCAATAGTGGAACCGACTCTTTTCCTCCCCCCCAAATTCTCGTCTAGAGTATTGGTTCCGATACTGCTGCAGCCAGCATACTTCCTCCCCTGGCCCTATGATCTCCTTTGTTAAGCAGGAAAGTGCTGAATTGGTCACCCTTGTTGTCGATCCTGGAGCATCGTTGGATTTCACACTTCAAGCTCAACTAAGGCCATGTCTACCTTGTTAGCCAAAAAGAAGAGATTTTTGACATGTCACGTGCATAAGGTTCAACGGATGGGAAAGCAAGTATCGACCAAGCGGAGGCAAAGTAAAGGAACGTTGATGACCGGCAAATACAGATCCAGAAGCTTTCGTTTCAATCTGTTGAAGGACGCCATTATGCCTATCTCAGCGTATTCTGCATCCTCGTCGTCATATATCCAAAGCAGACTTGCTGCTCGGGATCCTTTTCAGAACATGAGAATGTGATCCTCCAACACTTTCGACGAGGCTATTCATCTAATATTCTGAATAAGCAGGAAGCCGATCAAGAAAAGCTGCCGGGAACACAACCCACCAGGCATAAGCTACAGCGGGGACGCTCTTGTCTATTAACTTCGGTATTCCGCTTCTTGGCTTAACTAAATGGGATAAATTTCCGGGGCTCCTGGCCAATCACTAATATGTGTACCTCGAAGAACGCCGTATACAATCAGCCCACCTCGCCTTGATTGCAAAGCCTTACGAAATCACCCTTTCATGCGTTGTGCTGATGAGTCGTTCACTTCAGAGTCAACAGCGCCCATGTGAGTTCCTGCGTCCTCCCTCTTCCTCATATGTTATGATAGGGATGAGAAAGACAAAGTTCACAGCTCACTCTTCAATCCACCTGCAATTTCATGGTCACCCTGTTGTGTCTGGGTCTCGATCATTGCGGGCGCCGTAGCAAATACCGAAGTGAGCCGCGTGGTTGACAGAGGTTACCGACGAAAACAAATTTGAATGGCAAATTTAAATCCGCCAGGATAAGAAATTCCTGCTGTGGCAAACCATATTACGTCAACACTCAGGAACCTCTAGATACGCCGCAAAGGGGTATTACTGCTTGCTTCATTGTCTCGTCTTTCACCGTTGCATCCACCGCTATTGACCGACAGAAATTTTCCTGGATGCATGACGTGGAAGACGACCGTGAAACTCAACAGCATACAAGCATCAAACACCCAGAAGAACACCTCTGCAGTCCACAGTGAAGAGGTAGGGGAGACGAAGATCTGTACAGTGCGGAAGATATTGCACACCAAAATCATCCCCATCATGGTGAGCAGGGTCAGAGCCGCAATGGCCCGATCACGCTGGTAGTGCGACAAATTCCGAGCGGTCTGCCTCTTCTGCACGAGCGTGAGGATGTATATGAAGGCGCCGTTGAGGAAAAGTTGGAGAAACAAGCTTGCTTTTATCAGAGCGAGGCCGGAGCTGATTGCGTTTTCTGATGCTCGGGGGTTGAAATATGTTGCGGCTCCCTGCGCGAGGCAAGTGATAATGGCGGTGTTGAAGCAGCTCACCACGATGAAGATAGGCGAAGGAGGGATCAAGATCAGTGTCGGCCGAGCCGTTAGCATTCGAAGAAAAGTCAAATATAGCGGCAGTGTAAATGTGGGCCTTCAACAGAGCTCAGGTTAGCAATTGATTGTGTTCCATCTGCCATAAAGGAAGGATAGGGACATGGTATGGGTTACATACGTGGCACTGTAAAACAGACCCTGAATGGCGCTGGCCAATTCATCCTCGTAGTGGCGATGAGCCGTGAATTCACGACAGATGAACCCGGCACCCATGAGGATACATGCAAACGGAAGAGGCCAAGTATATGCCCATGTATTATATTTCCTATTTCTTTCCGTTAATGGGACCAACCTTTTTGCCCCTCAAAGCAATCTTGCAGAAACAGCGGCAATAAATGGGGGGAACTGTGTTTTCAATCCTTGGAAACACTCACCTGCTTTGCCATGCGTGCAAGACGCTCGAAAAGAGGAAGAAAATCGCAAAGACAATGGATGCACCTCGGGCGGGATGTGCGAGGAATTCGTCGATAACGGCTATTTTTATTTATCAAGGCAAAACCACCAGTCAGTACTCGACAAAAGGATATTGGGTGAGAATGAGAGGGGCTTCGCATTTACATCTCGGATGCATTCTGATTGGCAGCAGACGGAAGCAGCAGTCAAGCAGATCGTTTCAGTTCGCAAATACTGGTGGTAGTCTTGGGGGTATTGAGTGGCATGTTAAGATGGCTCATGGATGTGTGGCCAAGCTCACAAAATTACCTGGACCACCTCCTCAACTTTGAGAAAGCGCTTTGATATAAATGTGTCAGAACAGCTAGGACAAGACGTCCATCAATGCATCAGCACCGTAAGGAAAGAACAAACGAAAATGATGCTGCCTAGCTTGCTCTGTTGTTTGATAAATATTCGAGTCCGCCGGGAATCAGCCTCGCCTTGCGAACAAGCAATCAAGCATTCCGACGGCATCTCGCCTACTGACAAGAATCCCGTCCAAAAAACTCAGAAAGGTCCAGTCAAGCCCGAAATAGCAGGAAGCTTGCCATTCATGACAATTGACGATTGGTGCTTCATCTGGGTGGGAATGGGAGACGTATTCAATCGTATATAAGGCATACTCTACGCCGAAGTCCAAAACAAGAAAGCTTTCGCACCGAACGTCGAGAAAAGTCTAGAGATTAGCGAGTACGCCTCGCCAAACACGCCTTGTCGCACTTCGGTGTGGGTTTGGACCCTGTGGTCGGAATATTTGCGGATTTTAATTGGTACGCGATACGAAAACGGTACATGGTACTAAGAGGGCGTCAGACGGTTCAGATACGTGCTCCCTTGGCTTCCTTGCTGTGTACAAGTGTGAATTCACGGGAATTGCGTCGCAGCCATTGAGCTTCGCGTAACCCCTAGCGAGAGTTCTGCCCAAAGGGGGGACAGCCTCGTCTGAAAGAAGGGGGAGTGGGGAGCCCGTCCCAAGCTCGGCGCTTGTTGAATGCAACTAGCCAAGTAATGCTCTTCTTCTCGCTCTATCCGTTCTGACCTAGGTGGGTATATATATATAGCAAGCCTTGTACTGTGCGTCGTAGACACAGTTTCCCTGATTTCATTCATTTTGTGGTCGTGAGGACTCGACGCAAACCTTAGAGTCTGTGAAACCATGTCGAAAAAAGCACGCTCGGGGGTTGCTGGAACAGTCCAATCCTTGACAGGCCGATTTCTTTCTCTTTTCCTTGAGGATTTGCATTCACATTCTCTTCGGTTCTGGAAAACACCTTCATATCCTCACCACCTCCCTAACCTTCCTATCCTCACCAACCACCAACCTCAACTGCCTCCCCCGCCAATCCTCTTTGGTACCTTTAAACACCCCCTCGTGCAATGTCTCCGTGTACAGCTCGTACGAGGGATAATACCCGTCGACGAAATGTCTGACCTGCTCATCCGTCATGCCGGTCCCTCTGGACGCGCGCAGGCCAGCCTCCTGCTCCAACCGCCATTTATACACGTAAATAGTGTCCTGGGCGTCAATGTGGATGAACGCGTCGAGCTGAGAGGTTAATGCGTCGTAGGCCTTCAACGCGTCGTTGATCGTCGTGACGCTCTCGAGCGAATTGTATCCTAAACAGCCCCTGTACGGGCTTTCAGGGGTGGCATTCTGCGCAGCAGAGACAGCTGCCGCGTGCGTCGAAGCGAGGATTTCAGAGCTCAGGGGACGAAAGCCCACGGACCATCCTTCGAAGAGCACAACCCGGGCAGGGTGGGAAGGGTCGGTGTTTACTGTTTCCCATTCATCTTCGGGGACGCGGTCGCCTTGTCCCGCAAACGCGGCTTTGTTGTATTGTGGGATCTTGGTCGGTTTGTTGCGCTTGAGACTCTCGAAGATGGAGAGTGCCAGTGGAATATCGTGCGTCGAGGGCTGCCCTCGATGTTGAAGCAGTGGGTTATCTGGGTGTGATTGGGCAAGTGAGACCTGGTCTGTGTGTGTAAGATAGAGGTCGTCGAGCGAGAAGACGACGGTGGACAGATTATAAGGAGGCAAGGATAAGGTGGTTTTCAAGATGTCGACTAGGACAGATTTGCCTGCTCCTTGAACGCCGTTGAGGCCGATGAAGAAGGGAGGCGGGTTAGATTCGTTAGAGTGGGAGAGTTGATGTTGTGAGAGCATGGATTGGATGAAGGGGATTACATGTTGAGCTTTGTCGTCGAGGATTTCTGGCATTGTGGCATTATTCAATGAGGAGTGAACATGACGCGGGGAGGACAAAAATGCTTGTAGAAAATTGTCCGACGTTGAAGAACGGAGAGCAAGCCGACTGACTTTAGATGAAAAGATGAATGGAATAGATTGACCGCGGGTTACAGACCGCGAAGGTGTTTCTTCTTTCTTTACAACTCTTGTTTAACCGGTCGTGACGCTTTTGTTTTGTTTGCAGACAAGACCTTCTGATTGCATGTTATGAAGCGGTGGCGTTCAAGAAGGCATACACTTAGAATAACCCTCCGTCAGCCGCAGTCATATGCCCGGAATTAGTAGGGTGAAAAGAGCCGGAGGCGAATGCGGGTGGCAGAAGGAGATGGGCATCGGAGGTTGGACGATGGAGGGCAATTGTGCGAATAATTGCAAGCACACGTGACATGTGCCTCGGCTCCCCAACGGCCCTCGGCCGTAATCTGAGGTCCCTCTGCGGTGCATTCATTACGTAGCTAGTGGCCTCCGTACCCTTTCACGTTCATGTCTTGTCGTCCCCGGTACAATCCATCGGCTACTCTCTTCATCCATCATATTCCTCCGCTTGAAATATCTTCTCTCGAGCCTCCTTTCATTTCTTTCTTCTCGAACCCAGCCGGTTGATTCCTGTCCCTTCCGTACCCTGCATGTGATACCCAAGTAAACATGGTACAGGAACTACGTTTCGACAACCAAACCGTCGTGGTCACCGGAGCAGGAGGTGGTCTAGGCAAGGCATATGCTCTCTTCTTTGCCTCAAGAGGTGCCAATGTTGTTGTCAATGACTTGGGTGGCTCTTTCAAGGGCGAAGGTGCCGGTACCAAGGTCGGTGTTTTCTGTCACATGCTTCTCGCTCCAGTCCCGATTCTGACGGTATGCATCTTCCAGGCCGCCGATGTGGTAGTCGACGAGATCAAAGCCGCTGGTGGTAAGGCCGTCGCCAACTATGACAGCGTCGAACATGGCGAAAAGATCATCCAAGCCGCCATTGACACCTTTGGCCGTGTCGACGTCCTCCTCAACAATGCCGGTATCCTACGTGACATCAGCTTCAAGAACATGAAAGATTCTGACTGGGACTTGATCAATACTGTCCATGTCAAAGGTGCCTACAAATGCGCCAGAGCTGCTTGGCCACATTTCAGAAAACAAAAGTACGGCAGAGTCATCAATACCTCTTCGGCCGCAGGCTTGTTCGGCAGTTTCGGTCAATGCAATTACTCGGCGGCCAAACTCGCCCAAGTGGGCTTTACCGAGACGCTGGCCAAAGAAGGCGCAAAATACAACATCCTTTGCAATGTCATTGCTCCCATTGCTGCCAGTAGAATGACCGAGACGGTCATGCCTCCGGACGTTCTCGCCAACTTGAAGCCCGAGTGGGTGGTCCCGTTAGTTGCCGTTTTGGTGCATCCTTCCAACACCACCGAGAATGGCTCCATCTTTGAAGTTGGTGGCGGTCACATCGCGAAACTGAGATGGGAACGTGCCAAGGGTCTGTTGCTGAAGGCCGATCATACTTACACCCCTGGTGCCATTCTCAAGAAGTGGGACAAGGTGAGCGACTTTTCAGAACCAGAATATCCTAACGGTGTTGCCGACATGGTTGGTAAATTGGAAGAGTCATTAAAGATGGGAAGCAATGATCCTGGTGAGGAAATCCGATTTGATGGAAAAGTAGTGTTGGTCACTGGTGGTGGTGCTGGGTACGTCAGCATGTGATTCTCGACGGCGACCACTCCTTACTAACTGCTCTGCTTAGTCTTGGTCGGGGCTATTGTTTGGCCTTTGCTAAACTCGGCGCTTTCGTTGTGGTCAACGATTTGGTCAACCCTGACACGGTCGTTCAAGAAATTCAGAAATTGGGAGGCAAGGCTGTCGGCAATAAAGCCTCCGTTCTGGACGGAGCTGCTGTTGTCAAGACCGCCATCGATACATTTGGAAGAATCGATATTTTGATCAACAATGCTGGAATCCTCCGAGACAAAGCTTTCGTCAACATGGACGATAAACTGTGGGATGACATTATTGCTGTGCATCTCAGGGGTACTTACAGCGTCACAAAAGCGGCCTACCCTTACATGTTGAAGCAGAAATATGGCCGCATTGTGAACACGACTAGCACCAGCGGTATCTACGGGAATTTTGGACAAGCCAACTACGCTGCAGCTGTAAGTCTTGGAAGAAGAACAAGCTTAATCTTTATAGACGCCCCTTGCTAACGGAGGCAGAAACTTGGTATCCTTGGATTCTCTCGAGCTTTGGCCCTGGAAGGCCGCAAGAACAACATCTTTGTCAACACAATTGCTCCCAACGCCGGCACCCAATTGACCCGCACAATCTTACCAGAGGAGTTGGTGCAAGCGTTCAAGCCCGAATATGTTGCTCCTCTCGTGGTCTTGCTTTGCTCCGACAGAGTTCCGGAACCGCCAACAGGTCTCCTTTTCGAGGTCGGCAGTGGTTGGCAAGCACGGACAAGATGGCAGAGATCTGGAGGTCACGGCTTCCCTGTTGACGTCAAGCTGACTCCCGAGCATGTCATTGAGAAGTGGTCGAAAATCATCGACTTTAAGGATGGCCGTGCCGACCACCCCGAAAATGGACAAGAAGGAGTCAAGTCCATCATGGCCAACATGGCCAACAAGAGCAAGAAATCGGACAGTTCTGGCACGGATTATCTGGCGGCAATCGAGAAGGCCAAGCAAGCGAAAGCCAGCGGCACAGAATTCTCCTACGACGATCGAGACGTTATCCTCTACAACCTGTCCTTGAACGCCCATAGGACGCAGCTGCCTTTGGTCTATGAGAATGATGACAACTTCCAAGTCTTACCATCATTTGGTGTCATTCCCTTCTTCAACGCCGAGTCTCCCTTCAGCATGGATGAGATCATGCCCAACTTCTCACCTATGATGCTCCTCCACGGCGAGCAATACCTGGAAATTCGAAAGTTCCCGATCCCAACCAAGGCCAGGACTATCTCCTATCCTCGACTTGTTGAGGTGGTCGACAAAGGCGCCGCTTGCCTGGCAGTCACCGGCATTACTACCAAGGATGCAAATACGGGAGAAGATCTCTTCTACAATGAATCAACCGTCTTCGTCCGAGGTTCCGGTGGTTTCGGAGGACCCAAGAAGGGCGCCAACCGTGGAAATGCCACTGCAGTCTACCAGCCTCCTAAGCGCGCACCTGATGCCGTTGTCGAGGAAAAGACCTCGGAGGACCAGGCCGCGTTGTACAGACTGAACGGAGATCGGAACCCTCTTCACATCGACCCCGAGTTCAGCAAGGTCGGTGGCTTCAAGGTTCCCATCTTGCACGGTCTCTGTTTCTTTGGCTTCAGCGGTAAGCATATTGTACAGACATATGGTTTGTTCAAGAACATCAAGGTCCGCTTTGCTGGTACCGTCCTTCCAGGGCAAACACTGGTGACTGAGATGTGGAAGGAGGGCAACAAGGTCATTTTCCAGACCAAGGTGAAGGAAACTGGCAAGCTGTGTATCGCTGGAGCTGGCGCAGAATTGCTTGGTGCTCCCAAGCCCAAATTGTAGATTAGTAAAAGGAAATGCTTTGTGGAGGATCTTTTAATCTTTCGTCAGAATATAAAGCTAGAGACTCTTTTCCGATTCATTGTTCGATTTTCTTCAGCTCCCGTCTCTATGGCCGACCGCCTGCGTGTGTAGCCTCAATGGGCCAGAAGCTTGGGGGCCTCTTGGGCCTTACAACACGCTGGACGCCGGAAATTCCCGGCCAGAAAAATATTGTCTTTATGTATAGAACAACCTCAAACTTGTTTGATTTCTTGATCATAAATCGACAGCGGCGTAAGTCGATGATTTCCACCTTTTCCATGCCATTTATCTCGCTCACAACCCCTGGTAATAGTCAATGGTCTAGTGGTATGATTGTCGCTTCGGGACTCTTATTGCCTATGGCTGCAAACAAGCCATAAGAATGTGACAGGCCTCGGGTTCGAATCCCGATTGAGCCCCAATTTTTGCTGGATCGGAATATTTTTGAAAATAAAAATTTGGCTTTCAAATAACGAAGGTAGGTGGGTTTGGTGACCCAAAGGCAAACTTGGTCGAGAAGTGTGACGGTGGGCAAGAAAGTGTGACACTGGGAAATCTGGTGCCCAATAAGGTGTGGAGGCAACCAGGCTTCGTCGGGCTTTCCAGTGGCTGTACAAGTGGTTTTTCTCATCAGCCTTACTCATGCCTTTGCCCAAGGTATCGAGAATAATGACTCTTCTCCAACCTCTCCATGACCATGTCGACTCTGCTGAATCGATGTGATGTGGCTTTACTCGAGCTCATCAAAACGCTCTGCTCATTCTCCGTCCTCGTTCTCATCCTCTACTCGTCGATCCCCTCCTCTCACCTCATCTCGCCCGACCTCTCCAGGCTCTGCCCTCGCCGAAGTACTTCGCAAGAATCCATTTCGAGCCGGCTCGAAAGAGACTCTGAGTCACGAAGACGAAGACGAAGACGAAGATGAAGATACATCGGTTTCCATGAACAAGGACCTGTTGGTCCTCGCCGATTTCTTTCCAGACGTCAAGACTGAAGTACTTCGTGAACTTCTTCTCCGATTTGATGGTGATAGCAGACTGCCGATATGTACAGAACAGCTCTACAAGTATAAGGGAGAATGGGCTAAGGGCCGGTTCAATTTACCGCCTAGAGGATTGGACGAGACACTCCCCACCGAAGAACTCTTCAGGACGAAAGCCTATATTGACGCGGTCAAGTGGACTGTCGGACGCGAGTTTAACGGACTGAGCAAGAGCACCATCGACGCGGTCCTCGCAGAAGTGAATTTCTCGTACACCAATGCCCGACCAACACTACAAGGATTGGCGAGCAAATCATGGAAAATTGCCCTGACGAGCATATTCAAAAAGAGGAAGCCGCGAGATGAAGCGCCGTCCATCCTTTTGGACAAAACAAGGATAGAACCGGGAGGGCCACGATTGCTCGCAACAGGTAGCGAAGAACTTGACCGGGAATTGTCAGGTTTATTTATGCGCCCTGTTCAATCTCGAGAACCGAAGGATCAACAAGCGATCGACTTCGAGCTAGCTCATGCACTCAATCTGAAAGAAGCTGAGGAAGCTGGTGCTCTCTTTGAGTGCCAGGTCTGCTACAACGACGTTACTTTCGAAGATGTCTCAGTATGCACTCAATCCGACCACACTGTTTGCCTGGACTGTGTCCGCCGGACCCTCCACGAGGCTATCTTCGGACAAGGCTGGGCGAGATCCGTCTCCGTGGAACACGGCACTTTGAAGTGTCTCGCTATCGACAACTGTGACGGCTGCATTCCCCAAGACCTTGTTCATCGCGCAGCGCTGCTCGAAAAGTCCGGCAGCGAGACGTGGGCACGATTCGAAGATCGCCTGGCCGAACACAGCCTGCGGCAGTCCGCCCTTCCAGTCATCCGCTGTCCCTTCTGCTCCTATGCAGAAGCCGAGCAAATCTACGACCGTGAAACGGCGTCTCGATTAACCTGGCGCATCCGCAAACCTCCGGACATCTGTCCGCTTACGTTCATCCTGCTCCTCGAACTCCTCCCAACCATCCTCTTCCTCCTCATTCCCTTCCTCCTGCTCTTCCCTAACTTCTTCCTCACCACCTTCTACACCTCTCTCAACCACTTAGCCTTACAAAGCCGAACCACTCGCTTCGTCTGCCGCCGCGCCTCCTGCTCACGGAAATCATGCCTCAAATGCCTGAAACCCTGGCACGACCCGCACGTCTGCCACGAGCCACTGATTCTGTCGTTGCGCACGACGGTCGAAGCCGCGCGCACGGCCGCCATCAAACGCACCTGTCCACGATGTGGGACCAACTTTGTCAAATCCTCTGGCTGCAACAAACTCACCTGCGTCTGTGGATACAGCATGTGCTACCTGTGTCGCAAGAACATTGGCAAAGCTGGCTCGAACTCGGAAGGCGGCGAAGGATATCGGCATTTCTGTGAGCATTTCCGCCCCACGCCAGGCCTAAAGTGCGGAGAATGTGATAAGTGCGATCTATACCAAGCAGAGGATGAGGATGAGCAAGTCAGACGCGCTGGCGAGGAGGCGGAGCGGCGCTGGAGAGAGAAAGAGGGCATGGTTGGCGTTAAGGGTCTTGAGGATGCCGTGGGCAGCGTCGCTGGTGAAGATACAACGTGGAGACGGTTCTGGCGTGGTAACTGGACGCTGCAAAGTGTCGTGGACCGTATGGTTGAGCAATGCGTCGTCGTTGATGTTGAATAGAACACTCTTTGGTGAGGAAGGGTCTGGGATGACTATGGCTAGAGAAAGACGGACTTCAGAGGCGCCTTCGGGATGGGGATTGAAACGTCTATGCCTACTCTTCTAGCTTTATCCTAACACTTTTGCAATGGAATGGATTAAGTTACATTGATGTTCATTTCAGCTGCGTTACTGTTGCGTGCCTGGAAATAGTTGATCGACCTAAAGCCCTGCTACCAAGCATGCACTGCTATGAACATGCGAAATGTTGCAGGGATCGTAGACACCCATAGCTCTCCTTCGATTACTTCTCCGTCAGTGAGAGCACCATCCCCTCCCACCATGTTTGACCTGAAAAAGAGTATGTATGTGTGGAAGATCCATGAAGCTGGTGAGATTTGTCGACGACGCATTCCCGGAAATCAAAATGCGAGTGCCTTGAATGGATCTTTCTAATAGGTTTGATGGTCAATCATGCCACGTGATGGAGCGGGTTTCTCGTTAGCATTATCGCAATAGGCTCTCACGGCCCTCATCTTTTTCTAGGATGTCGTGTACGGAACGCTAGCCAAGGACATTGCGGCTGTGATCGCATTCCTTCTTTCCGTTGATCAGAGACTTCTTCCCCCAAGTAGGCTTGTACACGAGCTTTGGAAATTTCTGCAGAGCCTTCCAGATGAACAAGCAATCTTGCTTTCCTTCAAGAATCTTTCCGCTGCTAGCCTTTTCAAGTCTTCGACAATAAGCATATCCGCGCATTTATGGACGAGAGTGTTGACTTTGAGGGGTCCCATCAGATTCTTATCGACGTCGCGGGTAGAGGGTGTGGAGGTTGCCGCAGCTGATGAAGATTTCGAACTCGTTCAGTGGAGCTGTAGAAGTCGGGTACTTTTTGCGGATCGTAGTTACTCACGAACAGGTAAAGATTGACTCTGCTCGTGATTTGGGGACCACTTCTGCGAACTCAATGCGCTTCTCGGAGGCTTCCCGTCAACTGTTATTCAATGTTACGGGGAAGATGCACGACTCAGGGCTTACCTGGAACAGACCTCTACATGCCGTGTCGAAAACGCAGAATCCGCACAGACAATAAGGAGGTGGACTTTGAACTTCAGACCCTGGCAGACGATGATAAGGTCGAAATACTTCCGTGACTTCAAAAAAATTCAGGGAGGTTATTTTTGCTTTTTTTTTTTTTTTGGTTTTTTATTTTGGCGAGCCGCCGCTATTGTGATGGCAAGATTGAGAAACGGCAAGTTGAAATGCTGGTAAGGGTGTTGAGTTGGGAAGGAAGGCGTTGGATCAGGTGGAATTGAGGATTTACAAATAACAGAGCAACCGTTAGCGAATGAAAGTGGTGCAGCAGAAACCACTGCCCCCTTGCTGTCTTGTGGTTACGCTTCACAGCATAAAGCAGGGACATCGACGGGAATCCCGTTGTCATCTGCTTCTGAAGGCGGCGTCAACATTGCAGTATCCGCTGCCGGCGCCTCGGCTTGTGGCGTCTCAACCACGAATGAGTTCAGTCGTTGGTTAACAAATCCAGGGTCTGGAGAGGCCCAAGCATAATCCACCCACTGAGGGCCGATAACTTCTCGGATCCCTTTAGCAAGGACACGAATAGCTTGTCGACGCCAAAGAGACCATTCATGGTCACTGACGGCATCTGATGGAGTGATGGTTCCTGGTTCAGCATCAAGATCGTCAGCCAAACCGTCGAGGACACTTCTCCAAACTCGCATGGTCTCATCAAGCTCTTCCATTTTACTCACACCCATGACACTGACACCAAGTTTTTCTCGAGGCAATGTCAGGGCGTGCCCGTAAGAAGCGTCAGTCTTCCCCAGAGGACTACCCAGGGCTCCCACTTTGGAACCTTCGCGGAGCCAGTTTTCGAGGGCAAATCGAACCGCTACAACTTCCAACTTTTCTCCTTTGGTTTCGGCCCATTTTCCGGCGTCGATACACGCCTGGCGCAGATCATTTGGTGCTGGATGCCAATTACCCATCGCGCCTACTGAAGGGCCATCTCTTCTTAACAGGCCCATGCCCAGAGGGCTAGCATTCGTTACAACGTTGACGCCGGTGTTGATAAGCCGCTGGAGGCCTTCAGAAAGCAACCTTGTGTTTTGGAGGGTAAAATTCGCATAAGACTGAACGATATCGAGAGCTTCCCCGGTCTTGCGGAGAATCATTTCGGCCAGATCACAAAGAACATGAACTGGATAACCGGAAATGCCGACATACTTGAGGGTTCCTTCCTCGTCACGGATGCGACGAAGCTCGCGGACGGCAGCGAGAACCTCCTCGGGAGATACGAACTCGCAGTCATGGCAATAGACGACGTCAAGGTAATCGGTTCGCAAACGCTTGCAACTCCGCTGGACACTTTGTCTCACCCAGGACGGAGAGTAGTCAAAGACATCAGCGGCGATTCGGCCGACCTTGGTGAGAAGGAAATAGTCGTCCCGACAGTAGTGTCTGCGAACTAGGTCAGTGTCGAGAGCTGTCCCGAGGATCTCTTCGGCAGGTCCATAGTAAGGAGAGGTGTCGAAAGCATGGATTCCCTGGGCAAGAGCTTTCTGGACGAGAGCGGTAGGGCCCAAGGCGTATGGATCGACATTGTACTACGAGTCAAAGTCAGAGATCGAGACCGTCCTGAGAGACAGAGATGGGCGACTACTCGGTACCTGATAGTTGAAGGTGGCGGTCCCAAAGATCAGAGGGGGAAGTGAGTCAGAAAGGGGGGAGATCGGCCTAGGCATAGCTGGTCAGTCCTGGCAAAGGATTGTCGAGACTGAAGACGAATTGGAAAGGAGAGAGGAGAGGAAGAGGTGGACGGCAGGATAAAGTGGTGGGAGGGAAGGACCTGTAATAACTTTGGTGCTGGCGGTCAAGATGTTGGGTGGTGTCGGAAATTCTGGTGGATGGTGGATGGGAATGGTCGACACTTTTTTTTTTCCCTCCTTCGTTTCGGGAATTCTGGGAGAACTGCGACAGCAGTGGGGCGAGTAGGCGTTGTACCTGCGCACAAACGAAAAGCTAGACAAGGGAGCTAGGGAGAAGAAGGAGATGAATTGCCGTGCCTAGATTGCTCCTTTTTGCTGCTCACGATGACGAGGGCGCAGGCGAAGAGCAGGAGGACGCGCCGGGAGCGTGGACAGGAATGATAATGAGCCGAAAAGGGAAAAGAGGCCGATATACAACGAGAGTCATGCAGAGTGATGCACAGTAACGAACAGAAACGAACTGTGCAGCATTGAGATAATGCAGCCCTGATGGCGATGGGCGATGGGCGATGGGCGATGGCGAAGGAGAGTCGAGCATGGCGCCATCCAGATCCATGACGCCTCGACATTGGTTGTGGAACTCGGCACTGCGAAGCTGTTCCATAGGACCCCCCTGCAAGGGAAAGCCCTTTTCTCTGCTTATCCGGTATAGAAAACGACAGGCCTCATATCATCGAATCACATTCCCCTCCGTCCTCTTGAATATCGGTAGCGTAAGAAATATATCCGCGCCGATTAGAAGCACGGTACTATCTGCAGCCATGCGCCCACGCGCCCATGTGTCCTGCTCAAGCATTACGACACCACACTGACAACGCATTCATGTCTTCTATTTTGGCGCCAATCGAATTCTTTCTGTACATGTTCTTCTCGCTTTGCCTTCTGTGATGAGTATGGCATGGCACGGCGGAAACTATATACGAGTGGTGGCCTTAGTCACAGCATCCCCCGACGATAGCCGGATCAACTCCTGCCTCCACGCTTTAATTCTTTCTTTTTCCCAATAATGAGTTGAGAGGGCCCTTTTCGGGGTATCATCACGCTTATATCCTTGCTCCAGGATGGTCTTCAAGGTTCATTCCCACGCCCATGGCCATCTTGTCGTCTGCATTCCTTTTTCTTCCGGCCTCAGATCTCTCCCCATACCAAATCGACACGTCTTGAACTTCCCTTCGCTTGCCGAAATGATGTTTGGTGAAATCTTCCCACGATATTGTACCACCATCAACCATCCATCCAACGCCGTGCGCTATGCATCAAGATCGAACCGTCACCAGGAAAAAGCGAGAGGAAGTGGGTAGGATTCCGTCGAAGCCCAGAGGTAGTCCAATCTGGTCACCGTCCTTGGGAGACGGTTAGCACCGAAGATCAATCTCTATACATTTTGGGCTTCCAACCTTCTTTGATTTCTTTTTCCATGGCTGCTTTCCGCTCCGCAGACCGAACTTCCATCTCTATTCGTTCCCGCGCCCGCAGAATTTTGCTCTGAAGGTAGAATGACCCGCCCCCCCCCTTTTTGGGTTCATTGAGATCGTATAATTTCTTAAATCGTTCCATAACGTGCTCCATGTTCGTGACGCCACCCTGAGGAGGCTTGACGTTGAGGATTTTGCAGGCTTCATCGAGGGTCATGCCAGAGGCAGCGGCCGTATTGAGGGCGCCAGGGTCATTCTTCGCAGCGGCCCTGGCGTACTGTGATGAGGCTTGGGCTTGTTTATATGCCTCTGCAAAAGCTCTGCCGAAAACACGCCCGCCGGTAAGGACGATCTGGGCGATGATTCGGTGCGCCTGGCCAGGTCAGTATTATTGAAGAGAATAAATATACAGGAAAGGACGGGGGTAACGTGTACTCACCATTGGCTCTTGTACACTAAGAGGAACAAGAAACAAAATGGCTGCTGAGACCGAGGATGGCGATGCCCAAGGGCTTTATTCTGGTTCGAAAAAAGATCTTCTGCTGCTTGTATCGGCAAATCCTCGCTTAATGTTGCTGGTCCGAAAACCCACGGCCTCACGTGATGGGAGCCCCTGCTCGCGTTTGACGTCGGCATCTCATGGAAGCCTTCAACGTTTGGTGCACATGCCCTTCGTCCGCGTGAAGACCACATTGCCCGTTTTGCGCACAAGACGTCCACCTGTCTCTCTGGAGATATATTGTCGTTGACCTGGTCGCTGGCCATGTCTACCCAATACTGTTCTGATTCATTTTCCTGCCAAATACCACAAAGATATATCCACCGACTCTACATTATACACTCGTCCTCGTCCTCACTCTCACCACCGCTGCCCTCTTCATTCGCCGTCGCCACCGTTTCCTTCATGACTAAGGGTTAGGGTTATATGGCAGCATTTGGTGCACACCACGTCCTCCTCGCTTCCATGACCGTCCTAGACTGACTCTGTGTGATGATTCCACAGACACTCCCTGGATCTCATCAATGTCCAGACCAGCGTCTTATGCGTCCCCCACTGACCCCTCGAGTTCCCATCAGAACTGGAACCCGAATCCTCCCACTTATGCAGCCTTTTCTCCGACGTCTCCCTCCGGCCATGCTGCCAGATCCAAGCAGCGCTCTACAATAATAGTGCACAAGAAGTCCCCTCTGTTGGTCGCCACACCTCCTCAAATCACTCGAACATTGGCACATTCCCATCCGTTTCTACTGCCTCTCAACAAACTGGCAGGGCTGCTGTCATGGAGTACGCCAGATCCATGGGAATCGTACCTGCTGGTGGTGGCATTTTGGGCGGCCACAATCTACGGCAGTGAAATTATTCTGTTTGCGAGCCCGATCATTGTGGTTATTGGCTTGATCCTGGGAATGTATTCGAGAAGGTTTTCACCTCTGTCATCAACCAGCAAGACCGGAGACAAACGCCCCAAGAAAGGCGACAAAACAGAATCTTCGGAATCGACCTCTCATCATAAAACCCTGGATGAGATTGTCGACACCCTGCAAGAGTTGACTGCTCGTTGCAACATCCTGTTGGAACCCTTTCTCAACCTGACCGATTTTCTTTCTACGCAGACGACTGCTACCGCCGCCACGACTCGTCCTGCTCTGACAACTCTCTTCATCCGTGTCCTTTTAGTAACCCCATTTTGGATCATGTTGACGCTGCCACCGTTCTATATTCTGACCACTCGACGGGTCATTCTCACTTTTGGCACTATAATTTTGACTTGGCATTCCAAACCGGCTCGTGTGTCGCGGGTTATTCTTTGGCGTTCTGTCTTTATGCGAAAGGCTGCCGCATTTGTCACGGGCTTAGAATTTGATATCTCTCCTCATCCCAAATCTGATTCAATGCCTCGACCAGGCATGGGATCCCGGACGAAATCACAAACAGGCCTCGCCTCGGAGATGGCCACGAAACGGAGACCCGATTCCTCAGGTATCCGTTTCACATTTATCTTGTACGAGAACCAACGCCGATGGATCGGCCTCGGTTGGACGACCTCTTTGTTTGCCTATGAACGTGGTCCCTGGACAGACGAACACCTCAACCCTGCCCCATCCAAAGACGAATTCGAATTGCCAGAAGTGGAAGGGGGCCATGCTCGATGGAGGTGGGTGGACGGTTCAGAATGGAGGATAGAACACGGTGATGCTAAACAGTACCAGAGGGCCGCTAGTCAGGGCAAGACAGGAGCAGCCGGAAGCACAGGAAAAGATGTGAGTGAAGATGGTGGAGGCTGGATCTACTACGACAATCGATGGGATGATGGAAGGAGGGAAGATGGATGGGGAAGATATACCAGAAGAAGAAAATGGTATCGAGACGCTGAGTTGGTGGAAGCTACGCCGAGCGTCGAAGCCACTCCCAGTGGAACTCCGGCGCAATCTTTGTCGGACAACGAAGAAGATAAGGTGAAGAAGGCTAAGGAATTTGGCAAAGAATTAGCCGGGTCCGAAGACACGGTGAACCCTAACACTGTTCATCCAATAGAGACGGCCAACACTGGAAATCAAAAGACCAACGACGATTCCAGCATTGTTGTCAAATCTGCAACGACGAAGAAAGGCGGATGGTTTTCTTCGAAGCGAGATCGCAGTGACAGCAAAAGTAGCAGTGGGAAAAACACGGCACAGTCGAGCATGAGGAGTGATCGAAGCCGAGATGGGCCCGAAGACGATGTGCTGGATCAATGGCGAGACAATCCTACTGGACACAGGACGTTTAGTGTTCAGGAGGACGTTGCTATGAGTCTTGGGTAGGGCATAAAGTGCTTGAATCGACTCGATTGATTTCTGCCATTCTCTGACAGCAATGATGTATCGTTTGAGAGGGTATACGTCTATTCGCCTCTCAAGAGCCATGCTGCACAGGTAGTGGTGCGGTGCAATGAAATCATGTCCCATTCCATTCCCACTCCAGCTTCCCTCAGTACGTAATGTGTAATGTCTGCCAGGATTTTTCTTGCCATTCACCCTCGTCCCCGGTCCCTTTGCCCACCTATTGTCCATCAATTGTGGTCGCTGACAAGTCTGATGACCTTGCTTGAGGGCCCGGGACCTCTGGATCTCAAGCCAGGGAGCGAATGACCAGGCATGATGCCATGCCTCTTATTCTCTAGGTTGACGTCAAACCACAGGATTTTCTTTGAGAAAGCGTGAGGAACCCTTTGCCCTCGCCAGCATGGGCCCAACACTCAGGTATATATTCAGGGCCACACCACATTTTGAGATGCGTCTTCTTCACTCTGTAATAACATCACGGGGCTGTACCGAATCTACAGTATTCATTACACACGATAATGTCTGAAGAACAGAAGAAGCAACAAGGTATTACGCCTTTCTTCCCCCCTTTACCCTTCCTGCTTTGAGCCTTCATCGCAGTCCATCGTCATCCACATCCCATCTTCCCTGACGCTTTTTGAGATGCAACAGCTGACCCTTCTTTGAGGCCTAGGAGGCATCCTCGGCGGCGTAACCGACACCGTGGGCAACACCCTCAGCGGCGTTACCGTACATCCAACTCCTCCCACATGCTCACTATACTTCATTCTGCTAACAGTAAAGTAGGATACTGTCGGCAACACCGTCTCAGGTGTCGGCCAAGGTGTGGGCAAGACAGCTGGAGGCGCCACTGAAGGCGTAAGTTCCCTTCTCCAACTTTCGATCCATATCCCCTGATTTAGTTCTCCCCATCATCCTTCCTTTCTGAATATGAAAAAGATACATTTTACTGATATACGATGTTCGATCGCATAGCTAGGCAACACGACCAAAGCTGTTGGCGAAACTACCAAAGGGGCCACCGACACGATCGGAGGCAAGAAGCAGGACGCCAACAACCCACTGGGACTCTGATCTCGTCACCTACCTTCCCGCACGGTCTTCATTGATATTCCCCACCCGCTCTATGGCCTCCCTGGCTTGTCAATCCTAGTGAGTCGGGATATGGTAAGAGCTGTATGGAGAACCTTTTGTGCCGTTGAGGGGTTTGAAAGCTACTGGCGTGCGATCAGTTTATCATGCATGGAGACGGATTTCTTGGGAGGCCAAACGGCCTGCGTTCTTGCGGCCGCCGCGCCTGCGACCGCGAAGTTCTTGAGAAAATGAGCGTAATCTGCTTATACATCGACCCTCTCCAAACGCTGGTAAAGCACAAATGGACACACTGAGCAAGAGTGCTGTTAAAAATGAGCCTTCTTTGATCTTAAGATGCTGTTCGGGTGGTAGAAACCAACACGACTATGTACCCTAAGCTCCTCCGTCCGTTTGTATCGTATCGGAACGGGAACCGATTTGATTGTCATTGTTTCTAGGACGTTTCCGCTTACTCATCGCTTTTCTTTCAGGCCGCCTACGATACCGCTACAGCAGGCCTTGTCATGGCTGTCAACAGCTCCCTATGCTCCTCGCATCTGCCTCTCTGTTTACGGCAGTCCATTACATGACGATCTACTTTGACAGCTCCGGCAGCTTCGTCGCACCACCTAGCTGCATTGCTTGGTTGAACAACAGTATGATCGGATTAAACTTTGGAAACTGTGCAGGCCGTATCGCGAGCAACATTTATCTGGCTAAAGAAGCCCCTATGTATCCGTAGAGAACAAGAAGCGTGATCGGGGGGGGGGGGGCTTAGGGAGTATCGGCTCGAATTACTGCCCAAAGAGCGAAATAATCCGGAAGGCGATCATCTAAATTTTCCGGTATGTTTATTGAAAATATTCATCCGCGTGGTCATGGTCATTCGAGGCTGCTGAAGTGGTCTGAAAAGAGGGTCGAAATTCCGGGGGAAACGGAAAGGGGGAGTCACGTGGACTGTAAGGCTGAAGTTCCGTAGGAGATACAATAGAGACAATATTGCGGCGTTTTAGATGAAAACACGAGATTAGGGACTGCGGTATTGTAATAGGTCGCATAACATTTATGTGAGCTATGAATAACTGAGTCCTACATGAGTCTCGTTATGTCCATCCCGTCCATCCGGTTGCCTCGTGTAGATCAAGCCATGCATGAGTGATGCAGGAAAATCGTCGGTGGGGAAATACGTGGTCCATGATGAACGCTAGCTCAAACCAGCCTTCCAACCTATCAGTCCAATCTTTGCCATGTCCCCCAAAACAACCAAAAAGCATTTCAAATCCAACTATCATGAACACGGTAATCTTAATGCCCTCACAATTCAATGGTGTCAATGTCCTGAGCTTGATCTAGGCAAATGAGTCCGAAGAATGCGTGGTGCCTGCACTTCCCACGTCCCTTCTCGTCATCGTTGGACTGAGTAATGCTCGGCTGCGCAGTGCTCGCCGTTAGAATCGGAGCCTCGGTTATTAAACGTGTCGTGGGTATGGTCGAATCATAAACGGTACGATCACGACAGCCAAAGAAGAAACCGGGCGACTGGCACGTATGTTGCTTAGCCGTGCGAGTCGGGATCGTTTGAGAGGATGCAGGTGACGGAGATGATTCCTGTGTTGTCGTTGGATCGCGACATCCCCACCAACCTGGATGTTGGCATGAAGAAGACGGTGTCGTGAGGGTGTGGTGGCTGGCCGGCGAGGAAGTAGTCGTGGTGACCGTTGGCGCAACCGTGGTCGTGGTGATGGTCACATTGACTCCCTTATTACACCCGAACCAACCAGGCGTGGCGCAGCTGGTTGTTGTATAAGTCGTCGTAATGATGGGAGTGGATGTTGTGGTGGTGGAGCTTTCGTCGTCAAGGCAACCCCACCAACCTGGCGTTTTGCATGTTGTCGTCCTCGTTCGTGTGGAGGTGGTTGTTGTGGTCGAAGAAGTTGTGGGATCGGATCCATTGCTTTCGAAGTACTTCCAATTGAAGCAATCGACGCATTCGTCGTCAGGGCTGCAACTGGGCACGTCCGGGTAGACTTTGATCACACTTTCAATCACGTTGCGAATCTTGTGATTGCCAATGCCCACTCGCCAACCGTAATCTCCGACAGTATCGTAGACACATTGATGCCCCGTGTGGCATTGTGACTCCATTGCATAACCGCCTAGGGTGCAGGTTGCTGTTGCACCGTTGCATGTGCCCATGAAGACTGGATCGGCGGTGTTTCCAAAATGAAAGGCTCCGGTGTATCGCGTGCGTGGTTTGTAAGGATCGGAAGAAGGAGGGAAAGGGAGACCGAGACGTTTCGCAGCAAGGTCATCACCGGGGGCCTCAAAAGTGACAGTGGGGAGTCCAAAAGTGAGCCCGAGGAGACTGGTAACTGCACCACCCAAGGAATGCCCCACAAGCCAAACATTCGAATCAGGATATAATTCGGTGACATTGGTGTAGAGGTCGATTGAAGCACGATAATACCGATTTTCCTTTCGCAAAGCCTTGACTAAGCATGTTTGATTGCAGGTGTACGTACTTGAGTAGCAGTCACAGACTTGTCTCCAGAAGTACTGTCCACCCTGAGCACAACAGCAGCTAAAGAAAAGATTGTCGTTGAGTTTGTCCTTGGTCGTCGTTCCATCTCCGTCGAAGACAGCAGGAGAAGTCCCCTTCAAACTGATGATGACGGTCTCATTGTTCTGGTCGGCGAAGATGTGACCTCTCAACCCATCACCTTCCCATCCAAATCCTATTGATTGGTTATATCCCCGTGACACATCTTCCCAGTCTCCTTCGCCGGGGACCGGAGCGTAAGCGTCCGCCGCCATGATAGCGAGATCGAGGACTGTATCTTTGTCGGATATATTCGGGCCGTTGACCTCGTCCATTGTCCAGTCTGACGCGTCAAGGATTGCGGGGTTTCCTGTTAGTCTAGCATATTGTAGATGCCTCTCTATGCTATACGGCTGCCTGTTGACTAGTCGTTCAATCTCCATCGAGTGGGATCTCGCCGTGAAGTGTGGCGGATCTTGCAGAGAATATCGAAGTCCATCATCTTCTGCCACCAGCACAGGGGCCTGGGGATGGAGATCGTAGCGTTTATGTAGATCTGGGTCTTGATATGTGCCTCGATGGAAGATGTGCCTCAAAGTGAAATCGTGAACGTTGGGTGGCTTGGGCCCAGGCACAGGATACCAAGGGTCGATGGCGATGCCCGGGGCCTTGTCTGCAGCAACTTGAGTTGAAATGGCGAGAAACGACAATAGCATGCCTGCCGTCACTCTGTGTCTGGAAGTGCATATCTGACCTCTTGATTTCCGTGGCTTCATGTTGTGTTGCTTTGACGATAGAGGAATGGGAAAGGAGGGAGAAGTCGAACAAACTTGGGTGGTGGTGTCGACGTCGTGTGCTGCGAAAGCCCATCATGCGCAGGCTCCACCCGCCATAAAAGAAACCCGAATCACATGCCCTTTTGCTCTTTCCCATTCAACCCGGCATCGACAACGAATTAATCCCCGGCGGATGACTCGGACTCAGGTACAATGATCCCTTACAAGCGAGTCCACGCTCGACAAGGACAAGCTGGCTGCCTGAGAAAGCTGACGGCCAGATGATGTTGACGCACGGATGCCCAGTTTAGTTGTTTCGAAACTGAACACTTGCCTCTGTCCTGCAATTCTGTCTCGTCCAACTAGAACCTCCTCGAACGGAACGAATAGGGCCTGAATCCTCGCCTATCCTATACAGCCTGACCTGCGTCATGTCGAGAAACGCCTCGACTGGTTCAACAAAATCGAGACCACCTGCCCTTTCAAACAAGTCATTTACCCGCTACGAACCGGCCCCTACACCATTCCCTCTCGGAAGGAGTAGAGCCAGCACTATCCAGTCAGTTACCTCGTTGAAGTCACCGAAGAGAGTGACTTCGGAACAGGAAGATGTGTTTGAGAATCCATTAAACGAAGAAAATGAACCACCTTCTCCTGACCTGGGACGGTCCCAGACTCTGCCGGACCGATTTGACGAGTTGCCAATCGAACTGGCTAGTTTGACGGATAGATTTGTTGAGTCCTTGAGTGCCAAAGTGTACCATGAACCGCCTTCAATTGACCAACTATCCGAATTGTTCCAAGAGTTTTATGCTCGAGCCTCAGGTGCAATCTCCATCCACATTTCTGCGCTCAAATCACGTCTGAACCGGGATCAATCTCCCACGCCGTCGAAAGCGGCACGGCCGAAAGCTCTTCAGAGCAAACCTTCAAATGACTCCCTGGCACCTCCGGATATGGGAGGGGGCTCTCAGCAATTGTTGACGGCTTCTGAGGTGACCGAAAGACGCAAGCAGAGAAAATTGTTGGAGTACAAGAGAGTCGTATTAGAAGAGGCTGTGGAAAAGAGGGTATGTGAGAAGATATATGACAAAATATGGAGACATAAAAGCACGTTGGACGAGGTCAGAGACGAGAAGTTGAGATCAAAGACGGCAGCCCTGTCTCTGGTAGGAATCGGGCTGAAAGACCTGGGTATTGAGTGGAGCGCAGACACCGAGAAGACCGCTGAAGATGTCCAGGTCTCGTTGATACCGGCGAGAGAAGGCCTTGCTAAGATGAATGACGAACACTATCCGCTAGGAAAATTGCAACATTTGACTGCTGCTCATAAGGCCATCGTCGATACACTCTATTCAATTCACCCCTCTTCATCTTCCGCGGACGAGATTCTTCCAACCCTGATTTACACCTTGATTACATCTCCGATCGAGGGCATCAACATCATCAGCAATCTTTACTTTATCCAGAGGTTTCGTGCCGCCCCGAAGATCGACGGTGAAGCAGCATACTGTTTGACCAATCTCGAAGCTGCCATCAGCTTTCTAGAGAACGTTGATTTGACCAGCTTGAGGGCGGATGAATTGCCTGAAGGTCCCAAGAAGGCTCCAACTCTGCCAGAGACATCGAGTCAGGAGAAGCTTGAGGCTTTTCCTCTTCTTCCTGATTTAGCGCTAGCACCTTCGTCTCCGACGACGGCAATGTCAGAATCTAATGCGACCTGGACAAATGCGGAAGCAAGCCCCGCATTGTCGATTATGAAGCCCGTACCGGAAAAGTCAACTCCTGCACCAGCAACTCGGCATCAGCGGACCCTTTCCGACCTTCTACAGCCGATCAGCAATGCGAATGAAGCTGTACGCTCAACCGCAGAAGAGGGTTTCAAGAATATCTCGAGCACGCTGGATAACAGCTTCAAATTTCTCATGGGAAAACTAAAGGAGCGAGGCACCGAAAACTCCAATGCAGAAGTCATTGTCCCGAAAACGTTGGATGAGGCCAGGCAACTGGTCAGTCGACCTCTGACACCGGATGAGGATGACCACGCGCTGAGCGAATCGAGCTCAATTCATGATGGCCAGCATACGCCAATGCCTTCAAACTTGACGAAGACAGAAGATAGGATTCTCAGCCTCCTTGGTGGACGAAAAGCAGCAGTGCGTGAACGGAGTGCGGACAGCGTCAAGAGTAATGGAAGCGGGAAGCGAGTGGTATTTATGACGGGCAGCTCAAGCTCGCCCTCCGAAGGGGCTGGAACGGCGATAAACATACAAAAGCCTACTCCATCAGCACCTCAACTAACAAGTAGTAATCCGCTGGAGTCAGTCAAGAATTTCGGCACTAGTCTCAACCCGATCAATCATATTGGCTCAGCATTTGGTGGTGCATTCGGACGATTCGGGAGCAGGGCGACCGTGTCTGCTTCTCCTCCTTCGGGTCCAACACCTGCAGCACGGGCCATTTTAGCCGAGAACAGCAAAAAGACCGATAGTAAAGCGTCAGAAGAGGTGGAGAAAATCTCATTCCGCAATCCCGAGAAGGACGAACTGGCTGGTATCAAAGCAGCACCGCCGATATCACGGTTCATGACCATCACGGACGCGAAAGAGCTTAAGATCGGCGAAGTGCAAGAGTTGCTCATGGATTATCGACGCCTGGCTAGGGTTCTGGGAAAGCTCGTTCAGAGAACTCAAGTCGACCCTGATACGGATGAGAACGAAGCTGATGCCGAAGCTGGTACGGCGGAAACCGGTCAGGAGAAAGAGTTGAGCACAGGAGGCATTCGTGCCTAACGGTGGATCTTGAAGAAAGCTCAGCTTATGCTTTACTTCCTACACTTCCAAGAGGAATAGCCCTGGAAATTTTGTATGGGTCTGGATTTGACAGATCTGGTTTTGCCTTGGAGAGACGCTCCACCTCATTCCAGCCGATGCTGTCTCTACTACGACGCCGCCACCAGCCATGGCCGTATAAGGCGTTGACGTCCAGGACTATATAGCCCGGCCATTGACATCAGTCCGTTCTTCTTCAGAAAGAGTCAGACCTTGCCGACTTCCCGCGTCCTTTCTCTCTATGGGGAAGGAGAGTGCGGACGTGAATGTGACGTGGATAGATAGATGAAACCTCGAGAACTGGAGGATAGAAGAGCTAGCTAACGGACAAAAGCATTGGGTCCTTAAAATTAGGATTTCTGATTCGATTATTTGTACGCTTCCTTTCGACCAAATCTATTTTTTCCTCTTTGTTTGTCGTATTCATACATGTCATGTGGGGTCATAGGACCCAGGAAAGGTCTTCACAGCCGATATTCCAGTTTTGCGTCATCGGCAATTGGCAATCGTGTACAGTGATGGTCATCGCACGGAGGGTATCATTCATTTAATCGTTCAGCACGGTTGTGTTTGTACTTCGTGACAATCGTCAGGGTCGTGAATCGAGTCGATGAGGTGTTTTGACCCATCCCATTTTCCTTACTTCCCTGCGGTCCTGCCGGCAATCAGCTCTCCACCACCTTTCTTCAGCCCTGCCAATTCGTCATCGACATGTCCCTTCTTCATCTTGACCAAATTTTCATGCTTCTTGACTTCCATCTCGTAATTGAGTGCGATCTTTCTTCTCTCCAGTCGTGCCGCTGTTAGCTTCTCCACGTTGGACCGAAGGTTCTCCAGGAACCATGCCGAGGTCTCTTCACGTTCACTGTCCGTTAGGGACCGGAAGAACCGGCATTGATCCTCGTGACGCATTTTAGAGAGGTTGGTAAGCTTCGCAGAGAGGGTCATGGGTATGCCGTTTACATCAAGGGCCGGTTCATGCGCCGGCACTGATGGGTCAGTAGTGAACGGGATGGCGTCGAGATCTGCTATGGTTTTGGTCTTGAGGTCTTCGGGGCCGAAATCTAGATCGGGTTCTTGGTAGGGAGTTTTGGAGGAAGTACGTGGAGTGTTTGAGGCGTCGGCCGGCCGGGGTTGGTCTTCTTCGGAAGAGGATTCCTGGCAGGAGGATACTTTGGAGGAATGTTTTGCTGGTTGGCTGGATGAAGGACGTGACTGATGAGTCTGGTTCGACGGTTGGATGAGCTTGGTTGCATCATTGAAGCTGTTATTCTCAACTTGTTTCTGGATCCTGAAGCGATTTATCGGGTGAAGGATTGGCATCTCCTGAGTGATATTTGAAGCCCTTTCTTCCAAAAGAGGGCTAGCTGGCTCTTCAGTCTCGTTGGAGACGGTTTTTCTCTTCGAGGCATCTTTCGCAAGGTCGACGTCTGGGGCCAATCGGGTGCGAGACGGTGTATTCTCCCATACTGGCATTTCGTCTGCAACATATTCGCCATCTTGCTCATAACCCTCATCGGACCCCTCGTCATTGTAAACTGGCCGATCACTGTTGCGGTCGAAACGTGTGCCATACCTTGGAAGTTGACCTTGTCGACATCTTTCCTGGTCCGCTTCAACTTGCCCGTTGTATAGATGGACTTTTGCCGGTCGGGAACTGTTTCCCTTTGAAACAGGGCCTCCCTCATGTGAATTTGGGACTTGATGTTCTGGAGATTCATTCGGCAGATCTGTAGAGCGACGGCCACATTCGATCCCGAGGCCGACTTTCATTTGAGTTAGTTGATCTTCTGCAATGCTGATTGAGTCATCGAAATGGATACTTTGTGTCTCGTCAAAGGCAGACACAGCATGCTTTGCAGTGAGTTAGCTGTTGTAACTTCAAACCCCACCTGGGAGGCACCTACATAGAGAGGTGCTTGCATCCCGGACGCTGTACGAGAACTTTTTGGAGGAACAGTCACAGCGACATCGGCAACATTCTGGTTTGCGGACTCGGCAGGATCTGATTTTGGTCTATTGATCGCGATTGGGACGGGCAATTCTAATCTAGAAGCATCGCGGGGCAGTATTTCTTCGTGCGTGCTGCCGTCATGGCTACTCTCTCGACGATCATGTTTGAATTCGCCTTGGCCTTGGCCTTGACTTTGACGAGGTGGCAATCGTTCGAGTAGGGTCGTCGGCTGGGGCGTCAGGAAGCGTTGCCCCGGGGTGACGCGATAGCCAGTAGATTCTCGATTCTGCACGAATTGCAGCATATTCGCGTTATTGAGAGGCATACTGACCATGTGACGCCAAAGCGCCACAGAGACTGCTGTCTTAGGTATTCCTTTGCAAAGACTCTAGTTGTTTGCAAGTGTCAGGTTAGGACCTGAAAATGAGCGAAAGCACGTGCATATTCCGGTGACCGGATAATCTATATTCCGAAGCTCCGAAAGGGACCTTGGGCATTCTAGCTACTACAAATATTCATACAGGAAAGGACAAGATCATGTCAGGATCATTAGAGGGTGATTGTGAATTGGCCAAAAAAATTACTGCACGTTTCATCATTCCGGACGGATGCCTCCATAGCCTCTTGGGGCGTCTCCGGGCTGTCCATTGTTGGCGCTCGTCTCCAGATAACTTCATCGTCACTTCTAACTCATCATCTTTTGCGCAACTCATTGGCTCGGCCATGTCCTCAAATGGTCGATGCACTCCTAGATAGGCGGGACCTCCCGGCGGTATCGCCTTTCCGGATGCTGCGCCATGAGCATATTACGCAAGGGCCGTGATAAAGCCGTATCCAAGAGTCAATTTCCCCGTCTTGTTGCTGAGTTGGCTGTCCGAGAGTTTGATTGCTGATGGAGCTGTCTAAAGTGACAGCCTCATTTTCGCCTGTACTCAGTAAACATGGAGAATTTCTGGCACTGCGTATCCATGCATGTCTCAACTATCCCAGCAGACGCCTTGGGGGACTCGAAGACCAGGCCAGTGTCCTGATGCCCAAATGTCTATCGGGTGCCCGTGAGAGGCATATCTAACCGCCATGCCTGGCAAGAGTACTCGTGTTGTGACAAACTGCCCTTGCATCTGGTTTCCGATGCTTCTCAAAGACAACATCCCACTAATGGCGCAGCCTAAAGAGTCTTCCAGTGAATAATGTGCCTTGATCCCACCGACCCCTATCAAACGGCCTCCCCACGTAAGGCAATCTTCTTTAGCTTTGAAGAAATGTCGACTAGACGAAGTTGATGGACCAACCGAGTTACATCCTCGAGATCCTATAACTTACACAAACCTCGCATTTTATTTGAATCTTGTAGCCCCAAATTCAATAATGCCGGTTCGAAGCAATTGCTTGAAGAGCTTCTCAGGTCGTCGCTGTCTGGAATAAATAGCGTCGCCGTGCACTTTTCTGGTTTGGGACTGTCCAAAAGGTTGGACAATGAAGAGACTCGTGCCGAGGTTTTGTGATGCTATCCGAATCCGAGAATGGAGGCTCATGCTGTGCAATACAAGGATTGAGATCCCTGAAGCAAGAGCTAGTGTAAGTTGTCTACCCTCGGTTTCGTTCAACACCCTGGCCACATCCACTGCGTCTCGTGTCAATCTCGTGGGTTTTCCAGTTCCAAACAAAGGACCTCGACTCCAACATGAGGCAATTGCTTGATAGAGACATCCTCGTTCGGCCACGTAGCAGTCTATAATCCCAACTGCCACGCTGATCGACGAGTTCTGGAGGCCAAACATGCCTCAAATTTTCCTCTTCACGGATACCACGGTCAGCCTTTGTCGCATTCAAGTTGAGCGATTTAGAGGAATCGGAAAAATCCGATGAGGAGGACGACCAAATTGAAATCAGCCACTGACCTTTACCAAACCTTTAAAAAAGTCAAAACTATTGGCGTCACTTTGTAAAGTCCACCTCCTGCCCGTCTCCCGATCTTCCCATCCAAGTTCATCCGCAATGAGCAAACCATAGTCCCTGGTGATTCCTTTGATTCGAGCCCGCTGGCCGCCTTCAGCGTCCAGGGTCACAATCTGATCCATATGCAGCCAATGGTCGTAATATAACTTCTCCATGGCCTCATCGAAGCCCGTCCTTAAAAATCGGGTGTAGAGGTCATCAAATACAGTCAAGATTCGGGCCAAAAGCTTTTCTAGGGTAAATGGGGCGACGTCATGCGGAAGGAACTGTGTGAGCTGATTCAATGATGTAGTGGGCGCCGCATTCGAGGTGTTGAGTCCAATTCCGCAGACCGCAATGTATTCCTTACTATTGTAATGGCTGTTCACCAAAATACCACCAATCTTCGTATAGTTTTCATTTCGATCGCCACCATTCTCCGAAGCCTTGGTAGGATCTAGAGCAAAGATGTCATTCGGCCACTTCAGTTTAATTGGCATCTCTTTGTAAAGACTTCTGTCGTAAGATTTGATCCCTCGGACGATGGCCATGGCGGCAAGATACTGAACAAAAACAACCGGTGCAGACTGCATTTGAGCCATGGGATGTCGGATCACAGTGCTGAACATCAGACTTCCTGCCGGCGAAACCCAAACATTAGACCCTCGGCCTCGGCCTGCGACCTGCACAGTGGCCGTGGCCGTGAAACCTTGGGGAAGAGTTCGGAGGAGCCGCGTGTTCTTTTCAAGCAACGTATTTGTTGATGTGACCACTTCTCCGTAGAGTAAATGGGCGCCAAAGTTCTTCGAGGCCCCTGGGGTTTGCGATTGGTAGCTATGAAGGTTTGCATAGAACGCATGGTGATTGAAATATGGCGTTGATTTCGATTCAGGATATTCTTCCGCGTGGGCAACAATTTGCTTGACCACTGTATTATAATCGACTATCCGATCGGAGCTGCCCCCGCCTTGGTCAGCATGTTTTTCCTTTGTCTCTGTCTCCGCAGGCAGTGCTTTGGCTAGGTCAACCATTTTCCAGGTTGAGGGTTTGACAATGTGGAAAGTGTCATTTTCATCCTTGAGAAACTCCTCGTCATGTTCATCCTTCTCGATGAGATGACTCAGGGATGAAATGACTGTGGCGGTGTCTGCGGGGTGGGACGAGGATAAATGCATATGGGATAGGGAGGGTACATTTTGCTCCTCGCTGACTATAAGCCCAAGTTTCGTGAGACATGCTTTGATAAAGTCCATTCGATGCTTCTCGTCGTCGGCCAAAGCTGTGATGACTTCCGAGAATCCAGGGACGTCCGGCCTTGGCTCAAGATTAGCAGCAGCGAATCTAGGCTTCGTCAGTGACCAGTCATCAGCTGGTTTTCCAAGGAAGACGAACTCTGGGTGTGGACCTGTCAGCAATGCTGCACCTTGACCAACCTTGCAATATACGACAGCAGCAGCTCCGTCTCCAGAATCGACGGCAAGGTGCTCTGCATAGCTCGCAAGGACTTCAACACCATCATCTTGGTATTTTGGTGCATCTACAAAGACGCCACCGCCGTTGTAGTAGGACTTGAAGACATTCGGCACAGTTCCTGCTGTCAAGACTGATTTGTCCACGCTCAACTCGGCTGCCCTGGCTCCTTTTTCGCTGTGGTAGACAAAGCCAGAGAACGCGCAACCTCGAGCAACACCAGGATAGAAGGCAAGTTCTCGGTCACCTATGACCTCGAGGAGCTTGTTGCCCACCTCAAACTCACATCGCTTACTGCCGTAATAGCCACCGGCGCAAAATCCAATATAAATGCCGCCACGCTCCACAAACTGGCGAATGCGTCTGTTCCCTTCACCATTGAGCGCTTTGCAGTAGCCCTGGTCGGCCCCGCCTGGGATGACAAGGGCTGCGCAGCTCGCTGTCCACGGCTCCCGAATGAGCATGTCCCCAGTAACAGGGATGACGGCGTAATGAGGAGCAAGGTGCCTTCGAAGGGTGTAGAGGCAGTGACGGACTGATTCGACGGTGCTGCCATTTCCTGAAGATAGCATTAGATTTTGATTGCCACGCCAGGCCTCCTGAGTGAGCGCACCAGAGTAAACGAGGACATTCATTCGTTTAGTAGCCATGGTCGATGGCGGCGTGTTTTGCTGGTGAAGCGGCTCAACGAGTGCAACCGCGGGCTATGTCGGACGACTCTGCACGACCGAGCTTTTCAGACTTTTCTATTTCTTCAACTTTTCCCACGATTCAAAGACGGAAGGAATGTCCCACGAGAAGAGATCGAATCAGCCGGCCGCTGATGAGGAGGAACTCGACGAATGGTAGGCCTTTGGATTTCAGGACCTGTCTCTCACTCGAAGGGGCTCATTTTCCGCATCTAGGGATCAACGGATTTTCAGTACAGGCTGTGCCGGTATACAGTTACCCGAATGTTAGGAACAGTAGCTCTAATGAGGGGTTTGTAGAAGAGCAACTCCGGATGAATGACTGCTACTATGAGAAGAAGGACTGGCGAGCTTGTAAGGAAGAAGTAAGTCGCTTGTTGACCCCCCAGCCCCAATATATTTGAATTTTTTTGCCCCCCCCAAAGCGTGACAGGTTGGTGTTCGACAAACTGACCAATGGGACTACTAGATGGAGGCGTTTAGGCAGTGTTGGAAGCGCAAAGGAAACGAGGAGCGAACCCAAAGCAAAGACGTAGGATCTTGATCGACTACTGCATATTGTATATGTTGCCGTGGTGGTCGACTCGATAAGCAGCCGGTCACGGGGTTTGGTGTTGTCAAAGTCGGCGAACGACGCGAGTGAAGGACCTCGAGCAGACAAGCCCTGCACTCACTTCTGTCTTCGCACTGGCTTGCTGTACGTCTCACGCGCTCCCTCCTCATTTATACAATAGGCTGTGTCTCCTTTGATTGTTAGAGGAGTTTCTTTGTACATTCTGTTTCTCTGGACAATATCCCGTCGTTTACCGCAAGAATGTGCTCTGTCACTCGGCTGGCGTGTAAATTTTCGCGGCCAACATCCGCCATGCTGTTCTCAACCCCCGCATCGCGTGCTTGTTACAAGGCTTCGATCGCCAATTCTTCGTTCCTACACTCGGTCTCGTCACGGATGATTTTCTCCCAGTCCTCTACTCGAAAAGCCGAGCTAGCTGCGACCTCAACTCAAGCTGGGAAGACCGCAAGTGCTCCAAAACCCTCCACGAATGGGACTGTTCTCCAGTCGTCGGAGAGCACTACCGACCAGCCACTGAAGCTACAAGAAGATGACCCGTCGCATGTGGACTGGACAAGGTCTTTCCATGGTCTCTCAATAGAGCCCTTTTCCAAAGAAGCGGCCGATGTTCTTCAGGCGCCGTTGAATCCTGAAGACGTCGAGATTAAACCGGATGGCATCATATACCTTCCGGAGATAAAATACAGACGCATTTTGAACAGAGCATTTGGCCCTGGTGGCTGGGGACTGGCGCCGCGAGGCGACACGATCGTTACCGACAAAACCGTCACAAGAGAGTACGCATTGTTGGTACATGGGAGGTGAGCAATGGAGAACTCATGGTCAGGAAGGCGCTTACAGAGATGCAGGTTGGTCTCGATTGCACGCGGAGAGCAAGATTATTTCAACAAAGATGGCATCCCGACAGCGTCTGAAGGCTGCAAGTCTAATGCCATGATGCGGTGTTGCAAGGATCTTGGTGTAGCCAGTGAGCTATGGGATCCTCGATTTATTCGAAAATTCAAATCGGAGCACACTCGAGAGGTGTTTGTAGAGCACCAGGGCACCAAAAAGAAGACTAAGATATGGCTTCGCAAGGTATCTCTACCGCCCATTTTTGATTCTAGTTTATCATACTGACCAGGGATACTAAATCAGGGCGACCCGGTGTCATATCCTTACGCTGAGCTGAAGAAATGATCTTCTTGAGCTTCAAAATAAGCGTCAAGGAATCCACCACCTCCCCCAGATCCACCAGATGAGAGTATCCCAACCCTTTGCTTATCGGCCAGCATCTCAGTGCTATTAGAGAGTCGTGGACGTTTCCACAATCCCCAGGTCTTCGCGATCACCAATTGACCAAAGCTCTTCACGCTGGAGGATTGTTGGCTTCGGAAGGTCTCTCTCTGCCTTGGATTGTTTTCCAGAGGTGCCATTAGACCTGGACGTAAGGGAAGACCTGAAGATTTAATTCTCGACAAACGAAGTCCCTGCGGTGATGGCAGAGATGTCGCATAGAGTCGGCATCATCGTTGCAGGGAATGAACCGGCTTGCGACGCCAGATGAAGCGAGCCTTTCAGGCTCCGTCGTACTTCGAAGAATTGGTTTAACCCCACCTAGGAGGGTCTGAGGAATGCTGTATCTTGTGGAATTAGCCCTGCTCCAGAATGAGGTTAACCCGGTCGAAAATCGCCGAAAGTCCTTCCTTTGCCTTTAACTACGTTGCAATCCCCCCACGAGTGTGCTATCGATCAGAATATGCTCACCGGCATGTACATGAAGTGCTAGACGCCAGGTCTGAAACAGCGAATTGAACCTTGCATAAGGGATATGGCATTATCTCAGTGCAGGTGCGTCAGATACCAACCGGTCAACGAGTCTTGATTTGGTTCTGCCCCGTTCTATCGAGTTCTGTTCGCCTTTGGCAAAAGCCTAGAGCTCACAGGCATTCAGACGGAATGAATATAGGAATCCATTGTGAACGAATAAATTTAGGAAGCGGTGGAGGACCCCCCGGGGAATGCGATTGTGCCTGGCTCAACGTCCAGGCTTCGAGCATGTGAAGACGTAGGAAAAAACCTGATGTTGTATTGGTCAATCTTTTGGGTCGATGAGCTGAGTCGACTGTTGATCCGATGACTCGGTTCGACTGCCGGTTTCCTAGCCTGAAAGTCCTCTTGAATTTTGGTAACTTTCACAGAGAAACAGAGTAGTCGTTGGACTCTCCTGAGCTCGCGGCTTGCAAAGTTGCGGCATTGATGGTTTGAGGTTCGGTATGCATTTGCCCGGCTTTTCACGACTGGTCAGTCAGCGGCAGTTGCATAAGAAGCTAGCAGACTGGGCTCGCGGCCCATCCTTGTAGCGTCGTATCGCCCCTTGTCGTCTGCTCTCTCATCTCGAGCGGAATCAACAAATCGTGCATTGGCTAAATCTCGCGGAATGCAGGGAGGGCGCAGGCAAGATTTTAGATAGTCTGATTGCTACTCATGTCAGTGATGGCGTCTGTACGGACTTGGGCGTGAGGTGAAGATGGCCGATCGACTTGCCCCGGAACCGACCGAGCCTCGCCCGTTTCAACAGAACCAGGCATGCTTTCCGACCCGATGCTCACCATCCAAGCCGCTGGCGGTCGCCTTTCCAAGATCCGCCTAAGCAGCGCTGTTCCATTGGTGACAAGTTGCCCCGTCGTTTCTCTCTTCCCACCTTTCCAGCTGTCCTGCCCCGCAAGCCCACAACCCGCAGCGCTCGCCTCAATTTGAATTTATTTCAGCTTAGTACCGTACATACCTCAGGCCAAGATACCAAGAGGTCCGTCGTGTTGTCTTTCTCATGCCTAAAGACTCAGAGTACCGGCCATGAAGACTTTCTGTTCTCCTTCGACCTCTGACCTGATGCAGCTGCACGCGGGCTGATTTCAGGATCAGTGGATCATACTCCATCGCAATCCACGATCCCGATCCGAAAACGTAGCCCTTCCGAAGGAAAGAAAAAATAAAGAGCAGGATCACGAGTGACATAACGATCTAGAATCCTCCAGATGAAGAGAGTGGCGGTGCTCTCGCAGGCCATTCATATTGTTCGCGATTATTCTGTACTTTTAAGCTCCATTTGATTCATCTCTATTACCATTGGGCCCACCGCTTCCCTTATTTGCTACCTGTTTATATTGAAAGGCATCGCGACCATTTTACCCCGCGCTACACTGAGTTCATCATGGCAGCCGCCGCAACGCCCGAGCCAACTGCCAGTGCTTCCACCAATACCACTTCGCCTGAAGAAGGGAATGAGCTTGCGTTTGGTCAAGTGTGGAAAGACGCAGCCAAGTCCCCAGAACGACCGAACCTCGCTGACCTATCCAACGGTGGAAGACGTAAGTCGTCGATTCAATTCCATACCGCTGATGCGGAAAACATCATAAGAAGGGAGAGTGTTGTACAAGGTCCGCGACTGTCCACGTCTCAAAGAAGAATATCATCCCCTCCTCCTCCATCCAACTACCAGCGAGGCGTGTCTTTTGACACCTTTGACAACCGAGATGCATCGACCGAGGCCTTTACCCTGAACTACAAGCATTGCGATTATGCTGCCAGTTCCCGGAGTCGAACGTTCCTGTGCGGTACGGATGCCAAAGACTATTCGGAATATGCATTGGAGTGGATGTTGGACGAGTTGGTCGACGACGGCGATGAGATTGTCTGTCTTCGAGTGGTGGAGAAAGATTCCAAGATGGCCAGCGAGACGGCGTATGAGCGGGGAAAATATCGGGTTGAAGCGCAGAAACTATTGGACAGCGTGATCAAGAAGAACAGCTCAGAAGAGAAAGCAATCAGTATTATCATGGAATTGGCCATGGGCAAGGTCCAAGAAATCTTCCAGCGCATGGTAAGCCCGAGCATGGTCAGATTTTGTTTCGTATGCACGCTGACGTGGTGTTAGATCCAGCTCTATGAGCCTGCGGCACTAGTCGTGGGGACCAGAGGCCGAAACTTGGGCGGTATGCAGGGCTTGCTCCCAGGCTCGGTCTCCAAATATTGCCTGCAGCACTCGCCTGTCCCCGTGATCGTCGTTCGGCCAACCTCGAAACGGATGAAAAAGAAGAAGAAGCGACAACTGGAAAGTGGTCGAAGTCTGTACAGCAGCATGCTGGAGCAGGCTCAAGTCTCGGGAGGCAGTCATCTCTACGACAAGGCTAATAACAGTTTAATATCCATGGAAGCTACCGAACAAGAGGCCGATGCAGTCGCTAAGGCCATTGGACCAACCAAACGGGGAATATTGAAGGGAACCTATGGCGGCCCATTGGCCAGGGTCACCTCGCCCAAGAGTGATATAACTTCAGATGAAGATTCACCGGAACGAAGCTTCGCTTTTCCCATTGGATACTTGAGCACGGAAAAGGGGCCCCGGGCTGATCTCGCCATGAAGAGTCCCAGCATTGTTGCTCTGGAAGAGAATTGGGATGACGATGGTGACATCGATAGACCGTCGATGAGACGTCCTGAACACAGAGACAGTGACGCTGCCATTTCTGACACGGAGGACATCCATCTTGGGGTCCCCAAGATTGTTGAAGAACGAAGGCCGTCTGTCCGAGAGACCACGCCCTGGCTGGCCGAGATCCTGCGAGACAAGCCGCAGAGAAGGTCTCCCAGTCATGGCCGATCACCATCACGATAACATCAGTGGCTAAAGACAAGGCTATGATTGCAATATTGACTGGAGCACCCAAGAATGTTACAGGCAATTGATGCGCTTTGACAAAATCCTTTTGAGCTCGAAAACCACTCTAGCCGATGCGGATGTCCAACTGTGCCATCCAGAAGATGAAGGCCCGTCTTGCTGTTGGACCACCAGGCCTCCCATGCAGCATTCCCAATTACCCACACTAGCACCTGGATGGCAAGACATGGGGTAGGAAAAGTTATCACTCTGGCTTGCGTGATATCCCTGCTACCGAAGGATAGAATGTCCCTGGTCAAGGCGTTGTAGTACAAAGCTGACGCGTTTCGGCGCCGTCAACTATTGAAGAAGCCCCTGAGAACATTTAATAGTCTGATGACAGTTTCGCCAGCGGCGCTGTGGAAAGCCAATTATCGAATGAGATGTTACCATTATGAATTCGAACTGGATAGACCATGATTTATACTAAAGGAATTGTGAACTCTTTGGTAATGTGTAAACTGATGAATCTGAAGCGTGGGGAGTGGATGTCCATGGTTTGGGGCGCGTGTTGCCCGGACGGAGTCCGGTAGGCGCCCAGCACTGGCTGTCCTTCGTCTTAGACTTTAACTGGTTCGGCTCTCTATCAGCTCTATCGGTGTAGCGGCTGCTGGCCTTCAACATCCCATGAATTTCCACTCCCTCCCCTGTACACGCATTCGTCCCCTCTTTTACCCTTTTGCTCCAATGTCCAACTTAACTCACTCCTTGTTAACTTATCGTCTCATACACTGCAAGGCGAGAACATGCATTTAGAGGACTCCCGCATCGATCATTCTGCTCAGACTACACAACATGTTACCAACGAGCGCTGAGAATTGTGACGAGTGTATTCCCGACCATCCAAGACACTCCAGCCATTTTGGACCTAAGGCCGCCTTCTCGACTCTCCCTTTCATCGCAACTTTCGCCTGTCTAACTTTTATTGCCTACCGCAAGGTATATCCTCTATTGGCCTCTTCTCCACCCAAGGCGCAAGATGTCAAAGGCCTGCCTCGACCAGCGACCTCTCCTCCGGAACCTGCTGCACAGCAGCTCGCTCGACGCATCGCGGCCGTAACGTTCTCTTCCACGATAGCCCTGTCTGCTGTTCTGACAGAACTGCTTCTCTGCGAGATTTCCAATTCTTTCAATCCGACGGCGAGAAGTGTCGCCTTGCAAATCACCGTGGTGAGCCTTTTGGGCTTGCTTGTGGTGGCTATTCCGTTATTGGGAATATCATCAGTGGTTTCTAAATCGGGATATAAGTTCCGCGGCGAGAAAAAGAGCCGGGTTCGATTAGCATGGACATTGGAGTTTGCTGGATATGCTGGCTTTCTCTTTGGTTTCTGGGCAATTGGCGCACTATTGCCCGAAGGCCCGAGCATCACGGAGAGTATTAACCGCCAGGAAGGTCTTTTTCAGGCATGCTTGGACAGATTGGGTATCACTGGCGTTTCGCTGATGGCTCTCTTATCTGGATTTGCCTCCGTCAGTGCGATATGGCAATGTTTTGGCCCAAAGGGAAAGTCTGTTGCTGAGACGGATATCAATCGAAAGCAGGCCGGACTGGATGCAACAATGGACATGATAGCAGAGAAGAAGGAAAGACTCCGAATGCTGGAAAGAAACACCTCTGGAAATACCGGCCTCGGATTTTGGGGACGGTCGGCCAGCTTGTTACGTGGGAATGCAGATACCCAGGAGAAAACGACACTGGAGATGGAGACATCGGGCCTCGAGACAATGGCCTCGTCACTCGAAACCTCGCTCACGATACTCCGAGCACGACGAGCGAATCAACTCCGAGCAACCACGTCAATGGGCCGACTGTCTTTGGCATTCTCATACGTCTTTGCCGTCTACTGCGTGTACCGGATCTGCACCACGACGGTCAACATTGGTCGGCGCTTACTCTCGAGTGCGCCCACTACATCGTCTGATACAGATCCTGTCACTTACACCATTGCTGTATTCGCGCGCAACGTGTATCCTTCTCTTGACCAGGCGTCGTGGGCCCAGCAGATATCTTTCTTACTCTCCGGGGCAATGCTTCTAGCGTCATTTACCGCCGTCACACAAACATTTCACCTCTTTGCTCGATTCATGCCTACCGTTCTGCACGCCACAAGAACCAATTTTGCGCTTTTGATCAGTCAGATAAGTGGGATGTATGTCATTAGCTCTGCCTTAATGCTGAGAGGGATGATGCCAAAAGAAGTTGGCAGTGTCATTAATTCGGCACTAGGTGCTGGCCTGCTAGAGCCTGCTTGGGTGCAAAGGTGGTTCGATGGATTTTTCATGCTTGCGGTGGCCGCCACCACAGTGGGCATCTTTCTGGGGCGGCAGATCTCCGGAGGAGCCTCCTGGGAGGATGATACTGGATGGGATGGCGCCATGGAATTGGGCAAAGAGTCGTAGCTCGGTGTTTAGAACGTGTTATGAGTAAATGATAGATGGATTCATTTCTGGCTGCCTCGGATAAACTTTTAGAGTGTCAACGGTCGGCAACCAGTAGCGGCCTTTGCATGTCAGCTTCATGGAAAAAGTCGTCTTGGGACCGAAACAATGTTTTTGGTCCTGAGTTCACACGAGGCCTCGAGGCTGAGTTTGACGGAGTTGGAGAAATTTTGGCCGTGCGGAGTTGGGGGACGAGACGTCGTTTCAACGAATGCCAGGTATAATTTCCCTCGACCATTTCCCATTTACGAATGTTTTTTGTGAGATATTTGACGACACAGAGGTCATAGGATAGAACGATCCATCAACACATACCTACAGAGATACAATAGACCTTGTCGCCAAGTCCTCCAGCTTCACAAGTCACTATGACTGACGTGTCTTCGACACTATCCGATATTTTGATTCAGAAATATTCGTCGAAACCAATTCTCGGTCGCGGCAGAGATCTCACTTCCGATCTTGATGTGTTTTTGAACGAAGCATGCCAAATTGTACCAAAGCCTTGTACCTGGAATTACTGCGCTGCAACTAGCTCACCATTGCACAGAATAGATCCATCTCATCGCTCCTTGGCTATCTGCGAGCAATACGCACTCCGTACCTTTCCACCGCTCCTCCACCTCGCCATCAAAAACGATCGGGAGCTGACTACTCGCCGGCCGCATCTTCGCTGCTTGTTGGCGACGTGCCCGAGCACTTGAACGACTCGCAGCGTGAAGCGATCGATGGGGAGACCTCGTCGGTCCTTCGAGATCTCAACAACAAGATAGCCAATTTGTCATCGGCCGTCAGTCTCCAACACGACACTGCCACTAAAGTACTGGAAAGGAAATATGGACGACCCAGCGGGTTTCTATGGAGGTGGGCAGCCGGAGATGGAGACCCCCCGGATGCGGGAAAATCGGAAACACAAATTGAAGAGGAAGGGCGGGTGAGGACGACCAAGTTTTTCAGAGATGGGGTTTTGTGGTATCTAGGCAAGAGACTGAAGGATGCCATTACAGTTCAACAAGAGATGGTGGAGAAAAGACTGGAACGAGAACAACAGAAGCAATTGAGCGTTCTTTACGATCCCAGAAATAAAGACGTTCGCACCTCTCGAGATGTTGATCTGGAGACATATCCTGATCGAGATTTACGGGGTCACGACGAATATAAGCCTTGGGCTGATCCGTCCCAAGGCGGTGGTGAGCAGGACTTGTCACAAGAGCAGTTGCAGCTCTTCGAGGAGGAAAACAGAGGTCTGTTTGAGCATTTCAACGACCAGCTGGCCAAAGTCACACAGGTGGAGAAGAGTTTGATGGAGATCAGCAGCCTACAGCAGACGCTGGTGGGGCATCTAAGTGTTCAAGGGGAGATGATTGGAAACTTGGTGACCGATGCTGCCAATACAGATGAGAATGTTCGCAAGGGAAATCGGGAGTTGAAGAAGGCAAGCGAGAGGGGCAGTACGGCGCGGCTGGTGTTTTATGCCACGGCTGGGTTTTGTTCGTTTCTGGTGATTTGGGACTTGATATTCTGATCGAAATCAGAAACCGAGGGACCAACAATAGGTTTCCATTCACACATGCCCGACTCTGGCCTCTAAGCTTTCATCCCCGGAATTTTCCTCTCATTCCGATCGTTTCCGAAGTAAGGCTCGAATGTGAGGGGTTGGAGTGGGGCAGACGAGTAGAGGAAGATTCCAAGGCGCGAGTGATGTGTGTACCAAACAGAGACATCCCGTGGGAAGTACTTGTGTATGAAACACGTACCAGAATTGAGATGCACCGATTGGACCAGGTGAGGCCGATCCAGTCTTCATATCAGTCTTCTCTGAATGCTATGGCCCTGGGAGTCAACCTCGGCGTCGGGAGATCCCTGGCTTGCAGCAGATCACCACAAACATCAACTCAGCCACTCCTCTGAACCAATACGACGCCTTACAATTACCGAGTTACCGGGAGGATCTCATGCTTGGTGGCGTTCCTCGTTCCTCGTGCTAGTCGGCTGCATTGCATCAAAGCATCTGATAAAAGCATGCTAGTATCGTGCATCCGCCTGTCCTCAGGTGCGCATCCATCTGTCCTGCCATACGAACAATCTGTTTTTTATTGGGGGGGGGGGGGGGGGGGGGGGGGGGGGGGGCAGGTGTCGGTGCCAGTTTCAGTTCGGCCATGCCCTTGCCTTCACCGCCGAAACCATTTACCCTCTGCTCCGCCTCCGCGTCCTCTACTTCAACTTCACCTTTCGCACAAACTAATGTCAACACTCGTCTGTCTCAGATTCAACATCACACCATGGGTTCCTTAGCAAACCAGCCCGTCGCGACTCACTTCGACGCCAGTGTCGTCCCTCAAGCTCCAGAAGACCCTTTGTTCGGGTTAATGGCAGCTTACCGAAAAGATCCATTCGAAAAGAAGATTGACCTGGGAATTGGTGCATATCGGGATAACAATGCGAAACCTTGGGTGTTGCCTGTTGTCAAGAAGGTGTGTTCCTTTGTCCATAAAAGCCCAAGGAGCGCGAGACTCATTACACCCAGGCGGATGAAATCCTGCGAAACGACCCCAACCTGAACCACGAATATCTCCCCATTGCCGGTCTCACGGCGTTCACGACAGCTGCACAGAAGCTCATTCTCGGTCCCGACAGCCCCGCTATCAAGGAAGGGCGGGTATGTGTTCTCTTCAACCGTGCCTAGTTTATATTCACATGGCCAACTTTGCCTAACCTTTTCCTACAGGTTTACTCCGTTCAAACCATTTCCGGAACTGGTGCCGTCCACCTTGGTGGTTTATTCTTGTCCAAATTTCTCCCCAAGCCCACACCGTCCATCTACCTCTCCACGCCCACCTGGGCGAACCACAATCAAATCTTCAACAATGTCCACCTCCCCATCAAATCCTACCCGTATTTCTCGACCAAGACGAAAATGCTTGATTTTGACGGCCTGATGTCGGCCCTGAAAACTGCGCCCGAGGGAAGTGTTGTCTTGCTTCATCCGTGTGCACACAACCCGACAGGCGTCGACCCGACACAAGATCAATGGAAGGAGATTGCCGTGGTTTGCAAAGAACGAAAGCTCTTCCCTTTCTTCGACTGTGCATACCAAGGCTTCGCCTCTGGCAATCTTGCCACTGACAACTTTGCCATTCGATACTTTGTGGAACAAGGGTTCGAGCTCTTGATCGCCCAATCGTTTGCAAAGAACTTTGGTCTCTACGGCGAACGAACAGGTGCTTTCCACTTCGTCGCCGCTCCGGGACTTGATGCACAGGACGTCACCAAGCGAGTCGGCAGCCAATTGAACATTCTGCAGAGATCTGAAATCTCCAACCCCCCGGCCTACGGTGCTCGGATCGCCAGTCTCGTGCTCAACGATGAGAAACTCTTTGCCGAATGGGAGGACGATCTCCGAACCATGTCCGGCCGAATCATCGAGATGAGAAAGAGTCTGAAAGCCGAGTTGGATCGATTAGGTACTCCCGGCAATTGGGATCATATCACCAGCCAGATCGGAATGTTTTCGTACACGGGTATCTCGGAGGCTCAGGTCATGGCGATCCGAGAGAAGTGGCACGTCTACATGACCAAGAACGGCCGTATCAGTATGGCGGGCTTGAATACCTCTAACGTCAAGTATTTCGCAGAAGCCCTGGATGATGTGGTCAGACATGTCCCATGAGCAAAGATCTGCATTTAGACAAGGACAGGAGGTGGGATGGGCTTTGGAAATCTCCCTTCTGAATTGGACTGTACACAAGCTGCACAAATCAGATGACATCCCGGAAAACACACGCTAGATAGGTTGGGTTGGACATTAGTGGCAACGGTGGGAAAATTCTGGGCATTGCTAGGCTGGAAGACACACCCCTCAATCATCCTGGTCGGGCTTGATGATCGATAAAATCAAGGAATGAAAGAGAAGACCAGGAATTCAAGAGGTACGGCGTTGTATTTGTTTCATCATGTTTTCATTTGGTTTCTTCTGATCTTCATGCATGCTTTGGTCTGTCTGGGCACCCCATGCGATTAGGAGGTTATACCGTACCTCGTCTTTCTGTGTGGACCCTTGCCCAATGAGTAAGATGTTTAGTGGTCGGCATATCTAAATCATCGACTTGAATGGGCTGCCATTGCAGTCGCTTTGCTGAGTTGAGTGGCCCATGAACTAAAACTCTGAGGTTCGACAGCGATGACACATGTGTCGACGTATCAAGACCTTCGTTTAGCAGACTGGAATTTTCGGGAGTATTGCTCACTGAGCATCCCTCACTCCTGTCCTGATGCTGATTTCGGATCCGCTTCCCAGACTTCGGGACACGGCAAGGAGGCGAGGCGGTTCAGTGAGAGTCGTACTCTTTCGGCCAAAGTCCCGTGGTCATGTATCAAGATATCACCATTCGACCCTTGCTCTGTTACCATTGCATTTTCTTCCGCATTCAATACTCAGTCTCTCAAGTGACCATCAAAAATCATGGCCCATGCTGTGACTCCCTCTCCACTTCCATCCTGGGTGGGCCAACCTCCGGCATCGACCTTCCCTTGGCCCACCACAATTCCCTCCACCACACGGAACCCGAAATGCTCATATACCCTGACGGCCTGTCTTGTCGTCGCCTCCAGCCATGCGGGTACGTTTTCGGCCCTCGCCCGCTCCAGGAAAGGCGTCATTACCGCGTTGATACTACCCTCCACACGTGGGGCAGAGGGGTTTCGTGCTAGGAAAGACAGATGGTAGAAAGGTCGGAGTTGGGGTCCGGGTTCAAACTCGACTTCAGGTCGAGTATCCTCGGACTCCGGGCTTGGAGAGTCCGAAGCTATCGATGTCTTAGAAGAGGCCAAACCGAGACACCTGGCCTTTGCAGCCTTGACTTTCTCTCTCCACTCGGCCAGCAGTTCGCCGGGCCGTGTCCTGGAGTCGATAAACGCCTTGCCCACGTATGTTGGCGGTTCCCAGAGTGCAATGACCGACCAATTTCCGGCTTGAACGAGCTCGGCGTTTGAAGCGGCACTGTCAAGGATGCCTTGGGAGAAATGGCGGAACCGTCGTGCCGAATCGATCGATGGCGACGGATAAGGGGGTTTTGTTCCGTCAATGTCGGCGATGAATGCTGTTGTGAGCGCTGTTTCGGAGAACGCATCGGTGATGATGTTGATGAAGTGGTTGAGGTCGCCGGTCGAGGTTGGCGAAATGGGTGTGTAAGGTAGAAGGGGAGAAGTCGAGGACATTGTAGCATATCGTCTTCAGATAGTAAGGTGGTTTGAGATTCTGTGTTTCGAGGTCCTGGCATTATGCATCCTTATAGTCTGGGGACCCTTGTCAGGAATCTGATGTACCCAAAGACGTACCTGAAAGGAATGGTGGTAAGAAAAGGGAAACCACCAGAAAAAGATGTCTGCGGAGAAAATATGAGCAATGAAAGGCCATTGAGCATAGAGAGCAGAGAGTTTGTCCGTCCGTGGGTAACCGCGCTGGAGAGTTTTTGGAACGGGCCCTTTATTCTTTGGCTGCGCCCTTCGGCGATGTAACCAATGTGACGTTTGATAGCCGTTGGTTCTTACGTTAGTATGGGGTAAGAGAAATTGACAGTATTCTGGACAGGTGACCTCGGTGGAAAATGAAGGAGCCCACCAACTGGGCAGCAAGAATCATCACATGCGGACATGGTACGTGGCGCTTTGTTCAACAAAGCAAAGAGAGGGACGTCGAGTTGGTACGAAAGAGGGTAGGAAGAAGGTAGGAAGACAATAAATTAGAGAAGTTTGGATGGTCGCCGGATAATTACCATTTTGGGACCAAGGCCATTTTCCCTATCTAGACGTCCACTGAAAACTGAAGACCGAAACCGTGCCTCTGATATCCCTATGTACAAAGAGCTACAGTACCATTCCATTGCCTTGTCCACGTCCACACCATGCCCCACAGACCAGTCCTCGGCTTCTGTTGCAGCAGAATCACTCACTGATCATGTGCTCCTGTACCTTCGTCTCACAGAACCCGGCTAGATTCAGTGGCGCGACCATGTCCATGCCGATCACGGCCACGCGTGGGTTTCTTTACCCCACAACTCAAAACCACGGGAGAAGGAGAATCGTACGACCGACGCGTCCAATACCTCTGATCGTCGATTATTGTCTTCAGCATCAGGATGCGAAACGGTGGAGAGAGCCCACAGCTAGAGAGGTGACAAATACGGCGGTGGATTCGGTAGACTGGAATTTGGCCCCTCTCATGAAGATAATGGTCGAAGCTTGTCCCATCTGCTGGATTTACTTTGCAAGCTGAAAATTGCCCACCCAGTTGCCATTCCTATCCATCTCACGAACAAGTATCTGCCGCGATCCAACAATCACCACTACAAAGGCACGGAAGTTTTTGTCGACAATCTCCTTTTGCACGGTGGGCCCCGCAATATAAGACTGAAGCTGCTTGCGGACACTTCCAGATTTCGGACCTCTTCCATCAATCCAGTTGCGGATGGTACCGGTCCGGTATTTATCGTCCTTGAATTTGAGTCCAAGGATATTGTTCTCCACCAAGTTCCAGGTAGGGGGTTTGGATGTTTTTGAACTCGATGAGAGTGTAGAGTTTTTGGTTGTTTGTAATGAGTAGGTCGACAAAACCCGCGTTAGTGGTTACCTATTTAGGTCAGCTTCATGTTAGCTATGCTAACAGTGGTCTTACCTTCTTACTTGGTATTCACCCACAGCGTCAATAGAAGGATTTTCTAGAATCATGATCTGGAAAATGCCTCGGTGGTGTTCCTCTTTCTTCAAAAATGCATCTCCGATTTTATCATGTTGTCGCATCAGCCGACAATACCCAGCAAGAGCTCTCATTGGGTTCCCGGTTTGGGCAAGAGTACGTAGAGCATCACCAATGGTACTGTATAAGCCAAGCCGCTCAAGGATCGCAGATCCAAATCTCCTAGCAGCGACACGGTTCGGTATCTTCAAGAACTGGGATGGATTATCCGAATCAAAAGCCAAGCCATCCATGTAGACCATTAAGGATCGCCATGCAGGTATTTCGTCTTCTCCGGTCACCTGGGTACTCTGAGTAGACAAGAATGTGAGACTCATACATAGCATCTAAATTTCTCAGGTTACAAGATGACTTACTAGTTGGTGCAGTGTAAAGCCATCGAGCACTTCCTCATATGGAATCTTTTGGTAAGAACCATGTTCGTCCCTTTGAAGTGCACATTGCATATCATTCACAACAACAGGTGCCCTTGCACAGGCCCGTAAAAAGGGTTCAGAAACCTGAGTTTGCAGGATTCTTGATTTTGAGTCTTCTTCCGTTTTTCAAAGCCTAGATATCCAACCATTAGTTCTGGAGTTAGATGATACCCCCTCCTTACCTGAAGATATGAAAGAGCGGTGTGGGTGTTAAACACCAGCTCCACACTCTGTTCTTGGCAGAAGTGATAACCATCTTCTAATGTCCTAAAGTGCTCTTGCACCTCTTCATTCTTGTTGATAAGTCTTAGCGCTTCTAGCACGTCGGATTGAGTTAATCCACAAAGGGCTGAAATCTCTGTATTGAAAGAGATGTTTTGTTGGTCGTTGGCACCACTCGTGAGGCCGGTTAGAAGGAGAGGCGTGACTCCAGTGATATACGCTTTTTTGATACCATAAAACGCCTTCCCCCCCACTTTAACGTTGGTCCAAAATGCCTTCAGAGTACGAACTGGCTCAGCATCGGACCATGACAATGGATCATGTGGGTCCATATAATCGTTGGCGCAAGCATCGTATTCATCTGCTAGTAAATAGATCTTTAGGCGTTACAATGTATTAGAGCGTGGTAGCCTCATAAAACACATACTCCTTGTACATCCCAGAGGGGATGATCCTTCTCGCGTCTGTAATGAATGCGTTTAAGCGTCTGATTAACAGCACTAATGAGGCGTCTGAGATTTCCGGCCGGGTTTTTCTCGTTAAAGGTAGAGGTTGCTAACGCAAACCGGTCGCCTAGATATTCGGCGTAATCATCCTTGAAATTTGACAGCCCCAGGTTTATTTCCTCAGCGAGGAACTCTGCATATTCTTCAAGTTTTTGAGGACGGGAGGGGCTGGAGAAGTCAAATTCTAAAATAAGATACCGTCCAGGTTGAGTGATACCAGCTTTGACAGCTTTATCCACGTCGAGATCCTGTTTGGCATAAAATATGAGTACACAATTCTGGCGCTAAGGATTCCACACACCTTGAAAAGCCCGTCATAGCTTTCGCGGAACTGAAATCCATGGAAATACCGCAGCATCGCGACAGTGAGCGACTTTCCAAATCGCCTAGGACGGCAAACAAGCTTAATCTTTTCCCCCTCTTCGAGCTCAGGGATGTACTCCATCTTGTCAAAGTATGCCCCCCCCCGGCAGCTGGCGAATTTCACAGAAGTCTGACATTCCCAGTGGGAAGTCTTTCAGTTCACCGGACACCACAAGCTTCGAGTTTGTTGGAGTAGTGGTGAAACTTGTGCGACATGTCACCAAAGGAATTCGAGCATAGCGGTGCGGCAGGAAGGGAGCAAAACGAAGGGTGGAGCTCGTTGGAATGGCGGAGAACCTACATATCGGCCTATGTAGGTTACCGACCGTCGGCATAGCAAACGAGTGGGAGTAAAGAGAGCGGCTGCGAGGGAGACGAATGTGATGGACAGAGAGAGATGGGGGCGTGATGAGGTTGAGAGTGGTGAGGTGTTTAAGCTGCAGGCTTGGAGAGCTGGTTGCAGATTTCATCGCTCTTGGCGGCATTTAACGCGGAGCATTAGGACCAGCAGCTCAAAGTTCAATTTACCACTGCGATTTATGGCACAGCCCTCCTAGCCTAATTACGGAGGAATAGCGGGGAAGATTTTCACACCACTTTTCTCAACGATGAGATCTCATAGCTTATAGATAGTATCAATCGACTCCTTGATCAAATATCTATATATTAATTCGGCACCGTTGTTGTAATACCGTCAAGCGGTTCACCCCCTAAGTTTTCAGAAGAGGTGCGCCTCACTAGACTTCACACGGGGTATTCAGAGAGGCATAGAGAGCGTCTGCACGCCAGCGGCAGCGAGGGCTACTTCAGAAAGGCATGCTACGAAGATCCTAACGAGAGCAATTAATAAAAGGCCCTTCGAGACAATGAAAAGGGTTTCCTATCAGTGGCGAAGAGTGATTCATTGCGGTTAGGCAAAGTGGTGCTACGCATTGTTTCCTTTGGCCATTGCGTAGAATTGCAATGATAATGCAATAAACCTGGAGAGATACACTGAAGAGGTTAGAGTACCACCCTTACCACTGTTGATATTAATATTCTGCAAATGCTAACACCGTCACTCTTGAGGTTTGTGTAGAATTATGTTGACCTGATTGCCTGCCAGGCTACAACGCCATCGACAGGCAACAACGCTGGTAAATGCTGCTTGGATCCTACACTCATTTGGAGAGCCAGAGCACTCCTGTTAAACTTCCTGTGAAACTTGAATTGAAGGAATGCTCTGGTTCTCTTAATGAATGCAAGATAGAGCCCATCTATATATCTGTCTACGCAGTGTACGTCAACGCTGTTGCCTGTCAATGGTGATACAGCTTAGTGAGCGAGTTTCGCGGAACAAGTTGGTCTGTTGCGAAAGATAGGTCACCAATTGTTCAACAGCTCCTTTAATTTAAGTTGCACCAGAAGTTTGACACCACTGTCCCGCCACATGGTCCACGGATTGGATCCGATGGCGGTGGTATATCATGGGATCCGATCCAAAGGACCATCTGGATATCGAGGCCGGCGCCCTTACAACATGGTCCATGGATTGGATCCGATGGGGAGTGCCAATACCTCACGTGATAGCGCCAAGCCATTGACACACGTTATTGGCCATCACTGTAGTCTTGGCGTCTCCACGCACATTGGGTTAAAATCGTGTGATTTAAAAAATAAGTTAAATTAGGGTTTATTTTATTCCGCAGAATTTCCCTCCAAATTGACACCAAATCGTGGTTGACCTATCAAGGACAAAACTTAATGGCAACGCTGGGTTTTAGTCGAACCGATAGAATTGAGGGACCTCACTAGTGTTAGATCATATGAGGCAAGAGGGTTGTCCGGTCTAGCTCCCCATTGAGTTTCTAGGTGCCCTAGATGGGTAAACGTAAAGCTCCAGCCAGTGATTGTTATGTCGTCTTGTTCATACCATTAGGTCACTAATTCAAATTGTCCTTCAGTTGAACTTGTCTGGCTGAAGGAAGGGGGGCTTTCTTTTTTAATATTCTTGTTTGCTTGTGTGGACCGCCTGCCTTACGGAGGCCATGTAACCATCACCAAGGGTTAATGGTGGTCTTTCGATTCCGATGTCGAACGCTATACTAATCAAGATGTCCAACGTAAGTCTGAGCATCTGAAAAGACCGACTTCGTACTGACAGAGGGAAGAGTATTTACTGTAGATTGGCGATGAAGAGCTGGCCATCGCGCAGCCTAACTAGGGGAGAGGATATCGTTCATAGTCTTCCTGAATAAAGGACACTAGCGATAAAAACAACTTTAGGCGCACACCAGCGACTGTTTTCTGACGTCCGTACGTCTGCAAAAAGGTTCTTGAGACATGCACGAAAAGACGGTGCACACTCTCTCTTGCCGTCGTCACGAGAGTACTCCCCTTATGGCGCTAGCCTATGCCTCAACAGAGACCCTTCTCAACATACCAACAACGTAGGACTTTGGAAGACTTGTTCAAATCTCATTTGAGCTGCTGGTCATAATGCTCCGCGTTAGAGGCTTGGCAGGAACGGCGCCAAAACCGGCGGCCACAATTCGGCGGCAGATCTCCCTTCAACCCGCGTTGTGCTGTAAAGTTACATGTGTACCGGGGTCTCAAATAACCAATAGGCGTCATAGGTCGGACTACTCGAGCCGTCAATGAAGGTCTTGCGACATCGGTTGTGGACCCTGCCGCTCGATGATACAAATGCTGGACCAAAAGTGGAGACGGCTGGAGGCTGCAGTAGGAACGCGTCGTCAGCTTGATGATTCAAATCATCAGCCTCCGCCACAAGCGGTGTCATACTGCGACACTCTAGCGAGGAACTCGGACTCAAAAGAGGAGGGATATGACCAAAACTGCGAGTCCGACACTGAGCAGAGCGACGAGGAACTGAACCTCAACATATGGGGGACTACAATATTGACAGAGAGGACAGCTACCTCGGTGATCCGGACGATGGCGACGATCAAGATGAGGACATTGTTCGACAACGAGCGAGACGAACACCCATGAGTCGCTTCTTGTTTACGCTCCCATGGAAAATAACCAGGCAGGTCCTCAGGAATTTGAGCCTGGAGATCGACTTCGACATAAACTTCAGGATGTTCAGATCCCGTGTTTGCCATCATGGGGCTCGAGAGAATCAAGGGCATCTTGGGAGATTTAAGACAGTTTTTGGCCGGATACCGCTGGTGACGAGAATAAATCATTCTCACAATCCTAGTGGGAAGTCCACCATCTTGTATATGTTTCTACTCAGGCCGTTGGGCTTCCTTTTCTGCCAACTATCAATGACGTGGTGTCGGCAACAAGATTCCTGTTTTTAGAGGATAGGGGACGATCGGACATTAATCTCGGAATGGCCAATGACAAGAAATTGATGCTCATCTCGAATGGTCGGGTGCTGTGACCGTGCAACTTGCCACTGGCCGCACAGCCTTTTGGTGGGCGTTGTGAGACTTGTTCTTTGTCAGAGTTCCACCAAACCACCAGCGAACACATTCTGTTTGACCTGTTCAAAGCCAAAATGTAGAACAAGAAAATAAATAATAATGAGAAATGGAAACAACCTTGGGGTATTTTTAGGTCCGGGAACGAGCGTTTGCGTGATACCCTGGATCCCCCGTCCCACGGCCCGTGTTTCAGAACTTGTATCAGACCCAAGCCACAGCCGTGTGGGCTCTTTGCTTGAGCCTCCATCCTACCGGGGTTGACGACAAGGCGCAGGGCGTGGATGGTAAATGAGTGGCCAGCAAGCAACGGTGCCTGGGGAAAAAGTTGCCCCTGAAGCCACGGGTCAAAGTGCTCGGTTAGCCATCAATCGAAGGCCCCGAAAAAATCTCTGTTCTTTTCGCCAGTTTTGGATCCATCTGGAATTCTCTGGCATTCTCCACCGGAACAACAAGGCAAGGAATATACGTGGGAGGTACCTCATAGAGCGCAGGGAAGTCTCTGAAGGGCAACCAATACAACGCGAGGAGAGCCATCGAACTGCCATCAGACTTTTTTCGTCCGACCAACAAACATCTCTGTCCTCCCTCCACTTCTTTCAATATCCTGTTCCTTACTTCCTCAAATCCAATTTTTCTTGTTCCTCCACTCGTTCTTCTTCCCCAGATCTTATTTAGTTCATTCGCTTGTCCACGTAACCACCTTCGTTGACCTCGTCTCGTTGTTGTACAATTCCCTTTTACTCAAATCATTCTCGCTTGCTTCGCCTAGTTGCACCCCTGGTCCATCTGAGCACGAAACCCCCGTTCGAACACAGTCTTCCTCTCTGGCAGAGTACATCGGGGCCGTCCACATCCGTCATTTTGTGTGTTAAATTCTCTGATTTGGGCTTCCCTGCCCACCTTCTTTCACTTCATTTGGACCAGCCGTGACATCACTTGACACAATGTCATCAAAAGGTCACTTCAAGCGACTCCCCACGGAAGGATTCCAACCTCTTACCCATCAAACATCCAAAGACATGACCAAGCCTAACGACATTACGATTGATATTCCTCTCACCCAAGTCACCACCTCTGGCAGTGCCACGGGAGCTCGAAAAGCCGGGCTCTCCCCTGCACGATCCGAGCACAACACCGATCTTTCGGGGGAGACGATGAATGAAAAGCAGGCTCTCCACTTCCATCACAGTCCGGGAGGCCGACGAAGAAGATTGGTTCAACAAGGTCTGGAGAACAAGGACCAAGAAGACGGAACTTTGAACGCAGCTGGCCGATTTTACAAGAAAGTGTACAATGCTTCGGTCATCACCCGATATTTCGTCATTGTGGCACCGCTCGCGTTGGCCATTGCAATTCCCATCATTATCGGCGCTACGGTCGCTCCCAACGCAAGAATCGGAGGGGTCCAGATTGTTTGGTTCTTCTCCTGGATTGAAGTCGTCTGGGTGTCTCTTTGGGTTTCCAAACTGCTGGCCCGGTTCTTGCCATTTCTATTTCAGTTTCTCTGTGGAGTGGTCAGTTCGGGAACCAGAAAGTATGCTCTCGTTCTCGGCGCGCTCGAAATCCCGCTGTCCCTGGTGGGCTGGTCCGTGGTGTCTTTGACGACTTTTATTCCCATCATGACTCTCAACCCGGACCAGAGATCACGTGGTGACACCCGTCCGACCAACTGGGAATCTGTTGTCAAGAACATTCTCTTTGCCTGCGTCTTTTCCACCTTGGTATTGCTAGTGGAGAAGGTTCTCATTCAGCTTCTGTCCATCAGCTACCACCGCAAACAATTCGACGAGCGAATCAAAGACTCTAAGCGCAACATCTATCTCGTGAGTTTGCTCTACGATGCCTCTCGACATCTTTTCCCGATGTACTGTCGAGAATTTGCGGAGGAGGACTATATGATTAACGATGTGCTGGATCTCGCTGGCAGCGCCGGCCCACGAAACAGTACGATCCATGGTGACAAGAGATCTGGCTCGGCGGCTCCGTTGAGGCTGATTCAGAATGTGGCTCGAGCGGGCGACAAGGTCACAGCGGCCTTTGGCAACGTCGCCCAGGAAATCACCGGCAAGAAAGTGTTCAATCCCACCGCGTCGCACTCCGTGGTGGTCCAGGCTTTGGAGAAGAAACACTCCGCCGAGGCTCTGGCCCGACGTCTGTGGATGTCATTTGTCCTGGAGGGCAAGGATGCACTGAGCCGTGAAGACATCATCGATGTTCTGGGATCAGACCGGACACAAGAGGCCGAGGAAGCATTCCAAGTGCTGGATGTGGACTCGAACGGGGACATCTCTCTCGAGGAAATGATTCTCCGCATCACCGAATTTGGTCGCGAACGCCAATCAATTGCCAGCAGCATGCACGATGTCGACCAAGCTATCCACGTACTCGACAATCTCCTCTGTACCGTCGTCTTCGTGGTCGTCATCTTTATCTTCGTTGCATGGCTCAACGAAAACTTCACGACGACATTGGCCACGGCTGGGACCGCCTTACTCTCGATGTCCTTTGTCTTTGCAGCCACGGCGCAAGAGGTATTGGGCTCTTGCATCTTTCTCTTCGTGAAACATCCATTCGACGTGGGAGACCGGGTGGACATCACCGACGTTCAATATGTGGTGGAACGCATGTCACTGCTCTACACGGTGTTTCGGCGAGTCAAAGATCAGAAGCGAACTCAAGTTCCCAACATCGTCCTCAATTCGAATTGGATCGACAACGTTTCCCGCAGTAAGGCCATGCGTGAACAGGTGCAACTCTTTGTCAGCTTTGACACTAGCTTCGAGGACATCGATCTGCTCAAGAAAGAAATGACCCACTTCGTCCGGGACAAGGACAACGCTCGGGACTTCCAACCCGATATCGATATTGAGGTGATGGGGGTCGCCGAGATGAATAAGATGGAGTTGAAGATCGAAATCCGTCACAAGTCCAACTGGGCCAACGAGGCGGTCCAAGCTGCGCGAAGAAACAAATTCATGTGTGCCTTGGTCATGGCTGTGCGAAAGATTCCGCTGAATGGACCAGGAGGTGGAGGTCCTCCTGCTGGTGACAAAGCGAACCCCACATACTCTGTCACGATCACGGATGAAGTGGCCAAGAAGAACAAGAATATTTTTGATGAGGATCAAGACAAGAAGCGACTGGTTCCCCTCTTGGAGCAAAACCAAAAAGAACCCGATGTCTCCAAGGACCAATCAGCTTCGAATGACAACCTTGTTTCGACTACGGGGGCCGAGAAGGCCGCTGTTGACCACCTCATCAAACGCCATGGGGCTGTCGATCCGGAAGAAATCATTGACCATGATCGAGAGCGCACTGTCAACCAGCAACGCTCGAACGGGGTGGAAGAAGTTCGAAATATCCTCCGACGTGAATCAATCACTGGACGTCGCCGAGCGGCACGCCACAGTGGTATCTCATTGCAAGAGAGTGCGGATGCCCAAGCTGGCTCTCGTACCATCCCTACCATTCCTGAACCATCACCTCCAGCGCCCGTTGGTGCTCCTCCGCCCGGAAGGGTAAGCTATTTTGAAGATACAACCCATGCCGTGAGCACTCCTACCGCCGCGCAGCAAGGATGGGCCACGGTGACACCATTGAATTACAATCAACCATCGACCAGCACCATGCCTCAGCAATCAGGCCGTCCTTATTCACCACCGACATCACAAACACCTCCCACTTCGAGCCCAGGGCGATATGTACCTGGGAATGCTTTCTCGCAAAGAGTATATTCTCCTCCACATGTTCCACGGGCACCGGTCCCGGGAATGCCGGAGATGAAGAGGACTCTGCAAAACCCACCACCGAAATGAGTGCATGAGAATTGACCGAGCAATGGAATAATAGACAGATATCTTGATTGAGCGCGAGACATTTTGCTGAGAGGGCTCCTCTTAGTGCAATGCCACAGTTGAGCTTTCCACCGGGGCTTCACAACAATTGGGCTATTTTACCGCCGAAAATAAATGCCCATAAGTCGAGCAAGAAATAATTGGCAAGCCAGGGTAGAATGTATGATACTGCTTTGATTGAGTTGTCCCTGCCGGAGTAATAGATTTGATAAATGGGAGAGACGCGGGGAGGGAAAAAGAGATTTGAAAAAAAAAAAAAAAAAAATAATGATAAACACTCGAGATCTTTGTCCGAAATATTCCATGATTTACCGTAGGCCCCAAGCATCCGCTTTTTGGGAACGAGTTGACTATGAATACAGGAGATGACTGTCGAAGGTGAACGCTGTATGGAAGAGGAGAATCCTGCAGTGACACCAGACTCCATGCTGTATTGCGCTTTCACTTGGATTCAATTCAATTCATGTCAATTAATATCTCACAAACACACCAGAAACCAATCTTGAACGGCCAGAGCTGCTGCCGCTTCCACTACCCGTGCGCTCATCTCTTCTTTTGCTTCTTGCCTCGACGGAGCCCTGACGGGATGTGCTTGCCGTACTGGCTGAACTTGTTCTTGATATGTCTGGTCGTCGATCGCTCGGTGTGCCTGTTCCTCCCATTCTCGACTGGGGATTGCTGGAACTGCTCATCTCTCGTTCTTTGCCTTTGCCCTTGCCCTTGCCCTTGGCGCGGTCTCGAGGGGAGTGTTCTCCGAGGCTTTTCGGACTGTCGCTGGTTGATCTCCTGGGATCCCAGATGGCTCTCGGTTGGTTGTCGTCGTCTTCGTCGTCGTCGTCGTCGTCGTCGACGTCTTCAAGAGATTCTTCTCCCGGCAAGCCGTAGCTGAGGGTCTCTGGCTCAAGAGCAAGAGGACTGGGTCCTCTTCGAGGGCTGTGGGGTCCCACCTCTAATGACAGCCTTTGTTCGGTGGGTGTGTGGGATGCCGATCGGGGTCTGTATGTTTCGTGTGATGTCGATGGACCATATGAAGGAGATCTCTCCGACTGACTCTCATCCATAATCACACGACGGTGATACTGGAGAATGGTTCTGACAAGCCTGCCAGGATTGCCGACGATGACAATCAACCCAATATTCAAAAGGGAACTATATAGGCACACAATGACTAATGCCTGAACAACAACATGCGACTCCAAAAAGTGCCAGTGGTTTGCTGATGAATCCTCGAGCCTCGATTCAGTCAATCAATGGTGTGTTTTCTTCGTTTCCATGGGCACAGCCTGGCTTGAATGCAGCAAAAGCACGGGGGCGTCGTATCCAGTGCGTATTAGAAGATTCCGAATCACCCACTGGCTTTTTTCCCTCACCTCAGCTTCAATTGACACCTCTCTATCGACCAGTTGGCTTCATGCCCCCTTCCCAAAAGTTCCAGAGAGAAACAAGCGAGATGTCATAATTATACTACTGGGTCTGCAAGCATGGTTTGAGCACGAGCATTTTTTTGACCTCAATCTACCTCGAAAGCGCCACTGGCTACTGGTGGGTGGGATAACCCAACTCCAGCACCTAATTAATAGAGTCATTGAGGTGACCAATCGTGGAAATTTCCTTATTGCACAGATTGCAGGGGGGGTCTTTTGTTGGTCATGCACAGATCTGGCGTTACATCGTTATCGGCTGGCAAATCACTCCAAAAAGAGCCCTTTGACAAGAAAAAGGGCCCAATGTTTGGTTCAAATCTGTGACCGTCGACTCATGGACTCATGGGCTCATACGTTTTACGGGCCAACATCTAGGCTTCCGAATTGTGTCATGTCCCTCACCCCTGGGAGACCCGTCGGCTCAGTTCTTCGAGAGGGGATTGGTGGATGCCGCAAACGACGGTCGAAAAGGAGGGTTAGGTCGGAAAAAAGCTATGGAGGACTCTGGAGTCTGTAGCCCCTAAACGACACCGCCTTGCCGGGAAAATGCACGTCAACAAGCCATTAACTTGGGACAAGATCCATCCCGGCCCGATCTTTCACGAGTTAGCCGATCAAAGCACGGTGTTGCCTGCACCCGAGGGCCCCTTGATGCCTTGAGTCAGATGACCGATGACCCCAGGAAAAAGTCTCAAGCAGCTTACTCATTTCACTCAGGCTCGAACGTGTCATAGCCACAATTATGAGCAATCCGAATTACTCGAGATACCCAGGATGAAGCAAAGGCCTTTGATGCACGCGCCCTTTCCGATGGCTCGAGCTACCTTGTCTACGGCCGACAATGACCTCAGTTCAGCTCGTTGCATTGCGTATTTGAGTGTCTGCCTGGTTCGCCTTCAAATCTGTTGCCCAGTTCGCCCGTTGGACTTTATCTTTGTTTAGCCCCGACACCACCCGCAGTAGTGACTGTCATCCATCCTCTTTACAGAACTCGACAATAACTTGTCCGGACTTCGAAATTCTGGGTGTGTGTTTCCTGTATGAAATGATTTTCGATCCTACGTGCCGTCGCCTGGTGCATGGCTTTCTTTGGATAATAACGTTTCCACCACACCCACGCTTGGTCAATAACGGCAGTGGGCTGTCTGCCTTGCCGTGAATAAAAAAAAATCACTCGTCCTGAGAAGACAGCCAACCATGTCACAGAGCTTCTTTTAGCATTTCAAGCTCTGGAGAAAGACCCGCGCTGATCATTGTCGCGAAATTTACTCCTCTGGGCCTAAAGCCTTTTAGAAACGACCGTCAACCCCCTCTTTTCTCTATCCCGCAACTCGTGGGGCGGCGTCAAGAGCGGGCTTTTGTCCACCGACGAACCAATCTGTTCGAAAATTTCTATTTCAACCTTGATATCCATGCCTCCATTGCCTGTTCGAGCAAAGGTCAACAGAGAGAAGCCGTTTTGTCAACTGCCTAGACCGCGTAATTGATAAGCGGGTTTTCTTAACAATCAAGAAAGGTCGAGACCCAAGTGTCTTTTCAGTGGGGCCCTCGGGCAAGGAGGAGGGAAGGATAGCCTAAAAATAGGGCTCCCCTTGGATCAAAATTCGACACGGATCTCGACTTCATATCACCCGTCAAGTCCTGACCAACCCAATACCTTAGATATGCGGCAGCCTGTACTTGTCCTTTTGAGTAAGTCCTAGTGGTATACAAGCAACTTTCGGCCCCATTCCACTCCTCTGTCATACCCTTCTTGTCATTGTGGATTCGGCTATTGACCGAATGTGGAGAAGTTTCAGAACCTATCGATCTGTCTGTATCAAATTGCCTTGATTAAGACGGATGGCCACTCCCCTGCAGCGGAGAAAAGCTGCAGCATTTCGTTGACCGGTCTCTTCCTTCCCCTCCTCTCGCCACTGTCCTCGAATCCATACCGATTTCGACCTGGAGCATCTTGTCTACTATTTTTGGAGCCAAGACTCTTTACCGGCAGCTGTCTTGACAGAAAGCACCCTCTTCAACCTCTTCCTCGATGATCCCCTCTTCAAATCCTATCTGAAAACGAGATTAGGTCGCTCCACTCTCACTCGCTTCACAACAGATTCCTATCGCTATCTATTCGGGTGATGTTGGGGTATTGGGGTCTTCAGTCTGCCCTGTAACCGGTTGGGTATCGACTGGCCAACTTCCCCCTGTGATTTGATGCTAGGCGAGGCGAAGGGAAAAGTTGGAGAGAAAAGCTATTTTTCGATCCTCCCAGCAGCACTCAACGAAGTCGTCCATCCGTCGGCAAATGCCATCCTATCGTGGGTCCACTTTTGAGGTGAAAGAGAACAATTGGGGGATATCTGAAGGCCATCAGGACGACCAAAGAGGTGTACGCATCAAGTTGCTGTTCTACCATTGGGAACTGGACACAGGCGGGTTCGTCAACCATGCTTCCATATCTAACAGTCATGTCTTTTTCTATTCTAAGCCCTTCAAGACATCCCCTCTTGGCAACCCTCCTCTCCTTATTGCACTCAACGACTCATCACGAAGTCGGGATTGAGGCCAAGAATATCCTACCGATATCACAAGATCCCCGGCTTGCTTTGCTATCACGTGAAGATCCTCAGACCAGACGAGGGCATAATGGGACATGCGTAGGTCCCAAGACATAAAGCCAAACCTCAAAGGGCTCTATAGCCATGAACGATCAATCCTGGATTGTTTGACAAGAATCGCACTATGACCATCGCCCCCAACTGAACTTTCTTGAAACGGCCCTTGTGCCGTACTCGCCCTCCCAGCATGCTACTACTAAGTCAGAACGTGTACTTGACGTTCTTTTCCTAGCAAGGGAAAGTCTGTAAGGGAAAGAGACCAAGAGCTCAGCGGGAGACGTTTATACGGATCTGGAAACATGGGTATCTAAGGATCTTATTTGGATCTTGGCCCAAATTGGATATTCAGAATAGGCATACGAGAAAGGTTGATACTAGCATCAAGATATTACAAGGCTAAGAAATGGAACAACAATAATGCTATGGCGTTGAATACCAGTATTAAACAATCGGGCACAAAATTCAGTCCATTCATATAGGAATTCTCATGCACCATGCCACGCCACGCCATGCTATGCCAACCGGTCGTGTATACAATGACTGGTCCTTGCCGCCCCAATCTATGTCAGAACAAGTTGATGATGCGATCATGAACTAATACCAATACCAATAACAACATCAAAAGTCCGGTGCTCAATGCTCAACGGCTTGATGCTTGTCGCAACCAACCTTCCAACATCATCACTTGCTTGAAAAAATGCCCAAGATCATAAAGGACCGGCTAGATTTCATCCCGCCCATTCTCCTGTATACTCTTCGCGTGCATAAATATCGCACAGTTATAGTCAGTCCCCCAACACCGAACCGTGTTTCTCGTGGCACGTTATCAAAACTGCTCCATAAACCCTCTTCTGACAGTCCACATCCTCCCTCTCTTCCCGTAAATATACATGGGAATCGCGGTCAGTAGACACGCAATCTGAATCCCACCAATTGCCAGAAAAGTAGACTTTGGTCCGTCATCCTCTAACCAATTGGCAAAGAACAAACTGAACACCAGTCCATGGAAGATATTCTTGCTAAAGTTCAACGTCACCAGCGCCTCGCCTGCGTATTGTCTGTAACTGTCGACACAGAAAGTAATCGATGTGGTGCTGCCGAGCGAACAACCGAAGGAAATAACGCCAAAGAAGATCGTCGGGACGATCCACATGTCTTTCTCTTCCGCAGACCAGCCGAAGCCCATGAGCCCGATTGCCGTGCTGATGGCGACGGGGATGGCCATGACCAGGCGAAACTCGGGTTCGTAGACACCACCGTTTCGACGCGCCATGAATCGAACGATGATGTCGGAGACTTTGCCGGCGACGGCGGTACCCAGAATGCCTCCGACAAAGGGAGACAAGTAGACCAAACCGGCTCCCAAGGCGGAAAAGTGGTAGCTGTCGCTGTTTCGGTAGATGTGGGAAATCGCTTCGGATAGCACAATTAACCAGCCGACAGAGAGGGAATAAACGAGCGTTGACCATAGTACACTCGGGTATACAAACAGGATAAAAGGCCGGAGAGCCACCAGGAACCAGTTCGCTCGTGATAACCTTCCATTCCATGGTCGGAGGGTCTCGATATATGATTTCGGAGGGGAGTGTCTTAGGTTTGTGGTGTAACGGACCAATTTCGGATTCAAATTAGTCTCGTCGATACTCCGGTTACTCTCTAAATCATTTGGAGTATGAATATCGCTGTGTACCGTCGGAGGAGTTTCAACTTTGGGCACGTCACCGTTCTGCAGCTGTGACCTTGTAGACTGTCCTCTAGAATCGGTGTGATGGTCGAGGTCGTCACAGCCCTTTTCGAGTTCGACGTAGTATGGAGAGTTGAGACTGTGGAGATGTGGAATTGTTGGATCGGAATCGACCGAATCTGCTCCGGGATTCTGGAAGGCAGGAGGAGGGGGCATGACGATTGCAGGGATTTTCCTTTGTTTGCCATCAATGGTCCCATCCCACGGGGCGGAATATGTGCTGATATCTGGTGGAGGTGGCACAGCAAGTCCTGTTGGCTTGGGTCCTTTTGGAGGAGGACTTGATTCGGAAGATTTGGGTCGGTCAACGGTGGAAGCCGTCTCCTCTCCCGACGGCTTTGTCGGCTTCTCATCAGTCGTTCCGTCTGTTGATAGGTGTTCACTCTTGGGTTGCTCGAGATGATCCTGTGTTGCAATTTCCGGGGTGGGAGACCGGTCCGATTGCTTCTCATCATCACCACTTCCCATAGCGTCTTCAAATCTCGCGTGTGCATTCTGTTCATGCAACATATGTTGTCGAGGAGTCATAGCCTTCACAATGGCTGCCTCTATGGCTGCCGGATCTGCCATAGGATTCTGAGGAAGATTTGATTTGGTGTGATGCAGAGGATTATAAATTAGACTCGAGAAGCTTCGACGAACGGCTGGTCGTCTTGATTTAGGTCTCGGAGTTCGATCCCAAAAGGTCTCGGGGACGAAGAGGAACAAGATGCATAAGCCAAATCCTACTATGATGGCCACCACCCTGAACATGTTAGCGTTGGAGCACAAGAGTTGGGAGGAATATATATATACTCACCAAAACACCCATCTCCAGCCTTTTGCTTGGATGATAGCCGCGCTCACCAATGGGACCAAATTCTTCCCACCAAGCAGAAGAAGCGTGTAAATTCCCACACGAAAAGCCCTCTCGTGAAGAAAAAAGATTTCGGCAATGGTGGCGGAGGGCAAACACTCGACAGGGCTAACAGATATACCCTGAAAGACTCGGGCGGTTGCCAACTGGGCGTAGCTAGGGGCTAAAGCACACCAAACAGACGTCAGGATAAACATGATGGCGGACGCCAAGTAGACAGGTCGTTTACCCCAGAGAATGGCTGTGGGTGAGAAGACGACACTACCAACCCCTAAGCCCATCATGTAGAGACCCGTGGTCAAAGCTACTCTTGAATAGGCGACGTGATAAGATTCTGCCACGTTATGGAAACCTGCCGCCAATATAGGAGTCATTCCTCCGCCGAGCATACAGTAGAAACCCAGCGACAGCAAGGCACAATCTCTTCTCCAAGCCGGCCAATTGAGGGGGTCATTCATCGAGTCATCGGGCTGCGGGTCTAGTATCAGTTGACCATCTTTTGTCCTTTTCTTGGGGGCCGAAGTAGAACGTCTTGGAGAGAGAGGCTGGGGAGGCATAGAGGAACTACTCCTCCGAGCATGTTGGTGTTCGAGGCCGAGGGGCTCATTGCGGTTCGCAGAGAGTAGGAGGACGGTGCCCGGGACTTCTTCGGTCTCCTTGTCATTCAAGATACCCAGAGTCCATTTTTCTATACGGGGTTTGGAATTTTCCTTGAGAGAAGGATCCGAGGAGGTCTGAGGGGCGCTAGATACTCTTCTGGCATGGCGGCGGGAGTGGCTACCTCGATTGGCAGATTCTTGAGCAATGGCCTCATTTCGGGTTGTAGTGGAACGACCGCGTGCGGCGGGAGGGTTAGGAGCCATAAAGAGCTCCAACGAGAGAGCAAGGATAGGTCAGGTATTGGGGTCAGTGTCAGAGTGAATCCATTTGACCGCAGGAAGGAGGAAGGCAGCGGATGGTGGCGGGGAAGGGTACGAGGGATCTAAGAGAATGATGCCCAGGATGGAGCACCTGAAGGAATGCAAAGGGGTGATGAATTATAAGAGGAAGTAAAGAATAACAATGCCGACGTGTGGATATGAATAGCATAGAACGAGGATGTGTAGAGGATGTGTGAGTGTTATATACGTCTTGTGCGAGATGGGAACGGGAGACGGTGGATGTTGGCGGGGGAGGGTTGCGGACTAGGTTCAGGTTACTGGTCAGGCTCAGCCTGAGGGCTGGAGGGGTCGAGGTGTGGTGGTTCAGCCCATCAGCAATCAGTTCAAAGTCGCCCGCTGCAAATGGCAGTGGTAATACTACAGTAGTCTACCCGCAAGCCTGGTGGCCAAGGCGTGAGGCTTGCGGGATTCTTTGGAAGTCGTAGATCCTAGAAGAAAGGGGGAGGGAGAAGAGACGCGACCAAGAGTCGCAATACAGAACTAGAAGGATGCTTCGGCTGCGGGCATCTCCCTCAATTCTATCACCGCAGTTTGACAATTTTGGTTGACTTGACGCAGCAGTTTTGATGCATTAGATGCATTTACGACAAAGAGGCATCACGTCACCGTGCAGATGGCCTTGCAACTATTGTACAGTATCCATCTGACTATGTTTCAGCCCATGCAATCTCTATATCATCGTCTCGCTTGGCTCAAATCATGTGCAAATCATGGGTCCCCGAGATCTCCTTCACGCAGTGAGCATTCCCTGGCATCATTGCTACGCGATCTGCTGACCAACTCCATCCATCAATCATCTCTCCTACACCGGCCGACGATCGCTTCTCCGCTATCCACCTTCCTCCTCCACATACTCCTTCTGATTCTCACCCCCCTCCGCCGCAAAACCTCATCAGATGACCCAGACCATGAGAACAAACTGGCCATTTGCACACGTACTGCACAACTTCACCACCACACCGCATGTACTCGGTATATGAAGATTATTTTCTGCACAACACGATAAGGTGTCACGGGCCTGCGGCCTCAACTCATGTCCTGTCATTTCTAAACGAGAAAAACAATCAAATATCTAATCCAAGACACATGATAGTGCACATACCGTACCAACACAACAAGTCATCATATCGTAAAATGGCCATACATGAGAAGAAACAGGAGAATGCCTCTCTCCTCGCTCTCTTTTCAAAAATGCAAATCTCGCTCCGGCATGCGATGAAAAAGGTCTAGCCTTTCTCCGGCCCGTATCTTCTGACCATATACCCACCTTTATCGACCCGATGGCATATGGCATTTATCCACGTCGGGCCCCAAAAAGACCCAATCCGAGAGATGTCTCGTTTTCTTTGCCACTGCCATTGTCCAAAACTTCCCATACTCGGGGCTTCCAATCCCCCACCACCCCTTTTCCTTCTTTGACCATTTGCAGACCTTCTCCCATGTCGTGTACCTGCACCGATCCCATCATGTTGACACTGCCGAACAAGTATTTGAGCCGAACGTCTTGCATCTTGTCTTTCAGCATCTTTGCACTCATCATCCGGACTTCCTCACTGACTTCGTCCACAATGGTGGCAATCACATCCAATGTAAAATCAATTGCTCGTTTTGCCTTTTGTTGCTCTTCTTTGCTTGTTGAACTGTTGCTCGCCGAAGCTATCGCGGGGTGGGTGGCAATCATGGCCAGTCGCACTAGGAGCTGAACTTGTTCCGATTGCACCTTTTTCAGGCTGGGCCCGTCGCCTCCGACAGAAATCAATCCCGGACGTTGCAAACACACCATTTGTAGCATGTATTGGAGATAGTCTAGCATCACCCCATGGAAAGGGCCCGACACGTTTTCCGATGTATTGACGATGGGGCTCGATGTCACAGACATCATCTGTGCTGGAAACATATTCGTTGCAGGCGTGGAAAGTCCAGGGATTGCTGTACAAGTAGGCGTGGAAGTTGCTGCGGGCGGGGGATTTCCGAGAGACTTGACATGCTGAGATAATTTATCGATCAAATGGGACAGCAACCCGGGAAGCGGCGTGGTCGAGCTCGAACATACCCAAAAAGCTCGCTCGACAATGGACGACAGCTGGTGAACATCGCTGGGAAACACTGCGGTCAATGGGCTCGTCACCTTGCTCGGGGGAAATTTCGGTAAAGCTTCCAAGAATTCATTCTCCACCTTATGTCGCAGTCGGTTGGCCACTTCATACCCAACGGCTTGTAGCAATTGGGAGAAACGCCCATCTCCTCTGTGACCCCGGCCCGTCTCATGTATCATTTGCTCCAGCGTCTCCCCAAGAACTTCGACCAGTTGATCCTGATCCTCAGCGGACGCCTTTTCCACTCCCAACCGCGAAGCGAGCCAAAATCTCAACTGAACATAGCGGTGCGAGAAGATGTTGATTGAGCCGAGCAGTGGTCGGAGATTGTCACCACGGATGCCTCCCTCGCAGTGGAGTAAACGATCGAGTGCTTTCATCGACCACTCTTCGGCACGATCAGACATGGAGGAAGAGGAAAGAGTGCTATCATTGACCAGGAAAGAAAGTAGACGCCTTCCGAATGGCTCCAACTGTGTTGCCAGGCCAGCCTCACAGAGAACTTCTAAAGCGATCCGAGGTTCTCGCCGTGAATGTTCGAGCCATTTAGTCCGCACCTGATATAAGACCGGGTCAGTCTTTGATTCACGGTCTAGAGCAAGTATGTGCCGTAACATAGAGGTAATTGCCTTGCATTGTCGGAGCCCAGACTTAGATGTCCTGACTGCTTCAAATAAACCTGCACACGTCATGCACCCCGTCCCGATGAGGGCTTGGAAAAGAGAGGCGCCGAAATCGCCATCCAGAAATGGACTCAACCGTGATACCCATTGTTGGATCAGGAGGTCGGCTTGGGTTTTTCGGCAGAGTCGAAGCCGACTCAGCAGCTGGCAGAATGACAGGATGGTTTGAGAATCATCTCCAAAGTGTTGCTGCTTCTCAATGCGCTCCGCCAAGACCGTGAAGAGGCCGTTCATGGTTTGCTCATTCATGTTGGGCTCCGATTGAAGAATTGCCTCAAAATCTTCCACAAAGGTCGCTCCCGCTTGTTGAAGGGACTCGGCAATTCCATCGCTGTATGGGGAACAGGCTGCGACAGCGCGTCCGCGATCGCCTCGGACTAGATCTTGCTGCAACAATTTGATTGTTGGTGCTTTGACGGGGAATGACGTGCACAGGTCAAGAAGGGTGGTTGTGAGGAGCGGCATGGTTGGCTTGGTAGACCGCCAGCTTAGATAAGTTTGGCAAACTCGCTTCTGGAGAACGTCCAGTGCGCCCATGGCTGAAAACGTGTCTGCGTGAAAATGAATCGTTGACACTAGAGCGGCAGCAAGGTCGTCATCTTGTGCACCGCATAAGATTCCAACCACGTCGGCGAGGACAGCTTCATCCTCCAGGCACTCAAGAATGTGGCGGATAAAGGAAAATTGTTCAACGCTGAACAGATTGGAACCAAGAGGCGCTGGCGTAGTGAGGGTGCCAGACATACTCAGGGCCGCGGCTTCGGCGACTCTTGATCGCAACCACATGGATATCTTCGATCTGACCGTCCAGGGCAGTGACACAAAGTGTGGTTCGGGGCTGGTTTGCTCCTGAGATCTGGAGCTCGAACGCGACTTTGCTAACTTTTCCTCAAGGTACTGGACACATCGTCGGAAGAGGCTTTCTTCCACCTGTGGGTCCAATCCAGAGCGTCGAAGAAGCGAATTGCGCAGGTTTAGAACGTGATCCTCGACATTCTGTAGAGACAGGTCCAGCAAGAGCTGACTGGGATCAGAGTTTCCCTGATGTTGATTCACTCTGCCAGTCCCAGTCAACGAATCCAAGTCAATCCCGACGCTTCCCCTCTTCGGCAGACCGCGAACCATAAGCCACTGGAGGTATTTACTTAAAGGAAAGCAATTCGATCTCGACAGGTGGGCCGCCAGGTGTTTCAAACAATCAATATCCACAGTCGTCCTCTTCTCCCTACAGGCGGAAAGATAGTTGAGTATAACCGTGTCGACGTCGTGACCATACCGTTGCCAGCGTTTAATTAAGCGAGTAAAGAGATAGATCCGCGTCCGAGATTGTCGGAATCGTGTACAAGCCCACTCGAGACATGAAAAGATGAGGCGAGGGATGTCGGGGTACGCCGAAGCAAGGCTGTCGGTAAGAACTTCCAGATTGAAGGGAACCCGGGCAGCATCTAGAATATCAACGATAGCCTGATCCGGTGCACGTTTCGCCGAGAACTCTTGCTTATTGAAGCCCATCGTCCTTCCATTGATGTGATTGAGACGGTCGAGAATCTGGTGTTCTTGTGGGCTTGAGGTGTCGAGACACGATTGTACTACCGGGACGATGTCGGGCCACCTGTCTGGCATGAGAAAGGTTACGGGGCGGTAGAGGAGGAGGCTCCGAATTGCCTGATGCAGTCTCAGCCTGAGAGGAGCCATCATTTGGTCGGTTGATTTGGCGAGTAACTGATACTTGCCGATCAATGCTTCGGCCAGTTTTCTGCCTCTCCTGCGATAGTGACTCAAGTCCTGTTTGTAGATGTGAATGACCATGAGCCAGAAAGGCGTTTGATCCGGGTCGGCCGAGGTCAGGGATCGTACAATCCAGTCCAAGTAGTGATCCCGATCCAGGAGGTTCTCGAGGTAGAGTCGTGTGGTAAGACGAAGTGCATACTGGATGTTGGATCTCCATTCCGGGTTGTTGCTTTGTCCTAGATAGGTTTCCACAAACTGCTCCACATTGTCGGTCCATTCGCGGAGCCATTTGCTCTCGGTCCCGACCGCTACGGCCGGAGTGGTGCCTTTCCTTTTCAATGTTCGAATTTCGTTGGCACAGACACACTTTGCGAACCAAATCGCACGGCTCAAGGGTACGGAACTTTGCAAGCATTGGTCCAAGAGAATTTGGCCCCGGATACCCTGTGGAATGGTCCGACTTAGCCTCCTTAACGGGACATCCGCATTGGCTAAATCGGAAATCCAGGACTTTCGTTTTGCTTCGGTTAAAGTGACTCGAGGAGGGGGCTTGAAGGTCGATACCGAACTGATGAGTCCATGCCGGTTCTTTTGGTCTAGAACGAGGGAAAACAGGATCGACAAATTGTCCACTCCAGACTTGTGCTTGAGAGCATTGTAGAGCGGTACTCGCGCTGTGTTCAACTCTTTCTCCGTTGGATTTGGAGGTTTATCAAAATAGCCCTGCTTCACATTGATGTCGCTCAGGATATCCTCGGGGTGTTTCCCAGTCCAGGGAAAGAAACCTGCGGGCTTCTTTGAGACGAACTGGGGCGCTGATGTGGGAACTTCCAATGAATCCGGAGTATTGGGGACAGGGAGATTGACACGGGATCTGTGTGTGGGCTTCGAATCGTCTGTGGATTTTGAATGTTGTAGGAGACGCCACGGACGAGCTGGAAGGTCCGGCGCCTCGTCTTGGCTCCATTTTCCCTCCTCGTTCTTGTCCGGCGGTTTGGGAAGTCGTCGAAATAGTGCTGATGGCTTGACCAAACGTAAGTGAGGAGTTTTATTGACCTGTGGCGCGTTCGGTGTGGTTGAAGTTCTGGGGCCAGTATTACTCCCGGAGGCCTGGTTTGCAGATGTATCACCCTCGACCTTCCGCCTCTTTGCTGGTCTGTCTTCTCCAGATTCTCCTACGTGCGTCTGTAGGGGGGGCGGTTTCCTATCGATCGGGGACAGGACATTGCTCATGGACCGATTAAGTGAAGGCCGGAGTGAGTCGGGAGGATGCCGTAACGATGGAGGCCGCGGTTCGGCCGGAACGTTAGATGTCATGACCTGACCATCTTGACCGGTCAGTCTGGACAGCAAGAGCCAGAACAAGCTTCACGCAGGAGGCGCTGGAAGGCTTCGGCTCCAATCTAGAGAATCGAACTTCGAGGTGCTCGGGGAAGAGGCTGACGGCTCGCGGTGCGGAGGTTCGGCACAAAAGGGGACGGTAATCAGCTGGTCAACAGATCCAAAAGAGCCCTCAATATTTTCAATAAATGTCGAGGTACGTTGTCCGTATTAAATGGCGAGTGAAAGTGGTACAAGAGAGTGTATACACAATTAGCAATGGATGAGAAGGATGGTGCGAAGTGGTTAGAGGAGAGTAGGTTTGTTGGAGTCGAGATAGGGTCAAAGGTCTATTAGAGTTGGTGCATTTCGGAACAGGCGAAATGGGAAATGGGGAGCCGGCAGAGCATTGGGCTGCGACGGTTCGGTAGGCTGGACCTCCGTCCTCCACTGGTTCTCGGAGGACCCAGTCGCCAGGCTATCAGACGTTGACAACGCAGCTGGGGATGACGAGAAGACGTGGGAGGATCGGAGACTGGGGGGCTAAATAGATGCCAATGGCCGGTGGTGCGTGGTTGATGGCAAAATGCTTGTGATGGATGTTTGTGCACACCTGGCGTGCTGGTGCCGGGGGCCGTAGTTTTATTGGAGAAATCCAGCAAGTCAAGGTACCGACGAACGCGATGAGTATGATAAGCCCCCTTTTGTGCAGAGTCGGTATTCCGTAATATTGTCGGCTGTAGCTTTGCGACGTGTCGAGATCGGGAAAGGCGAATTGGCCTGAACAGAGGAGAAATGATGAAAGTTGAGATATGGAGGATGCGGATTGCCGAAGGGCTTGAAGCCAGCCCCGAGCAGGGCACCCCGACCCTGCGTCCACGCCTCTCATCTACACATTCATATCTCATCTAAATCTTGGCCAACGCTGCGCCGTTTGAACCTGTGATTGCTTTGCCATCGTTGCCTTGCACCAACACCAGTCTCTGCCATTATTGACCATGACTCTCCCTATCGCAGCTTCAAACGACTTCCACCCGTGTTCGAGGCCGAGCTCCTTTTTTTTTTAAGTCTTGCTGTCGGGTGAAAAGAAAAGCAAAATAGACGAGGGGGGAAAAAGAAAGCAAAAGATCCGAATATTCTTCCGCTGCCACTGGGAAACGCGGAAATCAGCCAGGACACGGCATGTTGACTTGACACTGTTCAATAAGATGTCTTTTGTGCTGCCCACCACCCGTTACGCGAACCTTTGAGTTCTAGGTACGTCCCACTGCCATCACCCAATGCGAGCTGATCATTATTCCCAAAGTTAGTAAGTGCCCGTGCTATTCGCCGCTCGTGCATCAGGCCCTTCAAGCACAGGTAATCCGGTTGGCTTACATTAGCCTGGGCTTCCCGCTGTGGACCCGAATGCCCTTTACAAGTTGACTGCCCTCCGGGACCTCGCTTCGGGATGTCTCAAATAACGTGATCGTCTGCGGCGGCGGTTCCAGAAGCAATCTTGTGCATCTATGGCCTGTCCCACAGGATATCTACTTCCGCAATGTCTTCCTTCGACTGGGAATAATTCCAGACGGGCCTGGTATTAGGACTTTGGGATATCCCTCTCTTGCTCTTTGTCCAATATTTACTCGACACTGAGAGTCAGACGGGAATGGAGGCTGTTTGTCCTTGTCCTATTCAAGTTGTGCTCAGCAACGGTACAATATCTTCGTGAGACCTGACGTCTCTCCACCTCTGCTGCCCCTCAATCCCTACTTTGCCAAATGATTTTCTGATATCTTTGATCGGTTGTCGTGAACGCTTATTTGCTTCACGTGGATGCTAATTCCTCCTATACTACCGTATCGGCTTCTTCTCCCGCTCAATGTTACCGTCGCAGCTGGGGGCAACCTCGTCAGACTGTTCGTCAGCGTCTTTTGTTGCTTTCCAAATGGATATAAGGATTTTGTGGAAATTCGTGCTGCTGTTTGTATTCACCATCTCTATCCTTTGACCGCTCAGGGCCCACCACAACTTGTTACGTGACATCCTACTCTTGAAGCCTGGGAACGTGGTAGGCTCCGGAACGCTGCTTGTTGCGCGAATCTGGCAAATTTGGGACTTGTCATAAGGACTGGACTAATATTATGAAAATGTGATGGCTGTGGCTCTGCTGCCACCGCTCCGCGAGGTAATGGTGCTTATCGAAGGGCGGGCTTCATTGCTACTCATAGACGCGGGACGTGGACCAGTGTTGACTACTATGTCTGCCTGCCTGTAAATTGGTATTAGAGTCAACCGAGGTCCCGTCATGTCCAGTGATTCAGTTGAGAAATGATGACAGAAACCAAGTATTCCTCCTACTGTTTTAGGAGGAGGGGTTTCTGTTGAGAAAGGGGGTTGAGATAGCCGTCGAGGTGACCCGGTGGATATTGCTCGGCGAAGAGTAATCATTCCAGGGCTTTGGCCTGACTTGAACTTTCTCGTGAACCGTCTACTGACAGTTTCCTGAACGGACACAATCGTAGCAAGTCCCCTAGTTGACGCCAATTCAGAAGGGTGCGTCCGTCGTCTTCATCGTCACTTTGGGCTCGCAAGCAACTCAACGAGGCCGAGAACAAAGCAAGGTTGGACGGACGGCAGTGAGCGAGACTTTCGTAGGCTAGGCGAGGAAATAGTATGACCAACTTTTCGGCTCCTGAGTCTACGGTATGACTATCTGAGTCCTGTCGTCCTCCTTTGAGGAAGATGCACCCCGGGGGGAAGGGGTGACGCCACCCATGTCCATGACCTTTTTTTTTTTTATTATTATTTTTTTTTTCATGCTTACGTTGGCCCGATCGCTCTCATCCGCCCTGAAAAGGATGTCTTTGGGGCTGTTATGTGACAAAGGCGGACTCAACTGGGATTCGCTTCAGAGGCCACAAGCCGCACCCAGGGATTTATTCGGCACGTGAATATTGATGGGCATTGTTTGATTTGGTATCTTTGGATCTCGACGATAAGGATAGAAATCGTCCTCGACAATAGAGATGATCTGTTGAGGATTTCAGGCGGAAAGGGAGGAGCATGGTTGGTGGATAGGTCAAAAGTCAGAACCGAACTTCATGCGACCGCTACCGATTGCCTCCTTCCACAAGTAGCCAGTTGATCTTGCCTCTAAAGGTGCATGAGATGATTTAGCCAATCCGAATTTCGGTGCAAGAGCGCTGGGGATCACTCTTCTCTGGGGGCGAAATGCTCGGTGGCATCTGGGCTGAACCGTCTCCTCAGGTCATATCGGGTTACCGGCATCGGACTTAGAAATCTGCTGCTTCTTCGCGTGGACAAAATTCAAATATCGGGTCGAAATCAGGAGTCTCATGTTAGTCTGCGGCCATCGAAAGCGGCGCCGTCTTGAAAGACGAGGCCAACTTGTCTTCTAGGCCAGTCCAAGTAACGAGCCCAGATAGGGTCAAGAAGGCCCGACACATCAACCACCAAGCTGTATGCCCATCCGGTTGCCCACCAATGGTGATCCATACAACGGAACATGGCGGCCCAATGTGCAAATATGGCCAGGGCCATGGGTCTGCCTTGTCTGAGACAGTGGATAAATGATGGTGGAGACATGACCAGCCACGAGAAAATATGGCCATCCCATTCGACCACAGATCGGCATCTAGAGATGTCGCGTAGTTGTTCTAATTGCTCGAGACACAGCGCTTGCACGATTGCGTCGTCTTCATCTTCTCGAGGCGGTGTCAATCGAGGGTCTTGGGAGGCTTGGGCGAGTATGTCGAAGGCTTCCGTGACATCAGCAGAATGTGGAGGCAGGTCTTCGGACCGAGGATAGCGCAACAGTTCTTCAATATCGCCTTGAAGCCAGGTGTCGGTCTCTCTAATCACCGCATATATACCTCGAAGAATCATTATGATCTCGATGAAATCAGCCGTCGGTGAATGCATCGGAAGTGTAATTCCGGGGGAATTTTCGCCGTGGCTGAATTCAAGCTTGACACTATTCAACCCTTCAGGTAGGCGCTTGGATGCGAAGGCCCATACGGTAAGAAGTAGAGACACGGAGAATAGGGCGATGCCGTTATCTTGATTTGGCTTGCTGACGGCTGGAATGTACCCGGCGAGAGCGGCATTCTGGTGAGCCAATGCTACTTTGGAATACTCGGCGTAGGCCTCAGAGGTCTTGGGCTGCAATGTGGCTTTATGAAGGGCCGAGGTAGCCATCAGACCGTGCAGAAGATAGTCATGGCGCAAGGCCTCTGCAAATATGGTGTCTCGCCACACCGTATGGGTGGCCAGCCTCGACGACATGGTCATATAGGTCCGAGTCGAGTAGTGCTGGATCAGCTCTAGGTCCAAGAGATCGAACTGTTTGGCACCGCGCGAAGGCTCCTTGCCTGCCACGAGGCTAGATTGTGGCGTAAATTTCGGCAGCCCTCCATGGCGTGGTTGGTCTGGATCGGACGGCGCGTACTCGAGGCTCTTGGGAGTGGACGTATCGTAGTTGGACGAGTTTCCGGACGGGTTTGGAAAGATTTCAGAGCCGTCTTCTAGAAAGGAACAGGGGATTTGTCGCTTGACACAGCGCAGGCATTGCGGGCTTGATTCATCGCACTGAGGTACACCATTCATAGTCAGAGCCCAGTAAGACCGGAGGACGATGGAAAGGCTGAGCAATGAACGATGCTCGACCAACGGAAACTCTCCAATAACCGAGATGGCCGGGGGGAATCCCCTAATTACGGAGAATAGAGGCAGTAATAGTAGGGTGCAAACTAACCTTGACTCTCCGGGCCTTGCATTGTCTGCAACCGTGATGGGACTTGGTATGCGACCGGCGGGAAGGCATTGCTTGTGCTTGATGCCGGGTTGTGAGCGCCGGATCATATTATAAAGATAAAAACTAGGCCCAAGGGCGAGGGCCGTGTCAGTTTTGGGATCTTTTCACGCATTCGTACCTCCGAGTCCGTATAAACTCATGACGGCTTGGCGGTTCGTGTTCGGAAACTCGCGGGCCGCATGCCAGAGCCTCGCCGTTGCCTCTACCATCGCCATCGTCAGCAGTGAGCATCAGCAACAGCATCGTCATGGACACCGTCCAACGAGATATATATGCATCAACAGACAGATCCACAAAACGATCTCCGCCCGATTCAGGCCCAATTTTTGTTCGGTATTAGCCTCCAACGTCATCGTGCAGGTGAAGTAAACTGGAGCCTAGACATTCGCTAATATGCCTGCCCTTACTCTGTATCATTCCCTGCCTGGGTGCCTGGGTGCCTTATTGCGATACAATGTCCCCTTCCTTGGGTATTTCTCCATTTCTTCGCCCGATCCTTTCAATCGTCAGCGGTATCCTACATCAGGAAATCTATAGGTCCAGGAGTCGGCAATCACAAATAACCATTCAACAGATTCTGTCCTGAATCCCGCACGCTCATGCTAAAATGAATCTAATACACCCTCATTGTTTGAATTTCCTCATTGGTTCAAAGAAGTAGCCCGGATGAACGACGGTCATGGCGACGCAGGCAATACCGACCATCCTACAGTATATGTTACCAGTCAGCATGCTCCAAAAGTTGTTTGCCTGGTTCAGGGAGCCACCTCACATTCCATCGAGAATTAGAAACTCGGTCTCGTTGCGCATGAGGGCGTTGCCCCATCCGCCAGCCATCTCGGGAAGTCTGTTGGCCAGATTGCGTGAGTATACATGTACCGTCTCGCGAAGAACGGAGCATGGTTCAGACATACCGATAGATACAACGGATGAAAATTGTGATAAAGGCCAGTGCAATGGCGAAGCAGAATATTCGAAAATTGCGACTAGTCATGGGCAGGGCCAGATTCTTTTCATATTCGCTCTCAGAGTGGGATGTTGATTTCGCCTTCTTAGCCCGTTGAAAACGGATGAAATAGTCGATCGTCAGCAGGCCGCAGACACCCATGGTGGCCACCTGAAATGCAATGCCGGCTACGATCATCCCATTGCCGACGTCGATCAGATTGGGGTTCTTGCCTTTGTCGCCGGCACTCGCTGCAATACCACCCCCAATGGCCTGAAGCACGATCGACCCAAAGTCACATCCGATAAAGATCCACGGGTAGAGCCTGGGTTTGAGCCTTGAGTTCTCCTCTCCGCAGTAGATGACGAGGTGTTTCAGTGTCACATAGATGCCGGCGGCCAGGAAACTCGGGGCGAGCACCAAGCAAACGATTTGAACCTTGAATCCTGTACCGTTCCATGGGTTGTGATGCATCACGATACGCCCAGCATAGCCTATACTCTCTCCAAAACAGCCAATAGCCACGGCTACCAAGTACGTCCATGTCCGTCGGCGCGTGCCCAGGATCAACTGAGCGATGCAACATATGCCGAAAAGTGCGATGAAGAACGAGTTAACACTAAGATTGGGATAATAGCCATATGTGGTAAACTCGACGGGGCATTCTGGCGTGACTTCAGTACAATTGCGACGGGCAGCCCGAATTGTCGAGTTGGTCGACATTGTTCTGACACCTTAACTAGGGATGTAGATAGATAGCGAACAAACACTGTCGGATTCTGAGAAACAAAGAAAGATAACAGGACAGAAGAGAAAGATCTACTTGACATGAGAATTGTGATAGAGGGAAGAGAAAAGGACAAGAAGGGTACAAATGAGCCATGGAAGCAGCGCGCTGAACTCACTGGGGGCACCGTTCTGAAGGGTTTCTTCAGCAAGCGACCTAGTTGCGAGTCAAAATGTCACACAGGAAACCGCGTGGCGAGGCGAAATGTGGAGCTCGCAATTGTGTCTACGAGCCGTTTGTGGGCGAGTGGGAATCGTCAGCGAGGCTCTCTAACGAGGATCAGGTAAAGTGTACGCTCCAGATACTGAGTGCTCCGACTCCCACGAATCCCAAAGCTGACGCCGGGGAACACTAAAAGGGACGAAACCGAAACCGAAGAGAGCGCCCGAGAAGAAAGCCGGCACAGGAAACCTAGGTCTGATGCCATTAACAACCTATTTCCTATGCAGACGGTCTCTTTGCTCATCTCCCCACCAGATTGCGGACCCCATGCGACAAATGGCGAAAATAATCTGACACATGTGGAGTCCGGAGCACGCTTCGAGCAAGGCCTCCTTCTTGTCCCTAGCTAGAGTCGGCCTAATCAGTAACTTCTGCCTATAGCCGTTGCCTTTCTCCAGACTCCTCTTCCGTGCAGGCCGCTCGTTGCATCTTGTGTACCACTTCTCCAGCTTCGGGCAATTTTTCAAGTCGACATATCCTCGCTTTGTGCACAAGTCCACTGGCCACTTCAGAATGATATCAGGTCATATGCTAGCGAAGATCCCATGAAATAATCCTGATCCCCAAGCTTCTCTTCCATGTAGCTGAAACCCAAGCGTATTTCCAGTAAAGGCGTCGTACAGTTTTTGGTTCATCAGAGATCAACGGGCGAATGAAGAAAGGCGAATGTTTCACCGACTGGTCGAATACTAATCGCAAAGTGAACGTTGGGACTGAGATTAGCTGCCGAAAAATTGTACAGCTCATCATCCCGGATCCAATCGCTCCCTTTTCCATCTCCTTTGAACTTGCCCGTCTTATCGTATTTTTCAATCAAATATTTTGCTATCACGACTGTTTCCACGATGACCCTCCCGTTACCAGTCTCCCATTGCAGTGAATTCCCCAAGGGATTTTTTTTTTTTTTTTCAGTTCTGGAGGTGCTCTGCCGTTCAGACGTTCGAGTAGGCTGAGATTGTAGGAGATTTCGAGCTCTTCCAAGTAGCCAAAGTATACGTTGAGATCGCGAGTAAGAACGAGCGCGAGCAGGATAATAACCAGCCCCATGAGGACTCACATTCATGTGATATAGGGTTGGCTTAGGTTCTGCCATGATCAGTCGTGAATGGAGCGAACAGCTTGAATTTGGAGCGCTGGAGGGAAACAAACGACAGGTATAAACGAGATCATGAAATAGAATCTGCTCGAGTTTGTTCCTTCAGACTGACTTACGCGAAGGAATCAGGCCCCGGCTAGCATTTCGCAGGATCTTCAAGGGCCTAGAGAACTAGAATGACCCTGGCGAAAGTCGATTCTGGGTTCTGTAGTCCAAGACCCGGGGAGGAAGACAGAGAGTGAAAGGAAACGGCAGCTACATAGAGCCAAATGAATTTGAAACAGAAGAGGCACCGCACAAAGGAATGCTGTTCAGTGCTGGGGAAAAAAGGGCTGGTGTGCTTAGCGCAAAATCTGGACGCAAGAGCTCTCCACCAAAAACAGTTTGTTCATGGCTTGCGGCCGCAGGGGGGACATCTGTCAACACCACATCTAGCAACGACCGTATCTGTTCGATGACCACACGACGTCCACGAAGTGTCATGAATTGATGACATGGAATTTTATGCCCCCGTTCTCTCGAGTCCTTGTCGTTCCTTGCATAATTCCCCTTAGTTTGTCATTCGGAACATCATTGTGTGCGCACTTTCCAATTCTCCAAATAGAGCCAACTCGGAGCCGGCGCAATGCGTTTGGACGTCAAGAGGCAGCTCTTTGCTCGTATGTTTGTCTGCTGTATGGCCTCCTGGTATAATCTAACCTTTCCAAAGGCTCGGAGCGAGTGAAGGGCATTGATTTCCACAGGTACGTGTCCAATTGCATATTTCTCTGCTGAAATCATGAAGACCACTCTAACAATTCAAACAGTACTGAACCATGGGTAATATAATGCTTTTCCTTGCGCAGGCTGCTCCGGTACTGACTGCCCAAGATCCTCACCACTTTGTACAATGGACATGCCCACATCTGGTCTTACGAAACGCAATCCATTATCAAAACTTTCGAGCTCACCGATGTTCCTGTAAGAGCCGGAAGATTTATTGAGAGGAAGAATTGGATAGTTTGTGGCAGTGATGACTTCCAATTGAGAGTGGTGAACTGGAATACAAGCGAAAAGGTCAAATCATTCGAGGCGTAAGTGGCTGGAGGTTCAGGATAGCTGTTCGAAGGGAGCTCATACTGGGACAGGCATCCAGATTATATCCGTGCAATTGTCGTGCATCCGGTTCTCAGTGTCGTCCTTACTGCCTCAGATGACATGACAATCCGAATGTTTGATTGGGAAAAAGATTGGCGATGTGTGCGGGAGTTTGTGGGTCATCAACACTATGTCATGGGACTTTCCATCGTGGGTGATGTACGAACGCAATCCTGGGCGGGCTTGATGCTGACCGGCTTCCCAGAACCCCAAGGACACCAACGTGTTTGCGTCGGCATGTTTGGATCGAACCATCAAAGTCTGGAGCATCGACAATGCCACGGCCAAACAGACAATTGAGGCTCACGAGAAAGGCGTCAATCACGTTGACTACTACCCACACAACGACAAACCATATTTACTGAGCACATCCGATGATAAGACCGTGAAGGTCTGGGATTACACCACCAAAGCTCTAATTGCGACGTTAGAGGGACATACCAGCAATGTCAGCTTTGCCTGCTATCACCCTGAATTACCGGTCATAATATCTGGCTCCGAAGACGGCACCATCAAAATATGGCATGCCAATACCTATCGACTCGAACAGTCGCTGAGCTACGGCTTGGAGAGGGCTTGGTGTGTTTCCTATCAGAGAGGCAAACAAGGTGTTGCCATGGGGTTTGATGATGGCGCCGTTGTGGTAAAAATGGGAAGAGAAGAACCGGCCGTTTCTATGGACGGTACGGGTAAATTGGTGTGGGCACGCCATAATGAAGTGGTATCTGCAATCGTGAAGGGTGGAGATGCTACCGTCAAGGATGGCGCGCCTATTGCGCTTCCTAGTAAAGAAATGGGAACAACAGAAATGTGAGTCTAAGAATTCGTCAACCAGGTAAAAAGCTAACATAAATCGCAGCTATCCGACAGCCTTGTCTCATTCGCCAAATGGTAGATTCGTCAGCGTCTGCGGAGATGGCGAATTCATAATCGTGAGTATGCTGATGGTGCCCGCTCGGGACCTTTGTTAACAGAAATCAGTACACCGCGCTCGCATGGAGAAATCAAGCGTTCGGTTCAGCACTTGATTTCGCATGGTAAAAATGGCCCAAGTCGATCTGGTAGGAACAGTCTGCTAATCTCAGTCTAGGGCATCGCACCAAAATCCTACCGACTACGCCATCCGAGAATCTAGCACCAGCGTCAAACTTTTCAAGAAGCTCAAAGAGAGTGGAAGTCTAGATGTTGGCTTCCAGGCCGAGGGTCTCTGTGGTGGTGTATTGCTTGGGGTCAAGGGACAAGGAGGTATTGGCATGTTCGATTGGGAGACTGGCAATCTTGTCCGCCGAATCGAGGTCGAACCCAGAGAAGTAAGCTTCACCCCAGGGGGCTTTTACAGGACTTCTCGCGCTGACATTGCTCAGGTCTATTGGAGTGAATCGGGAGAACTTGTCGCTCTTGCTTGTGCTGACACAGCCTACGTTCTTCGCTTTGACCGAGAGGCATATCTTGATGGCCTCAATTCTGGCCAAGCAGACGAAGATGGTGTCGAAGCTGCATTTTCGGTCGTGACGGATCTCCAAGAATGCGTGAAGAGTGGTGAATGGGTCGGCGATGCGTTCCTCTTTACTACGAGTACCCGCCTCAGCTATTTACTCGGTGAGCAAGTCGTGCATATCGCACAATTCGATCAGCCCATGTATCTCCTTCGGTATCTCCAAAGAGACGAGCGGGTCTACCTCTGCGACAAAGATGTCGGCGTTGTGAGCTACCGACTCTCCACGGCGCTGCTCTCATATCAAACCCTCGTCTTGCGAAACGAGCTTGAGGCTGCACAAGAACTCCTGGCTGAAATCCCAGCGGACCAAATGAACAAGATTGCTCGATTCCTCGAAGCACAAGGCCACAAAGAGCTTGCTCTCGAGGTGGCGACGGATCCAGAACACCGGTTCGAGCTGTCTCTGGGCCTGAATAACCTTGCTGTGGCCCTTGAGATTGCGCGCGAATCAGACATGCAGGCCAAATGGTCCGCAGTGGCAGACAAGGCTCTCGAAGCTTGGGACGTGAAACTTGCAGAAGAATGTTTCCTCAACGCTAAAGACTTGGGCAGCTTGCTCCTTCTATACACCAGTTCCGGCAACAAAGGAGGACTAACTAAACTCGCCGAACAAGCTGAGCAGATGGGCAGCAACAACGTCGCATTCGCCAGTTTGTGGTCGACAGGAGACATCTCCGCTGCAATCGAGCTGCTCAAACGCACAGGCCGTCTCAGTGAAGCAGTCCTGTTCAGCCAGACATACAAGCCGTCGAAGGTGCAAGAATTGGTTGTGGAGTGGAAAGAGAGCCTCGAGAAACAGGGTAAAGGGAAAGTCAGTCGCTTGCTCGGCGTGCCCGGTCAGGATGAAGAACTGTTCCCTGAGTGGGATGAGTATATCAAGCTTGAGGCCGAAGGTGGTGCGGCAAAAACTAGTCTCATCGACGTCAATGGAGAGGCGAAGCCCGAGACGAACGGAACGGCGAATTGTGACGTTGAGCAAGAAGAGGCCGAAACTTGAGTTCCGCCAACCCTCCTCTTGTCAGGTCGGGAGCTTGCACAAAGGAGTTCGCGATGGTACTGAAACAGGAATACAAACAGGAAAAGAGGCCCCGTCCTTGCTGATCAGGCCAAGACTTGGTCCAGGGGTTGCCGTAGCCGGGAGGGAACGCCATGCTAGGTACTTATCAAGCCTTACAAAAGTCATACCAATTTGAATTTACGAATTACAACGTCGTGTGTCTCTTTCCAGTCCAGCTTCATGCTTTTATTCCCATTTGTTAGTTATTACTGGCCACTCTGGTTGACGTCTGAGCTGGACAATGTACAGTTTCGAATGGTTTTGTTTGGCTCCGATTCCTTGAAATATATATTTTCGCAATGCCAATGCTACATTGATTGATCTACACGTGTGCGTCACAAATCGTACACTGCTTCCACTCAGATTCATAACTCATATACCTTCTCAGGCTCTCCTTAATGACATCTCATTCCCTACCCAGTGCCTGCCGTTAGCTAGCGATACATAGTGTCGAGGGCGCGTTGATATTCCCACCCTCCAGCTCCTGAATAGGTGGCCGGACAGAAAACCAGTAATCCTTGGAAGGCAGGATGTGTGTTTTCCGGTTGAAGGTGTGTTCTCTCTCACTTATGTCGTGGAGCAGGGACCTCGACTCAACTACCACTACCACTTCGTGTCCCAACGTTCCCTTTCACTTGTGCCACATGCGCGATTGGATGCCAATGGATCGACCTTCCCCTCTAGCGAGTAGGGGACGATGAAGTAAAGCTTCTGCGGCTCCTTGCGGTTCCTGGGCTCGTGGTCCCCCCGCGGCCGCATCGAGGATTGTCGATGCGTGAGTCTCTGCCGTGCCCGTTTTGGAGCAGAGACTCCCAAGGCTGAGGGGATTCTGGGGTCCTAGGATACTTTGGTGGCTCCGCCCGTATGGTGATCTGTGTCATCCTCGTTCTTCGTTCTCGTTTTTGAACCTTGGACTGTTCTAGCTCACTCTGCAACTGGAGGAAGAAATTTTCCGAGGCCGCAATCTGTCCTACCTCCGTGACTTCGATGAACCGCGCGGCTCGGTTGATCATGAGGCCCAAGTAGCCCCCGCGCTAAATGGCTTCGTTCCAATTGCACGGCAGAAGTTGCTGTGGGAAAGAAGATCATGAAGCCGTCATCGTTCTGTTTGATTTCGTACCTTTGGTTGGACGATGTCAGGTGGCGGATCATGCGATCGTGCATTTGCATCGCTTCGACCATGGCGGAGACTTTTCTCCCATATTACTGTGGATTTGACGATGTCTGGAGTGCTGCCGGTTGCACGAGGTTCATTGTGTTCAACGAATCCTCCTTCAAGTCTCCGAGCCGATGTTTCCTTCGACGCGTCTTACTTCGCGCTGATAACACGGTCTCGTGCTGGAGAAGCTTTGGACTGAGGCTCCCGCCAGTCCAGGGCTGGATTTGTAAATGGGATATTCCGCGCTGCACTAAAAGAGGGCGTAAGCCACGGCTAGATGTTGTTGTTCCAAGGATTGCCCGCACTCTTTTCTTCTCTCGGAGCTCAGTCATAAGCATTCGGTCCATAAAGGCAACTGAGATCCGATCGGATCTTGCACGATGTGTATGTGCATTGTAAAATTCGTTTCTCCATGCTGGTTGATGATAAGGTGGCATGCAACTGTGACTTGAAGTTCTGCAAGGTTTTCAGCGGTGCGTCTTGCTTTACTCATGACTGAACTTTTTGTGCCGCTTTGCCTGCGTGGTGTTGGATATGAGACTTCTTTAGTATACACAGTACCAGGCACAGATCCAGCCGACTTTGCGAGTTTTACGCTTGCTGTGATAGAAGAGCAAGGCTGGAAACTTAGAAAATGGATGAGGGAAAGGGGGAGAATCGTTCTAGGTTTCCCGTTTGGTACGAATGGCCTCTTCGACTGAAGTCTCGCCTATTGACGTTATATTCTCTGCCCCCTTCACCACATACCTCGTGCCTGGTCTTGACCAAATTCGGATGGTTTCTTTGAATCCAGCAAAGCCAACAACCACCCTTGCGCTATACAAGGCTCATTTTCTTCCTGCAGACCTCGATCACAAGAAGGTCAAATTCAACTCCCAGCTTCAGCAGTGCCAACAAAGGGTATATTTCTGATCTTCCGAAGATATTTTTTTATTCTTTGGAGATAAGAGTGTGGGGACGTGGAAACGAAAGAAGCGAACAAGGTCACAGCGTGAGACGGTTGGACATTCCGATATTCTGAGCCCACCGTGGCACAGGGGTTTGATGATGTACACTCGAATGAGGAATTTCGTGCGTCCAAAGGACCGGGAAAGGTTTCTGTAGAGGCCAAATATTCAACATCGAATCGCCGTGAGTTCAGCATCACCTTCTCTGCAAGGCTGAGTTTGTGTTTCGGTCTCGATGGATCTCCCGCGGCCTCGTCAGTTCTCTCTTGTCTTCCATAAGTCTGACGCGTCGCTGAGTTGTCCTCTCCGTGTGCGGGCCATTGTCCATTCTCTTTCTTTTTCAATCTTTCCCTTCTCATCATTCAGGCACCCAGAGCTGCACGGGCGATCATTTGTTCGAGCATCCAATAGGCACACGGCTGGACGTAGTGCCAAGGGAAGTGATGGACGAATACAATTAACCGAATTATGAAGCATGGGATTTTGCGGGGATGCAGCAGCCATGGACCAATTAGAATACACGTGAAGTAATTTACTTCGTGCCACCTGGGTGCGGTCACTCCGATCTCGGATCAAAGCGATAATTCTGCCTATAACCCCCCCCCCCCTTGATTTGTAGACACTATCTTTGCATTCTACTCTTTCATATCCAGTCAGTATTCCTGCGCGGGGCAGTATTGATCGCTGTCCAACATGCCTTCAGCAGATTCCAAGCCCAGGACCTTATACGACAAGGTCTTTCAAGACCACATTGTCAATGAACAACCAGACGGCACAGTTCTTCTCTATATCGGTGTGTGACTGTCTTGCCAGGAGATCTTCTGATTCCCAAATACTGACCCAGCCAAAAGACAGACATCTTGTCCACGAAGTCACCTCTCCGCAAGCATTCGAAGGTCTGAAGAATGCGAAGCGAAAAGTTCGCCGACCCGACTGCACTCTCGCCACGACCGATCACAACGTGCCCACCACCCCACGGAAAAACTTCAAGAACGTCGCAGAGTTTGTCAAGGAAGAGGACTCGCGACTGCAATGTGTCACTCTCGAGGAAAATGTCAGAGACTTCGGCCTGACCTATTTCGGCCTGGGGGACAAAAATCAGGGCATCGTCCATGTTATTGGACCCGAGCAAGGTTTTACCCTGCCCGGCACCACCGTCGTGTGCGGTGACAGCCACACATCCACTCACGGTGCATTTGGTGCACTGGCGTTTGGTATCGGCACCAGTGAGGTCGAGCACGTCCTGGCCACCCAGTGCTTAATCACTAAGAAGAGCAAGAACATGCGGATACAAGTCGAGGGCAGATTAGCTCCAGGTGTCAGCAGCAAAGACATCATTCTTCATGTCATTGGGGTCATTGGCACCGCCGGGGGGACGGGTGCGGTCATCGAATTTTGCGGCTCAGCTATTCGCGGTCTCAGCATGGAGGCGCGCATGTCCATTTGCAATATGTCCATTGAAGGCGGCGCCAGGGCAGGCATGATCGCTCCTGACCAGACTACATTCGAATATTTGAAGGGACGACCACTGGCACCCAAGGTCGACAGCAATGAATGGAAGAAGGCCGTGAACTATTGGTCAAGCTTAAAGTCAGATGAGGGCGCCAAATACGATGTCGAGGTTTTCGTTGATGCAAAGGACATCTCACCCACCGTATCGTGGGGTACTTCGCCTCAGGATGTTGTTCCTATCACTGGTGTCGTTCCCGGACCGGACAACTTTGAGGACGCCAACAGAAAAGCCAGCTGCAAACGTGCTCTTGAATACATGGGCCTGGCTCCCGGCACCAGGATGGAAGACATTGAGCTGGACAAGGTATTTATCGGATCCTGCACCAATTCTCGGATCGAGGACCTCCGCGCCGCCGCTAGGATCGTGGAAGGCAAGAAAATCGCCCCGAACCTCAAGAGGGCGATGGTCGTACCTGGTTCAGGCAATGTCAAAGCCCAAGCCGAGCGCGAGGGACTCGATAAAATCTTTATGGACGCCGGCTTCGAATGGCGGGAGGCCGGATGCTCAATGTGCCTTGGCATGAACCCGGACATACTTTCACCGAGAGAACGCTGTGCAAGCACATCGAACCGCAATTTCGAAGGTCGACAGGGTGCGTTAGGCCGAACGCATCTCATGTCTCCCGTCATGGCAGCGGCAGCGGCCATCGTCGGAAAACTAGCTGACGTTCGCAAACTCGTGGATGACGCCACTCCCACCAAAGCATCGCCGAAGCTCGATGTGGCGCCGGAGGTTGCTGAAGTCGACTCCGAAGAGGAACTCGACCGCATCCTTGACATTCCCAGCGATACGGCTCCCGCGGTTAACCACGGCGGTGACTCTGCTGCCGGTGTATCAGGTGGCCTTCCCCAGTTCACGGTGCTCAAGGGCATCGCGGCGCCTTTGGAAAAAGCCAATGTTGACACGGACGCCATCATCCCTAAACAGTTCCTCAAAACGATCAAACGCACCGGCCTCGGTTCTGCGCTCTTCCATCCCCTCCGCTACAACGAGGATGGCAGTGAGAACCGATCTTTCATCCTAAACCAAGAACCCTACCGTCACTCGAAGATCCTGGTCGTTACTGGACCGAACTTCGGCTGCGGTAGCTCGCGCGAGCACGCCCCATGGGCATTGCTAGACTTTGGCATCAAATGCGTCATCGCACCGAGCTACGCAGACATCTTCTTCAACAACACGTTCAAGAACGGCATGCTGCCCCTGGTCATGCCCGACCAGGTAGCTCTGGAGAAGATTGCTGATGAGGCCCGCGCCGGTCGGGAGATTGAAGTCGATCTGCCGGCGCAGGTAATTCGAGACGCTGAGGGCAAGGAGCTCGCGCGCTTCGACGTCGAAGAATTCCGCAAGCACTGCCTCGTCGAAGGCCTAGATGATATTGGCCTGACCATGCAGATGGAGGGCAAGATCGCCCGGTTTGAGGCCAAACGGACACTCGATACCCCTTGGCTAGATGGCAGTGGCTATCTGAAGAAATGGCGCAAGGGTCCCGTCAAGGTCGAAGCCGCGCCTGTCCCCAGGACAAATCGCGGCGACGTCAAGACTGATCCTGTCGAGTGGTAGGCACATCCAGGGAGCTTCCGCCGCCTGATGGGTCCACAATTTACGTATGCTCACTCTAATCACCGGAAGACCCACAAAATATATAAAAATCATAATTCTTCATTGACAATAAAGGTTAATTAGAGCGAAAACGGGAAATGGTCATGAGTCGAAATGAAAAGGAAATGAGTTGCCATCCGCATCGTAAATCCAATTTCGGTTATTCACACCTTGCCAGACATTAGATATCAAGCACGTAGTCAGAAGGCGAGGATTGGGGGACAGCCTAGGCAGGCTTGATGGTAGATAGTATATTCATTTGCGCCAAAGAGTTCAGGGTGGAGAGTCGAGTGGCGCTCAGAGTACAGCAGTGTGAGAATCGAGCTGGACCGAGTCGACGCTCAGCTCACGTTGTTAAGGCCTGTTGATGACATGTCACGATCTCCATCGAGCGTTGGACACTGGCGACCATTGCTTCAAATCAGATTTCATTGGAAGAGCCGGCTTTGCGAGAAGAAACGCAGGTAGCCGGATCTTGGAATCTGTGGGTTCAGACAAGCTTCTCTAGATGGGCTGCAACTTCAGCGATGAGGTCATGACTTTTCGACCGAGGCTTCAATTCTCTTCCTCGAAGTAAGGTGCTGGGAGCATCTTCTCGGAAAAACGATGGAGCGTGAGTCGTTCATCTTTGCCATGATATTGAACCAGGAAGAACGGAACCTGAAAAGTCTCACTTTAGGACCGTTGGTCCCTCTGTGATAGAAGCACGGGGAACATTCCAGTCTCAGCACAAATGATTCGTTTGACTTTTCCACTCCACCAGTTGGCACGTGGCGCCCCATTCCCGTCACGGTCCTGTCTCGGAGTGACAAATGGGTGCATTGATCTGAAGGGAGCTGACGTTTCAGAGGAATCGGCTAACGCTGACTGTCAAAACTCCCGCCCAGATTGTAATTGCGTCAGGGAAATACAAATCCTGGTTTCATCTGGTAGTTACACGTGGTGATATTCCTCTGTAGGATTTGCAGAATTCGTACCTAGATAGGATCTTGCCCGGAGGCTTTAATTCTCGGGAAAAGGGCCTGACAGGAAAATTTCAGGAGCCAGTTATGTCGGTGAAGAATCAAGTCCCATTGCTAGTGTGGGTTGAAACTCCGCCTAATAAGCGAGGTAGAAAGCGTATTAGCTCTCTCGTCGATTATCGGTTGTCGATTTGATTCATCACCAACTCGGTTTTGCTGGATGATGTCCCTTATACTCTAGTTGGCCAGTGTGCTTGCGCTTTGTCACATCTGGAAGAGCAACTAAAGGGTCTGAGCACATGTCCTCTTTGAATACGAAGCACAGGCCAGCGGTGAAACATTCCCTCGGATCCCATAGCTGTAATCTGATTTGGAAGCAAGCATTTCAATATTGTTGGAAGCTCCCACAACAGCGGTTGCAAATTCAATGATCCAAATCAAACTGTTGTCGGTGTTCCCAGGTGTATTTGTGTAAAAGTTTCCACCACAGAGAGGCGTGTGTTTTCGAGACGCAAGCTGTCCTTGGAGACTTAATGACCAAAGGAAATGAATTGCCACTAGTTGAATGTTCAAGATGGATCTGTTCCGAGTTCAAGCATTTTCAGAAGACAAAACACCAGCGGGTACGACGCACGATGGACGCCCCCAGCAGTACACTGACAAGTTCACCGCTTCAAACCGACAGAATTCAAATCAGTTGAGTGGTATGGTGAACGAGGTTCATGCATGTTGATTTGGCCAAGAGTGGAATCGAGACCGTGCACAAGCGCTTTCGTGTTTGTTGAATCCTATTGAGCAATTCCCCACCTCTTGAATCGTTGTGTGCTGTCACCTGTTCCACTTTAGCGAAAGATGGCGCCTTGAGAAGGTACTACTGAGGAAAAGAATTGACCCGTGCCAGGGTTATGAAGCAAGAAAATTCAGACTTGGCGGGTAAGACACGAAGATAGGATGCAACTAAGGAGTGACAGGCATTGACGAGCAAGAAAAATGCCTCGTGGCAGCCACAATGCTGGTTTGGGGAGGGGTTTTCGCACGTGCGACAGGGAAGGCGCTAGATCGTGGATGCCGACGAGTCATGTTTGGAACGACCGTGAGACCAGAGCAGGAAGCGAGGTGAAGAGGCGTGGACAGCAAGGTTGCCGTGTTGGATGCTGTGGGATGGGTGCAGGAATGGAATCCAAGACTGGAACCGGAAGTTAGCAGTGGTGTAGAAACAAGAGCGCTGTAGTTGGAAGATCGTATTCGTTTGCGGAGGATAGTTTCAACGAACCAGCAAAGACAATGAACTTGAGAAGGATCAAGATACGATGCCGACTTGCCGGTTACAATGGTATGACTCGATAGCATGGAGCGGGGTTGACAAAGTTGAAGCTGAGGTTGACCAACAGTCTTCAGCGTTGTTACCAGTAACAGACTAGTGGCTGGAGCAATGCTGGGTTTGAGGCTCTTCGAGTGATTGGTGATTCCGTAACAAAGCCCATCAAACGTCTTTTGCCTTTTGTCTCCTCTTTCTTGAGGAAAATGGGCTGACGGCGCAATGGGCGAATCGCCCACAATGGAAGAATGGAGAAATTTACACCGAGATGGAGTCCTTGCGGATTTGCCCGCTAGCGCCGAAAGCGGCACCTTGGCCAATGACAAGATGGGCTGAGTAGGGCTGCTAGTGTATGAAGAGGGTGGCTATTAGCATGACTAAAAGGACTTGAGAGCATGGAGAAGGGGAGAAGAACACTGACGCAGCAAAGCAAGGAACAGGGAACAAGAAAACACTCGTACCCAACATTTAGTATTACGGACAAGATTAGCCGTTGTACGACCACCGCACCGTTCGACAAGCACAAATGATTTATTTCTCCCATTTCATCTCCTCAGGCCCGGACCTTTTGGCTCGGTTGAACCTGATGCTTGTCGCCTGGAGATTTCAGTATGGCTGTGCACTCCCAAATTGCCACTTGCCAGTGTGACGTTGCACCTCATCAGGCTGCCGGCCCCCTCAGCACAGTTGGTGGTATCAGGCGCGGTGGATCCGGACAATTTCAGAAATTAAACATGCTTCCATTATGGGCCTGGAATGTTTCTCGAAGGCACCTGGAACAGCCACCCGGTTCCAGGGCTGGGGCAAGTTACCTGATAGAAAGGAAATGAGGCCCCGTTGATAATGTGTTTGATTAGGGGACAAATCACAGGTCAGCCGACAGGGAGGAGGTATACAGTACGGAGCAAGTTAGGTGAATGCCGAAACAGTCTCTAGCGCCCATCCATCCCCTGAAAATTGGCTCGACTTTAATTTTCCACGTGGCCTCCCTGTTGGTAGACTACGAGCTAGCCCCTTGGTCCTTGTCCCTCGCTCCCTTGCTCCTCAGTTGTCCACTACAATGTCGCTTCAGTTGTTAGCTGGCTGGCCGTCCGGGTTCGTCACTGGGGATGCTGTTTTTGGCCCCCCTTTTATTGCGGTCATTGGTTTGCGCAGAAAAGCCTCTTTCCTTTTAGTTCGTTTCAGGTCGAGCCTGACGAATCCGTGGATGTGGAAGTCTCCCCACTTGATTCGATATTATTTCTCTCTTCTTTCTGGTGTCTCCAGAACTCCAGGTTTCCGCCTGAACCAATTCGCCCCCAGGGCCCATACAATTCGTCACACCTTTGGGTCGTCCTTCGAAAGCCTTACGTCCCCCCTTTATTCTCGCACGCTCGGCACCGGAGAGTGGCCGCCAGCCTCTTCCTTGCCACTTCCTGCCCCTGCAGATACAACTCTTCGAGTCGGAGGAATTTCTGGAAAGCTTAGACATGCCCACTTGACATTTGTTTGAACGGCCATGCGCCAGGAAGAATCGAACACGAATATTCCATCATCTTGCCACATTGGTTCCCCAGCTCCCGTCGCCGAGTCCATTACATAGCACCACTCTTTCTCGTATCGGTATCGCATCTCTTTTTCCCTCCTGCTCGTTGCCCAGTGAACAACAACCCGAGTGCAGTTTGGTTTTTGTCTGTCCGGGGGCCTCGCTTCTCACGTCACTTGTCCGGACTTCCGAAACAAAAAAGGTTTCCGGCGCGCATGATTTGACATGGACAAAGTCTGCGAGTCGCGATGGTCCGGAGGATCCTGTTGCCTGTCTCTTGAAAAATGGCACGGATCCCACTAGTGAAGCCGAGTTATCAACGTATCACGATTTTTAGCCCCGCCAGCTCCAAAAGTCCCCAAACAGAGGGCTTTGCAGAAAACTGTGCCGGGCTCTAGTCGAGCATAGGAGAGTGGATCGGGGAGCCTATTGTGCAGGGCAATCCCAGCGAGAGCTAAGCATAATCGAATCGAGGATATGGACTAGCCCATGCTGATCAGGATCGTCTTTTTCTTTCGTCGAGTAATAAAAATGCAAAATGTCCACTCTCAGTCTTCTTTGATCAGTCTCTATTCGCAGCATGACCGGATCCTACTTGGTGCAATTCCGAAGACTCCACTGTCGAGGCAACAAAGTTGGAAATTTTTCTTTCTACGGAGACAGGTTCGCGAGCTGATCAGCATCAACTTTTGGTGGATCACGGATTCACCAAGACTGCAATGACCTTTAGTTGAACCGTTCTCACGGTCTCATGGTTAACTTCCATCGCCTGTTTCGGCCAGCTTTTAGGCCATTGCTTCATTATTGACGAATTTGCGGTTCCTGTAAATTCAATGTATGCACTGGTATGCCTGATTCTGTTCTGCTGAATCGGGAATTGGCTCTGGTGGCTCAACAACCATATCCGGACAGCCTAGTAATGCTGGCAACTCCGCGTTGGGCAAAGGTCACCTGTCCTACTTACTGGGCAATAGTTGAAGGGCTCCACAATCGGTCGACAGACCTCCCCATTGAAAAGTTGGAAATGCCAAACTCCCCCCACAACGCCCATATTGAGAATGGGTTATTTTTTTCCAAGGTAAGACTTTAGGTTACTATGGAGGTTCGGCGGCAAGATGAGTCCTGCCAGTGCTGTGCGTCTGGAACAGGGAAAATGCCAGCAGCTAATGCAAGCTTGAAGTGAACTAACTTCCAGGCGAGGCCCATATGCGTACAGGCTACAGGACAATATTCAGAGATACACTGGAGATCCAGTTGTAGATGCTTTCCTGCGCCGAGACTACGGGCATGGAAACAAAACCCCAAAGGAGCCGTTGTAACGAAGTGGAGTTGGGTGGTTGGTGCCAGGCTCTGGCATAATGGAGTTTGGATGGACTTTAGATACAGAGGGAAAGTCAGAGGTCGGTTGGGTGCAGCGACAGAGCAGGGTGCCCGCCCAGAGAGGACTGCCCACCCGCCTATTCTGTCACCTCTGCCCTGCGCCTGCGCCAGCCTCTACATCTGTCAGGCTCGTGGGCTGCTTGGACCATCGTTCGTTGGCACTGCACCTTTAACCACATGCTATCTTTCATCATCTCGATAATAATAATAACTGCATGGCCACCCATTTTTCTTCATGGATCTAATTGAAACGTCTTGCAGCCGTTGACCGTTGTCTTATCGCGATCAACCAATTCCCCCCCTCACGACCAAATCTGTGGCCTGTCCGCGCCTCGGCCCTCAATCCCTCATTACAATATTGGTCGTCATCATCCTTGCCACCTCAGATTTCATTTCTCTACGCTCTCATCCGCTACTCTCTGCCTTTACTGGGACGGGCTCATCTCATCGATCATCCACCGAAAACCCCCCTTTTTATCTGCTTCATAATTCTTACGATACCCCCCGTACCGCTTCTTGTTGCCGGAAGACCTCCCTTTGTACGAAACGGTCCGACGAGCAAATGATCCGCACAATCTAGCAATCTACCGACTTAACAAGTTCCCACATATCGCCCACTCGAGCGAAGTTTGAGACCGTAGCGGTGGAAGATCACTGCCATTTCAACCCTCCTCCAAGGCCTCCGGCTTTCTCGCCAAAGACTGCGCCTAACTCTATCTGCTTTGCCTGCTTGGTGAACCCTGTCAGCAACTCCTGGGCTTAAACGGCCAGTCGACTCGAGAGTGGCCGGAACGAATTCTTCTCGAATTTGCACCTTATACCCACTTTCTCACACCCCTGCCAGGGCCCGACAGACCAGGGTCCTGCTTCGCTGCGGCTTTGCGTTTTGCTCCACACCCTCGTGGTCTCGTGGGTGAGGCCATCCCGGCTCTTCGTGGGTTGTGGGTTGGCGCCCCGTTCGTGTTACTGCCACTGACTTGTCGACCGCCAGTCCTGATCCCTCTTGCGATGCCAGTCCTGTGCGGAACCCGTCCATAGTCCTGAGCATCTTTACCCGCGTGATTTCCAGTCTCCTCCATGCCCGAAGCAAAAGATGTGCCTGTTGACGACTCCATGACTTCGCCGGCTCACGACCTCCCTGCTGCTCAAGTTACCTTGTCCAATTCCAACCCATATCTGTCTTCTACTTCAAACTCACCTCGTCTGGAGTCTTCTCGTCCACCTCACCACCACCACACCAGTTCCACCAGTATCACTCAGAGTAAAAGCAGACGCTCCCTCGCATCCCTGGCAAGAGAAAAGACTTCCAACGCTTTTGCCAATTTAGCTGCTATCGGAACAACTTCTACGCCAAGTCTGCGCTCTGCTACATCATCAGGAAGTCTGTCTAAACAGTCTACATCTTCCGGTCCGGTGCGACCAAGTCTTCCTCGTTCGCCCACATCTCCCGAATTACAAACGGCGACGCAATTGCGAAGAGCCAGCGGAGTTCCGCTACCTCCTCAAGAGTCAAGAAATAGTACTACCGTCCCTCCAATGACGACCCAGGATCGGAACCATGGGAAAATGCACCAGACATCTTCCAAAATCTTGCGCATGACCGATGATGAACGGCCCTTTACCCGAGACTTCAAAGACTTGTTCTCTACCCTCATCACGAGTTTACCGCTCACGCCCCATCGAGTCCGGTTTTCGAGAGTGGAGGAGACCTTTCTCTCGGAAGAGGCCATCACCAATCTCGGCTCCCTGAAATTCTCTCAGTCGAATCGCATACCCGACCCCAAAAACCCTACACGATGGGTCGTCACAACCACGACAACTACATTCTCCATGGCCAAAGAAATGGCTCGTTCCGTTTGTCAAAGATTTGTAGACGCTCGGTTGATTGAGTCAGCCGAAAACAAAAATGCCACCACCTTTGTCACCAAAGGCGCCGTCTGGCAACTAACGCCCAAAGGTTTGGCAATTCTGCATCGATTTTGTAGCCGGAACGGAATCAATGCTCGTCATATCGAACCCCTTCTCAAGCGGAGTCAGATGCAAATGGTCTCCTTAGAACGAGACCCAACGACGGACAAGCTGGTTCAGGATCGACCCACGGTTGAGATCATCTTTCGCAGGTTTATGGGTTCCGAAGGACCGAATTTGAAGAGTTCCACGTCATTATCCGATTCAGACTCGGTGTCGGAATATGCCACCGGTCTTGTGGGTGTCAAGATGGCCAAAGAACGACGGGTATTGGACAAGACCGTCAACAATACCTTCACGGGCAAAGCGGCTTCTGACTGGTTACTGGACTGTTGCACCACCATCGATCGCCGAGAAACGTATGAGATGGCAGAGTTATTCGTCAAGTGGCAACTGATGGCCCCGGTTGTGGAGGACAGAGCTTACATTCGACTCAACCCGATGGCGACTTATTTCCAACCCACCAAACATGCAATCTACGCCATCACCGAAAGAGGCCAACGAGTATGCGGCTGGATAGCAAGACCACCGAGTGTCGACAGTGAAGATAGTCGCGATACAAAGGACAAGGCGGCCCGGCTCACCAGAGATTCCAATGTCAGCCGATTGAATGTGATTTTGCAGGATGCGGCTCTCAGATTACTGTTCAAAGAATTCTTGCGGCAATCGCTCTGCGAAGAGAATTTACAGTTTTATTTCGATGTTTCTGATTTCACAAAGACCTATCGCAACCTGGAGAAAGACGGGAAGCTCAACAGAACTGAAGCCATTCGGGAGACACTGGCTGCGGCCTACGGTGAATACCGCCCCAGCCCCCCCCTTCTTCCTCTAAATTCGAACTGCGCTAACGATGCCTAGGCCTTTACAATTCTTTTCTGGCTTCCGGAGCTCCTTCAGAACTCAACATCGACCACTCTCTGCGCAACCGTCTTGATAGCCGGATGATTAGAACCAATATCGATGACGAGTCGATGAAAGAAAGTCTCGAGGAAGTGGTGGAATTATTCGAACTCGCACAAGCCGCCGTTTTTAAGCTGATGGCCAGCGTAAGTCCACCCTCGACATAACTCGAAGAGAACACCTTGCCTGATCAACTCTTCAGGATTCGGTTCCCAAATTCCTTCGAGACCCAAGGAACGCAACAGTACTTCGGGACCATGAAATCGACTTGATCGGCTCGAATCGCGCAATGTCTCCTGCTCCTGACCGAACAGTCAGTCGATCTAACACGCGGACATGAGACACCTCTACAGATGACGATTATCCCACTCCCTCTTCTCGTCACTTTGGCTAAGGCCAAACTTGTCGATTCTCTCTACGAAATGCACATTTCAATGTCATGAATATACGAAAATCGGGGTCCACTCTGTGGACTTGGCGTACAACACTCACCATTTTCTCTGCTGCTATCCCAAGTCAGATGTTATTGACGGGGTTCGTCGGAAAGCCTTGCCACCGTACAATCTGCAAACTTGAATGGCTCTTATTGGTGGTGGTGTACTACCACATTTTCTGCATACTATGGTGTACAGGTTCTGCATAGCGTGGTCGCAATGGGGGGTTGAAATTCTTTATCAATCGGCATATCTAGTGGCGTGCTCTCCATTCTGCATTTGCATTTGCATTGGAAAGATACCCCTGTGGAGGAAGGCAAACACATTGTGGATTGGGGGAGAGCGCCAGACATGGGACTGGATGTTCATTCGGAAAGCGGAACGGATGCAAGTTGGATAGAGTATGAAGAGCCTGGAGGACAATGGGGCGGTGTGAATAGCTACATTGGGAAAACAAGAGGAGTGATGATATGATCTCGAAGATACTGCAGTGTCTGTCGTCTTTGCCACTCCCTTCGATGAAAAACCCTTTCTGTGAGACAGCGGTCAATTTGGCAGTGGTATGCGGGTCAATTCGATGCCTTCTTTGGGAGGAGAAAACGATGCTAGAAGAGTATGCTACGCCATGATAGGGCTCTCTCTATTCTGACCCCCTTTAATGCAAAGTCTGAAATCTCAGCTTCAAATTGTTAGAGTTGATGTGAAGCGAGATGATCGGGGGGATTATCGATGCCACGCTGACCAGGCATGGTCGCAGAGGCCAATAGGTCAGCTCTCATGGGCATGTAACATGAGTCGGCGCAGCGTATACGATTTCCTTGACAAAGCATCTCCGGCGACCCCGATAAGGTCGTCCTTGAGTCGTAGTGCATACATAAAAGGAGACGTAGTTGATTAGAATGTGAGGCTGAAAGGGGTCCCAGGCATGCGAAAAGTAGTATTCGAGTGGGCCCGGTTCCGGAAAAATAATAATCCTTTAGGTCATACCCCTGTCAAGTTTCCCCCGAAATGTCTTAACTTCGACTAGACAACGCGAACAATCCCCCCTGCGACATCGCTGACGGAGATGCCATAGAGAGGAGGAGGAGGAGGAGCAGACTCCCCCTATCTCTGCAACGGTGACGATAATGACTGCTCCTGACGCACTGCAGCTGCTTCGACTTTCCATCGCTGCCTCGAAGCCACCCGTGCTCACCAAAACCGCTGATCCACTGACAGCGGAGGCAAATCAAACCGACTCTTTCGTCGAAGCGACACACCTCTACTTTACTCATCCCACTCCGTTCTGCCTTCCTCTAGATACCACGACCCGATTCACGTCGACAAATCCGGACACTGTGCAAGTTGACCTGCGCAGTATATTTTTTGCCTGGCTGCAAAAAGATGTCACGGTTCCGGAATACATTGCCCTTGCGGCTGAGCTCGACAAACAACTCCCAGAAGGACAAAAAGTGCGCAATTTGATCTTCGTCGAGCGTTTAGATTTGATCACCTGGTTGGAGGGCGCATCGGAAGAGTCGGAATACATCAAACCTATTGAAGGCCCAGCCACGACGGGAGATGCTGCCAACCGAGCAGCGGATGTAGCTGGCGGCGCTGCCGTGCCTCCTGTTTCTGGCTCTGGTGTTGGCGTCACTCAAACTGCTGGTGGGAGACCCGTAAAGGTGATCGACGCAAGACTGCAAGCGATTTACAATGGCGAACGCAGAATAGGCGATCACAATTCCGTATTACGAGGCATCAAGCCAACGGTGGGCATACTTCGCTACGGCGACTTTTTCTCTGGCCGCTAATAGGAAGAAACAGGATTTTTCCCATGTGCGCAAGCATGCAGAAACCTTCTTGGGACGACGAAAAGGTGTTCCATCATCAACGAGACCGGGACAGCCTTCCAAAACCGCTCAGCTTGCAGCTCGACCCGCGGCCAATTCATCCAAACCTCTTGCACCAGCCGTCTCTTCCAAACGTTCAGATCCTATTATTCTTCTCTCTCCTTCAGCATCATCACTTCTCCGAATGTCGAATATCAAGACTTTTCTCGACACTGGCCTTTTCGTTCCTCCCGATCACCCTACATTATCGACCCAGACGACAGCAAATCTTCTCCACATCACGCGCACACTGCCATCTCTAAGTGAGAAACCGTATCGATTTATCCTCGTCGATTCTCCGGAACAATTCAAGCCGGACTATTGGTCCCGAGTCGTTGCCGTGTTCACCACAGGTCAGATCTGGCAGTTCAGAGGATACAAATGGAGAGAACCTCAGGAATTGTTCGGCCACGTCCTAGGAATTTATATCGGTGAGAAAGGTCTTCCGATCCCTACCGAGGTCAAGGGGTGGGGAAGCAGTGTTAAGACTTTTGCGGTTGAGAGGTGGGACGAGAGAGCTCATGGCGCTGCAGTTGATCAAGAGGCAAGGGCAGCTAGGAGGTGGAGGGATAGAGAGACAGTGGAAGAGGTCTGGAGGTCAATTGAGGCTTACATGAGAGGTCGTGGCGAATGGAGACGGTGAAATAGGATTTGGTTGATTTCGGTTTTTGTGAGCGTCCTCCGCCAGGGTCAGATCAAGGTGCCGCAAACGGTATCACGTGGCTGATATCAGACTTCAATCGTCCGACTTCGATATCCATTCAGGCTTGCATGATTCGAATTGAAGCACCATTGCGGCATGGCACCAAATCCGAACCAGCGAAACACCTCGCACGAGAAAAGCCGTCTTGGGATTGATTCAAGACCCTCCCAGGAATCAAGAGCATGGCATTCGCAACGGCATGAAAGTTCGGACACTCTGTTATGATCATCTCGACTGCATATGTGGACAGCCAAATAGCCGCGGCGTACTATGCGTAATATGCCGATGATGACATACACAGAGCTACAAAGTTCTGCGGAATAACCACAGCGATCTGGCTGACTTTTATACTTATGCTATCGTAAGCACGCCTCTGGCCGATGTCGCATTGCCCATTTCAATGCATCCGAACATGTACTCGCGCAACCGGTATGCAGCAGATGGTGTATATTGTGGAATCCCTGGCGCGGCGAAGGGAGTGTTGGTTAGTTTGCCACCACCACCACGCCACATTTACACGAAGAGTCAAACTCAGGCTCAGGCTTAGACTTAGACTCAATATTTAGGACCACCTTTAGACGTATATTTACCTATCCTGTACCCAAGACCTCGATGAATGTCAACCCGCACTCCGCATGAATGGTCCCATATACGCCGGCACCACCGTACACGCTGGTTTGATGCATCGAGGTGCCCTCGGTCGACGGTGCATACAGGAACAAATACGGGACGAGAAAGCACTGCTTTGGCGCCGTCTGGAACCCTTGTATCCTGCCCCACGTCATGTTCTAGATCGTTAATAGCCTGCCATTGGTCAGGAATGACATGTCGAAGCTGCCATGTGCGATGATCACATTCTACGTCGTATTGATGGCGCGTGGGCACGGATCTTGCGAGGACCCCGGTGAGCAGTTACCGCCATTCAAGCCGAAGCTGTGGAAGATCGGATTTGCCACGCAGCGCAGCGTGTAGTCGGTAAGGGGATCGGACGTGAACCGCTCGCTTCACATCGGTTCGGTTGAAGTTGTTGTTTGGTCCCGGCGCGTTGAAGAGGCCAAGTACGTTCCATGGCCATGGACAGGGTGTTCTGCTAGGTGCCAGGGGTTGAAGCATGCGTAGCATGGGTTGATGCAATAAACAATGGCAATGGCGTGTGTGTGTGGGTGGAGACATGCAGATAGGGCGTCTGTGAGGGGACGTGCCTTCATGAGAACATTGTAATCATTTATAGCAGGGTTGTTGATTTGGATCCCTTTGGCATTGAAGTATGTCGAATCATTCTTCGTCGAGAGTCGCGTCCACCGATATACAGGATGCACATGCCCGCATAACACTCGCCTGTAGAGTATATTTCCTACTATATATGTCGAAGGCGTCGATAAATCGGGTCTGGAAATCCTGGAACTGCGCTACAACGTCTTCTTCATTGCGCACGCCAGAGGGCTGGAGGAATATCCGACTCCAGCTGGCTGGTCGATCCACGCCATGCGTATCGGGTTTTGTCCTGGATATGACGTCAGGAGCTGGTGTGTACGTGTCTGGTTGCCAGGGAAAGGGACCATTATCTTGGGGACGCCATCAAATGCTGGGCGGTCTGGTCTGGCCATTCGGCCGTGTGGTGATCTCGTTGCTTGCGGCTGGGTTGGAAGATGGAAAAACCAAAAGTACAGGCTGCCATTGCCTGATGCGGGTGTTTGAGAGTAAGCGGGCATATGATTCGCCAACAGAAAATGAAACATCAAGGACTGTGCCATCATCGACGGAGAGAACGCTGGAGCTAATGGGAGGTATTGTATTCGGGATCCGAGCTCACCTTGGTTTTTGGGTGGGAGGTCTTGAGGGACTGGGTTAATGGCGGGCAAGGACGGTGGAGTAGTCACGAGGAGGTAAAAGATAGAAATGGACATGTACATAGTTTCTTGAGAGATGGCGTAATAGAGAGCATAGGAACTTCTAGTGGAACAATCACCAGAATTTGGGTCTCACGTAGCCGATCCCAACCTTGGCGCCGGCTTCGCGAGGCTCGATGATCGCAGATCCCATGACATCAGCGAGAAATTGTACAGCAATATTGAATCGCCAGAGTGGAAGAGCGAAGATCAAGGATGCAGTTCCTTAAGAAAACGCGAGAGAAGCAGGTTGAGAAGAGAAGTAACTCTCCTGACGTAGTCAGTAATCGGTCGTCTCCCTTTTACAACCGAATGGGGAAGGCAGCGCGATCCAATGAAAATCGCTGCCCACAAGGCCACGAGGCTGAAACAGGGTCAGAGCACCCTTTTCAATTCCAGAGCACTCAACAACAATCAATGTTGTCGAACAAGGTCTCATTGAACGGCTGAATAGTAGCAAGTGCCCCTTTATTGAAAAAGGAGTTATCACCCCTATGCAGGATTTAGGGGTAGGAATAGGAGAAGAGGTCAACCAAGCGTGTATTTATACCAGCAACCTGGCAGGACCGGTTGTGAGGTAGACAGAGAATTCAATACATCTCAAGTTGTTTCCCAGTTTGACAAATGTACACTCACTGACTGTTTGGCATCTGGATATCGTCGCTTTTGGGGGCAGTTCCAGAAATGGCTCGATAATCAATCGAGTAGGTGGCTCGTCGTTGCGGTCATTGTAACAACGATACCAACGAAGGGTAAGGACCCGTTACGAGGGGTATAGGGAGAGGGATCACAAATCGCTGCGAGTACACAAGGTAGGGTATGGAATGGCAATGTACCGATCCGTTCGCTCCTTTACCCATTTTCGGCACCCAGCCCCTTTCCAGCCACTTCTGCGGTGGCTGGGGATTCGTTGCGTGATATTTGGGTGTTACAGTCATCCCCAGACGTCTCCTCTGGGCTTCCAAGGCTTTGAGTGATTTGAATACTAACTTAAGCGCTTTTTGTAACGTTTTCCGCCCTGTGCTTTCTTGAGGGTCAGTGTCCTTCCATTACTGGCTGTCTCTTCAGCTTTTGGCAGTCTGCTTTCCCTTGGATACAGACGCTTGACCTTCCACATTTTGGTCTTTGCTCAATTCAGATTCGTTCCATCTCCGCATGTTCCCAATTTCTCTTGGTATCGATAAATGGAGTTCCATTTGCCTGAGCTTCGGCTTCGGTTCGACAATAATTGTCCCACCCTCGTCCACGATCACTAACTCCCTCTTGATCATAGCATCACTGGGTTCCCGGTATGGGTTCTTCTTCGGCCGCTTTCTCAATTTGTATAACTCATACTCGGTCCTGTGTGTCCAGAGTTCCTACTCGCTTCCAGTGTCCCCATCTTTGGGTAGAGGGTATAGCTTGCGACGTTTTTCAGTCTGCTCAGTGATCGAGCGCGACAAGTCACCTTTCTCCATCAAATCATCGTCTGAACCCGTCTCTCGTGGGAGAGCGATCAGTGGGATCTCCTCCATATGACGTCCGACGTGACTGATGAAATCACACTGCACTACAAACCTTGTTCGAGAACCAATCTGACAACGTTGATCTTCCATATATTGAATAACGGATACTTTTGCAGCTGAAAGCATGAGCCGATTTTGTGCCTCATCCATGGCTTTCGACATACTGCGCTCCCCCTTCAACCAGTCTGGATAACTTTGCGGCAGATGAAAATCTACACCGCAGGAAAGGCAATGCAAAAACTTCCTGTCAATTCAACTTTGACATGGCTCAATGTCTGACCGCCGATATCACATATGAAAGGGACAGTCCTGTTTGATGTCGGTTGGAGTAGGTAGAGCACGAGCTGCTACGCCACGGCCTGCCGTCGAGTGAGTGGATAAAAAGAGGTACGTGATCCCACAGAAGCGGTATACTTTGATTTTGTTGGCAGTGAAGTTCCCAGTCCAGAATCATGAAACTCAGAAGCCGGGGGCAAAGAAAGAGTGTGCTAGCTCTCTGGCTTAGTCCCATTTGTGTGGGACAGGTTTTTGGAGACACTGCCGGCTTCACCGAGCATCTTCTTCGCAAGAGATTGCAAGCGAAGATATCTTTGCCAGTTTGCTTCGCCCTGGCTGTTTGCCAAAGCCATCGCCGATCGTATTGAATTTATCATGGATTTGAAGTACATAATGGACGGGCAGCCGGAGATGGTTCGTACTCAATCTGAATCCTTGACTGGCTGCCTTCGGGTATGGCAAGATATTCTGCATAGCAACAATGTCGTAAAGTTGGAAGTAAATCCATCATGTGGACAATATAGTTGACAAGTTGGCGAGGTGACTGTTGGTATCTTTGGGGGTTGTGGATTCATTATTCTTCTCTTCTGATAGTACTGCATCATCTCTCTACAAGGAGACGAAGGCCGATACATCGATTTCGTCGTGGCGGTTTTGAGCGTCTGGTAACAAATCTGGAGAATCGGAGAGTTGAGCATTGAAACATTGGCATTTGGGGTCTAATCTTTGAGCTCACATATATAACCGACCCAGATTTTGTTCCGCAGTATTTTTGGGCTTGGCCGGTGAAACAATGTCGACACCCATCGGCCTTCAGCGTATCCCTGAAAAGTTTCAATAGTCGGTAGTAAAAGACGCGGCTAGAGTATTGTTCCTCTTGAAGAATTTCATCAATATGGTGGGAGGAGGACGCTGTTGTTGGTAGATCTGGTGCCATGCGACTGCATTTTTTGATCATGCAAGCAGTCTCCCTTTTTTTTGATATAGAAGAATCGTTCCTTTCTCCAGGCGGTCCATATATGGAAAACCACAGCTTGCTGACGTAGTTGAGGGAACGGAGCCCTTGGTGATTCTGTTATCCCGTCTGAATTGGTTAAAGGAAGAATGAGGCTGAGAGAGGAAGGTTGTTCCAGACGGATGCACAGATAAGCCTAACCCCACTATTCCGTAATATCGTAGGCACTTGTGGGAATGCCCTCTGGAGAAAGGATGCTTATCGGAGGTTACAGTACGTGCGCCTCCTCTTCAGTTCCTTCCTGAGACAGTCTTTCAGTCATTTCTCGTTAATTTTGATTCTCGAGTCTGTGGTACCTCGTATGGTAGAGGTGGTAGGTTTGGCACTGGAAGGCAGCGCCTATACTTGCTGCTGCACTCGAACAGTATGGAACGCTGTACAAATTATGCAAACGGTTCCTAAAGGGCGAATCAGGAATGGGGATTGCTTGACTGCCTCAAATTGCAGTAGGATATCTCCCAAAACAAAACAAGATTGCTTCTGACCGCTGCTGTTGGTCCCCCTAATCAGGCAAAGGCCATGGTACAAGACCTCCCGACAACTCTTCGTGGTTGGAGTCGACTGTAAGGAGTGGTTGACAGTGTTACGCGGTCAATTCAAGTATAACTTCTCTGAGACAAAGTTAGCCAATCCCGCCAGCTTCATCAGAAATGCTACGCAAACGATTATCGGATTCTCCGAGCACGAATCCAGGACGAGAAATCTTGCACGCCTGATGCCGATGTTGAATCTCGATCAACCGAGATGATTGAGCGCATCCAGACAACTCAAGCCGCTGCAAAACGTGCATATGCGAGCGAGGTTCTCATCCCAGCCTGCAAGTGTCACACCCAACACCATGCTCGATTCAGCCTCAAACCACCCTATGCCTCATCGAATATGGGCATCGAAATCCAATTCCAGATCGTCCAAGCCGCCATCTCTCTCTGCAACATATCCAAGGGGATCGAGACGTGCTTTGGTTTGTGGTTGAGTCCATTGTCTGCGGCACTGTGTCCGCCATCTCACCGGAGATGCGGGCCTACTCGACAACAACTAATCCGAGGTGGCAAGTCAGAAGGTATAAGTCGTCGGTGCGGAATACCCCAAGTACCACGATGACAACAGTAATAGTGGGATTTAACAAATACAGTCTCTTCCCACTCTGTCCTCCCTTTGCTGGAAATTTTGGTCTCTGCTGCTCGAACTTGGTTTCCTGACGGCGGCGCCGAAGCAGTTTCGTTTGTACCTCCCCTATACCCGATTTTCATACCGAACAGCCCATTCCTTCGTCGTTCGTATTATCATTTGTCCTGAACTGTTACTTCCCGCTGACTCCGTGTCGTCTCGGTGTGGGTCAGGCTGAGACGAAACCGTCGTCGTTCCTTCGCTTATGTTACCAACGTAAAGTTTGGATCGAGGTGGTGGACCACTATCGCTATTTCCAGAATGAACAGTGGCCGTTGTTGTCTGGCCATTGCCTTTCTTGTCTCTCGCAATGGAGCTAAGCATATAGATGCCTTGTGTTGCCGAATGTGATCCGGAGTATAGTCCGGAACCGCTACCGCCAACGGTGTTCACGATAGCACCCGTGTGGAAAGGTTTCAGGAAAGGCTTGAGAGAGGTGATGGAGGTAGAGATTAGGGCGTATTCCAGTGCGCCTTCGGTCAAGATGTGGGCCAGGATACTTGTGAAGGTTGGATCATGGTTTTCGTCCGGGGACAGGTAGCGGAGACGGATGGCAACAACAGGAATGAGTCTAAACAAACGACGTTAGTGGGGTGACGCCGTCTGAGGAGAAGGAGGGGGATATACAAGAGGCGGCAGCCAAAGGCGACGAGGATCAAGACTCGCTTCTGAATCTTCATCTGGAGACCCCAGACAAGAGAGACGGACAGCATCCATAGCACGACCTCAACGGCGAGCCCAGTAGTTTCAACCGCAATCCATCTGACGTACTGTGGAGAATTAGGTTGAGGTAGATTGAGCACCAGAGAAGCGGGATGAAACCTACCAGGACCTCTGCACCATCTAATGTGGCCCAAGGATGCGCAATGTCCGGGCGCAAAGCAATGACGAGGATCGAGGCTGTCGTCCATACTCCTGACACTGCAGCGAGAATGTATGATAATCGGACTTGGACGCGATAGCGGGTCAGATGTTCAATGAAGAATGCAGTGGACATTCTCGTCAGTCCTAGGGATCCGACATAGGAGAGTTGGCTGGCGAAGAGCGCCTGAGAGTGGTCGTATTATTAGCAAGATATGTATCTTGTTTCGAATGCCATACCTTCTCTACAATGCCCACGTGCGCCTCCTCGATTTCGCGCAGAGGGAGTCCATAGCCATGATTTATGGCCCAGAAAGTGGCCGCGATGTGCAACATCGCGAAGAGCTAAGGACCAGTCAACAGGTTGAACAATCTCTTGCCCCCAGTTATAGGGAGCGTACAAAAGCAACCACCACACCAGTATCAGAGTGACCCCAACTCTGTTTCCTTCCCAGCTTCACCCACACTCGCACACCGAACGACAGAAATGCCCAGCTGAAGAACAATGCGGTTGCCGTGCTGAGCCATAGACCACGATCTCGAGTCATACTTAAGGAGATGTGTTTGGAAAAATTTGGATAATCCTACTTCGCTGCCATCGTGTCTATAAGGCACGCCAAGGGTCATGACCAAACGTGATAGAGTTGATTGGGTGTTTGGCACAGCAAGGGTAAGATCACACCACCTCTAACGTTCAACTTGGTCAGGGGGGATACACCAATGTTGACCTGACGTTTATTGTCTGTCCTCGCTGTCCGCTACAGGAGTACTCTCCCATGGAGAATTCGAGGAAGCTGTACGGAGGTGTGCATTCAAATCTAGTGTCGGCGCTATTTGTTTAGCTCCTTGCCGTGGCTGGCAGAAGCAAACCTCATAACAAAATTTTGCCGGTTGATTCTCCTGATCATCCTTCCCTCCTCTTCCTGCATCAGCTCTTCTTCTTCATCGACGCCTTTGAACTACTCGTCATTGATGGCATCTCTTGAGACGTCTGGGACAAAGGAATACCGAAATAGCTCTCAGATCTTTCTGCATCCTCTGTAACTACGTTTTGAAGCCCTTCTTTCTTGATATTCGTTACCTCCTTCAATGCGCATTATCTCTTCTATCTATTTTTGGATTTGAGACTGTAGGAGATTGCGACAGGCATCTTTCCAAGCCTATCTTGTGTTTCGGAGCGCTATGAATGCAGTCTTTTTTTTTTTATTTTGAACCAGGGCCAACGATATTTCCATTGCATTTATTCAAATCAGGAGAGAAACGCCAGTAAACGTATCGACTCTTTAAGTGTGCCGATGAGCATAACCCGGAGCGTTGTCTTCCTGCATCACAATCTCTGGCCGAGTTTGAGGGCATTTCTGAGCAAAAGGAATCATGATCTGCAGTTCCCCCATGTACAGTACCAAATTAGCTCGGCAAGGCCCCACTTGGTGTCAATTAGAGCCAGCACAAGATTTAACATCTTCAGACCCTCCCCCATGCTGAGAGGTACTTCATATAGCCAAGGCGCATACGTGGGGTGGACATCTGGGTTAACCCTCTCCTTTTTGCGCCTGCATACAGAGGACGGCCGGACCCGCGGAATCTTTTAGCGCTTCCGCTGCGTCTACGGCTTAAGACTGTACAAGGTATCCGCCATCATTCCTGTCATACTTCGCAGTAATCGGAGGGGTCCCATGCAAGGCCCTATTACCGTTGTAATCGGCTGCAAGTATTTTGTCTCTCCCCTACGCCTCTCGCTCTTTCCTTCTCATTTACCTTGACTTCGTCGTCCATTTTCCCGCATTAACGCTTTTACATCATGGCGTCTCAAATCCGAACTCTGCCTCCAGGCCACTCTGGGGATGTGATGGAAATGAGAGCACAACCGCAGAAGGAAGAGCCCAACGTCGAGGTTGCGGGCGCCGATATCGACACCGAGTCGAACGAGCTTGGCGATGGGTTCAAGTCTACCTCCGCTGATGCGGTCAACATGCGGCGAATGGGAAAAGATCAACAACTGGTCCGACACTTTCGAATCCTCTCCATGGCCTCATTTGTTGCTGTCGCGACAGCCGCCTGGGAATTTACGGTCTTCAATCTTACTGTAGCCCTCACAAATGGAGGTCTCCCCGCGTTGGTCTATTCGGCGCTCTGGAATTTTGTTGGATTCGCCCCCATTTACCTGAGCATGGCTGAGATGGCCAGTATGGCACCCATCGCCGGAGCCCAATATCACTGGGTGAGCGAGTTCGCTCCTGACAGTCTTCAAAGGGGTCTGAGTTACCTCACAGGGTATGTACTATCCCTCCTCCTTTGCTAGGCCTTGGAGGTAACGCTGCCCTAGCTGGACCTCCACCATGGCCTGGCAAGCCGGAAACGCCCAAGGTGTATTCCTCGTTGGCACTCTCGTTCAGATTCTCATTTCCCTCCACGACGTCGACTACACATTCCCCCAGTGGCACACGACCCTGCTTGCCATGGGTGCCGTGGGTATTGCTTACGTGGGAAATGTGTACGGGCACAAGTTTCTCCATCTCTGGCAGAATGCGGTTTTCACTCTTCATGTTCTGGTCTACCTTGCATTTATCATTCCGATCTGGGTCAATGCGCCACGAGCCTCATCCAAGCAAGTTTGGACCGAGTTTACATTTTCCAGTGGTTGGCCTAGTGCGGGATTAGCAGTGCTCGTGGGACAGCAGACCGGGACCTTTAGTCAAATTGGAATTGACACGGTAAGGCCATCACCCTCTCTTTTCAGGGTATTTTCTTCTGAATCGGCTCTAGGCCGCACATATGTCCGAGGAGGTGAGGGACGCCTCGAAAGCGGTACCGAAGACGATGATCAGCATCTGGATCGTCAACTTCTGTCTGACGTTCCCGGCTTTTCTGACCGTGGCCTACCATATCCCCGTTCTCGACGACGCTCTCGCCGACCCTACTTTATACCCGATCATTTACGTCCTCCGACAGTCCATGTCCAACGCATGGCTCACAGTCCTGCTCACCTTTATTCTCTTTCTTCTGGTCTGCTCGAACATGACGTACCTCGCGGCGGTCACTCGAGATATTTGGGCCTTCGCTCGTGACCAAGGCTTCCCCTTCTCGAACTGGATTTCACGGGTCGACCAAAAGCGCCATATTCCCCGGAACGCGATCATCGTTACCAGCAGCGTGAGTTTCTGTCTAAGCTTTATCTATATTGGAAGTCCGGTCGCCTTCTACGCCATGACGTCCCTGGTCGCCGTGGCCCTTCTCCAGTGCTATTGTCTCAGCATTGGTTGCTTGCTGTGGCGTAGAATTGCTTATCCGGAAACGCTGCCACCGGCAAGGTTCCCTTTGGGTAAACTTGGTATACCTATTAACATGGCGGCTGTTTGTTACGCTTTTTGGGTTTTCTTCTGGGCCTTCTGGCCCACATACAATCCCGTCGTACCGTCTACCTTTAATTGGGCCTCGGTACTTTTCACTGCTACCTTAATCGGCTCCGGGATACATTTTGTCTTCGTGGCACGTCGCAGATACGTTGGCCCTGTGGCCAATGTCCAGGGCAGGAAGGTGCATCCTCGGTGGACAGGCGAGAGTAGTCGTTAACCCGTCATCTGAGATTCTTGAGATGTACAGGCTACAAATACAGGCTCCCTTCGATCGCTGTGGAAGCACTTGGACGTATAAAACATATTCTGCAACTATGCCAGACTGGAGAGACTCTATATACGGAAAAGTATGTCACAGCCTTCACAGGAATGATTCCTTCGCCCAGAGAGATCTTCCACTCCTTCGGACGCGTCTCTGATAGGTTTTTTTTTAATTTGCTTGGAACCCCTTGTATCTGCCCACCCGACCGGTTATTTTTCACAAGGGCTCGAACCTGATACACCTTGAAAACTCCGTGTCCCGTATGTGATATGTGGAAAGAGTTCTTTGCATTGCTTGGTACAAAAGATTTCAATTCCCGGAATCTTCTGGCGGACAAAGCGTTTGGACGTAATGGGCAGGCAGAAACTTGATGGACACTGCCTCCGAGGAACAGAACGTAATCACGCCACCTGATACCGTTACGGGATACACACCAGTCACCGCTTCTCATTGAATAAATTCTTTGGATTTTTGATTCTTCATTTCTGCTTGACCGCCGCCATGAATCTCCTGCGTCTCTCGCGTTTCCTCTTCTGCCGGCAACTTGATAACCATCATGTAAACGACATCCTCCTCGCGACAGCAATAGGCTCATGTTTCTGGTCCATGCCCACGATTTCACCTTCTCCCCTTCTTTTACGGCTCTCCGCTCGCGTCGGACACCCAGTCGTTGACGGATTGTGGGATGGGTTAATGTGACCTCCGCTGATTGGATTGAGAGAGTTTCTGTTGCTGGCTGAGTGGTCGGGGTCGCTGTATCGTGAGGCAAATTGCTCGTCGGGCATCATGTGCAACTTTGAGTGGGGTTTCTTACATACATATCAGAGTCTCGGCATCGATATATCGGTCCGCCACCAAAAGTTTGAGTCGCATTGATGTAGACGTGACTTACAAATTTCGCCCGCGATCGTCGATCGGAGGTATTCTCGCAGAAAATCCGTCTTGCCTTGCTTCCACTTTTCAGATTCAGGAAGCGCGTCGAGTTCCGGGCATATAGCGGTGCGCATTCGGCCAGCTCCAAAACCATTGTGCACGACGCTGCTAGGTCCACCGAGTTTGTGGCCGCCGTCCAGTGCCCTTTTGGCTACCGCGGTATGGGCGGAGTGCTCGAGGTCGACGTCTACCATCCCTTGGGATCAGTAGGGTTGTATACGAAGACCATGCGGTAGACGCCGCAGGGGTTGAGGAGTTTCTCGTTTATGGTATCGAGAAATTTATTGGGTCTGATAGAGTACGGGTTAGCTGGATGTTGGAAGGCCGAGGGAAGATACGGAGGCGGCGGTCTGGGTGGAAAGGGGCATGCTTTACTTATTGGTATCGAATATACCCTCGTCGTGTGGTTTTGATGCTGACGTGAATTGTCCAGGCAACAGCATGTGCGATTATTATGGGACCTGTTGCGACGGTGACCCCCGTGGCTGCAAGTCCAACTGCCAGGTTTGCCACGTGGAAGGTTGGCGAGTACGATCATACGATGCTAGGAGGAATGTAAAGGTACAATAAGGTGGTGGAACAGACCTTGATGGCTCTGCCCAGTCCATCAAGGAAATCAAACCACGTCGCATGACCGATATCGCATCCTTCGAAAACCGGAGCATATGCATGAGGAAATCACGGAATTTCGAGCCTGGAATGTCTCTGCAGTATGATGACTGGTGGATGAACTTGACCTGTCGCCCTGCTGGAGGAGGGTGGCGGATGTCTCTGGAAGAAATCCGTTACGACATTGTCGACGTCTGTTTCGTGCGGTCCGTCACGATTACGGCTCGACGCAGCAGCAACTTGAATCTCGCCTGGGTTCGATTGCGCTTCGTCGGTGTCGGTGTACTCATCATCCGGGTATTCAGGTTCTGTGTATGTTGTGTCTGTGGGCTCAGTGCCTGGTTTGTGGAGATTTGGAGCGAGTTCATTGCGTCGGGTATTCCACCGAGTATATTGGTGACTGGACCTATTGTTTACAGTGTTGAAAGGTTTTCCTCTTCAACATGTAAGAATATGAGACCAGCAATGTTGCTGTAGATGAAGGAGATTGGAGACTGATACCTCAGAGTTTAATGATCTGGGCGCTGCAAAATTTTATACGTTGAATTTTAGGCACCCCCCCGAATGGACCACCCAATTGAGAATTCTAGGATGGTATTCGATGTGCCGAGCTGACTTGGAATCGACGTCATAGTAGTAAGCATAGAATCTCTTCACGGTGGCGCTCCCATGATGTTCACGCGGCTCAATTAGCAATGCGAGTCTTTTCAGAACCTATGGCCAGCTCTGTACATGGTAGACCATGACTGTGATTTGGAATGAGCCGTGCCTTATCGCGCTTCTTACCTGGTTAGATGAGTCCTTCGAGTAAATGACGTTGCTAGCCATTAACCTGTTGAAGTCTCCCTTCGACTGTCAAATGTTAATGCTGAGATGGAAGGTTCAGCATTGTTCAGTCATCTCAATTGTGGGCCGGTAAGGCTGAGTGAATGAAGTTGGCAAATTAGAGTGTGCCAGACTGACTAGCCCCGGTCTGAGCCGTTCGATGCCTGAAATGGTTTCATATCACAAGGGAGGTTTGGCGAAACCTATGCCCTGGTCCTGAAGGCACTATCTCATGGCGCTACAATACACATGGGGAAGTAGGCAATGCAGATTGGGCGAGCGGCCTTGCGCAGGTCGTGCTATGCGAGGACAGCCTCTTGGCCTTCAATTGGCGGCAGTCTGGAATATTTCACGTAAATTTTTTACGATGGAGATGAATACCTCTTTGCTTTGTTGGAAGTGTACTTGGGGTGAATTTGGCCTAGAGAGGTATATCGTGCCGCTCCAAAGCTCTTCCATCTTCCAAAGTTTTTCAATCTGCAATTATATTGTGCCATCGATGGTTATAGGCCCCAATGGAATGCCTTCTGTGGGACAATATTTAGTAAATGTAACCCACGCCCTCTTCTGCTTGAGCATACTGCATATTCATTCGAAACTTTTGCCAGCGGGGCCGTTGTCCTTTTTAAACAAGGACATGGAAGATCAAAAGGTCAAACCTGTTTGACATGGCTGCACGATGCATCATTACGGAGCTCTTCGGGAGAGACTCCTGAACAGCCTTGAGCCTCCCGGAAGGAAGACAGGGTGGGAAATGTCGGAGCCGACTCAATCTCTGCAATTGATCGGCAGCTTGAAGAACAGCCCGAATAGGTGCTAACACATGAGTCTTGGAGATTTTGAATGCGAACAAAAAAACCTGCATGAATTAGAGGAGATGGTTCCCTGTCGAAGTGTTTCAGGATGATCATGTGCTGTACACTCAGCGGCCCCTTGGCGAACGCCGTCTTTTCTTGATACAGTATTTTAGCGTCTCCACCCTATCGATTGCCCCTGAGGTTCATTCTCCATTACTCTTCGAGATTGGTCGGTTCCTCCATATTTCGGAACATGCTTCACTTCAGAAGCAGCATCCCGGACGACCACCAGCCTCCACAAGCGAGATCAATGAGACCGCGTTATCGTCTAAACACCGCCGAAGAACACTCTGCCATGTGGTATATGCAGTATTCCATTTCGGTTCCATGCCCGAAGCCACGCGGGACACTAGAAGCAGTATCCCTTCCAGGGAAGAAGCACCAATTGACGCCCGACTAAGGCTGCCCGGGGCCGCCCAGCTCGACCTTTCTGGGGTTTGACGCGAGATAACGCGCGCTTGAGGGGGTTCTTTTGGTCTAATAAGGAGGCTGTGAGATGTGAACTTGAGCATGAGCACTGGGAGCTGATCAACTATGTGCTTTCCTGTCTGCATCACTGGGGGGCCACTGGGGCCGACAAGCGACATCAGCCTCGACAAAGCTGATGAGATAAGTAGACGCCTTTTCAACCTCAAGCACTTCCACAGAAAATACTAAAGCTCACTTTGCGTGAATACTCTTACCGGCGCTTAATCCATGGATCCTGTTTGCGGCACAGTCGGCCTGGTTGCTGGCGTGGGCTCTATTATTTCTATTGTGGGAAAATCGGTACAGACCTTGACCAGCCTCCGGCAAAAGTACAAGGAGGCAGAGTTGAACATCACTCTCCTCACCGGTCATCTTCGGACTGTGCGTATGGCGCTCTTTCAGGTCCAAACTTGGGCTACGGAATGTCTACCTGGCGAGTCCCAACACCATCAGTTGACGGTTGACCTCGAAGATGCCGTCAGTCATTGCCGATTACTGGTCGAATACATCGACAACCAAATCTCTAAATTTGATTGGGATAATGACGAAGAGTTGGGAGTCGGGAGCAAAGTCCTTTATCTCCTTGAGGATCAAGCCACCAAAGACTGTCTCAACCGCCTTGATCATCAAATCAACGCTCTCAATCTTTGCCTGACGGCCTTCAAATGGTAAGCTCGATTTACCCACCGAACACGTTTCAGGACTTACCGGAGCAGTCGAACCCCCAACGAACAAAAACGACTGCTTGAGAGAGACGAGAGCCGAGATGTCTTCAGCCGAGCCCGGGATGATGCCACCTCTCTTATCGTCTTCCGGGACTCTGCGTCGTTCGCCACGTCTCGAGCCCGGACATCAGTCGATACTCAATTCTCCAAGACCTTTGACTTCGACGGACTCCTCCTCAAACACAAGATCTATCAGAACAGTTTCCGCTCCATGCTCAGGCGTGCTGTAAGCCCCACTGAAAGCCGTACCGAAGCAAAAGGCGGACGAAGGGCCTTGTCCGACACTCCAGTCTTTCAGCTCAAGAGCAACTCCAGAGATTCGGCCAAGATCGACTCCAAGCTGAAGAAAGATGCTCGGAGACTGAGCAAAGAAATCAAAATTCTCGCCGTCGGAGACAAACATGGCAGATCGGCCATTGTCAAACAGCTGCGGCACCGTTATGGTCATCCCTTCTCCGACACCGAAGTCGAATATTACCGACAGACCATCACATCGCTCGTGGTCAAAGCGCTGGTTGCTGTTCTGGACTATGAGAAAGAAACTGGTGCCGGCCTCGTCAGTCAAGGGAGCAGAGACCATGCTCAGCTTATCCGCGAGTTTGCAGAGTCCGGAGGTCCAGCATGGAGAGTCCCTGTTGAGATTACCCTTGCCGTCAAGCATATATGGCATAACTGGCATGTCATCCAAGCCTTTTCAGTGATGCAACAACATGGACAGACCGCATAGTAAGTTTAACTACCGCTCGCCCACCCACCCAAATTTACATTGCTCTGATGATTCTCAATTACTAGTTTCCTTAACGCCATTGAGAGAATCTGCCAGCCCGATTACGTGCCCACCAACATGGATATCATCCGCGCCCCTGAGGTCATCGACACAATGAAAGAGACGGAACTGGTCATGAACACCACGACGGTCCGTGTGATTGAAATCCGCGAACAATGCACAACCAAGATATTCCCTCTCTTCGCAGACATCCAATTCTGTCTCTTTGCGATCGATCTGACCTGCTATGACCGCTACCTCGACGACGGAAAAGGGCGGACGAATGAACTTCGCGATCGGTTCTCATTCCTGAAGGGGATCTCGCGATCGTCCTATTTCGCCAAAACCATCATCTTGCTCGTCCTTACTAACGCGGCTGCGTTTGAACGACAGATCGCTGTTTCGCCTCTCAACTCGCATTTTGAAGACTACACGGGGGCCAATGATGTGCATGCCGCAACCAAATATGTGTTGAAGCGGTGCAAGCGAGCGAATCAGATGGATTTGCCGTTGTTCTGGCACATTTATGACTGTTCGGAGCCTGGATCCCAGGCCATAGATGAGTTCTTTCAACAGTCGGCGGCGAGTATCTCCGCCGTTTCGTGGGTCATTGGCCTTGGAATATAATAAGATAGCCAGTTAACTAAAGGATACTGGCGCATCAAAGGAGACATATATATTATGGTATGAGTAGCCGTTTTCAACCTGAAGGGAAGACGAAGGGGAATGGATGACTCCTGAGCGAACCGGAACGAGGGAAAGTTGTCGTAAGTGACGAATATCACATATGTATGCTCTTTATTCGCGAAGAAATAGTTAATTGGCCTCTGATACCAAGCTCGTGTTTAGGCTCGTGAGCTCGGAGCGGGCTAATATGAGACGCCGCCTACTCTTGTTCAGTTTTCCGCCAAACTCTCGACGACAGATTTGGCATTTCGATAGACTGAAGCTGTCGTGGTTGTTGCTGGATCGGACACCTCAACACCTTCCTCTGGAGTATTCAAGTTCAGATCTGTGCTAGCATTGCTCTGAGCTGGGTGCTGTTATTGTTGCGGAGCTGCCCTCAGGGTAAAAGTTGGCATTTTCCTTTTTGGCGTGGTATGCAGGTTGATGTTCAGCGTGCTGTCGCTCAAGGTCCCGAAGATGGATCTCGAGTATACTCGAGTCTATTCCGAGTGTAAATGCATTATCGTGTTTGTTTTGGCGTCTGCAATCTTCCTCTCAAGCCGTTCCCTGGGAATTTCCTCAGTCATAGGCGCTTTTGTCCTTGGACCGTTGGGGTTTTGCTCCTTTATCATCTCCAGATCTATCTTCTATTCGTTAGAGGTTTGCCTAGTCACAGTCCATGGATTTGGCTTGTCGTCTCGATTGTCTCGATTGTTTCGACCTGGCATATTATCAAGAGGAACTTTAATGCTCGGTGTTCCCACCAGAAGTGTGCGATGTCGGCCAATCAGCTAGCTTAATGATTTTGGTGCTACCAGACTTGTCCAACTTAGGCATTGGAAGGTTGTGGCACTTGACGAAGTCCAGAGATACCATATCGAGCTCTGATCCGGTATCTACCCATGCTAGGGAAGGAATACCATTGAGACAAAGACGGAACTGCTGAGCTGGCTGGCCGGCGCGCATAACGGTGAGATTTGGTTTCGGGTGGTCCATGAATTCTTTCTCGTAGTCTGTGGGAATTGGCTGTAAAGATCTTGAATTTCTCTAGAAGCCAAATGCCGAGGATGAATGTTATGTCTGATGTAAGCTTGGGAGGTCGCGTAAAATGTTATTGGAATCTTTCTGGTGGCATCGTCCAGAAATGAGCAATCAAGAGTGACTGTACCCTCCAGTGACAATACAGTTGTGTGCAGCATTGAACACTTCATTTTGATCAGAACTCTTTGGGCCCAACCAGTTTTCGACGGACAAATTGCCGAAATCTGGCCGCATCAGCTATGTTGACGCATGCGCCAGAGTCAGATAGTACTCTGAACTCTTTTCCCTCGCTAACTATCGGAAAGAAAGAGACATTTCCATGCCGTATGAATGGATCAGATGGCCTTTCCTGGGGCTGAGCGGGATGATGAGGTTCATTTATGTTGGCAGAGTATCCATCATTCTCAATCGATGTTTTCGAGTCTCACTGATCGTAAGATTTGACTGAAAGCGTTGTCGGAGGTGTTGGGTCTCGCCACACAGTGTGCGGACCCAGATAGAGAGAGAGCAGTCTCACAATCGAACTCCATCTTCGAGGGTGCTGAGGGTTGTCCTATGCAGATGTCGCATTGCCGACACTTCTGATGACCACAATGGTCACAATCGTTCGGGGTGGCCGTGAACGTGAGAGAGTTCAAACGGCAGCGGCAATGGCGCCGAGAGATGCTTTGGGAAAAGAGCATTTCACGTACCAAAATCCGTGCAAAATAGGCCAAAGAGAAGATCTAAAAAGACATTCATGACTAGAATTGAGGTGAGTTTGACATTCGAGGTTCGCGAATGGATAAGGTCCTGCACTTAATTTTTCGCAGCCAAAGAGAAATTCCAGACCGAGGAAGTAGACTGGGAATACGAATGCCGATCCAGAAAACCATTCTGCAAGACACCAAAGCAAGGTGCCGGATTTTGACCATCGCCACACTAAGATGATATGCTGAGGGGATCGCGGGCAATTCTCCAGGTGAATGCAAGGCAATCCACTCTTAGCCAATATGAACCTTTGAAGCGGTTGCATGTCATGCTGCAGTCTAAGACTCGAGCCGTGCAACAATCACATAGTCGAGAATCAGTCCAGTGTGTGCCTCAGGCCGTGCATCTGCCACTCGACACTTTGTTGGATTTGATGTTTCTTGGACAGTGGGCATATTTTATCCCCCACGGGGTGAAGTCATCGTGGTTCTTTGGCCACGAGTGGTTAACGGAATCATTCAAGGCAGTCCAGTTTTTGGGCGCGTCTGTATCTTGTATCTCGACCTCCTTAGGTGTAGGAATAGCGAGGTCATTCTTTGGTCTGCTTAAGGATGAGTAACGCGACTCTGCAATCAATGTTCTTGCAAGAAGCCCGCATTCGACGATGATTAAAGCTAAAGAGTGCGAATCAACCAGAGGCTATCCATCGTTAGCAAAATGTGTTGTAAGTGGCCGATCCGGACGCAGTACCTGGATGCTTCGACATTTCAAGGAATTCACCGTGCGTAACTTACTTATCTGCAGAGCTAGCTGGTAGATTTAGGAGCGAAACAAGAGGGATTGAACCTAGCTGAAGAGATCCAAACAAAAGTTCAGCAGTATCGTAAGTTGATTCCGCTTCTTGGAGAGGCGTTGGTGTGGCTGTTGCTGACTGGACGAGGGATGCATTGATCCGGGAGGCTTCGATACTTGCGATGCGACATCCAAGCCAGCACGGCCATATGGCCTTCATGGACTGTTTCGACCACTCGTTAGCACCGGGAAGTGGTGAACTTTGGGAAACTTTGCGAGGGAACAGCTGTCGCTTCGACAAAGATTGTGTATCTCTTTCGCGGCCGCTAGAAGAAGACAGATGCGTAACCCTCCCAAGGAATTGGATTCCCAGGGTCTTTCACACAGCAAAATCTCTTCTAAGAAGCTGAGTTATACACGCGTCTGATATTGCGATGCGTTGAACAGCAGCCTTTATTGTGGCCGCGTTACTACATGGGACAATTCTGCATTGATATTTTTGTACACAGCCCCCACATCATTCTGGGACTCATTGCAGCGTTCATGGCCGAGTTCGCGATGGCGGGAGCCTTGTAGACAAATGCTAAACAGTCGGAGATGTTTGTGGCATATACGGCGGATGCTGCTGTGATTGTTATTTGTGAGGAACCTGTAGAATGATAGTATTGATCGCGTCATCGGAACAATTCAAAAAAACACTCCCGCGCAGCAATGACGGAGCTACTCGTGCTTCAAACTAAAACAGCCAAAGAAGACATTTCACCATTGCTCAACTTTCTCAGCATCGCTTGACCTCTTTTGCGCTATCGAAAAATTCTGTCTCGTCTGTCCCTCATACCATTCTACTAATTCACCCTCTGCTCCAACTGAAACTCACCATGGCGATCCTCACAGAAGTCAAGTCCGAAACCGGCTTCGATCAGACCATCAAGAATGCCCCCTCTTCCACTCTCTTTGTTCTGTATTTCCATACTCCCTGGGCTGCTCCGTGCGCTCAGATGAACACCATCCTCACAACCCTTGCCTCCACTTACCCTGCCAATGCGGACATTTCGTTCCTTTCTATCAACGCCGAGGACCTTCCCGACGTGTCGGAGTCATACGATGTGACTGCGGTACCTTTCCTCGTCCTCCAGAAAGATGGCAAGACACTTGAGACAGTGAGCGGCAGTGACGCGGCTAAGGTTCGCGCCGTGGTAGAGAAATATGCTGGAACCGGTAGTGGTGCTGGCAAAACAGGGATTCCACCACCTCTTGAAGCCGCGCCGCAATCACATACGCAAACGAATGGCGATGCACCGACGGCCAGCAAGGATTTGAGCGGTTATGCACCAAAGCCTTCGGATCCTCAGGCCGCACCAGCATATTCATCCGGACTTGACTCGAGGGAGGAGTTGAATGAGAGACTGGCGAAGCTAGTTAAGGCGGCGTAAGTCAGAAACACACACCTGCAATAGAGATCTCAGTGCTCATACACGAGACAACTAGACCGGTCATGCTCTTCATGAAGGGAACACCCAGCGCCCCTCAATGTGGTTTCAGCCGACAGCTGGTTAGCATCTTGCGAGAGAATCAAGTCAAATACGGGTATGGAACCTGTCTATTGTATTTCGAATCCCCATTCACGGACGAACATACTGACCGGACTCCTCAAATTAGCTTCTTCAATATCCTGGCCGACAACGATGTTCGCGAAGGCCTGAAGGCCTTCTCCGACTGGCCTACTTTCCCCCAACTTTATACCAACGGCGAACTGGTCGGTGGATTAGATATCGTAAGTTCCCAGCTCGAGGCTCCTTTTCCTATACCGTGACTCACAGTCCTTCTCCGTTCAGGTCCGAGAGGAACTTGAAGCAGACCCAGACTTCTTCAAGCCATATTCAGCGGCCGTGCCTAAGCCGGACGCACAGCCAGCTCCGACACCAGCGTGAAAGGGGGGCATTTCTTGTCCGAGCTGTGAAATTTTAATTTTTTCGGCGTCAAGGAGCGAGATGAAGACAGAAATAATCCCCCGAAAAAGAAATACGATTTTGAAGGACGGTTCTAAATGGCATTGATGAGAATATGTATGATATGACGTTTTACCAATTGACCTCACTTGACTCGACTCAACGCTATGCACAGGAAGTGGAATGACAAGCATACGAAGTTCTTCCATAGTGAGTCGGAAATCCAAATGATATCCCCAATGTTCCAATGAGATGGTTTCGCTCAATCGACGTGAAACACCTGATACGGTGTCGACTGACCTCCTTCATTGAAGGGCTGATTGCTGTATTCCTGGGGAGGATCGACCGGCACATTCCGAACGACTGGCATGTCCGGCATCAGCGATACAGCTTTGCTGATGAAATCCTGGCGGTTGAGGTACGCGCCCCGCAACCAGCGGCGGCCGGAGTTGAGGTCGAATGCGTTTCTCGCATGCACGATGCGCAAGTTGTCAAAGATGACGCAGGTGCCGCTGTCCATCTTCTCCTCGACGACATTCTCGGGCCGCTCCAGAATATCGGCGAATGCCTTGCTGGCTGTGACGAATTTGACGAGCTGTTCATGGCCCAGGTGTGGTGACAGATTGCCCACGAACGGCGGCGACCAGAAGACGTGGCCCACTTCGCGCATCAGCGTCGGGTGCACAGCTCCTATCGGATTGCGGCTGGGCAAGTTCAACTTTGACCGTCGTAGGATCGTGGGCTTGGAGTCCGAGTAGAAGAAGCCGTCGTTGTCGTATTCGTAGCGCACCTCGTTATGCGTCAGTGTGTGCACGTGCGCCTTGTTCTCCGTGTACAAAGTGTCCACGGCCCTGAAGGTGTCGGCGAACCGTGACTCCCCTCCTTCGCTGGAGTTGTGGACGTAATGGAGGAATTGAAAGCCCGGCGGATCGCGCATGTACAGCAGATCCATGTGGAAACCGAGGTATTTGGAGGTGTAGGCAACATTTTTGGCGTTGGGGACAGAGCGGACGTCCCAGGTTGGGCCGTAGAAAGTCTGCATTAAGGGACCGATGCGATTGACTATGGCGGCGACGGAGGATTCGGATTCCGGCACTCCATCGATGAAGACTAAGCCGTCGCGCCAGAGAAGGTGTACGGCCGCGGCAAGCGAGGGCCGGTCGTTCATGTAGTCGTTGAATTCGATACGGGTGGTTTCCCGCCGGAACGATTCTGCGTCCCACAGCTTTTGCGGCCGATCGTACACAGCCCAACGGGTCCGATTGCGGAATTCGTTTTTCAAATTCGCGATGGTCGCTTCGGTGAAGATGCTCGGGTCTCCTGGTTCATGCGGCTCAGCGTCGTGGAGCCATCGGACCAGAGTGTCGTTCTTGCCCGGGACGTGAGTAATGTCCCGGAATGAGATGTTGGTCGGAATGTTGGCGTAGGAGAACTGACGCTGTCGATCAGATGGGTCGATACATTTGGAGCACCGGCAGGCATCCCGGGCCAGGATGGGCGAGACCACGGGCCTGCCGTGGTCAAGTAACTTTCCCGCTTGGATGAGGGTTTCTGGACGGTGGGACGGGATACTGGCCCGGTCATTGGACCTATTTGATCCAAATTGTGTTCCTCCTTCCTCAGGCGGTAATGGTGGAGGAGATGAAGCGCTGGATATTTTCCTCAGTCGTGGCCCAGGTGATTCGTTCAGCTGTCGTGAGGTCGGCGGGCGGACCAGGTGTTTTCTTATGAACCTGAAACCCGAATCCAATGGATCATCCGGTCCAATCTTCCAACTTCTGAATCGTTCAGGAGAGTTGCTGCTCACTTTCCTGAATCCGAGTTCTCGAGGTTTCCGACTTCTCTGCCGAATGGTGCTGAGAAGTTGTGCTCGGGTTTTGAGAGGCGTGGCTAAATGACCAGGCTCTAGCTTGAATGGCAGGTATCTCATCGTTTCATCGATGCTGTTGCGACTGTGATTTTGATAAGATGCGTGACATGTAGAAGACGGCTCTCGGCAGCTAAGCAAAAGACTTTAATGTTGAAAATGGGAGTTCACCCTTTGGCCCGAGCAAAGGGGGCCAAACGAGTGAGAGACCTGCAACGATTGGATGGTTTGCCAGTGGAGAGTGCGTGTGCATGTACGGGATGCCATACCCTAGGTACCAGAGGGGTCCGGAGGTGGTGCCGAGGTGGAAGAGGCTCTGTCGCCAAGACGCAAGCCGAGTGGAAGTCTTGGCATAAGGACGTAACCTCACGTGGCTTCCTGCGTCGCGCTGCCAACACTCCGCCGTAATAGCTATGAATGCCTCACCCACTACCGTACCCGCACTTACAACCATTGCCGCCATTACACCACATCGCCTGCGCCTAAACTGCTACCGACTTCTAGCTGCTTTTCCCACAACCACCACGGGACATTCCATCCCCCCTGCTGACAACCCATATCCTTCATCTAGTTCTCCATCTCTCTCGTCCGTCACGAGACTGCTTCTATCAAATTCTCTGTGTCTGATCAGATCCTCCATCATCGCTGTGCTGCCTGGCCCGCGACGCTGACAAAAGCGCCCCCCATCTCAACCTGATCGATTCACGCACCAAAACCAGTCCTGTCACTACTGGCATTCTCCGTCCACCTCCCATCACCGACCTGCGACCAAGAACTCGAGTGCGGCCACTCCATGCCACCCGTCAAGGTAATTTCTTGATTGATCCTTGGGTGTTATTGGTGCGTGCATCGTGGACAAGGTGGATTTCCTGCGCACCACTGTGTCATGAAAGATGGTGGAAGTCGAACCTGGAACTCCTACATGGAAGTTCACGCAATGTTTTGGAGACAAGGGGGACGTTGAAGACATCACTGAGGCCGACATCATTTCCACCGTCGAATTCGATCACACCGGCAACTATCTAGCCACTGGAGACAAAGGCGGCCGTGTAGTATTATTTGAACGCAATGAGACTGTTAGTACTTCACCCCCCTCCCTGCTTGCCTGCCTGTACTGACGTCTTGCACAGAAAAAGACTTGCGAATATAAATTCCATACTGAGTTTCAGTCTCATGAACCCGAATTTGACTACCTCAAATCGCTCGAGATAGAAGAAAAAATTAACAAGATCAAGTGGTGCCGGCGCCAAAATGCCTCCCATTACCTTCTCTCTACAAACGATAAGACCATCAAACTATGGAAAGTCTTTGAAAAGTCTCTCAAGGTGGTCGCCGAGAACAATCTTTCGCATGAACTGACCCCGGCCGGCCCTGGCGGTGGAGGGGCGCCACGTCCAAATCACATTCGCTTTAAGGATGCTTCACAACTTAAACTTCCGAGAATGACTCATCACGATACGGTCGTCGCAGCCGTTCCTCGACGAACTTATGCCAACGCTCATGCCTACCACATCAACAGCATCTCCGTCAACAGTGATGGCGAAACCTTCATCAGCAGTGACGATCTCCGAATCAACCTGTGGAATCTCAATATCCAAGACCAGAGTTTCAACATTGTGGACATCAAGCCCGCCAACATGGAAGAACTCACCGAAGTCATCACGGCTGCCGAATTTCATCCTCACAGTTGCAATTGGTTCATGTATGCCAGTTCTAAGGGGACCATCAAGTTGGCTGACATGCGCGAGAGCGCATTGTGCGATCAACATGCGAAACGTATGTCTCCCGGGGGCTCTATTTTGAGATGTTGACCGCTGACGGGAATTAGAATTTGAGCAAGAGGAAGATCCTTCTTCCCGATCCTTTTTCTCTGAAATCATCTCCTCAATTTCCGATGTCCGCTTCTCACACGATGGTAGATACATCCTTTCCAGAGACTACTTGACCGTCAAGATCTGGGACGTGAACATGGAGAGACAACCCGTCAAAACGATACCAATCCATGAACACCTCCGACCCCGATTGTGTGATACATATGAAAATGACAGCATCTTCGACAAATTCGAAGTGGTTTTCAGTGGAGATGGGAGTAACGTGATGACCGGCAGTTACAACAACAATTTCATGATCTATCCATCAGACCCCGAGCAAGAGACGGAAGTCGTTTTACAAGCAGACAAATCAGCCTTCAAAGCTAAGAAAGTGGGAGTGCCGACTCCTATCAACCCCACCAGTCCTAATGGAGGCAAGAAAGGGAGCTCAAGAGCCGGAAGTCCTGCAGGAGGCACTGGTCAAGGAAGTCGCATGAGAAAGGAGACCGATGCTGATCAAATCGATTTCAACAAGAAGATTCTTCACATGAGTTGGCATCCATTCGAAGATAGCATTGCCATTGCCGCGACAAACAATGTAAGTTGCCTCGCGTTATCATCCCACTGTTACAGGTGGATGCTGACTGTTTCCTAGCTCTTCGTATTTTCTGCCCTCTAGATGGTCATGTGACCACGTCCTGTGCATGACCCCTGGATCGTTCCAGAGCAGGCGTTCTGCGCGCGAACTTACAGAAGTCAACCATGATCCGCGCGCGCTCGCGACATGTCGGCAACTGGGTTGCACTATTCTAATGCTGCCTGATTTCGAGGGTTTACGATGGGCGGGCGATTGGTAATTTGAACGGATCTCAGAAGAGATCTTCGACAACGGTGATCAAGAGGTCTCATTATGACTGTGGATTGAATTGAGGGTCGGAAATGATTAATGGACATGGACATGGACAGTGAAAATGATGGTGGGGGAGACTGGGGGGATCCTGCACAAATACCACGATCCCTTTGCTTCTACGGTGGCAATAATGCAACCATCGACCAAATGCTTTTCTTGGATTTTGCAATCGGCTCTTACATTGTTCGACATGGGCTTTAGATGGCATGGTGGGACGGGAGTTTGGAGACCAGCAACGCAAACATTTTTAGAGACCATCGAGATGGAACCCCCATTGAGAACCATTCAAGCAGGGTATTCCTCTCTGGCTGCCACCTGGACATGGGAGTGGAAGTGCAGCATGTGCATGTGCAAGCATAGTGATCATTCGGTTAGGATCACGATCAAAGCGAGCGAGAAGACCAAAAAGCAAAAAAAAAAAAAAAATCCAAGAGAAAAGCAGAGCGGAGCAGAATGGAAGAGAGGTGAGAATGAATGTAGCTGAAATGAAATAAAATGGAAAACCAACCCACTTGGGAAGGAACAAAGTTTGAGGATGTAGTCCATGTGAACGGAATCCTGGTTGTGTTCATGATGGTTGCGTAAAGTGCTTTAAACTGAATTTTCGGGGGTATTACCAAATGACTCTAATCCTCTCATATGACCATTTGTATCAGATATTCCCCCAGCGGCGGTAGTAGTATCTGTGCCAGGTGCACCATTTCCCCAATGCTCCTTAGTGACACGTTCTAGTTCCCTACCGGCCTCCTCCAGACCCGATTGAATATGAGCCTGGTTCTCCCTAATATCGCGCCTCTCACGCTCGATGTCGGCGCGACGCTTCTTGAGCTGGGTCCGTTCGAATTCCAGCTGCGACACCATATCACGGAGCCGCGTAAGACCCACGTTGAGTTTAGGGATCGGTGTTGTCTCCCGTGGTTGGCGGGGACGGTTTGCTTGTCGCGTATGCACAGCGTGCGAGGCCAACCCGTCCATGCCGTGATGCGTCTGTGTCGATTCGTAGTGTTGGTGTCGCTCGTAGTCGGACTCTGAGGCCGAATTATCTCCTGACGAATCCGTGTATCCTTCCGCCTCTTCGATCATTGTCCGGATGGCTTCGCGCTCCTTCAACGTCTGTTCTCGCTGCCCTTTGCGCGAGAGCGTCACTCGGCCTGAATCCTCGACGAATTCGTCAAAGCCTTCTGCCATGTCTTCGTCGTCTGGTATCAGTCTGGTGTCCTTTTCTCGTGCGGACGGGATATATGAGCCGACTTGCATGCGGCGTGGCTTGAATTCTCCGTCTGAATCGTAGTCTTCTAACGGGAGGAAGTCGGCACCTGCATCTGAAGAGTTTGCGGCTTGCTCTTTGGCGAGACGTGCACGCCGGTCTTTCTTTTCGCGAATCTCAGCAGCCGTGGGTATTCGTGAAGACGAGGTTCCTGAGATGGCGGCCTTGTCGAATTTGCTTTCGATGTCGAGCGCGGTATTTGAGCCTAGGTTGATGAGATTCCGTGACGGGCTTTCACGAGACGAGAGATCGCGCGGCGTGGACGGCGTGGAGTTCCTCAGTTCCTCAAGATATGCTTTATTGTATTTCGGTCTGTCATGATCTTGACCTTCGATTTCTTCCCGATCTCTCGTAGATGTCCGACTGATGATATTCTGTGCTGCGCTCGATAGGCTTGTTTTGGACGATTTTACCGACGCGCTTGTCCCTTCTTTTAACCCCGTTCTTGCCGCCCCACCGGACACATCGTCCTGGTCTGGGTTGAATGAAACTCGTAACTTCGACTTCGTTTTCGGGGCATTGGTTGTCGGCCGTCTCACGACAGGCCCGGAGTCTACATCTCTTTATCAGTGGGGGGTTCCTCACACTAGAAGAGCAAGATCGAGTCAGAGCGAATTGCTTGCAAGTCCGTGGTGCAGATATTGTAGAGGGGAATGAACGTACCATCTTCGGCTTCATCTTCACGTTCGGGCTCGTTGCGTGCAATGCGCTTGGGTTTGCGCCGAGCTGTGAAGAGCGACGTCATTATGAAAGAGTACCTTCTCGATCCTGGGTTAGTGTCTGTGCGATATGGACGCGGTCAATCGGTGGCTGTGGGCAATATCATTAAAGGATGCAGAAATTCGGAAGGAAAGTTGGTTGCAGGTAAAAATATGACATTTTCTGACTCCCTTGGCCTCGCTTTGGAACAGAGGAAATCCTTGTCAGACAGATAAATTTCTAAATTCAGCCTCGTAGCCTGGTCGGGTCAACGAATTTCCCCGCCCCTCTATGCTTATGTTCTGGCCAGGCATTCGTCAATCTCCATCAAGTCAAGTTGAAGCTTTTGAGAGAGGGTGTTACGGTTCTATCCCTGGAGAGTTTTCGCATTATGGATCGCTTTAACGTTCTGTCTATTTAGCACTTAATCACACCCTAAGCAGTGCTTCTTTCTACTACATATGTCATCAATCATCGCAAAATTCACTCATTTAAACAGCACCGGAGTGGCTGACAAAGTCACTGGGATAGGTGCCCCGGATTTAATCATCTAGCATGGGCAGTTCGCTGTGGATCGGCGGCAATTTGTGTTACATTATGCGATTCGCTGGGGGGCTGAAGAGCCCTTCATTCAATATCTGAAGGTGGAAGACCCCGAAACAGCACAATTCTTGGAGCCACAAAACCCATCAGTGGAGCATACAAGGATTTATTTGTTGGACGGATTCGCCGCTATATCATGCCTTCTAGGTACGTCGTATTGTCAAAATTAAGCTAAAGCTTCAGTCCTAGCTGCGAAGCATCTCCTACGTCGACACGAGAGAGAGGCCCTGCACACCCATTTCTCCCGTAGTTACCACCTGTCCACCATTTGTCGTAACATACAAACTGGTCCTGTCCGAAGCCATTCGTCTTCAAACCGCGGCAGTCGGCCTAAGAAGGTCGCTGGAATTGCTGTTCAGGGTGACTTCAATGAGAGGGGGATCCCGTCGAGCTCAACAGGGCTGAGAACGTTGACTTGCTGGCAGACGTATGCACATCCTTACTGGTCGAGAATCAGATCGTTGCCTTTGGTGACATTGGCGATCACGTTGGCTCGGCCTGACTTAGCACCGTTCTGAAAGATGGGAGTTCGGTAAAATGAATTTGGTCAAAGTTTGTGTAATGGAGGTATCCTCCACGGGGTTTGGACCCGCCGATCCCCACTGAAGTCGAACTTGTTTTTATTGTCGAGTCCTCAATGGCCTTGTTGACTCTCTTGGCGATGCCAGCCTTCTAAATCAAACCCGCGAACGAATCTGCTGTAAGTACCTGTGTGTTCTCTCTTTCCACACGAGCCCGACCAATCGCATCGTCGAGCTGTGCCACTTTATGACATCTTGTCGGACGTCGCGATGGTTCCATTCGGAAACTTCAAGAAATCTCTCATGTCTACTTCCTAAACACGGGAGAATCCCGGAACGGGTTTCGTGTCCGGATGAAAAAGTGCCCGTATCGACATAGAAGACGTCTGGTTTCAGCCCGGAAGCGCCATAGGAACGGAGACATCAGGGAACTGGGCGACAGGAAACCGGTTTTCGAATAATTCCGCGAGGTCAAACGAGTATACAGAAGTGGATGAGAATGCGGTGAGAGCGAGAACTTGGCCGCTCATTCGCACCGCTAGGTTCTCGACCTGGAAACTGTCTAGGGAGGCAATATGATGGACGGCGGGCTCGGAGGAAAGAATATGTCCGAAGACGCAAGCAGACCAAGCTGCAAAGATTGAGAGAATAGGAGAGTGCATTGTTGACGAACAGAAAGGGAAATATTGAAAGAATGGCGAAAGAGAGAAATGATATGAGAGACACCGACTGAAGGAGGCAACACCATTCCCAGAGCGAGATTGGTGATCATATAGACAGGCTCCACGGAAGATGTGCCCTCAGGTTGATTGATCCAGGCGACAGATCCTCAGCCCCCGCTAAGTTGAGACGACAGGCAAATCATAGCCCTGTACATCGTAACGAGCCCGGGGGGAAAGCGACAGCACGGGAAAAGCCTTTTCATGGGATCGGAGATTAATCCTGTCGATTCTCTTCCGCCAGAAAACTAATACTAACAACAGACATATTCAGGGAGGTTGAGCCTCGTAGACTAAACCCAAAAGGGGAGGGAGGGAAGGTCCACTAAGAACCGGAACGGCAGTGAAAGGAAAGGATCTCTGGGTCTTCATCAGCTCCACCGGGCATGACGACTTCATTCCTATATCGCCCTCACCCTTCAGCTGTGAAGTGGCCCTTCTCCCTTTTCTCCTTCAAGAGTCAAGATCTTTCAATCGCAATGCGATCGCGTCTTTCCATTCGGGATCCAACAACTCGGCAACAGACTGAGCAGCACGTTTACCCCATCCATCTAGAAACCATCTCGGCGTACTGTGATGCATCCCAATGCACCAGTGTATGAATGTGATTAATGCTAAATGGGCTCTTCTGCTGCAGCAAGGTGACGTATTCGTCTGGTACTGCCGAGGGCCAGAATACCACGTGGAACCAAGTGGCTGGTCGTCCAGCTACGATGCTGTACCATTTTCGCAGTATGCCAATGGCCTGGCCACAGGCCATTTTGGTGGGGATGGGACTGTTCGATGACCGATTCAAAACTGCAAGCCCATCCAGTGTATGGGCGTGTTTCTCATCCAGCGGCACATCGATGAAATTGAGGCGCTGTTGTCTTAGAAGATTGCCAACTCGGGCCTGCATAAGAAATGGGTGTAGCATGCCCATCAAAGACCAAGCTCCTCGTAGAGCAAAGACAGCGTTGAACGGGTCAAATACCTCGCTGGAGGCCGGTGTGTTGTAAGTGCGAGATACATTGAGTTGGAAGATCGCTACCAAGAGAGAGAACGCGAGGATCGCCGTGCTGTTATCTTTGTTGATGTTTCTCACAGCCGATTGGAAAAGACCCGTGGCTCGACTGTAATGCTTACATGCCATCACATGGTATTCGCCCGGATTTGCAGGTTGTAGGGAACAAATATGTAAGGCTGAAACGGCCAATACCCCATGGAGCAGGAACAAATTAGTATCTGCTTGCAAGGGTACTTCTTCGTCCCATGACCATTTGGTGTCAACGAAGAAAGCCAGCGTGGTGGAGGTGGAGCGGACGAAGTGTCGCATCAATTCCCCGTGTTGAAACCCAAAAGCAGGTTCTTGCAGGAGCGAAAGACTGTCATTGGATGAGATAGGTTCGAGAGAGGGATCTGTCGCTTCATGCCTGAAAACCCAGTTTATTTAGCTCTCGTCACCACCTCAGAGTAAGATCTTGTGGCTTAGAAATCCGAACTCACCGAGGTCGTTGCGAGATCTCAACGAATCCTTGCGGATCGTCTAGGTGCTGAAAGTCACACTGTTCGCCACGTCTTTTACAGTGATGGCATATCGGTGCCTGGAGATCGCACTAGTGGTTCGTATACGCAAGTCAGCTCATGGTCGAGAATGCACGCCATACCTTCCATATAACGGTGGCTACTGGTCTTGGAAGATGAAATGGCGAAATGACATACTCTTACGCGCCTCCTTTTACAATTCCCACACCCGTTTCGCGTCTTGGTGTGATATTTTCGGGAACCTTCAGGCATTCTGGTTTCTCTCCTCAGAGGGTCTGGGGATTGATGTTTGAGAAAGAATCTGTATTCTGCAAATTTCTTGGCCAGTTCATTCGGGCCCTTTTATGCGGTACTAAAGCTATGTTGTGTTGCTTTGAATATAGCCCGAATGCCTGGGGTTAAGCCGTTAGCCCCACGACTAACGGGTCCACATGTAAATGGATTGAGTTTAGTGTACGAAGTAAAGAAAGGGGGGATCAGGTAACCGTGCTGTAATCTAACTTACCGGGCATGGCCGCGTCGTTCCTTCGCATCGTGTGGACTCCATGTTTCGCATTTTCGAATTTGTTGTAAACGAAGCACGATATGTCTTTGGGCTGAAAACCGTTTTCAAAATTGTGCTGATCTCTTAACATAAGTATATTGCTATCAAGGCCTTCGGAGAGGATGGCGGGAAATCCTCTGCATGTTCCCCAGTGCATTCAGCTTGTTCATCTCGGCAGTTTCCCTAGACGCTCGATATCCGCAAATCAACCCTTTCAAAAACCCAGGTGTGCTTCAACTTCAATCTCAATGCGCATGGCCGGAAATGCCAGAGCCGGAACACCGACAGCAGTCAAAAGTGGTTGATGATTCGGACAATATTGCCGAAGATTGCGAATGACATGCCCAGCCATTTCCTCTTCGATGGGCATATCCACGCAGAAGGCGCGGACTTTGTACACCTGCTCCCAACCCTTCCCGCCAGCTTGTCGCAAGGTATGCTCGACGTTGGCAAATGCTTGATCAATCTGCTTGCCTAGATCGCTAGGGATTTGTTCGGTAATGCGATCCCATCCGCCTGTTTATCCAAATGTTAATTCCCCAGATGTTGAATCCAGGAGTTCGAGTTTTCAGATACCTTGACCAGAGATTTCAAGTTTGTTGCCAATTCGGACTGCCTGGCTATAGTGGGTGTCCTTTCTAACTCGTTGTCCAAACCCTTCGTAGTCGAAGTACTGGAGATGAGACATGGTTTGGAATGCGAAAGGTAGTCGTTTGGGAAATGTGAAGCTCCTGCTAACAAGATCGAGGTAGCAATAGAAAAGAACCTGACCAGGCCCTCCTACACTTTATACTTGACCATCTTCAGTACGGTGACACTCAATTTCAATATTCAGTTATGGCCAAGCCTTGATGAAATCATGCCCGGCGTGAATATTTGTCAGTTGGCTTACGATGTTTTGTTCATACCAAGAAAAAGGTCCTCACCAGTTGTTCCTGAAAATAGACTTTGGCTTATGCTTGGTGCTTGAAAGAAGAAAAACCTGGACGGTTCTCTGGTAACCCAAGAACGGACGAAATGCGGATGTGTCGGACATGGAGTCGGAGACGGCACTGCCCCGAAACATGTCAGCTTGGCGGGTTGACGATCTCGCTGCACTCACGATCAGCGGCAAGGCTCTCGTACGAAATTATCCTTCCGAATTTCCACCTGATTTCGAACTTCCTTGGCCCTTCAACACGTTAGAATCCTAGCCAATTCGACCGAAATTTGAATGCGAAGGCTTTCTACCCAGTTTTCTGTGCCAGACCCAAGATCGAGGACTCTCTTGATTTTGATGTCCGGTCGGCTGAAAGACACCACCAGCTGCCATGTTGTGAGGTTGCCTACAAAAGATCTGATATTGGCCCAGACCACGTAATCGGCCAAGCATCGAGAATTGTAGCAAAGTGACAATGCCACGCATTCTGAAATTGGGAGTCAGAGGTATGCTCAGGCTTAGCCAGCTCCCCTCGTTAAGACTGCATTACTTTTTGCCTGCTGGCCGTGTGCGTGTCTCATGCCTTGATAGTTGGAGGAGGAAATCAGGGCCAATCAGGAGAGACTCATAAGAGCTGCGCATTGTATGACGGCTTTCTTTTCGTTGGCTGGACGGATGGGCCGGTTCCATATAACATGAATCCATCAAGAGCTGTGCAGAACCCTATCTTTGATGAAATGATCATGATACTAAATTGGATGGCACGAGACCGTAGAGTTTGGCAAGCTAGGAGTATAGAATATCCCTTTCCTCTAGAACGTACTTGGGGGCCCTATTTGATTACCTTGCATCCATCGCCGCTAGCAAGCACCAGCGTCAGGGCCTGCTTCTCAGTTCCTGGTGGTTCCATCTTGGTACCTGGGGGTAAGGCCAGGTTCGGGAACGCTTGAATGACCCGAGCCAGTCCGTATGAGGCCTCCATTAGTGCCATGTCCTTCCCAAGGCACACTCTCGGACCACCGTTAAAGGGCAGATAACCCCATTTTATCCACTTGGCCTCTGTAAGCCCAGGATCAGCCCAGCGCTCCGGTTTGAATTCGAGTGCGTCATTGCCCCACAGGTCTTTTCGACGGTGCATGTGGTAGGGCGAGTATGTAAGGGACATGCCCTTCCTGATGTGGACAGGAGCGTTGCCATCCGGACCTCCACCTCGGGGCATGACAGTCGCCTTCTTAGCGAAGCGAAGGTTAATGGGGACCGAAGGGTATAACCTGAGCGTCTCGTCGAGCACGTGTTGCAGATATGTCATCTTTCTGATATGTGCACGGCTCATGTAAACTTGATCTCCCACGACCTCGGCAATCTCTGCTTGTAAACGCTTGAGAGCGTGTGGGTGACGGACCAGCAGCCGGACAGCCCACGTCATCAGGCATGCGGTAGTATCGCGACCTGCTAGAAGCACATTGATTAGCTGATCTCGAACCTTCTCGGGATCTTTCAATTCATCGAAAAGATCCATGATGAACGCTAAGTTCTGTTGCGTATCTGGCCGAGTCTGGTTTGGGCCTGTTTTAGAATCGGACAATGCTTGAGCAATGTAGCCGTCAGCGTACATCTTGACGTCTTTACATGCCTTGACAAATTGTCTCGGCGTGTGAAGCCAGTAGAAATCACCCAGACGAGCACGCATTGCTGTCACATTCGCTGCATAGCCGAAGCCCTCGGAGAACAAGTCACGTCCCTTGGTTGAAGATCAGAGCGGTCTTAGTGTCCAGAGTATACCTGAAGAAAATCGGCTGCAGGTCGATGATATCCGGGGCTCGCCTTATGGCTTCGACGAGATTGTCAACGTGCTCGTTGAACGCCTCGAGACTCTGGTACTGCATCCGGACGAACTGTCGTCGCAAAAGCTCGCGGGAATGCTTCCAGGGAACTCCATCTCGGGTAAAGATCCCATCGCCCAAGAAAGCCCAGAATGAGTTACGCCGGGGCCCAAATCCAATATCTTCACGGCCACGTAAGCACGCCAGATCACTGGAAGGAGAAGGGCCGTACCGTTGAACCGTGAAGATAAAATCGCTTCTACGTTGACAGGATCCATGGTAACGAACCCGGTTGCTCCAAGCAGGGTCTGCTCAATGTTCGGTCCGAGGTTGTCGTAGAATTCGGAGAACAGGGACAGCAATCGCTGTTCTGAGTTCGCCTTGAAACCGCGATACACCATGTCAAGGGACAAAGGCAAGTAGTATGGTGCCTTGACCTCAACTGGAAGGCAGCCATTGTCGACGCCAAATTTAGTCTCTTTCTGTCAACAATAAGCCTGCTCTCTTGTCCCAGCGGTTCTTAGACCAACCCTGTATCTTAATGCAGCCTGAAGGCATCCGAACACTAACAACAGGCATGACAATAATATAAAGCCTTGAAAAAGGCCGACTCGGCTGATCGTTTCGAGCAAGCCGTGAATTGTGGTCATCTGGGAGGCGGTAATTAATGGAGAAAACAATGATTAGGAAAGAAAGCACTGAAGACGGATGAGAGCAGATCTGAAAGCCAACCCACACTTATCAGGCTGCCAGCGGCTCCACGGCAGCCGCTTCCCCGTGGCGTAAGGGGCCTGCTATTGTAACGCCCGGCATATTTGAGCCGACAACCCTCATGTCGAGATTCAAGCTTTCTTGCACCTCGCTTAAGTTTTGAAGGCATAAGCTTTTGAACGCAACGGCCCGCACTTTGTGGTTTCTTTCCTCTTTGTGGACTCCGGAATGGCAGACCCGTTCTCAATTGTCACGGGAGCTTTGGGGACAATAGACGCCTGCATTAACCTGGCGCGGTATCTTAACGATGTGGTGCGGGGTTTCAAGAGTATCGAAGATGATATCCAGCACTTATTGCACAGGGTGACGACAATCCAAAAAGTGGCGGGCACGATAAAGGCAACATTCGAAGCAGAGTGGGACTCGCAACCAAGGCCTGCGGACAAAGACCAGACGACGATAAATGGTCTGTGGCAATACACTGGGGAGTATCTTAGCGATTGCCTATCAATCGTTTCGGAGCTCAACAACTTGATTTGCCGGCTGTTGGGACGGCCCGATGGAAGCACAGAGATCCGGCCTCATGGTCTCGAAGATCACCACAAAGAGCTTGATAGTCCTACGAGCAGCCTTACGCAACAAACCTCATTGAAAATGGCCCGACTGAAGCTCTTCATTCGTAAGAAGGGCAAAGAACGTGAATTTCTGAAAATTGAAACACGGCTCGACCAAGCCTTGAAATCTGCGGACTTGATGTTGAATGCCATCAATCTGTAAGGCCGACCATGCCGTTAGTACTCTGCTTCTCTTACAGATTGATAGTGCCACGACTTGTCAAGCGCAACGAAGAACAAGCTCGTCCATTGGCGACTTTTCGAACGAAATCGTCGCAGGTCTGGATTACCTCGACCAACAAATTCAACAAATGCGGAAGGACTTTTGGGATTCCCAAGCCAACACGGCAAGTCAAGATTCTCATCTCGACGTGCTGTCACTAAGATGACTAGATCTCCAGGACCGTTGAGGCAGCGGAAAATATTAGGCCGCTAGCGACTTTGAATGAACACTTTTCACTGCCCCGAGCCGTCACCAGCATATATACCGGGCGGAGAGAGGCCCTGGATGATCTCCGATCCTTTTTCTTTGGGGCCACCTCAGGTACAGGTCGAGGCTCGCAAAAGCGCTTTTGTATATATGGTTTAGGTGGCTCCGGGAAAACGGAATTCTGCTGCAAGTTCGCCCAAGAAAATCAGAACAGGTCTGATCATCGTTTTGGCTGATTCCAACTACTGACCCCTGGCAGGCTATGGGCCGTGTTCTGGATTGACGCGAGCTCGCCTGACCGAGTGAGACAAACCTATTCCGCCATCGCGAAGGAGGGAAAGAGAGACCCGAACGAACGCGCAGCTAAAGCTTGGCTCGCCTCCTCAGAGCGGCCATGGCTGCTCATAATTGATGGTGCGGACCATGACGCAGACCTAGAGGAACTCGAAGATTACATTCCTGAAGGAGCTTCTGGGATGATTCTTGTTACAACCCGCAATCCTGTGCATCGCACATTGGGTACAGTGGGATGCCGGTACTTCCAGTTCAAGGAGCTAATTGAAGAAGACGCCAATTCACTCTTACTGACGACCGCGGAAGAACCAAGACCGTGGACCGTAACAACCCAGAAGCTTGCCTCTCCAATTGCAAAGTCGCTGGGCTTTCTACCACTTCCACTACGGCATGCCGGCTACGCAATCATGAAACAGCTTGCGACGCTTAGCAACTATCTGACCTATTACGAGGGCAGCTGGCAACGTGTGCGCAGATCGCGGAAATCCATCGCGATGGACGAGGACGAACACCTCAAAGCATATGCCTCCTATGAGATCATGTACGCAGGCCTCGAGGCGAAGAAAACTGCGCAATCACGTGATGCCCTGGACTTGCTCAAGACGTTTGCCGGGTAATGTTATTCTGTACACCACATTTTGTTATTCTGTACACCGCTTTTGATTGGTCCGGATTTTTATTTTTCCGGTTATCTGCGCAGTTCGAAGATACGTGATGTCACAACACCTAAGTCTGCCTATATAGAATGCAGAAATGATGGTTAACGATGGTATCCTCTGCACGGTCGATACCTCGTGCTGACTAAGGTAACAAACCAGCGCCCATAGGCTTGGGTGGGAACCGCCCATAAGCGGGGCAGTTGCCCCCCGGCTTATGGGCGGTTTCCCCCCGGTTCATGGGCGGTTTCCCCCTCCGGCTTATGAGCGGTCCTCCCAAGCCTATGGGCGCTGGTTTGTTACCTTAGTCAGCACGAGGTATCGACCGTGCAGGGGATCTCTACACAAATCCGGCTGTGTAGGCCACAATAATTTACAAAGTATACAGAGAAGCTCAAAATGCACGGTACTTATCTACCAAGGAAAAGGGAATCAAATGTGTTTATTGCTTCGCAACCACCTATAACGGGGAGAGTTTAACGCGTCACCCCTCCACAGCTACGCCACTTACTAGTGTTTTCTCGCCATCGCCGGGCCAACGGCAACAAGCTCTGTTAGCGCGGTGTACAGAATAACAGGATGAGAGCGTTAAGTGTACAGAATAAGGCGAGAGAGAGGTGGTGGTGTACAGAATAAGGAGAGTTGAGGCATGGTGTACAGAATAAGCAGGTTTTCCGGTGTACAGAATAACAAAAGTTGGTGTACAGAATAATACCCCCCACGTTTGCCTTCCTCTATCGTGACGGCATCTCTGAGACAATGATTTTCAAGGGGGCAGCCAATGCCAGGCTCGAGCGAGACCACCACGAGAGAACGCAGAGAGAAGAGAAACTCCGGAGAGCCAAAGGTTGGCGCCGAGACTGGGTTGAGCAACTCAGAACCATGCCAGTCCTCATACACGGTTTCCTAACCCGGATCGGCACCAAATCCGCAATCCCCCCCGTATTGCGGTCGTCCAAGGACGCAAAGGGGCTCGATGAGCACCGCCTTCGGGCTGCTTTGACTCAACTGACGACATTGTCTCTCGTGTTCCACAGTCGAGACACGAGGTGCTATTCAATGCACCCGCTCGTGCATACATGGGTACGTGAAAGGCCTGGGATGAGTACGGGCGAGCAAGCAATCTACTGCCATGCAGCGGCGACCTTGCTGGCCCAATGTGTCTTGCTTCCACCTCTGGGCACTGATGAATCTGCCGAGAATCTCAAGGCCGAGATCTGTCCTCATGTTGATCAAGTGCAAAAATTCAAAATCTCCATTGAGAAATCGCTGGAACTAAATCGGGCATCGCGAGCCTGGTACAAGAGACCTGTTCCGTCCCTACAAGCATATCTTGACCGAGATACAGCTTTGCAGCTTGTGAAATTCAGTCTCGTCTACACACAGGCCGGCCGTTGGCTAGAAACCAAAACATTGCAAGAAACAGTCAGATCGTTCGTTCTACAATACCTTGGCCAAAAACACAACTCCAGCATTGATGTAACTCTGCTTCTCTCAGGCACGCTTTGGCAGCTTGGCCAAGGCGATGAGGCAGCAGCGCTTCAAGCAAAAGTCCTGGAGCTCTGTCGACAAACCAGGGGCCATGACGACGCGAAGACTCTGAAGGTCATGGATGCGCTCGGTGTCAGCCATTGGCTCCAGGGCAAGTTCTCGATTGCGCTGCTCCTCCACGAAGAGGCCACCGCTGGCCTCGAACGACGTCAGGGAAGCGGTCACCCAGATACGCTAATCGCTCAAGGCAATCTCGGGCGTGTTCTTACCAAGCAATGTCGCTACGACGAAGCTATCGAGCTACACACGAAGGCCGTTCACGGCCTGAAAGGTGTCTACGGGGCTTCGCATCTAGAGACGCTTGTTGCGATGGACAACTTAGCTATGACCTACCTAGACCGCTTCATGTACGCTAATGGCCCCGGAAGCGACCTTGGGCTCGCGCATGACCTCGAAGTGCATGTCATGGACACTCGAAAGCTGAGGCTAGGCCCAGAACATACCTACACGCTCTGGGCCACGTGTAATCTCGCTCGCGTAAAAGCTGCCCAAGGCAAGGTCATAGAAGCAGAATACATGATGACCAAAGGAATCAAAATCGCGACGATCAACCTGGGACCCACACATATTGGCACCTTGTTTGGCAAGTTATATCTGGCGCACACATTGACCAGCGCCAAGAAGTTCGACCAAGCCGAGAAGATGCTGAACGAGGTGCTTGATGGACACAAAAGCACCGGCAGACCAAATCATCCAGACGCTTTTCTGGCGATGTCGTATCTTATCAGGTGTTATAGGTCGTCCAAACGCGATGAGGATGCGAGACAGTGGAGAGAAAGGCTAGAAGCAGCGATTGAGGCAGCAGGTGGCCAAGATCACCCATTCAAGAAGCATTTGCTGGACCCGCGGGTTGAAGGGTTCGGTATGCAGATGGAGTCAACCCCGATACGGAGTGTTCATGGCGATTCCGCGCAACAACAGATAGGGAGATCTGATGTTTCCGGAGGCCAAGCCATCGCGAAGCTGGTGTTGACCCGGAGCTCGACCGCATGATGCAAAGAGTATGCAGACCAATGATATTAATCAGCTATTCACAGTATGCACACACACGCATGCGTGTGCTGCATAATTTTGACTGGATGAATAATATCAAAACTATAGAAAGCTCTCTCTTCAAACGAGTCATGTGAATTGCAGCATCGTACACACGATGATATCTAAAACGATCGTTTCGAAGCACTCGAATCTGGTTGTGGGGCACATTGAAATCCGACATTACCCTTTAGGAAAACACGTCAAGCGTTGAATATTCTGCATGGCCAGAAATCAAAGATGGTGTGTCTCAGTCTCTCCGCGAAGGTTTCATGGCTTGTATTGCGGATTCAAAAGGACACCAGTGCTCCGAAGTTGATATAGGTACACCATCCGACAGATACAGTGTACTATTCGGTTTTACGTTGTGTCTCTCTGTATTTGATATAAAGGGTACGATTTGAAGGTAAGGATGGGACGTTCATAACACAGTACATATCGAATCCTCGATCCGTGCAGCCGCGACCATGTCAACATAGACGTCGACATAAACTATCTTCTCTCGTCACATCTTCCACGGTCTCTCTCTGGCTTTTGGATACAGGCTTGACAGCAATCATTATCGATGCAGATGGCATTTTTGGCTCATATATGCTTCGCATCCTTGTTCAGTCTCCTGAACGTTGGCCGAAGATATACTGCCTCAGTCGACACCTGCCCTAAATTGAAGGAGGTCTACCGGCGAATGCTAAGCATATTATCGTAGACTTTCTCAGTCACCTTACGAAATTGCAACACTTCTGAAAGAAAACAATATTCAAAATGTCAATCACGTCTTCTTTGCTCATATTCAGCCCCCTCCAAGCTTGCAGCCCAACGCCGAAGAACTAAGTGAAGTCAACGGCAAACTTGTCTGGGATTTCGCCAACGCGTTGAAAATTGCGAAGATCAAGCCAAATCGCTTCATGCTGCGAATTAGCAGGAAATATTATGGTGTCCACCTCGGCTTGAGCAAGCAACTTTAGGATGAGACAGACTCTCGAGTTCCCCTTGAGCCGAACTTTTACTATATGCAGGAAGATCTTCTCTTCCAATATTATCGTGATGAAGGAGCTGGGCGGAATGTGACTATGCCTGGTTCTGTCCTTGGAACGGTTCCGGATGCGGGCCATGAGTATTGCATTCCTCTAGCTGCATACGCCAGTGTTTGCAGACATTTGAAGCATTCAATGGAGTTTCCATGCGATATACTCTCATGGCAGGCGCTGGCCGTTCAGAGTTCCTCCATGTTGAATGCGTATATGGAAGGATGGGTGGTTCTAACATCTGAGGCCAAAGCCAATGTCCAAATGTTTTGGACAGCAGCGCATTCACTTGGGAATGATGTTGGCTGAGAATTGCTGGCTAGCATGGAATTGAGTGGAAAGTCCAGGAGACGACAAAAGACAATACAAGAGATCGAAATGCTATTTAATCCGAGCGAATATGGACCCAAAGCTGTCATCCGTCGTCGATTTACATGTGTCAATTGGGCAAAAGAAAGACGACGTGAAAAATACATAGAGTGGGCTGAGAAACATGATCTGTAAGAAAAAACGAATTCTGATATGTTGAACGTGTCTTTGCTTTCCTTATCCCCGAAAGCGAGGACACTGCTGAATGTAGATAGTGTGGACAAGGCTCAAAAGACGGGTTGGAACGGTTTTGTCGACTCGTGCAAGTCGTACTTGATGGTCTTTGATGGTGGGATCGAAAATGATTCCTCCAGTATCGAAGATGAAGATGTAGTTCAATTAACCAATATCTCCCGAAGTTTACACAACTCAGATCAGTCGGTCTTCTTAGAAAAGACCGGCAGAACTCTGACTAAGCGGACAGACATCATTTTATACGGGACCAACGTGTGCATTCTGGCTGTAGTATGGGAAATCTTTATGCCGAGCCCCCTTTTCTACCAGCCTCTCTTGCAGCCTCGCTTCCTTTCTCGAAAGACCCACTAGAAGCCTTGCCCCCTTCAGATGCTATCTCTCTCTATTATGATCGTGGCATTAGCAAAATGTTTCATTATTTAGCAGTGCAAACGTGTTCGGACTTCTTACCTGTTTGGCAGGATCCATACTGGCGAATCCGCCCTCATGGCTAGCCTGACCACCCTTTGAGGCGATCTCCTGTACTTCTTCCTTGGGGCGATTGGCAAAGTTTCCTGGATTTGGGTTGTCCGTCATGGTCGCTGTTCTTGTATTCTTGTATTTTGTGTTATGCTTGAAATAAGGTGTTGTGCAAAGTTGCGAAGAGGGGGAGGGGGAGAGGGAAAGAGCCCAAATTTATGTATACGTCTTTCGTTTGGGCTGAACATCAACGTCCCATTTGCGTCACACGAAATTGGAAATGTCAAGGTGTTGTGTCATTCTGATTTCATTGTATGACATCTGGAGCTGGCAGAACATTATTCCAGTCCCCGTTATGGGGTCGACATCCTTCCTGATGAAGGTATGAATCTGAGGATCGACATGATCAGACTGTACTATCATCTTCCTTAGGAGCCAAGGGAAGTTACCCAACCTCTTCAGATTGGAAGTACCAGCATTGAAACATGACGTCTATATATGGGGACGAGGGCGGAAGTAAATCCCGCCTACCAAAGTCAGGGTTCGTTGCCCGACGCTTGAGATCATCATGCGCGATTGGTACGTCTTGCCAAGGAGTAGTTGTCATCAAGGATTGATTACCCGGGCACTAGGCCAAAGTGCACATATTCAGTTACGACGCACAGTGATGTGCGTCTTCTCCCCTGGAGACACATCTATCACAGTCACCGCAGTAATTATGGTATGTAAATGACCGATCCCAGATTCCACCACCAATAGGAAGGAGATTAACTAACATGAAGCAGTAGGGAACTTGTGGGACACTGCTTTCCAAAACTCAGGGCCATTCCCCGCTCGGCCTGGGTGAGTCTCGACCGAGCATCGCATTTGATGACTCGATCTCGGTTTTCAACGTGGGAGCTGGCTGGTCTGTATCGTCCGGATGACTCATCAGTACACTTCGTGGTCCAGGGAAAGACTATGACATTCTTACCGTGGCGTGCGTACAGATCGAATTCGTGAGGTACGGACGGAGCCTCACTCCTGACCACATCTTGACGGGAAGACCCAAGTTTACTATGCGGTAACCCAAAAGAGCCCAACAAGGAGACACAATCTGCCCACTCAAGGTCTTTTCGCGCCCGAGACCAGCCCAGTTCCTCAGCCATGATGTCAATAACCAAAGGAAGAGCGCCTAGAGCGGCCTGTGCGTTGAGAAAGGAGAGCCTTGTGCGGCGGGCGAGGATGTCTATCGCTGTTTGTGCGGATTCATAGCGGACGGCGTAGCGGACCTCACCGTCGACAAAGGGATAAAGTCGCGAGAGGCGTATGCCACGAACTGGAAACAATTCTTGGGTGGGAGAGCAGAGGGCCGCCACGGTCCACGACCGATCACCGTATGACTCGGCGAGGTGTTTCGCAACGTCAGTTTCGATGTCGAAATGCTGGATAAGGGAGATGAAGAGCATCTGGGAGAAACCATGGGAGCCTATAAGCTGTAGTCTGCGAGTCTGACATGTTCCATCCAAGTGTGCATCATCTTGAATACCCTGCGAGCCACTTATCTGTGGTTTCTTCGGTAGGCCTCGTGGCGTTAGATGGAACTGCTTAATCACTTCATCGACGGTTTCCTGCGCCATTTGGCGATAGGTGGTCCATTTTCCACCGGCGCAAGTGACCAAGCCTGAATTAGAAACCAAGATCGAATGACTTCGTGCTAGAGACTGGGTATCTTTGGCACGTAAGTCTCTCACGAGAGGTCGAATACCTGACCAAGCGGCCAGGACATCTCCCCTCCGTACCTTGACCGTGTCTGAGAGATATTCTTGTATTTGGGAGAGTATCCACTGGATTTCTTTTTCCGAGGGGTCGGGATTTTGCGATACGGTACAGCTCGACTCCGTGGTTCCGGCGATGGTATTACCCAGCCAGGGCAAAAAGAATAGCACTCGGCCATCCGGCGTCTCTGGATCGATGAGTCCCTGCCGGAATCAGCTACTTATCCATTACAAACCCGCAGGAGGTAGTAGTGGTAAATCCGTACCATGCGGTCAGGACTATAGTAGTCGGGCAATATCACATGAGTGCCCGCACTGGGTGAGACGATATCCTCACTGTTTTTATCGTCCATTTTCCGGATTGCATCTGAGAAGGGTCCGGTCGCATTCACAATGGCCTGTCATTATTGTTTGTTAGCCCCAATGACTTGGTCTCCACGCCTGGGTTTGAAGCTTCATGCATCGTACTTTTGCTTTGATGAGAAATCTTTCAGATGGTTCACCATTCTTGCGAGCAATGAGATCCCTCGCACCTGCGCCGATTAATTTTCCGTGGTCATCTTTCACCAAATCGGCCACCTCAACATAGTTTGCTACTGTGGCGCCATATGCTGCGGCGGTCACCCCCAAGGAAATATTGGTACGAGAATCATTATGTGACCCGTCTCGAAGTTGGTTAGTCGGTGGCGTGTATGAATATTATGTGCAGGGCTCCCGACCATAGTAAACGAGTGCACCGACTAGCTTTTCTGGCTGGATCATAGGAAACGCCTCCAATGCCTTCCCTTTGTTCAAGAAATACGAGCGCGGCGCGTTCTGCGACCCTGCAAGGACATCGTACATTTTGATGCCGGCCCCATAATACCTGAAGATTTTTGATAGTCAGTCATTGCGATATATCAAACAAGAAACCACGCCTTGCTTACGGTAACTTCCACCATCGATCAATGGGTAGCATGACGGGTAACCATGTTGTCAAATGCGGTGCGATGTGCAGAAATGTAGCCCGTTCATGCAGTGCTTCTTGGACTAAGTTATACCTATGGAGGATCTTGGTTAGAAATGCTTGAACTCACGTATATTGGCCACCCTCTCTTTGTTCTCATCTCCGAAGCAAGAGAAGGGGAAACGGGTACTTATCTTATACTGACTGGGTATAATCAAGCTGCCAAACTGCCTTCTCGAGATATCGAACTCCTCCATGTACGAGTTTGGTGCTCTTACTGCTGGTCGCTCCTGCAAAGTCGTCTCGATCCACCAACGCAACCATTAATCCTCTGCTAGCTGCGTCAAGGGCAATGCCAGAGCCTGTAGCTCCAGCACCAATAACAAGTATATCAAACTCGTTCACACTCTGTTTCGGCACATCTTCTGGGTCTGATTCCTCATCATTTGTAGCCGGCTTTCCAGACTTCTGTACAGGAGTCGTCGAATCTATGGGAATTGATGCGAAACGAGGGGAGTTCTCGCCGTTGGATTTATGACTGCCATCACTCCTCAATCTCCTCAGTTGATCCTCACGAGAAATTCCAGGGCCGAATGTAGGAGGCACAATCTGGTCTTCACCGGAAATACTGGCCAGCCTGAATGGTGGAACGTTTCGATGGGAGGATGGCCAATTAGAATAAAGAGCTACCCCTGCTGCTGAGGGTATGGTAACTGCAGCGAGTCTTTTCAAGAGATCACGGTATGATGGAGCAACCATGGTGGTGTATAAAACCCAACGATCTGAAGCTGGATGACTTTTTCTTACAATGCCGATGGTCGAGGCTTCTATTGTCTCAAGAGAAAAATTAAGATGATGTAATTTCATGACAAGTCAAGAGGAGAATGGGGACAATCGGGCAGGCTTGAAGGTGGATTTGTATTTCCCACACAGAGTCGGGAAAATTATCCGTACATTTTCACAACGCTCTAATCCTACCGCATTAGGTCTCTTCTGGCATTGTGCTGCCATTGTAAAGTGTACTATCTAATAGAGAAATTCCATTTCCAGGGATACTATTGTTTGTTTGCTGACGGACACAAGTCATGTCCAGTCTAAATGAGGCCGCTCCACATAGACTAAGCTCCGGTCGCAGCACTTACAACTACAGCCTTCTCCTCCACATTGGACACAGATCCTTCTTCTCAGAGTTTGAGAAGCAGAAGCAGAGTCCACAAAGTCAGGTGCTGACTGCTAGATATGTACATCTTATTTCTGCTGCACGAGGCGGGGAAGATCGCTGATGCTGGATTTTGACTCGAGGATTTCTAACTTAACGTCAATATGCTGGTCTCACCGGCAGAGAAAGATGAAAGCGCCACCTACCGTATACGGCAGTGAAGAGAGGAAAATCAGTCGCTTTTCCTTGCTTTTCTAAGAAGGAATGCACTTGCCTCGCCGTCGATGCCCCTTGAAGCTTCTGGCCATTCATCTCTGTCTGTTCTATCTCATCTATTGTTTTTCCCGTTTGCGCTGCCTTCACTGCAGAACGGTAATTCCTCCCGGAGCAGCAAGACGCAATGAGATCAGAAACGCCGGCGCTTTCTTGAGTAATAGTCTGGGGATAGGTGCTATCCGGGAAGAACAGCTCGCTAAATTTCATCATTTCGAGTAGTCCTATTCGCATGATCGCCGCTTTTGCATTGTCACCCCAGTCGCGACCAGCGACGAAACCAGCGGCGAGGGTGACAATATTTTTCAAGGCCCCCGAAAGGGCTACACCGGCGACGTCTGGGACGATATGGACATTGAAGTAAGGCCGGTGAAAAAGTTTCTGTAACAAATTTTCATCAACCGGGACATATTCCTCGGGAACAGGCTGGACCTCGACTGAAGACGGCTTCGTGTGGGCTTCTCTTTGCTCGTTCACTTTCGAGATGTTGGCGGGAGATTCAGGGCCGCCTTGTTGTACATCCATTGGAGGCACGTCATATCCAATTGTTGTCTCGCACCATTTCTCGGCTGCTACCTCAGGGGCCAAATTGGCTCCTGATAATGCTCCACAGTATATGCCTAGAGTTTCAGTAATGATCTCGGAGAAGAGAGAAACGGTGTCTTTCGTTATTTCGACCCCCTTCACGCAGGAGATACCTCGGGCATAGGGAAGGTTATGACCCTGAATTTGCTGACATGTTTTCACCATGAACTGGTGCGGGAGGTTGAAGATCAAGATAGTCGCGCCCTTGACGGCGTCCTGAATAGAGGCATTGGCGACAAGGTTACTTGGTAAGGCAATTCCCGGAAGGTACTTGACGTTCTCGTGGACCGAATTGATTATGTCGGTCAGCTTCATTGGGTGGCTACCCAAGGTTTTGCGATGCTTAGAGTCTTCTGGGATGGTAACTTCTTCCTCGAAAATCCACATGTTGACAGTAGGTTCGAAAATGTTGGAGTGGGATTTCGCATTTTCAGCCACTATCTTGGAAACAGCAGTCCCCCTGGTGGTGCAATGGTCAGCATTCCTCAGGAGCCATGAGGAAATAGGATATTGTCCGTACCAGTTACCAGAGCCGACAACGGTGATCTTGTGAGTCCGAGCATGCATGTTAGGGTTTATGACTGCTTGATTCATGAACTGGCAATGGTAATGTTTTGCACACAAAGGGCTGGAAAGAAGGAAGAATTCGTCCAATACTGCCCACAGAGGCTTTGTGTCTCTGAGGAGACGTGGAGTGGCTTGACGTCCTCAGGGCGTCAGCGGTAAGGTGACGTAGAACTTCGGCACAGGATCAGGAATGTGTCGGGCCAACAGATACCCTGAAAATGGGCCAAGTGCTGATGAGATTTGCAATTCCAGGTGGGAGAGCCATGTCCATGAGCGTTTTCCACGGTGTCTCCGAATAGGCGAAGGAGAAATTCCTGCACATCGGCGCAAGAGCATAGCTGTCTTTGTCAAAAGATCAGCGGGGGAAGAGGTTTTCCCATCGACAAGCTGGTTGCGGCGGAGCGAAGAGGACATTGTACGACGTCACTGGCATCAAATAGTTGGAGTGTTCAACGTCAGGCTGGTGAGGTTAAGGGGCTAACGTGTGTCAATTCGCGGGAGCGGATAAGATATCCGAATGCCACCTCAGCAAGGATTTGTGAGTGGCTGATCAAAACTTCGTGGGCCAAGCGCATTACACCCGATATAGTACACACCGACGTAATTAGGAATTTGACCATACAAAGCCTGCCATCTACTGGAAAGGTAGCCGAAAAAACTCCGGATCCATGTTCTAGTGATAGAGCACCATAACGGAATCAGTGCGATAGCCAGCTGTTCGAGAACTGCTATTCAATGTATGCACCAGGGAATAGTGTACATGGATATAGGGGCCGAGGAGAGAGCAGCAGGAGGCTTGAACATTGATTTGAAAGAAATCAACCTTAAATTGTGACATAGAACTCTCTTGTATAACATTGAAAGTACCCGGTGTTTCCTCCATGTATGCCTGTGACAAAAAGGCTGAATTCAAACGAATTTGTCGGACCGTTGATATATAACCTGGGCGTGCCCACCAATCACACACTGAGGAGCAACGAATCTCATGATCCTGCTGGGACAGCATCCCGAAGCATCCTCTCATGCATATTGAGGGGTAAGGCGTAAATTCCTATTGATTCGACCTCTGATCTCTCTCCTCTACGATGGGCCTCTGGCGGTTGCATGCGCCAGAACACTCAACATTGAACTTTGAAGTGCTTCGTATAGAAGACCTAAACTTCTTATTATCTTTAGATCGAATACGGAACACGATTTCAAAGCGCGCCCAGATTTTGCCAAGTGGTGCATCACCGGAACATGGCTCCGGGGACAGCAGTCCCTTTGACTTGAAGCACGACGTCCTTACATAGTATGTACTTCTCGCGACAGGGGTTGGGCAAGACCCTGTCGTCATAACCCCCCATGATATCATCTCTTGCACGTCAACAAAACATACCTTCCTAAGCGTCGGCATCGTACTCAGGATCAACATAGGCCGCAGAAAAAGGTTAAATACAAATAAAACTCAGTATGGTGTTGACTCGTTCTCAGCAAAAGTCGCAGGGCTCCAGGCCTAAGAGTCACCGTGAGCCACAAGTGGGTGACAAGAGATCCCACAGTAAAGCATTAGAAACGAAGGCTACTGGGCAGGACGAGCAGCAGAAAAAGACCGAACACAAATCTCAAAAGAAGACGGCCACCAAAATCAGTGGTGACAGCTCAAAACTAGATGGCAACCAGAAGATGCCCAGAGGAGTAAAGCAGATAATCGAGAAACTAATTCAGGAGTATGGTGATCTTCCACTCCATGACACCATCCTCGAGCAGCCAGACAAGGCCATGCCGGAAACAGTCCTAGCACTGTTGTTGAACGCTATATTATCCGCCACCAGAATCTCTCATCACTTAGCGTCCAAGACCACAGATCTAGTGATCAAGGCCGAGTACCATAAAATTCATGTCTTGAAGAAGAGTACGTGGGAAGACAGGACCGACGTGCTTACTGAGGGTGGGTACACACACTATAGGTAAGTTCTGAGATGCACCTCTCCCTACCTTAGATTAAGATGGCAGCTGATAGAGCGTGCGAAAGGGAAAGGACAGCAGCTATGATGGGAGAGCTAGCCGATACGATTGAAGAGGAGTATGGTAAGTGAGACTTTGAAGTCAATGCAGGCTCTGACATTCATATATCCCAATTCTAATATTTCCGCAGACGGTGACCTTAATACCATTCTCCAACGTACCTCAGAAGATCCCAAGCAGATCCGTTCGCAACTCAAAACCATCAAAGGCGTTGGCGATGTGGGGGTGGACATCTTCTTCGATACAGCGCAGCATGTGTGGCCCTGCCTGGCACCGTTTGTTGATCCGAGGAGCTTGAAAACGGCCGAAAATATTGGTCTAGGAAATGACGTGCAAGTTTTATGGGAAGAGGTGGGCAGAAAGCCCGAGTTGATGTGCAGGTTGGCGTGTGCTCTGATGAGAGTGAGGCTAGAGAGAAGGGAAGCCGAGTTCAGGATCTAGTTAGCTAATCGGCAGCGGGGAACGAGAAAGAAAGAAAAGAGTCAAATTGATTCGGAGGGAATGGCCGGCGTTGTACATACTACTGAACATCATGGGTCTGACTTCGAACATTGGATGTGGTTACTCTCCCTTCGCCATGTTGTCTCCGAGCACGATACGGCCTTCAGCCTCGTCGACGTCAGGTGCTGGACCAAGGGGATGCTACACGCCGTTGCCCGTAGTTGATCGTGGCAATGCTAGACTCGTTGAAGGCCCATGCCTGGGATATATGTTCAAGCTGGTCTCCATTCATAATGGCATGCGCCCTTACTCGGCTTTCCGGGATCTTCGTCCTTCACACCAGGGCGATCAAAGGCGTGTGCCCCAAAGAAATCCATCTGAGCTTCCATGAATCGAGTGGGGAGCGATGTCCCTCCACAGTACTTGATATATTCCAGAGAGGCCGACAAGCTTGGTATGTGGGCGTTCCATTCTGTGGCTCTGGCAACGGTGCGTTTCAGCGGCCCGTAGTTGTCGCGTAAGGCTGCGGAAACTTGTTTGAGAAGCTTCACGTTCATCACGGCCTTTTCATCTGTAGCCCCAAGATCTGCCTCGAGAATGTCGGCAATATGGTTTGACTGTATGATGCAACCACCGCGCCAGATGCGAATGCAAGTAGAAAGGCTCACGTCCCAGCCTTCGTCGTGGGATGCCCTACTAATGATCTCCAAACCCTGACAGAACGCACACAAAAACGATGCGTAGACTGCTCGGCGGATATCTTCCACGCAATCGTCCCGGTTTTGTATGATGTCAGAATTGGCTTTGGAAGGCGTAGGAGTTTGTAGCGGCTTTGCAACCTCCAAGCGTTCTGCTCTATTCCCACTGGCCACTCGAAAGAACTGGCCTGCCGCAATGGTCGGCGCAGCCACATGTCGTGCAGCAGCCTCCATGACGGACCAGAAGCCGGTGCCCTCACTGTTGTCGTCGTCCTGGACCACCTTGTCCAAGACGTCGTCCAGCACATACCCCTCTCGTCCCTTGCCTTCGCCGTGCCCATCGCCGTCTAGCGTCTTTTTCCTGTGGCAGATCTCGGACCCTATTTGCAGCAAAAAGTTTGACCTGAGCTCCCCTTTTCGGTCCCACTGGTCAAGGGCGTTTCCAATGTCCTCATACGTCATGTCCAAACCGCTCTTCATCATTCCCCAGGCCTCGCAGAGAGACGAGAGCATTCCGTTTTCAATCCCATTGTGCAGCATCTTCACAAAATGGCCCGAGCCATGAGGTCCGATGTACTCTATGCATGGCGCTCCCCCAACGTGGCCCAGCGTCTCTGCTTTTGCGGCAAATTGCTTCAGAAGAGGAAGGACTTTGTCGATTGCTTTCTGGTCTCCCCCTGGAGATAGACTCGGTCCCTTCCTGGCAGACTGATAACCTCCGGATACCCCCATTCCAATCCAAGAGACGCCTCTCTGAAACAATGCCCGTTGTCGTCGTTCCGTGTTGCGGTAATGTTCATTTCCGCCATCGAGAATAATATCCCCTGGTTTCAAATACTTTTCCAACTGGTCCAAGACTTGGTCTGCAGGTTGGCCATGCGTAATTGAGAATATCAAGACTTTGTTTGGCTCCTTTGAAAGGGACTCTGCGAAGTCCGATATCTCCGTGAATCCATAGACCTCGCCATTCCTTGTGCTTGCCTCTGCACTTGACTCTGTATTTGCCTTCTTGGAAAGCGCTTGCTTTACATTGTTGGGCGAGATATCCCAGATCGCGATGTCCACGCCAGTTTCCGAAAGTCCGAGAGCCATCATGCTGCCCATGGAACCAGCGCCTACAATGCCGACCAAGTTGAAGGGAAAGCCACGCACCTTTTCATTTTGGCGTTTGGAATCGGTGGACGACATGCTCATATCGTTTGTTGAACTCCAGCATTTCTCTGCTACGGTCCATGAATTGAAAGAAGACTCTAGCTAGAACTATCACGGGATCTTGAGGAACGTGATATAATACGGGGTTGATGCGGAATTCCTGTCCTTTCGAATCTTCCGGCCGCCAGTTGGAAGCCAAATCCTAGCGAGTCAATATGTAATTCGATTCTGGATCCTCGTCAGCACCGGTATTTCTGATTTGAGGTTGAATTTGGCGACGTCATCTGGATATACTAGATGACGATTTATGTATTCTGGAGTCCAGGCTCAGAGATTCCGCTGGATCCACATTTCGAGCAATGGGCTATAACCTATGGCACCAATGTTGTGGTTTCCACTTTCGAATCTTCGGCCCAATATGCCCACCCAGCACATGGCACTTGGAAGCCTTTCGTAATCGAGCCACTGTAGCTCTCCAGAATCTTGGATCCGTGACGGAACGTCCTCGACTGCAAAAGTCCTCCCATTTGCTAGACACCAGACACTCAGCCCCGTACTCCATGTCATTGTGTCAAACAAAGTTTGCCTTTCTAAATGGTCAGACCAGTGAACAACCCATCACACCAAGGAACCTGCCTATTGTTGTTCTACCAGGAGTACAGCGACAGTTTATGGAAAACAGGGTGGCAACGAGGTCAACGGCGTTGACAAGTTATATGGGGATTCTCGTTGTCCACTCAGTTGGTAAAAGATGGAGCATTCAATACATCTCAAGTTGCACCCGTGGGCGCATTGCCATCAAAATGCTCTAGACGTGGATATTTGCAACAACAGAATTCCCGACTCTTGTCTATGATATTCGAGTATTCCGAAACAATTGCGATCATGGGTAACTTTACTTTGAACTAGTAAGCCTCGCCCTAATATCACCGTTTCAATCCGCAAATGCGCGATACGCTGCAAGCGGCTCTCGGGCAACCACTTCGATTTCCACACCTTGGCGAATAAAGTATACTGACCCTTCACCGATCTCAAATTCTTCACCGTCTCCCACTAGCTGACCACTTCCCTTCATGATCACAATGACACTCGGCCCATCGATAGCCTTTACTCGTTCCACATCCCCACTTTTCATCTCGGTGACAAGCATGTTGAACTCACTCAGCGGTGGTCGCAACACAACAGTCTTGCCGTCCAAGCTTTTGTCACTCTTTTCCGGCTTCAGAACTGGGCTTTGCTTGTCGTGTTGCTCAAATGTCAGGCTTTGGACAAACAAATCGACTGAATCTCGGTCCAGTCTCGGACAAAAACCCGTGTTGAGGACATTGTTTGATCGCGCCATACATTCAACAATATCTCCAGACAGGTAAGCGTGAATGCCATCAGCAGGGACAAAGATGGAGTCTCCTGGTTCCAGGATCAGATAGTTCATACAGATGAGAGCAACGAGGATACCGCTGTCATCTTGGGAGTACTGATCCTCGAGGCGAGGCAATAGTTTGAGAATATACGCCTGATTGGCGAATTTCTGGGGACTGATTGTATGGAGTTTGTTCAAAACGGTCCTTGTTTGTTGTTCCGATGCATTCAGCATCGCTTTGATGACGTGCCTTAGCGTCGCGTCACTGAAATGCGGATCCGATTTTGCTTTTGTTTTCGAAGGCGACGGTAGAAATTGCTCTAATGGCTCGAGAGCCAGCAGATCTTTGATTTCGTCCAGCGGTTTGAAACCTACAAATGCCTCGAATTTGCTCAGAGCCACTGCTATTTCCGGCTTGTGATTGGGATCCGTGAACTTCTCGGGATTTTCATTGTGTAGCTCTTCTGCTAGCTTGATGTTTGGATGAATTTGAAGAGGCAAAGCTTTGGCGATGGACAGAATCTTTGGAAGGAATGGCAGGTCTGAACCGAATTTGTCGAGCGCATGTTTCCCGATTAGCTTTTCAGAATTCTCATTGAGGACATCTTGAAGTGGCCATGAAGTTCGGGCGTCGTAAGATGGGAGAGTTGGATATGTCCCCATCCACATCTCTGCATATTCTTTGTCGTCAATTTTAAAGTCTGGATTTCGTTTTTCACAAAGTCGGGCCACAAGAGATGCCCTCCCTTTCTTGCCCCACGAATAGTTATTGCAATAACATTTTAGAGGAATTATGGATCCAGTCATGGTGTAATGCAGACAGACTATCAGAAAATGTTATAGGGAAGGGGATGGTTTCAGCTGGTATGTCATTACTCGTCATCCTTGCAGACAAGGTTACCTATATATCTGGTGATGAGCGAACCTTCAACGTCTGCGGAGTGCTGTTCCGAGCTTGGAGTCATTGGAATAAGTTTCTGGCCACAAGACTTGCTCGAATCGTTGACTAGTACTCTTCACAAGAACTTTCGACATCATCAAGGTGATGTCAGAATTGCATCGACTTTGTCCATACCTTTTGTCTGGAGTAGCGTATCACACATCTGCGCTTCGACCAAAGTCCTGATTAGCAAAATTGAATGTCTAGTCCAATTGTGGATCCAGATTTGCTAGCAGCTTAGTAAGCACCGACAACGACCTTTTTATATGTCAAACGCTGGGCGTTTGCCTGGTCCGGATTTGGCTGGTAAGCTCCTTGTGGGTTCTTGGCGCAAATTCCTCCATCTTCGCTTGGCCCTGCAATGTGATGTGATATTGGTCCATGCGAGGAACACGATATCGACGTGGCTGCGTATTCCTTACACCGAGCCTTGAGGAGGAACTTACTCCCTCGAACTTCTCTCCTTTCCCTCCTTTCTCTCACATCAACGCTACCGAATATCTCGTCTCTGCCCTCAAACCGCAACCATGCCTCAGGCGCAACCCGAACTCAAGAAAGTACGTCTGCCCTGTCTTCTTGCTTCTCAACGGTGCAGTCCTCCCCGAAACCGCACAACTCTCAAGCTAACCCTTCTTCTGCTTAGTACATGGAGAAGCGCCTCTTTGTCCAACTGAACGGAAATCGGAAAGTGATTGGCGTTCTGAGAGGATACGATGTCCGTTTTGGTCGCGAAACTCAGTGGCCTGGTATGGGAAGGACTAACGGCGAACGAATAGGTTTTCCTGAACATTGTCCTCGACGAAGCCGTAGAAGAGAAAGCAGGCGGTGAAAGAGAAAGACTAGGTATGGTGGTCATTCGAGGTAACTCGGTGGTTATGCTCGAGGCTCTGGAGCGCATGAGCGACGACCGACGATGAAGGGAAAAGTTTAAGAAAAAAAAAAAAAAGGTTCATATGATCGCTCTTAATTTATGAACGCTGTTTGGGTATCATCTATGTGTGTTTGCCCAATCTGTCACGCTGCCGGACGTTATGCTACAAATTCAATCGAATCCAGTCCTCGTCGATTCCGTCCTGTCAGAGCAGGTCTTCTCCAACAAACCAAATGACGATAGGCTCACCTTTGTCAGCAAGTGCAACTGCAACCATTCAACCCTTCTTTGAGAACTTGAGGACAACACGGCCAGGGCCAGCAGTAGGAGTGGGCAACGTTGGTGGAGGTGCAGGAGGAGGTGGTGTTGGCGTGGCATGTGAAGACTGGTTGGCACCCATCTTGAAAGTCAACTTCAGACCACCTGCATTACTTGGTCTCGGCGGTGGTAGTTCAGGGCGCGTGGGAGGTAGAGGAGGTTGCCATTTAGGCACTGCCTTGGACCTGACTTTTCGGGTCTCTGAAAACTTGAGCTGGCCCTAAATCAGTGGTGTTAGCTCAAGCTCGGACCATATGCCACCACGGAAACTTACTTTCCCCATGTTCTCTACCCGCCAGTAACGTGGAAGCCGAAGAGAAACTTTCATTTCATTGATAGGCTCGTAGAGCAGTCTGCAAAAGTCCAGTAACGTCTGCAAATCCTCTAGAGTGATGTGGTCGTAGCAAACAGCAGTCCATAGGGCCGACTTGAGGGCTTGGTTATCCCCCAATTCCTTCTTCAACGCAGCCATGGCGCCCTCCATGGTTTGTCGTCTTGCCAATTCTTGCTGCCTCGTATCCGCCGCGGCGGTATCTTCGATCACCAATCCTGCCACCACGGGCTGGGATGAACTGCTTTTGTGGCCAATAGCTCGTTTGGCCAACACTTTGCCGAACGCTCGCTGAAGACTCTGTCGCAACCATGGCGAAGAATCAGCTACCATGCAATACAACACGTAACGAAGAATTGCGGGGTCTTCAAAAATGCTGGGCGTCACTAGGACATTGTAAGCTGTTTCGCGAAGCATGTCGTAATTGCCCGGTCGGGTGTACTGCAAGAAATGCAAAGGTGAAAACCGACCGATTCCAGCGGCAGCGAGTCGAGATTGACATTCCAGTGCGGTTCGGGAATATAAATTCTGGAAGGAACTGGTCCATTCATCCATTCGACGATACCGATCGATTTCCTCCAGGAACTGATGTTCAAGTTGTTTCAATTCATGCATTTCATCTTCCAGATCCAAGTCCATGTCGCCGGCATCGAGTTGATGTTGGGGTCGTGCAATTATTGCTTCCGTGAGTGACTTCATCAATCGAGCCACATAGTGCGCATCTGAATAGTCGTTGGCCGAGTTGTCATTAAACTTGAGTTTGTCCAGTAAAAATTCCTTGACTTCTTTGGGCGTGTGGCCTCGACTGTCCCGCACCCTGGCTATGGCTTCGATGATCTCACATTGTAAGAGATATGAGAGCTGGTCAGAGAAGTCATTTGGTCGTGTCATCGCTGAGCCTTGATCGGTGATGCAATATAATTCCTCAAAAGCCTTCTTGAGGTGGAAAAGGCCTATGCTCTTTGCCTCGCCTCCATCGGTTGCGTGCTTCACTAGACTCTGCGCCGCCAGCGATCGGACTCCATGGAAGTAGCGACGGTCCATCAGAGTGCGGATGAAGATGGAGGATATGAGCGGTGACGCTTGGTAATTCGAAATTTGTCGCACTGCCTCTAGTTGTGCAATGACATCGCGGTCTTGTTGGAGCTGTGACGTGAACATGTATCCAGGCATTTGAAGATTGATTTTGCAAATCCACTCAAAATCAGCATCGAGTCGAATCCATTCATAAGATTCCGCATTCATTCTCTCCTCATCTTCGGCACTCCACTCGGTGATTCTCCAATTGGCAATGTCCTCTTCCCCTTGTAGAACATCACCGAGACAATAGACCAGGGAATCATTCTCTTCGTCTCCTCCGCCCTCGGCAGCAGCTTTCGTACTGGCTCGAGCCCGCTGCTTCTTGCTCCGTTTGAGACGTTTGTACTTGGTATTGTAAGGGATTTCGATTTGAGTATTGGCATCTTTGATGTGCACGATGTGTTCGTAAGGAGTCCCGTCGGCTTCGTGAATGCGGATGGTCATGTCGCCCGTAAACACGGGTTGGGCAGGTGCCGCATAGACGGTTTGAAAGTCTTCACGAGCATCTCGCATGAAAGAATCAATGTCGAGTTCTCGATCGGTCGTAATGTTGCCCTGGATTTGCCTGATATGCATTTCAACCACCAGTTTTTTCTTGTTGAATCTTTGAGCTGCCTGGAATCTAGGACAACCCGCACCTTTGACCCACTGAGCCAGAAATTCGTCAATTTTGATATGACCCATTCGCTCAGTAGTCTTCTGGAACAAGTCGGTTGAGAGAGCATTGTTGGCGAGGTCGCCTGTTCGAGCCCGGGTGAGGATTTTAGCGAGAATACCCGGCATTTTGGAGGCGCCGGATTCCTTTGCAATTCGACGATCCAAAATGAACAACACCACCGGCGCCTTGATGGTCAGAAATTCATACTCGGCCGGGTCAACATGGAGTAAGGCACCCATCTCATAGATCGAAGGACGATCGTGATCCAATTCGCAGACCCGATCAGCTTGTTGCTTGATGTGAAAACGATATTCGTTGTTCCCGCACAACTCCCGCATGAAGAGGTTGGTGATGAAATAGGCGGCTCCAATAACGACCCAGTTATCTCGCGGTTCTTCGGCAATGACATTGATTCCGACCCATTGGGACACAATGGCATGAACCAGCTGTCTGGTCACCTCTTGAGCGGGATCAATGACATCTTCTGGATATAAAATCCTGGTACTGCACATGGTGACACCGGCGAAGATAGAAGTGTCGGATGGAATGTCTTCGACAAAGACGATGGAATATGATCGAAATGGACACGATATGTACTTATGGACGACGAAATCCATGGCCTTGGTCAGGGGAAGGCAAGCATTTTTCGTTTCCTCAGCTCGTCCGGGCAGGCAATATGCCAGCATATCGACGGCATTGCGGCCCAATTCTTCCACTTCCTGAGCATCTCGGAGTTCGCTCAAATTCACTCGTTCGAAAGGACCGATGGCAAAGCCTATCTGTTCGGGCGCCAATTGCTGGGAGCAGGAGAAGGATACCGTTTTCTGAGAAGGGTGGTTTTTGTCGACGATCTCATCGGTCAGTTCCCCCGAACAGATGACGACCATTTCCTTGCTCTCGTAACCTTGGCGAGGGGTTTCCTTTGGAGTCAGATCCAGACTGAGCTGTGACAAATCGAGGGACCCAGCCTGGTTGACAGCATCTCCCACTGTTCTCGGGCATTGGAGAGAGACGTCCCACGTGCAACGACTATTGATGGAATCCACACAGGGGAACAGGGACGAGGCACCGCCGGAACCCAGTCTCTTGCGAGTGTATGCGTGGGGCCATCGACCACTGCCTCGCTTACCAGAGACAAACTGGAGAGTTTCACGGACATGACACGATTCGAATTCGATGATGACGGTCAAAGGCGTGAATTTGGCCACGGTGGTGTCTGACAGGGCTTGGGTAGCCTCGATGGCAAGCGGACCTCCAGTCTGAGCACCTGCACCTTGAATCTTGATAGAACCAGTCGCCAGGGTATGGACTTCCGCGACATCGACAGGAGATATTCGTACTTTCTTGGGGAGGGTGATGGCGATATCTGGATCCGGGTCGGCACCGACTGATCTTGATATCTTTTCGGCCAGGAGATGATGTTGATTGGCGGTGCCATTGGAATGAAGAGTGAGCTGATCACAAGGATCTTCATGTCGGACTGACGAGGGTGGTACGTTATTTACGAGGACCTTCTTGATGTTGCACTGTCGACCATGGAGCCTGATTTCCTTGAGTTCTTGAGAGTCCGGATAGATGGTGATCTCGGTTCTGCCGCTAACTTCTTGGTTGAAATTGATGTCAAGTTCGACTTTCTGGTGGGCGACGGTGAACGAAGGAGGCGGAGGGCCAATGACCGGCTGCTGGGGTTCTGAAGATTCCATCCTGAAAATCGAATGGAAGGGGGCGAGGTGAGGGTGGTTTTTTGATGAACCATCGTCCCCCGATTTGGACCCCAATTTGGACCAAGACGTTTTGTCAAAGGTTCCAGGGGGATGTGCCGCCAATAGCCCGCCGCGATGGAAATGGGAAACGGCTGATTAGAAGACCGAAAGCGAATGATGAAGAGAGCCAAATTCAGCGAGGCGCGTCAGCAGGGGCAGGCAGAACAAGCACGTGTGAAAATCGTCGCCTGCATCTGGTCTTTAGATCTTGGCAGCCAACGTCGCTTGACCATCGACTTCATCCCTTTTCTATATCAATTGGGAATTCTCCAGGGGTGGACTCCTTTCTTTCTCCTTTCTCCAGCCTTGAAAGAACATAGAGGATATGAACAGACTATATCTAGACACCCAGAAAACCTGCTGACAACTTCCTCCTTCCCTGTCTTTCGGCCCCAACTTCTTTTCCGCTACATTGCCTCTATACCTGTCCCTCGACACACCTAGTGGCTCAGGATGGACCTCACATCAGCGTCCGGTAGGTTAAAACCATCTCTGCTTGGGCCTTTTTGCCTCCATCCCTCGTCCCTAGCGCCATACCCGGACTCATAGCTCTCCCACAGCCGACCCTCTCTCCGACCAGGCCATGGCCCATTTGAAAACCTACAAATACCAAAGCGTGGACAAATCTTTCGTTTCCAACTATATCCTTCGACACTATGTGGGTCTTCCCGGGTTTCTGTCGGGCCCTGGACGCAACCAACTCACGTTTTCTCAGTGGAATGCCGCGGTCAAGCTGCTGCCCATGTGGCTAGCTCCCAACATGGTTACGCTCTTGGGATTTTTCTGCATCTTGATCAACATTCTGTTCCTGCAGATCTTCATACCCGATCTCGTCGGCCCCGGTCCAACATGGCTGTACTACAGCTTCGCACTGGGTCTATGGATGTAAGTTAGACGGAGGCCCAGGGTCGGTGAATCCGAGGGATCTAACCAAACAAACCAAAAGGTACTCGACGATGGACAACATCGACGGCAAACAGGCGCGGCGGACAGGCACTTCCAGTGGACTCGGAGAGCTTTTCGACCACGGCATTGACTCCTTGAACTGCACCCTCGGAAGTCTCTGCGAAACGGCCGCCATGGGGCTGGGTCCTAGCAAAACTGGCGCCTTCACCGCTCTCGTCCCTTGTCTGCCCATGTTTTTTTCGACCTGGGAGACGTACCACACTCATACACTTTACCTGGGTGCCTTCAACGGGCCGACCGAAGGACTCATCCTAGCATGCTCCGTGATGGTCATCTCCGGCTACCTCGGACCTCAGATCTGGCGATACCGTGTCGCCGACTATGTAGGATACGAGGGGATTTTGGAGGACCTGACCTTCCGCGACTTCTGGGTCCCCATTATCCTCTTGGCCTTCTTCACCGCCCACCTCCCTGCATGCATCTACCACGTCGCCCAGGCGAGGCAACGCAACAATCTGCCCATCTGGCCCGTCTTCTTCGAATGGATTCCCATGATCGTCTTCACCGGCTCGTGCGCCGCGTGGGTCGGATCCCCATACTCGATTCTCCTCCGCGAGAACCACCTGGTCATCTTCTGCTTGACCATGTCCTTCGTCTTCGGCCGGCTGACGACGAAAATCATCCTGCACCACTTGACCCGCCAGCCGTTTCCATACTTTACCGTCTCTCTTGTCCCACTGACTGTCGGCGGCATTATGGCTTGGCTACCCTATTTCGGCTTCGACTCTGTCCCCGCGACTTTTGAAAGATGGTACATTTACAGCTACTTCGCTTTCGCCATGACGCAATACTTCGTCTGGGCCGTGCGTGTGATCAATCGCATCTGCAAGATCTTAGACATCAACTGCCTGACCATCAAGAAAAAGAAGACCGATCCAAAAGAGGCCTCCCCCTTCGCGAAAGAGTCGAAATCTACACCTAATGGCGACGTCCGGACGACCAAGAAAGAGCTCTAGAGGAATTGAGTATTACTGCTAGACGCTCCCGTTTGAAATGCAAGACATCATATGACAGATACAAACCGACCTTAGAGCCGAGTTAGAATCAACGCGGCCAGCTGGATATCATAGCAGGCATTTTTACATTCGATGTAATTTCATTTGGATAGAGACAAAAGCATCCGACGCCGAGAGACCTGGGAAAAGAGAATTGTTCGCTAGATAAAAACCCTCACTGCAATCAATCACGGCACGACCTTCATGACACCAGCAGAAACACGGTTTTATTGAATTTTATACTCTATGCTCAATGTTCATTTCATTCAGGCTGCTGATCCTTAAATTTCTCCTGTAGCCTCTTCACATCAAACCCGCACAACCGAGCCTTGTCGACAATGGCCCTCGCCTTCCCTTCTACCGGCGCATCAATCATCTTCCCATCGAGAGCCCACGCCCCCTTCCCCAATTCCTCAGCTCGCTTTTGTGCGATCGTAATACGAACCGCCCACTCGACTTCTTGCACGCTTGGGCTGAAGATCTGCTGCACGGTCTCGACTTGGGACGGATGAATGCATTGTTTGCCATTATATCCCATTCCCTTTCCTTGATTGCATTCGTTGGCGAGAGACTCTTCGTCGGCTTCGCTGCGGAACGCGGTGGCAACCAGATCGATGGTCGAGGGCAAATCGTGCGCTCGGGCGGCCGTGGCGATCATTTGGCGCGCGTACAGGAACTCGGTGAGACTCGGTGTGCGTGTTATGCTCATGTCGAGGGCGAAGTCTTCGGCAGCGAACATGAGGCCTTGGAGTAGTGAGGGTGTCGCGCGGCATATTTCTGTGAGGTTTGATAACGACTTGGCTGATTCGATCAGAGCCAGGATGCTGATCGGTGTGCCACGATATTCCCTCGGGCGTGAGTGCGCTAGCACGTCGCCGACGAAGGTCAAGTCACCTGCACTCTCGACCTTGGGTACTATTAGTGTCGTTAGGTTTTTGGACTTCACGATCTCTTCCAAGTCAGCCAAGGCCAGGCCGGAGCCAACACTGTTGATGCGCACGGCACGCTCTTTCAGACCAGCTGGTTTTTCTTGGTCCAGGGCTTTGCGGACGAGGGAACGGGCTTCAGATTTGCGCCCTGGAGTGACGCTGTCTTCGAGGTCATAAGCCACGCAGTCAACGGTCAGGCCGCGGGATTTATCGAGGAATCGCTGAGAGGAACCAGGTACTAATTACATCAGAAATAGTGTTAGTGCACGTGTACAGCTTAGCGGTAGAAGTGCTGGCGTGTCAGAAGGGAAAGCATACCATAGAGTATAGCTCTTCTCAGGACATTTTTCGCAGCCATAGTAGCCACCAGATGATTGAGTTCGGGAATGTCGACTTCAAGTCAAGAATATATGTTCATTCCTCCTCCCAGGCCAGTCGATACATTGAAGGCACTGACCAGGATAAATATGGAGCCGTTTTACATCTGGAAGTCTCACCGTGACCTCCGTAACATTGAAAAGATTTTGTTTTTATCCCATGAATATGCGGGGAACCGAAGACGCCCACCATGAACCGAAATTCGGCTTCCGACAAAATGCGGAGACAAATTTCTACGATTTCTGAGGAGCAAAGAAACGGTATATTTTCATTTTCAGATTTCCTAGAATTTACAGGCTTCGCTGAGAAACCGTCAATCAGGTGGAGGGACGGATGGTTCGGATGATTGCCTACAGACCAGATCGTAACCTGGAGTTCTGGATCAGCTGGTGAAATTCCTCAGTTGATTTTGATTGCGACCGCCTCGCCTCCCTTGCTTGGTCGTCGCATCAGATAGAGACGTAATCAAGCCCATGTGCTGTATCATCCGGCCGGAATTTTCGCCCCGGTTCCCGTTTCCCCTCCCCCATGTCGAAAAGGCCGCCGTTAAGTTGCGCTGTTCATCAGTGTAAAAACACAGTGGTGCTCTATTGAATGCGGTCAAAAGAGGGATCCTTAACACTGCCACCTGCATCACCCAGTCCGGCAACTGGCCGATTGTATGACCAACCTGCGAATTGCTGTTGCATGGTCTGAGACAGAACTGGTCCCTCGACGTAAGAATCCTTGGGAACCTCGGACGTGAACTCTTTGTCGAAGTTGGCTGTGTCTCTTGCATCAACCTGCAGATCAAAGTCAGAAAGATGGTATAAAAAACGACCGCATTGTTCTACTGACCACATTGGGCTTGAAGCTTGGTTCATACTTTCTCTGTAGCAATTTTCTCCAATCAATGCCAGCAAAAAAGTGGTGAGCTTTGATTTCGGCTGCTCCACCAGCTCCCAGCCGGCGTTCAGGATTCCGGTCCAGGAGTTTTTGGAGAAGATCCTTGGCTGCTGCAGGTACGATTTCGGGGCCAGGGAAGTGTAACGGATCTTGAAGAATTTTTCGGTACATCTCGTTGGTGTTTTCATCGTAGAAGGGCGGCAATCCCGTCAGCATTTCATAGAGCAAAACACCCAAAGTCCACCAGTCCACCGTCTTGGTATATCCGTGTCCAAGTAGAAGTTCGGGGGCCAAGTATTCTGGTGTCCCACAGAACGTGTTGGTGCGATCTTCATCTTTCATGTCCAACTTGCACAAGCCGAAATCGCAAAGAGCAATGTGACCCGTGTAGTCCAGAAGGATATTTTCCGGCTTCAAGTCTCGGTAGATAACTTTGAAACCATGAAGACACTCCAACGCGCACAACAATTCGGCCGTGTAAAATCTCGATCGGTTGATGTCAAAGCGCTGTTCCTTCTGAAGATGGTGGAATAATTCACCACCGTTGACAAATGCCAGGACGAAATAGAGCTTGTCGGGTGATTGGAACGAAAATTTGAGGGGTGTGATGAAAGGATTGTTGATTTGTGCCAGGACAGAGCGTTCGGCCAGAGTGTGCGCCACTTCAGATCGAGAGATGATGTGTGCCTTTCGTATCGTCTTGAGGGCGTAGATTCGACCGGTATCTTTCTTCATGACCTGCATGACCTTACCAAAGCTACCTCGTCCCACAACCTTGAGAAGTTCGAAATCATCAATCTTAAGACTGCCTTGCCGGTTTTCGACGTAATTCACTCCGACCTTGATCGAGCCAGTCCCGAATTGAATGTCCAGCCATTCAGTTCCGAGCTGGCCGGCTTGCTTCTCTTGTGAGGCAAACGTTGCTTCGGCCTTTTCATTTTCTTTCTTGCTCTTCTTCGGATCCGGGACAAATTGACGAACTTCCTCAAATCGGGGGGTCACTCGGGCACCACCGAGGAAGATATCTTCACTTCTTCCGACGCCCGGTCTCGCCGCCGGATTTCTCAGATACAACTGAACACTGAGCTCACATACTCGCGACACATCAAACTTGAAGGAGGTATTATCACCAGCCCATAAAGGGTTCTCTGGTGTGCCGGACACGGCATCAACGAAGACCTGCAGCTTATCGAAATCGAGCAAAGCATATGGCAAGTACTTGCTGTTATATCTTCCGTGATTGGTGGGTGCTGCGTTGATTCCAGCGTGAGTGGACACGGGTCTGTTTGGTGGTGCATAGGATCCGGCAAGAGATCCCGTAGCGTAGGATGAGCTGGGTCTCACCGACCCCGACCCTCCCGAGCCATAATAGTTGTTGAATACTGACTGATATTGTTGTGGCAGAGAAAAGCCTCTTCCCTCGTGGAGTGTGACAATCAAGATCCCTGGTTTAGTGTTTTGTACCGGTGGAGAGGTCAAAGCCTCGGACGCCGCTGACTCTCGTAAGTGTCTACTTCCAAATCGAATGGTGATCGAGACTTACCAATTCCATTTGTCGAGGTGGTGCTCGAATTGCTATGAGTGGTGGAGAGTTCAGGTGATTCATGCGCAGGTGAAGCGTCTTCCGCCTTTACGGTCGATGTGGATGTTGATCGACTGAATCCACTGGTCAAAGGAGCAAGATGAGTCTCTTTCAGTTCTGATGATCTGTCAATCTTGGTTCAAATGGTCTCCCTGAAGTCCTGGGATTTTCCAAGCAACGTACTCTTGGTCAATTTCCACGACATCTTAGGTGGTATATCTCCGTTTCAATCCGATATCTAACGAGATGGTGTAGTGACCAGTCGAACTCGAGACGGGGGGAAGAAAAGGTCCAGAGGTGATCTGGAGGAATTGGTCGGGTGTCGCTGTCCCCAATCCCAGGCTGGTGGTGAGGCACGAGATTCTAGGAGAGCGCAGGCGACAAACGATAAAGGAGGGGGGAGGGGCAGAAAGTCACGACGGTAGATGAGATCTAAGGAGCGTTTGAAGGGGGAGGGAGTAGATGAAGTGAAGAATTGATGTGGATGACAGAGGAGCAGAAGCAAGAGCAAGACGCAGAAGAGGGATTGTGCTTGTTTGTTAGATGCAGCTGGTTACACACAGCCAGGTCGGTCTGCGGCGGTGTCTGCGGTCGCAGCGCACGGGCTGGAAGCGTGGCGAGGCACAGAGACTGCAAGTTCAATGCAACCAAAAGTGGGTGGCAGGGCCTGGATCGGAGCATGGCTCGACCGGGTCGACCCAATGCGGCTAGACCGGCCTTCACTGCCAAGTATCAAGGTGGCGCTTTTCCCTCCCAAGGACCAGACGTCAACCCTTGCCTGCACCATCCATATCAATTCCATCAAAGCCAGAAAAGCGCTCCCGGCCGGTCAGATCAAACTCCAGACCTGTTTGCTATACCATCGAGGAGTCAGAGGACGATTCCTGGCCACCCGCGCCACCTTCTGCGCCTCTTCGACGACCAGACCTACCAGCTGACTCTGACTCTGACGACGCGACAATTCCGCATGAGTACGCGCAATATCTCTCCTCAGACTCGGATATAGAAGAAGATGCACGCATTGCACAAAGCATGGGTGTCATAAGGAAGAACGCAGCCTCGCGTGGTGGAGACGGAGGCACGAAATACCACTGCGACGTCTGTTCCATCGACATCACCTCCACGGTCCGAATCTCCTGCGCCAATCCCGCCTGTCGCGAGTATGATCTCTGTGTGCCATGTTTTGCTCGCGGAGAACGCACCAAAAACCACGATCCCCGCACTCACGAGTACCATGTTGTTGAACAAAACTCTATCCCCATCTATACCGAAGACTGGGGCGCAGACGAAGAACTCCTTCTGCTCGAAGGCTCCGAGAGATATGGCCTAGGATCATGGGCGGATGTGGCAGAGCATATTGGCGGCTACCGAGAAAAGGATGAAGTCCGCGACCACTACGTCAATACCTACATCAACAGCTCACTATTTCCCTTGCCGGAGTTAGCAGACCCGGCAGATACCCGGCTGTTCGAACAAGTACCGAAGGAGGAATTCCAGGCCCGCAAGAAACGACGCATCGAAGAGCGCAAAGAAGCAGCCAAATCGGCTCCACCAGCGACACCCAAGCAGAAACCCACTGCCTCGGTGCCGGCATGTCACGAAGTCCAAGGTTTCATGCCGGGTCGCCTTGAATTTGAAACCGAATTTGCGAATGACGCGGAAGAAGCCGTTCAACACATGTCCTTTGAACCGGGGGATGGCCTGGATCCGGTCACCGGTTTGATGGATGAAGAAACCACGTTAAAGATGACGGTCTTTGACATCTACAATACCAGACTCAAGGCTCGGACGGATCGGAAACGAATCATTTTCGAACACAATCTTCTGGACTACAAGAAGAACCAACTCAACGATAAGAAACGGACAAAGGAAGAAAAGGATCTGTTGCACAAGGCCAAACCCTTTGCGCGAATGATGAATCACGAAGATTTTGAGGCATTCAATCGAGACCTCCTTCTTGAACATAATCTACGAATCGCCATAGCACAACTTCAAGAATGGAAGCAGATGGGCATCAGTGATCTCAAAGGGGGCGAAAAGTACGAGGCTGACAAGCAAGCCCGTGCGCAGCGGAATCAGCCTCAAGGGCAATTCGACCGCATGCCACAAATACCCAAGAAAGGTAGCCAGATGCAACAAACCGAATTACCGACGGAGGCATCCAAACTGACCACCCCGGAGTTACCACTTCGATTCCAACGAAAACCAAAGACCGTGCCCCAGTTCACGGATAGCCAACCGGTAGTGGAAAATGACTTTGACAAACTTTTTGCCGAGACCAACGGTCCAGAGAGCAATTCGGGCCCGAAACCGAAAGTGCGGTATGTTGTCCAACCACTGAATGGCACAACGCCGTGGAAATTGGAGGAAGACAAGTCCCTGGCGCCGGACTTGCAACTTCTCAGTGAAGAGGAAATCCAATTATGTAACTCCCTGCACATCCGACCGAAACCGTACCTAGCTCTCAAAGAAGGGCTTCTGAAGGAAGCCATGAAGCAAGGTGGTCACATGAAGAAAAAGGAAGCTCGAGGAGTTTGCCGGGTAAGCAACTTCGAGGAATTGGTGGTGAAGATCTTACTGACCTTTGCACAGATTGATGTCAATAAAGCTAACCGCATATTCGACTTCATGATCCATAGTGGATGGATTGCCAAAGCGTGAAAACATAGTGTCTTGTTTCTATTCGCAAGCTGGTTGGGCCGGGCGTAGCAGCAACTTTCTGCGACTGCGTGCTTCGGAGTCCAAGTCCGCATGGCCAGCATTACCGGGCCAAGGAAGAAAAAGGCTCTCGTTTGCGAGAGGCTAGACACAGTCCGGGAATGGAAGGTGAAATCCTGTCTACCTAAGTCGTGGTATAGATGAGGGTGAGCCGCGAGCCTGACACGTGACCATAATGCCAAGGCTGTGTGAATGACGTCATCCGCGTTCACTGAACTTGAAACCCGCTTGACCAGACTCAAGATACACAGTTTGAAGTTTCCGGTGTAAATACAACAATGTTCAATGCTCGATTTCCCTTCAAAACAAATGTGAGGATATCTCCAACCTCTTTACCGTGGCCCGGTCCCTCTGTGGATCAGAGCTAGACTGAGCGCAAGGAAGGGATAGTTGCGGCTGTTGTTGTGGCTTCAAGATATCAACCTCCAAATCATTGATATTCTGTCGTTCGATCCAGCCTCTGCCTCCTCAAATTCGTTTTGATCAAGATGGCAAGGATGCTCAGTATTGGACGATCGAGAGACCATTTCAGCCACAAGATCATACATCTGGTCCGAGCATACCCTTTTGAAGCCACAAAACTGCCCATGCCGTCATCCCAGCACTCCCTCAATGTGTTCTGATACGCTCAAACAAGACATGTCAAATTACCGGGGTCCATGCCATTCCCATGACAGGAGGACCAAGCGTCATGTTGTCTGTGTTGGGGAAACGAGGCTGACGATCGCAGCTAGCCTCGTACATCACAAAGCGTCGACTGCACACTCGCTTATATTCTGATGCTTGCATCTCTCCGGAGAATACGAGCTCGCCAGATCAACTTCCAACTTCTCTCAGACACAGATATCTCTTTTTTGCTCCTGGTCTCTTTTCAACCGACCAAAATGCCTCTCTTCGGCCACAAGAACAACGTTCCTGTAGAGCCCACCCCTGTTGCCCATACTCACACTGCTCCTCGACACTCATCATCTTCATCTGACGGGAGTCCTCACAGAGGTTTCTTCAGCCGTCGCCGCTCTTCATCTCCCGACCTCCACGACTCGCACCATACAACCAACAAACTTTCTCACAATTCAACTCGAAGATCTGGCGGACTGTTCAACCGACACCCGGAAGACCCTTCCATTGTGGGAGCTCGCGAACGAGTCTTATCCGCTGAAAATGCTGAGCGAGAAGCCGACCGTGCTCTCGTCCAAGCCAGAGCGGCGGTGAGGGAGGCTAAGGAACATGTCAAACGACTTGAGAGAGAAGCTACTGAAGAGCAGGCCTTCCCAAGAACTATACTCATATGATCTCTTTGCACTATTATTGACATGTCACAGGGCCCGTCTTGCCAAGATCAAGCAGCATCACGCCAAAGATATCTCCAAGCGAGCGAAGCCACTAGGACGTAAGTACAACCCATGGTTGTCAACAAGTATAAGAGCTGACGAAGACATCCCGTAGGACATGACCATTATTAGAAGAAATGAAACTGAGATCCTCAGTTGTGACGGAGCTTTTTGGAATGTGCCTTCTTTGTGGGCGGCTGATCAAGCGTGTATCACTATCTTCATATTATTTTTTCCGTGCCATATGAGGATCAGCGGAGATCTCAAGAGAATGAAGGAAAAAGACTTGTAAAATAAGGTATATGGTGGACTTTGTAAGACTTTCTGTATCTGCTGATGTCCGCTTAAAGGTCATTCACGTCCATCTGCCAGGGTCAAGCCTGAGCCATGCAGAGCAAATATCCACGTTCAATTCTCTCGTAGCACATTCAACTGCGACGTCCTTCTCTTACGCCTCCCATATCTCAGCACGATCACATGCCGATATCTGAGCAACCGGAAGTCGAACGCGGATGCAGTCTCAATCGCAGCTTCCTCCCAAGGTCAACGCCTTAATCTCTGGTATTGTGCCAGCAGCCGTCCCCGCTCGGCCAAACACGCACACTCGGACATTCAGGCTTCAAAACAGCTTCGGAACAAATTGGTTCTATGTGGAAATCGGTTAAACAATTCGACGTGGTATTTAAAGAAAATCTTTCAAGCTAAAAGCTCCCAAGAACAAGATGTCCCAATGTCACCACTGACACCAGCATCAGCTGTACGTCATCATTCACGGTCATCTACATCCAGTTTCGTATCAGTCTCCAACGCAAGAATCTGGGTATCCGCTACCAACCCACCCTCGCGAACTCGATGCCACCGGCCGCTTGGATTGGACGAACTACTCCAACACCAACACCAACACCTCCACCTCCACCTCTAACAAAGGTTCCCGACTACTGATACGACTACACTTACGACTACGGCTCCGTTGCTCGATCGCATATTAGCAAGTGCTTGCATCGATCTCTCCGCTGCTTTCTTCACAACCTATACAAATGAGATGGGAGCTAGTCTCGCTTTTCTTTTCTAGTATTCTACCTATCCTAAATCAAGATTTCAACACAAACCTTCCCTCAAGTTGACAATTGTCGGTCCACACCCTCAAAATCCTTTAAAAAAGCCCATTTCACATTCTCCTCCCACCCTTTCGTCTTCCACTCATTCAGATACCTTGGAAAGAACTCCACGACCCCCTCCAACGTATCATCATGCGCCGAGATGAAAATTATATTCTCATCCGCATCGGCTTTTTACGTCAGCCGAATCGTCTTGATCATCTCTTGAATATCACTTCCCATGATCGGATCGAAGAACGGGTCCGTAACTGCACGGGATCGAGACGTATTTAGAGCCTCGTAAATCATTCCTGGACAAGTTGATCGAGATCGAACGTCGGACGTCGGCTTCGTTAGGAAAGGATGTGGAAGATCTCCTGGGGGGAGGATGGTTTTTTGACGGTCGAAGCTCGCCGCCGTGATGGCACAGATCGCCGCCCATGAAGACGAATGTGTCTGGATTTGTCGAAGTGCGTGCGAGTCGGAAATGTGGCCAACGGCGTGACCTGGTGTCGATAAGAGGTAGAAACTTCCGTCGCCGAATTAATCTTCTCCGAGGAAAGGACCGATCTTTGGATTTGAGTGGAAGGATAATTTTCGAAGATCACGATTGCCTTTTATCCATGTCAATGTCAGACTTCGGTGGACTAGCTTAAGCTGATAGGGAGTGAGCCTGTGATAACGACGGTGGAAAGACCTCGGTGCGGATTTTGCTTCCCCGCTAACATGTATTTCCTTACCTCCAGCAGCGACGAGAACCAATTTATATGATCAAAGTTAATTTCCTAAGCAAGCGATGCACAACTCTGAGAGGAAACGTCCCTGGTCTGGTCTGACGTTAATTCGATCGAAATGGAGAAACCCACACCTTGCTTCAGACTGAATTTTAGCACTAAGATTGCCGAAGCTTGCGAGGCCTGCCACTTCAGACCATGACATGGTGCTTAGTCGTCATCCATCTGCATGAAAGACTCACAGGATCTGAGAAGTCCCGCGAACATGTTCTGGGATAGGTTAGGACGCGACAGAAGGTGCGCCGTTTGTAGGTGTTTCGTAACTAAGAAGATTAGTAGACAAAACGAGATGATCTCCGCGCGTACTGTCATCCCATCCATCAATCAACGAATGTGTTGTATGCCGACAGGTTGCAGTGTAGGTGGCTGAGTTTTGAAACTGGTGAGGGGGAGAGAGAGAGTCCTTCGGCGAGGAACAACTGGGTGGAAGAAGGGCCACGTCGAAGCTCTTGCTGATGTCCCATTCATTGGGATCATCCCAGTCCCAATAGCTGTATCATGTCGCTCATGACCAGTTCATGATGGTCAACGATGTATCTGAACTTTTCAAGCGGGGGTAGTAGAGAATAAGTAATTCAGCGTCAAAGCACCTTGAACGTCTGCCTCGAAGGAAATCCGTATATACTTTGATAGGAGAAGCCCTCAGTGCATCCGGTCAACGCGAACAAGTTGGGGTCTGGTTTATCAAATGACCTCGTCTCCTCTGACATGCATAACCGTTCGACAAAGTACATGCACCCGAATACCTCTTGCGGACGGTGTGGAGACGGATCTTTGATCCGCCAGTTGACGGTGATGGCGATGGCGATGAGATATGTATGTTCTTAACCATTAATACACTGCTGAGGGAACGTTTAACAAGGTCCATTCGCTCCCGCTCTTTTCGTCAACATGTAGCAGACACGGTGTGATAGACCTATGATCCATCTGAGAGACAACGTACCAGTTCCAACGGCGTATTCTTTTCGCAGCCAAGTGAGCGTTCCTCATGTGTAGGCTGACTTGCCTCTCATTATTTCAGTTTGCTGGTGGTTGACCGTTACGAAATATATAGGGAGCGCGCTACGGCAAGATTTATTCCAGTACATCGGGATCATGGTGCCAGGCACACGCCAGACAATTTTCTCATGACAATTTCGGTTCAACGATGTCAAGTACAATAATCCTCCTCTATTTTCTCCTGAGACTCAGAAACTGAGAAAGTTTCTAAACATGAAGTGTCGAATTTGCAAGAAACTGAAATGAAATGGGCTGAATTGATTCGATTCAAACCAATCCACGTTCCCATTTCATTATACTACCTCCAATCCATATCCATGACCATGAAAATTAAATCATAGGAATCAACCTCCCATTTCGCCTTTCCGTTACGATTCATTTCATTCAGTCAAGAAGAAGATATCGTATATCCCGTCAATATGGTTAGCGTGACCCTTATCCATATTTCTGCTCCATGTATCGTCCATCCATGTCCTTCCAGTCCATCTATTCTGCCTAGGAATTTGGACTATCAGCACTCTGATCGGCTTATTCATTCAGTTGTAAGGCTTCAAGCTACCATGTACGGTAAATCTTGATTTGCCGTTTATTCCGTCGCCTCGATAGCTTCAGCCGACTCGGGTGCTTTGTCAACGGTGTCCGGAGCAGTCACTTCGGGCTTTGGAGGCTCTTCCACTGGAGCTGGTTTTGGTTCTTCCATCGCTGGCGTCTCCGGTTCCTTGATTTCATCAGTCTCTGGCTTGTCAACCTCAGGCTCGGCTGGCTTCTCTTCGGATGCTTCGTCAGGCTTTTCAGTCAGAGCTGGAGCCTCCTCTTTTTTATCTTCAGGGGCCTCCTCGGACCTTTCATCATGAACACCATTGGTGGTCGGTGATGCTTTTTCCTCCTTGTCCCCACTGGGCTCTGCATCAGCCGGTTCAGCGCCAAGTATCTTATTCCACTGGGACAAAAGTTCAACCGAACGCTTTCGGAATTGGAATTCTTCATCCCGAGGGATGGTGTTGAGTTTGATCAGAGCTTTCAAGACCTTGTTGATCTTGGTGTTGCGAATGATGCTAACTTCCAAATCGGCATAGCCTTCAAGCTTCTTGATAAACGTTGACATTTGTGGCATTTCTTCTTCTTGAGGCGCTTGCTCTCGAGACAGAAATCCCTTCTGGAGTCGGTGTCGGAGGAAGAGAACTGAATGATTAGCAAGTTTTCACCAGTGCTCTATAGCGTGCGCCTACCTTCTTTCTCACGGGCTTTGCGTGCCTCAGCAGGGTCCAGATGTTTCTCCTCCTGCTCTGGTTCGCCCGCATCGACCATCTCTTCGTCACTTGTAGCAGCCTTGGACTTTCTCTTCTCCGCTTTAGCCTTGGTGGCCTTCTCCTTGGGTTTCTTCTCGTCAGTCTTGGGGGTTTTGTTGGTGGTCAACTTGATCTTGGTGGTTTTGGGAGTCTTTGCAGGCTATGATCAGAATCAGATCTTGTTACTGATAAGACGAGGAGAATGCTTACCTTCTCCGACTCTTCGTCGTCACTGTCAATCTCCTTCTTGCGTTTCTTCGATGACTTCTTAGGCTCTGCCACCGCATCGGCATCGTCCATGTCAACATCTTCAGTATCCGCCTTGGCTTCACTCTTCCGCTTCTTCCTTTCAGCCTTGGCAGCCTTCTCAGCGGCCCGGGCCTCTTTGGCATCAATTTCAGCCTGCATGGCGGCAGCATGGTCATCGAGCATGTTCTTGAAGAATTGGAGATCGTTTCCCTCGGCTGCGACTTGATAGGCCGCAAGCAATGATTTTGATTTGCCTTTCTCCGGCACGTCTTTGCACTCTTCAGGGTTTAATGGTGTGAGGTCGGTGTTGTGAATCCAAGCACTAGAATTGTCAGCGATGCGTGGTGATGGCGTGGTCGAGATTGAAACTTACAATTCATTGGTGTACAGGAACATGACGGGAAATGTTCGATCAGCCTCCTTCTTACCTCCGTCTGCATATGCCTCATTGTAAGTCCCGTCCGCTTTCTTGGTGGTGACGGGTCTGGTGTTGAGGAGAATCTCAGGAAGCATCTCCTCGTCGCAAATGATGGATGGCCATGGAGGATAGCTCTTTAGCCGAGCAAAGTAGTATTCGCCAGGTTTGGCATCAAGGTGGGTGACCTTGGTCATGGACTTCTTCTTGTTGAGCTTCTTGCCTTTGTGATCGGCGACGCCAGATGAAGATTTCCTCTTTGACGAAGATGATTTCTTTTCAGCAGGAGTTCCATTGGTCTCTAGTTGAGCAGGCTCAGCCTCATCCTCTTCCTTCGTTTCTGTGTCACCGGTAGCTGGAGCTGTAGCCTCCGGTTCGGCGAGAGGCTCTTGGGGTTCCGTTGGAGGCCGTGGGCCAGAATCGACGGCGCCATTGGCAGCGGTAGTATCTGCGAGATGGGTTACTCAGGGTTAGATCACTGATGCTTGATGCATACCTGTGACCTCGGCTGGATTTGTCTCAGTTGGTTGTTCGGTGGGCAGAGCACCAGACATCTCAGCAACAACACCAGAGGCAGGTTCTGCCGAGGTAGGGGGGGCTTTATCTTCAGGTTCCGGTGCCTTGACAGGGACCTCGGTTTGAGGCGCGGGGGGGTCTGCGTCCATGTTGGGAACAGATCGGTAGGTTTGAAGGACGCGTTGGTGAAGTCGCGCGAGTGGAGAGGGTGAAAGGGTCTGATGAAGCAATAGATTAGAAAGAGGGGGCTCGTCGCGTGGTCAACAAGGATAAAATCGGTGAATTGGAGGGAGTGAGATGGTCAGGTCGGTCGTGCGCAGCTGTGAAGGACACGACACGGCAGCAAGGGTAGTGGGTGTATGTACAGGATCGGGCAGTTGGACACGGCAGTAGAGAAACAGTAGATTTGGAAGGAGAGAGAGACTGTAGATGCAGTGATGGTGATGCCTGAAGGGATGCGATAGAGAGTTGGGATGTTGTGTGCTGAAGAGAGGTTGAGGCAGACTCAAACTGCGATGACTTCCAACGCAACTGTGAATGAATTGGATGATGGCGATGGAGAGAACTGAAAAAGGCTCCCAAGCACCTCCGGCCAAGCGGGCCAATCAGCCCTCACGGATTCGCTCGCACGCCAAGCAGCCAGAGCAACCAGAGCAACTCGATCAGTTCAACGCAACAGCCCACTCGCAGGGCGATTGTAGGGCCTTTTCTTTCAGTTGGCTTTTTTCCCTCTTCTCTTTCTCTTTCTGCCTCGACTAGATGAAACAAATTTAGGTACTCACGGAGATTGATCAGGGGAACAACACCCTCAGATGTGGTGTTGGAGTGCAAAGCCGTGTGAGAGAAAGAGGCGGGGATAACTTCGGTGTCCGCGTCAGACAAATTTGTGGAGGCTGGTGAGGAGACTAAGTACGATGCCACACAAAAACCCGTCCTTTTGGGTTCTTTTGATGGCAACGATGTGAGAATTCTGATCGTTAGGGCCACAGTATGTGCGTCTAGTCTGCGGTCTGTGCAAGGAGATGGCCGGATCAGAGAATCGACGAAAGATTGACTGGTAATGGTGGCAAGCACCCATCCACTGATTGATTGACTGGATCGCATATCAGTCACATCACATCGCCTGGTGGCTCATCGCCCTATCACAGAAATGGCAAGTCTGCCTTGAGCGGCTCCAAAAGAGGTCCGATGCCTCACTTGAGCGTCATTTAACGAGGCCTCCGATGCCTGGAAATGCTTTCAACCGACGTCCGGGGTCTTATCCGGGCTTTTGCAAAAGAAGTCGGGCTGAATTGGTCTCATCAAGCAGCTCGACGAGTGACTGGGTCAATGACGGGCAGGCATTGGACAGCAAGTGCAATTTGCGCTATATTGTGGACACTTCACCGTAACGACCTCTTTCCCCTATGTTGCACGATCTCAACAATCCCAGATTTGAATCCTTTCCGCCTAGCCTTCTGGCTTATTGAGACTCGGCCTGCGTTCAATGAAGAGCGCCTGATTGAGATTGCAATGATGGTGCCTGATACAGGTGTGTGAACTCCTGCCTTTTGTTCATGGAGACAATCCAAGGTACAATGTGAATTCCTGAGGCAATATCGACTCGCCATGCTCCCCTGATGCTTCATCTCGTACTTGTGCTCTTAGGTAAATTCCACCCCAACCATGAGCTGGATGATGGCCTTGCTCGGGCGTGGCAGAAAGATATCGACCTCCCCAACCAGCAGCAAGATGGTGCTCAATTTGTCATACTCGAACCTTTCACAGCAAAAGATCATTCATTTCTGCTTGGATCCTATCTACCACGGTGTTAAGCACTTCGCAAGCAATGACCTGCGCTCTCCGCCACGGTTGGATCGTCCACAAGCCCAACATATTCCCTATTACTCGCCCAGCACTCCACCGTTAGAATGTGCAGCAAGTGCAACTGACCATGTTTCGGCTGTTGACCATCCTCGATACAGCAAGAAGATGGTCCCACACGACCACCGAATCACTTTATCATCCCCCCACAGCAAGGAGAATCCTCTGACTATCCCATCAGCCAGATATGGACATACAGCTCCGCCCCCAGTTTCCATTGGGCCACAGACCACGCCACCACTCCACCGTCGATATCGTGCTGTGCTATAACAATTCATACTTCTGGCCACTTTTCAGTACGAAAGACTTCTCCTACTCTATTACTATACCTGTCAAGACACCTCCCCTCGCTGACGAATCTTGGATGATACATCGAATGCCTGGTACAATGACTCATTATCATTACCAACAAATTTCACTCCCTCACTTTCCTCGGCAGCTTGCTCTGGCTTTCGATGTATGACTCCAACTCCGACCAATATCTAGCCAATTCTGTGAATGACACTACCACTGCCAAAGCCGCATCCCCAACCACCAAGAGTTTTCTTACCACACTAATAGGAATAGGTCCACCAATCACAGCTAGACCAGCCTCAAGCAGCACACAGGTGAGCGAGGACGGGCCCAGTACTTCGTCCACATACTCACTGCCAACATTGTTCGCAACTTCGACATTATTTCCACCATTCCCTCCAACATAACTAAACCCGGAAGCATCTCCGCAGCATATCCTCCTATATCATCCTCATCCGGGCAGGAAACGTCCGCGGCGTATCCGTTGGTCTAAGTCTGTTCGCTGGCGGTGTGATGTGCAGCATCCCGCGCTCCTGTTGAAAGTCTGGAGAGAAAAATAGAAGCATCGTGCCATGGCTGCCGACAGTGACAACATATTTGATGAAGTTGAGAATAAGTCATCTGCTGGAAAAAAAAGGGAACTCATAAATCGTACAAGATACCCGTTCAAAGAGAAGGAGATGGAGATTAAGACTTCGTCCACAAGACTTCGAACAACCTTGGACGATATGAACCACGACCACGACGGCGACTTCATTGCTGAACCGCCTGGCCGTATATCAATGGCAGGCGGTAGAGTAGGATATGATTAATTCATTATGGTGAATAATGTTTCTTCTATATTTCTACGCCCTTGATCAACCACTGTGTTATGTTTGCGTGCCCATCATGATCTCTCAACTGTCTATCTAAGCTCTGTACGGGACAGCATTCTTCATAACTCGCTAAATATTCCAACACTCTCGACATTCGTCATTCAACAAATCAACAAAGGCTTGGCTTGGACTTTCGGGGCTAAGACTCGGATTTCGTGAGCGCAGCGCAAAGCCGATACCGATACCTAACCCCCAGGAGCTGGAGCGACACTTGGGTGGTCTTGCTGTCTCTTTGTTGCAGGATCTCCACCTTGTTCGAGAATGACGCCGATTCCGCGTTATTATTAGATGCATATTCGTATTGAACTGGGGTTCAAAAGCCAGGTTATGCGTATCCGAACCAATCAACATGTCTGTTTCATTAGGACCACCATGGTTATCCATATCGCAGTCAGTTATTGGCCACACTCTGTCTCTCGGGATCCCACCCTTCGACTTTGCTCTTGACACCCAGTTCCATAAGCCCCTCTGCGTTGAGTGACGTCTGCGCAGGCTTATGAATTCTGAGAACCCACAAGAACCAATCTTCCAGAGGCAAGAGATTCAACAAAATAGGATTAATCTTCCAGCCGACGGCACAGACGATCGCGCCGGCCACCGCGTCGAGGATGAAGTGGTTCGCCGTGGACACAATGGCGACGAGGATTGCGAATGGGTAGAGAAGTCCGATGGTTAGGCACGCAAGGCGACGCGGAGAAGGGAGACGGATTTGCGGTGCTAGTTCCGGGTGTGAGTTGTTGAAAATCGGTAGGTGGATGGATTTCGAACGGCGATGTGCTGGTGCCAGGGGGATGGTCATAATGGTGAGTCCTATCATGAGGGAATAACCGAAATGGAGAGAGGGCATTGCAGCTGCATTTGATATCAGTCAATCTGGCGCTGGTCTTGCGAGGCATTGGCACGTGTGAAAAGGAGCTTACCATACTGATTGCAGAACTTGTTTTGCGTCCAGACACTGCTAGCACCTTCTTGTCCATGCACGGTATCGACGAATCCATAGCTCTTTGCGGACTCTGCTTGAGGCCCGTCGTAATCTGGGTCGCTGAGCAGACGGGGTGGCATGCAGGGCCAGACGGTGAACACTACGAAGGCAAGCAGGTTACAGACTGCCATGGTCCTTCTACGTGCTTCGTATAGCCATGGTCCAGATGGTGAGCCAGATCCTTCTTGTCCTCCAGCTTGCAGACGACCACTCCGGCCTTGCGCAGGTCGGTTGCTCGTAATCGTGTAGTAGTACAGCCATACCAGGAAAGCGATTGTGCCTGGGATGTGGATGAAGGAGTATAGCCAGTTGATATATGTCATGAGATGAGGATAGGACATGAAGAACTTCTGAATGGAGACCTCCCAGAAGATGTTCAAGCGTTTCTCCAACTCAATCAATTGCAGCGCATGCCTCCTGGCGACGTGAACTGTGCCTTCAACTAGGGTGACCGCTGTGAATGCTCGACCGAATTGATAGACCTGCACGTGTCAGGCTCAAGAAGCGCAACTCTGGGCATGTCCTCGCTTACCCAGTATATTAACGCCCAGTACCATGCCTCAACCAGGAAGGGAAATTTGTGGAGCAACCTGCTCAGAAGCCGATTCCGAAAGACAGCAGTGTTGGGAGTCTCTATCACTTTCCGGTATCCCATCAGTCGAATCTCTCGTTCCCGCCATTTTTTTTCTTGAGAAGGCAGCAGAGATGGCGACAAGGATCGCTTGGATTGAGTGAGTTGGGCCTCTTCGATGTCAAGGTCTTCGTCCGTAAGGACAACCCGAGCAGGAGGTAATTGTTCGTCCCATCGAGAACTTCGGGGGGGAAAGGTATAGTCGGTCGCACGGTTGATCCATGCGCCGCCAAATAGGAGTGCTATGACCACCAATGGTTCAAGATATGCGCCTGCACCCATTGCGACCCCTCTATGTATTGTTCCCTCTCTTGACTTTACCTCTAGGGACGGAAAACGCTCCGCCTACTAACGATGCGGTGCTAGGATATTAGTAGTAATAATGTATTAGAGAGACAAAATGACCGACAACACAGGACAAGGAAATATCAAGGTACTGCGACAGGAAAACACACTTGCGAACCGATATCGCACCCGGCCCGCAGATCTGCCCTTCTTTTACATGATCACGGCAACGTGTCTGAGTAAGGCCGGGCCCATCAATGTCTGGCTGGAAGACTTAGCGGACAGCATCTTTTGGCTTGCTGGTCGGTCAGCAGGCATTTTCAACGGGGAGGACGAGCGAATGGAACGAAGCCATTGACGTGGGGGAGCGGTATAGGTTTGCCCACATATGGTAATCAGGCACGCATCTTGCTTTCGGGTTCGGAGACAAGACAAGACCGATTTGTCAACTTGTCGTGTGAGCCTGATCAATGATGGCTGAGAGAATATGTTGACTTTCCGGATTGGCGGAGTTGGCGAGTGGCAGTCGAGAAGAAGCGAGGCCACAAAGGAGGAAAATGCACATGCAAACAACCCCACCTCCCTCACGCTCATTATTTTCTGCATTATCCGCATCCCCTTCGCCTCTTCTATCGCAAGCCTTTCTCATTCTACCACAAATTCATCGACACTCATCAGTCACTTGTGGCTTATACGGCACAACAATGCCAGCGTTCAGTCCCTCTGCTACTGTCGCGTGATCGTGTCGTCCTAACCGAGCCGAATTGAGCCGCGAAACGCCTATCATGCCGCTAAATCCATTCAAGCTTTTCTGACGTATTCCGCTCACATCCGGCCTTGAATAACGGCAGCCGGAAGCACGGGCAACCCGATACCCTGCTTCTGGTTTTACCCTCCTTCGGGCTTTGGGAATCTTTTGTTTCTTCGTGTTCGGGACGGGGAGATTTTTTGATAATTTCCATAACAAAATTTGATGCTGCTTGTCGTTGAGATCTTTTCTGTTTCTTTGGTGTCTCGCTGTTGTTCCGGTTTTCCGATCAAAGCTACCAATTGATTCAGAGACCGGGACAGGATGCTTTGCTGATCGGAGTTTCCCCCGGCTCTGACACTGAGGGTGCTGTGACTCGGGGGATGACTGTAAGGCGATAACGTACCTTCATCCAATTTTCCGTCCGACATTCCCAACTCCTCTTCCTACCACGCTGACCAAGAGCTGTCCTTCACCTTTCTCACTGTCGGCATCTCTAATGCCCCAGCCTGCAGTTCCAAAGACCTGGAGATCTCTCGCCAATTGGATCATATGCTCGTTTGCCAATACATCTTGTCCAATTTGTACTCTTCCGACATCTTCAGATCCCATAGCCATTAACGTAATGATGGTCGAGGCAGCCTCGAGACTCACGCAACCGCCTCTCTCAATGCTCTCTAGAAGTTGAAAGGCGCACATTCTGCCGATGTCTTCAGGTGGTGTCCCTCCTTCAGGTGGACTGGCCCAATCCGCAGAATACAGACACCCAGTTGAACTCTCTGCTACCAAAGACAAGCCAAATCCTAAACCCACTTTCTTCTTTGCTGTTGGATTGTTTTTCTCTGGCGCAGGTACCAAGCTGGCACTGCTCACATCGGAGAAAATGTAGATATCGGCCACAAACTGATTCAGCACTCCACGAGCTGCTTCTATCATTCTTGCATTGTTGCTTCCACTCACACCCGTAGAATATGACACGCCTCTGATCTTTTTCACACGCCCGGGGTTGAGCAGATGTAGTGTCTTTGGTAGACGAATTTGATGACCAAACAGAAGTTGGACTTCTCCTGCACCGCCCATTCCGCCCGATCCAGTATTAGACCTCTTGAGAAGCCTTAGTTCAATATCTCTTTCGATTCCAAACCTCGCATAGAGTGGAAGAATCGCAGTCCGAACACTGTCCACGCTCATATCGCCCCATCTCTCCGTGGAGCTGGTGATTACGCCAGGTCCGGTGAACAAGATATTGAACTTGGCCTTGCTAAACGGTGCAAGGAGGCATATCGGCAGTAGAAAGTAACTTAGCCCCCGTGTATTGTTGGCCGGAATGTCGTGCCGTAACACGCCTGAACTCGAGGCGCCACTTCCTGGTGCAGAACCCGTGATTAAACCGGGTTTGTAGAGGAGGATGGTACCCGTGTATGAAATTTCGATGTGGGACCCATTGGTTACGGATTCTAGGAGACGGAGGAAGGAGATCTCGTACGGTGCGAGACCTGGGTTTGTAGGGGAGTTGGGTCGGATTTGGTCGATGTGAATGGCACGGCCGAGAAGGGTGGAGAGAACAAGTCTGGAGGTGAGGGACTTGTGGGACGTGAGGCGGAGGGGAGGTTGAGACGTCGGCATCAGGCCAGAGGTGATATTACAATGCAGTCAATGCTCCCGTGTGTGCATCGTGGGTCATTCTATACAGATTTGCATGCTGAACCTTTTCCTCGTCGTCCGCACAAAATTTTCTCCGCACCGCGTCTGCCTCCGCTCAGAGGGCACATCACCAAAAAAGCACATCTTAACTCGGACATATCAACTCGGCCGGTTCCTTGAGAGTAAAATTGACGACAACCGATCATCATCCTTGTAGACTCATATTCCATCTCACCCGCGGGCCGTGGTTCATTTGTCAATTGCCATCGCTGTCGCAGTTTTTGATATCTAATAGGGATACGTCTGCGGCGCTCAAAAAGACTGTTTTGAATTCCTGGTCACTCCGGACGCAATTCGATTTCTCGGAAACGCTTCACCTCGGGCCCTCAAGTTAAGATGACTGGTGCATTAAATTTGCCGAAATGGTATACAGACCGCATTCATTAATGTTACAGAACGTCAACTGACGCTTGGGCAGGCTAAAAGACAACTCCCACCTCCTTCAGCCGCCCATCAACAACTATTGTGTGTACCACCCCTCATCTCCTTCCACTGGCGGCCTCACCGTCATGGTGGTCGGCGGCCCCAACGCTCGAACAGACTACCATATCAACACAACCCCAGAATTCTTCTACCAACATAAAGGTTCCATGCTACTCAAGACCATGGATACCTCGACCAATCCCCATATGCCGGTCGACATTCCCATCCATGAAAATTCACTTTTCTTATTGCCTGCGAACACTCCTCATAACCCGGTACGATTTGCAGACACAGTCGGCATTGTGCTAGAACAACCGCGACCGGAAGATTCCGTTGACACTCTGAGATGGTATTGCAAGAATTGCGGACATATCGTCCATGAGGCGAGTTTCCACTTGACAGATCTAGGGACGCAAATCAAGGAAGGTGTTTTGGCATTTGAGAATGATCCTCAAGTCAGGACGTGTAAAAACTGCGGGACAATGGCAACCTCCAAACCCGCCGAGGGTGAGATACAGCAACCACCAAGGTTCCCACCGGAATGACAGGTGTGCTAGGAAATGTATCATCCCGTTGGGGCCATTTAAGTGCGTTCAGACCGCTCAGCTTCTGCCATGGCGCGTGCTTGTATGCCACTCCTTTCTTCTGACAGATGTTTCAGAACATCTCCTGCAACCTTCAGGGCGGTAGGAGGCAATCCAGCAAGTTTGGCCACTTTCAATGCATGAGATTGTCTGTTGATTCCCTTCTTCAGTCGATGGACGAAGGCAAAAGAGCCGCTATTGTCCTCCAACACATCGGTGCAGTAACATGCCAATTTTGGCCAATCCCGGGTCATATCCGCCAATACGTGGAAATGAGTTGCAAACAAAGTTCGACACTTGTTGACGTGGTAGAGATGATGAAGACTGGCATATCCCACCGCTGTCCCATCTTCAGGAGTGGTGCCTCGCCCAACCTCGTCCATGATCACAAATGACCGTGAAGTTGCATGATTCAAAATCGCTGCTGTCTCTAGCATTTCCACCATGAACGTGGACTGGTCCCGAAATAAATCATCTGCAGCTCCAATTCGACTGAAGATTTGATCCACAAGTCCTATCTCAGCATGTACAGCGGGGACATACGAGCCAGACTGGGCAAGGATCGTGAGAAGTGCATTTTGTCTGAGAAACGTACTCTTTCCACCCATATTAGGTCCAGTCACAAGCCAGATTCGTTCATTGTGGTCGAGGACAAGGTTGTTACTGACGAAAGATCTGCCTTGCTCTTCCAATCCAAGTTTCACAGTTGGATGTCGTCCACCTATGATTTTGTGCTCGGTTCCAGGGTTGAGAATAGGACGAACCCATGACTGTTCCTTTGCCAATGTCGCGAATGCGCTTGCCACGTCCAATTCATCCATGACGGCTGCATTTCGTCGTAACTTGACAAGGTTTTGAATGACTGATTCTCTCAGAGACGAAAAGATCCGTTTTTCTTCGTCTCTGATATTCAGCATCACTTGGTCAATTCGGCGACCAAGTCGTGTCCAATCATTCAGATAGAAAGATCGAGTGCTTTTCGAAGAAGACACCATCCTTGCCTGCAGTGATTCCAACTTTTCCCTATCGAAGCCGGTAGCGCTTCGAATATGACCAATATAACCAAGACCAGGTGTGGATTTGAGTATTAAAGTCGGGGCTTTCAATTCGTCTCTCAACCTCTCTGCCAAAGCGACTTTCTCCACTTCGAGAGAATGAAGATCTTCATGCAGCCGCTGCAATACATCACTTGCGTCATGACGCATAATCCAGGGCTCCTCCAGCTCAATTTCATCTTTCTTCTGCTCCTCAGATTTGCCATGGATGCGAATGGCTTTCGGAAGGGACTCAATCTCCTCTGGAGCACTCTCCAGGACGGTATCGTGCGCCAGAGCTGCCACACTTGCCGCTTCATCTTCCTCAAGGCGATGTTTTTGCAGGAGGCCCTCTTCATCAATAGCAGAGACAATGCGGGCCTGAAGCTCGCCGGGACCATCCAAGTCGAGCCGCTGTAAGAGCTTCTGCAAAGGGAGATTATCCAACACTTCTGTTTCGACGCTTGCATCTGCGAACTTGTTTGGTCTGACAGACGCCTGCAAAAGATCCTGAGTAGCCACAGTCTCGGAAATGGCGCCCGCTAGGGATAACATATCATCAGCATCTCCCTTATTGAGGGCGAATTTCTGGACTATGCGTTGAACGTCATGTGTTCGTCGTAGCCGAAATATTAGTGAGTCCGTTAATTCATCCGATTCCACAAATGTCGAGACGAGATCGAGGCGGTCATTAATTTCTGCCAGAGAAGCCGAGGGCGATGTGAGGCGATCTCGTAGAAGACGAGCACCGCTTTTTGTGACTGTTCTTCTCACGGCATGGAACAGGCTGCCTTTCCCAAGCCCGTCCCGAGTAGTTTCAAGGACCTCAAGTCCTCGCAAACTGTTCCGATCAATCCTCAGGGTCGCGTGAAGCTCTCTTTGACGCGGCGGTTGTAATCGAAGCTGTAGGCCCTGCAGACGATGTTGTACATAGTCCAGAAGTCGATGTCCTGCATACTTTTCCGCCGTTTTGAAAATGTCATCGGCATTCTCAGCCACAGGAGATTCTAGCATGACATTCCAGCCCGACATTGATGTAAACTCCTTTCCTACTTGATGCAATGTCAGCAGCCGGTGGTCGTGTCCCACTGTTTGTTGAACCTCGTCCCTAATTTCTTCGGAGACATTCGAGGGAAGGATGATTTCACGAGGGGCGATCCGAGTCAAAGCGGACGACAGTGAACTTCGGTCTGCAGTCTGGGTGAAGAAATCACCGGTGGACAGATCCAACCATGACAGTCCAATCGTTTGCTCCGAGGCAGTTTTCGCAACATTATCCTCTGAGCAGAGACCCTCGCCAACGGACAAGGGTTCCGGATGGACAGAGAGCAGAAAATTGTTCTCGTAAGGATCCAAAAATTTCTCATCAATCAATGTACCTGGAGTCACTACCCGCGACACACGGCGATCATGTTTCAAACCACCTGACTTGACCTTGCCAGAGACATTGATGAGGAATTCCTCACAAATAGCAACATATTTATTGTGGTCTTGGACCAACATCTTCAGAAAGCGATCCAGCTGAAAGAATGGGAAGCCAGCCATAGCCACAGGACCAAGTTTTGTTTGCTTATAGCCTACCTTGAGGCTAAGGAGGGGGCCATATTCTTCCGCTTGCTCAAAATACAACTCGTAGAAGTTTCCCACTCTTGTGATTAGGACGCAGTTCTCAAATCTCGCCATGTTATTTTTGGCGCCCTGGAGCACACTCGGATATTGGGGTTCATCATCGCCTGGTAGTTCAGGAAGTGATTCTGCTGGTATTGCCCCTTGCTGGAGCTCTTTCACCTTCTTCCTTGTCGTTGTTTTCGCTCCTCTGCACTGGCCGCCCCGAGTCGGAGTCCACGGTGCAGTATGGGATTGGATGGACGGAGAAACCAAAGAGGGGGGTCCGGAGAGAGCGCTGGGCCATATGACACTCTGTAGAAGACGCAAGTCTCGGCCATTGAACGATTTCGTGAGCAGACGCATCACACAATGTTGCAATTGAGTTAATGACGCGACCAAATTTGATCAACGCGTAAAAGTAAACGCGGAGATCTCGAGTGAAGTTTCGCCGCTTTAAGGGGGGCCACCCTGCCGCTCTCCTCTTCTGCCTCCGTTCCAATCGCAGCGAAATTGTAACAGAAAAAGTGAGAGAAGGAGCATCTCGGGAGGTGAGATTCGTGTTGTCCAGTTTGCTGTTTGATGCCCCGGTCAAAGACCAAATACATGTTCTTCTGGACAAAAGGAAGAGACTGACGCTGTGGTGCTGGGGATACTGGGCTTGAATTGACACATGTGCAAACGGTACAAACTACAATATGAACACTCCGTCAAGACGGAGTAAAACAGCACAAGGAGATGAGCTTGAGAAAGGGTGGCTTGAGAACTGGTGGATATTGAGAGAGCCAAAGGAACATCCCAGAAACTTCTAGTGGTACTTAACCTTCCATTTTGTCCCTTTCCCGGTCTGTCGTCATCTTACGGTTTCTTGATCCATGAAAGAAAGAGATTGTAATTACGAGACCTAAGTGGCATAAACTGCAGAAGAATGGAAGCACGACCGTTCGTGGGTATTCATGGGGAAGAAATGCAAGATATTACGGTATTGACCATTTGCTGCTGCTCCTCAACTTCGCATTTCCATTCAGGGGAATTTGTTTTTGTCTACTCGGACTCGCTCTTGCGAAACTTGGGCTTACTACAGATCAATCATAGCGAACTTTTTCTGCGACTGTAATATCATTATCAGTAGCATTCGTGGCGACGAGCAATGCCCGGAGTGCGTCGGGCAGCACTTCCTGCGAAAGAAAACCAACGCATCTATATAATTCAGCAACTCTCTCGACGTCTTACTCACTTGTACGTCCTACCTCTACCTCATGCTCTTTATCTAAGAAGGTACGCCTTACAAAAATGGGGAATAATCAACGGTTCGAGCCAGTCCTCAAATTCAACGTCGACATTTCTTTCAACCCTCCAAGCCATACTATTAGAAAGGTCCCTGTCGTGAAGCCGAGTCACCGTCTAGCAGCAAGTCAGATCGACTATAACTGCGAGCACGATACAGCAAATGCCTATACCTCGGAAACAGATGCGAACTACAATGCGAACGAAGACTGCGAACGTTCCAGAAGAGATGACAACCGTTCATGTCGAATTTCTCGTGCAGATCGTCAACCAAGACGCTTGATGAGGGCCGATTACACTGATCACGGACCTATCTTTGGCCACTCAGCTCAAACAATCACCAGTGGTGGTGAAAGCGTTCCACTTGGGATCACCCCTAGGTCCAGAACTAGAGACACTCACTCTTGTTCTCCGCCGAGAATTAGGGCTGACGGCGTCTGCGCCGGCGAAGAGCAAGCATGTCGAGAATATTCATCTTCAATGGACACCTAACCTACTCTAGGCCGGATACCATTCTCGCTGGCAATAGCATATTTCCCTCCCTCATTGTCCGGGCCATAAGACTAATTCACGCTCAGAAAGTCCTGGTTTCAACAAAAGTCTCGAGATGAAGCCGGTATGAAGGTGGTTGGCAAGGACAAGGCTGTAGCTCCCTTCCAAACCGAGTTCATCACTACGTCCTCCTAGGAATAGCATAGAACTCCTCCGAGTCTTGCTGTTTTTGAATCAGGTCGAAGTCGAATCTTCGTTGCTCGACGCGCCACCAGATCGCCCAGCCAGCAAGCGTGACGATGGTTAGAGGAATCGTGACGGCCCAGTAAATCCAGAATTGTGGGGAAACAGTATGTGTCTGTCCATTATCTTCATCAGAAGACGAGACTACGTTCTTGGAGGTGGCGTTCTGCCAATCAAACATATCCATGCTGAAAAGAGTCTGTTCATTGATTAGTACCATTGTGCTGATTTGATTGACAATGACAGGGACACTTACAGCGACAACTGTTGCTGGGAGAAAGACCGCTGTTATGAATGCGAGGATCTTCATAGATGTACTGTCTCGCCCACTCAATGCTGCTAGCTGCGCGCTCAATTGATTATCGTGCTGGGCCACAAAACTGTACAACTTTTGCAAGCAAAGATGAGTTGGGAAATGAACGCGCAATTGCAATGTATGTGTTGGAGACTGAACCTTACCACGTTGAGTTGCAACTCCATCCTGTTTTGAAGATTCATGACCACATCTGCTAGAGCCTTAGCTTGAACAATGTTATGCTCCAAGAGCTCTTTCAGAGATTGCTCGGTTTCGGGCTTGTCGTCGAGCTGAATACTGGAAAACCTGTTGAATGTGTCTAAAAGGAATCGTGAAGCTTCGCAATGCCACTCGGGAGATCTCTTGCTGAAAAGAATCTTGGTGAAGTATGTATTGATACGCACAGTCAGATGTCGCATTTTTGATCTTGATAGTTGGGGCAGAGCCTGATCTATCCGTTCTTCGCCATGTTGCCACGGCTCATTGTGCGGTGAAAAGTTCCTCCGACGGCCAACCCTTGTGACGCCGAGTTCTTCTTCCACCATCATGACTTCTCGGTTGAGGTCGTCGTTGCAAAAGGACTTCAGAGACATCAGATGATCTGCCATCGTTGCGCATGGGATTAGCATAGGGTGCTGCCAGTGGCCGGGTGTGTTTTCCAGAAACGAATGGATTTGCGCAGCAGGGCTACCAGGAGGCCAAGCACCCAGAGAAGGACTGCAAGGCCGAATGGCTCTTGAGGTGAGAAGGTTCTCGCCGCACAGGAGGCCGCAGGTGGAGCCGGAAGAGAGATCGTAGGTCAACGAGAGGCCATAGTTACGAATCTCATATTTTTGTGGAGCCTTTAAGATTATGTCTGAACACTCAATATGTGCATCCAAGAAGGTAGCCTCTGGTGGACATACTGATTTTATCTATTCTCAATGGGCGTGCGCTATCGAAAGAAGAGTGACTGGAGTAACAACCGGCGGGAGCGTCGAAAGAACACAATGTAGCTGGAGAGAGAGCAAACTCTGTCTCAATGGTCCTGAATGCTCCCTCTGACATGGCAAATCCTGGTGGAAAAAGGGAAGTGCGCTCACAAAGTACAAGGCGGATGCAGCTTTGGAGACGACCGGCATCGGGTAATGGATTCGGCGGCGAAAATATGCCATCTTGATTCAGCCATGCTTGAATCTGGTCGTCATTGAGGTAGCCGGACTTGAAGTTGAACGACGAAATTGTGCGGATCTGTAACCCAATATCAGAATTTGTCATGGTAGTGTTTGCTCGTTTTCGAAGACCGGGTGAGGCTGACGTTGCTGTACTTCCACGCTTCGATATACCCCACTCGATTTGGTTGCCATTCGCTAGCTTTTAGGACCTTTCCCCGCAGACCAGAAAACATCCTCGCGCGCGATGTTCTCAGAAGCGTACATTAAGCTTCGTGAAAGTATCAGAGGCAGAATATACGGACGGGATGGTGAACCTAAAATGGGGTCGAAGCGGCCGAAAACGGCAGTCCTCGGACTCGCTTGTGGTATCCCTTTTATAGTACTCGCCTGGTGATCGTGATGTGATTTCGAAGGGGTCCAAGAGCCCCGTCAGACTGTATAGTTTCGAGGCGTTTATGAAGCGTAAAACGCCTCCGAGGATCTCTACCAGCCTTGGCGTCGCCACATATCACAAAGAGACTGGCAGGCCAAGTGGGTGGCTGGTGATTTTGGGTCTACTGCAACAACAGCCTCTCCAGTACCCACCATTCTAGGATTACCAGGCCCCTCAGGTTTGCTTACATTGAAGAGAGTCTCCCGGCGCGATATCCTACACCCGGACTCGGCCTGGCTGGGCGAGATACAATTATGGGCTAGAATATTCCTTCACATCTGGTCCTTGAATGTGGTTGACCAGGTTTGCGAAGATTCCCATGCATCGCTACAAAATCGAATCTATCCGACACCGACATTGCGACTACTGCCGCAAGTTCAACTTGCGCCTCTACCCCAAACACGATTGGTGGTGAAGAGTCCGAAGATGAAGGGCAGAACGGCAAAGCAGCCGGTACGATGAGCTCGAATCGACAGAGGCAAGTCCTTTTGAAAGCTGAGAGCAACGAGAGAACTTGTATTTGAATAGGGATTTTAGAGCTGGTGGCGATGCAGACGATTGCAAGGTGTGCCTCAGCAGCTGCCAACCGCTTGGGCAAGGTCCGTAACGAAACCTCCTGCCTTATTATCGTACTTACATATGTGAGCTTACCATCCCATTACCACGAAGAATAGGGCGCGGAGGCCTAGCCGTTGTCTTCTTGATAAATTGAGTTTCCTAATCAATAGCATTGGCAGAATAGAGGCATAGACATTTAAGACGACTGACTGCAACAATCTAAACGACCGGCACATGCTCGTTTCCACAGGTGTGGTTTTTCGTATATGTAGGGTTATAAGGCTTCCAGTATGAGGTGAAAGGACGACAGACGAACACCAATTCCAACCTGGAAGCAACATTGGAGATGACTGTGAAAACAATACCTGCCCAAGAGAGTCTGACGACAAATGCTTTTGACTTCTCAGGCGAGATTTTGCGGCAGACCTGCAAGATGGAGGTTTGGGTACATGCATTGCCATAGGGAAAGAAGAATTCGATGAGCCAAACGGACACGAGCGTACTCCAGTCGATTAAAGGGAATATCGCAGAGATGTTTGTCCCAGGGCCCAGCGTAAGCGCCTTGTATTCAGCGAATGTCTGTCCAATGGACAGTATCTGCCATCGTTAAACACTGAACAGTTCAGAGAGACTTACCACTCATACGAAACCAGCTAAGAGAATTCCGTCATCCATGCCTAATGCACGCATCACGAAGTCTCGACAATACGGCCAGAGAGCAACCACAATTGTTGCAATGACCCGAGTAAAGATGTAAAGTGAAGGACAACCTCTTGTACTGAGGACTCCGATCGTTTGGTCATGGTCATCCCCCAGGTCAGATTCAGGGAACTCTTTTCAACTTGAAAGGGCTGAAAAATCTTTCAGACTTGATATCCACGATTCAAAACAACGGTCTAGGCAAGGAGAGCCCGATGGTTGAGAAGGTGTTGATGCCACTTGTTATTTTTGAGAGAGGGCCCCCTTGCAGGGCAGGATTATACGAAGTCCCGTCGTGAAGAGCACGTCAGTCACCTTGTCATGTGGGTGAAGTCATCCGAGTCATAGTTGTACGCTGATTCAGTGATTCCCCTGAAAGGAGACCTGTAAAAGACTGGATGCTGCAAGGAAAGGAGAAATGTGTCTCTGTGCAAGGAGAACCATTGTTAAATCCATTGGCATTGCTCGTCTTGCAATGGTATGCGCAAGACTGCGGGACGCATACAACACAATCCGTTTCTATCTTGAAATTGGGGATGAAGGAACTTCAGATTGACAGTTTCGAAAACAATGGTTTTGGTCGCCAATTCTAATGGGCGCAGAAGGTTCATTCTGACCGGAAGAGCCAAGTAATGACGGAGATCATCGATAAGGATACCAAACGCACCTGGGTATATCAAGGACATGATGCGAAAACGATGGAAAAAGGGGAAGGGGGAGGTGTGTTCAAGACTGGCCTAATCTATGGACAAATCGTGGCCGTTTTACAGGAGCCGTCCTTGGCGCCTTGGCCGGAACCACACCCATGTAGATTTCTGCCAAGGACTCTAGCCTATGCTAGACTACATTCGTTTACGGAGTATATGTACATAAAGCGGCCACCTCCAGCGGATAGTTCTAGTTAGCTCATACATTCTCTTCCCACGGCTACAAACAATATGAGAATAAAGCCGGCTGGTTAGAGTGGTAGAGAATGCCTATCTATCCACAGGGTCTACCGTCACGTATCCTAGCTACCACACGACTAGAAACGGGTTTTCGTCCTTTAAATTCAAGATTCCTATCAAGTAACTTGTTCGACCTTTTTGGATAGCATTCGCTCAGAGCCGAATGCCCCGCTCTTTCTCCATCCCGAGCGGCGATAATAAATTCATTGAAGTCAAGATCGCAGAACCTGCTCTCCGCGCTCAGGGCTTGAGTCTACAAACATGGACGTCCTCTTTCGTTCTGGCCAGCTTGCTACATAAGCTCAATGTCGAGATTTCTCTCACGAAGGCTATCCCGGTCTTGGAGCTCGGAGCCGGCACAGGCTTAGTCGGGCTGATGGCCGCAGCTCTCTGGAGGGTCCCCGTCATACTCACCGATCTGCAAGGGATTGTCCCTGGCCTGGCAGGAAATATCACACTCAATGCCGCAATTGTCAATGCGACTTTGGTCCAATGCGGCACGTTGGACTGGGGTGATCCAGAATCACTGACCTTGCAAACCGGGACATCTTATTTGGCCGATCAAGACAAAGCCAGCGTAATTGTCGCCGCGGATACTGTGTATTCGGAGGAACATCCCGAATTGCTCTCAAAGACCATTCTCAGTTGGTTAGCACAGGGGCCGGAATCGCGCGTGATTGTCACTTATCCCATGCGAGTGGCATATTTGGACCAGATTCGAGAGTTGTGGAGTCTCTTGGAAGCTGGAGGAATGGAAGCCATCGATGAAGGGCGTGAGCGAGCGAACATTGACGACTGGGATGATGAATGCTTGTGCGAATGGAGTGTTTGGAGATGGAGACAACAATCTTAAATACAGAACCACTACGGACGGCCAAGTCATGAAAAAACACAATTCTGTTGAAAATGTGGCTGTACCTTCATCGAAACTTGACACCTTGACACCCCACAGAGATGATTTCGACGCCTTCCGGCCTTGATGTACCAATACAAAGCCATGATTTCCGGAATTTCCTGCCTTGGCAGTCATTTTGTGATCAAGATATCTGAGATAGGCGAGAGCGAATCTCGAGGCATACATATCTAGCCAAACGAGAAACAGCCAATCGCCGCGGCGGCGTTGTTTTGGGAAATTGATGGTACATGAGATACTATATACAAAGTGGCAAGAGCAAAGCTGGCAAAACAGATAGAAATCTTCGCACAGACTACTAATGCACACACAACCTACTGTGTATAGGAGTTTTCCACTGCATTATAAATTCTAGGGCCCAGATCATCCTGGCCTGTGCTTAGTTAGTCACTGAAGAAAGGATTTGATGTCTTCTGTGTACTCGGTGTCATTCGCGTAGATACTTGCATGGCGGATTTAGATAGGAGGCAGCTGTACCTTCGCATCCAAGAGGGAGCTGTGTGTTCAAGTCCAAAGACCATGGCCATCAAAAGTCTCAGTCTACAGTTCTGTAAGCTTTGATGTCAATCGTACAACTGGATGTCCATTCGCTTGGCCTTTCGAATAGTTCTTTATTCGATAGAGGCTGGAGATTGATTGACGGCCGAGGTATATTGGAAGAGGCGGGCTCGATTGAGTATTACCTTGCGAGCTGATATACAAGTGGGTTTGATGACGGTTACATGGGCCTGGTACAAGGTGTTGTGCGTGCCATCCAAGGCATCTCGGCGTGGAAAGATATTCTTCCGAGCGGTCGTGAGAGGGTAGCAGGGGTACTTTCATAAGCGAACACTTTTGTACTGTACATTTTGTACTCCCGCTCTCCCTCCGGCTCCCGGGTCTCGTGCCCCATCGCTCTTCTTCCATCAAATCATCAACTCGCAACTCTTCCTGCGCCGCCATGCATACGACATCACCCCTTTTGTTTCTGATCCCTGTTTTGGCAACGCCTATTGTTTTGGGAATCAATTCGCTCATCGACTCCGCTGCATGGCTGTGATCAGAAGATTGCTCGTCCACCACGCAGATGCGAGATAATCACAAATACTTTTTGTGAATACGAGACAACCAAGTCCTTCAAGGCCCTGCCGCTGACTGGGGGTTTATCCCGCGACGAACGAACCCAAAAACTACTATCTAACCGCCTGGTCTCTCTATCACCTCGAGGCTAACCGAGAAGTCGTGGACCCCTACAACTCGGTCCGTCGTTCCCAAGCCTATCGACTGGGCTCTCCAAATCCTGGTTCGCTGACCCGGTCTTCCGATCATCTGCACCACTCGAATCTGTAACTAGTCCTCAAATACGAAACGCAGCGCCTGCGTCCTCGGTTTGGTCACGGCCTCAGCACTGTTTCCAAATCATCCCCCTCCAATTTCATCTCCTATTTCCCATCCCGATGTCAAACTGGACTCATCGCACGACGTGTTTGCCACCCTTGTTGCAGCCGATTCCTTGACCTCAACCGCACTACTGGAAGTAAGCATCACCACAACCCGCGAATCAATTCGGCTGAACGTTTAATGTTCCGAGCGATGACACTGTGACAATCCTCCTTCTACCGCACAATAAAGGCCTGATCCAGTCCACCAAAATTTTCTTTCCGTCTGGTGTTATTGACCTTTCTTTGTCAAACGACCCCAACTGGTCGGTTCCGGGTCGTCGATCGAGAAGCGGGGGTTTTGGAAGGTCGAAAGAGTTGTGAAGTTTGACATCAAAGCATCCAGCTGCAACAGCATACGGACGAAATGAGGGTTTCTCGACGTTATGAGAGATGGGTAACAGTCGCCATGGCCGCATCGGCCTCGAAAGTGGCCGCCCAAACCATTATGCCTTCAAATGGCACTCAAGATCTCTATCCCGCCTCCACCTCCCCTCGGTTTATCATGAATGGCACAGAATTTCCCGATCTTCCCGCCGTTCAGTTAGCGCCTTTGGGCCAATATGCGGAGATCTCGCACAGCAGTTTCCTCCAAGTCAATGTGGCTGGTCATCTGGTTAATGTCGATGCTAGCAATGCCAATGACATTGTCGACGCGAATCAGTTTTCCTACCTTTCCTGTGATCCTGACAAATATACCGGCAATCTTGACGCCAGCGAGGTGTTCCAGATCGTCGTCAATTCCCCTCGGACCAACGTCGTCATTCTTTACAGCGAGACTAGTGACCATTGCACGGCCACGGGCCTCAGCAACCTCCCCACCGTTGGGGGCATCTTAACCACCACCGACGCCATGTTAGCATCCAGCCTGGCTGATTTGAACCTCAACCAGGAAAGCCCTGGAACGGCCACCATTCTTCCCGATCTGAACACTTACACGAATGCTTCCGATAGTCAATTCAACGGTAATGGTTCCCTGGGCCAGTCTCCAACGACGGCCGTGGCCATGATTATTTTATATTCCATCACTGGAATCATCACGGCTTTGTTCGTGGTCATCATTGTCACCGGAGCCATCCGAGCACATAGGCATCCAGAACGATATGGACCTCGAAACATCGTGGGCCGAGGCCGACAAAGTCGAGCAAGAGGTATCGCACGTGCCATGCTGGAGACGCTTCCCATTGTCAAATTTGGAGACCATGAGGATCTTCCGAAGAAACCAACCGAGGGCACGGATATTGAGATGAATGCTGAAAATGTTCAGACTGCTGCCCCCAATCCAAGCTCCACCAACGAGACGGTGGCCACAGGAAATGCGACAACATCGGATTCCGGCTCCGACCGAGCACCCGCTGCGATTGCCACCAATAATGCCGATGGCACTGATGCAGAAGGTCACCTGGGCTGCTCCATATGTACTGAGGACTTCAACAAGGGCGAGGAAGTTCGGGTGTTACCTTGCAACCACAAGTTCCATCCCGACTGCATTGACCCGTGGTTATTGAATGTCAGTGGCACGTGTCCGTTGTGCCGAATCGATTTGAGACCTCAAGAAGGCGAAAACGAGGGAACTGAACGTAGGGACTCTAGTGCTACTCTTCCCGTTGGTCAAGAAGGCCAAATACCACCTCCGTTACCGGTGGCTATTACTAGTGAAGGGAGTCCCCATCGTGGTGGACGAAGGGAAACCGTCGCTCACCTTCGTCACCTTGCCTCGGGGTCTCGAGAAGAACGTATTGCAGCGTTGAGACGACTCAGACAGGAGACACTTGGGTCCAGATTACACCATCCCACAGAGGATGAAAGATCTGGTCTCGCACGACGATTCCGAGAACGATTCAGAATTCGAACAGAGCGGAGAGATACAGCCGCTGAGTAATTGCCCAAACAACACACTTTCGTCCTTCTAGCACGTCGACACTGATGGGCCCCCCTCCCCCTCTTTTTTTTTCCCTTCCCTTTTTGGTAAAAGTTTACGTTTTCTGGAATATCTGATATGGCATATGGATGCGATGTGTATGACTTGTACCTCATGATGGATGGGAGGGATGGGAGGTATGCGAAGCAATGCAATACAGTGCGAAAGCACGTTGAACTTTGATTTTGGGTCTCGGAGTTTGAGCGAAACCCGGATTTTTGGCTCAGGAATGCACAATGTGAGCGATCACTGAGTATATGTTATATTACATGTACATGCGATACGGTCGATCTGGCGTACGAGTACAATTTTGGCTCAGGATGAAGATGAGACGGAGCAATCGTCTTCCACTTGGAAGGGAGTTGGGGTGTGCTCAAAAAAACAGGACCTTCGGTATGAGATACTCAATGGGATGTGGCATTCGCATTTGTGAATGACATTGACATGGTTTTACATGTACCCAAGCCGAGTTGGACATCTTGATCAAGTCCCAGCATATTGCATGTCATATGGTATTATCCCAGCTGACACCAGTGACCCATCACTTGTGATTTCATCACGGGGATCCGGCAGGCTGCGTAAGCTCGCCAGTTTGATCTGTCAATTCACTTTGACAAAATTCTCTCAATTCATCTCCCCGTATCCACGCCCGTGCTTCGTGCTATTTCCTCTGTGATATCCCTCGCCGCCGACCATCTCGGGGGGACCTTTGACCCTAGGTCATCTCGATCTCTCTCAATTCGATCTTCTCCGCCTCCTCCACCACCGAACCATCCACTCACACCGGCAGGTATCCAGCTACCACTGGTTGTTCGACGACCTTCAATCACAAGTTTTGGCGGCGTGGATCCATAACTGGATGAGCCCGGTGTATGTGTGGCATCATCATAATCGACATTCTCAAAGGATTGCTCACTTCTCGACTTCGTCTTCAAGCCTCCCAACCCCGAGCTTGATGGCCGTTGTCCTGGGCCCGACCCATAAGCGAGATCAAGGTTCTGTTGCTCTGTATCTAAAGCTTTGAGGAGGCCAGAGAGTCGTTCACGCTGTGCGGAGATGAAACCTGATTTCTCGGCCGAAGAACATCCAGGAACATCGGGGACGAGGGATCCTGGAATGGATGCGGCTTCGGTGGCTCCCGATTCCGTGGCTGCTGAGCGGGATGTTGACCCAGCGAAGGCCGCGCCAGCCAGGTGGGTGACCATACCGTAGACGCCGGCAGAGGTCGTGCCAGGCTGAGTGGGTGCGGTGGTACGCGCTCCAGGCATAGCGAAGCGCGAGAGGAGATCTTGTGCATAACTCGCATACCCGGAAGCTTGGGACGGTGGAGGCTGTGGACTGGTTTGACCCAAGACCTTGTCTCGAACAAATTCAATCGCCACATTCAGGTATCCTAGACCCATCTGTTGTAGTCGCTCATGTGCGTCTCCAATGAATTGATCAATCCGGATTTCATGTCCGACAATGTAGGGCTCGAGGTAGTCAAGGTAGAGAATCTTTGCTCCTTGGGTCTGTGGGAGCACCAGGTAGAGGAGGAAGATGAGGCGGAACCAGGAGTAAAAGGGAATCCATCCAATGACGAATAAGGTCCATGATTCTAGGAGTAGAGTGAGAGCCAGGATGATGAAGTAGATTAGCCATGGGTGTGTTTGTGCCGGGTCGTTGGTCCGGAGGGCCTTATAGGCGAGGTAGGCAGGGAGGAGGATGGTGGTGATAGAACTGTGAGAGGAGTGAGTGGCCGGTACGCTTCTGGATGGACATTCACTGAGTCGCTGTGGTTTCACTCACGCAATGAGGTCTGCAATGAAGCCCAACATGGTCAATGGGAGGTATGATGGTCGGCGGACATGGGATATGCGGAAGTGAGGTGAGTGGCAGAGGATGCAGCAGAGAAACTGGAGTACTTGTACCGGTGTTCCTCAGAGACAAGGCAACATAGATATGAGTTGAGGAGTACAAGCTGTTCTTTTCTTTGATCTCTGGACACCTATGAGAATTGAAAGAGGCGTCAGTGTTGGTGTGCCTGGCGGAAAGGCGCAGGTCGTGTGGTGCTGCGGAGGGAGATGCAGGGTGATGAGAGCGATCAGGGGACTCGTGCGTCACTAAAAGTCCCCAAGAACTTCCAGATGAGCTCACACTCAGCCTTACACGTCATCCGGTCTTATCGAGTATCGGCACTATCGATAAGCGGCACTAGCTGGCTCGGGGCCAGTCATCAAGCCACCCCAGTACCTGTGCCGCCACCAGGTGCTCGTCCGCTCTACAGAAGATTCCTCTCGATATCATCGACTGAGTAGCATCTTCCCTTACCAACAACCAAATGCTCAAGATGACTCGGACAAGTCACTTGATACTGCGACCCTGGAGGCGAAGTACGACCCCTCCCCATCTTGTACCCACACTTACGGTGAAGGATTGGTCCCTGGGTTGAAGACCGGGAGCCATCCAAAGATCTTTCTACCATTCGGAAGAGTGACAACCATCGTGGAGGGCTCCAGTATGAGAGGAACAACAGTGTAAGTTCTAGTCCTATGCTATACAAAGATCTCGCTCCTCAGGCATCGCCGCGACCTCATTCGGACTCTTGTGTACGGGGAAGGAATCAGTCCGCATACATCACTCACTCGGGGTCAGTGGCTTATTCTGCCTTGGCCCCGTCTAGCTTTGATTCTGCCTCGGCTCCAAATTTTTCTTTAATGTTATTCTTTCTTTTTGCTGTTTACGGAACTCACATTTCAACCGGCAAATATACCTCAGCAGACGGCGAAGGAGAACCTGGCACAATTGTTCGAGACAGAAAATCATTGCGTCTTTCGTTTGGCAAACACCCTCGTTCCTGTGAGCGTTTGACTGCTTCTTTGCTTGCATGTGGCAATCCAAAACTGGCTACCGGGAGGGACAGTTGGGTCATGTGATACGCATCGGAGAAGGGATTTCATGCTTGATCATATATACCTCGACATCCTCTTTTCACATTTTCTCTCGAATTTTACGATTTTCTTGCACAGTCAAGCATACCTGAAATCTATCGAAATGTGTATCGCACTCATATCTACAGCACATCCCTCGTATCCATTGATTCTCATCGATAATCGGGACGAATTTCTCAATCGTCCAACTGAGACGGCGAAATGGTGGCCAGAACCGGACTCCCACGTCCTTGGAGGTCGAGATATGCTTCGTGATATTCATGGCACCTGGTTAGGAGTGACCAAAAATGGCAAGATTGCCGTCTTAACCAACTACCGCGAAGACACGACACCACCACCCTCTGCCATCAGCCGGGGAGCCATCATTCGAAAGTTTCTGGCCGAAAGTGTGGGCCCCGTGGAAGATTTTGTCAAAAATGTGGTCAATACCGGCTTAGCCAAAGATGCTGGAGGATTCAGCCTCGCCTGTGGAAATATCGGCGAAAAGCTAGCCGTCATCTCCAACCGTGCCCAAGACCAAAGTCAAGTCCCCTGGATCGCAGGTGATACCGTTCAAACGGTGGGCCTCAGCAATGCAGCGTTTTCGGATCGATCATGGAAGAAAGTCACCCTCGGCGAAGAGCTCATGCTCAATGCCATCCGCGACAGTGTCGAAAAGAACGAAACGGAAGATCAGTTGATCCAAAGGTTTCTTGATCTTCTGAGTTACGATACTCTGCCACGAGAAGGCCACGACGATGACGCCGGTCTGGAAGCCTACATCCCAAGATTGCGCGATTCGATATTTGTTCCCACGCTCGGACGGAAGGACATGACTGGCCTGACCGAGGACGAGATGCGTACGGCAAGAAAGCATGAGAAGATCGACATTATCGGCCATAATACTCCGATTCGCCACCATAGTCCCCCGAATCATGTTCCGACGCAAGCACATCCGCTGGGTGTCAGTGGACTTTATGGAACACAGAAGCAAACTATTGTCCTCACTGACAAAGACATGAATGTTCGGTTTTTTGAGAGGACCCTATTTGATGAGGATTCCGAACCGATACCACCGGGCAAAGGGGACATCGACGTGCGGTTTAAGATCGAGAATATGTGAAGCTCTGAACGTGGATGGTAAATGAGCATCGGAAGCGACATGGGCGTCAATCATCCCTCCGATCGAGCCTGATCATGGAAATTCCCATGTTCTCCTCCGGACTGTGCTATAATGAATGGATGGCTCCACCCGGCCCCTGACACTCAGTGATAGATCCACCAAGAGAACCAAAGACCTTTGGCTGGCAAATCATTCCTCTCATCACCATTGACACACCTCAAGATCGTACCCTCGAAGCTGAGGCTGGTTATCCGACCATCACTTCTCCATCGATTCAAAAATGTCATAACGGGCAGTACCAGATACCCTCTCCTTTTCATCTCAGATCCACGCCAATACTCTGAGAAATTAGACAGCAACGAGAAATGCAAATGCGCCATGAACGGCTAAGCATTAGGAGATATCAGTATTCCGGCATTGTGGAGACGGCAGAATACGGCCTTCATGAGTAGTGCCAAGTACGGTGCCTAGGGCCCTGTCGCTGCCAACGGTGACACTGGCGAGATGTTAATTTCACTGACACACACCTGTCTCGTCGCCCCCGTACCTGTTCAATTAGGACCATCGAGTTTTTCACCTCGACATTCCGCGCTCACACGAGTTCTCCATTCCACGCCGGTCGTGCTCGATCCCGCTTCCATCCTTTCTCGGATGACCCCTGATTCGCAATCCTCAATTCTGTCCCATATTCTTAGGGATCTCCGTCGTTCATGCTTAACCTTCTAGAAACGCCAAGAAACCCAGCAGACTGAATGCGTGGTGAAGAATGAAATGACTTTTGTGGGGTGTGAGAGGGACATCCTATCTCTATTCCTCTCTTTCTGCGTTGAATAGCGTTAAAACTCAGGCTCCCACTATCTGCCTCAAGTATAATGGGATGTCCATCTCATCTACGCCCCTTCATCCACCATAAGGTAACTACACAGACAACCTTGAACTTTTGGAGCATCACTCTACATTATCACGCTTTGCTTTTTCCTCCTTGGCCAGTATGATGTTTCCCTTCCTTTTCCGTTCCCGAATGTGAAGTCGATTTGGGTCTGAACAGAAATACAGCGCACCATGCACGAGCTGCGGTTCGTTCTTGGAGTGCCATGCTATTCATATGGTAACGCTTCACCACAACTCACAAACCGGCTCTTTCTTTTCGCAATGGAAACTCTCCTTGAAGTCTCTCGAATTGGCCATCGTCCCCAAAATCCTCGCCCACTTGGGTGCATGTGGATCCGTATAAATACGCTGAATGGCCGTCTCCTTCCTGGTCTTGCCGCACCACCAATTGGCATAGTTGACGAAGAAGAGTTGCTCCTGGGTGAAGAAGTCCAAGCCAGGGAGATCCTGGTTAGGTTTTTCTGCCGCGCGCTTCGTCCATGCCGCAAAAGCTGCAGACAGGCCTCCGGCATCCGCGATATTCTCGCCCAAAGTCAGACGGCCATTGACGTGCAGGGGTTTGTTGTCTGATCCCTCGATTGTGAAGTTGGAATATTGCTGCACGAAGCAATCTGCTCGCTCTTTGAAGCTTGCCACAGTTTTTTCAGTCCACCAGTCTGTATAGTTGCCGTTTTGATCATAGTGGCGGCCGGTGGAATCGAAGGCATGGGAAAGCTCGTGGCCAGAAACAGCTCCAAAGGCACCGTAACTGAGGTATTGGGGAACATTTACGTCAAACACCGGGAATTGCATGATCCCAGCTGGGAAAACTATTTCATTTCCGGCTGGATTCTGTTTTTCTCGCCAAACTTGTATTAGCAATGTGGTCTGGTAAATGGGATGAGTGGAAGAGTGTGAAAGCTCGGTCAAAAGAATCCTAAGTGAGACGGCTCCCATGGTTTAACTCCCCCCGGGCTCACATGTCGCGAGATCAACCACACGTATAATTTCGCGAAGAACCGCTGGCATGAGGCTAGGCCAAGCAATCGCAGAGCTTTGCCTCGAGGGTCCCAAAACATGTTTTGAGAGTACTTACATAATCTAAAGCGATAGTCAGCAAATAAGATTTCTCGAAAGAGGGGGAAAGGGAAACGACATACAGGCATTCACGGTCGGGACAGTCATGTCCCTAAATTTCGGTCAGTATTTCAATACCTGGTCCACTGTTCCCACGAGACACGTACCATTGATCTCTATCGACTGGTTTGCCAAGCGCAGACCACTCACGGCTGACATAAAAGCGACTCATAGAGACTGCATTATCGAAGTAAGTGGATGACGTAATGTTGAGTTGTTTGTAGAAGTTCCGCAGAACCTTTGCATCCATGATATTCGGACTCTGAAGAGAGCAAGCGTCAGCCCAATCCGTCCTGACAGGCAATTGTGAGTGCAATTCTCGAGCACACCTACCTTGTCTGGGTATCCGATCTTTTGGACGATGTTGTGGACTTTCTGGATCGCCAACTCGATCACCTCGTTCTCCATCCATGCAGTAGCCTTGAGTTTTTCAATGAACTGTTCTTTGATGTCGGAGACAACTTGATCACCAAACTCCTTGGCTTTGGCAGAAAAGGCCTTCTCCACGAAGAAGCGACTCAAAATCCAACCTACGCCAGCGTCCACATGACCGACGCACGTCCTCCACCGTTCAGGAGTGGAGTCGGGGTCCTATGGAGTATGAGTGTGCATCATCCCATATGGGGATTTGGAGACTTGCCTTGCCTTGCAGTTCGTTAGAGAATCGCTTGTAAGGAGTGATAGCATCAGCCTCGATGTACTCGGCGTACGACTGTATAGCTTTCCAGAGGAAATAAGTGTGAATGGTGTCCTCCGACGTGTCCGATAAAATCTTGCCAAGCTCTTTCACGTATTGCGGAGCCATGACGATGATTCTATCCGGCTTATAGTCTGAAGGCACGAGGCCGTCGAGGATTTGGGAAAGTCGGAGTTGTGGAGCGAGAGCATCCGCATCTTTCATTGCCATGGGATTGTAGTATTTCTGCTTGGAATATCAGTAAAGATTCCACGACAGATTATGTTCATCCACCAACCGTCACATCGTTGGCATCTTCGGCATTAGGAGAGGCAGTGGCAAGTTTTTTCTCAAACTCCACGAGAGCATGGGCATCGATGGCTTTGATGGCCAAGTGAGGGTGGAGAGCCGAGATGACCTGCGAAGCGACGTTTTCATACTTTGTCAAGATCTTTTCATCTTTGTACAGTTCCTTGGCGGGCAAGCCGATTTGCCAAGGAGCGGAGACGGACACGACCACAGTATCTGGGTCCTTGTCATCGGCGCTCGCACCTGTCGATACCAACGCGGTGATCCCCAATTTGGCCAGATACAAGATGGTATGAGATAGTGCGTCCGGTCCGGTGGAGAAATAGTCCGACGTTCCGTTGAGGATTTCCATCAAAGGAGCGACGCCCATGGCCGTGATAGTATCTTCATCCAGACAAGCATCATAGGCAGCTTTGAGTTTGTCAAAGTTCTCCTCGTCTGCTGATGCGGTACAAGTGTCCAGCCGTGCCGGGGAGAAGTATGAGTGCTGAAAACTTGATTAGCGGTGTGACATGGTGAGATTTGGACAGAAACTTGCTGATGAAGAACGAGGGTAAGGGGCTTCCAGGATGTGGCGCAGGAGCATCTCGGAGGTTTCGGACATGATGGTTCCGGTAAACGCATCGCCCTGGTCTGGACGGAGATCGTGACGATCCCTCCATCCGCCACAGACGAGTTCCTCAAAGTCGGTACAGGGATCAAGAGTCTTATAGTCGGGCGAGAGGTTATACAGGAGCTCGGAAGAGGCGTGGACGCAAGCAGGTGTAAGGCAGATACCAGCGTGGTGATGATGGCGATGTCGCTCCCTGTGATGATAGTCTTACCAATATTGGTCAGGTTATCCCATTTCAAGACCACTACCCCTGAAGCAGTCTACTCACCTTTCATGCGGAGGTACATTGGAAGTACATCGTCCCGAAAGTAAACCAGAGCCGAAAGTATCACAGACAGTCCCAGAAAGAGGATCGCAGCACGTTTGACGCGGGAATAATGGCGTCGGTGAGACATCATTGCACGGTTTTCTTCATCCCCGAGGAGCGACATCTTCGCCGTTGTCTGACCGCCACCCATCAATGGCTTTGAGTCCATGATGGATGCCAGACTTGTCGGTGATGGAAATTCGAGATTGATGGAATCAACAGCGTTGAGGTGAAGTTAAACGCTGGATGGAGTTTGACAATGGAACAAGCATCCATGTAAGCTAAGGCCCAAGGCTCCCCCGGGGCAGCTGCCTGGGCACCTACACGGTGCGCGCCTAGAGTCATTGGGGATTAGAGCGCCAAACAAGCTTTGTGGGGTTTCGGGTTTGGCCGTCCGCCCAGCCAAAGGTAGTCAGACTACTTTCGTGCAAGTCCGGCGGGCCCTCTGACGACTTTTCATGTCTATTTGAAGACCTCTCTGTCTGCTAGAGGCTGAGGCGAGTAGTTTCAACCCTTTTGTGCCAACAATATCACCAAGGTAGACGTCTGCCCGCCGTGATCCCTCGTAGAAGCGGATTGTGTCCAGTTTCATTGTCATTTATTTTGAAAGGTCGCCATCACCGATGCGTTAGATACCATGTCTGCTGGTTGTCAATGGTAAGCTGACCTTGCTCCATCATTAATGTGATCTCAATGGGGTGATGAAAACTAGTCTTCTTTGACCGGCAATCCTGACCTGTATGGCCTCGGAATCAGGCTGGGTGTCTATTGTTCACTCGAAAGCACGATATACGCCTATCATCTTGCCAGTGCTCTTCCGGCTGATGTCGACCATGGGCCAACATCAAGTTCCAATTGGTCCAATTCCTAAAGTGAGTCCGACGTGATGTGTATATGTGTCGCGCCGCCTATATCTGCTCAGTATCGTCCTCCACGAGTGCCAGTATCGGGAATCTGAAGTATCAAAGGAATACGAAAGAATCGCAAGTAGACCCAATCCCATTGAATATCACGCGATGGGTAAGGTCCTCTCGACCCAGATGTCCGTGGGTCATCCAAACCTATGGATCCTCGCCTGGAGAAGTCGCTCATCGCTGATGGAATTACCGGCGGCGACCAAAGGATAGCACGATATTCTCTATGACGACAATTGAAGTGGCACGAACAAAGAACACGAGCTCTCGTAATGGCGACTAGGCGGATGGTTGGAAGGGAAGGGGGGAGGACCATCCCAGAAGCACCGAAGAACCCGACTTTTCTGAAGGGAGCAATTTCTGGACCGAGATCAGAAGCACCAATAGGATTAGCGTCGAAACTTCATTTCCGAAAAGTCCGGCGGATGTCAAGCAGGATATCAAAGTGGCATAGACTTTCCAGATGGAATATATCCGGGTCTGGACCAGCCAAATCGGCCAGCGCCGGGTAAATACCTCGACGTCTGCGACATAGCGGGTCCCGTGTATGTAAGCTATTCTTTTATGATCTGCACCTTTTGAGCGCGCCAAAAACCAGTCCAGTGTGAGATGGGAACAATCCTCCTATTGAAGACAGTTTTGTGGCACATTCCGCACATGTTGACCTACGAATGCTTGTGCTCAAGAGCATAGCCGCACCAAAGAAATAGCTTCCTCGCTTACCTTTGCCAGGATAGATTAATTTGCTACCCTCAACGCTTTCTCTAATCTCGATTAGGTCCCTCATCCCTGCTCCTAAACCTGAGTCGACAGCTTGACGGTTCGCGAATCCAGAATAGGGAGGACCCAGAAGACGAAGCTGAGCCCTCATGGCAGCCTTCCTATTGAGGAGGATGATATGGCCCATTCGGTCGATAATAATTACGTACAAGTCACACACTGCAGAAAAGGGATAGACAGGAATAAGATGGCATGTTCCGCGAGCCGTTTATTTCGTTGTTGCCATCTTTTGCCACTGTACAATTTTACCACATTCCCGTTACTGGTGGTAAAATGTATCATCGGCCGTCATGTGAAGAATGGTTGTCGAAAGAGGCCAAAAGGCTCAAGCATGGTAATAATTGGATCATCGTACGTTTGGAATTAGTTTTAGGTATAAGAAGCGGCCCTTACGTATTGGGCATTTCCAGGAGGTTGCTTCAGCCTCGGCACCTTGCTCTATTCTTTTCTCTGAATAACTTCAAGGGCTCGAAAAGATTATCACCAATGCATATTCAATGCCTCAAACTCCATCATCGTCATCCAAGCTCCCCAAGAACTGGCCCAAGGATATAACGTATCTCACAACTCTACATATTCCACCTCCCCTCTCCAACATACTTCTTCAAACATCGACCGCCTCACCTCCGTCCAATGATCTTCCAATTATCAAATCGCCGCCAACCCCTAATCCACTTATACGTATTCTTCCGATCACCATTCCCTCACACCCGGCGTATGGCCAACACGGACTCGTCGCCACCCGCGCTCTGGCTCCATTATCCTTCATAATCCTCTACCTCGGCACCCTTCACCACTCCTCTGACACTTTACATGCGCACTCGGACTACGACCTCAACCTGGACCACGAGCTAGGTCTCTCCATCGACGCCGCTACTCGCGGCAACGAAGCTCGCTTCATCAATGACTACCGCGGAGTACGTCCCGAGGGGCCCAACGCCGAGTTTCGCGACTGCCTGGTCGAAGTGAGTCACGGACGTTACGAGAGGAGAATCGGCGTGTTTGTGCCGAGTGCCGGTAAGGCCGGAAAAAGGAGTAAAGGCATCGCGAAGGGAGAGGAGATTGTGGTCAGTTATGGGAAGGGGTTTTGGAATGCAAGGAAGGAGGAAGATCGGGGTGAGAATGGTGAATGAAAGGTGGACCTGATGGCTATGAAGGATCAAATGGAACCGATATGACCACGACCGCGACCGGCTGTCTGTCAATGTATTGCACTCAAATTGTCGCCGACACCGAGAGGTAGTCCAGGAGGCGATGGATATGAGGCTCTCAGAACGCTCTTTCATTCACCAACATCGAGATGCCATTTCGTCGCGATAATGCACCACTCCTCTAGCAGCATATGCAACACGGAGCACGCTCTCTACATCCTAGCCATGATCCTCCATCACGAGATTTCCGGTCTACAGCCAGACAACCGCGCAGAGACATCCCAACGCTCAGCCTCAACCTACACTTCTGACCTCCGCCTGACGCTCACTTTAGCACCCATAGGCGGGATATGATTCGGCCCAGCCCAAAAACACTCTGGCCGGACCCCCTCTCCGTTCCAATTCCCACTGACGCCTCCTTCCATGACCATATGGATATCGTATCTGGTGAGCAAGTACGCAATGAGCAGCTTGAGTTCATTGGCGGCGAAGAATCGGCCCGGACACGAATGTCGACCGTGTCCGAAACCCAGATACGTCGGGGATGTGGCGATGAATTGGAGATGCGCCTTGTCGAGATACGCCTTCTCCTTCTCCTTCGCAGCAGACTCGGCCATATCATTCTCACCAGGGCACTCCCCGATTTGATCTCTCAGTTCAACGAATCTGAACGGCCTATATCCTCCAGCCCCAGCATAGATGCCCTCGTCATTATGCAGCCCCCAACTGTGCACGGCTACCATACATCCTTCCGGGAGATGCGTGCCATCTGGCGTCGTCACTCCGCCGGGAACAATGACTTTATGATTCACGCCGACTCCGATGATACTTGCCCGGCGCGAACTCTCTCGGAGCGCCGAGTCGAGAAAGTGCATGTTCCCCAAACTGGTGCGCGACCACATTTTCGATCCAGGTTCAGATTCGTCGTCCGTATCCATGGTCGCGAGGGCCTCGGCACGGAGCTTGTCGACGACTCCTTCGGAGGGAGGCGTGGCGAGAATGTCAAGGATGGCGTTCGTGCCGATGAAGCTTGTCGTATGGACTGAGGCGAAGTTGGTGTGCAGAAGTCGCGCACAGATGATGTCGGGATCCGCTTCATCAGGAAACACGTGAGATTTTCTCAGGGATCGCGTCAAAAGCCATTGGAGAAAATCATTTCTCTCGGCCCCTGTCTCCTTTCCTGAAGCCTTTGCTCCGTCGTTCTCGACGTCCTCGAGGTTCGCACCACCTTGCTGCAGCTGTTGTCGACGAAGGATTTCAGGGGTCAAAATCTTCGTATATGAGCGAGTATGTTTGCGGTTTGGGTAAGTCACGATTGGGGCGACGAGGGATCTGATTGGACCAGGGAAGAGTCGTAATACCGTGGCGGAAAGGGCGATATCTTCGGCAAATCCGATTGCGTTCTCGAGGTAATGTTCGTTCCGGCCTAGGATGGATATGAATCAGGAAATCATCATTCCAAGAAAAATTAGAAGACTCACAAAGCGGCAACCCCACGAAGACACGATTACTGGTTCTAGCGATAATTTTCGTGATAGAATCAAACAGTTTGATGTCCTCGAAGTTCTTGGTGTTTTTGCCCCAGATCTCATCGACGGCAGCGGCCATCTCGTCACAGACATCTGGTGTCACGGCGAAGACTTGGCGAGTGAGTTCGGATTTGATTACATCTAAACAAGGGTTCAAAGATGTTAGAATGTCTATAAATGGAGACCTCTCTCGTCGGAGAATTGGGCAACGAAACCCAAAACGAATACGCACCGAAATGAACAGTCGGATCCATGATCTCGGGGCGGGGAAACGTATATTTTGTCTGGAGGATATGTTTATGCGCGCCGTTGACGCTGAGGACATGTTCAGGCTGTGATATCATCCAGGGTATGGATGAGGGTGGGAGAAGCACAACATCCCCATCGAGGGTGGCGAGGATGCAGGGTCGATTGTGTCGAGCGTACTATTGTGAGAGCACAAAATAGTCAGAGAGTGTGTCATTGTTACTGTTGACCCTCGGTTCGAGAGACTCGCTTGGACTTCGCTCGACATGGGATTTGATCTGAAATAGAAACGTCGTCCCTCCTCCTCCTACCCTAACAGGTATGTCTCGCAGCATATCGAAGCATAAACAACGACAGCGAAAGACGACATACGTACATTGTCATAAGCCAACCGCAACGCCTGCTCGTAATTCATCATGTTCCATAGCCGGGTGCGAATGTTGCGGATGAACCAGGCTTTCTCATTTCTTCCTACCCATGGTAGATCCGGGCGTGACGACGAATTTCTCTGACCCTTCAGACTGATGAAGACAATGAGAAAGACCACGGAGGCAACCACTAAGAGGAGAAGAACGTTTTCTCGGTCGATGTCCTTGGTAAAAAGGGCACGAAAGTGGAGGAGAGCCATTTTGCCCGACTTGCCCGTACTCCAACGAGTAAAATAAATTACATCTGTTTTCTGCTCGATATGAGTAACGGAAAGCCAGTGCAAGTCTCACCCTGATAATGTATTTGAAGATAAGAAAGAGAAAAGAAACGAGACACAAGGACAACAAAAGCTGAAGAGGCATTGGTTTGTACAATCGAAATCGGACCAATGACTTTGCGCCACACCTCGCATTCAGTGGTTGATGATCCATTTATGCACGAATCCCCCCCCCAATGCTTGTTGGCAATTTACCCATTGGTTCGGCCGTGGGCGGCTGCATCTGGATGCATTGGAACGGGATCCGGATGGAAACATTTTTGGTGATCCAATTGCCGTGTCGATGTGGTGATGGACGGCCTGTGGGGGATGAGTCAAATTCATGACTGGTTCAGCGTATACACATTTGTATAAATGCAGCAGATGTACCTGTATCAATATGGCGTCCTAAGAGATCCCATCCAATCGGGGCAGGGGAGTTGCAATTAATGGTTTGCCTAATGACTGGTTTGCGATTGGGCATTTATCCACCTGGTACAAGCTGGAAGAGAGTATAGTTGAGATCTGTATCGTGGTTTCTGACTGCCCCTGGTTTGACAAATCTGTCTAGTACGGATTGGTATACGTCAAAAGATTCATTGTTTTTGACGTTTCATTGAGAGGACTGTTCTTCAGGGGCCATCGACGAGTTGTGCCTCACCAAGGGCCTAGCGATACAGGAATCTCGTATGCCCACCCATCAATCGAGTTTGCATGGCCGAGGTAGAGTTTTCCTTGTTGTCGACCTCTTCAACTTCACTCACCAGGAGCCATCATTCAATTAATTGACCAGCGAAGACATGCAAAGAGTACGGCTCGCATGTCTTCGACTGATAGAAGCTGCCGAGGATTGATGGAAAAAGATCCGAAGTCAAAAAAAATAGCCTTGAGCCTCGTTGCTCATGAGATTGTTGTTCCGCTACCATTGGAAGCGGTTGACCTAAGTTGAGCTTGTTGAGACTGCATGAATTGTACAGCTTTGCTCTGGACATCCCAACAGCGAGGCCGAAGAACGTAATCCCCATCGCAAGAAATGAAACATCAGAGGATGAAACAACGTCTAATCTAACATGCATCGACCTTGTTGCAAGATTCGTGCAAACCGCGAGATGTACCAGTCTTGATGGACGGTAGAAAACGGCGCTATCGTCTCAAGTGTTGTACACCAGGTTATCAACTCTCACCTTGTTAGACCGATTGGACTGAAACCTTCCAAAGTTTTTCGAAGTTCGTATGCAAGACGTGATTTGATACTAGTTGAATCGCAGATCATGAAGAAAACCACGTCACTGTAAATCAAGGCAGATATGCGGACGATATTGCAAAGAGTATCCTCATGCGACAAGTCAGGGCCGCAAGATGGCAAGATGGGCCCTGTAGAACATAACTGGTGCTGTATGACATTTCTGATAGGACAGGGTACCCAAACCCTGGGTGCCATGAGAGTACCTCGGTGGTACAGATCAGTAGCCAGGGTTAATCGGCAGGCTAACAAAAGATGTTGTCGGAGTGATTCATTTTCAACGGGCGAAATGCCCCCTCCCCATCGCAAGGGATAATCTCTTTTCTCGGTGAGTAGCTATTGCGCTCTCTAATAATGAAGGAACGAAAGCATGATTTGTCGGCACTAGCATTTCGCTAGTCACGTCGCGAAATTTTTTTTTTTTTTAGGGTATTGATCCGGTTCAATATTGAAAACCCATGTTAGAAGTTTGAGACATTGATGATGCGGAGGTCTTATCCGGACCAGCGGTTGAGGATGGTAGGAGAGCCGTAGATTTGGGTGGTGGACTAAGATTGTCGGTCGCTAACGGATTGACTAGCGAGGCTGAAAAGGTTTTGCTGGCCTTCCACTCTTTGGCGTCTGGAGGCTCTTCGTGGGCAACACGTTTTCGAGACTTCATTTTGGCGCGTTATTGAATATCCGTACTAGATGTGATGGAAACAATCGCCGTCAAGGTTGAAGGTGAAAGACGAGGATTAGGAAATCAGGATGTCAAAAAACATAAGTGCGAGTGGATATAGAAAGGGAGAGTCTGAGAAGGGGGGAGGAGTGGGCCGGCTTACTATGAACAAGCAGGAGAGATCTCATACGCAATTGATTGTGCTATTCATGCCGCATGTTGGGCCTGTGCAAACGTCCACGGTTCTGGAGGTGGGAGTGAGCGCAGAGCAGTAAGGCCTTTTGGACGAGATCAGAGTGGATTCTGCAAGCCAAAGTCGAGGCTGAAAAGGTAGCGGCCGAGCAAACGTTGTCCCTAAGGCAAGATGGGTGTGGTACTCCGGATCTGATCCGGATCCTGGATCCTGGAGGGGGAAGCAAATTTGTGATGGCATTCTTTGTGCAGGAACGTCGGCCTGGAGTGTATCGACGACAAAAGAGAGTTTTTGGTTAGTTATAGGCAGAGAAAGGCAATACACCAAATCCTCGAACCACATTAATGATGTTTGGCAGACAGATGACCGGTGGTCTTGAAATTCGGTATTCGATGTAGGGCATTACAGCAGCAAATGGCAGATCCAGGTCAATTAAGGTCACATCAGACCAAGAAACACGAGGAGATGCGTTAAGCTGGCATGGGGAGATGAAACGAGATGCGGGTAAGGAGACTAAGATCGACGTCCCGCTTTAACTGGCGAAAAGCGAGGCTCCTGCTGGAATAGAGTACCTGCTTGCATCAAGGTCGGTTAGACGAACCATGATTCGGATTTATGGAGTTGTAAGGCATCAATGAGGACGGAAGATCCATGCTTATGCTAGGTCTGTAGCTGATGCAGCCGGGCGTCGACGGGACGTGCTCCTGTACTCGACATTGTGTCTGAGATGCGGGCGGAAGCGAATGACAGCAAGGAAAAAGAGAGAATGAGTGGTGTGACCAAGTTTGATATGGTAGTATCGGGAAAAGCGCGGGCTGTGGCGGGTCAGCACGAGCCAGAACGCGGCTCTCTCCGTACATCAAGCAAAGCATCAATTGACTGCGTTGTCTGCAGACGTTTTCGAGCACCATGCTTCAAACTCGCTAGATTCTTGGATGATGTACTCTCACCTCGACCATGATCGCTCTCACACTCCGAGTTCGTTTTGTCTATCTGAGAGAAGACCTCGATTCCATAGAGAGCGTCCCACCCCTCCACAATACAACTCTCTGTGCTTGATTTGTCCGTCGGGCTCAAGACTTGAATGGTCCTGTCGTCCATCTTTCGATTCAGTCGGTTTGGTGACAGCTGTCTGCGAGACTCAGGTCTTCTGGTGGCCTTTTCGGGGTATTGAGACCTGTAGTGTCTACATACCGATGGATCAACGAAAAGAACAAGAAATGGTTGGATGTAATCTGTCATGTCTGCTGTTATTGTCATTACGACTCCGCATCTCGTCCTCGTCCGTTCCTCTGCCCATTTTGAGACGATCAGAGGTCGACAAATCTGCGGAATGCGACAATAGTCTCCGTTATGTGCATATGGCCCTTTTTGGTCATCCTTCGGGGCCTGTAACGCCGTGTTCCATCCCCAAGCCATCCAGGAGTCCAATAGTCCCTTGATTCTACAATCAAATCAGCGCGGCATGTATCATACTGCCACCCCGTGGCACAGACTTGTGCTCCATTCGGGAATTCATATCCATATTTCTCCGCACGCCAAAACCTGTATAATGTAGACACCCGTGCCCGCATTCCAATTCACTCAATTCATCCGTCTAAGCCATGTTGCCTTGTCATCGTTTGAGTCTCGGTCGTAATTCACAGGCTCAACCGGTCTAAACTTTGTACCCTCTTTCCCGTGCCACCGGTAACCAGCCCAAGTTTGTAGAATGTCTCTTCACCACCTGCGGTGCGGCCGCCGATGTACCACTTCTCAGGCCCTAGCGCATCAATAAATCCTCCCGAAGAGTTGGAGCTATCACTTCCTCTCCTTTGCCGACCTCTCGTCATCGGTGTCGACGTGCTCGGTGGCGACATGGATAAGTTGGCATTGGCGTGTGCAGTGTGGGTATGGGAATGTGGGTGGGTGCCGCCGGGCGAATTCGTCCCCGGTGATCTGGATGGTGGTGTTGCGTAACGATGTGAGCCCGGGTTTGAGGAGAACGGTAGAGGCGCGGAAGGGCTCGGTCTCGATGGCGATGTAAGCGTCCCCGGTTGTGGTTGCTGCTGTTGCAAAGATGTTGAGGTATCTGCCGTGGCTTTGGTGGTGATTGCTCTTGTTCCCGACGAGGTCACCGTCGCGTTGGTCGTGGAAACATGGGCGGCCGCCACCAGTGTGCCTTGCGACACGGTTTCATATGCCGTTGTACTGGATTTGGCCTGGAACGTGGGGTTGGGGCGGGCCCGAAAGGCAGAGAAGAAATTGGCGAAGAAAGGTCGGTTGGTGGGCATAATGGGCTGGCGATGTGGTGTGCCGGTGGCAGAGTAACAGCTCCCGCCAATATGATCGTGGAGTCAACTGCGTCTTATAAAGCCCGGTGACGGGATTAGGAGCTGCTGAGCGCAGCCTGCGATAGGCCTGGCCTCTTGAACAATGGGGCCGCAGACTTCCGTATGTTCCCTCCACCCCTTTCGGCCTATTCTTTTGGTCTCCGCAGAGAAACCATGTGCAAGCGGCTGGTTTTGATCAATCACCGGGTGTCAGATGGCCCTCTTACACCCTAGCTAATGAGCTGCTAGGCTCGAACTCGCTGCGAGAATTGCTCAGCAATATGCAGGACTGGCGAGAGACGTAGCAGGAACCGCGGTTAGATCGATTCCGAGTCTATGCAGAGCTTATGGGCGACCTTTCGAGGAGCGATGCGATGAAGGTTGGGAGAGAAGATGCGACGTCGAGGTGTGTAGAGATAACCATGAATCGAATAGAACGAGTTGGGATATCGATGAAGGAACAAACCGGGAGTTTTAAACCGACAACGGGAGCCAGTGGGAGGAACATTTATTACGGCGCGAGGTGATGAGTGGCTAGCCCCCTAGCTTAGAGCGCGCCACTGCGACTTCAGCTTTGCCAACCCTCGCCACCCGGCCAATCATCAGGAGGCCATATCTTTTTTCCCACCAAATTTGAAATTCATCGCGAGCGTTGGAACGGAGTCCGCGGTCAACGGTCACTGGCTTAAAGGATACATACAGCCCTGCCTGACGGGGTATTATGGCAGCCGCCTTTATACTATGTTAATCATGGCCGCCCCCCCTTCTCTCCCCTTTCCGTGGGATAATTCCACACTCGCCATGACCCTGTGTGCCCCAACGCAAGCCCACGATGCCAATGTCCGCAACACCCAAATCGATCCAGTCATCCCAATTCTGTGGATGCAAATCTCAATCATCCCATCCCAACTATTGTTCAGGAGGACCAAGTTCCTTCGTGATATCTCCACACACTCCTTCAATGGCATTTCAAGTGCTCGTGATGGCATTAACAGGTTCCTAATCATCATCCTCGTGAGTGAACTCGAGTATCTGTCCCCATTAGTAAGTCGCCCGTAGAATGTTCAATGTGCTCGTGTGTATGGCTCACCATATTGTTCCAATTCCCGCCGCAAGACGTAACAGCACTCGGTCCCATATTCTGAAATCCCAAACCGGTGTAAAATGGTACTAGATGGTCATGAGTCAGGAGAGCTATCCTGTCCGCACATTTGGAGTCCTTGATGCGCTGGATGTACGACTTCATCAAAATGGATCCCAATCCCATCTTTTGGAACTCGGGGATTACCGCAAGCGAATGAAGGCAGATCGTTCCGCCCATATCTTGATGGCCAAGAGGTTCTTTGTCATTGTCGGACGGAAGGGAAGATCGTCTTGTCCTCCAATTTGAGGGAACTCCCATCGAAGCTTCGGTCACGCTGGGCGACGGGCTCCTGGTAGACACAATGTGAGCTATCAGCCTTCGTTGAGGAGGGGTGGGTAATTTTTCCGCTTCTGCTCTGGTAGGCTGAGTAAATAATCCTAAGCTCAACTCGGGGCATCTGGTGAGGCGATATTGAAACTGAAGAGAAGATGTGTCAGTCTTGAATCCTTGTTCATATTTACAACTGCCGACAAATGCCAAACCCCCCAGCACACATGATCTCGATAGAATCGGCGCTCACCTTTTCCCGGCTCGCTCTCTCCTCGGGAGGAAAGGCTTCGTTTTCAAGAGAGGAACATTGATCCACGTTCGATACGGAGAGCGCCTGGTTTTCAGGATGGAGGCGATCCCATTCATGCATGGAGCCGCGTCGGCGCGCCCCCAATCGTCCAGTCAACATACTCAATAAAGGGTGGTTCGTCATGAGATTACGATCGTCGTCTGAATCATCTTCGTCATCCACGGCTTCATCAACTTCGCCAAGACTGTGGCCAAAACGATGAAGCTCTAAAGGATGGGTCGATGGTTTCGGACCATCCGGGTCATTATCCTGCATATCGACGTCGGCGTGTTGGACATCAATAAAACCATCTTCGTCTTGAGGAGGTTGACCACTTTGGGATTCGACCTTGGCAGCAGGGCTTTGAGAAGTCGCTATTGGGTCTGATTGGCTGGTGCTTCGCGGCTTCGGTGACAATTCGACTGGTTCCATCGCGTCATGAATCGGATGGTGAAGCGAAAACCTGCAGGATTCCTTATGGCAAACGATCGGAGTCTAGGAGCCTCGCCCGGGCGGTCGACTGATGGTGACAGGGAAAATTACTAGCACGTCAGGGCGCCCGGAGGAAGACTGGGAAATATTCGAGTGTAGCGTGTGAAACAAAAGAAAAATTCGATTTTGAGATTTTAAATTTCTGGTGCGCTTTCAGGCCAATACACGTGCAAAGGAGGAGCGAGTTCGAGTGAGCACTTGTCGTTCAATGAGAAAAGAGGTCAGCTCTCGGGTCGGGTTTGGAGGATCTAAATCGAGGTGGTGGAGGAGGTGTTGGTTAAGGGCAGTGTAATTGATGTAATCGATTGCATGGTGAGATGAGAAAAATAGAAGATTGAGAACCTTTGAAATGGCACGCGACAGGAGTATGGTAGGGAGCGATGAGACAATTAGGGGAGAATGGTGGACATAGCACTGGACAATGGGCGGTGAAGGGAGAAGCCTAAAGGGTAAGAACAGGAGGCAGGAGACGCCTGAGGCAGCACCCAAATGAACACCTAGAAGGGAGCCTGTTTGTTGGAGTTGTTTACCTAACAGGTTTCGCAGCCTCGGCCGTCTCTTTTGCCGCAGTATTTTAAGTAAAAATCATTTGCCCTGATCAACAGGGACACTCCACCTCTCAAACCATGGCCATGAGGTGCTATTGGTTCGAACGACCAGATCGAAAGACTCTCAAGCTATTTGATCTAGGACACAAACTCAATCCCATGGGTACTGCCTATGCCGACACCTAAGAACATGGTAGTTGTATTCACTTCGCTCCCGCGGTCATTATCTCTGTCACTCCCCGGCGCTCATGTGGCGGCGGTGCGGAGATGCGTCATTGTCGTTGTGCCTATGAGAAATCACTTGCAGACATACATCTCTACATTTCCATTTCAACAACTTCAAATTCTAATAGATTACCCTTATTCCCCTTTCCTCCACCCATTAATATCACCCTCTACTTTTCTGTCTCTCAATTCAGCAGCATGTAGGCTTACGCTCAGTATGCACCGCACGAATCATCGTTCTGACCTTCTTGCAGGCGGATTTCAATATCTATTATCAATTCCGACGTAGACGTCCCGTCAGATTTCTTCGGCCTGGAAGTCGGTCCTGACATGACTCTCAACGACATCAAAGGTTTCGTCGAAGCCGAAATCAACATTCCTCCCGCCTCACAATATTTCTTCCAAGATGGTCAACCAGTCACCGACACCTCCATCAGCCTGTCGCAGATGAACATTCACGAAGGCGATGTGGTAGCAATGGGGATTCAAGCGTCGAGGCCGCGGAGTCGCCCTGCTCAAGATGATCCCACACCACGCCCGGCGCAGCGAACAAGAAGTGGTAACGACCCAGAACAGTTGAGACTCCGTATCTTGGGCGATCCCGTTGTCATGGCAGAATGTCGAAGACAAGATCCGGAACTGGCAGCTGCCAGCGCCGACCGACAACAATTCCACCAACTTTGGAACAGAAGACAACGAGAAATCGAGCAAGCTCAGCGAGAGAAAGAAGAGCAGATTGCGCTATTGGAAGCAGACTCATTCAATGTTGAAGCTCAGCGGAAGATCGAGGAGTTTATCCGGCAAGAGAGAGTGAACGAAAACATACAGAAAGCCATGGAAGAGAATCCAGAGTGTGAGATGAACTTTGGTCCTGTATGAAGATTTCTACTAACCATCTCTCCAGCGTTTGGTAGAGTAACCATGCTTTACATCGACGTCGCTGTCAACAATGTTCCCATCAAAGCTTTTGTCGATTCGGGGGCGCAAAGCACCATCATGTCCCCCGAGGCCGCCGAGCGATGTGGGATTTTGCGATTGATAGATAAGCGATTTGGCGGCATAGCACGAGGTGTCGGTACGGCGAAGATTCTGGGACGTGTTCACTCGGCCGATATTCAAATTGGACAATACAGCTTGGCCAGTAGCTTTACAGTGATGGAAGGCAAAGATGTCGACTTGCTTCTTGGTCTTGACATGCTCAAAAGACACCAGATGTGTATTGATTTACAAAAGAATTGTCTGCGGGTCCAGAACGACGAAATCCCTTTCTTACCGGAGAGCGAGATTCCCAAGGTGATGGATGAGATATTGGAGAAGGAGCCCAAAGTCGAAGGTCCTGACGGAAGCACAATTGGGGCCACTACTGGTACTCTCGAGCCGGCGGGGGCATCGTCGTCATCGATTGGCAATACATCTCAGCCGAGGACAACGCCTTCGCAGCCGTCATCTTCACAGGCGGCAGCTGGGTCCAGCAATTTACATGAACCACAGCCCATCACTCAAGAATCGATCGCAAGGATAACCGAAATGGGATTTACACGGGACCAGGCGATTGCCGCTCTGAGAGATGCCGGCGGCAATCTCGATATAGCCCTGGGGATCCTGATGTTTTGAAGATTACCACCTGAGCAGTAACAAGATCTCAATGATATAATTCGCATTGCAAAGGAGCGAGCAATCATATCCAGGGTTGAGAGCTATTCAACTTCGTGGTGGCTCGATAGACCCAAGTTATGCATGAGCGGTAGAGTACTCAGATATAGAGCATCGAAGTGGTGTCGTGATGCAGAACCTTTTAAGAAGAGAAAGTCACTAACCCGTGGCTCATACAAGCATTCAATATAATTCTTGGGGTTGTCGTTCTGTTTCTGGAACCCCTGGAGCGACAAATCGCTTAGTTGGATGCACTGTACTTCTGATCGTGAAGCCTGCACCGGACAAGTTAGGGGATTGTCTCCTGGCTAGTGAGGCCTAAAATCGCGTCATGCTCCAGCGTAAGAGACCCCCAAAACCGCGCGGAGTTCGATGCCAAGCCGTTCTCTGAACTGCGCCCTCAACTTCAGCCCTGAAGATGGATCGCGTCTTGTAAGGGACAACTCTTGATTTACATCACCACCACCACCACCACCACCACCATCATACCGACCTGGTCTTTCGTCGCGTGTTCGGGAGCCATTGTGACTCGCTGCGCAGGAGCATTGAGTTGGAGGATATTGAGGAACGACTATGAATCGATCAGGTGGGTTTGTTGTTTTCTTTCAGCGCCGTCTAGGATCCACTCCCAAATCAATATTACGGGCCGACATATCGACCGCAGCAAGCGCTTGGGTGACCTTCAGCAACCAAAACGGGAACATCCATGGAGATTGAAGAGCAGGAACACAAATTTGTGTACAGCATCGGAGGGCAAATGCATCGAACATCTTCGCGCCAGCCTCGATAAGACACACCCGCACCTTACAATCACTGGGCGCCGATGGATGAACCTGCTGGAATCAATGGACAAAAGACAAAATGATCCCCCAAACACTTGGTCCCAATAAATTTTTTAAAAGAGGCTGGGAATCGGTAAGAGGACAAACGTGTTACGGTGTGAAAAACAAGCATGGATGGTTCAGCCTTTATGAGGACTCTATGCGACCTTTAACAACAATTCGGCGGCAGGAATGACTTTTTTGGTTATGCCCTCTGACTCTCGGTGCGGCTGGTACCCTTATTACGATCCAATTTGTGACGGCGAGCGGTTCTGGAGCGCGGTTCTGGAGCTGGGTTCCCTACCGAAATGGCCAACCCGGACTATTCTGCGGCTTTTTTGACCAACAGACTTTCCTGGCCATAGAATGAGATAACATGATCTGTATGTTATCTTTTCTCCGTTGCTCGAGTCTGGCCGTAACTCCGGAACCCTTTATTGTCTCGCAACTATTGGAAACCACAATGCATGGCCCTCTGGAAGCGGCGACTTCAGAAAACACGTACGAAGGAACAGCACCTTTTTGGGGGGAGGAGAGGGGAGGGAAGATTGGACTAGCACTGCAAAACGGCGAACTGAAGCCTTAGTCGTTTGCTAAAAATGGTGGTGTGCGATATGCTGACCGATCATCTCCAGGACAAGGCCGTCCCCTTTCAGCAGTGAATAACATGAACCAGCACGCTCAAGCTAGAACCGCCAACAACGGGAGAATGATGACAAACAAGCCTGGTAAGCCCTTTGATGATTGCTTATGGATAAGCTAATTCGGCTGACAGGCACTTGGGCACAAGCCGGTGTTCCATCAGCGCCGATTACTGCTCAACCTACTCGAGATTCTGTAGCCCCGGATAACTGGGCCCAGGCTATGAACTCAAGGACCAATACCCAGCTCGACCTTTCAGCCTCCTCGTGCGTTAAACGGTCCCTTCGATTTGCGACTCCTCCAGCTGATACTGTGATGATAGCTTTCCCAGTCTGAATAACAGTGGCCTACAATCTCAGAGTCATAATGTTAGCTCTAGTGCGTGGCAGACTGGCCCGCCGCAAAATGAACAGGCTCAAAGACAACAATTACAGTCGGCACGGTCCCATATGTCCTCACGACAGCAACAGCAGCAGCCGAGCACCAGTCGAGATGGGTTTTACCCTACTGATACCTACTCGAGAAACGCGCCGATGGAATATTCTTCAGAGTCGTCGTCGCAACCAGTACGGCGAGCCAGTCAGATACCAGGTGGACCTCCCGGTCTCGTACAGAGGCAAACAAATCAGCAAAGTGACAACATATCGAGCGACCCAGGCAGGGTCACATCCCCTTCCGGTCCGACACAGATTTGTAAGTTCCAAAGCTATGTCGATGAATCTTCTCACTAACCTTGTCTTAGCTCGCTCACCAATATCTCAAAGCATGAATGCTGCCATAGGACAAGAGAGATTCTTGGGACCAGATGGACGGTCACAAAATAAAGACTACGCACAAGACTCGCCATCTCAGTCGGTAGGGGTTCAATCAAGGGAGGTGTTGGTCGATCGAGATACCGGCGCGAGACCAGGCCAGTCTCTCGAGTCGATATTTGCCGGCATGACCGAGAGGGAGAAGTTTGGTATGAAGGGATACATTGCCGAACAAGACAACGCAAGTCCTGCAGCGAGGAGTTTAATGAAGGGAGTGGACTTGTCAACACTGGGAATCAACATGAGTTCTCCAGAGCCGCTACTAGCTTCATACCCTGGCCCGTGGGCGGAACCGAATGCTCAACCGTTACGCCCGTTGGACTCGGAATACAGCATACCAGATTGCTATACGGTGAAAAAGATTGCGCCCCTGTCAAGTCGAATCAATGGATTCATGGATGAGACGTTATTCTTCATTTTCTACACCATGCCTCGAGATTACACGCAGATGCTGGTAGCTCAAGAGTTGGTGGCGCGGAAATGGCGATACCATATGAGAGAGAAACAATGGCTTACCAGAGACGAGGCATCACCGAGTCCAGTATTATTGGATGACAAGGTCAGCGAACAAGGCTATTACATCTGGTGGGACACAAAACTATGGAAGAAAGTACGGCGAATTTACACGTTGAGATACGAAGATCTGGAAGAGCAACCCAGCATGGGAAATCGAACAATGCATGCCGCTGCAATGGGAGCAATGGCTAGTGGAATGAATGGCGGAATGACTGCCGGTAATTTCAATGCTGTGCCTAGCCTGGAGAGGATGGCTGCCAGTGGAAGAGGATTCTAACCGTCATTTTCGTCCGTGGGATTGAATGTAACATGGTCTCGAGTTATGGGATGCTTTTGCCTGACTATGAACCAGGCAACTCGCAACAGTGGTCTAGGCTGTGCCCAAAATCGCCATGACAATCTTCAGGATACTGCAAAATGTCACAATGGGATGCATATTCTGCATGTTGTCCTCTACACGATGGCTTGTCGTAGTGGTGCTGTTGACAGTCACGTGAATCCTGCGGGCTTTGGCTTCTGAAAAGATTCGAGGTCGCTCGTCATGAACTCATTTAGACGCGTTTCCTCTGGCCATTTCTTCGTCATGATTGGTGCCGCTGGTACCATTCATTCTAGATGCAACGTCTATTTTCCTCTCTTGTATTGTATGTTTCGCCATTCAGCGAGTTCTTCGTTCATTGCCCATCGTTGCCATTGTCCACTAACCCACTACCAGCGAACGAGTTTCGTACCGTCGTCTCCATTTACATTTCTTCCCGCACGGAGCGACCGGATGCGATTGGTGATCCTCATTGCATCTTTCGACTTCGAGAGTCCATAAAATGAGTTCAAAAACGTGCATCTACGAGTCGCAATTCGGTTCCTGACCGAGAAACTAGCCTATGTTGGAAGTTCACTCTAGAGACATTTCGTGTTGCATGTTTACACCATCATCGTCTTGAATCTGCACATCATGCCATTCTCTTCCTGGTTCTCTTCCTGGTTCTCTTCGATCAAGCTACAACCTCAAGCCGACGCGAACGAAGGGCACATTAAAACAGAACCTTCCTTCTCCATCGAAAAAATGGATTTTGATGCCATCGCAGACCAAGTGGAGGCTCTTCAGCACGAACTTTCATATGCCTACGAACTGTGTGAACAGGCCAACCTTCAGTTTGATAAGTACCGCGTTGACATACACGAACTGAAGACGACCCTGGCAAATGAACGAAATGCAAAGGCAAACTTGCAGCACCAGCTTACCACAGAAAGAAGCCACAATGTTGTTCTGCGAACACAAATTCACCAGGATAAATTAGAATTGAAGAGATGCCGGGTCATTGCGACACAATTACAAGCGAGACTCAATGCCGAATCTGACTCCTTGGCTTCTATGACCAAACATGCCCGTACCATGGAATCCCGAATGGTGGATGCGCAGTTCGAATTGGATTATCTGAAATGTGCCACCAAGATTGAGCAGCCTCTTCATACACCTGCAGCCCAGAATCCGGATACTCCTCTTCCAGCTCAACCATTTGTTGTTGTCCTTGTTGATGGCGATGCTTACTCAGTGGGTGATTTCACAGATGGAATCCCGAGTCCTATTGCTGATGCCTTTTACTTCCAGTGGACTCCAGAGCTATTTGTGACCGACAACTACATTTCCGGTAGGTCCGAAACTGAAAATCCTGCTCCAGTTGCCCCTGGCGCATTAGCCGCAACCCGAATCAGAACAGAAGTCAACAAATATATCATGAATCAGAACGGCAAGATTCCGATCCATTCCAAGATCATTACTCGTGTTTTCTGCAATTATTCCAGGTTCGCAGGCCATTTTGTTTCGCGCCTGCGACGGAACTCCATCGGGGTCTATTGGAAGGACTTTGCGGTTCAATTTACGGAGAAAACCCCCTTGTTCGATTTCTTTGACGTTGGAAGAGGCAAAGAAAGAGCAGACGATAAGATCAGGGGTAAGATTACCACCGAGTCTCTTTGAAGTGGCTGACCAGACTGAACTTTGTTGTAGAAAACTTTCATCTCTATCTATCAACACCCAATTGCCACGCGATTTTTGTTGCCGCCTGTCTTGATAACGGATTTGCTCGAATGCTCGAACAGTACAATGACCATCCAGTCGCTTGGGCGAAGATAGTCCTCGTCTCCCCTGGCTTTTTGGCACTTGAGATCCAGAAATTGAAATTCCGACAAGTCTTGTGGCCTAGTGTTTTCTCAGTAAGGACTGTGCCCAAGGATATCGCTATCAGGACTGAAAAGGGCCTCCACAAAGAACAGAGTCTTGTTCGGCGAGGTCATTCCACTTCCATGCTCGAAAATATTGGCATTTCAAGGTTACTTCTTGATCTGATACCACGTTGGAACATCAATGATGCAATGATCAGATATTCCCGTGGCATTGGTGTAAGGCTTAAGCAGCTAGATGTGGTTGCGGAGGATCTTTCCAGAGCCATTGACGAGGAGGCCAACGAAGCTATCGATTGAAACGGCCCATTCCACCTACGGCAAATGTACGGGTCTAGTCATCAAGGGAGAAGCAAGGTGAGCAGATGGTTTCAGGTGAATTGTGCGGTTGCGTTATTCCTGGAAAATTGGTTTGAGACGGCCTGATTCAGCAAGACATAGCAGCATAGTTAATCGCTAATATCTCCGGAGCTCCACAGTGGGCTCCTCCTCGAGGCATGGAGATGGGCGCATCTTACTTGATTGAACTGCATCATGATTCGACGGCATTCACATATCAACCTCAACTATGAACAAGCAACCAACATCCAACCCCAGGCTTCTTTCGTTTCTCTTTCTCTACTCTTTCTGAATCCATCATATCTTTTCTATCTCATGGAGCTCCATGCTCTCTATCTCCTTTCCTTCTTTCTCTTCCACCTCCCAACCGCATCCGTTTACTCTGACTTTCACTCGCAATCGCCTATCGACACTTCCTCCGGCATCGAGATCGATAACGACCCCCTCCCCTTCTCGACGCGAACACACTGGATGCGCCGAGCGATTTCTGTTCTGTCTGAACTCTCCTCGCCCTGCCCCTTTGCAGCTTTTGGCGCCGTCATCGTCAACCACACCACCTCGCTTTCCTCCTCGGATTCACGAGATGAACTTGGTGAACTGGTCTGCATGGGTTTGAATGCTGTTATGGAGGATGGAAATCCGACTTTACATGGTGAGTATAGACGGAAGTGGAGGCATCTGTAACGTCCGTACGGCTGGACTGTTGCTCCCCTTTTCTCTTGACGCCCAACATACATTCATAACCTCTATATCTCTGCTTTCATTGGCCATCGTGGCCGGTTATTTGAGTCCAATGTTCGCTAATAACTTGTGTTAAATGGCTGTAAAGGCGAAATCGCAGCGATCAACAACTGTACACACATCTTCACTGATGCTGCCGGCGAATATCATCTTTCCGCACCGGAGGCGCTCAATGCATTTGGTGACCTCAGTCTGTATACGACGGCCGAAGCGTGTCCGATGGTATGTTCAAGTTTCGTTGGCCTTTCATCGTATCATTGGGATGTTTTTCCTTTTCACGGTGTCTCTGTACAATCTCAACGTCCAAGTCCAATCGCACAGTCAATCAGTCAGTCGATCCCTATCATCTCAAGACTATATGATGATTTCCAAACCTTCCCTACCTCCGTTTCTTCTCTCTCCATCTTGATCTCGACCTTGACATTGGTCTTGACATCAATCTTAACATTGTTCCCAGTGCGCGTCTGCGATCCTCTACTCCGGTTTTAAAGAATACATCTACTCGACCTCGATCCCGTCCCTGCACGACCATGGATTTGCCCAAGTCATGATCCCGTCGAGGGAAGTTTTCGCGCGGTCCGAAGGACGAGCCCATGTTGCACAGACGAGGATTTTAGGCGGGATCTTGGCGAATGAGACTGATGGACTGTTCAGTTGGCAGTTCGATCCGGAGGGGCCTTGTCCGACGGGGTGTCGAAGGGCCACGGAAATAGAGGGAGGGAAGGTTGTGCCGTGTGTGGCTGACTCGAGTTCGCCAGAGGAAAACAAGGGTGATGATAAGCACAAGGACGCAAGAAGGGCCGTGCCGGACAGAGAGTTGTGATTCCTCTGTACGTAGTTCGTATTTACTATTTGGGGTCTAGACTCTACGTGAACGAGAAAATAGAGGAACCCGTATCGTGTTGGGTCTGCCGTCTGAGATGTAGGTGCTGGCATCACAAATGACGAACCTGAGGAAGGAAGAATTGTGAAGAAAGGCTCATCGCCGGCAATCGTTTTGCTGGAATCAGGAAAGCTCAGAGAGAGAATGGAAAATGGAAATAAAGGCCTCTCCTGTTTCATTTGGCTCCATATAATCCTTCCAGTCTCTGTGTTTACAAGGAGATAAAAACACTCTTCAACTCCGTCCAGTAGTCTGTCGAGTATTTGCTCAGCTCCCTGCCGTCACCGCTCTGCTTCCAGCCACCGAAAGGCATGTCTATGGCCATGGTGGGACTGGTGCAGTTGACGCCGACGGAACCAGCCTCCAGGGCCTTCGCCACACGCAGGGCTCGTGAGACGTCCTGGGTGAAGACGCTGGCGTATAAACCGTATTCGGTGCCGTTTGCGCGTTTGAGGACTTCGGCTTCGTCGGTGAATGTGTTGATGCAAACGACAGGGCCGAAGATTTCCTCCTTCATCACCTTGGAGTCCTCGGGGGCGTTGGCGATGATGGTAGGCTCGACGAAGTAGCCCGTGGTCCCTTCTCGGTTGCCGCCGATGGGCATTTCTAGACTGTTCTCCTTGGCATAGTTGAGATAGGACATGACGCGGTCGAATTGGATCTTGTCAGCTTGTGGTCCTCGTCGGGTGCCGGCGGCGGTGGGATCGCCAGGGACCCCCATCTGAGCCATGGCGGTCTTCATGGCTTCCATGAACTTGTCGGCAATAGCTTCGTGGACGTAAATTCGGGAGCTGGCAATGCAAGCTTGACCGGAATTCATGAGAATGGAGAACGCAGCGGCGGGAATGGCCTTTGCGAGATCGGCGTCATCGAAGACAACCAGAGGGGATTTACCTCCTAATTCTAAAGTGACGTTCTTCAAGTTGGATTCGGCGGCCGCTTTCTTGATGGCTCGTCCGACGATGACGGAGCCAGTAAAAGAGACTTTTCGGATGTCCATGTGTTTGGCAATGGCTTCGCCGCAAGGTCGACCGAATCCGCTGAGAATGTTCAAGACACCATTGGGGAGACCGATCTCCTGGCACAGACGAGCGACAACAAGGCAAGAGAGTGGGGATTTCTCAGAGGACTTGAGGACCAAAGTGTTACCCGTGGCGAGGGCCGGGCCAACCTTGTTGATTAACATGAGAAGAGGGAAGTTCCAGGGGATAATGGCACCACAGACACCGAAAGGTTGCCGGAAGGTGATGTTGACCATGTCTTTGGTGTTTAAGGACGAATCACCAGCGACATCGGAGGCCTTACTGGCAAAGTATCTAAGAATTTGGCACCCAAGGGGATTGATAACTAGAAAAATGAAGAAAAAAGAAAACATGAGACGCGTACTTAGAAAATAAATGGTGGAGAATAGGTCGCGGCTTACAATCACCAACGTATGGCTTGCCCATACTGATAGCCTCAAGATAACCGATCTCGTCAACGTTCTTCTCAATAGCATCGGCCAGTTTATTCAAGTATCCGGCTCTGTCGGCAGCAGAAAGGGCAGACCAAGCTGGGAAAGCCTCTTGAGCAGCCTTGACGGCGAGATCGACATCCTCTGCACCAGCTTCGTAAACCGATGCGGCCAACTTCTCAGTACTGGGGTTGGTGATGTCGAATTTCTTTCCAGATTTCGAAGGAACGAATTCACCGTTGATGAAGAGACGGTCCTCAATGTGTTTTGGCTTGTATCCCTCGGTGGGAATATCAGCAGTGGCTGAAGGAGCCATTGTGAACGGTCGTGGGCGTCTATTGAACCTTGAATGGGAAATCGATAATCAGGAAGTTTCGGACCCATAACTGGGAAGAGGGCGTGACGCATGCTTTATACGATCTAACCTTCCCCTCTCTTGGTCTTTGTCAGCGTGAAATGACACAAGAGACTTACTAGCTATTGAGAGCGACGCACCTGAGATGTCGCTGGTGGCCAATAAGATCGTGCTCGTGGTGCCCGGTAAGATATCATGGCACCGTCACATGTTTCGAAGGACGAACGAGGCACTCCCCGGTGGGCGTGGAACCGCATGAGATCGTCTCGACCAGTCGGATAGGAGTTGAGACTCCAGAAAAGATGTCAACATAGTACGGCCGGGCCTCTGTAGGAGGAGCTGGGAATGTCACGAGGCTCTGGGGTCATGCTTACGGGGATTCCACCGCAACCACAACTCTCCTCGTATACCCGCAGCCCGATCACGAATGAAGCTTCAAAAGGTCTCAAGTCCTTTGCATTCACTAAGGGACTAGAAGGTCAGCCCTCCGTTCCGGGTCGGGTTTTGACATGTAGGCCGCGGGCCGTGGACCAGCAGTAATTCATTCCCCATACCTGATTCCACGCTTTTGCATACTAACAACCGTGCTCGGTTAAGTCGGTGTATATCTAAACACACCCTATCCGGATGACTTGATCTAGCCTTCTATGGGCACCCTGTATGTTGCTGCATTGATCATGCTCCTCCGTGATGCCTATCTGCTTACCAATTGTAGAAAGAAGGTGGCTAAAAAGGAAAAGATCTGTAACATTGACCGGGCTGATGATTTGCCAAGCCATCGGGCCTCCTCTCAGGTTGAGGCGTCATGATGATCGTAATCAGCCTGCTCGATATAGCAAGAACTGCGAGGCAAGGTTTCCGTGATCCGAGCCGGCGAATGGGATAGGAGCCGGTCAATCAGGCTGGCCCCCAAGGGGGCCTATGCCGGTGGAACGTCAATGGCTAAATGATGTACCCGAGCGGCTCGTTGGCCGATACTAGCTTTGACTCCACCATTTGCTTCACCATTCTCCGTTCCGGGAAGTAATAATTACGTACCCTACCCGAGATAAATAGGGTGGATCTGTAAGTTGGATTTGACAATCCACTATTCTCACTGAACTCGGTCGAAGCCCGTCCCCCACAACCCCAGGATACAGCTTCCAATTCGGATGCCAGTCTCTCCCTTCACCTCTCCCTTTTACAAGCTTCTTCGACGTATTCCACCTATAGTTCTTGTTCTCGTTTACTAGGTCCACTAGAGCCACTGAATGACTCCCGTAATTCCTTGAAGCTGAAATCAAAGTCCTCACGTCAGCAATTAGTTAAACACCGTGCATACGAAATGAGGGGAGATAGGCCGTGTGGCCGCGCCCAAGGCCCAAATCCAGAACAGGGGTTCTATGTAGATTGGAGTAGCTACAAGCAAGGCACATGTTGGTTGGGGAGTAAGGAGTTATATGAACCGCTTCTCGAGTCAGCCCATCCACCCATATGTGAAGAAAGGCTTGTGTAAGATGTTCGAAGAGAATGCGCGAGGTATGGAAGCATAGAACGCCAGATGTGCTGGAAAGATACTCTGGAAAAGGTTTGTCCATGGCCGACGTTCCCTTTCCCCAGCATCCGGTCTCAGATTCACACGTAGCGCCCGTTGACTGAGAGGGTGCAGTGTATAGCGTACAGATTCCTTTACCTCTAAGGATGGGCAAGAGAGGCCGAAGAGAGTGTGTTTAATGGACCGGGAGAGCTATTGGGACAATGGGCCGTGAACCAACGCATATTTCAGCCTAATCCCTTTTTTCTTGGGAATGTGCCTAGTCATTGTCGGAACGCACCTTGGTTTTTATCAGCCTTTCTTCTATTACCTATACCATGATTATCGCTTTTCAGTGCCCGTGGTTATCAACATCGGTACTGGACAAAGTTCTTCAAGAATCCTTGTTATCCCCTCCCGAAGAGTGGCATACGTTGCTCATGAATGAATCCATTCAGGTTTCTTCTTTTCCGCAAATGCCTTCATGCCAATCTTTTGATCCTGGCTTCCGAATAGCGAATGGAAGATACGGCGTTCATACTCCACACCTTCTCGGATTCCCAGATCTTGACTTTTGTTGACCACCTCTTTGGCCGCCACGACCGCCACACGCGAGTAACTGGCGATCTTGGCCGCCGTATCCAATGCTCCTTCAAGAACTTCCTTATTGCCGCCCTCAAAAGCCTTTGCCGCCAGGCCGTGCTTCTCTGCCTCTTCTCCACTGAAATTGTTGCCCGTGAGGATCAGTTCCATGGCTTTGCTCTTTCCAATCGCGGCGGTCAATCTTTGTGATCCTCCAGCCCCTGGGATTGTTCCCAATTTGATTTCTGGCTGGCCAAAATTGGCCGTCTTGGTGCAGTAGACAATGTCGCACATCATAGCAAGCTCACAGCCACCACCGAGAGCATGGCCGGATACCGCTGCGATGATGGGCTTGCGCAGCGTAGTCATGAACGACCATGGGGCGATGAAGTTGTTCACGTATGCGTCGGAGAAGGTGAGAGGAGCCATCTCTTTGATATCCGCGCCAGCTGGAGGTTGTTAGCCTGATTTGTGCTCTTTCGTGCATTGGAGAAGATCTGCGATACCTGCAAAAGCCTTGTCGCTCCCTGTCAACACTATAGCGCCAATTTCTTTGTCCTCCTCATATTTCTTGAGTGCATCGTTCAATTCGACAAAGAGGGCACTCGACAGGGCGTTCAGCGCCTTTGGTCGATGGAGTGTGACTGTTTACAGGACATTGGTGTCAGCATCGTCTTTTCGTTTCGACGACGGAATTTCGAAATATATATAAGATCTGGCACTAGACGGAGTCTGACAGACGTACTAAGCCCAACACCTGTTCTGGGAGTCGAGACCAGAATGTTTTCATAACTACTCGCTGTGGATTGGAATCGGGCCAGCCGAGGGAGCGTTCGGGGAGCAGAAGACAAGGCAGCTACAGGCCGTGATAAAATCCTCAGAGAAGACATTACTGAGGCTGGAGATGGGGAAAGGGACATTGATCTTCACACATATTCCACGGAGAGCATTGGAAGCAGCTCCAATATTTAACTCTCCACCACTTCTGAGTTCCTCGGTTGATTCTCACGCCCGACGATTCGCCTCTGGCAAGGCCGGATCGGATTAACAAATCTCCCGGGGCCGAGTTCCCCCAGTCTGCGAAAGGCTCCCCGCCAATCTTTGCAGGCAAGCATTTCCTAATTACACTTTCCGTCCCAAACGGTCGAGGCAAAAACGCCAGGTTGGAGGAAAATTAACTCGACGTGGCTTCAAAATCTCAAGGACCGTGTCGCTACCTCAACAATCATCAACTCGCCAGACCGTCACTCTTCCGTTCGTTACTCCGTTTCACAAACCCCTAGACAAGCTTCTTCTAGTCTGCAACTGGACAGGTGTATCCCGGTTCATTCGTCCTTCCTCGCTGCCGTGTTCGCACGGCCCAAAACCGCATGCGCAGGCCTTACATTTCATCCACTCTACCAACAACTGTCGCTACCATGGACGGACCCGAGCCTGATACGACGCCTTTTGACGCCATTACTGTCCAGAGCAATAAATTGTTGAGGGTATGGAAAACATCATCTGGGAACATACGATCCGGCTGACTAGCTCATAGCAATATCAAACCTACCTCGACAAATCTACTCCCTACGTCTCCTACCGATGGTCCGCCACTGGTATACTCCTTGTCCTCTTTTTCCTTCGAATTATCGTTGCGCAAGGCTGGTACATTGTCGCCTACTGTCTCGGCATCTACCTCCTCAACCTATTCCTCGCGTTCCTCCAACCCAAGTTCGACCCTAGCTTGACACAAGACGAAGGCCTGGAGGATGGCGAAGGTTCATCTTTGCCCACCAAACAAGATGATGAATTCCGTCCTTTCATCAGAAGATTACCTGAATTCAAGTTCTGGCATGCGGCAACAAGAGCCATCACCATCAGCTTTGTCTGCAGTTGGTTCGAGATCTTCAACTTGCCAGTTTTCTGGCCTGTACTGGTCATGTACTGGCTGATCTTGTTTTCTCTAACAAGTGAGGCGTATCCTACAAAATAGATCACTCGATGACTGACTCATACTGTAGTGCGACGACAAATCCAACATATGATCAAGTACCGCTATGTCCCTTTCTCCTTTGGAAAGGCCAAGTATTCGGGCAAATCGTGAATGGTTTCCCGGCAGCAGAATTTTCCTTTTTCTTTTGTTTTTGGAGACCGACGACATCATGGGTTCAAAATGGGAAATAGTGAATCATGAAGTGCGAGTTAGTGTAGGAATGTACAGCAAGATCCACATGCTCTGCCACACGATTTGGATTGACGATGAGAATGTCACTAGAGCCAAGTTGAGTCTTTATCAGCAACGCGTTCGGTTTCCATCGGACAGTCAATTCTGAGACGAATAGATTTAATTGAGCTTCATCACGAGGCGTCCCACGTCTGCCGATGGATTCAACATCTGGAGCTGAAGAAGTGATGCCGTGGATCGACAGCAACATATTTTCATCGCTTCCTATCCGTCTGCAAACTCCCCCCCAAAAAAGCGCCGAAGTCTCCCCGTGACGGTGATATTAAAGTTTAGAAGAATGACGGCTTCTAGCAGCGGGAAGCAGAGGTTCACAGGTGACTACGGTCTCTGCTGTCATCTGTCCTTCGAGTCATCGCTCACTTTGTTCTTGCTGAACCATTTCGACTGGGAGGGTTTAGGTGTCAAGCACGACTCCCTCGCTCCAATGTCACGACCAAAATCAGCGTGCGTTCGCCCAGATTCTCTATTGCACTCCGCTACAAGAATTTACTTTGATGTGTTTGTCCCTATTCTTGACGTGTCGACACAGCTATCTTGGCCTTTGACAGGTTCATCTCGTTCACCAACGACCTGACACTCGCTCCTCTCGATTACCTAGCAGGAATACTTGTCTTGCTTTGAACAATAACAGCTCTGCTCAAGAGATGGGTTCACTAGGACATGCAGGTTGCCGCCGTGGATCCAAATACCATGAATCCACCACCTGTCTTCGGATTTGCCGTCTGGATACTCTGTACGGATCCTATAGCTAGACTCTCCTTCTTCCCGCTCTATCGCACATCATTCTCTGCCACTGTTCGAGCTGCGAGACTCGATCTTGAGCCATTCAACCCAACTGGCCTGGACCTAGGCCCGGATTTCCGATTGTATCACTCTGGTGGTCATTTATGGCCCGAATCGTTCTAATGTTGGATTCGTCAGGCATATTATTCAACCAGAGCCCTCATATGAGTTGGATTTCGTCATGAATACAACGACCGTCGTGCCTAAGCAAATAGCGACTTGAACTATAGTTGGCCCAATATGCATCGTTGTTTCTGTTCTCGCGATCCCGGCTATCCACGGATTCAATCTGTGAACGTTTTTGTCGTCTACTTCCTTGGAGAGAATCTCGCCATTTTGACAGGTTGGCTCCTCTATCAATGAAGTCTTTGTTCGATGTGGAAATATCGACGCGCATGAAGATGCGCTGAATCTTGTTGTATGATCCTCGACTGCGGAGTTGACCGCGTCTGATCTTCGTGGCTAGGTTCCACTTTCTGGCATTTTGGCATCAATTAGCCTTGGGAAATCCCGATCAAAACCTTCAGAATCTAGATCGGTATTTGCTCGCAACCATGATGACCTCTTAAGAGTTAACAAGTACCTATTTCAGGTCAATAGGGTTCCACCTCGGCAGGTTTCTTGCGAAGACCCATGTTCTGAGGCTGATACAACCGGTCTACCAGTCAACAGATCCTCCTGTCCGAATGGGCCTCGAAAGTCGAGAACATGGAATCCTGAGACACTGCAAGTTGATCCAGCAGATGAGTGACCGCCTTCAGCTTTAACCATCGTTCTTTCCTTATCCATCTGAGCTAATCCGCTTGTGCGCTTTGCTGGGTGCCGATGCAGCCCAACAGCAAGTCCCGGACGAATGGCGTTTCTGTCATGGAAATTGTAATTTCGACTCTGTGTTGGTCAACTTGCGATCTGGCCAAGTCACTCGACCTGAATTTCTCGGAATGATTCACTGGGATCACGCGAATTTCTATGGAAGAAGTGTCGATGGTGACGTGGCCAGTCTTGTTGCAGATTTGGAGGTGTGCAGAGCTACTATTGAGCATCACCAGCAGTTACCTCACGAGGAGAAGATTGATTTAGATCTGATCTCTGCATTATCTGCCACGGTCTTGACACTCTGCGAATCCTTTTTCTTGAACTACACACAAGGAGGCCGTTCGATGACATGACTGCCTCCTAGACCCCAAATGGAGAAGAATTGGAAATAAAAGTGGCCCCAAAAGAATGCCCTAGAACGGACCTCTTTGACGGCACTTGAATGATCTACATTCTTAGCCCGTGGTCTTTACATCGTCAGCTCGGTATTTGCAAAGCCTTGGGACCGTATGAATACAGGCCGCATTGCTGGTGGGAAACGTACGAACGCTCGGCCAGGGTGCAGATTGGTTCCTGGAGTGATACACCAAGGACTTTGGTTCTTTCGAACGGCGAGGGCGAATGAATATGCATCTTCCTGCCACAGGGAGACCATATCACGAGCTGAAGATTGGGATAGGCCCGGGAGACCCTGGATTTCGCAGCTCTTCTTGAGGGCAGATAGCAAATATTGATGGTCGTGTTTAGAGTAGCTGCGTGGAATCCGAGGAAATATGTTACGAGCATTGAAAAACTGAGGATGTTTGGTTCTTGGAAGGATCTGGCAGCCTTGCGAAGACTCGAAAGTATTCTCTTCCAGGTGTCCAGCTGATTGTTCGTTACAGCAATGCTTCGTATGTTTAGAAAACAATGGGTGAATTCAATAGTCTGGATACGCATCGACGGTGTCCCGACTCTCGACTCGTTGTGTCAAACTTTGGGGGTGCAAATGAGATGTATTGAATGCTCTGCCTCTTTGGCAACTGGTCCTGCCAGATTGCCTGTATATATATGCTAGGTTGACCCCTTTTCTACTCCTATATCCTGCATAGGGATGATGACCCTTTTTCCCAGTAAAAAGGAGTACTGCTCATTGTTCGACAGAATTTCTAATATTTTTTCGTCCTTTTTGGATCATGCGGCCCCGCATCTTCTATCTCTGAGAGTCCACGACAAAGAGTGTAAGATGTAAAATCATTGGTGTCCAATTCTCTGTCATTTTGTAGAGAACTTGGTCCCGACCATGCGGGAGGTGTCACCTTCTCCTACATTTTAGCGAGCATCACTTGACAAGACGAGGCGATCCAATGGAGGCATGAGAAAGCATTGCCATTAAAGAAATCCGAGGTGCCGAGTACCATAATATCTGATATCCACAAAATATGGGGAATGACCATCCCCAGCCTTATTGAGAAGAAGCGAGAATCTGAACCCGAACATGTCACAGTGGCAAAGCCAAGAATAATTCCGACAACGTTTTATACCCTCAAGACTGCCGAAAGAAGCGTGTAGAATTGCAATGATTTGACAGGGATATCACGGGCATCGGACACATGCCCACTAAAAAGACGGAAATCCGCGACGGTGGCATCTTGGATATCGAGCATATACCCTTCAGTCTGATAATCACGCCACAGGTAGCGCGCGCGGCTTTGTTCTGGGAGGTGGGATTTGTTCTAAAGATTTCGAAGAAGCACGGGGCCCTCGCGTGGATTCGAATAGAAACGCTTTCATTGGATATAGTAGGTACTATCGCCAATTCACTGCCGTATAAAACAATAACCCCCGTTGCAAGACTCAATGGCGATAGCAAGGCCGTTTGCCGACAATGTGACGACTTCTATTTCAACCTGATATATTCGACTTAGCCGCAGCCATACTGTACTGCCGAAGGAATATATATGGCTCCGATCACTTTGCCGCATTTTGAAAAATTGATCATTCGAAATGTTTCTGAAGGCGATTCAAACTCCAACTCTTCGCAACCGGAACCTTCCTCGCGTGGACCAGAATCGGACCTCAGTGCTCTTTACCTGTGCCCGCTCGTGGTGATAGTCGTCGTTATACTGCTCGCTAGGTAAGCCCAATCGGCTCGTTTATTCCTGAGCTGCCCGTATAGGACGTGTGCTCACTGAAACCATGATATAGTTTGACTGTGTGGGTTGCCAGACGACGGTCGAAGCGCGCAGAAGAAAAGCAGAACATCTGGAGAGAAAAACGAAAGGAATCGCTCTTGAAGTCTCTTCCCGACCCCATCTTATGGCAACCGCCGATCAGTCGTCAGGAGAAGGCTTCCTCTGGTGAGCCCGGATCTCAAAATTCCTTGAATACGGTTCAACAAGAACAAGAGATATGGTGAGTTCTCCCACCATCAGAGACCAGAGATCTCTACTGATAGGCGCATAGCGCATTTTGCCTGGAAGAGTTCAAATCATCAGACATGGTCCAGAGACTGCCTCAGTGTCAACATTTCTTCCACTCTGCTTGCGCTGACGAATGGATGACGCGAGAACTACAGCGTTCAGAGAAATGGGAGTCAATGTCAAATTTATCAGAGCCCAGCAAAATCGAACGTACACTACGAAGTATCTCGATGACATGCCCATTATGCAGAAAGAAACTTCATGAGCAATCGACGGCTGAGCTGACTGAACCAGAGCCTGCGCATGTCCGCCATGGGCCAGAACCTCAGTCAATGATGTCTGGATCCGCGCAGTCAGTTTTGTGAAAAAATGGACACAAGACCATGAGATGCAATGGTCGGGACAACAGACCCGCTGATCCACAGATCGAGATCGGCTTCAAGCCCGGGGATTTCGTACTTCGGGGACCAATCATCCCGAAATTTGATCTTCCGACGAAAGAGGAGAAATGCATTCTTGTGACTTTCCCTTTCCGTTAAGCGGAAGAAAAAGTCACCCCATAGCTTCTCGCAGGAGTGCGTCATTCTGCAGAAATATGGGGAATCCAGGAGCAGCTCGTTTTTATACTTGGCTTGCTGATCCTCGGGTCACTTGAGAGACATCACATGCAGAAATCATGCCATCCATTTTTCCATCTAGCGAATTTGCTGGGCTCCTGTAAACCGGGGCAGAGTTCGTCTCCCAGCTTGGTTAGCGTTTCTTGTTCACATGACGACTACCAAACCGGTCTTCGGGGGCTCGACTCGAAATCCTAAAACGTGAACTATTTCCGCGCGAATCTTCTGGTGCAAGTCAGGATTTCAATGACATTCTATCCCTGCAGCCTGGGATCAAAAATGGTGACCAGACATCAGACTACGGATGTCTACAACAGGATCAAAGCAAAGAACGTTATCGTTGGACTCCTTTACGGTCTCGAGCATCACTGATCTTCAAACCCCAATATGAATACCACGGTGGATGCAGCCTTGATAGGAAAGATGATCCATTCGAAATGCAATCGACATCACTGTCGCAACGATCGGAAGCTCCTGACACCCAAGTCTGCAGGCCCGCCGACTTCACTTCCTCAGGTTGAAGAGAGATCCCCCCCAGAATTCTTGCATTGTGGTGCTTGGCCACCACCACCTAAGCTGTCTAAACTGGAGAGTGAGGGTGATGATGACAAGATCTTCGGGCCTGATGGGAATATGACCACAAAGAAAGAACTACTTCACGCCCATACCAGTGCGAGTCCTTCAACCTTACCCGACATCGATGAGAGCAGTACCAGTTCTGAACTTGGATCAAACAGCTCGGCAGATGAAATGACTATCACCCCCGTAAGGTCTTGGACCGTGACTTGGAAAGATCTCTCAGCGGCGGTGAATTCTTGGAAAGTCAAAACCGACGGTATCAATCAAGATGAAAATGGAAATGAGAAGGGTATGTATAGTCGTAACCCAACAAATCTCCTTTCCACTGACATTGAAGACGTCAGCGGCAGCAGCATTGGCTAACGTCATTCGTACTCTAGTCAAAGCTCCTTATTCCGTGCTGAAACTCCTTGCCAGACACAATGGCGAGGCCCCGAGTCTTCGTCGTCCGGGGGAAGAAGTGAAAGAGAAGTCTCCACGACAATATCTTTTCGAGCAAGAGATCATTGCCGAAGGTCAAGCCCGAGTGGAAATCACCGAATATATTGACACCCTGATTGATCATGCCGAATTTGAGCAAGGTTATGAATGTGTTTGGCCGCTAGAGGATTATCGTCGGAAAGGGTGGGCGAAGGAGATGGTCGCGGCATATCCCGTCGAGTGTGCCGAATTCATCCAAAATGTACATGAACAATCCCGCGGCCGAAGGAGAGACGAGTCAGAGACAGATTGAAACGAGGAAACAGTGGCGGCAGATTTTTACGTCCTAAAAAGACTGCTTTCTGTGATGTGGGGCACATGAATGATGCACTGACTAGTGATTCGAAGGCTGCATGCTTTTTTCTTCTTGTGGTCTTCCAGCTTGGTCGTGCTAAACAAAAGAAGGCTCTGGCTCTCCGAAATGATTGCAGGAGAGAGCCCATCTATATATCTATCTAAGCAGTGTGCGTCAACGCTGTTGCCTGTCAACAGCCCAGTGGGCGAGTGTTGCAAAATGAGTCGGCTTGTCGGTAACGATAGGTTACCACCTATTCAACAAAATTCTGTTGTCCAATCTCCAGCCGTGTCAGACATGGAGAGATTCCCACTTCCACATACAATCTTTCTTGTCCAGCTCAATTGCGATGATCAGTGACAGAATCGAGCGCACTGTTAGGAAATAGCACTAGCACCTCCACGTCCCGTTCAATTCGCCGAAATTCTTCTAGAAAGCACGAGGCGGCCAGCGTTGGATCATTTCAGATAGAGAAGACGGATTGCAGGTAATCATCTTACTGCATCAGAGCAAGAATTTCAAGGAGAAATTCCGTCCCAAAGGCCGAGAAGTGTGCTGCGGAACACGTCAGACCTCTAGTCATGGGAACCACTCATGCTCAGCCTCTTCTAGATTTGCCGCGACTATGGCCCAGTTCGAGGACGTTCGGACGCGGATACAACGCTGAAAAGATATGCCGTGGCGGCACAGCGCCGCAGTCTGAGTATTCCTCGCAATCGCCTTGACATCAGTCAAGCATTCGGGACACAGTCTTTGCGGATGGCAGGGGCCGCAGCCCTGGTATCAAGGAAGTAAACCACATTGATAAGGATTGCGAAGTCAAGGATAGGACGGACTTGTATGTCGACGAGAGAGGCCGGCTGAAGCATTGGTGTATAATGCAGAGTTCTGAAGAATTAGGGCTGTCCTCGATCTCATTCGGAGAGGAGATCTGGTGAAATGCAGGGCATGGCGATTGTCTCTTCAATCTCCTCTTCAAGAGCCGTGTCGAACATCGACCTGTACATTTATACCGATCCTTGTGGACTTTCCGTTTGTCTCCTAATGGTTTCTGAGCTGAATCATCCGCTGACTCTGGGTCCGGCCTCGGTCACGAAGGTGCATGTATATAATTACAATTGCGAGATGGTCAAACACGAAGTCTTTGTCAGCACCGGTAAAGGGGCAAAAGGGCACCATCGCGCGTACAATTTTAAGCACAGAGCTGTTCCTTCAAGTCGAGCGCCATTCTCACCTGACGATTCCCTACACTTTGACTTCTGAGCCACGTATGCGCCACATAAGCAAGGACGAAATTTTGTTCCTTTAGTGCTGGGCCACGCAGATCTGGCCTGGCTCAACGAAATCAGTGGTCATCCCAATGCACACGAACTGTGTAGATTCTGCATGTCTGATGCATTCGCATCCAGATTCAGGGCTTCAGGCCTGGAGCACATACCTTCGTTTCTATCGGTGGCTCTTGATAGACTGTGGAGTCTAGAGAAGGAATGTGTTGTTGTTCTATCTAAGAGAGAGCAAGACGAAAAGAAGGGCGCAAGTTGCCAAGCCAAACATCCTCACGTGACGTTGCCAAGGCAACCAGTCACGTGACTGGCCAACAGCTCTGACAGGCGACTCTTGACCCGTATCATTGTACCATCGAAGAGCCCTCATTGCTCCTTTTCTCCATTTCTCCTACAGAGACGAGGCAGAATTTGTCGACTCAAGGCTGATCCTCATGGTCTAACCATGGTCGACCGACCTACATCAAACCTGCAACGCCTCGGGAAGTGTTGCTGATCGCCCACTCCTGGTCCAACGAAAAGATGTCTCCTGGCCTCAGGCTTCAGAAGGGATACTGTTCATTCTGTCTGCTGACGGTGGCGGTAAGTAATTCCAGGACATCTTTCATTATATGCTCTCAAAGTCAATATTAGCGTAAAGTAGTTCACTGACTTCAATGGCGAAAAGTTGTTATCCTTGACCATTAGACCCATTTTTGACCAAGAGAGTGAGTGTTTGGTGCATGCCCGACTTGTCCAACCAGAAACATGTTTGAGCTTGCCATTATCCCCTCGTAACATTATCCTGCCACTCCTTTCCATCATTTGAATTTCCACCTTCATTTCGGATGATTTAAGGGAAGAAGCCAATACAGCGAACATTTTTGAAATCGTCCTCGACGTTGGGGAGGACTTTTGGCTTGAACTGTTGTCAGTAAACTGCGCGAGAATCTTGTGGGCTAGAACAGCACGTACGACTTGAAAATTGTCAGTCGTCTGTGTCGGTTGCGTGATCCGGGTGGGTACCAAGCGATCATTGCCGGGACTACCACGGCGTCTGTAATTCCTCCACTCGTTGATGATATCCTCGCAAGCCCGCGCCGCGCCGCTGCTTGTAGATGGGTTGTTGGAATCGAACCTCCCCAGCGCCTCACACTTGAAACAGCATCTGCCATCGTCGAAGGCCACAAAATGTTCGTCGGCTTTGAATGGGTTTAAAGCCACGGCGCGCTTGTGTCACCTGTTAGGCGTCGTTCTCATTTGCCGCCGAGAGAAGAGGACTTACGACTTTGGCATTGGATGGATTCAGTTGTCTCTGGCTGGCTAGATCCGAAAGGAGAGTTCCGTAATATGTCTTCAAATCTCCCATCTCACCTAATGAGCCCGACTTGTCGAGAACAACCCCACAATTCGATACGCCAAATGCAACAAACTTCACCTGGTCTCGATCAAGAGATGTCGCGTACTCTTCGATAAGATCTGTCGAGGAATGGCATCTATCAACAGTCTTGGAGGCGACAAAAAAGTCTTCTTCTGCCCCGAGCGCGGCGCGAAGCGTCTTCTTGTCGTGTCTCTGCACTATTAAGTTCTGGTTGCCGCGGTCGAGTTTGTGATTTAGATGCCACACTGCGCGAATCTGGTAAACAAATCATAATCTTGGAGCGCGACGAGGATGATCTAACTGGGACTAAGACGTACAAACTTCATGGTCTCGATCCAGGGGCTTGTAAGCCAAAACGAAGTTGCCGTGTGGACCGAGAGCTATTGAATGGACTACAACGGCATCTGCTTGAGGGCCGTACAGCTTTTGCTCCAGGTCGAGAGGCAGGTTCAGAGAACTGGCTTCGTCAATCAAGTCGAAGGGGGTGTTGTGGTCGGTCCCTTACCTTCGATAATATGGCGGCTCTTTTGCGCATGGGCGAGCGTTCATCCATAACGCCCAAGTACCACCGGGCCCAAAAACGAAGTTGATATCTGTCATTTTCTTCTTTTTCTTAGGCGGCGGACTGAAACACATGGTGAGTGTAACTCATTCAACTACATAGACCTAAGAATCCTAGTGAGTTCGGGGCCCTATATCAGTTCATATAACTATTGACGTTCTGGACTATACGACCAGAAGTTCAGCAGACCCCAACAGGTCGATGACCCGATTTCCCACGACATGTTGGTTGCCTTTGAGCCTCTCATGACGGTCATACCATGAATAAAAATTTATACGAACAGATTTGACTGTTTTGGATGTAGCAGACCTTGCCAACCAGGCTGTTTCAAGGCACCGTAAAGTATGCGCGTGCAGATTCAGTATATACATGCTCAATGTGGTCTGCAGAAGATGGTCTGACGAGTGACAATTGCAAGTGACCAGTTTTCGGGATCCTGACTGGCTCGGCTCGGCCAGGCGGAGGTTAGCGAGGCTACGGGGAAAAGGCGGGTCGCCGTCCAAACCCAAAAATGCCTTCACTTCTCTACCGAACAGTTCGGATATGCACTCTTATGGGCTGATTAGCCTCGAGCCGGGCTTCGTTGTCCTTCCTAAGCATTCTGTGCTCAGATTTACGTAAATGCGCTCGTGTCCATGTCTTTTTGACGTGCAAATGAATGGTGACGACGATGAAGAAATCGACGCTCCTCGAAGCAGTCAGTTGATCCCGTTACAAGGCATGCAGCGCGTAGAGAACCTTTGATATAGAATGGTCCTCCTTACCTTGAGGAAGGACCAAGATCGGGAGAAAAATGATAACTGACGTCGGAACATACAGCACACGGCCAGCCTTGTACAAGATATGTCCTGCGCATTTGTCTCACTTCCAAAGCTCAGAGGAACGAGGAACAGGTTTCATGTGCCAAACAACTAGGGAGCTAACATGTGTGACCATGACATCAAAGCACCTAGATCCTGTTAGAAAAGCTGACGGATGTAAGTAAGATGAAGTCGAAGCGGACGACGGTCACGCGGTTCCGTCAGAAGTTGTCGTCGAATGCAGATATTCGACAAACCCAAAAGTATCGACCATCCTAGCGCGTTCGCGGTTCTCGGGCCCAAAGAAATAATCGTGGTGCCTTTTGGTAAGCTTGATGACTTCATCTGAGATCACCTGTCCGCATTATATAGATGACAAAACTCTACAGGAAGATGATCCTTCTCTTTTCGCTCCTTCTACCTCGTTCAACACGCTTTCCAGTCCCGGACCGAGAAATGTCACGATGCAAAATCCATCACTGGGGACCTTGCCAATTTCTCCCCATTGAAAGCTAGAAGGCATGACAACAAGCCATCTCCGCTTTTCTTCGCTTTGGGTGTAGATATGATTCAAAATTTCGTCGGCGAGAGCGTTGAACAAGAAACTTGCTGCAGGACGAGGTGGGAAGTCGAGGCAAAACTAGGGTCCTTTCTCGCCATAACTGCAATTCTTCTGGCAATCCCCCAGGAGAATAGGAAAGTGCTCCTCGGAAATACATAGTCAGTTGGAAAAAACAGACTTATTAATCTTCCCAAGAAGGTAAAACCTACCGAGGACAAGACTGCTAAAGTTCTGGATCTTCAGAAGCCGAAAAGAACGTTCTAGCCCCCCGGGGTCTTTCGCGGGTTGGAACGAGGACCTCACTTTCAAGCACGTTTGACATGGCAGAGGAGTTACCTCGGGGGGATGTCCGTCACAAATTGTCGAGAAGCAGAACGCTCAGACCACTGGGTAATACCAGCCGCTGCGCGTGGATTTGCATTTGGGTCTTGTTTAATTCTTTCCAATGACAGGGACTCTCCTATTGGGCTTGAACCATCCGGTTTACCATCTCGCGCGGACGTCACGAGGCTTGAGGGCTTTGAATTGATGCAAAAAACTCATGCAGAGAGCTGCTGATGGCCGCATGAGCGAGCATCTGTCCCTCGCATGGGCCAAGACCAAGCTTGAGACAGCGACTTTTGAAGATTCGTTTTTTGGTTACAAGTCCTGGACAAGCTCACCTGAGGATCGAGATTCGGCAAATCATTGAAGGGTTCTTGAACCAGGCGGGCCCTGACCAAATAAATCGTGCAGGAGCAAAGCCATTTCATGATGGAAATGGGCGATACAATCCCTGACGGGCCCCACAAAATTGTACCCCCTCCGAACTATAGCGAGATACCTCCGAAATTGTCGAAGCGAAACTCGCATGTCCTCTTTGGACAGGCCCCCTGCCAGCTTGGCTAACGACGGAATAAGCTCGTCGGCCTTTCGGTACTAAAGGCCTACGTATGGCATGCATGCGCATGGTTGAGACGGACAGGAGCCGACCAAACTTCGTATGGAACAATATGAGCGCCAATTTTGGGTCAATGTCAGCGGCCCGAAGCCGAGGAAATCTCGGACATTATTGGGACAAAAAATAGGTCGACCGGGATCAATACTTGACGGTCGCCAACTATGTGTTTTTCTATCTATTCACATTACACACATTCTGCCCTTTTTTTTAAAAAAAAATGTTTTTTCCGGGGGGGAGGGCATGCAGGGTTTATTACGTGGTTATTCTGCAGTCCCGTCAGATGCAGATGCGGTAGAAGCATTCTCAAAAGCCCCACCTCATCGCTTCGCTATCTATAGCCATTACCTACGTATTAATATCGACAAACACCTAAATTGTACTTCTAACGAGGTCACCTCTTATTTCAATCGAAACTTTCACTGGCATAGGAGAATCGAATCACATTCAACTCTGGCAGTCTCAACCATCAAACTTGTACACTTATCCGATGACATGGACTCGCCGAACACGAATACAAAGTATCAAGAACCCTTCCTGCAAGTATGTAGCGACACGCAAGGCTGAATGGTAAGTGTTTGGCTAAATGCACAACAGCAATCAGACGACGAAAGCCTTTTCTTGCCACCGACATCCATAGACGTGGAGAATTACCAAAACTTGGACCAATTTGATCCCTGGCAAGGTCTGCAATCCGCTGACTATTTGATATTTCCCGCATTGGACTCTGCGAACGCTGGTTCCCGTCCGGACTTAGTGGAAGATGCATCCCCGGAGGCTTTCGTTGCACCCTCCAAAACAACCTGTGCGGTAGATTCTCATCGATGCTTCGTGCTAGACAAACTTGGGCCAGCCGACATAACGAGCCGTCAGGCTTCAAGTGTTGGTCAACTAGATTGCGGAGCCAGTGCTAGAGAAACGCCGCTACCTATGGTTAATCTGGCAGATATCGAAGACTGTAGCTTGGCTCCCTGCATATCAAAGGGTCGAGCCTCTCCAGTTAGATCTTCCAGACCACAGGGCCAGGCCCAAGGTCAGAGTAGGAAACAGCCTAAGGATGAGAAGCAACCAAGGAGCACGAGATCCCGCGGCAGGAAGACCCAACCCCATTCCCATTTTTCCAGTGCGGACGACTCAGCAACCCTCCGGGCCAAGCACAACCACTCTGTGGTCGAACGACGGTATCGTGATAATTTGAACGGAAAAATTACGCAGCTTCATCGAACACTACTCGCAACCGAAGCCAATCCTCATTTAGCGAACTACAAATCCCAAATCCTGGCGCCATTTCAGGATGGAGCCAGCAGGGTCCGTAAATACGACATCATGACCAAGGCGATCAACTACGTCCACCAGTCTGAGGTTGAAATCCGCCATATGACCGATGAGATTCGTCATCTACAAGAGCGAATCTATGGTCTCGAGAAGTTGGTCAAATGTGAAGATTGCACGGTGCTTCAGAACATCATGCAGTTACAACTAGGAGAAGCCTGCTGACGACATACGATTGTCGTCACATTTGTCGGAACCGTGTATTCGTAAAGGAATCATGCGTTTTGGAAAAGGAAGAAGGGCTCACAGTTCAACGAGTTCAGTTACTCTGATGGCCTCTTTCTCAAATATTTGGATGAATTTGACTTCCAATGGGGCGGACGGGAGTCGTAAATTCTCGCTAGAAAAGAAGTGTGTGGAAAATATTGTCAAGAGTATTGAATGGGTACTTTCTTGAGAAAAGAGTTACCTTTGCCGGAAGGGAATCCAAAAACTGGGATGGAAGGGAGGCCATGCAATTTTCATGTCCGATCGAGAGCGTGAGCAAATATGGGAAAGCCGGCCTTCTGCAGAGATATTCTTTTTTTTTTTTTTTTTTTTTTTGGGTCGGGAGTGTAAAAGAGCAACTTCATGCATCTCTTGGTTGGGCCCGGTTGAATATCTCAGCTTCCATGTGTTCCTTGTGATCGATAGGGCAGCTCTATAGGACGAAGGCTGGATCGAAAATCTTGGAATACATTTGGGTGATTCGTCATCCTCAAGTATTTTTTTCTCTGCCAGAGCCTGTTACACAAGATCCAAGTCAAGCTCTTGTGGGCGGAAGGATGCGAATTCAGGGCAGAGGATTCATTGCGCAAGCCCGAGCGCCTACGTATTCCTTTTCAGGGGGAACAAGGGGGTTATGACGTGTCAAACTGGGTGCAACTCGAGATGTCTTGAATGCTCTGTTCTCTATCTACTTGTCGAGGTATTGAGGCTTCTTTTATAGACGTGCGAATACTACATCGTTACTCAGAGCAACCATCAGTAACGTCGTCGTCTATGGAAACCTCTCACCAGTGTTTCAGCTGTGGAGCCTGTACACAATAGCCCTTTGTTCAACATGACGCCACGTTCGCTGAAGGACGTCGTTTTGTATAACATCTCGACAGCCTCAGGTTAAATTAGAGTTATTCGCGCGCGTTACCTGTACCGTCATTAACATAGCATTCCGGCCGCAGGAGCCATGATTGGAGAGACATCCTTTAGTGCCGGCCCTAGTATCATGAGGTCTTCTCTTTTGGTCGAGGCAATACTGCAATGGAGCATGACCAGCTGGAAATGAGCGGTTGAGATTCCGAAACGAGTCTTCACGACTTGAGCTGTATTTGTCGTGGTTTTGCCATCCGCGTCCCCATGTTCATTCCGCACTTTTTCTCTACATTATCCGTCAAGAAGGGCCAGTCCAACCCCTCTCGAGAAGCTCGGCCACGAGAAGCTGTCCCTAGATTTGGTGGCACTCGTTGAGCCGTGGCATTGCAGCGTCATCCAGAGAACTGTAATGATACCAGACCAGACAAGGCCAGGAACAAAATATCGAAGTCCTTATTGACTGGAACATACAAGCTAATTCAAAAGGTCGTTCTTCAAGCTTGGGATCCCAGTAGCCCCATCTTCTCGAGTCCCCGAGTCCCCGAGTCCCCGAGTTGCGGCATACCTCCGTCATCAATTTTGCCCAATAGTGGAAAGTTGAGACTGAAAATGTCAACTAACGGATATCTTCGGCTCGGATACTATCATGATCAGTCCATCTACTGTACGTATGGCCATGTCCGACGGACTTCTGCCTCCCGCAATTTCCTAAGCTGAGTCTCGCTCTTGGTATTGGCTCGTACGGTATCCGTAGGGGCCATATACCCTGCATCCGCGTAGCTACACCCATTCGATACTGACGTGACTTCTGAATAGTATTTCGGAGTAGTGCTACTATCTTCTTGACTGGAGACAACTTCCTGCCTTTTCCTTTTCCATTCCAGTCCTATCCGGTAATCACGTTTAGTACGATCTCTGAGCAATTAATTCATCACCGGCTAACTGAAATAAGAGAAGGGATGAAAGAGTACGTCTCAGCTCTAGCTCGATCTATGGAACGGGCTTCCCATTTCCCTATGAAGCGACCCAGATCTCTCTGAGCCATTCCAATCTCGTTGATTATCTTTCGTCCCTTTTTTCTCCCTTTTTACCTCTTCCTTTTTCCCCATTGTTTGTTTCAACCTTACAACGGCAGAGAGACTGGGCGAATGAGGGAAAGAAACAGCAAGAATTGTGGAGTGCATCATTTTCTTCGGATGGAGAATAGTTATGTAAATGCCTGATATCTTATGTCTCTGGTCGTCTTTATCTTTTCCAGGGTCGAACGTCATGTATCATGCTATGTAGAGCTTGGCAAGTCCTTCGACGTGGAGGAGTCCGCAGCCGACTGGCTTGGATAGGAGTCAGAGATTTCTTGACCGGATTCAATTTGGAAGGGGATCTTTCTTCCCTCTTCTCCACCCGATACTGACACCACATCTGCATATCACCTATGCCTCCTTGTCGGGTGTTATCTTTTCCACCAGGATTGAGTCTGTGTAGATGCAAATACAGATTCTACGGGAAGCCAGCTGCTTCCTCATCCCGGTTGGATTCCTATCTGGAAAAGAGGCGCGGCGGGGGGATTGCCTTCCACAATGAGTGTTTTCCAGCGGACTGCAGGTGACCTGCACCTAGTTACAAGACTCTTTTCTTCTCTGACTCAGTGTCCGTCAAGGATTCAGATACCAGTCTCCCAGACCAAAGCTGGCTCTCCGCGCTGATGGGAGATTCAATCAACATTGACCACTTAGTGGTTGGTGGTACGCAAATTCCGGAATGCTCCCTCACAGAAGCAGTGTTTGTCAGATGTGAGGTGTAGGTATAGGTATTGATCCGTGTAGGTGCTTAGGCTCGGAAGAGGCCTGGAGCTCCTCCATCTCGGCATCTTCTTCGACACTGGAGTCACTCCAATTGTCTTCGTGTTTTTCGTCTCCTTCTTCATAGCTAGAATAACCCTCGTCGTCTGAGAATGGGTCACTTTCCTCTTCCTGATTCTCCTCCGCGATCTCGTTTTCCGATACCACCACCAACTGGCGAATTCCTGATGGGCATTCTTCTTGTTGGTAAGATATTTCGGGATGGCTCAGGAACCCGGAAAATGGATGTTGTTGGTATTCTTCATCGCTGGTCCAGTCGACGTCGATGTCTTGCACCTCTCCTTGACCAGTATCCGGGTCCAATGTGCAATCTTCAAGTCTGTTGTGATCGTGTCCTTCCACATAGTGTACCGCATTCTGATACACTGCAAAATGGCCAATGAGCTTGGGCAAATCCGGGTCTATGAGTTGAGATTCGCATTGCAGTTTCCAGCCCGCAAGTCCCGTCAATTTAAAGGCAAGATTGTCCATGAAATGAGAGCCTCACTACGGGGTGAATATGATAAACCGGAGAAGTTTTGGGTGTTGTTCGACTGTCGACTTATGGTGTTGAAGTGTTGGGCTGAAGTGGTGACAAATGTTCAGGAAATGCAACTTCCTCGTTTGGCTGATGGACATATTCACTTGCATTCTATCAATCAAATACCCCATCATTACATGCATTTCAACCGGCCAGCGGTCTTGACCGATCTTCGCATGATCCTGCACGAGAATGTCGTGAGACTACGCATAGAAGTTTCGACGGCATTCCGGCATTTTGACCACAGTAAAAGGCCTCCGGTAATCGACGGGGAGCAATCTGTCTTGGCCTTTGGCTTTACACAAGTACACGTGATGTTCGAGAAGAATCAGGAAAAGGTGGTGTGAGGTCTGCACGCGGCCTTGTCTGGGATTTCTCGAGGCTTTCGTTGCATTGGCTTCTTCAGAAAGTTCCATGCAGGTTGGACGCTGGCGGCTTAGATACTTGCTTGGAAGGGTCATCTGCCCACGCTAAAACTCGGCCACCATCAATGTGGGCCATTCAAAGGGGAGAGCACGGAGAAAGCTCGCCTTTCCAGCGCAGAGGTTAGAGGTGACGACATGAGTGCCCGTGCCTTCAGCAGAGCGCAGAATGGATGCAAGTAGTAATGTCTCGATCTAGGTCGAGTAGCCTCCTTGTGCAAGGTTCAACGGCGAACCTTTTTTTACATTGCATGGGACAACAAACCCGCCATCACCATTGGCATCGGGTTATTCAGGCCCAGTTCATTCCACATGCAATCTTTTCCCTTTGACATGCGAAATTGAAAGGAAGCGCGACGAAGACGGCACGAGCATGGATCAGTTACATTTTTATATACCATTTTTCACATGCATTTGGTTCCTGTTGCCATTAATCTTGCAATGTCAATCATGGGAACAGGAGGTACCAATTGATGCAGTGAAAGGGGTACCAGTGGTTATTCTGAGTCGAGGCTACTGCAGAAGAGAGACTGTTCTCGATACGACACGGTGCATGTATGAAACAATAGTACCACGTACTACAGTCTCTCTACTCTTCATAAAGGTTTGCTCACCCTCTCGCTTCCCTCCGAAACACACTACCGGGGCGACTGCTTGGAGGAATTAAAAATAGACATTATCGATTAAGAGGATATTAGTAAGTCATAAGTCAGTCCCCACCTGCCCTTCTTTTTAAGAACGGAATAGCACAACACCCACATCCTGCGCTTTGTTTATCGTCTTTGACTTTTGTCAAAAATAGCAAGGAACCAGGAAACGTAGGAGACGAAAATTTTCGGGATCGTTGCATTGTTGTTTGATGGTCAGTCATCAGTTTCTGGAGACAGTCTCAAACTTGTTCAACGGGGGCTGTGCTTGATTCGGTGCTTTGTCGCTTGTGGTGCAAAAAAGTGTGAGTGTTTGTCGCTTGGCAGCTCGGAGTGAACCAGGCGAAAAAGGCGCTGCAGAGCCAGAAGAAGGCGCCAATGAAGCAGAAAGCCTCGGTCGCTCTCCAGAAGGCACGATAGTCCGGTCCCATCTCTCTCCGCCAACCAGCCCAGTTCTCGTCGCAGTCGAATTCAATCAGGGCGCCGAAGGCAGAGAAGAAGGCGAGTGAGAAGAAGAGGTTGACCAGCATCAAAAATTTGGGGAAACAATTGTATAACCAGGCAAGAAGGTTGGCCAGCGGAATTGCTATGCCGGCGATGATTTCGGTGTAAATGAGCCGAGCTTCTGGGTACACTGGGGTGTCATTGTAGTGGCTCAAGTACCACGAATTGATTCCCAGAACAATCTGTGATGGTCCATGCATTAGTATCATGTTCGTTGTATATTCAATCGAGTCCCCCTCCCCCTTTTTTTAAACCTACTCCACATTTCCGGGGAGACTTGATGGAGGTTTACAAGGTCGTACTTACCCCTGCGCAGATTGATTCGAAGACATAAAAGCATCTGGATAACCAACAGAGGGTGTTGGCTTCCATGTTGTGCGGGTTCCAGGTTCGAGTCATGTTGATGCGGTGTTCTTTGTTCGTTGGAATACTTAGACTGAGTGGCTGGACTTTTCGCTTATCGGATGGTGAGATGGCAACCAGGGAATTACTTTTGTCTCTCGCATCCTGTGGTTGAAGATGAAGGAATTATTATATCAAGCGACATCTCCAGGCCCGGTGATCATTCGGTCCATCTGACAGATGAAAAAGATGAAAATTCGACCAAATTCTCTGTCTTCCCAAATATCATGAGCCTGTCACACCATGATATAGGCTATTCATTATCCGAATTTGCGTGGAATTCTTTTGGTAAAGAAAAGGGAGGACAGTGGTAGCAGTCCTGGGTACTTCCAACCTGTTCGTGAGAAGAGACGAGCTCGTGTTGGAAAGCCTGTCACAAGGCAATTTTGGACGTGATATTGACCCGGGCACCAATGACATCTCTCCAAAAAGGGGGGCTGGAAGCCTTGAATGTCAGGCGACTTTGGTCTGACAGACAGTTGTGTCATTGGCCATTTCCGTAAGGGCCAACGCCAAAGTTCATCCTAGGCATCGCGACTCGCAACAATTTTGATCGGAAACTATCGCCGATCTCAACGGTGTTGATGCTTTTCAGTCCGTGAGAAAGCCGTGAGATGTGGGAAGATGCAATCCTCAGGTGACGGAGTTCTGAGCCGTGCCGTCCCCGTTCGTAATGGAAAACATCCCATGGAAATGGGCCTAGCTCCTGCACCAGGCAATGAGAGCCTGGCACCATGCTCCTCTCCTGATCGGTCAAAAGGCTTATTGGCGGGTGGTGGTTGGTTGGTCTGCTTGTCTAACCACAATGGTATCCAATTGTGCGTAATCTGGCCTAATATGCAAGTAGTAAAACCGATACCCATTTGGGCACATTGTCTACTTGGCCTCGAGGACTATAAAGTATGGCGAAGAAGACCTTGATCAAACCGTGCGTTTGTGATTACGTTCTGCCTCCTTTTCCCTTATGCTTCATCACCCACCCGGTCATTCTGGACTTGAGTTTTAGCCCTCTACACAATGCTTAACGTAGAAAACAGGCGGAGCCAGATCGCTCCCAAGCTTCCCAGTTGCTCGCCTTGCCCTGGACCCACGAGGACGACGAGACATCGCGTCTTGCGGGCTTGCGATTTTTGTCGAATCAAAAAAGGCAAGGTTGGTGTCATCTTGATTCTTTGCGCCGCCGCATTCTGGAATATAACCTGACATTACGTCTTCATCAACTAGTGCGATGGGGGACAGCCTTGCAGCCGGTGTGCCAGAAGCGCGACTTATTGCACTTACAAATACGTTCGAAAAAGCTCCAGGCCGGATACACCAGCTGCGTAAGTCCCTCGACACGGCGCAGCATTGTCTTCTTACTAATCATGCTTCAAGATATGCGGAGATATTGGCACGTCAGCAAGCCATCCTCATCGACTGTGTTCATATCCTCCATCGCCGGCTGAAAACTGAACAAGGCTCGGATGATTCCGCCGGCAGCTCACCAGGGGACGATCCATCCGTGAATGATATTGTGGAATCTCTCGGCTTAGCACCTGTAGAAATTGTCGAACCGGACAGGAATTTCGACACTCGAAATTCTCATTCGCCCGCTTCACCTCCAAGCTCGGGCGTGTTTGGGGTGGGACAGCATCAACCCAAAACGAAAGATGCGGCATGCGTAAAGTATGGCCAAGGGTCGCTCCCAGATCGTAGGTCGCCAGCTCCACTGGATGAACTTACACTTTCCCCTGACAATGGAGAAACTTCTTTCCCATGTGCGGCCGATCTGAAGGGAAAAAACCATCTTGACCTCTCGTCCTCTTCACAAGGCACATGGCCAGATCCATCAGACGACTGGATGTGTGCAGAAATTTACGACCCAACAATTCTTGCGTGTGGATATCCTTTCATGTGCGAACCAGACCCGTCATGGGATTACCCGTTCCTTGGTATCGGCTCTTGTTGACGGTCAGAGCAAGGACTTGCTTTGGGCCCCGAGCAATCAAATAGAACCAAGAAAAGGCTTCCGCCTCCTCATTTCTGAGGCCGTGGGAGAAACACGTTGTCACAACTGTCGATGAAGGAGAGCTGTTGCTCTCTGCCGTCATACCTGAGTGGCCTGAATGACGTGGTATGCCTCTCAAAGCGAAGTGGCACGCGGAGAAAGAGCACTTGTGAGCAAACAATGATGTTATGGGAAGGATATTGACCTATTTGTTCAATCCAACTGGTTCAGCAGACCTCCTCAGGTGGACCTCATGCGAATTCAAACCGCCCAATCATGAACTGTCAATAATTCTTCAAGATCGTCTTCAGGCGTCAGGCTGTTCTAACAACTACTTACCCGTATCGTGCGCCATACACCCAGGTCACAATGGATTCTTGGAGTGCTTGCGAAACCAATTCTTCATCCATTCTGACAATGTTAGCCAAGTGGTCACAACTGAGAAGAGGGCTCACATCGCACTGGTCGCTGCTTCAGGTCTGATGTGAATATGTTAGCCTGGAGGACGGCCTCGGCATTTTCAGGAGCTCGGAGTTCGAGACCAAGGCATGGTCGAACTTCCCCAGAGGATGTCATCCGCGACGGAGTGTGGCGAATGTCTGCGATCCTGGTTTTCCCCTGTGGAAGAAAGGCTCTGCGAGGGTGTCTCATAAGTCCATGGTGTTTCTTCGCCCCTTTTTGGGACCAATTTCTGCACGTCAATATCCCATTCGTCATCATCGACTTCCATTCCGGGTGGTGGAGAGAGAAGGCGGCGCAATGCCACGATGGACCTTGACATGGGCGCCGGCATTTCAGAGGGCCCCACATCAGAGTTCAGATCGGCCAATATTGACAAGAATCTGTTTAGCAACATGCTCACGCGCTGATTCTCCGCCTGTTCTTTCATGATGCCTAGCAGAAGTGCAGAGCTTAACGCCTTGTGTATGGGTGCCCAGGACGTCTTCGCGGACGATGACACATTTTGGAGGCCCAGGAAAGCGTTGACCGTGTTCGCCAAGTTATCGATGCAGGCCTGTCGCAAGTGCATCTCTGCGTAGACCTGTTGGCGTTTGAGTGCCGGGCGATGCAATTCAGATGTCACATACGAGACGTGAAGGTGAAAGCTCCAGTGCTCCAGCTGATCTCGCATTGATCGACAAGCGGTCACCTCGACGAGATGAGGAGCCGCCCGGCTCCCTATGGCCGCCAAGCTGTCCCGATGCTTGAGAATAAGTGGGATCTCTTGACGCGGATCGGTCGAAACTGACCGATCTCGAATGATGTCTAACACGACTGCACAAACCCTTTTCATGCAGTCCACGTAAGATAAGTTGTCAGTCCTATGGCTTGAGACGCTATCAGGACGTTGAGGAGTAACGGTGAAAGTCGAAGGTGTTCGATCGAATATGATAGAAAGCAGGCTATCCTGCCAGACGATTCGCCACCTACCAAAATCAACACTGTACTTGGTGTCGCCGTTGCGAGATTTGCTTCGGGCTTACCAAACTTCCTCTTGTAAGAGCATCTCATCAGGCGAATTAGAGAGCCGAGACGGTTCGTGCAGACCAATCGTTTGCGCCAGTCTGACGGTCAGCCCTGTAGAGTGTCAGGACGGCGTGTGAAGAGCCAGACTGGGAATGCTTACCGAGTAATGACCAGGCCACGCCGGCGTTCATACTGTTTGCAATCACATTTCCTAGTACCAACAGAGATTGGATATCCACAATGGTCGGACGAGACAGATAGTTGACGATTCGGAGACACTCATACGCGCAGCACACTTCGAGACGTGAGGTTAGCACACAGAGAACTATTGTGAGTTAGGAGCAGGGGTCTACTCTACCATAGACTTGTGCAGTCAGTTGTTTTTCCTTTCGGGGAAGTGCCGAACATTGGCAGCCCGAGGCTAGACATGCGAACAAGAGGCTGAGGCAATGAACGTTTTGGCCGTACACATTGACATGGTCGCTGGCTGGGGCCTGTGGACTAGATCGAGCAATGAGAAATTTAGTCAGATCAGTTTCAAGTTCGTTGATATCCACCACACCTGGAAAGAGTACGTGAGCGTTGTCCCGATATTGTCGGAGATACTGGAAGCAATCGGCATCTGAAGGAAGCAGTTTGCACACCTCTCTCACCCTAGCGAATTCGTCGGTTACGCCCCATAGGTTAGTAAAAGGGTACGTTGCACTTTCGTTATCCAGCCCGAACAGAGGTAAAACACTTTTCCCGATAATGTCTTGCAGGGCTTCCTCTTTGCTTCCATTACCCAACGCCATAGCCATTACGGGGACCGAATTGCGTCCGAGATGTATACACTCATCTGTCACCAGTCCACTCTGGGTCGGGATTCGAAGGGGAGGTGTGTATGCTTTTCTTGCACTTGAGCCGGGCGAAAACGTCTGTCTGACGAGTGCATTTTCGTCCGTGGTCAGAATGTGGCTGGGGACTTCCAATTTGATGTCTCGTAGGAGGAGCTCGACCGTCTGGAGCTTCGACCAGAGCTGATTCCAGTCAGCGCCTGGTGGCCGCGGACTGTCATCGAGCGTGTTGGGAGGATCCTGGGGAGGTTCGATGCCGCCGGCCCTAGGGGCTTGCAGGTAGGAGCAAAGATCTGGATGGTCGCGATCAATACAGCGCTGGCACGGCGATTCGTAATTGCATTTGACTTTGCGCTGTCGGCAGGGGTAGCAAGCTCGACGCTCACGAGTCTTGCGTTTCCGGCGTAAGATTTGGTTGACTTCCGTCGGAGTGACGTGGTCATCGCTTGGATTTGCTTGATAGCTCGAGTCCATTTTCTTCAGCTCAGCGTAGACAGGCCTGACGTGCGATACAGATGGAAACAGAAAGGTGGAATGACTGTCCTGTGATGGGGGGATTGGTAATTTTCGGTAAGCGAGGCGAGCTGCGGGGGACTGTCCGTTGAACCCGGGACCGCATTTTTCTATTTTCCGGATCCAAGGACAAGAGCCTTGCGACAAGGCTCGCCTCCTGATCCGTGAAGTCTGATAAGCTCCTGAAATGGCTACATCTGCTTTCCTGGAAAATTCGCCTTATTGAGGCATTCTGATGTGTATCCCAAAGCTCCCCCATTTCAGAGTCTCGTGCAGACGCCCGCCTCAGAGAGCACATGACACCATCAGCCAACAACGTCGACAGCCAAAATCTTGATCGGGTTCATGATATCATACACATCATCTTGACTCCTTCGATAACGCCAGACAGCATTCGCAATCCATATGCGGAAGACACCCGTTCCATTACTCGTAACCTCGATCGAATTTCGTTTCTGTCCATCGTCCCAAACCACTCACCACCACACACGCAGTGATCGCCAAATATGCCATCGTCGCCCTGTAGAACTCCACATTTCTTGCATTTCAGATCCTGGGTCTGCCAGCCCAACAAGGCGGCCTGGACCCGAGCGATCAAGCTTTCCTCAAGCGCTATTTTGCTGTATTCACTCTGACAACTCGGACATCTCCAGGGTTTGTTGGCTGCGTCTTCGGGCCCGGCTTGCGCATCAGGGAGGATATCCTCATCTTGACACAAATCAAGGTCCCTGGTCATAGTACAAGTGTCGCACACGAGATTGTCAAAGCGGAGGCTTGCACTTGGATTTTCGAACCGAGCCTCGCGTCCGAACTCACGGACGTCGAACAACGCCAGGAGCTCCTTACGAAGTAACCGAGCTTCCAGTTGAAGGGGTTTCGACAGTGAAATAATCTGCATCAGTGATTTGACCAACTCAAGGACTGGGTCACGAGGGTGGCGTTGATCAGTGCTCTCTAAAGTGCCACCGGGCAAAGAGGGAAATGACCAATCGCTGGCGAGTTCAGGGTGAAGTATTTCTTCACGTTGTCGCCGTATTAGAGCCGTAATCTGCTTCTTCAATGGTTTGGAGAAGTCATCCTGCAAAATCGTGGTCACTTCCGTGCTCGTGGGGTCTTCGGTCAGACTGATGAATGTCGACGGCAGCTGAGTAGGTCGAGGCGTAGACGACGGACCATCAGTTGAGATGGTCGGTCTTTTCAAATTCTGCATCAAATCGATGAAGGTGACCACCCAGTCGTCGAATATTGGCTGTACGGGTAGTGGGAGAAACTGTGACAGTTGCCAGTGAACGACAGTATCGAGATTTGAATTACTGGTTTCCTCTGTGATCGTCGAGGTTCCTTTCCCCCCGTAGTTGTGTGCATCGTACCAAATCAGTATATCCCAATAATCTTTGACTTCAAGTCCCAAAAAATGGAACAGCGGCTTTTGTCGGATCGACTTGAGAATGTATTGAGAGTATGCATAAGCGTTCTCGACCTCTTGTTTCGATGTCTGTAACAGCAATCTTGTTGGGCTTGCAAAGACAACATGTGACCCAACTCGTCGGAAATCGGTAATCAGCTGTTGCATGGCCTTCTTCGACATCATCTGAACGTAGTACTTGAGATGTCGGTCATAAAGACTTGACGCAGGAGACTCAACCCATCGCATCAGATGCTGTACCATTACATCTGCCAGTCGATTACCGCGACAAGCCTCTATCCACCATGATTTAACCAGTTCTCGAAGTACTTCGAGTGGAGCCAGGCCAAAGCCGGCATTCGTATTGACCATATCGGAGTCGAGAGGCGTTTCTCCATCGGCGGCAGGATTGAAAGCAACTGACTCTGCAGATCCCTCAAGGTCGTTGATAATCGATGAAGTCAGTATCGTATTGATTGCCAGATTTTGGACGGAGACATCCACACAAACTGACGTATAAGCGCCGGGATTGTTAATCGAGGGCATCTCCACCACTTCCGTCAACGGCCCCAAAATATCGTCCCGCTCATGCCCAGCGTGGTCTGGACGAGGCTGGTCAGACCACCACAACACAACATGACTCCTCTTTAGCCTCCGAGCGTAGGCCAAATCGATGAGAGACCTAGGATCGTCTTTCTCAAGGTTGCACAGGGGCACATCGCCATATCGGGCAAGTTCCAGCAAGTGCGACAACCAGCCAGTCACCCTAAAATAATGTGAGATAAGTTGCTTGAACGCATGACCTTGCCAGCCCAGAGAGGGCAAATCTGCGTCCGATCGTTCTGTCGGCAAACATAAGATAGGATAATCTTTCATGATTCGAACATCGTGGATAAGCTGCTGATGAGAGGTCGTTTGGAGGAGCAGCATCGTCGACTTCGACTCCTCTGAACGCCACTTCTTGAGTACATCAGCAATTTCAAGGTGTGCTTTCCTCTTCGTGATCACCTGAGAAACTTTGAAATGCATACTTGATTGATATTCGAAGATAGTCTGGAGTACCGCATCATCCTGAGCCTTATGTCGGTATTGCTCAGCATAAATCTTGTCAGCGTTAGGTAATTGGGCATCACGGCTTCGGCTGAGAACGATGACATGCGCCTCCGATTTTGCCGAAGAGAAGAGTGCAAAAACATTCCTGTCTCCGGCCGCAACATGATAGACGTAGACATAGCCCAAAGAGCTTGGATCTTCAAGATATGTCGCCTGTGAATTACTCCGTACCAATGCAGAGAGATCAAAACCTTGTTCAAGGGCTGTTCCAAGAATACCATTCTGGTTCTCGTCGAACGAGCACATGTTCCCCAGCTTCAGCATTGCGCGAGTGAAGAGTGGCAATCTGCGTTCGTAGACTCCTTCGACGCTAGGGTGATTGCACAGCAGCGAGACAGATTCGGCTTCCCGTAAATAAGTGTCTTCTGGCATGGTCAACTGAAAGAGATGCACGGATGGGTGGCCATTGGGTAACGCATGGTTGACTTTTTCAACCTCACAGCCAGGAATCTCGACATTTGGGAGCTCATCGCCTTTCAAGTTCAGATACAGAGTCCGGGGTACTTTGATGGTCAAGCCATGAATCTTCTTGCCAATTGCCACAAATGCCCTCACCTCGCCGGGCGAATCACCTTGACGCAGTTGGAGAACGTGCCACGTGTTGATGTATAGCATCTCAGCTTGGTTGCGGAAAAGGCTGCTGATGGAATCTGTCGCCACATTGGGCCTCTCTCCAAAAAGTTGACGCCGTCGAGCTCTTGCTTGCTTTTGAATCTTCCATTTCTGCTTCTGATATTGGAGCCATCCACCGTAATTCTCATCGATCGCTGGAGCATCAGTTGGGAGGGCTGCGTAAGGGTCGACAAGAGCCTGATTGGTAGTTTCCGAGGCCTTTCTCTTTGAAGGTTTTGTCAGTCCTACCGGCGGCCTCCGCCCGGAATTAAGCACATCTTCGATGTCACCAGTGGCGGGAAGTCGATAATCCAAAAGATTTATTGATCGCTCGGCTAGCGGCTTCTTTTCGAGGAGATCAGTCATTTTCTTCTGTTTGAATCTATCGTCCTTTGCAGTGATGCGCTTCTGTAGCCAGTCTGGATGTGCAACTCGAGGAACAGGGTTTCTGATCTTCTGCAAAGCAGCAGGAATTGTGATGAGCTTTTGAATGACAGATCCAAGACGCTCCAGGTAGTAATCCCAATCGATGACAGTTCTTGGATCCATGTCTGCCGGGTCTTCTTTCAACCACTTTCGCAGAAAAAATCGTTTGACACCTTCATCTGCGGAAAATATGGTGACAGGGATGGCTCGGTCCGTGACGGGGGTGTGTCGAGGCTTTGCGGAGATGATGTATTTGCAGTTGAGCCCCTTGTCCTTGATCATCTGGTCTCCCAGGAACTCTGCCAGTCGTTTCGCTGTGGTGATAGACGTGGACTTTTGCGCTCCGTATTCCTCGAGAGTCTTGGTCATGCTTTTATTCTCGCAAATCAAATCAATTAACTCTTCGTCCGCAAGCGTCGAGCCATGCTGATGCAATACGTCTAGCCAACGATTGGCGACACGAGCCACGGCGCCATATGTTTCGGCTAAAGTGGTCCCTTCCAAAAAGAACTTGAAAATCTGCGTTTGGAAGATCTTGATAAGCTTCAACTCGCCTCGACGTTTGACTTCGAATCCCTTGAGTTCAGCAAGACCGCCATCGTGGTTGAATACGGCATATCGCTTTTTCAAATTCTTGTCCTCTTCTTTTGATGCGGGCAAGATCATGGCCTTGTACGGTCCGTCGACTTCAAAGAAAATCGAATTGTCGCTATGCGTCTCGTATTTGAAGGTGGTAGGGTCCACGAGGGTCTGATATTGGTGATTGGTAAACCGTGCGTGAACGAGATGGTTGAGCATAACACAAGGGTAGGAGATTGCCATCTTTTTACCGCTCTTTAAGGTGAAAACAACATTTTCCGGGAAGGTAGCGGGAAGCATACACCAGATACCGTCCGTATCCAGTTCTAACGGCCGACCAATGCGTTCGACCAGTTCTCGTGCCATTTGGATAATATGGGCACCAGTAAGACAGGTGACCCCGGCCATCTCCATGGAATACCACCTGGAACCCTTTCGCATCACGTACCCGTAGAAAGAATTGAGAATGACCTTGTGTGCAAGTTGTAGCGAGTCAAAGAGGACGATCATCTTCTTCGCCTCTTCAATCTCCTGGTTGGAGGCTCCAGAAGACTTGAGTGCTTCCGTCTTTCCCTTCCAAACTTTCTGTTTCCCTTTGAAATCATATCGTCGATCTCGAAAGTTTCGAACGGTATCCACATAAAACGGGTTTTCTCGCTGGCAAATGATGGCTTCGCGCTCGATGGTTTTCGAATCGTGAATCTTGTGATAAATCTTCTTCGAATACTCCTGAAGTCTTTTTCGAACCATTGCCGCTTGCTCATCAAGATTCAACTCTTGAAACGTTCTTCTTGCAGACATTGGTCCTTTCCCTGGAAATGTCTCATTTGCCACGGCTCTTCTTATCATGTTGTATTCGTCCCTCTTGGTTGGCAAAAATTCTCCTCTCCACGCCCAGGGTAGTCGTCTGTCACATGTCTTTCCCGGTCGATTGAAATCACAAGCGGCACAATCGGATTCAGATATCATTGAATCAGGTTGCAATCGGTTTGTGGTCATAATGTTCGGGTACATGGAAGCCACGTCCAAGTGGTATATTAAGGGACGCTCATTTCTGTGGGGTGTGTCCTTGAGGTTGTTCAATCTTTCACAAATCTGAGCTCGAATGTCTTCGTAATTCGTCACATCATCGAGGGATTTCTTTTCTTCGACCGTGATGCAAAACTTCAGAGCGGCATCGAGATCCCGCAGGAGCTCATCGATCGCCGTAGTGTCGATGGCGAAATTAACCGGTATGTCAGCGCGGAACACACCTGCTTCAATACTCTCCACATGCCCACCGACATAGGTTTCTGATTCAAGCAAATGACCTTCCCAGAAAGCCTCCCGTGGCTCTTGATGCTTGTTTGGTAATATAATATTCTTTTGGTATGCCTGAACCATCAATAGCATTTCACACAGCGTCCCCGTACCTTTTCGTAAAGTATCGTCAGGATTTAGCGGGACAATCGTACACAGCGAGAAGATGAAGGGATGAACATATTTCATGTAGAGATAATAAGTGGCCACAGCATCAGACACTGAGTATTCTGCCAGAATCTGGGGATGCTCACTCGCGTATCGGGTCATCAGCTCAGGGTCAAGCTCATCGGGATCATAGCCCAATTTGGCGACCGTGACGGCTTTCAGGCCTCGACTGCCCTGGGGCAAGTAACTGTCTCTGTTGACCCAGGCGAAGCAATCCATATGAACGCAGTAGTTGCTCTGATAGATATCTTCGCTGTTCTTCCGAAACCCAATCTCAGTGTACATGTCAATTCCCTGGACGCTAGCTCTTGCTTCGACGAACGGCCAATCGAAGAAGTCACCGTTGTAAGTGGCAATGACGGTAGGTCGTGCCTCTTTGATGTGAGAAAAGAACCGCTCAATGACTGCGCGCTCATTCGGTTCGTTGAAGATCAGAAACGGTCCTTCGTATTCTGGTTTTGGCGTGTAGTCAAAGTCTGAGATGTCCTCCGAAACGATTTCTCTATTCGTGATGAGAAACCCTTGCCCGTCAATCATATACGAAATCATCATTATCTGATCAATGACTGAGTCGGGGAACTTGAGTGGTAGCTTGGTCGTTTCAATATCGAAGGCGAGTACGACGGGGTCGGCTCGTTGTAGACGCTCTTCTAAACAAGTCAGAGACACGGAGCCGTGTTTGGCCTCGACAGTGTACCACTTTCCAATGCGAATGTCCTTGTCAATTGTAACACGAACATGGTAGGGCACGTCGAACTCTCTGATGTCGACAATGTAATCCTTGGCTTCTGCAATCCCATTCAGTCGTATCCCTTGGGCTTGTTTTTCGTCGTAGACATCAAACCCAGCAGTTGCACTAGCCACCTCCGCGTAGGTGTCCATGGCATTCACCTTCTCTTTATTTTTCTCTGCGATCGGCATGACTACCTTGCGCACAGAGAGTAAGTTGGAGACATTGGTAAACGTCAGTTGAAGGAATGTCCGTTTATATCCAAGCAGGTGGTTTGGCATTTGGAGGTCCTCCTTCGATATACGATGAACGGACTTTACCAATCCCTCAAACATTCTCTTACACCATTCTTCCACCTCCACTTCCCTTCCTCTTTTCACCGCTAGGAGGAAGTATGGGTCATACTCGACAGTGGCCTTGAAATTGTCGCCATCGTCTCCGATGAAGTAGAAATCGACGCCGGCACGTCCACCTGGTGTCCCGGAATCCTCAATTGAAGTACTGTGCATGTTGTAAAGCCACCCAATTCTTCTTTTACCCGAATCATATCTGGCAAACCCCATTGCCTCGTCAATGCTGTTGGCCAGCCGAGTGGCCTGAGTCTTCTCATCTTGAGATGTGCCTTCGGTTGCACGCAGTGAGGATGCATCGATTGTCTTGGTACGTGGGTTTCGAGCGGAATCTTTCGCTAGTCTGACATTGGAGCCATATCTGCTCGGTTTCCTGACCGGCATTGCTGCGCGACGCAAAGCTTCAATAGCTCGATAATTTTGTCATATGAGTTACTGCTGATCACAAAACATATCGCTGACGACGAAACTGGCCGACTCTACTCAAAAATGGAACCGGGTGGAATAATGGCCGAAAGAGTAGAGTGGGATATTGGATATTGAAAAGTCGCGTCGCGCGTCGACTTGGACGCGTTCTGTGGGTGGAGTCCCAGGTCGGGTCGAGCAGATAAGCCTGAAGCGTTGGAGAGCAAAGATGCATCTCCATCTCCATCATTCCACTCTCGCCGCAGCTCCTACAGCTCCATTACATTCACCATGGCGGACGACACTCGAGATTCTAGCAGCATACCTCCTGATGATCAAGCCGAGCCAAAACCGCGCGGCCCCCGGCGACCGGATTACAAGCACGAATTTCCCAGATCACAAGCACAAAAAATGTGGGAGGCACTGGGAAATCCCCAAGAGCCCGTAAATACTCTGCCTGGAGGAACATACAACTCGGCTGGCGGGAAACCTTCTGAATTATCGTGGAGGGATGCATTCAACTTCTCCTACGAAGGGAAAGGCCCCGCCTTCTACCGGACGCCGTGTGCAAGAGACTCATTATTGGTCGGCATAGCATCTGGAGGAGCAATTGGAGGTTTAAGATTCGTCTTGAAAGGTGCATAGTACCGTTCTTTAACGGCTCTCGACCCGTGATCTGACATACCAACAGGTCTCTCTGGCGGACTCGTAACGGCCAACTTTATGGTTGCAGGATTCACGGTCACAGCTTGTGGAATGTACTATTGGTGCGATGAAAGACGGAAGCAGGAGGCCAAAGGAATTGCTGCGGCCGTCGCCGGAATGAAGTATTTGCAAGAAAAGAGGGCCAGAGAGAAGGAAGAGGAAGCTGCCCAGGCCGCTGAGGCAGCGAAAGTTGAAGAGGAACGAAAACGCAACCGACAGTGGTACAAGTTTTGGTGATATTCATGATTGATGGAACATTTTGCATCGCTAGGCGTACAACGGTCCCGGCGGGTATCAAAAAAATTTTGGTTGGGTATCTCCCGAGGCGGCCAGGAATGAGTATCGGTTGGAGGGTCAGGAAACGTGTCATAGACGATCCAGGAGGCCCGTTTCATCCATCTTCGAAATGAACTCGGACGCTTTTGCGTGGCAAGGATTCTGCGGAGGGCACCCCATCGCTCTCGCTGATCAAACGCTTTCTCCTCTCACTTCTCTGCTGCCTCGCTTCTCGAGCTTCTCGGCTCTTGTATTCGGTCAATTGTTGTTTCCGCCGTTGTGACCGGGACCAAGCGATTGCTGCCGTCGGTCGAAATCCAATGCCATTGATCCCGTAACCATCGTCGTTCGGGTCATCAGGAATGTGCCCAGTGATTTCAGAACCATGCCAGAATCTGTCCGATATCTCACCATCCAGAGGAGGGGATTTTGAGCGAGTGGGTTTGCTCCCCGCACTGGCTGATGTCTTCCCAGATTCCTGAGAGATAATGGAGCCGCTCTCAGACAACCTGTCATGACGTTCCTTGGACTTGGGTGACTGGCAAACAGCTTCGAGTCCAGCTGATAGAGGAGTCATATCTGCTTGGTTGAATACTTCTCTTGTCTGCTGGCATTCTATATCATGTCGCCGGTGGCTTGGAACCCCGTCAATCTCGAGGTCGTCAAACTTTCTTGCGACTTTGGTGCGAGGACTGGCATCTTGATGTTGTTCTAGATCGACGTCGGATATCCATTGAAGGAGAGGCCCTTTTGTTTCTAGCGGGAGGACATGTCCTCGTTTTCGTTTGGGCGAACTCGTCATGGGGGGGCGGCGAGGGGTTGTGGCTGCTGACAGTTGATCGTCAAAAGAGAGAGAAGGCAATGACCATTCTGATGATAAGTCTCAGGTTGACTCGAAGTTTATACCTTCTGGAAGCCTCCACGTAAGATCGGGTTCCAGCAAAGAAGTCCTTGGCTGGGAGGCGCTCCGCGAATGAAAATATTTTGAATGAAAGTCAATTGTTTAGCAATATTGCAACGGATGCTGTCTGCAATCGCATGGACCTCTCCAGAGGTTGACAGGAGAGGATGAGGAAAACCCTTTCGAAGGCCATCTATTCGTGCCCGGATCTTTTTTTTTTTTTTTTTTTTTTTTTTCCCTTGTTTTTCACTATCGCATACAGGCTGCCGCAGGTGGCACAAGTGACTTAAGTTTTCTTCCAGATGGAAAACCCTGATCGATAGAACAAATAACGATGCCCCGAGTATCTCTTTACAATGATCACAAGACGCTTTCCCAGTTCCTCTTGGTAAACACAATATACAGCCTCCCACCGAAGCCATGCACGTAAACAATATTGTTATCCAGCTCTGTTCTACTATGTCTTGGACTTTTTCTTCTCTCTCTTCTCTTCCACCTCGCCGTTCACCTTGCTTGATTTGCGCTTCTTCTTCTTCTCTTCTTTCTTTTCCTTCTTTTCCTTCTTCTCTTTCTTCTCTTTGGTTTCTTTCTTGTCCTTTTTGCGCTTTTCTTGCCTCTGAACTACTACAGGTTCGACATCGGACATCTCTTCGTCAACATCCACCATGGTGGGCGCATCGATGTCCATTTCTTTGAGAACTTTGTCCATTGCATCCTTCTGAATCGGGTGTTAGCTTGGTCAATTGGGTCACATCTGCGAACCTACCATGGCGATTTCGTTCTTCGTAGGTTGTGCTCCAGAAGCGTAGAATTCTAATCGCTCTTCCACTTGTTTCTTCAAGGCCTGCCCAAAAACTGTCGAGGGAGTTTCTGAAAAATTGTCTATCCTGGACGCAATCGAGCATTTGTTGGCTAGGAACCGAGATATTCTTCCTTTGTTCTTTTGTCCAGCTCGCCCGATAAACGATGAGTGATATAACAAACCGTACTTCGGTGTGTTGCCTTTGGTCTTCAAAGCTCTGAAAAGCGCCTTCTCAGCTCCTAATATTTGGACGGTCGAGGCGGGATATTTGGACAGGTTGGTGAGACTGCCGGCATGAGAAATAAGTCGAGCCCCCACAATTTCTCCAATCAAAGTGGCCAGGTTCGGCGCCACCACGCCCATCTTAGAGACAAGATAGCTGTGTAGAGTCTTTCGGTAATTCGCCAGACTGACAACCCGTTGTGCAAATAGAGTGACGTTCTCCATATCCGACGCGGATATTTCCTGACCCATACTCGTCTTCGCAGCATCAGTTATACTCTTTGCCATCTCCTCATCATCGTCTACCACGGCGGCGAGATCGTGCAAGCTTTCATCGGACAAGGTCTTCTTGTCTTTCACAAAAAGTGCCACTTTGGCGTATTTGTGGTTGTCTGAGACAATCTTGACGAGTTCGGGGAAATGCCAGGAGTACCATTCGCGAACGCGCATTGAAAATGTGTTGATGGCCTTGTCAAGTTGGTCCAGAATTGCAATGGCCTGAATGATGTGATTGTCGTTCTTCTGCACGGAGAACTTGACTTTGGCTCTGGAGTATGCATGACCCAGACCAAGCTGCGCAGTATTGGTATCGCCTTCCCGGAGTTGTTTGAGCATCTTTTCCGAGTGCAATCGAATTCCTCGAAGCATGTCCTGAACGACCTCACTCGTGTCCCCCGTTTCGCACTCAATGCCCGGGAAAGCGGTCTTGATACTGCCAGCAAGAATTTTGTCTGATACTCCAAGTGTCACCTTGTTCTTCTTTCCAGCTTTTGGTAAGTTCAGTTCCAGAAAGGATTTCAGATAGTCGGATGCGATTCCTTCGGAGATATCGTGGAGTTCTTCCAGAGCTTGTTTTCCATTCCTTGTTTGATTAGCTATTTGAGAAAAGGAATTTTATAGGCAGCGCATACTCGAATGGCAGAAAACTGACCAGGTCCACCATCTTGCCGAACCGCGACAGATCCTGCACACTGTCTTGTACTTCCTTGAGTCGATTGCCAACAGTGTCAGCTTGATGGACGACCTTGAAAATCGAGTAGCCCATTGGGCCTTCGTAGAGAAGAAAAGTTGACATTGTAGAGCCGGGTTGTATTAAATATTGATCGAGGATGCTCTTTTCGCCGGGCCACACAATCCACCGATCATTGGCGGCAGATGGATGTCGTCGATGTGCAAAGATTCAGCTTACGGATGCGACTAGGAACGACACAGGTAGTGGCGACGTGAAACAGTATGTGGCTGTACCCAATACCTCCAACACGGATATCAAATATGAACTTCCAGCTCAAACAGGGAAAAAAAAAAAAAAAAAAAAAAAAAAGATCTCGAACTCGATGCAGCCGGGGGGGGTTAATTTTCTTCATGGCCCGTACTTGGCGTCTCCAATCAAGCACTAAAGCGGCAACTCGCTCCGGGCGCTCACAGTCCATGCCGCTTTAGTGTGGCCGAACTCCTATTCTCTCAAGGCACATTCTCTCACTCTAGATCAACCATACTACTTGCTTCATCTTGGGCCAATGTCGCAAACATTGCTTCAGATGTTTTCGTCCTACCATGGCTCTTTTCAAGAAGACGATTCTCGGCAGAGAGACAAATGGGCAAATCAGTAGGTCAAGTCACAGCTTTGAAAAAGGCTTGCGCAACATCTGCGTTGTGACCACTCCTGTTGAATTGAATCTGGCTTTGAGGATACAGTAACCAAATTCCTTTCGTACATTGGAAGAATTCATATCCACACCTGGACGAACCATAAAGAGAGAACTGCCCGATGGTGACTGTCGAACGGTGGGAAATTCAGGCCAGGGATGCTTAAATTCACAGCACTTGAATCGGCAACACGCTCGCGGCTGGCATTCTCATCGTTCAACATGACCCTAGCGTACACATGCGGATGTCCATCAAAACAGACTGGCCAGCAGCCTGATACATCCCCGGATTCAATATAGGCCAAGGGTGATATCTCCGCGAACTCTGGCCGTCAAGTGCACCTCTGCCTCAAGATCAAGCTTGATACCAACCATCAGAGCAGCGGATTTGAGTTCTCCATTTGCGTCTGTGGCACCTTTCAAGAGACCTCCTGTACAAGAGCATCATGTGTCAGAACATTCCACAGCATGGAATTCACATTTCGCCAGGATAGAGGGTGGCCAAGCTTACCAGCAGGTTGAGACAGATAATCGGAGCTAGGCGGAAGTGGCATACTGCCAGTAGGCTGTCCAACCGTGGTGAGTGCCTTGCGCTTCCCTGCTGCTTGGCCATCTTCGCTGCCACTAGAGTAATCCTTGGTGGCGTTGTTGTCGTACGTGGTTCTATGAGCAATCAGCCACTGTTGATGAAATGGAAAAGAGCTTGGGGAGCTTCTCACGCAGCAGACATCTTTGTTGAACGCTACTTGAAGGGCCGAGCTTTAGCGGAGAACAGATATTAGATATTACTCGACTTGGTGTTGCTTAGGGTCTTGCCAGAAGACTTCTGATGTTTTCGATTTGAAATAATTTTCAAGATGATGGACTGGCCCTCCTGAGCAAAAGCCAATCTTTTATGGTCAAAGGCCCGGCTTTCCTGAAACACACGACTCTCGTTCGAGAACTTTTGCTGAATCTTTACTGCAGCAGTGGGCACATCTCAAACACCGCCGAGGTGTTTGATAATACCCGCGTGCAGGGCCATGATCCCGGTGCACGCGACTTATGTCGATATGAGGCGGACTCATGTTGTCCTGGTCGGCCCCGGGCCCCAATGAACAATGAGGCTGACCAATCACAAGGATCTGGAAACAAAGCTTTCCATCCTTAGCCTGAAACATCAAGCCCCTTTCAGGGTTTCAACCTGCTAAGACATGGAACCACCTCTCAGTATCATTGTCTCTGTGGCGTGACTGCATTCCTCAGCACCCCAAGACTGGTACATAATGGGAGGAAATTTACTATGGATTGCCTTTCCTTGATCACACCATTTTCCACAACTCTGCGACCATAAAGTAGGGGGCAAGCGCTTTTCCTCGCTAATGGCTTTCTTCAGTTTGGGGTCAAATGGAAACGCTGATGCTCACTATGTTGCATCATTTGACCATCTTTCAAAATGGTGCTCTCTTTGATGGTTGCCCTGATAACGTGCCCAGCTATGCTAGCGACGTCGGAAGTCATTCGCCAAAGTCAAGGGAAAGATAAAAGAGAAGAACATCGGGCTCGACGCTGCAACCTGGTTGCCACCTGTGTCAAATCATCGACACGAAGCCGGGAGATCGATAATCGACAAATAGTATTAAGGAATAATAAGGTGAGTTTTTCATGGTCAATTCGGAACTATCTACTGACTTTGGTCGCTCTTTAGCTTTATATCGACACTGGATTATCAAGTTACCAGAAGGACGATGAACCACCATTTGGACATCCGTTTGGAGGCTACTATCTGCCATATCCGGACACGAAGTACGAAGGATTGGTTTCGACGATTTGTGAAAGTCCTCCAATCATGAATTGGATCTATGTCGATGGAGCCACCTACGAAGTAAAATATGGCGTGCGCAGTGACGCACAACCAAACATCACAGGCCCATTTGGCTGCACTCGGCAGGATCGTCGACTGACTCTCGAAGGATGGGAAGGGTTTGTGGTGGTAGAGGAAGAGGATGGCCTGTGGGCGCTCTACTACGATCGAGACGATGACGGCTTGAAATCCAAGATTGCACCAGGGAAGAGAGTACTGGAGGTAGAACTGTGGAGAAGGGAGAAGCGATGGAAGAAAGATCCAGTAGCAAGGCAAGCAGAGCAGGCCAAACAAACTAGTTGACCGTAGACATGGGACTACACACGCCTCGGGTTCTGACCGTCAGTTGCGTGATTCCACCCAGCCCAAAAAAGCTGAACGGTAATATCGTAAAGGGAAACGCTTCTGATAGTCAAAGCATCTGGCAGGATAAGATCGAGGAACCGTCCAGATACAGCCCAAATCCTAAAGTACCCCTTGTTCTCCAGGGGATTCTCTTGAAGTCTGCTCCGGGTGAAACCATAACATCAGCATGTTTGCTGTTCATACACTGAGTAACCCGCCTCCTGTAAGGCTGTGACAGTGTCCGAAGTTGTATGGGTCGCTGAGAGGGTCTCGTATGCGACGGTGCATGCTTCATCTTCATCACATGAGCACGGTGGCCTGATCTGCACAATCGAAGAGGGTCAATAATACATCAAACAGAAAAGGCCCCTGAAAACACTGTTTCAGATAATTGTAAGAGAAGAACCTTCCCGTTATGATCAGCTCTCTACCATTTCTCACAAAGACCCAAAGACTATCATTCATCGCGGTTCCTGCTCCAATGACATAACCGGCGCAACAATCGATGGCCTGTTCCCTAACAATGAGCTTCCATGATGATCATCTCGAATCGATATCCCTCAAAAGTTGAAGCTTTGGACGGAGTCCAAGGAGTGTACGTTTTACGGAGCAATCCAGCTCGAGATTGAGAACACTGAATGCCGGGCAGGTCTACACATGTTCCTCAGAGACCAACAACCGATGTTTACACTAGATTCAGCGCCCTGGAAAACTCCGAGCATGTGAGCAAGATCGTTGTGTACGCCTTTGGGGCGTTCGATCGCTATTATATCTGTTGGATGGAAAAGTCTGGAACCTATCACCAAGGTATGTCCATCTTATCTTGATGCAGATGAAGATTGTAATTTTTGAGTGATGAGATATAGAACGACAAGGACTGCCGAAACGACTCGATGAATGGCTTTTTCCAGCAGACGGGACGACAAGGGATCTGCCAACCTTGCAAGTGTCTCTAGGGCATAATGACGAGTTCTTCGCATTTGACAAATTCGACCGTATCTCGAACATCAACAATGAACTTCGTGACAGCAGTAGTAGAATCAGTTTCTGGCAGACCTATGCCGGCGCGGCCCCGAAATTAACGCTCCGCCGGAAATCAAATACCTTTTCCCATTCGGATATGGCCGGCGAGCCAGTTCCACTTTCGTTGAAACGGGCTTCACATCCAACAAAATTGAGACCCAGGAGCGTTGCAACAATCGAAGTAACTCCATCCAAAGCCCTACAGACAGGGAGCCTTGTCCGAAGTTCCCAAGGAGGAGCAGCGGTCCAACGGCTTCCACTCACAAAACATCTCAGCTATTCGGACGCGGCGGTACAAACGGAATCGGTAGTTATTCCCGATACTTCGGCAATCGAAGATCTCGGAAGTGATATAACAAAACAGATGCTTGCGAGGCCACCACGGTCCCACACGACTTCCGTATCCTCTCTTACATCATTGCTTTCAAACAGCTCGACAGAGACACATAAGTCTGATTCGTCCTTCTCCAGCAGTTCTTCCAAAGGCTGCAGAAACCCAGTATATATGGGTGCAATGCATCAGTATTTTAGGGACAAGGAGTACCGACTCGGAGACGCGTTGATCAGGGGTTCAGGTTCGAACACCAGTTTGGCATGAACTGGTATAATGGAAGAACAGGCTTGTATTTTCAATGGTCACACTCGACTGGGCAGCGTCACAGGCGGTCCAGAGTTTGATCACTCCACATATATACACTCGTTGGAGTATTTCAAACACTTTTGATTGCAGAGGCTAGTATGGCAAGCTTTCTAAGTCTGCTTTCCTGAGATTCGAAAATTGAGACTCGATTCCAGATCAAGCTCCGGCTAGCAATACGGTCGCGCAACATTCTCAGAACCTTATTTCGCTCTTCGGACAAGTATTCTCCATGAGGAAACAGTTTCGACTGGCGTCCCAAGCGTATCTTCGCCCTGAACGACAAGTGCGACGCGTGCATGTGTATTTGCACCAGCATCTAAAAAGAGTGCGACGATGGTCGGCGCCTCCCTCCTCCATGATTTGACTCTGGAGTGTGGACCAATATATCCGCCGGGGATTTGTGCGCTTGGAGCATCTTTCAACAACGAAGCGGAGAGTCTCAACGCGTGTGACCAGGGCGAGGTAGAGCACGAAGACTTCCACCGCCGTGCGAGAACTTCAGACTCTTCATTCGGTCAGCTCCAACTTCAAGAAGTAGGTTTAGTCATAGCCAATGCAGGGGGGAAGCTCAAGCGGCCCTCGTTGTCATTCTGGCCAAAGGGATATAATTCTTCTTGGAACACCCTTGCTTATCTCTCTCTCTCCCCCTACATAACATTTCAAACCGCTCTCTGCTGAAAGAGAAAGAAAAGCTGTTCCAGCATTGACGGTACAATCTGTAAAATTGACATAAAGACATGAGTTTTGCCCAACCCAAATCAGGCCATTTTTCTTTGCCTTATGAATCTGAGGTCCCTGTTGAAATTTAATGACATCTGAAGCTGATTTGTCAGGATCATCCAGAAGGTGGTGGAGGGTGAAATGGTGACGGGCCAATTTTCGAGTATGGCAGCATAATTCAATGCTTCATTTATTTGCCCTCGAAAGAAGAAAATCTTCTGAAAAATGGCCTCTTCTGTGGTCCTATGGTATCTCATCGGCCCCTAGCCAAGGTCAAAAGTAGACTTTTCGTTTATTGCATGGGCTGTAATGTCTTTACCTAGAGGATCGATGCTCGCAATAGACTGGGGGCAGGCTCAAAGTCACGGATTTTTGCAGGAGAAGGGCCCATGTCCATGGTTCCTTTCCAGGAACTCTTTCACTTATCCGGTGCACGAAACGAATGGTGTTTCCCGGATCTGTGCAATGCTCCGGCGTAGGACCTAGATCCTTGGACTGTTCTAATGAACAGGAATATCGGTTCTTGAGTCCTTTCTGCATCGCGTGGGTGAATTTCTAAAGCCTCATCTCTCGACACGATATGTTTCTGATCATTCTTTTTGGATGTCACCTACGCGGCGGTTTCCATCTCTGCAAAATGGAGAGCCAGCGCTGTTGTGTCCCTTCTATGACCCAAGAATAATTGGAATAATTTGGCCGTGGATAAGGTTCTGAGGTCTGGATTTTTCCAATATCTGCTTGTAAAGGCCAAAAGGCTCCTCGGGCAATGACCATAGAAATTCATTTGGGTTCCTCATGTGTGGATCCATCCTCCATCCAATTCCTGCAGAATATGATACGTAAAAAGCTTGACCCGCAGGAATATCCTCATGGCTTTCAGGACTCTTCTCCGAACGGGTTTGGATCTTTGTTGCGGGTCGACTGAATATGATATCCCATCATCGTTCTGCTCTAAATTGTTCCAAACAAACATACAAATATCGAACTCTGTCCAGAATTCCAATTGTCGAAAATGTGTTTGGCGAAAGGTATGATCAAAGCCAGTTTGCGGCTGGCTCGAAATGCACAAATTCTCCGATTTCCTCTACTTGACCGGATCGCTCCTTGATATCCACAAAAGCTTTCACGTAGATTCGCAAATATCCAATAGCAGGCTTCTGAATCTGTCGAAAGTCCGCGCTGAGAAGTTTGTGAAGCCCGTTACCAATGTTGACAGATTCAGAAATTGTTTGATAATCCGATCAGTAGTGCACATAGCAGACCCTCGTCGGATTTCTGTAGGTCGGATTTTCCCACCATCAAACTAAATGAAGCAAAAGCCGCAGGATAGAGATCAACTCCAGATTGCACCGATTGCTGTATCTGAGGATTTTGAATCTGAATTTTCATCAGGGTAGATTTTCCGGACCCCAGCCTTGCCATGTATCCAGAGGAAAGTCGGCTCATGTCTGCTGAGCCATTCGACAACTCAGATCTCACACCTGCATTGATGCGAGTGCTGTCTGGAGGAGGATCGTATAACAGCCATTCAAATGTTCTTGCCCGTGGTTTTGCTAGTCGACTTTCCTGGTAGTTCATTTTGGGGAAATGCGTCTGATGACAAAAGCTTTTACCTCACGTCGGTGAAATGTGTTGTCAGTCTTTTGATGTACTTACACTGGGAATTCCCTAGGAGATGGGAAGATTTCAACAAGAACATAAATGTAATGAAGCGGCACATCCGCGGCCATTGTGAGTGTCGGGCTACCTTAGACCACCTTCTCATTAGCCATCCTAACCACATCTTTGATACATTTGGTGACACGTTTGTATCCAATTTCGATATATGTTGAGAATCTGCGTATTTTTCGGTGATCTACTGGTATGGAGAAAGCGCCAGGATCGTGACCAAGGGAACGAATTGTTATCCTGGACTATTTCACGAACCGCTGTGTTGTCAATCTGACCGAGAACATCTTCGCTGATATTGCCATGCTCTCTTTCGACCTCTTCCACCGTCAGGCATGAATAAGAGCGAGTTTTGAAGGATTCACAGGAAATGTTTTCTTAGTAGCAAAGTTGTGAGCGTTGGCAGGATGTCGCGGTAACAAAAACACACACACACACACACACACAAAGGAGGCAGCACCAACAAATGAATTGGTAGAAAGGCTTCAGCAGAATCCGGATCAGCAGACATCAAAGTGCCGGGAGAATTCTATAACCTACCCAGTATGTGCCCTACGTTGGCTGTTTCGACCTACACTAGCGCCCATTTCGTAACTCGCTCAAGGGCGAGCCCCAAGTCACAGCATATTTTGAGTGTCATCCCGGCATCCCATTGAGCAAGAACTCAGGAGGGGAAATAAATAGGTAACAAAGAGCCTAGTCAAAGGCTCGGGGCCCGAAAGGCGAAATTTACGAGAGTACATACGTACACGCCCCTGCACGATAGGGAACCAGTGGCAGGAGATTTGGCTCACCTCGGCATAGAACATGCCGCTTTAACGTTCGTTGTCCAAAGATTTCTATCCTGCAGCTCAATTTCAAGGCAACAGTTTTTGGATAGTTTCTTTGCAACAACTCCCCTTCGGACACCCGGATTTTGGCCATGTCTGGTGAGTATCCTGATACCTTATTTGAAGCCCTACTGACATGTCTACACAGCGATACAACTCCTCAATCCTAAGGCTGAAAGCCGTCGGCGCGGTGAAGCCCTTCGCGTCAATATTAATGCGGGCGAAGGGTTACAAGATGTTCTCAAATCTAATCTTGGCCCCTCCGGCACAATTAAGATGCTCGTGGACGGCTCGGGGCAGATCAAACTTACAAAAGATGGAGCGGTATTATTGAAAGAGATGTCTATCCAAAATCCTACAGCCACACTAATTGCCAGAGCCGCCACCGCTCAAGATGACATTACTGGAGACGGAACGACCTCAGTGGTGCTCATGATTGGAGAACTTCTCAAGCAGGCGGACCGATACATTCAGGAAGGGCTGCATCCACGAGTGATCACTGACGGGTTCGAAGTCGCAAAGACTGAAACCTTGAAGTTTCTCGACGAATTCAAGATCACCAGGAAGGTGAACAGAGAATTGTTACTATCCATCGCACGAACATCATTATCAACCAAGATCAACACCGCCCTTGCGGAACAACTCACCCCATCAATAGTTGATGCTGTCATGACCATCCACCGACCACCTAACAAGCCCGACCTCCACATGATTGAAATAATGAAACTCCAACACAAACTCGCTTCTGACACAACACTCATCCGTGGATTGGTCCTTGACCACGGCGCTCGACATCCTGACATGCCGAAACGTGTGGAGAATGCCTTCATCCTGACCCTGAACGTGTCGCTGGAGTACGAAAAATCCGAAATAAATTCTGGGTTTTACTACAGCAGTGCCGCGCAGAGAGACAAACTGGTCGCCTCCGAACGACGGTTCGTCGACGAGAAACTCAAGAAGATCGTCACTCTCAAAAATGAGGTCTGTGGCTCCGATCCGAAGAAGTCTTTCGTGGTCATCAACCAGAAAGGCATCGATCCGCTTTCTCTCGACGTCCTGGTCAAAAATGGCATTCTGGCTCTCCGACGTGCGAAGCGCCGCAACATGGAGCGCCTCCAACTTGTCTGCGGCGGACAGGCGCAGAACAGCGTCGACGACCTCGATCCTTCTGTCCTAGGCTGGGCTGGTCTTGTGTACGAACAAACCCTCGGTGAAGAGAAATACACATTTGTCGAGGAAGTCAAGAATCCAAAATCTGTAACACTCCTCATCAAAGGTCCCAACCAACACACCATCACACAAATCGCCGACGCAGTCCGAGACGGCCTACGCAGCGTATACAACACCATTGTCGACGGCTGCGTGGTTCCCGGAGCAGGATCTTTCCAAATCGCCGCCGCCGCCCACCTATCATCAGAGGCCGTGCGAAGATCCGTCAAGGGCAAAGCGAAATGGGGTGTCGCCGCCTTCGCAGACGCACTACTCATCATTCCTAAGACCCTAGCCGCAAACAGCGGACACGACATCCAAGATGCCCTCGCCGCGCTTCAGGATGAATACGCCGAAAGTAACATCGTCGGTCTGGATCTCGTAACAGGTGAACCGATGGATCCTGTCCAGGAAGGCGTGTTCGACAGTTTCCGTGTGCTGAGGAACAGTATTGCCAGCAGTCAGGGGATCGCGAGTAATTTATTGCTATGCGATGAGCTGTTGAAAGCTCGCCAGATGGGCCGACAAGCCGCGCCGGGGGAGATGGATCAGGAATAAAAAAAAAAAAAAAAAAGGATTAAGAAAGTTTCTGTTTCTGCATCTGGGCCCGCATGAGTCATGGAGTATGGATTGACGCATGGACGGATGAATGGATATGAATTCACGAATCGAATCGAATCGAGTCAAACTTCCAAAACCTCGAGAGACTTCAATGGGATAGACAGATGCCTCACGACACTTATTTGGGCCGTAAAGCTCCTTGCAAGGCTGCAAATGATTCTCAAAAGCCATCAAAAAGAAATCCATTTCTAGTATGAAGAGTAGTAGTGTCTCACTCTGCGAATGGCTCCGCAAATATTTGCTTGAAATCATATCCCCTGTCGATTTTATTTTTGTGCCTCGTGGCCTGACAAGGCTGCCACACACCCAGGAGAAAATCAGTCCCACCTATGCGAGCACAAAACATATAAGTAAATCACCGCATCTTCGTATGTTGGGAAGTTGATTTCTTTCAAGTTTGAATTGATTTCCGAGTTGCGCCTCAGACTGAAGTGTATCATAAATGTCATTTAAGTAAGATCCACGTTTGCCCATTCGTCCCATCCAGCCAATCGTTCATCTAGAAAGGAGCTGGGCCGTTATTTTGCCTCTGTCTCGCATGCTCGGTCAGAGGCAAGAAATCGGTTTCTTCCCTCGAATCTCATCCAAGACTGCTGACACCGTTTACCAATAGGTCTGGTTTAGTGTTTACTCCCCCACATGCCGCTGACAGTATCGGCGATCTTCTTCTGCTGTCTTCGTATTTGATCCTCCGTCTGGCCGCGAGCATTGCCTCGAGAATCAATCTCCATGGCATCTAGATCGTGTCCTCCATCTCCTGCCTCACCTTGCGAAGGTCCGGTACCGCCCGTAGCTTCCTCGCCTTGGATCGGTTGTCCCTGGTCATTAAGCACTTTGCTCCCATTGACCATTTCAGGTTTTGGTTTGGGATCCACGCTCATCGCCCCGTCCATTTGTCCAGCCATTAAACCACCACCTTCACGGAGCTTGTTGATCGCGCGGACGGTGTCAATCGCCTTATGCAGCGTCCTTCTTGCGTTGAAATTCTTCTTCACTGTCGGTAGGAGATCTTGTCCTTCGCCAGCCGCTTTCTCCGGACTGGCCGGGTCATCAGGCTTGATCCAAGGGTGTTGAAGGGCTTGGTGGGCGGTCATACGCGCCCGCGGGTCGATAGTCAGGCATCGCTTGATGAAGTCTCGCGCGGTGTCCGAAACATTGCGCCAATACTCCACTGGTGTAAAGGAATAGTCGGCTGCCAGGATGGCTTGCATTTCTTCAAGATTGCTGTCACGGTCGAAGGGTGTATAGCCACAGAGGAGGAAGTAGGTGATGACGCCGATCGCCCAGATATCACTAGTTCCAAAAGATCAGCTGAAAAGGCACCAAACCGGCACGGAGAGAAAAAGTGAGCGTGCGTACACAGGTTTGCCATGCCCTGTCTTTTTGAAGATCTCTGGCGCCATATAGCCCGGTGTACCGCACGTTGTGGTCAAGACATGAAATTGCTCTTCGTCCATGATTCTGGACAGACCAAAATCTGCAATAAGAAGATCCGCATTGTCTTCAGGCGTGCGGAATAGTAAATTCTCTGGCTTGAGGTCGCGGTGCACAATGCCGTGGTCGTGAAGGTATGCGACCGCAGACAAGGTGGCGCGGATTAGATCGGCGGCATCGGATTCGTAGTAGGAGCCTTTTCGACAGATACGATCGAACAATTCTCCACCGAGGGCGAGGTCTGTCACAAGGTATACTTTTGCATGGTCAGACGGGAGTCCAGATGAGGTAGAGGTCCTGCGGCACAAACATACAATTGTTCATGGTCTCGAAGTAGTCGACGAGAGTGAGAATGTTTCGGTGTCCCACCGAGACTCTTTTTAGAACAGCGATCTCATTGCGCACCTGTGAACGGGACTGCGTCAGCCTTGTCCAGCATGACCTTCAAGACATAAGCGAAAGGCTCACCATATGCTCGCGACCAGCCATGAGTCGTTTATTGATGACTGTGAATGGTTAATGACCAATCTCGTGGCGCCAGCATAGGTACACACGCCTTTGGCAGCATAGTATCTTCCCGTATCTATATGCACGCATTCTTTTACCACCGAGTAAGAGCCTGCCCCCAGTGTTTTCCCTGCCAACTTGTCAGCAAGTCGTCCTTCTGTGTCGGAAGCAATCAATTCCACCTGTCTTGTACCGGCACGGTTGAATTTGAGGTTTCTGTACCCCGGCTTGCGACGCCATGGCGACGGTGTGTATGCAATTCTTAAGGATTGTCCACTTCTCAAGAGGATTGATCGTCGGGGGTCGATCTATGGGGGGGCGAGGAGAGGTTTGGTAAGGCTGGCCGCCAAGGAGCCGGAGGCCGACAATGTCTCGCAGGGGGTTGTTGGGCCAGTGAAGACAGGGAGAGGGACGGAAGAAGAGAGTTGAAGATCGGCGCAAGGGAGCTGGGGTGCTCCTTCAGCTGAGATTCTGCTCCGTTGATCCCAAAGGGCTCAAGCTGAGGGCCAAAAACTTCCTTGCCGACCTTCAAAAGCCCCCCCCCCCCCGCAATCGTAGAACTAACGAATGGTCCTCTAAGTAAACGAACTGCGTATAGGAAGTGTCGCTTCACCGTAATTATCACTACCGCGAGGTATTCGTTCGCTATGACGAACATCCTACAAAACATACCCCCGCCTCTCATTCTTTCTCTCATTCAACATCAATATCATTCCTGAGCCAGCTCGATCTGCTCTCGTACTAGTCATATTGAAGCACAAAGAGTACCGGCCCAATTAATACTTGTCCATCATTTTCACGGTTTATGTTGTTCCTCGGTGAGGTGCCCCAACAGACACCGGTGGACTTCGTCCCCTTCATGCCATGTCGACGAGGAGCGGACGCGTGCCAACGTTAGACAAATGGGAGACACCCCATCTTAGAGGGAGAAAAGGATTTGAGGACAGGTGAAGTTCGTTATCATGCCACTTATGCTACATTAGAAATGGGATACAATGGCCCCCGAGCCTTGCTATGATCGATGAGTCCTCAAAAGCAATGTTTGAAATGATTGACTACCTTATTGGTGAATTGTTAGAGTGAAAGCGATTACTTTCCTCGATATATGAACCCAAAAACAAAACGGAAAATCTCCGTCGCTATGATGCCTGCAAAAATCAAACGCTTCATGATCGTACATTATCTCATTCTTCTTCATCTACCATATATTTCGTATCTCCTTGCGATTAGCAAGCGATGGCAGCGCAGGTGCTCGGGCGAGGAGCCGAGATGGGAACAATATTTGCGACACCCTCATCCTCAACCGTAGAGACCACAGAGCATCCAAGTCCGGAAGGACATGACAGCATTGGAACTGGTTGATTGCGTCCAAGTTCTGGTGCACAATGGTCGAGTCGCCAGCGTTAGCGGCGATATTGCCTTGCGGGGTCAAGACATTGTTTCAAAGCCCGCGAACAGGTCGTCAACAGCGGCTTGAGCGGTGGTGCCGGGGAGCACATCCGACTCGCAGGCCCGGACTTGCAGTTGGTTGGCTCGTCCTAGGCGGCGTTAAGCGTTATTTCGAGCTGGACGAGTAGGTTGCCCAGGTCCAGAGTGGGAGCGACTTCGAGGAAGGAGTTGACGGTGACAACGTCGCTGTTCCATCGGTTGATAGTGTCGGCGACGCCAACGGCACCAGGGTCACCGCCGCAGCCGTTGGGGCTGGTGCGCTTGGCGTATCGGGGAGACGATGGAGTGGCAGCAGAAGCGCTGACGAGAGCAAGGACAGAAGCAGCAACGAAGGACTTCATTTTTGTTTTTGTTGTAGGGTTTGGTATTAGTATCGAAAAGACTGACTTGTGTTTGAAAGAGTGTCGCAAGGAAATAGAAAGAGAAAATGAACAAAAAGAAAGAAATGTGGTTTGTTTTGCAGTTGTGAATTTGGATGTCGTTTTTGCTACATGAGGAGTGTTTCTCAGGTCGGAGACTGAACTCACCTTATATCCTATCCGCATTGCAAGCAAAACGGGCCCAAATCCCTCTGCCGGCTCTTGAAGCCTGTCCAGTTCTTACTGATGGCGGTGGTACAGTATTGGTGTCGCCATACTATCCTCTACCTACTCCAGTAATGACAGGAATGGAAGCGGTGCCACGCATCAGCCGCTGCAGACACGACAAGGCGGAGCCAAGAACGGCTTAGTTCCGTAAATCAGAAGGCTTGATTGGCCAGAATTGATCTTGACTAAATCTTGATCAGGCCTAAAGCGGCACAAGCATCACTCGGCAGAGCTTCGTGATCTCTAAAAAGAGTATTAAAGGGCCGTTATCCATGTCAAGCCATTTTGGCGCTGATTACTCCCTCCGCCTCACGATACGACCGAGTGATCCTTCACAAAAGCGTCCATACCGTATCCCAGGCTCTACGGGCCAATTATCAGTTGCAGCCAGATCTGCCGAGGTCGCACAACAGCTCGTTGTCCAAAGGTGGTAATTATTTGGGCCAGTAGTGACAGCAAAGTACCTCCATCATAACGGAGCGGACGCCATGTCAGCACAGCTCCAAAGGAAGTGAGGTCACGTATTCAGTAAGAGATGCATCTGTGATATGCAGACGGTATTCATAAGCCGACGAATCCCAGGAAGAGCCGCATTTGGATAAAAAGCTCCCGGATGCCTAGGTGTCCGATCCTGGAAGAGCGAACCAGGTGAATTAATAACCACACAAGGCTGTCGCTGCTCTTGACCAATCTGACGATATTTTGGATCATGACTCATCTTCCGACGGTATTCCCAATCCAGTCACCCGACCGTTCTTTGGCTGTACTTTCGACCCGTATCAAGGCCTCTGTCCCCCATCTCTGCTTGAATCAATACAACGAGCGAGACTAGTAAGTCGATCGGACTATGTAGCTAGGGTCTCATGCACCGACATCACGGGCGCAATGATGCGTATATTGGCCAGGGTTAACAGCCTTGCCTTGGTAACCGAAGATCCGGCTGTTCAGCCGTCCCCATTGGCCTCTGATTGACTACATTCATGCCGCACAAAATTTCCCACAACTACCCCAGGTCTGACGGTTGATCCTTGATTACCACCTTGATGGATCGAAGAACGACTGATTTTCTCAGCTCGGATGAACGAGAGTGTACGATCTTTTTCCTTCTTCGCCCCCCCGGGCCTCGGAGCTGGACTGCCCCAACGATGTATCAAGTATGTTCCACGACACAATTTATTGAGCTTCCTCACAAATGACACTTACATTGGCCCGGAAATAACCTAATCAGAGACATATCGGATGCGAAGACGACGTGCGCAACCTGGTTGACGATAGGAAAATGGTGATAATGGTTAGGTGCGTATAGATCTAAATGGAAAAAGGTGTATCCACGTTGGCGGAGATCCCGCGGTCTGTTTTCGACGAGGTTCTCGTCCAATGCTGTATGGGCCCCTTGGACTTCCTAGAGGCCCACCTGGACCAAACTGATCGTCTTGCCCCTTCTCACCGTCTATAGCACAATACAAATTGGTTTGCTTCGGTTGAGAAAACTTATTTGGTTACCCACTAATTTGGTGAAATAATTGGTCGAGGTCTTCTACCTCTTAGCCCGGTGGCCACGATCATCTGGAAAGTTTCGAATCTCGATACCTGGCGCATTCCTTCCCAATCAATCTCTCAGAACCGCGCAATGAATCTTAATTTGATGAAAGTCCAGATTGGAAAGTCAGGATCGCACGTGTAAATAGGTGAAGCGAGTGGCAGGAGCAATGGGAGATCGATGTTAACGTGGGGATGGAAACTAATTTGTGTGGGCATCGGTGAATGATGACATTTGCAGCGGTCGAAGTCGCCATCAAGGGCATGATGGTCGCCGTTTGAATCTGACCTCGACGGCAGAATTATAGATTGGTTCATTCTCGTGGACACTAGGGCTGTGGTGTGTGTGGCTTGCATTAAAAAAAATTAATTGTCGCCTCTTTGAAAGTTATAGAAGACAAGATTTATCATGGTTGTGGTAAAAACTTGAGCACCTTCGTTGCCCGCGGACGCTCAGAAGTCCCCAAGGTCAAAGTAAGGGACTAGAATAAAAATTGGCGTTGAGTTGGGGCCCAGCCTGGCTAGATGACGAGGAGAGTCTGTGGCACCCCGATGAAATCACTGGGCTGTGTCGCACTGCGTCCGATCCCTCTAGATTGGAACCTGAAAATATTCTGGCCGAAACACGAGATTGTGGCTAAAAGACTGGGACCAGGACCTAAATGATTTTTGCCCGAGATGGCCTGGCCCGGCACAGGAGGCACCAGGCGCACTGCTCGGACATCATATGATTCGGATTGTCTCTGGAATCCTATGGTTCGAACCATGGGAGAAAGGAGGAAGTTCTGGACAGAGTACGTTTGCTGAGTTATCAAGATTTTGCTGGATGGCTTCTTTGTTGTTAAGCAGGATTAAGCCCTTGTCAGTCGTCACTATTGCCGAGTCAATTCTTCAAGGAGGGGTGGTCAGAATCGGGTAAACACCTTGCGAATCCTTACAAATTCGAAGGCCTCCATTGGGTTCGACTGTCAATTTCTGAAACAGATGACGGCGCAAAGGACAGAACTCTGGAAATTCTGACGAAATGCGTCAAAACATGATGGGTCGCAGTGAGGTTGGCTGCTGCCCTCAACTCGTTCGGGTCACCCTACATTGAGTAGCACCCACAGCCAGCTTTCCGATTTCTCACCAGTAGGCTAGCCAAGGAGGCGGTGCAAAACCGGTTTGGTTCACTGACGGCCAGCACCGGTTGCGCCCATGCAGACCTTCTTAAAGGCTAAACCGATCCCCCCCAGGCTTCTCAACTTGCGATTGCAGGGAACTGGCATGCAAATGGATAATCATACAGGAAGTTCTTCAGCATTCTCTCGACTGGACAACAGCCTCCACGTTGAGAAGAATTCGGTGTACTGTAAATGTAGGTGGCGTATTGACCGGCATACCGCTAAAAGTCGGGAAGCCAAATTTCGCACTACCGTCAAAGTATGGAGTAGAAGAGGGACGCACCGGGTCAGTATCACTGTCCCTGTCAAATAATCACGTTAGCGTGACCAGACTATCGGGTCTTGAGCTTCCACGTCAACGAGTAAAGGCTCCATTATACAAAGGGAAACTGTTGCAAACGTTTTTGCGGCGACCAACGCTACTGCAGCTCGATTGGATAGGAATCTGATCTTACCTAGAATATCGGTAGAACGGTCACAAGCTCTCAAACCCGGGCGTCCACATTCGGTGAAAGGTCTCTCTCGCGCGTCACAGAATCAGTCTGCGTGGCGAAGGGATGCAACCCTGATTCCAGCTATCCTTCAAAGACAGGGACTTTGATCAGAAAAGTCGACGTTTTCGTCTCCTTGCAGCATGCTAGAGCTCCGGCACCAGTGTCTCCTTGTGACTGTTGCTGTATTGGGTCATCGTGAGGAGGATTACCTGCAGGTTTGTGGCTGGCGTTTGGGACCAAAACTAAGTGCAGCACGCCGTAGGTGGATGAACATTACTCTCAATTTCAACTGCCTGCCTGTAGGTTGTCAGCGCACCGTCGGAGATCGAGCTTCAGCCAACTGGACCAAAAGCTGACTTGGAGTTTTGGGAACCGAGCAAAGAAGCTAAATGACAACAGCTGACCTGTGTTTGCCATAGAATTGCAAGAAGACCCAGGGCAGTGGTACCCTTTGTCAAAGCTCCGCAAATTCTGACTTTGAGCTAGTCAAGGATGCCTAAGGAGTTCGTCGCAGAACTGCCCGACCCCTTCTGGCCGCTGGCGGCACGACCCGTTCGCCTCCAGACTTCGAAACGATCGTCTCAATGTTCGGCGTCTTTGGTGAAAGCGTTGGCTAGCACGTATCATGCTTTCGTTCCCGTTCACCGGGCCTAATTGACTCGTGACACTTTTATGAGCTCGAGTTGGACACATTCGGTCGTATGCTTAACACGTCTTGCGGGTCGGGCTCTGCTGAGCAGAGTTTATTGCAATGAGTTCCGGCCCTGGAATGCATCCACCATTGGAGTTTTCGTCAGTTTCCTAGCACCCTCTAATTTCTCATGGTTTCTTACACATCAAGATAACCCGAAATCGGACTTGATTGTCATCAGAGTTCGAGCCACGACGAAGCCCTGAGCTGATCTGTTCATGATCGAGGTCTCGTTCGCCGATCAAGAGTTGAGCGATCATTAGAAATATGCCTTCTCGAATGGCGCTTGCCCCAGTTTCCAAGATGCCTGGAGTTCGAGGTTGTAGCTCTGAAAATTGGGACCACGAGTTACCATCCTAAATTGCAGCGATTCCATGGTATGATCCTACCGAGCCATTTTGAGTTGCCAGCTGAAGTTGCCATGTTCTCCGATGGGGGACATTGGCTGGGAGCGAAGCCAATCATGGACAGGCTGGAACAGGTCAAATGCCCCATCCTGAAAATCAGCGCATAGCCAGGAATTCAAAAATCCGGACCTTCTACCCGGTTGTTTGCTATAGCCCACCCCACCATACGAGCAATGAGGAGGCTGGTGAGGCCGATCTCGCAATTGAAGGTGGACGAGAAGTCCGACAAGATTGCCTAGAAACATGGGATATGCAATTTTCATTTTGCCACCCCGATACTTTGTTTAACTGCGTCCGTCAGGGAGAACGTGCAAGTCAGCTTCAGATTTGTTCTGGATGAAGCCAAAATCGATTGGCTGATATCTGTATAATATTCCTAGCATCTGACCGGTTTTCGTGTCGAGATGGAACCATCTGCAAGGTAAAAGGGCGTCGAAATTGTCTTCCACAGCCGACATTTTTGCTCTCTCGCTCGACTAGGCACATTCCGAGCACGAACGTCGTCCGAGTCGCCTAGTAGGCAATGTAGGCACGTCATAGCCAATGCAGCTAACGAACTGAGCGAGAAGTGTTCGCCGGGGTTTTTGGTCGCTGCCCGATCCGCAACAGCGAGGGAAGAACAGCCCTTCCCCAATTGAAGTTGCATTCAAGAGTCTGACGTGGGCGTACCCAACTCGAATCCAACTGTTCCTCCACAATGACATCCAATAACGAAAGCCGGAGTCTGGAAAGGCCATTGCGACAATCGGGTCACGGGGTGGAAGACTTCCCGACAATTAAGATTGAGCTCGGTGAAACTCAACGTCTCCAAGCATCAGTTGTGCATACCACCTTTTTCCCCGGTGGTCCATAGGCTGGAGGATCGGAACAGTTCCTCACGTCAGTGACAGACAGCACATATATCCCCAAGTCTAGAGGGGGAATAGACCCTAATGTCATTCGGTCCCGGGACATGTTGCCGTCTATGACCCGAGCCCATTGGCGTTTGTATCTCGGCACTTGAGCCCCATATCTCTGGGTACGGGTAACACAGTTGGGTCTTTGCCCTCTGACAGCATCAGAGCAAGTGGTCTGCATGGGCCCGCTTTCCCATGCCAAGCAAGTCCGCCCAAATGAGAACGAAATGACAGAAACAAATTGCTGACCAGCCGAAGTCCTGTTATCCTGTATTTGCGTGAAATGTAAACTTCTGGACGACGATCTGGTCAGAGCCCGGCGAGAGTATATCCTTAGGTATATCCTTAGGGTGGGCCGACGCTGGGACCGTGTGTGTCTGCATGGAGATAGGACTTGCGTTATATGGTGCGTTCATCATGCTAGTTTCCACTTGCTGTACCGCCAACGGCGTATTGCTTAGCAAGGTTCTGAATTGACAACACAGTTTTGCCACGTTGTCAATGCCTTGAATCTCTAAAACGGATAGGCCGGAGCACTGAGCGCATCGTCGATTGCGATGTCGTTTCCTTCAGCGCTTCCTTCAGCACTTCCTTCTTGCCCCGGGCCCTCAAAAGACACCGACATTATTGGCATAAAAGACTTTCGTTTGCTGCTCGCTTCGAAGCCTGGGTGAGCATCTGTGAGAATTTGACGATCTGGAGGCTACCACCCCTCGACGAGGCGGCATAATCTCCGCGGAACATTGATACATTCCTCGCATGGTGAGATTGTCTGCAGTCCGCAGGAGGCGAACCATTGTCAATCTCATATTGAGATCGGGGTCTCAGAACACTCATCAAGCATGGCGGCCGGGTCAGTTTAAACTGCGGAACTATGTCTCTTGTTTGAAGCTGAATGGAATATCAGGTCCAACAACGATGAGCGATTCAACCGAAAGGTCACATACCTCGAGCGTGAATTTCAAGATTATTCGCTGAGGCATGAAACATATCTCGGCCCAATTGATCTAGTCGGTCATGCCCAAGGGCCAAAATCGGTTGAGAATTAGGCTGACGTACGACCACAAAGGAAGAAGAGACACGCCTGAGAGATCAACACGAAATGCTGAAGATGATATATCAGGATTGGAACAACTCGTTGCATCCCAACTTCATCGAGGACCCTGAAGCAATACTCGATTGTGGTTTCGGCTCGGGTAACTGGGCCTATGATTTTGCGGAATATGATCCAAATTGCACCGTGAGTCGTCCTCGGGCATAGATCCTCTATCAAAAACAACGGCTAATATTGCCTATTGCAGGTGATGGGAGTCGATATCTGCCCTCTAATGGCACCAGATCAGCTGGACAATATGGATCTGCAGGTATGAGAATTTCCTGGTCGCAGGACGCCAAAAGACAGTTCTGTCGAAGACGTGGTTTGGGGAGGGAGGGGGTTTGGAACAAACATCAGGGACTCCCAAGTGGAAGACAACCCCGCGGCAGGGGTTATTTTCGGAGGGGATGTTGTATCAGACAACCGGCTAACATATCTATCAGATTGCGAATCTGAACGAGCCGCTTGATTTTGCGGAACCAGGATCGTTTGACCTTATTCACTCTCGGTTTGTCGCGTGCGGCATTGCAGTAAGTCGATGGCCAAACTACTTCCGAGACATGCATAGGTGAAAGGAATCGATACCCATGTGTACGTGTGTGGCAGTGTTGACGGTCCAGATAGGCTCTTGCGAAGGAGAGGATGGATCCAGGTGACCGAATGGGATCTGGTTTTTCGTTCTGATTCTGGAGACAGTGACGCCTTGCAAGCACTCCAGGAATGGACCAGATTGTATAACCAGTCCTTGGGTTTGACTAACCGTCCAGAAGGCAGGAAGAGCACGAGGGTGATACAAGACTGTGAGACTTGGGTGCGCAGCGCCGGTTTCATCAACGTGAGCACCGACGTCAGAGATGTTGCGACTTGTCCATGGCCAGCAGGTACGTCCATTGTGAGAGAGTCTTTTTAACCCAAGCGTCATTCCCAAATCCAGGCTGAGACACGATGATTGTGGCAGATCCCCACCGCCGGAGCATAGGTGAGTTTAACCTGTCCAATATGAGGGATCTCATCCGCTCGTTGGCATTGTATCCCGTGGTACGTCGACAACTCCGTGATTTCGAATCGTTTCATGCATTGGTCGATGCGGCAAGTGCGGAACTTGGTAATATTGACGCCAAACCGTACCTGAGACTGTATGTTGATGCTCTTGTCAACAATATGGATCGAACGTCGCTGACACTTTCGGACAGCCATACGTGCTTCGGTATGAAGCCTTGACATGCAAAGATAGTTTTTCGTGTTTCTGGTGAGACTCGACGGAAGGATTGTCGACCATTTACCATTTGATGCTGCCGCTGATTGCGAACAAAGTTCGAGGCTCAAATCTTGGTTGTCCTGGCCCACCCCCTACAAGTCAACACCGTCCCGGAGATCTCTCATAAATTGCAAGCCCAAGAATAAACATGCTACCATGCAAGGAATCTGAACCACTTATCTACCATTGATGTCTCGAAGCAGAATCCTTCGACGGGAAGAGACAAGTGCAGGTACGCGTCTAAAGCGCTAACGATTGGGGGAGCTTCCGAGGTGGCGGATTCTGGCGAAACGAGCAGCGATAGGACAGAGACTTGGCCGAAAACGTGTGCTCCTTTGAGTGGTTGTCTGTCATGCCGACGAGACAGTCAGAGGGACAAGTCGACCAGTTGGGATCAGAACAGAGATGAGAAAAAGGCGATTGAAAAAGAGGAAATTTTACACTGGGTCACCACTCTAAAACCTTTCTGATCCCTGTTCCAAGACTTCACTTTGTTGAAAGGTTGCATGTCCACCTTCTTCGACTTATCGACAACTGCAAAGGCCGACAGTGTCTAGACGCCGATTTCTATGCTTTTTCTACCATCACCACGCGGAAATTAGTGGAAACGATCACGGGCTTAGAGTGATCCAGAGTCGCATATGGCGTCAATTGAGCTCAGCTCCTGCGGAGGATAGGTCGATCAGCTAAGTCAGTTCCTCGAGGATGGATCCCGATCCAGTAAAGTTGTTATGAAGGGCAGAGGTCACAGAGAGGTCTGTCGAGGAGTCTCGGAAGAGTAGGATCACCCCCAGAACAAAGTCCAACGTCGGATGCTGTCAGCCTGCAAGTCTCTGTCAGAGAGGGGCCTGAGTCCAAAGAAATCACGGAGATTCCTATGTACCTCTACTGCTCGAGGGGGCCACATGAATTTGTCCTAAGTGCCCAACTCTCCTGCTGGGCCGTTTTGACGGGTTTCGGGAGCGTGCCCAATAGGTTCGCTTCGACGACGCCGGTGCTGTCTGAGGCCGGGGAGTAGCGGGATGGCCACAAGAGTCCTCGGCCAAAGGGTTCAAAAGAAGCGCTGAAAGGGGGCCGCGCGAGCGCAGGAGTCGGTGGTAATGGTGATTGAGTCAGGCATTGGGTCAAGCGTTGGAAGAGCTGCATGCATGATTTGCGGGCAGGGGGACAAAAGAGGCCCATAGATAGTATTGGGCAGTGTTGGGCACAGCTACATGTGGCAGGGGGACATGTTGTGAGGCGGGAATGCGTGAGGTTTGTACATCAATAGCGCCCGTCGTTGTTTAGATCCTAATAAAGTCAATGCTCCGTACCTGGAAAAAGTGACAATGAGGTACTTCAGCGAGTTTACAGTGTGTAGGTACATATGTGATATTGAAATGGCGTTGAGGACGGACTCCATTATGATCTACACATCACTTGATAGGCACTGCCAACCTTAGTATTTAGTACCTGGCAGTAGAGTACTTCCATAGCATCCCGCGGCTGCAACATAAATTTCCCTTGGGTCCCTACTAGTAAGTTAGCGGCACCTGCTGAGCAGCGTCCACGCCTTGGGTCACCAGGCGGGCTTGGCTCAGCCGCCGTTTCTCCGAGTCTACCGCAAAACTTCATCTCCACACGAGCACGAAAGAAACAAAAAGGATCCATATCGAAACCGCAGCCATGCCGTCCACGCACAAAAAGGATAAGCCGTGGGACACTGATGATATCGACAAGTGGAAGGTGAGAAATCCCTTTTCCATGATATTCAGGTCAATGAACTGGCCGAATCAAGACTAACCTTTTGTTTCTGTAAAATCCCAGATCGAAGAATTTAAACCGGAGCACAATGTCGGTGGCACCTTCGCAGAAGAGTCTTCCTTTGCCTGTCTGTTTCCGAAATATCGAGAGCCGTATCTGAAGCAAGCATGGCCACTTGTCACAAAGGCATTAGAAAAGAGAGGCGTCGCATGCACACTGGACCTAGTTGAGGGTCGTATGGAAGTCCGCACCACTAGGAAGACTTTTGACCCTGCCGCGATTTTGGATGCCAGAGATGTCATCAAACTGCTCGCACGAAGTGTTCCTGCCCCGCAAGCCATCAAGATTCTGCAAGATGATATCGCATGCGATGTGATTAAAATTCGGAATCTTGTACGGAACAAAGAAAGATTCGTCAAGCGCCGCCAGCGCCTTCTCGGCCCAAATGGCTCGACATTGAAGGCGCTCGAACTGCTCACGAATACTTACATTCTCGTCCAAGGCAATACCGTCAGTGCCATGGGAGGTTACAAAGGATTGAAAGAAGTGAGGAGAGTGGTCGAGGATTGCATGAATAACATCCATCCTATTTACCATGTCAAAGAACTTATGATCAAAAGAGAGCTAGCAAAAGATCCTGCGTTGAAGAACGAAAGTTGGGATAGGTTTCTGCCTCATTTCAAGAAGAAGACGCTGAGCAAGAGACGCACTCCCTACAAGGTTACGGATAAATCCAAAAAGGTTTATACACCATTTCCACCTCCGAAAGAAAAGAGCAAAATCGATTTGCAGATTGAAAGTGGCGAGTACTTTCTTGCCAAGCAGGCAAAAGAGCGGGCCAAAGAGCAAGAACGGCTGGAAAAGCAAAAAGAGAAGAGGGAAGAGAAGCAACGTTTGCGAGAAGAGGCTTTCGTCGCGCCAAAAGAAGACCGACTTCAGAAAAAAAAGAACAAGAGCCTCCCTTCGGGAGAGGATGAGGTTCAAGGAGCGAAGAAAACGAAAAGATCTGAGAAGACTGCGGTATGAGGAAGAAGAGGTTTGGGCAGAGCACGAGATAGGATCCCATTGGTCCCTCTAATATGCGGTGACTTTGAATCCTCGTCAGCTGCAGGTGACGGCCGTCAGCTCAACATTTCGTGGCAATGAAAGAGAACGATCATACCCAAATGGTGTATTGGCAGAGGCAGCCTTAACAAATCAAGAACCGCGAAACGTATCTGGCATCCCATACATCACAAGGGTCCTAAGTACAAAGGTCAAAACCCAACATCTCAACACAGTCTGGTCCCGATTGACTTCGACCCATACCTTGATCTGGTCAAATTTGTGATGCGACCCGGAATACTACCCTGATCCATCAACGACTTTGCATGATCCCGAGAGACTAAGCTGCGAAGCTCAGGGAGGTCATTTAGGGGCATAGCTGTAGTCCTCAAATGTCACGGCCTTGCATGTCTGCAGTTAAGCGAGCTCGTTTACGGCCCAAAACATCGACCAGCAAGTCGGAAACCAATCAAACTTGATCGGAGAAACCTTTGACGCGGGAGCATTTCTCCGACCAGGGCCAGACTAAAATGGGATTAGTCAAGAACACACCAAAATCCTTCTATGCGCCTTCTAGTGCGAAGACTCCGTTATTCCGTCTGAAGCCCTGAACCAAGATCAGTAAATCTCCAAACCTGATGAATCTTGCGTCTTGCTGTGAAACACCGCTCAGATTGAGCGAAGTCGCCGAGTCTCCATAACCATATTACTGTGATGGCCGGGGGTTCGTGAATAGCCAGCTGACAATATTCAAATTGGTTGTTGATTGCGGATCTGAGCATCTTCTTCATCTCGCAAACATGAACATGAACCATAGCTACTTATCATGAAGATCTGGGATGAAGGTGCGCTGTGGCCCTGTGCCCTTTTGGTTCTCGGCCTGGAGCTCTCCCCTTCTACATGGAAGGCATATACTACGACACGAAAGCATATCTCTACATCCGCCAGAGATGGGTCTGATTCTTTTTCACCGGATGGATTCCACCGATCACCCCTGCGTTTCCAAAACAGTGGATGCTCCCACACGAACGCGTTCGTTCGTTCAGACAGATGAAGCGAGAATAAGGCCGACGCTAAACAGGTTGGTAGCAGCTTGGAGAATAGATTCTCCGACCCGAGAAGCAGCCTTGTCTTCCTCGCCAACTATGCAGCCAATCAGCAGCGCTCGCTCGAATTTACGTTAAAGGGGCGAACTTCAGTTGGTCGGCAGGGCATCGATTTTGATTACGCTCAACTTTCCCCACTTCCCCAGTCTGAGTGAAATTATAATCGCTCACCAGTCTGGAATGGTTGGCCTTTGTATACTTTGCTCGAAACGGCCAAGATCTTCCCAGATTACTTCGTCGGACAAACTCTCTACACTACAGTCTTTGCCGCGACCGTTTGTCACCTTACAGCGCTCATGACCGAAGAGCAAGGATGAGCTTCTCTTGGAGCTTCAGCGATGGCGCCAGGTTCTCCCTCATCTTCAAGTCCTCGAAAGTCTCGCCAGAGAGTAAATTACTCTTCTCGAGATGGATATAAAGGAGCCAGTCGCTTCCCTCAAAATTCAACCTTCATCACGATTAGCTGCATTCTTCCTTGTTTGAACTTCTCGATCATTCGACCTCCCCAAGGACCTCCCTATCCATCTCTTCTCAGGTCAGGCCCACATCACTTCCCTCCCTGAAAATATCCATCCACAAAGCTCCGGTTGAGTCAACATTGTCCTTCCTCATTTATATACCAGAAATAGAGCAAGACGGCGACATGGATAACAACGAGGCCATTACGGAACGCCAGTCCTCCAATGCTGAGACGATGGCCAATCAAAAACGCAAGAGCGTGTCCAATAAGGGCCTGACGGGCGCTTCGGCTCTTACTGTTCGACAGTCCATCTTTCCCATTACTCTAGTCACCGTTCTCTTCTTCCTTTGGGGTTTCGCGTATGGTCTCCTTGATGTCTTGAATGCCAAGTTCCAAACCTCCCTCAATATCACTGCCGCAAAGGCCGGTGGCCTTCAAGGCTCATATTTCGGTGCTTATTTCATTGGACCTTTGACATACTCTGGCTGGATTGTCAGACACTGGGGTTACCGCTGGACATGTTAGTATCCCAAAAATTTCGCTATCGGGACCTTTGAGATAAGGCATTGCTATTTCTTGGCGTGGTCTTAGGCCCCCAATCCTTTCCATTTGCTCGGTCACATTACTAATTCCACTGAGAGGACCACAGTCATTACAGGTCTTTGTATCTACGGTGTCGGAGCCTTGATGTTTTGGCCATCCGCAGTCTACAAATCCTTCGGAGGCTTTTGCGGCAGCCTTTTCATTGTCGGCTCTGGTCTCTCCACTCTGGAGACTTCTGCCAATCCCTTCATTGCAACCTGCGGACCTCCTAGATTGTCAGAGTTCCGTCTAGAGCTGTCGCAGTCATTCCAAGCCGTCGGATCTGTCGTGGCCCCTCTGCTTGCCTCCCGAGTCTTCTTCAAGGAAACTCACGCGACCGACCTTTCACACGTGCAGTGGACATACGTGGGTATTGCGGCCTTCGTTTTCCTCCTTGCCGTGGTTTTCTTCTTCAGCCCGATCCCTGAAGTTACCGATGCCGATATGGCTCTCCAAGCCGAGCAGTGCTCTGACCTAACTGGTTACACAGAGAAACCAATGTCGAAACAGTACAAGCTCTTCTTCGGTGTTGCTGCTCAGTTTACCTACGTCGGTGCGCAGGTCGCTGTGGCCTCACAATTCATCCGATATGCTCAGGAATCTGCGGGCCTCAGCGAATCTGTTGCATCAGATCGCTATGCTATTGGTCAAGCATTGTTCGCCATCGGTCGATTTGCCGCTGCGGGAATGTTTATGTTCATCAAGCCTCGGATCGTCCTTATGATCTTCATGACGGCAATTATGATCTTCATTGCTTGTGCAATGGGCATCTATGGTGAAGGTGGTGTTGCAGTGCTCTCGCTGGTCTTATTCTTCGAGTCCTGCATCTTCCCCACAATCTTCACTCTATCAATTCGAGGATTGGGCCGGCACACCAAGCGAGGATCTTCTTGGATTGTCTCCAGTGTTTGCGGTGGTGCCCTGTTCCCAGCTCTGACTGGACTTGCGGCCGACCATATGACTTATCACAAGGCTATGTGCGTCCCATTGGCTGGATTCTTCATCAGTTTTGTCTTCCCCATCTATTTGAACACGGTCTGCAGGAGGGAATTAGATGGATTCCGTGAGAGTAAGATCGGTTACGTCGATGAACGACGCGGAACCATCATTGGTGATATCAACGACATTGAAACATTTGAAGCAATGCAGAAGACAAGCTCGGTTTAGCTTGAGAAGGCGTGAGATGGACAATACTTGACCAGAGACGTGAGACAAAGTGTATTTTGACTACAAGAAGCTCTACTGGCCACCTCGACGAAGAGACAGCAATCCAATTCTTCTTTATGGAGGTGTCAATGACTGGATAGCCATAGATATGATGCCAATGTTGATTTACTGCATACGATGCGAAAGATAGCGGACTGGGAAAGACATAGCGGGGCTTTCCCAGAGTAGATGCTCATTGCTCGGACAGAAATGGGAAAGCCAGGGTATCCTAATCGACTCACGAGCGTTCTATCAGAGGGTTGCTACGAGCTGAAACCCTGAATTGGGGGACAAGAGCAACATCCTAGATGGAGAAAGCTAAAGTGCATCAGCCGCCAACTTCTCATTACTCAAGCTCAAAGAGACTTACCACCGGTCACATCTGAAAGTCCAACATCCGCCGACCATTGGGAGGCTAAGGGAAACGAGACCTTAGAGGTGGGGGATCTTACGTGCTTAATTTACCCCAGTGAAAGAATTCCAGTCACCTACATGCGCCCGTTTGACCCTCAGGGATCTGGCATCATTGCTTACATCACAGGAGCAACTCATCGCTCGTATAGTTTTTCCCCTCCTCCCCTCCGCCGTCGGGTCCGGCTTGGTACTCGTACATGCTACTCAGGTGGACCTTTCGTCGTGCGGGCTCTCTCCGCACCCATTTCTTACTTCGTGCTCAAGGCTGGTCGCCCCTGAGCACTATACAAAGACCTCGGATCTTGAGACCCAAAAGTAAATTCCCAAAAGAACGGCGGATAATGAACCATACAATATGGTGTTATCTTGATGACAGCACGAACCTTCTATCTATTCCTGGAGAGAAACCTACGCAGGGAAGGCCCTCGACTTGTACGAAGGAAATAACTTCCATTTATTATTGACATTTGCCCCAGGTCTATGCGCCCATGCCGTGGCCTTGTACGGGCAATGACTCCAGAGTATGAGATGAACGACGCACTTTACTACTGGCGCCAGTTCTTGGTTTACTCTTTGCTGTGGCCTCTCCCATCAGCTTCATGGGCTTGAATCGCGATATTTGATTAGCAGTGTGGGCTTGGTTGTTTGTCAGGACATTGACCGCCCTTCGTGGCAGTACAGTATATATCCTTTTCATGGCCTTATATGGCTCTTCCGGGACATTTTTCCCGCCTCTCCTCGACCTCTGATAACGACCAGGATCTGAAGAGGTTGTTTGTTGTTACTCCGAGCCTCAACGTCGAAATTCGTGCAAATCAATCCAAAACGCCTCTTAAACGATCAAATACCAGATTCGGCACAAGGCATTCAAACCAAACTCAGGCTAGGTGATGGGGAATATGAAAATCTCAAAGGGTTGGGCCGTCATCCAGGGCCAGCAACCTTCAGACCTCATCTCGGTGGGCTGGGCATATATCCGCACTGCACGCCAAGAACACCGCGCGAAAATTCTAATTCTCGGTGGGCCGATGTCAACGCTGTCTTGGGGGCTTGTACCCGAGCTCGAGAAACGAGAGATTGTCGAAGCTGCACTTTCGTCACTGTCAAAATGCCCGACATTTTGGCAGGGAAAAACAAATTGATCGGTCCATGATTAATGAAGGAACAGAACAACGGCTAAAATTAGTACGACAAGCATGGTAACAGAGTGAAAAGAGAAAAAGGTCCGTCAACAATGAGCTTCGAACTATTGCCAGACTTCTCGTACAGCTCGAATTGAACGAGTGTGCTCTGTCTGTTTTGCAACTGGTCCTGCCAGATTGCCAGTTTATAGGCACGTTTCGTTGGCTCCATTTCTGCTCCTATTCCCACCCCTTTTCCAACAACATATATCGTCTACTCATACAAGGACTAGAGCGTGAAACTCCCCATGTGGACGGTAGTAAGGATAGGAAAGCCACTGTACCGGCTGGCGCAGGACAGGAGGACCCTGAGTGGCTTCTATGGCCTTCTCTCTTGCCGTTCAACCCGTCCCGAACCGACCCGCTCCCAAGGGATTCCCCATCGTCCACACAGGGAGCGACTCCAGATATGGACCAGTCTCCACCTTTACCACCTTTAACCGCCCATCCTCCAAACCCAATCGGAGCGAAATCAAACACCCACGATCATGCATTCACAGATTTTTTCCCACAATACGAAAACCGACCCGTCTCCATCCAGAGTTTCTTGACGTCTTCACGCCGTTTCTCAGCAATACCGACCCCTGAAGACTTTTTGATGATGCTGTCGAATTCTAAGCAGATTCGGAATCCCCGGCCTAAAGGTATCAATGTTCCTCGCAACGATGCCCCTACAACAACAGGCGGCAATGTGCAGGTAGAAGCGCCTTCCTATCGTACTCTTGGCGGGCTTACCTATACTTCTCCTGGATATACTAATGGATGCAAGATGCTGTTCGGGCATCACTAGCTTGATGTAATCTGATGACGTGGCATGAGGATGGCGAACATGATTTCGAACTACAGAGGACTGCTTCCGGCACAATCAATCTAGTAGCAGGTATGGCGATGTGCTTTGTTTAGATGTTTGAAATCTCTTCGGACGCCATTCACACTCAGATCAAGATCAATTTTGTGTATTTTCTTCTTCTTTTCGATTTTTCGAATGATACTAATACCAGTTGTGCCCTTCCCACCTCCATGAGAAGAAAAGACAAAAATGTCGCTACAGAAAGTAGACCGAATTTCCATCCTCTGCAAAAGAAAGCCTGGGATCTCTGAAGACGAGTTTCACAATTATTGGGCAAACCATCATGGACCCTTATGTCAGGAGTTGCTCTGTAAATATGGAATTATCAAATACAATCAAGTACGTGGCGTTGTTCCTCGCTAAGTCTAGAGAAAGGAGACCTTGATCTAATTGCACAGCTTACTCATATTTAGTTTCATATAACTCCCGAATACAAAGACAAGCTTGCAGCGTTCGGGGTCCAAGCACCTTCTTACGACGGCATGGCGGAGTTCCTTGTCCATCGGTACGGTGTTGTGTTTCGCTCCATAATACTTGTTCTTTTCTCAGTATATGAGAAATCAGGTGTGCTGACTGGCTTCGTTGTTTGTTATTTCTCTCTACAGGTTTGAAGACATGGTCACCTTTTTCACCGCTCCTGAATACTTGGAAAAGATCCGGCCCGATGAACTGAAATTTGTAGATCAAGATACGATCATTTTCCTTGCTGGAGTGGATTACGTGGTTGTGGACAACAACAAGCCCGTGGTACACAAAGGAGATAGCGCGTTTTCGGACAGACGGATGAAGAACATATATCCCTCCAAGTTGTAAATGGAGGATCTTTTCTTGCATCCGGAAACGCATGTTCTTCGGGCCAAGGCAGCTCCGTGTTAATTGGAATCAATCTCTCCTTATGTTAAAGGAAATGCTTGGACGAGTGAGAGAACCGTTGTTATTGCCGATGAGATCCGTCCAAGTCCATGCTAGACAGATGATATTTGCAGTTATTGACGACACAGTTGGTATGAAGGGTTGAGACAGCCTAGATTGCAATTTCTTCCTGGTGTTACCACCTGGGTCCTTCAGCCTTCTACCAGAGTTCCCACCATGCTAGTACAAGAGCTGAAGAGGGCTTAAGTATGGCTGTGTGCACCGGGAAGCCATGCTCAAAGAGGAGGCGTGTTGACTCTGTTAAATGGTGTAAGGACAAAATGGCAAGAGAATATAATCGCAAACCTGATGCGATGTTAGTGTAAAATACTCTTGTCAAAGTTCATCCATCGAAGGAATACCGACTCCCACGTCGTACCTTCTCCCCATAAACCCAGATAGTCGCCACAACAGCTGCAAGCGCTACGCAGAGGGAGGCGAGCAAGTTTGCTGCCCACCACGTACCCAACTCTTCCAACACCTGGATCGCAAATAAAGGGAATGAAGCAGCCGTTGCTGGCCCCGTTGACACATATGCCGCCATTGCGAGTTGGTGAGGTGTGGATATCCTCCGATCATGTACGAGGCGGTGGAAAGGAGGCTTAGCACAATTTCCGCTCCAATGAGAACTCCAGCACAGACCTGGAGAAGCCTCTAATTAAGGCATACAGCACCTCCTTAGTTGGGATGACTTCAAGTTTGTCCGCAAGACTGAAAATGGTGGAGGGTGATACGAGACAGGCAAACCTCGTCTTAAAATGACCAATACAAAACTTGATCTACAGGAAACGGGCGAACGGCATTTGCATATCACAGTGGAAAGTGCGGTCGCTCAAGGGTGTTCAATGCCAGGCTCGTGCAGATACGGAGGACAACACTGCAATTATTCACACATGAGCGATCAATTTGCTCCATTGTCGCCAGAAACATTTAATATTGGAGGTTTGTTTCGAAAACCGAACGTCGCTACTGAAGAGACACACCATGCAAATCCTTGCCCCACTAGACGCTGAGCCCCTTAATCGAACAACCTTGTTTTGCGCTCTGCCCCAACGAATTTACATCAATTTGGACTTCAGAGTCTCCTTACCACACCAATGAATGAGTCGAAATCCTTTCCGATAAGAGTTGTGGGTCCTTGCGCAGATTATATTTGACCACTGACATTGGCAAAGAAGAGCATGAGATGATGCGTATGTGCCGTTGCGTCTGTTTGGAATAGCCGATACTTCAATGTTGGCGTTCTCTCCCATTCGGAGGTCCATCTTTTTTTAATTTTCCCGTAGATAATTTGCAAATCGAAATCATGTCTTTGCAAACGATCATAGCACGATGCGCTCTTCCTACCATTGCTGTGGCTGTCCTACATTTTCTATTCATTAATTGGTACTTGTTTACACTTCGAACTTTCATGACACCCGTTGCCGTCCCTTTTGTTCTACTTATCGGCTCTTTCGCCTGCAATATATTTATCTATCATCATATCTGCCCTCTGAGACATTTTCCAAAAGTATCTCAGCGTCCATTTCTGCAGAGACGGCTGAAAGAGCCGAATGCATGTCATTTCGAGCAATGGATCAATGATATACCGAACACAATAAGCATACGATACTTTAGCTTTTTCAACGGCAAGCGCATATTATTGACATCTCCAGAGGAGATCAACCAGGTTGTCGGGTCGCAGGCTGATAAATTTGAGAAGTGGTACATTGCGAGGACGCTATTGCAACGGTTTTTGGGGTGATCTTGGACTGATTGTCATGGAAGGGGACGTACACAAGGCTCACAGGAAGGCCCTCAATCCTGGCCCGGGGTTCAGGCAAATCGAAGTCAATATTCTGGAGCATGGCTGCTGAGAAGTTCGATGTCCTTGACGTGCAGAGAATGTGTGGAGCACGACAACGCAGGCATGGCGCTGAATCAACAGAAAATTGACAGCCACTTGATATGGACGACATCATCGGTCAAGTAATCTTTGATATCGTCGGCGAGAACAAGTCTGCGCATGGACTACAAGGTTCTATCATCGTACTGAGGCATTCTGGAACAACTCCGAAACTACAGAGACGCATTCGAGCCATCGGGTTCGAACCGAAACTACATTCCGGCAGTATTTCTTCTGCCGAAGACTCTCCTCAATATCCTTTCGACAAGTTTTAATCTACGAACAGGAGCCGTGACGGACAATGTTTAGAAGATTTGTGGATTGCAATTTGCCCCAAAATTGCAGCATTTGAATTCCAAGTGCGACGAAGAGATCAGCATGCCGTCAACAGACATATAGGAATTGCCATGCACCCTGGTAGATTGATATTTGAAGAGTTGAAAGATTCAAACTCTGGTGTTTCAAAATGGTGTATCCAGCAGCGCTGTGGTGGTCATCTTGTCAGCAATCTACTTCTGGTGCTGCCACAAAATCAACACATTCAGGAACCTCAGAGAAGAGATCCGAGACAAGCTTCCTCCATGCACATCCAAGGCCATCATTAAGCCTGAGACGTTTGCTTTAATGCCATATATGGAAGAAATCCACAACGGAGTCCTCAGCCTTCCTAGTGCATTCAGCTGGGCCGGACGTGTGGCCAAGGATGCCAAAGAATTCAAACCAGAGCGCTGGCTCAATGGCGCGGTAGTGCAGTTACATTCATTTTTGGCGCAGATGACAGACATCTAGGAGAATATCTCCAGACATCTGATACCTGATGGTCGCCTTGTCGCTGTCATGACCAATTCTGAAGAAGATCCAATCGTAAGTGCCACATCTTGCTCACCCTTAGATGGCCGGGCTTATACACACACACATCTCATGCCATGAGACCGTACGACAAGATGTTTCTTCTCGACTGTCCTTATGATTCATAAATATTAGGTATGCATCAAACACCTCGACGCCGCCTTCGACGCAAATACGGCTATTGAAGTGACCCTTTCAGGCCGCTTTCCGTGGGATACCGATACCACTTGCAACTGTCCTTCTCCACGGAGTCGTCCATCGACTTCGAGACGTACTATCTGCGCATATGCGTGTACGAGATTGCTGTCGAAGGTTGACGACATAAAGAACAAACTTACTTAGGAGGATATCAAGCTCCTGGAGGAGTCTGATGTGGTGAATCGTTACTTGGTAGAGCCCGTACCCGAGGATATTTTGACGAGTGGTTGAAGTACCCGGATTTCGGAGATTTGGTCGCAAACATGAAGTATTCCCAGCCCAGGTGAAAGAATTCTGGACTGTTTTCCACATCGTACGGTCGATTCGGAAAGCAAAGGGCCAATATAGAATATGTATTTTTGGAAATACCGAACTCTTGTAGCGAATAGTAAGCTGGCCATATTTCCAAACTCTGCTCTCCTAGCCTTTGGGCGAACTGCTACGTACACGAGCCGCTCGATCCCCCATCGCGCAAAGTTCAACATCTTGGCCTTCAATTTTTCACCAAGGTTCAATTACGTCTTCCCTTCTAGGATATTCTTCCGGGGTACAGAAGTTGGATAGCCAGTCATTCCTTGGAGAGCCACATCCGATGCTCTCCAAACGCACTCAGATAAATTTTGCGGAGCACGGGGCCCATGACCTCCAAATCCGAACAGCAAATGAACTGGTTCATCCATCACTGTCTGGTCAGAGTCCAGGCTCTCCACCCGTAGCGATTGGAGGCGCGACATGTGCCAAAGCATGCTCTCAGGCCCGTGTCCAGAGAGAAGTGACCCCCATATGCACTATCAAAGGTACGAGAAATCGGACTTGGATCTTTTCCTAGCTGACAAGGGTAGGCAGAACACAACTAATCTTTTTCAGCAGCGCCCTTCTCCTCACATATGGGCTAAAGAAATCAAGATCCTCCCTGATTTGTGCGTCGTGTTACACACTTGAGGACCCTAGTTGGGCAGACACTAAGGCGCGCCAGTCTGACAGGCCTCCTAAATCATGCAGTATTACCCAATGGCCCTAGGCAAACAGACCTTGCATATAAGAAGATCCTCCCGCAACTATATCTGAACTTCATCCTTATCTCAGCCTTCTCTTCTTACCTGTTGGAGAACTCTCCTTTCGCCGAACCTACCATTCTCTAACTTAATAAGCGTCCCAATTTGTCCAAAATGTACGATCGCGACCCGTACACGTTCGCCAACAACGATCTCATCCCCAAACCCATCCTCGATGTCATTACCGGCATTCTCAAGTCATGGGACATGGCAGAGACCGACTACAGATACATCGACATGTTTCAACCCGATGGGATCCTCCACGTCGCCCCCGAGCCTTCTTCTGGCAGGGAAGCCATGAAAAGCTTACACGACAACCTAATCCACCCTCAAAATGGACCCCTGGTCGATCTACAACATTACCTCGATCGAGTGTTTCTCATGCCTGGCAACACCGGTGGCAAGACCGAAGTCGTCTTTACCGGGAAGTTAGACAACTTTTTGGCCAACGGGGAGAAAGTCACTACGGATTTTGCTACCTGGGTGATTCTATCAGAGAGCCAGGAGGTTAAGGGTGCATTGCGCGCCGACCTTGTCAGAGTATTTTCCGACTGCTCTGCATTGTTTGGTGCAATTGAGAAGATGATGAGCGCGACCAATGGGGCAAACGGGGCCGGCGGGACCAAAGCATAGGCGGAGATGTTCGTTGCCTCGATACGTGAGGCTCAAAGAAGAATTTGGGGAAGAACGGACGCAAGGAGATAATACCCTGTCAGGTACACATGGATTTCGACGTCTTTTTTCGGCCTTGTCATGTTGAGGTACCAATATCAGCTGCTCAACCAGAGTATGACGCTTCAGTGGTGAACAGTTTGATCAACCCCAGCTGATGCTATCGTCGAGATTTTGAGATTAGGTCGATGGAACTCTTTTGGAGGAGATCAATCCTAAACTATCGTCGTCTTCCAGCAACATGAGCAGCAAATAGTCACTAGATGCCCTAACGACGATCTCTAGCCATATGTCGAGACCGTCTTCTTCTGTACGATGTTCTCGAATTCCAGGCTGAGTAATAACCACGCAGGCTCTGTTATTTGATGACGCAGCAGGATCATTTGCAACGCTTGGTCGTAGGTGTGTGTACTTGAAATTCAACCTTTGGCTTCATTCAGAGGATCATAAGTTATGCTTCAGACATTCAGGCAGGATCTCAATCAAATGCATCTAACTGAATTCGTAAATCTTTATCGCATCCTCATATGGTGACAGTATTTGGCCCGGTGATGAGGGCATCACACTGTCGTGAAGTTGTGGGTTTTCGGCCTGACTTGCTGTTGCTGCCTTAGCCGTGCTCGTGGTCTCTTGGGCCTAGGTGAACCGTGGGTCTAGGGCGCCGATAATACTGACTAGCTCCGGGTACAAAAGATGATCGTGTAGATACGTGTATACATCTTCTTTTTTATATAACTCTGGCGTCTTAGGAGAGTCAGCATACAACTACTCACACGGGGGACATACATACCTAACAACTAGGTTCGGTTGAGTATGAAGATCGACAAAACAAAGTTGATATCCGCTGGTAGTCACTATGATCTCATTGGAGCAGCACATCCTGTGAAGCACATTGATATGAGTGAGTGTGCTGGTTGCTCTTGAATCCCTGAATCTCCTGACAAGCATCAATCAGCAACATTCTTGCAGTCTTTTGGCGGTTCTTGCCCGCATACCAGAAGGCAGTTGTAACGTCGTGGCCATGACAGAAGCTAGATCCACATTGCCACTAGTGTAGCGGCAGAGATCACAAAAGGGAGTTGCCTGCTTAGCCACAGGGCCGCATTGGAGGGTTTTGTTCCATCAATCGATCCTTTTGTGTTTTGAGTGCGCCATGGTATATCGTCCGTTGACAGAGATGACGGTCAAATCGTGATCTTGAAGGATCTGCTTGGCCTTCTGCACCACTTTCGGACACTATTACACGTAGCCGACACTCAACACATTGCTAGGATTCTTGAGATGGTCAACCACTTTCACGGGCTCCTCAACATGGGGCCGTCGACACTGTTTCCTGCGGGAAATAACAGGCCCAAAACCAAAAGCATCAACCAATCAAATCTCCAAATCTCGATCTGGAAGCGTTGTTCCCCAAGAGTGTAGCGGAGAACCGAGAATGTTATGGTCGAATTTCTCTTCGAGTCTCTTTTAAGCATCTTCAAGAGTCAGAAAGTGCTGGGTGTCGATACAAAATGTGTTTGCAGAGGAAGCACGCTCGTCACAGTCTGACTTTTATTACGCGTTCGGCAAATGGATCAACGATGTCAATGATTCGCAACTTTGAGCCCAGTTGTGGCTGCATGCGATTGTCATATCCTCCTTGTTTAACCTGTCAGAAAGGACGTAGTACCTCAAGACGCACCGAGTGGTTCCTAAAGACAGTCATTTCCAGATGTGATACTTCCCTTGAGGTCGCAAATATTGGCCTTGTTGAATAATTCTTGGTCACGCGGACTACCTCCAGCACCAACAATGAAAATCTTGAAAGTCTGAACATCGAGACTGCCCATGATAAATAATGGGTTGTGTCCGGACCTTCTCGTTGATTCCTTTGACCCCCATCCTGGGCCTCGGATTTCGACGTATTTCCGCTGGAATTTAAGCCTGCGTCTCTTCCTGCGGGTCAAGTCAAATAAATGGTACCATTTTGTAGATCATATAGCTCCCGATGGAAGATACAGATTTTCGAAACCGAGATCATGACCAATTCAATAGGAACGACTCACTATTGATGGTCGACCCACTTTAATGGTGCTGAGATCTCGCGCCCATTTCACGAGGCGTACGGAGGAGCACCCACGGAGAAGCATACGGCTAAGGCTGGGCAAAATCGATGGCACTGCCAAGCGGCGGCCGAAATGCTCCATGGGCTCGTCTCCGGCCTCTATTCAGAGGGGCTCTCTGCCAACTTTCTCTGCTTTCCGTCCAGACATCTCGTTTCCTCTGGGTGAGAGGATCCTCTGTGCTGCTTTGAGTTTGGTCTACACACCTGTCTCGTTTTGTTTCGTCTCCCCTCTGCTACGGCTTGTTCTGTCCCAAGGATGAGGCACTCCTCGTGATAGAGCCAGGCCTAGTAAAAATACCGCCTGATATCCATCCTGTCACTTATCTCAGAAAACCTGGTCTTCGTACTCCCTCTTCTCTAACGGACTCTCCCTGCTGTTCTTCCGAAATGGAAGGTAACACCCCTCAAAATCGACCTGCTCAGCCGGCGCCGCAACAACAGGCTTCCTTGATCCGCCCCGAACAAGTCCAGAGATTGCCTCAACTTAATTCAGCACAGAAGCAACAATATGAGGCGGGCGTCAAGAGATTCTGGGAGATCCTGAATACCACTCCACAGGGAGATCCAAAATACAACGAGGCATATCAAGGTCTAGTGAAGACGTCAGGCCAGTTGATGGCAGGTATGAAACAATGGCAACAAAATGCGAAGCAACGAATACATCAACAACAGCAACAGCAACAGCAACAACAAGCTGCCATACAACAACAGCAACCGACGCAAGCACAGGGACAAGCGCAGAAGCCTGCTCAAGCACCAGCCGCCACGGGCCAGGGCGGAAATAGTACCATGCAGTTCTCTCAACTGACGCCTGAAATCCAGCGCAGAGTCAATGAACAGCATTTCTATTATCCACCAGCAATGACCAAGGGAACCGAACCCGCTGAAGTGTGGTTGCGCGAGGCAAAGGCTCGATTGGGACAGGCACTGCAGAGACTCCAGGTTGCCAAACAGAAGAAGGCTGAGTTTCAACGCCAGGCCCAACAACGACAGCAGCAAGGCAATCCTTTGACGGCGCAGGAGACGGAAGTCTACAACAATAAGATTGCACAGTGTGACAGAGCTGTGAACGAGAGCACTTCTTTCATGAAGAAGTTCAACGAGCAGCAAGAACAGTTCCGTGCTGCGCAGCCTCAGCATCAATTCACTAAGCAGGCCGTCGCTCCCGGTGAAGGCGCCGAGTCTGCCAATGCCTCTCAGATGCAAACTGGCGTGCAAGGACCTACGGCTCATTCTATCAGCAGTGCTGTTTCCGCCGCTCGGAGCCAAGCAAGCGCAGCCCATGCCGGTAGCCCAACTGCCACCGCACCTCAAGCAGGACAGAGCAGCGGCGCCAACGCTCAGAAAACACCTGTAACTACTACTCAAACATCGTTTCCTCCTTCTGGTCAGCCAGACAGTTCTGCAGGCCCTCGACCAGCCTCACATTCAGGTCAACCCATGGCACCTCAGGCGCAGCACGCGGCGCAGTCCGGCGCCCAACCTCATCCTCTCAATACGAGCATCAACGGCGCGAAGACGGCTACTCCTGTCATCACCAAGAACTTGCAAGTTGCCGAACCAAAGCCAGTCCCCATGCCCGCTTCCCGACCGACCCTAACCGGCGGTGCTGGTGTTGGACTTCCAGGTCAACTTGCGCAGCCAGCCATGACTGCGCTCCCTGGATACGTTCTGGAGTCGAGTGAGGACGGACATGTACTCTCCAAGAAAAAGCTGAATGAGTTGGTGCGCGAAGTCTGTGGACCTGGCCCAAATGACCAGCTTGAACCTGAAGTTGAAGAGGTAAGTTCTTGCCTGAATTTGATCTGAACCAAACATCTGACTAACTGACGGCTAAGCTCTTCCTCTCCATCGCGGATGATTTTGTCGACGAAGTTGTCACCGCCGCCTGCAAGCTTGCGAAACTTCGTGGTTCATCCAGCTTGGAATTGCGTGACCTTCAAATCGTCCTCGAACGTCAATACAACATTCGTGTTCCCGGATTCTCGACTGACGAGATTCGAACCGTTCGACGACCTCAACCCGCTCCAGGCTGGGCTCACAAGATGAGTGCTGTGCAAGCTGCCAAATTGACCGTTGGTGGAAGTGCTACTAACACGACTGGAACTGGCGGAAAGGACAACTGAAATCATCTTGTTTCATTGTGACATTTCTACCCTGCATGAATTGAGAGGCGTTTGGAAAGCAGGCGGCTACTCACCTGAAGATATCAGCGGAAGCATGAGTTCTTTCAACGACAAGGTGGCATAGTGATTTTCTCCTATGGGTATTTGGGACATGAACACAAACTAGCAAGGGTCTACGAAAACAGGGGGATATTTGTATGAACGGGACGGCACTATCGAACAGACCTGGAGATCCTGCAACTAGAGTTGAGAGAGGAGGCCACAGCGGGCAAATAATGAGATAGGCTGGACTCAAGCTTTGAGTTCCCAATCAATTCAGCATGCCCAAAGAATTCCAAAGCACTTGACCTTTATTTTCCTTCTCGAGTGATATTTACCGCACACTGGCATCCATCCCGTCTGTGGTATCCGTTGATTCAATCCGGCTGAGTGGCTAGCTAGGTCTTGGTACTTCGGCCCACGGATTGTCGAGACACATCGATGGTGCTTCTAACCTTGGTCGTAAAGTACCGGGCAGAGATAGATAGGTGGGCTCCAAAAAGGTGGAAGAGGGAAAATTGGCGGTGGCTGGCCTGCTGGTACCCAATGGTGGCGGTGGTGCCAAACTCCAGGAGTGCCTTCACGGCCGCGACGTCATCAGCAGCCCAATTCACAGCCCACAATAGCAGCTCATAGTCATTCCTACCCAGCAGGAAACTTGTTCAGCCCAACTGCGACGGTTTTGTCTTGTTCTGTAACGCCTTCATTTCCCAATCTCGAACATCCATAGCCCCATTTCGCCCACAATTAAGTTGCAAACTTCTTCATATTGACTACTGTCGGCCTCTGCGTCCTTCCACCGTCTTTTTTCTCACGAGATCGTCTCCCGACACCTGGCTGGGCATATCATTCAACCTGATCGGACGTCATCAGCTCCCCCCTCTGTCCTTGAGAGGGCACAACCTGCCCCTTTCCTTCCCTCCCGATCGACGCCCCGATCATTTCCATCTACTTTCTCCAGCAAAGAGATCGATAGCATTCAATTATGTCCCGATACCGTGCTGACCCTCGCTACTCCGAGGGCAACCTGCCCTACCGTGATCCTCCCCCTCAACGATGGGACACCGACCGCTTCGTCCGAGAACGAGAGATTCGTGCCTCTCCTATCATTGATCAACGTCCTCCCTACGCCGATTACCCTCCCCGTCGCGCTCCAGTCTATGAGGAACAGAAATACTACGAAGATGATCGATATGGCCCTCGCGGGGCAAATGAGCGCAGATATTTTGAAGAGACTGACTACTACGACCCACGCAACCAACGGGGTCAACTGGTCCCGTATGCTCCCGAACGACCGGCCAGACCTGAAGCACCACCACGACCTGGAATTATTCGGCGACAATCCAGTTTGGATACCTTTGATCGCCAGCCAGCCAGGCGCTTCAACGACTATGATGATATGTACAGGCCGCAAAGGGTGCCTCCTCCGAGAGAGCTGATTCCTGTTCGGCCGCCGTCACCAAGGCGATACCCAAGATACGACGATCGTTACTATGATGATATTCGTGTCCAAGACCCGGACTACTATGGAGATGACGGTTTTAGAGAGTACCGGGAGCGGGAATGGGTCTCGCGAAGGAGGAGAAACAGCAGTCCCTCCCCCGAACGCCGAACAGTCAGAGGAGAATTTGTCGAAGAGGTCAAGGAAGAGATCAAAGAGGAAAAGCCATATCCTCGCCGTGGAAAGACTCGCATGCCGAAGCGACTCGTGCACACCAAAGTCTTGTTTGATCTAGGTTATCCATATTACGAAGAGGTGAGAAAAGTGCCGGTTTCCTGGTTCGACACTTGGTGCTGATTGGAATAGGACGAGCGAACAATCATCATTGAAAAAGCTTTGGGTCCCGACAACATTGACGAAATTTTCACAAAGAGCAAAGAATATCGTGAGCGAGAAGGTGTGTGTTTGACAGCTCTATCTAAACTCAGCTGCTAATGCTCACAGTGACCACCACTCGACTCATTGAGGCTCCTCCTGCCGAAGACGTGGTCTTCGAGAAGAAGGAGAAAGTCGAAGAGATCAAGACAGTTCCGCTGTCTGAAGCTCCTCGATCGGTCCGTGAATGGGATGGCCTCTCAGTCCGATCTCCGTCTCCCCGGTCGCATCGATCCCATTCTCGCAGACGATCACGCCGAGGATCTTCCCCGGGCGTGGTCAAGGAGACCGTCGTTGAAAAGAAGGAGGTTGTTAAAGAAGTATCTCCCGCACGAACTCGCCGATCGAAAAGCGCCCGTCGCAGGAGCTCGTCTGTTAGTGATGAAACCATCATTGAACGGAAGATCACCCACGAAGCGGAATTTGATGATTCCAATTCGGTTCATGTTGGCCCTCTGGCCCTAGTGGTTGACCGGAAGCCGCCTCGCAGCGAGCGTGACATCAAAGAGGAAATCCGCATTCTCGAAGCCGAACGCCGGGCTCTGAGACGGGAGAGAAGATACGAACGCGAAGGGGGTACTGAAATCGTCAAGGTTGAGCGAATCCATGACAGATCTCCATCGCCTCGTGGAGAAGTCATCATTGAAAGACGAGGCGATGAAATCCTAGAAGTCAAAAAGGACCGGAGAGGTAGGATGTCGTTGATCGCCAAGTAAAGTTACATTTTTTCCTGATGGCGTTGGACAGGTCGCTCGCGCTCGGCTGCTCCCAGTCCTGCAATCATCAGAGCCATGATGGCCACTCTGACTTGAGTCACATCCTCTGAAATCACGTGTGAGCACATTCGATCGTGTGTCATTATTGTCATCACTGATTACCGGCGTGGATTGAGAATGATAAGCCACCGCATCGATGGCCCACAGGACCTGGATATTTGCAACCCGATTTGAAATACAGATCTTGGACCAGAATTGTGATACGTTCAACCAAATCTTGGTATGCGACTCGGAAGGATGAATGAATTTGGGGACACGTTTGTGACGAATTTCTTTTCTGGTATAGGTGGAGATTGATGAAGCGGGTTTTTAAACTCGGTGACTGATAGATTCAACCATATGAATACCATTTATTTTGTATCATTGAAGATATCACCAAAGACGTAGAAATAGGCAGATATCAAGGAGTGTTGCCTTGGCCCCCATATGCTAAGAAAATAGTACCGCCAACTGATCAGCATGTGAATGTTCCTTTTCGTCAGACAAGATATGTCATAGAGCAACTCGTGAGCATGTGCGAAGGCCACATTGTCAGACTGCGGCATATGTTCCCAAACACTGGCCCTCTCAGTCAGCTCCTCAACAACCCAGTGGTCGATCCATTCCCTACCAACTTCCCCTTTTATTTTCTATCTCATTGCCAGCCTCCATTATCTCGGGCTATCCGCAGCCATGGACAAGTTCTCTGCATTTGGAAAGAACATAAGGTTCGCTCATCTCCCTCCCTTCCAGGCGACCCTGGTGTCCGACCTGCCCCTGCGAAGCTTTATCAACCCCCCCCCCTTTTAGACGTCCACTGGCACTTACTGACGGCTTTTTATATGGCAGTTCTGCTTTCAATTCCACCGTTTCTCCCTTTGCGCAGCGAAGCCAACAATATCTCAAGGAACAATTCGGTGGAGCAGAGGATAAGGTGTGTGTGAAAAACATTGCCGTCCGGTTCAAGTCTATGGGAAGACTAAGGGCCCTTCATCCAGACGCAACTGCCCGCAGACTACATTGAACTTGAGAAGCGCGTCGATGCGCTGAAGCAAGTTCATCAGAAACTGCTGGCAGTCACGTAAGTGGCCTGTCTGATGAGAGATTGAGATTGTGATTTTTGACAAACGTGCAGAAACCAATACTCCAATGAAGCTTATGACTATCCTCCTAACATCCGCGAATCCTTTACCGACCTGGGTCGCAGTATCTCTGAGAAGGTGACACTTCTCTCTCATGCGTCTAGCCCTGCCGAAGCGCAGGCTGCCTTCACTGCTCCCCCCTCGGCCAAACCTCAACCCAAGACATTCAACCATGCCATTGCCCGTGCTTCCCTGGCTAGTTCTCAGCTTCTGCAACAGTCAAACACTTCCGGATCGGGCAATGACCTCCTAGCCAATGCGCTGGAAAAATATGCCTTGGCTGAAGAGAAGGTTGGAGAGGCTCGATTGGCACAAGATCAAGCCATTCAATCCCGTTTCCTAGCTGGCTGGACTACTACGTTGAATACCAATATTCAATTTGCAACCAAGGCTAGAAAAGCCGTTGAAAATAGCCGGTTGATGTTGGATAGCACGAAGGCCTCTAAAAAGAGTCATGTCCTGGGCCGGGGCCTGAATCCCGACGACGAAACAGCATTGAGCGAGGAAGCTCGAGCTGAGATCGAAGCTAAGGAGGACGATTTCGTCTCACAAGTTGAGGAGGCACAGGGCGTTATGAAGAATGTAAGTAATGTAGACTCTCTTCAGAGATGCCGCAACTGACGCCAACAGGTTCTCGACACTCCTGAACCCCTTCGCAATTTGGCCGACTTGATTGCGGCCCAGCTTGAGTACCATAAGAAGGCATACGAGATTCTCTCCGAACTTGCCCCTGAGATTGACCAGCTTCAAGTCGAACAGGAAAGTAATTACCGTAAGAGCAGAGAAGGAGCATGATTGACATCACGAGAAGAGGAATCATTTGTTAGGTTTTTTGCCCTTGGTTCGGTCCTCTGCATTTACTTTGTTCTCCTTGTCATAGTGAGCCGCGGGGAAAGGAAGACAAGGGGTCATTGGCTCTGTTAGATCAATACCAATATCAAAGCATTTCTTCATGAGCGTCATTGTCGTCTTAGGTGCGTGGTAGAGATGTATTGTTGATAATCCTTCGTCATCGATTGTCCTATCCACGAATGGAAGTTTCGCCGCGCCTTCGCAGCCGAGCCTCACCCCATCAAAGTCAACTGTCTATACAAGCTGCAGCAGGAGAGCTTCTTCCAGAAAACTAACTTGTCCCCCCTTTCTAACCTCCGCATTTCTCCAAAATCACCTGGAGGACCGAAGATCATTCCTCCCACTTCAAACCACCGCCACAACCAATTCTACCATCCGAACAGGCGCCTCCACGCGAATTCCTGGCGACAAGAAAAGGCAATCGAACATTAAGCTCCTAACACCAGAGTCAAAGGAAAATCCACGAAATATACAATGGCAAATGGGTAGGTTCACCCGCTGCAAGCGCGCACGAAGCTTCGCTCCTCCGCTTCCTCTGGCCAACAAACAACTGTGTCTCAATCATTCTTCATGCTTGGGATCTAGGAATTCGTTGTATACGGACAAAACAGGAGGAGGGCAAGAACAACGAGTGGCATTCTATACGCTTCCATTGCTGGCCCTTTTCATTGAACAACATTCCGGTGAAAACGGGATCACAGGTGCCAATTTGGATGGGCTTGCTCGATTCCTCTGCTCCATCTCGTCGTGTCCGTCATTCAACCGGCACATTATACCAAACAAGAACTAAACAATACATGCTAACCTGTTCTCTCTTTTCTCGAATAGCTGGTCCCTCCTAATCGGCCTCGTGGTCATCGTGGCCCTGAGCGTGGGTGTATGGTTTCTGAGCCCCAAGGGCGAGAATCAAACGTACGTGTCCATCGGATCCCTCTCCAACACAACGGAGTACCAGGTCCCGCCTTGAGCCGAATACTAACTGCTCTGATGGATAGGGTATGGAGAAATACTTTGATCCTCAGTTTCGCTAGTTGTTATATCATGTGGGGTATGTGTTCTGTCCTTGATTCCATACATCATTTTTATTCTCACATTTCTCCATTTTCCTATCCAATCACTCAATGGTGAAGAACAGTTGCTAACAACCTTGATCCAGCAATAACTTTCTTCGCGCAATGGCATCCCCTGATCGAGCCAAAAATGACGAAATTGCGCCACGGGTATCCTGGAGGAAGTTGAAGAAAGTGCCGTTGTCCAATAATCATATCAATCAACCAGACAATTCCCGATTCACCCACGCAGACAATCAGGGACAGTGGAATCGGCCTTCCACCAGGCTTAGGTACGGAGTAAGGAGTATGGAGTAAATGGGAAGGAAAGACATTCGAATTCTATAAAGACAGGACAATACGGATTGGTGGCAGTGTACAATTGATTTTGTTGGCTTCACAACCCCATCGGCTATGACCTCCTATCTCCCATCTGCAGAGTGCATCCAAGCCGTATCACCCAATTCAAGCTTTGGCGGGCGAGAGTTGCTTCTCGAATGCAAGGAAGAGAGCAGAGAACAGGCCTTATCCTGATGCATGAGCGAGTGGACAAAGCACCTGGAAAAACCAGTACATGCTCCCCGGTTAAACGTTTCCCATTTGTTCAGTTTATTGAAATTCCCGGTAGTCTGTACATGATACCAATTCGTCTTAGCGATGTGTATCCTCCAGCGGGCGACGACATTCTGTTCGCAAGGATCATGGCGGAATGCAGTCAACCAGTATTTCTGAAATATATGCTTTTCAGCATTTGATACCGCTACGCAACGCGAGAAGGTTCACCTAAGTGTCCTGCTTTTCAACTTTCGATTCTTCAGATTTATCTTCCTTTTCGCCATTTTCACCCTCCCCATCCTCAGCCGCTGTCTCCTCTGCATTGATCGTCACCTCCTCATCTCCAGTGTCCTCAGTCTTCTTGGGACTATCTGTCAAAACTTTGTTACCAGCGTTAGCGTGCCCCTGCCCATGTCCATCGTTCGTGTCATGGATATGCTCTAGGATAGCATTCAGAACATCTGGACCGCCGGTACGAATGCTTCCGCCTGACGGAGACGTAAATTTTTTTCCCTCGTCATCTTCCATTTTTTGATTGATGGGTGTCTCTGGTTTCGTTGCCTCATTTGCGGTTGTAGCACTGCTGCTTTCTACAGCGGCTTGTGTGTTGATGGAGAGTGGGTCAATGTCTTCCACGTTGCCCGTTGGTGTTGGATCTTCTGGGGCACGAGGCTCGTACTTTGGCACAGTGGCATGGATATCTAGCTTTGGAAGATGGTCTGGTGAGGCGTCTTTGGATTTCGGTGGCGAATCTGGTATTTCCACTGTTGTGGTTGTCGGCTCGAGGGTGGGAAGATTCTTTGGTGCGGCAATTGTGCTTGTTGGTTCTTCATCTTCTTCCTCCTGACCTTCGGCTATGGTTGCAACATGGCTTCCTGTGCTAGGAGTATGTTTGTGTCTCCGGGTTGTTGCCCCAGTCGTATGCGTAGTTCCTGCCGTTGTTGCAGAAGGTGCTGATGATTCGTCCGAAGATGAAGTCGAAGGAGTGTCTTTGCGTAATATTTGCATCCACGAGCCATTGTCCTGCGCAGAATTACTGCTTCGATCATCGGCCTCTTCACGAGATCCTTCGGCTTCTGGGGGAATTGTATAGCTGTCTTGGGGAATAAGATGGTACTCATCGCAGACAACCTTGAAGAGAATGTAGAGACCATAAGTGGCTTCGACGGACCAGAAAACATCTCGATGCTGAAACCACGCGTGTGCGAAAATGCGATATACTCGTCGGAAGATATTTGTGAGCTGACGCATACTTTGGATGACGTTCCCTGCCTCACCGCCTAATGCCAGTCTCGAGGGGAAATGTTTCGGACTTGTCAGTACATTTGCCGCCCAGTCAAGAGTGTGATTGCAATAATCAATTGCGCAGCACGACTTTGGAGGTTCATGGACGGCACACAGATATTGCCATTCGCTCGCACGCATTTCGGGACATGTCTGGCTTGAACAAGGCGGGGAGTCGTTCATCAGGAATATTGAGACAACGTTCGCCTTTTGGGTGAGAAATCGACAGAGCTCGTAGAGCCAGAGATTCCTGTCCACTGATTCGTTCTCGTTGATTTGTGGTGGTGTGGCCAGCTGTAACGCCGACTCTTTTGAGATTGGAACCGTATGTGTGGATCCCGAGGTATGTGTAAGATGGGAGTAAAGGGACTTGAGGTGTTCTTGGAGTTGGAAAGGCGAGTCGAGCTGCCGTGGCCTATTAGTCTATTGTCTCCCGGTATCGAAGATAAATGATTTCTTACCTGACTCAATGGGACCAGAGGAGGACCCATAGCCATATCCGCCGCTTTTGTGCCTGGTCTTATCCTCCTTGCAGCTCCTTCATCTGGTTTACAGGTAGCGTCAAGTGATAATTCTTTGGATATGTCGCCAATTCCAGGGCTTTTGGGCCCAAATTGGACTTCGGGAATGGGGGGAGGGGAAGGTAAACGTGGTGAGCTTGAAGGAGACACCCCCGATCTAGAAGGGGTCACTGCCGCCATGGTGTATAGAATTAGTGGTGGAGGGAGCAGTCGAAGTTGCAGTTTTGGAGTATTCAGCGCTTAATTTGTTCAGGGTCGCGAGCCCAGGAAAAGATGGGGGCTGGTCTTCGACAAGGACACTCTACCCTAAGGCAACAGAATTATTCCCTCTGAGACGCACAGAGTTCTTCGCAGCTTCACCAAGGCTTGTATGCTCTCGCGAAGTAGTTGGGTTGTTCGTCCGCAGCAAGTAGGTCTCTTTGGGGGTTAGGAATACCGCCTCTCCACCCTGCTAAGATCGTTCTTCGGCAAAACGTGCCAGTGAGATCGATGTGCGACAAAGAAGAAATCGAAGAAGACATTAATCCGAGCAAGAGCGGCGTCTTCCTCAATCGCGGCCGAGAAACCAGGAACGACGGCTAGTTGAACCTGCGCAAACATGTTCGGATAAAATTGCCCCATGAAAGATTTAAGCTTACCTTGTGGAGTTGGTGAGATCGACTTTAAGCGCAACTCTATAATTCATACGGTCCCGGGCACGTGGTCGGCACATGATTGGTTAAGATTGATGACGTATGGTGAAACAGCACCAAATTTTGTGTTGGGGAGTTCGTGGTTGGGTTCGTGTCCCAATGGACCTATTCCTCGGCAGCCTGTTGAAAGTCCTTGAAAGACACTAGACACAAAGTATCATGGACGACGAGATCCCTGATCTGGTCGATGCCGGTGACGATGGCAACAAGCCCGATGCCCGGACCAACTCTTCTCCCACAAGGAAAGTTCCGATTACCGTCGTAACAGGTACGAGCAAGACGTACACCCTAATACTTTTACATTTTGGATACTAATATAGTCTCACAGGGTATTTAGGAGCCGGGAAAACAACGCTACTTAACTATATCCTAACGACCGAGCACGGCAAGAAAATCGCAGTGATCTTGAACGGCACGTTGTAGTAGTCCCCACTCCATGTCAAAACCCAATTTCCTTCTCGATACCCATCTAACATGTGCTCTCGCCTACAATAGAATTCGGCAACACTGCCGACATAGAGAAATCCTTAACAGTGAACCAAAATAACCAGTCGACTACCGAATGGATCCCGCTCGCGAACGGGTGTATCTGCTGCAGCGTCAAAGATTCGGGCGTGGCGGCACTGGAATCCCTCATTGAGCGACAGAAAGACTTTGACTATATATTACTCGAGACCACGGGAGTCGCCGATCCAGGTAACATTGCCCCCATGTTCTGGATGGATGAAGGGCTCGGGAGCAGCATCTACCTCGACGGAATCGTTGCTGTCGTCGATGCGAAGAATATCCTGGGGAGCCTAGATGAACCTGCTCAGGAGGAAATACCTGAGTGGGAAATGGAAAACGGCAGGGCCGAGAAGACTTCGAGTGACCGCCATGACCACAAAACCCGCCTCCTTACCATTGCTCACCTACAAATCTCGCACGCAGACGTAATTATCCTGAACAAAACGGATCTCGTGCCTGCTTCGCAGCTCTCAATTGTCCAAGCGAGAATAGCCTCAATCAACAGTCTCGCCCGAGTCATCCCCACCACTCGTTCCTGCATCGACAGCCTTATCGGAACCGTTCTTGAATTGAACGCGTATTCAACGTTTCCCGTATCATCGTCATCATCATCCATTCCCGATTTCGCCTCCAAAGGCCATTCGCATCTGGACCCGACAATATCGACTCTGACACTGCCGCTTCCAATTTTCGACCCGCAAAAGCTGCCCTTGTTAGAAGGTTGGCTTGAGACGCTTCTCTGGGACGCTGAGGACCGACAAGCCGGTCAGGCACGACGGTACGAGATTTACCGCACGAAAGGACTGGTTCCACTAACAGACGGTACCGTACGAGTTGTGCAGGGAGTAAGAGAGATCTTTGAGATCATCGAGGTGCCGAAGGACACGGAGGAGAGGGCCAAAGAAGGGAAAATCGTTTTCATCGGGCGAAATCTAGATCTCCTCGAGGGAGACGGAGGGAACGGCCCATTCAAAGCGTGAAAACAACGGTAAGAGACTTTCCGAAAATTGTCCGGCACAATCGAGACGGAACTTGTGAGGATTAAAATCCCTCTTCGCCCCCAGCGGCATGAAAGTCCTCGGAACAAGTGGCATATCGTGTAGGATATGAATGCGAGAGCATTCACAGTGGCAGGCGCATGGCGGCCAGCAACTATGTGAGAACAAAAGACTAGAAGATTCTCATTCAATTCGTCAAATGTGAGTTCTGTACGGCCTCACCAAAATAAAAGCTATCTCAAAGACCTTGGATTTGTTTCAAGTTGTTCGGCTGGTGACGATGAGAATAAAAAAAATAAAAAAAAAATAAAAAAAGCCATGAACCACAATCCCAAAGAGCCAAATGATCAGAAAAGCTGCGTGCCTCAGGAACGATATCGATGCCGAGAGATTCGTATGCCTGCCCCATCCAACAGAATTCTTGCTCCTTTTCATAATTGGTTTTGCAACCACATACTCGTATTTGAAATAAAATGACTCCGAATCCCAAAGACGCCACCCATATGCAGTACATACCGAAAGACGAAAAGATAGCAAACATTTCCTTCCCTTCCCTCTGGGTCCCTACTCGTTTCGTCGGTGGTATCATGAATCTTGCTTGTTAAAAGAATATCAACAATTCAATCCAATGTGATTTAATCCAAATTCAGATCGTGACAAAGGCATGGTCATGTGGATCGTGATTATAGGTCATAGCCGTAGGCTGTTTTTGGGTCGGCGTGTTGCCTCATTAGCTGTATCGAAGAAAGGATTGGTGTCAAAGGTCAAGGCTCGCAAATTTGGCTAACTCTTCGTTTCAATGAGCAGATTCGACCAGGTTCGTCGAATCAAAGGTTTTCAAAGTCAGACGTCAGGTCACAGTGGAGATCCTCCCTAGTGTCTCGCCTTTCACTCTCAACATTTCAAATAGGCGGAGACGACATCGTTGATTGTTGACTGCAGTGATCATGGCTCCGAGCCCTCTTTTGATATTCGCGTGAGCGAGAGGGAATGAGGCTGACACTGCGGAATGGCGGGGAGCCCATTAGATGCATTCAAGAGCGAAGTCGACCTCAATCATATGCTCCACATCAGTCAAATGCTTGCCGAGATCCATTTCAAGTTGATGAACAAGCATTTGCAATGAGTAATTCCAAACGTCAGCGTCCATGTTTTCACTTGATCTCTTCGTCGGAATGCACAGGCTCGTCGGCTTTGCCTACCAAGTACACTTCGTTGTCTTGTGGTAACGTAATTCGGACTTGCTTTCCTCCTGACTCGTTCTTTGAGATTTCTGTTGACAATTCAGAAACTTGGTGTTCCGGTGAGGTAATATCGTGTTGGAGTGAAGTTGTTCCAGGGACCTCTGGGAAACAGTGAGCTTCATCAGCTGTAGGCGGTTGGTGTGTTGTGTCTTCCTCGACCAATGAGATGGGCGTTTCGTCTACTTCTTGAACCGATTCCCCGTCTTCAATCGATGTCACACCCAGATAACCAGGTCCATCGTCATCAGTCAAGCCCAGTGGTTCGTCATAACCACTGTCTGCATATGGAAGGCCAGGAGGCTGACTCATCGATGATACTCTAGGCAGAGGTGAAGCCTTCCGATGGGGGCATTCAGTCGCATTAGACATAAGAACATCAGCGTCACGACTGGTGGTAATCGAGTGTGGTAGACAGTTTTCCTGAGGGGTATTTTGGTCGTTGTCCATATCCGGGTTGCAATCTGCTGCCTCGGATGCTTGAGGATCTTTTGGCTCAGGGCCCCGCCCATCGGGCTGATGGTGAGCAAGTGTTGGAAGAATAGCATGGCTGTTCCTAGGAGTGCTGTCTGAGGTGGTAGAAGCCGCCGTTGGGAACGAAGACCGTCGTTCTGGCAAAGGTTCCGAAGAATCCAAAGATCCAGCGACATCAAGTCCAGGGTTGTCGACAGAAAGGCCTGGATCATGGAAATCCCTTTCTTCGACCGCCGCTCGTTCCAGAACTTCTCTTTCTTCGTCGTTGAACGTCCTGCGTGATATCAGGTAAGGATGACCATCCAACTCCACCTCGTCAAACTCGCGTTCCACTCCTGGAGAAATTGCGACAATGTTGGGTTCTGGATCGTCCATTGGATCGGTAATTGGATGGGCTCCTTCGTCATCACGTAACCGATGAGGTGTCTCGTTTGGACCAAGATGTGCACAACTGGTGGGTGGTCTCCTGCCTCTCTCGTACCCTGAAGTTTCACTGTCGAACTCGTAATTCGACGACCGGGGATAGGTGAAGGTGTAATCGTCCCTGGAGCTTTCTGGTGAATAGGTGACGACGCCACCAAGTTCATGCTGACTGAAATTAAATCGTTCGATATCATCGCGCTCAACTGCAGCAGCAGGGTCAATATACTCCTTTCTGGTGCGCAACTTCAATGTGGGTCGTTTGTGGGGGTGAGATTCCTCGGTCGATTTGGAACTTCCTTCTGATGGGAACATCTCAACGAGTTCCTTGGCGGACAATCGATCCCGCGGTCGGGGGGATAAGCAAGTTCTGACGATGTCTTGGTACCAGTCGGGGACTTCGGAAGGGAACTCATCAACACTCAACGGTGAAACATGTCGTTCAGGCTCATCGTCATCCATCGCCAATGCCCACAATGTCATCCCCAATTGATACAAGTCTGATTTCTCACCAATGTACATCGAGATTCTTTGATTGCTGGCAATTTTGGTGGCGATTTCAGGAGGCTCCCATCCGACCGGACATCCACGGCGGTTGATATCGATGATTCTGGCATTTCCATCACCATTGACAACGATGTTGGACAGGGTAAAGTCGCCTTGGACGTAACCTTCTTCGTGTATCTCGCTAAGTCCACGCACCGATTGCTCAGCCCATCTGCATCGATCTTCCCAAGGGATAGACCCTCTATGGTCGTAGAGTAAATCGACGATGGCACCTTTCTCTGCATAGCTAATGAGTAATCCTCTGACCGATTGTTGAGTATCATCAAGAACGATGGCTTCGAGTTGGATTACGTGACTAGATCCGTGAAGGGCATGCAGAGCATTGATCTCATACAAGAATTCATCGACCGTATCAGGGCCAGGGATTTCCTTTTTGATGTAGACTTTGCCCTTGTACCGGATCTTGTAGACAAATCCTGAAAGATGAGAGTCGAAGGTCAAGTCGCTCTCACGAACTTCCATCGGGGAAAACTCTTCATCGGAAAGGATATGTGCCACGGTATACCGCGGCGGGTACGGAATGATTTCGTTGACGTCTTCAGTGACGTGAACATGCAGTCGGCCATCAGTGGTTTCCAGTTTAAGATTCGTGACGGTTTCATAAAATTGAATTTCGGGAAGGGAATCGCGGATAGACTCGTAGATTTGCATGCTCTTATCTCTTTGGAACTGAAGTTCTTTGAGATCCATCTCTAGGGATCCTGGTTCGGCGTTGCGATAATCACATGAAACGGTCACACGACGCCAGTGCGTGGGAGTTTCTGCATAAGTGACAAAGAACTTTTCACGGTCGGACTTATCTCTGAAGTGCATGCTGAGATTGAGGATCCATCGACTATCGAGTTCATCTCGCAAATCCGGCTTGTCGTCAACAGCAAGCATCCGCGGATAATGTGAATCATCCGATGAAGTGGTCGAAGGTGGTCGAGGAGGCCGGTAGTCATCATCCGACCAGATGTCTTCGGAATTGTTGGGGAGGGTGGGATCGAGAGAAGGTGGGATGGCGCCAATACGAGAATCATAGGCGCCGGCATCAGCTTTGCTGCTCACAGCCACGGCTGGAGCAGAGACACGGGCAGGATCCCAATACGGCGGTGATGAAGAAGCTCGAGGCCGGGGTAAACTGGTCGAAGCATGCCTCGTCGACGAGAGAGCTCTTCGTTCAGCGGGACAAGGTTCAATGGGAAACAATCGATCCCGTCTTTCGGAATTCTGGCGTCTGAAGGTGGCTTGCCGGGGGAGGCCAACAGCGAGTGGCCTCGTTGATGAGTCTGGCTTGTTGGAATCACGGGCCTCAGCCCATGTCTGAGGCCACTGATCGTGGTCAGTGCACTCGACGGGACTTTGAGTGGGATCATCTTTGGCAAAGATATTCTGTATTTTCTGCCACATGCCCACTCTGAAGGAATGTCGGGAGTGATGCTGATGCGGTTCGGAGTTGACTTGAGTCAGTGACGGTTCAGCATGATGAGGCCTTATGCCCATATTGCGGAGGTCGCTTTAGTGTTGGTTTCTGAGTGAGGGGCAACCTCAGCAACAATCAGCAACCTCCGCTGAGTCGGAGGACACAACAGCGACCAAAAGAAGACGGACAGCAATCGGACATTGAAGGATGTCGATGATGATGGTAGTACAGAGGAGATGGTGGGAATTTTTTTTGAGTCGGGAGGTTTTGGCTGGGACCCGATCTTATTGGTGATGTGGTATTCCACAAAGCACTCGGTGGTTTTGGGGGGGTGGTGGAGAGGTTCTTGGAAGGCGGTGAAGACTCCGACGCCACACAGAGTTTCGAACAGAGCAGAAACCAGCAACACAGCTGGATGGGAGAGTTTTCAAATGTTTGCAAAATGGTGAGGATCAAGGGAGGAGGGGAGGTGGTTTGACGGTGCGCAGGTTGGACTTTTGGCTGATAGAGATTGCAGGAGGGCGAAGAGGAGTAGAGGAGCAGGATGGGGGTTTCTGGTCTGGCTTCGCTGGCCGAAGATGGTTTGCTGGCTTTTGCTGGCGTCTTGTACGGTCTGTCTGACCCACGACGTCGATGTCGGCACAAGCACTCAATATGGCCGGTATTGCTCCGGGTCTGCGCTGGTCAGGTCCGTGGAGCGGCCAGGTCACGACAAAGAGATTGGGAGATGAGGCGATAGAGTCGATGGCTGCAGAATGCTGATGCTGATGTTGTAGATAGAAAGACACACAGAAGAGAGACAGACGGGTGGATATGGTCGGGAATGGTGATAGATACTAGATACTATCGATTCATACGAGCTTGCAACTGGCGACTTTCTGACTACGGACTAATCATTGCAATATTCTGTGTTGTATGGAGCTGCCAACTTGCCATCCATTCTATCTACTGCCAGTTCATGCCCTAGAGTATGCCTCTTGTCTCATGCCCAGTGCCTCACTGACAGCGCAGTCGACCCAGTAGGGATTGTTAAGTGGCAGTGCAGCCAATAACCCGCGCAGGCACCCACGTTTCCCGGCTGCGTCCTGATTCCCGCCCGGCCCTTATGTTTCTTCATGCCTAACGATGCCCAGTGACAGCAAGGAATGAATAGCCTAATAGAAGCCATGTCCACCAGCCTAGTGCTCGTTGTCGCCTTGAACTGGCATCCCCCTTGGGCATGCTGTCTCTGAGTCCGCTCCGCGGATACACCAATTGGTCCAGTTCTGGCCCGTGGAATCCTTCGATTTCTTTTCTTTTTGGTACCCCCAGCGAAACCATCCAACACCCTAACTATTAAGCGAGCTGGGGGCTGCAGGCGTGACGCAAGGCAGACAAAATTGCGAAGGAGGGCAAAAAGGACAAATATATTTTGAGGTCGGAAAGGTCTGGAAATACCTTAATCCAACTCCGTACCCCGCCTGCGCCTCTACTGCTGCAAACATACAGAGCTATCTCACGTTCAAATCTATTGTATCTACTCACCCTTCAATTTTCAGCTTCCAACTTTGGACTCTTGATGTCTTCTACCACTAACATCTGCTATTCTTGTGACATATCGCATTGACTCAGCCCCCCAGTTGCGACATCCAACCCCCATTCCCGTGCGACAAACGACACAAGCAGTTGAGGCAGACACTAACTCTCCCAACCACAGGCAAACTTCTCCTCACAATCCTCCCACTACTGCATCCTCTGCATCTGCCATTCCAACGCCTGCAGCATGGCCACTCATCTTTTCTCCAGTCTGCCCCTTTGGTCCAATTTGTTGCCTCACCGTTGGGCTTCAAAATTTTCCATACTCCTCTTTTCAATTGGCCTATTTTCTTCCTATATTCTCCTTTCCACCTTCTGCTTACATGACATGTTTCAATCTCACCACGGCCCCAATCCATCGGACTTGACATCGGAGCCATGATCTCATGACATACCTTCACGGATTCAATTGATGTGGCCGACATGGTCGTCACTACCCTTGTACAGGATTAAAAACGAGACAAGACTTCATGCAGAGATCCCCGATCATTTTCGCAATCTCATGTTGCAAGAAGAAAACAATTGTAATGCTCTAACCTGAGATCACCAGACAACATGGAATTTGTCCTTGACTCCAGAATTGAAACCTCGGATGTTCACCTCCATCCAGCCTCATGACACACCGCTCATTTCCCCTTTTTCTTTTGTCCTTCAACCCGAGGTGGATCAGTGTCTGGCAACAAGTCATTTCCCGGCGCGAACCCGCATATGCAGCTGCCTGGTTCTTGGGTCTCTCATCAGATGCTCCTAGCCTCGATTCCGATTTAAGACGCATTGAAACCCGCATCCCCGGGGGAACGGGGCAAAATGGAAGTCCATATTAGGTACCGAGTACGAGCGACTTTGCAATACATCCGACTTTCTTTCTCCCGATAATCCGCTAATGTCGGGGGCGTCTCAAATCCCAACAAAAGTTCTTTTTTTCCCACCAGGGCAAATGACGACTTCTCGGTGGACCAATGGACTATTTTATCCTGGGATATAAGACTCACAGGACCCAGAATCTAGCCGGAAGGCCTTAACTCTATGGGGCTGGCATAACCCTTTCCTTTTGTTCTCAAAACACTTTCTTTCCCTCCCACGCCTTTTGTGCAAATGAACAAAACCCAGAGGTGAGCATGTTTGAGAACGAAATCAGGTTCTCTTCGAAGGAGAAAGGCATTGGGTTCAGAGACATAATATCAGGCATCAACGTGATTCAAACAATCTGTGCAGTTTCCTGCAGGGAAGTTCAAACAGGATAGTCCAAACGAGAATTTCCGATTTGTGTCGGACCGCGTTTTATTTTCCTGGGGCGGGCCTCTTTCGGTCTACACCGCTTTTCCTACTCGGAAGCCCCAGGAACTCAAAACAACGGTAGGAAGATTCGGTCGATCACGCATCATCATCAAAGGCTGGCGCGCCTTGTATCGAATGCACAGCGAGCTGTGTAACGACCAAGTTCGAATCAGGGCCCTGGTCTTTGGAGACAACTAATATCAAGACCCATTTCAACTCCCATTGGCTTCCCACGATTTCAAATGGTCCCAAAATGCTCTCCGGTATCGGATTCAGGCCTCGCGTCTTCAAGAACGTCCCTACAAGTCATGAATTCTGTTCCAAAGGCTAACAAAATCAGAGCCAGCACCTCAAACCAGGACAAGATTGACACCGACTCGAGATGTCCCTTGACTCAATCATCTCTTCGAGAAGAGAGGGACGAGGAAAACGTCAAGTTGATCGTTGCGACAGAAAATTTGTTTTCCGACTCTCAAGCAACATGACCAAGGTTTCCTTGTGTGGGAATGTAGGGCCACGGTGGGTGCCTCCAGCCTTGCCCTTCCTTGGGACCATGTGTGATTATCAAACTCCTCTGGGGACACGGCCGATAGGCCACAAAGGACCTCGGATACTTTAATTCATTCCCCAACTCGTGTTCTTTTCTATTACATAGGTTCGACGATACCACACCAATTGTGAGAATCAGATTGCTAATGGAGAAGCCACGACAGCATTTCCTTTGCCAGCCTGATGGAATATTGTAATTCCCCTTTTCAATTGCTCCTTATTTCTCACCTTTGACCATTTTTTTGGCTCTAGTTTTTCCTTCCTTTTATTCTCTCACCTAGTCTCTTCTTATGTTAGCCTGCCCAAACGGCCGTCCAAGCAGAAGTTTCTTCCCGGCTCTACCCGCTGACGGACGATATGAAGAAAACATCCCCGCAAAAAGACTTACATTCCTACACTTTCGACTCTTCGCCGGTGGTATTTGGTGTACCCCATGCTACATCTTCTCCGGTTGACTCAATTTCCGACCCATCATAATTTGGCATAGCAAAGTCAATACATATGACTGTAGGTGATACAGCACCTGCCGGAAAGGAGAGAAAGAGTCGGCCCTCGGGCAATATGGACTGAAGGTGTTCTCAATTCATGAATCTCTCGGGGCGATGACACATGAAAATTCGGACTTATCCCCAAAGCACCCTCGAATCGAATTTCCATTCTTCTTCGCCACAAGGACAGACATGAGAATGGATATGGTGAGATAGATGATCGAGAACCATGAATTGAAGGGTTGAATCAAGGATTGAAGTTGGTAAAGGCGGACTAAGAGGACTCCATGGCACGGTCCCTCCCCATAAGGCAGGCCAGAAAGAAAAGGTGGTCCAAGACCGATTAGACAAAAGTGGTTGAGGCCAGTCGATAGGTGAATTCATGGCGACATGTGTTGGTTCATCGATATACATGCCTCCCCCATTTCTGATAATTTTTTCTATTAAAAAAAAAAAAGATCCAACTCCTGGTATATGCCAGGTATTCCAACTTTCAACTGGATTCCTTCCAAATGACTACCAATGCCCCTATTCTTTTGAGAACTTCGATTGAAAGCTTACGGCTCCCTCTTTTGCAAGTATAGCATAGTATACACACGAACCTTGATTAACCTAGCCCGACCAGAAACTCTTTTCACTTTTCGGATCCCTCCTGTTGAAACCAGATGCTGTCAATATTCCGTTATGAATGGCAGATATCGGAATGGCCATCACGGGTGAAACCTCAGCCTGAACCCAACTTCACCACCTGGACCATCGATCTTTCGGACCGCGCGGCCGTGACTGCCCATCCAGTAGCCCGTGCCGTCACCGCCGGATCCTTCCGTCCTCACAGCCCTACCATTCTGTTGGACCACGTAGATAAACCTGGCAATAGTATCTACCTCGCTCAATTGCCGGGCGTTAAAGTGTTTGCGGACGGCAGTGGCAAGGTTGGAAGCTGGCTCGCGTGGGCCTAGGTACGTTGTCGAGGCAGTGGAGGGCGAGGAAGGTGGATGTCCTTGGTTGGTACTATGGTCGGGAAGTTCGATGGATTGGGCAATAGAAGGCGCTGTGTTTGACTGTTTTCCTGTATTTGTATCTTTACTTTTCTCTTGAGATTTACCGCCCTTACTTATCCCGGTCATCAATTCTTGTTGTTTTCGTCGTTGGTACTTCTGGTCACGAAGTTTCCGACGCGCATGGACGGCAGAAGGTGCTCGTAAGGCGGTTTGGGAGGACATGTATGTTATTTGAGCGTGGGGGTGATTGAATGCTGAAGGTACTGGGAGGCGATGGGCGATTCGATAAGTACGGAGGATGGATGTGGGCATGGTCGCCCAATCGGTCTGGAAAGAGCATGATCAGTTAGAGAGCTTCATTTGAGAGGAATTTCACACTTGACAATGCATATAGTATTGAACATACTTGAGGGAGGTTTAGGTCTTGATCCCCATCTGTCACGGCTGAGGCTGAAGGAGCTGCTGCACCATTGGTAGAAGTTTTGTTTCCTGCGCTTGAGCCGTTCAGCGCGCTTGATACCACACGCCTCCCTTTCGACACTCCTGAACCGCTTGCCGGCCCAAATAACGACTTTTCTTTTTGATTGGTAATTGTGCTCGAAGTTTCGGATCTCGAATCGTCGATGTTTCGAGATCGAGCAGGTGGCATGGTGCCAGAGGGAGATCCGTCGGCTGGTTCAAGAAAAAAAAATTTGCAAAAGAAGCCCGATGCAGCCAGAGATTGACTTGTGCAGTGGCAGGAGAGGCTGCGGGGTCACATTGGGATCTTGCTACGTGATCGAACGGGCTGCGGGAAGTAGTTGTTGATCTTTGAGCATGGCTTGATTCTGCACCGGCCCTCAGGGACACGAACAGGCCCAAAGTCCGAGCCAGAAAATGATATCATCGTGGCGGGCACGGCCGCGCATACTTGCTTTAGCAGCACACTAGACGTTCTAGTACCTTTCTAAGGCCACATACGGTTAGGGACCTTGGACTGGGGCTTGGCAGAGTAGAGGGCTGGGATATGGCCTGATGTTTTTTTCCTCTGCAGTCCTGTTCCTGCACATGGGATCTCAATTCTGGAGTGGCGCATCGAGCAGTTCTACATCTTGAACACGATCAACTGTATAGCTCGTCATTGGTTGGGAATCTGGGGATTTTCGTAAATGAGTGAAGCATACGTTGGAGGCAGAGAAGATGAGAAAGAAAACTCAAATGGTCCAGAGAAGTACAAGTCCGCATAACAGTCGAATTAGCCCATTGGCACACGATGGTTATGCTCCGGGTTGAAGGAGATGAGACACGGCGAAGATCTCGACAATGCGACTTGGAATCTTTTGGTGAATGTTCTCAATAGCTGACACCACCGCCTTTGAAAGTAGAGGATGTGCAAAGGGTTGAATGTCTCCGTTGGCAGACAGAGGACGATTCGCCGGTTCTTAAGATTTTCCTCAACGAAAAGATTTCTTCGCCTAGCAGCAAAATAGGATCCCCGATGAAATTTCCCCTACACGAAGACAAGGTAGATGTGCTTTCCCAGTATGTCATTTCTCGGATGGATTTATATCTCCAACTGTTGCCACTGTCAGACGCCAAAGTCGATGAAGACAATGCAGTAGGTTGGTATGGATATTTTCCTGCAAGCAGTCAGTTCTCCATTCATGGAACCGACCTTCCAGAGTTCTTCTCAACAAAGTGATGGGAGATAGGAGAAGGAAAGCCCCGTCGACGGCGGGAGAGCGTCATGAGGAAGCGGGGGCCATATCAGACATCAAAACAGAACCTTGGTGAGCACATGTGAAATACTGCAGACTACGCTATGGGTCCTCTGAACACGGGAATATTCTTCCGAGCGAATGCCGCCCATGTCAGAACTCAATTCCACTCTGTCTTTCCGGAAATTGAAGTCCGCGATTTCATACTTCGAGTTTCACATGATAAAAACCTTGACGGGCAGAGTGTCTCTTAATAATTCCACAGGTCGGAAAGTGGTAGGCATCTCGTGAGGATCTGTAACTTTGGGACCTTGACATGTGGACATTGACGGGGTCGGGAATACCCGCGTGATTTTTTTCCTGGTTGGTTTTCGAAATCTTTTTGGGTTATTATCTGGAGCAGTCTTTGGTAAACCGACTCCCGGCCCATTTCAATTGCTTCGCCTGTTCCGAAACAATCGATAATGTACTCATATACCCGGACAAGTGGAGTGGAAAAAACTTCGAGTGGGCTTTTGGTGAGAGGCGGTTCCGACTCGAGTCAGACTCGGTGATGCTATCGGGATAGCAGCTGAAACTCCGCCTTGCACGTCCTTATAGCCTGACATGCGATTATCCGATTTCAAAGTATCGTGCTATTTTGTTGAACATTGTCGGTGAGACGTTAGGTCAGGAGTTTCGAGTGGGTTTCCTGCCAAATTTTGTTCTCTCACTTCGGCTCTTTTCTTACTCCTGCAGACCGGAATCCATGCAGCGGGCAAAAGATAGCGCTTGACAAGAGACAAGGATGACTCTGAATAGGAGGAAGGTAATGCGGGTGGGAAACGCTGTTGTTTGCCCAAATCCGCATCGACGAAAGTGATCCGGAGTAGTCCGAGGCTATCTGTCCTGCTATTTGAGGATTCGTTCTTTACTAGGTATGAAATTGCGCCTTCATATGATTCAGGTGCTGAACATGAGCGTCTTTCTTTAGGCCGACAAACCTTTGCATTAACTCTGCGGGACTCTCTGAACCTTGCAATTCGGTACGATGTCGAAAAGTCCTGTTCGCATTCTAATTGAGGTCGGAATTCCTGTTCCGGTGGGGTAGACGGTCTATAACAGCCAGTTCTCTCGGTTGCGGGACAATCAACCCTAACCCGCAGTTCATAACGATGGAGAAGGAGAACCGAACCCTCGAGCCCTCGTAAAACCCGTACTGCCAGTTTCACTGGCGTGACAGAAACCCAAGACGGGCACATCGGCCTATTGTATCTGTCAGTCCATTTCCGCGCCAAAAATCAATGATTTGAGCAATCCCCGCAAGTGGATTCCAGGGGAGCCTTACCAGGCTAAATCTGGACGAGAACAACTTGTAGCATATGGAGTGAGGTGATATTGTTCGTGGGGATTGAGGCACTAACTGCAGGTAAGACCACCCCCACTGTGTCAGGACATTATTGCTTTTGACGTGAACCGGCGTTCCGAGCTATCTGGTTGTAACTTGTGAGCTGGCAAAGCCTGGAAAGGGGGACATGTACGATGCTCGATAAGCAACTCAAACCAGCCCCAAAACTACCGCACACAAGCTTGCGAAACACGACAAGCCGGCTCGTTTGGGAGCTGGTCGAGAGGTCAGAGCAACATCCGGAGAATAGATGTAAAGACCCAAGTCCGTGATTGGGACATGGTCATTTCGAAATCACTCCTGAGCCTCTAGGGGCGCCACAGAAGCATTTCCGACCAGGGCGGCTTGAGCGTGGGGAAGGTCCCAGATCTCATTCCGTAAGTTCTTCAGGGACATCCTTCTCACATCTAGAACAGTTCATTTTCACATGGCCTATATCGATGTGCTGTCTGAGATGGATACAGTCTCTGATGAGAGATTGATGGCGCAATCCTGGTGCTGTATGGTAGAAACATCAGCTGTACAAACGTCGAGGTGTTGAGTTTTAACCTGTGATAAAGCTTGAGGATCGAGAACGTGGAGAAGTGGGAGCATTCCGGCTGACTCCCAAACTTTGCTCTACCTGCCAGTCAAGGCCCTGGCTTGTCTGATATCTCCCCCTACGGTGACTTGCCCTCACCGAATCAGAGACGCACGGGGTACCTTCGTCCCTATGGGAGGGCCGGTTGCGGTACCTGATAACTAGTGTGTGTGGCTTGTCTGAACAAATCATTGCGTGGGATGTTAATGCGTCGTATGGAATTTTCGGTCATTTCATTCGAAATGATCTCTTCGGCTGTTGCGTCGATCAAATGCTTTCTGCAATTAGGTTCCGCTATCGTTGCCATTTTCTACATGTGCGTTGAACGTGGGACGGGATTCGAAGTCTACGATGTCGGTAGCGATCGCTTTGATCTTTCGATCCTGAGCGATGATCCTTCCATCATATTGCAGAATGTCCCCAAAACAAAATGCCATCTTTTTTTTGAATCTGGATGGGGGGATTGTGGGGAAAGGATTGTTGATCAAATCAATAATCACACAATCCTACAGAAGTTCGGCGCACATGTCAGCCACACTGGGCCTCGATTTCTGAGACACTGTACTTTCTTTTCTTGACGCTTTTCCAGCTCTTCGATTCACCTATGCGTCTATGATAATGACTTGCATGTAACCACATGAAGGAAATGAGTGGCTAGCATTTGTGTTCCGGAGGAAGAATGAATCACACATGTGAAAGGGCAAGGATCCCTGCCATTTCTGTACAAAGTCGTCAGCGCGCTGTTGAAAGCATATCCCCTATACTGGCTTGCCCCGCCTCGGGAGTATCACCCCGAGATTCAGCCACGCAGACAGACACAAAGAGATTTTCTAACCGATTCTCGTTGTCCCCACCCCCCAAAAATGTGTCCCAAATGTGAAATCAGCCCCTGCAGTGCCCACCGTCGGTCAGCGACCCGCAATATCCGCAAGGCACCTACTTGAGGCGAAGGTGGGCACCCACAAAATGGAAACCGTTCCGCGACCACATGCTTTCAAGCCGTACAAAAAGATCCCGGGGTCTGCTTACGCTGCGTTTAGGCTGCATTGGGTAGATTGTCCAGACTTGGAGGCTCCCTCGTGGAACCCCCCAAAAGATTTTGTTGACAAGTGTTGATAACAAGGCCGGAATTTCCTTCTGAGGCATTCTGACGCTTTCTGTGGGTTCCTCCACCCACCTCGCCGAGAGCTGCCCCAGGCTCCGAATCGCTCACTGCTCAGTGCCAAGCGTGTGGCGTTGTTGACTCCCGATGGGCGCGATTGCGACATTTCTTCGAAAATATTGGGTGTATTCGTTCCGGAATATCTTTCAAGTTTCGTGACGATTGACATTGCTTGGTTATCGAATCGTAGCATCTAAATATTTGCCACGGAGCGTTCAGCACCAAATTGTTCCTGAAGATATGCTACCTCTAGCCTGCGTTGATGACGCCTCGTTGTTCGATGATAGGCAAGGAATAATCATCGAATATTGGAGTACAAGTCATGTTGAGAGCTCTGGTATCACCAATAGCAAGTTGCAGGAGACATGTCGATACCTAGGTCTTGAGTGAATGAGACAGCATACTCAGACAAAAAAAGTGCTCATGTATTTTCCCCGGCTCCTCGTAGCGGGAACCTGACCAGGAATCAAAATTGAAAATAGGGAAATCCCGCAGATTTCCAGCAGTTCCGAGTTTTTCTCGTGGGTGGGATATTTTCTGCCAGACCGAGCCTCGGATGTCACTCTGGGGCAAAGTGATTACCGCACGGTACTCGTTACATACACAGACTTCGGTGTCTTTTGCAGCTGCTCCATATTTTGTACCCTCCCCCATAACTGTGCATGAGGGGTACCCGTGGTCTTTACTTGCAGCGGGCAGACACCGCACCGTTCTGCGACTTTGTCGGCTCACCTCATCGATCAATAATAAATTCATTGTCTTTCCTATTGAACTAGTTAAAAAACAATGGTCAGTATCCGTGGTGTGTGGTCTGTGATTAGGTATCTCGTCGGTCATCGCATCGAGAATCCCCATTGACCATCCCCATCATCACTGTCATCCTCCAAATGCCTCATTCCAGACTCCCCTTTTGATTCGTCTGTCGCCCTTCCCCGGATCAGGTACTTCTCGCCTAATAATCCTCTTCGTCCTCGCATTTCTCCATTCGGATCACGAAACGAGAGACAATCAAGCAAAAAGAAAGAGGAGGGTGCGAAAAGAGAGAAGGAATCAAAGTCAGCTCGACATACAATTCACATACTCCGAGAGAAAGACTCCATGAAACGAGCTTGTACAGGCCACTTGTCCCCCCAGCGGCAATCCCACCCTGAGCATCCTTTTTTTACCTTTAACTGGGGGCTGTTGGGAATCTCCCCGACAGCCGGCCGTCATTGTCCCGGATCACACAGCGTTCTTGAGCTTCATTCGTTCGCTGGTTCGTTTATCGGCGCCGCGAAAGAGTTGACTCATCCCCAGTCCCCGAACTTTCCCCCAAAAAGTTTCTATTTCGCCCTTGGTCCTTCAGCTCGTCATTTACACCCGATAAGGATTACGCTAGCCGTTCCAACCGTCTTTGAAATCACAGGCGCCCGGAACTATCCTGTCGTGACAGTGTCATAACACTCCGAGTACACAGCCAACGCCAACACGACACGAACCCTCGGCATTTCACTTCCCACACATTCCCAAGGAGCCTGAACCCGATCCTGCGCCTGATCCTGAGCCCTTCGGCCTGGGTCTCAGACCTCAACCTTTTCTCCTTGTCAGAAAGAAAAAAGAGGGAGAAGAAAAAGGACAGACACCCCCCTTTAACCCCTGCTCCCCCCAGTCTCCAGTTTCCAGGTCGCACTCCCGGATAATTTCCTGCCCACGCACGACAAGTCCACACAATCCACCACAGGTCAAACCACAGACTTGACTTCATCAGTTGTCCGTCTACTCCTTGCGACTCTACTTAGGCACGGAGTTACGAGTACTTCTCCAACCCCATCCGGCATTTCTCTCCCAGCTTGCCTCTCTCGTTTCTTCTTCACTTTCTTCCCCCCTCCCCAAAATTCTCTCTCTGTGACCCAGTACCACACACCAATTCCATTACCTTACCACACCACCCTATCCGTCAAGTCCGCCCACACTACCGATCCCCGTCCACTTAATTTGCGCCTTTCCGACCCCGGGTCCGCTGCGTTGTGCATGCGTCACGCCGCCATCGGGTCTACCTAGTGGATGATTCACCCCACGATAAGCGACAACCTTGGGGAACAAAAGTCTCTCTTCGCTCGAATGCAACGCCCTTCATCTGCAGTAGACTTTACTGCCATCCTTAACCCTTCTCCTTCCTCAGAGTCCGCGACTCCTTCTCAACCCTCCAAAGAGACGCCCAAGACCGTCAGCACCGCCGCCCAAACCACCAGTACGTCGACGACTACTCAGACCGACAGCAATATGGCTGCTGCAGTCAGCCTCATGCCTAGTGCAATGTCTTCGCAGACTACGAACGCTGAAGAGAGGGCGGATCTCCCGCGGCCGTACAAGTGCCCTCTTTGCGACCGGGCATTCCATCGATTAGAACACCAAACGAGGCATATTCGAACACACACGGGAGAAAAGCCTCACGCTTGCCAGTTTCCTGGCTGCAGTAAGCGCTTCAGCCGATCCGACGAGCTGACTCGACACTCGCGCATTCACAACAATCCCAACTCTCGTCGAAATCAAAAGACTCATCAAGTTGCCGCCGCCGCCCTTGCAGGTCTTCAGGATGTGTCAAACCAAAATTTCTCTGCTCAGGCCCAGATGATGCCGCCGCCTAGCAAGAACAACATGCCCAGGTCGGCCCCTACATCTACCGTCGCCTCCCCGAATGTGTCGCCGCCTCATTCCTTCGCGGTTCAATCCTCACATACACCTCACGTTCCAACAAATCTCGGCCCCTTTGCGCGAAATGATGACAGATCGAATGCTATGGACATCAATCTTCTTGCTACTGCCGCATCGCAAGTCGAGAGAGACGAGCACATCACCCGAGTACCTTACCAACATCAGCATCACCTGTTTAGTCATCGGAATCACAACAGTAACGGAAGACTGCCGTCCTTGTCCGCTTACGCCATTTCCCATTCGATGTCTCGGTCTCATTCGCAAGAAAATCATGACGATGACCACCGCGTCAAGAGATCAAGACCCAACTCGCCTCATTCTACTGCCCCGTCCTCGCCAACGTTCTCCCATGAGTCAATATCTCCAACTCCGGATCATACGCCTCTTGCCACGCCGGGCCACTCTCCACGTCTTCGACCCCATGGCAGTGATCTACAACTCCCTGGACTTCGCCATCTTTCCTTGGGACATACACCGCTGCTTGCACCGATGGAGCCTCAAGCCGATGGATCTTATTCTCATATTCCGCCTCCTCAACACACTGGCCCGTCAATTGCGGATATTGTCACGGGAACTCAAAGAAAACTGCCTGTGCCGCAACTTCCGAAGATTGGCGTATCTGAAATGCTGAACCCGCCCAGCGGACTGAGCTCTGGCGAATCTAGTACTGCAGCATCAATCAATGGGGATTTTCCAAGGTGACTGGATCGATGAAAGGTGTTTTGCGGAGTCTACGCTACGGTATGGCTCAATCTTGTTCCGGCTAGCATCTCTTTTTTTCCACTCAAATCTTGCTTGTTTGGTTTGGGGTTTAATTTTCTTATGTTTTTAACGGGAAGAAACACTCGGTTTGAACAAACTTGGACGATTTGGAGAACAATAGCAAGGAGCAAGGCTATAGACGGATAAGGATATCATGGGGTTGCGCCGCACGACTGCGCCAAATAGAAGGGGAGTTTATTCGTGATCTTTGATTGTATGGACGATGGTATCAAAGTCAGGCAAACGGGGCGCTCCTAGCAAAGGGCAGCCAATCCCACGTTTACATGTGTAATTTCAGATTAACAAACTCGTTGTCTTACGAATATCATTGGGTTCGTAACAACGCGGAATGCGGATTGCCCTTCCTTGTCAGCCTCCAGTTTTGTTTGCATGCACTCCATTTTTTTTTTTTCCCCCCAACACCCCCCTGATCTTACGACGATGATTTCACCTAATTACGCAGTAGTCAACAAGTATCCTGACCTTGTTTTGCTTGCTGGGCACCCGGACAAATTGATTCGTCCCTGCTACTCCGCCGGCTCCGGAATATGGAAAGCTGAGTCATTGTGCATCCGGGCGGCATTAATGAGTGAAGCATCAATCACACAATGAATGATCCGAACTCCCGGACTCACTGGGGGGGACTCGAAACTCTGAGATGTTGGGGGCAAGATTGTCAGATACTCCGAGGGCGAAAAACAGAGGGATGGGGCGAAGTCACTGTACAGGTGATTTGCAAGGCAGAAGGAGGGTGGTCCCGGTGCCAACCCTTAATTCTTCGGATGCGGAGGACTAACTACGCAAACGCAGGATGGGGTAGAGTCAGGGCTCAGGAGACACCTCCTTGTTGTCCGACACCTTATCAGCCCGTGTAACCCGGGTCCCCCACACTACGCCAGAATTGACTGGCCAAGGACATTGTCAAAAGTTGAAGGCAGCGCTGACCTACAGCAGCAAAATGGTTTTGTCGTGCACTGCTGACTCCCTTTATCCATTGACCCAATTTGGTCTTATCCCCCAGATGACACCATCTGCCCACCGCATCAAAAACATGCCGGGGGAATCGCGGAGTCCCCAGTTCGGGTCGCTCGCAAGATACACCAACCCATGCGGAGTGAGAACTTACGAGCCTTTCCGTCGCCCAAGGTACAATCCTGATGATGGTATCCGCACAATAATGATCACAGATTAGCGCCCCTTCGCTGACAGCCCGAGGCCAAAAACTCAAGCCTTCCAATTTTATTGATCATCTCAGCTGGCTAGTGGACCTATGGAGCAGAAAAGAATGAATTAGAACATCCTGAGCTTGCTCCTCCACGACATCATCCCCGAGCAGATTAAGGCATGGGCCGAGGGTACATCCTCGCTCGGCTTTCAAACTCTGGCTGCACCAATAATGCCGGTGCTCTTTCTTCCTGTGGAGAGGGCTGAGTACAACTTACTGATTACATTGTCGAATACGGATCAGATGACGGAAGACGGTTTCCTCTTGGACTCGATTCAGATTCCTCCGGCAACATGTACTACGAATTGTTGTTCCGGTTACTACTCTGTCAATCTCTCTCCAAGCCTTATCCACCGACCAGTGTCATGTCTGAGGGCCTCTTTAGCTTCTCATCGATCGGTATACTTCTACATCAGTAATCGCATGGGTGCCTCCCCAGACTCCGAAGGCTTCTCAGGCCTCCGAGACGAGTTAGTTTGTTGGCCCGTCGGCTCTCAACAAACTTCATGACAGGTCTCAGCGCAATCTCCTTCCACACAGACACTGAAGGATCCTCGGGTTCGCCGGCCCAAGAAAAAAAAATTCCACACGGACCGACCAGCAATGAAAATTCTTTCCAGTATCTTAACCCTGACACGAGTTGTCAATCTTGTTGCATATCTTTCAATCCTCTGCAACGCACTTCAGAGAACATCTTACTTCCCCATTCTCCACCAAATCTAAAGCATGGGTCGACCACTTCTATTCGCCCAAGATGGCTCGTATTTCATGCAAGTGCAGGGGACCCCACACGGGAATCATTGGAGACAAAAAGATCCTTAGGGTCAAGACCGAACCACTGAGCATGCCAATATGTGGATATCGTTCGATGCTTTTTGCGGGGAAAGGAAGCCGAGCCGATCATTCAAACAAAAAAAAAAGTCACTCATGGAAGTATCATGTATGCTAAAGTCTCAAGAGGCTTGTGTCCCACTTAAGTCCTGCCCTTCTTGCGAGATAAAGTCGTCCATCAAACGCATGCTGCGTTGAGTATCCCCTTGTTGAAGTTAAATTACACACGTTTCTGGGTATACTTTTTATCTGCGTGCTCTACTTCCAGACGCAAGAAGAGTTAGGCATTGATCAGCACGCCTTTGAGTACCAGGAAATTCTTACCTGTCGACATGACAACACGCTACATCACGCTTTGCGGGGAATTCAACCATACACGAAGAGGCCGAGACCCGAGCCAGGCATTCAACCGCAAACTATTCATCCAGTGAGATCAAGATCACCGGCCAACAAGTACGGATCCGAATGGTCACCCCGAATTTCAGCATTGGACTGACTACACACACAGCCTACTCTTCACATGCTTGACACCGTTCATATCCTTACAGCTTTCCGTCGTCTTGATGAATACGAGGCTCTGATGGTGACTAAGAGCATGCTATTTCGGAGGCAACCATCAATCAATCATGCGTTGGTCAATATCTACCCACCCCCACGATAGACGACTGGTGTAATCAACTTCCTTGCTCTTAAGGCCATTTGAATGACGGCGTCAGAGCTGTGGCTTGCATGAGATATGGCGGTCAGCGATGCCCGCGCGAATCAAATCCCGGCCTTTCAGATTTCCATTACTGCTGCAGTTTGCGTCAGCAGATGTGATGGGGCCAGTCTCTCTTGCTATGCAGACTCGCTCGGCAGAACTCTTGTTGGAAAGAGGAGACAGCGAGAAATTCAAAAGGTTTGACTCTCGTTGAGCAGAAGAGCTGTCTCATTTGGCCAAATCCAGCTTCCTTTCACAAGGTGGGTTTGTATCCAAGAATTCCAATTTTCCCACGCTCAACGATATTTATGATTTATCGGCGGGCGTATGTCGGGATCGACAGATACCTCCCGAGGCTGAAATGGATAAGGTTTCGGGTTCTTTCCCTCTCCTCATCCAATGTGGCGCCCATTTTTCTTGAGGACCCTAGACAAACTGGGAAGATTACGACCATCCTCACCACGAAGTCGAAGGATTCCTCCTCATCAGAGGTAGAGTTTAGATCATAAACGTCTCGAGGTACCGACAGTTGTCATCATCCGATAGGCAAACGTTCCTGGTCACACCATTTACCTCGCAGCCTAATTTCTCAACTGCCACATCAAGCTTGTCATAAGAGGATCCTATATCCGCTCCTCCTGATTCGAAAAGGGGTATTTCTTCTCGGCCAAATGCCAGACGCCAAAACTGTCAATCATGTGAGTTCGGTGCTTCTCGAAACTCTGCCACGCTTGTCTCAATGATCTCCAAGACTTTCAATCTCCTATGTAGAGTTCAAGTTCTACCCCAGACCCAAAAAGGGACATATCCCCATCGTGCAGGGCGGAAGTCCCATGCCAGCGAGTGGGACGGACAAGGGATCTGGATTCTACTCCAATGAATGCGATTTTATTTCTCATCTTGATGTCAATATAGTGGGTCCATTGGCGACGCCTTGCGTCACTCCTTGTCTTTGGCAACAGCATCAGGCAAATACAAGGACCCCACAGCTTTTGAATACAAGACAAGACAAACAAAGGACCAAAGGAACTCTATTGACAAGTCATACCGCATCGCCATCCTCCAGGCGTCTGCTTGATACCAGCCTCCTATCCACGTCTCGGATCACGCTGTTCTGAAACGACATCTAATTCTCGACAGCAGCATCTTCGAGATGCGATCTATTATAGGCAAGAAGAAGTAAGGGGTTTGTTGCTCCCGGTATATCTGAATTGGTGACTACCCTGGTTACTTAATTGGAGCCCCTAGTCAAGGTACATTGTTCACGAGCTAGCGAGAAACCCCTGGAGGCCCCAGCCTGATCTGATCTGATCGAACTGAGTTATTGTCCGACGCCACGCCATCTGTGGAAGAGGGAAAAAAAAAAAAAAAAAAAAAGGCTGGAAAAGCATGGATCAATACACGAATCCAATACATCCACACGCCAAGTCAGTCACTTCGATCTCTCTACACCATGTGGGATATGCCATATTCGAACGTGGGACAAGGCTTGCTGTCCGACGCTTTATTTATTCCATGTTTAATATGCAGCATATGTCTCTCATAAAATGCCATGCATTTATTCATTGATTCGATTGATTTAGTTGCTGTGTTCACTGCATATACGTCTCGGCATATATCATATCATGTCTCGTTTCTCTATCATACGGGAACATCTTACTGACTTCGCCGGGCTTGCGACCCGATCACTCCCTTCCCCCCCCCCCTACTCGCCAGATCACGACATTTCATTTCCAAGCACTTAATCCTGCCCAAGGATCTTGCTCCTGTCCTCCACTTGCCCCTGCACTCTGTCCTTGTCCTTGCTGCTGCTGCTGAGGTTGTTGATGCGCATATCGATTTGGTGGAGTGTAATTCGCATACCCACCTGGTCCACTGGCCCAGACACCAGAGGGATTTGGGGGATATTGCGTCGTGGAGCCTCCACCGGGGGGACCAGGTGGGGGTGGGGGAGGAACATAGTTCTGGGGCATGTTATATGGTGACGGCTGAGAAGGCGGCATTTGTGGATGTGGTGATGGTGACTGGTATGGTATGGGAGGTCCTGTTTGTGGATAGGTGTATTGCGGGTATTGATGAGTGGGCGTGGCGAAGTTCATTGGCTGTAAGGGTGTGAGAGATTGAGGTAGTGGCTGATGAGATTGGGGTTGTTGAGAGTAGTAGGTGTTCATTGGCCCTGGAGGAGACGTGACAGGGGAAAACCCGTAGTGTTGCTGGTTTCCCGGCTGTTGATTTGAGGAGGTGACTGATCTTTCAGGATATGCCATGGGATTATAACCCAAGGAAAGAGGTGCGGCGGCCCCTTGAGCAAACGGATGTTGAGAATCAATTGGTGATGGATTTGTGGGTTGAGCAGGCGGCTGAGGTAAATTGGAATATCCATTGGGAATAACCGGCGCTGGTGAATGACGAGGCGGTATGGTGAAACGAGGATCGGCGTTCGTTGTAGGATATGACGGTGAAGCAGGTGCTGGAGATCTGGACGTGTTCATTGGCGGGAGAGGTGGAAGAGCAGGAGGTTCAGTTTGCGAAGGAGATGCTGATTTGGGTTCCATTGACAGGCGATTCATCAATTCCTGCATTCGTTTCTGTTCGGCGGCCGCTTGGCCATCTGCAGAGCTGTTCTTGGTTTGTTCGATTTGATGAAGAAGTTGAGCCCCTTCGGCTCTTCGATTGCTGACAAAGGATTCCACGTTCTTCTCTAGACTGTCCACACTCTCCTTCATCTCATTATAGAAGCCCTGCGCTCGCATGAGACCTTGTATCAGATCCTCGTGGGCATGGAACGTTCTCCGGTATTTGTTCAGTACAATATTCTTACTCTTCTGCATTGCATCGTACTTCTGTTGGTCTGCACGAACCCTCTTGTCTTGCAACAGGTCTCCGTATGTCTTTGTCAGTTCCTTGAGTAATGACGATTGTTTGTGGACGGTTGAAATTAGCCGATTTTGATGGGAGCGGAATTTCTCGAGTTCGGCCTGGAAAAGTTGATTTTCCTGGTTCGCGATCGCTTTCTTGTTCAAGATGAGGACATTCGATATATCGTCGGTGTGAACTTTTTCCTTCAGATCTTTGAGAACTTGCATTCGCTCTCGTTTGACGAGGTTTAGTTTTCGCAACAATTCCTCAATCTTTGCGATCTGATCTGCAACAGACAAGCCACCCTCACCATAATCCTCATCGAGAAGCGTGCCTTCGTCTGCACTTTTAGTCTTGCTTTTGGATCCAGATCCAGCCTTGATCAAGGCCTGTTGATAGAACACGTCGACCTCGCCCTGTCCAGCAGCATTTCTCATTTCTTCAAAATCTCCTTCGTACTCTCGTGCCGTAGCAAAAAGTTGAGAGTCGCTCGTTGCAGCTTCGTCCACTGTCTCTCGGTAGCTTTTGATATCGGCCCTCAAGGTTGAAGTCAATCTGGAACTGGGCTGTTGGGTCCAGTCCGCTCCATATTTAGATCTCATCTTCTCACACACGCTCTCCTCCATGTCAAGTTGTTTCGTACTCTTGGCCAAACTGTCCAGCACGGCTTGCTTGTCCTTTTGGAGCTGTTCGAATGCGCTGTTGAAAGGTTGATGATTGGTGAGTTCCTGGCACCATCCCTCAAAATCTTTGTCCACATCCATTTCTTGGTCCAGACCGCCTTTCAAAACGTTGAGACTATTGGGTAATTTTAGATAATCAAGACTTGCCGCCATTTCGCCATTTGCTTGCTCCACCTTCTCGGCTTCTGATCGGATCAACTTGGCCTTTTCTTCATCATACATGCTCGCTGACTCGGTTACTGACATCGGAACAATCTTCTGGAAGATATCAGGTCCTATGATCCTTTGTATATCTTGCCCCTGATAAAGTTCGGAGAGTGGAATGGGTTTGGCCGCGGGTACCTTGGCGACAGGCGACAATGACGCTTCTGCCGGTACCGTCTGATGATAGATGAAATCATTGTCTTTCACGAACGAGGCCAACTTCTCCTGTACGGTCTCGAGTTGCCTCCGCGTTATGGCCTGCATTGTTGATGCAGTGTCGGACCCCAGATTTGATAGAGTGGAGAGAGAGGCGGGAAATGATTTCGCATACGAGTAGGCCTGCTTGCTCGACCTCTCCGCCAGCTGTAACCTTGCAATCGCGGAACCATGGAGGTTGGTTTCGTCCTCTGTTAAGGCTTGATAATATTCGGCGAGCGAAGACATATAAAGGGTCTTGATTTGGATCAATTTTCCCCAACTTGGATCGAAAACACCTCGGGCGTGGTCAGACTCAAAACCCTCTTTCGCTTGGCTGAATAGAAACTGCGCCTGTGCGGCGAGCTTTGCTAGTAGTGCTGGCTTCTTCCCATCCCGGACTTGTTTCTCCAGGAATATCTCTTGCGCTTGTCCCAGGACAATGTTGATTAAAATTTTGACGGTTTCTCGATTTAGGTCGGTCGATGGCGCGTGGAGGAAATTGTCATTAATATAAGTGAACATGCCCGCGGATGCTTGGAAGGAGTGGTAGGCGGTCTTGAGGTCTTTGTCTTCGGCCCGATTCTGGGCGGCTGCATGGCATGACAATACTGCGGCAATGTTGAAAATAACTGATGCTTTCTCGAACGCCAGGCTATGTTGGCTTGTCGAAGTCTTCAGGAATGCGTCAAACCTGGCTCATGTCAGCCCCCGATTCAATCCGATTCATTACCTCTTACCAGGTGAATGTAATTTTGACATGCTGCTCATCCACCGGGAATCGCAGGTCCAAAAGTTCGAGCTGTCCATAGTATCTGTAGAGCAAGTCTCTTCCACTCGCCGAATCCGAACCAGCTCCCCTCATGTCCGAACGCAGTTTACTGAGGGTGGAGCATTCCTCAGAGTACTTCTCGGGGTCATCGCCGTAGGTATCTCGAATGTAATTCTTAATTGGATTTATCCAGTCGACATCGGTTGTCTGCTTCAGGGGACAACTCAACATCGAAGCTTGCACCATGATTACGATCACTGCGAGCCGGCTGGAGCGTCGTTCATCGTAGTATCAGATTCTTTGGGTTTTGGATCGGTATCCCGAGTGCGCTAGGCACGAGTGGTGGTGTTGGATGAGGTGGTGGAAGAATTGGGCGCCTACGATTACACGCCATACCGTAATAATCAGCCTCGTGTGGTATGGTGGTCCATATAACACGTACACGCAAGTATGTCATACCTCCGTTCTCTTGTTCGCGCCAACGCGCTTCCGGAGTTGGGCAGATTGCTAACCGTCCATGGAATGGTATCACAAGGTGTCGCTGTGCGAAACACAAAGCTCAGGAGATAATCATGGGCTTGTCGAGTTCTAGGATGGTGGCCGCCTTGATAGCACGATCATACGGCACACAGATGAAAATCAGAGGCGTGCTGTAGTCTGCACCAATTATCGAGTTGCTTCTATCAGTTGGTATTGTACAGGGGAGTTGGGTATTTCATCCACTCCGAATGTCAATACTGAACATTTTTTCAAAGTCCAACCAAGGGACGTGACAACTCCGGAGGTCACAGAAGAAGCCATCCCGGACCCAGAAGTTGCGATAGTAAATCCATTTATCGCCGTCGCTATGAAGAACACACTGAGGAGAAAAGAGTTGAAATTTTGTCGAGAACATCGAGCTCACCCAGAGCCCGACGCTTTCTTCGGTTCATCCTCGTCCTTCGATTCCGTACCACACTCCTTTTCGTCCTGCTCCGGTTCTAAGTTGTCGTGCTGATGAGTGAGTTTATGCCAGGTTGATTTAAGAAATCCTTCATTCTTGTGATCCGCAGCTTTATTGGAGGGTTTGGACGGTGTGCTGTCGGTAGTAGAGTCACTGCGGAATGTGTAAGCACCATACGTTTGGACAATGAATCCACTTACTGCTTGTACTGGTTGAGGTTCATCGTTCGCTTCGCCGTCTTATCGTTCATTTCATCAGCGAGCATCTCGAGGATTGTTCTTTGGCTGGCAGTCAAATATTTGGGCATGTTGACCTTGAATTCCACTTTCAGGTCACCAGTCGCGGGGCCCCGTCCACCCAGACGCTTCATCCCCATCCCTCCCAGAGTGACCCTGTCGCCAGTGCCAGTACCGGTTGCGACTTTGACCTTAACTTCTCCATCAAGTGTGGGTACTTGGACTTCACCACCCAGCAGTGCAGTTGTTAGAGGTATTGAAGCCGTATACAGCACGTCAGACCCATTCCGACTGAATCTCGCATCTGGGGCGACCCGGATGAAAACGTAAAGATCTCCCCGTTGCGATCGCACTCTGGGATTCTCTGCCACGCCAGTGGGAGGAGCATCACCTTCCCCTGATACACGTAGCCTCATGCCATCTTCGACCCCGCCGGGAATATCGACTTGAACCGTCTTCCGTTGTCGAACGACGCCATTCCCATCACAAGTGTGGCATTCCGATCCTCTGGGAATCACCACTCCAGTTCCTCCACAGTTGGAACACGTCGACGACATTTGGAAACCCTGTTGCATGACATGGATTCTCGTTCCCGTGCCGTTGCACCTTTTGCATTGTTGTCTTTGCGACCCTGGCTTTAGCCCATTCCCTTTGCAAGTCCCACATTGAACAAGAGGCGTAATGGTGATATGTTTCGTTACGCCTTTGGCAGCATCCATGAAGGAGATGTTCGTCTGAACTTCGATGTTCTCCCCGACTAGTATTTCCTCTTGAAAGGGAGAGCCGCCTCGCCGACCACGACGGCCTCCGGTAAAAGCACCAAACAAATCTTCAAAATTAAATTCTGCTCCAAAGCCCCCACCAAACCCGGCGAAAGGATTCCCACCACCTGCTCCGGCAAAAGGATTTCCGCCTGCGGCGCCTGGATCGAACCCTGCGCCTTGATCAAAGGCAGCAGCACCGAACTGATCATAAGCAGCCTTTTTCTGGGGGTCATTCAATAATTCATAAGCTGCTTGCGCATCGGTAAACTTCTCCTTCGCACTGGGATCCTTGTTTGTATCTGGGTGATATTTCTTCGCAAGAGTGTAGTAAGCTTTCTTAATTTCGGATGCGCTGGCATTTTTACCGACGCCTAAGGTTGCATAGGGATCTTTCGTCGCTTGAGAGGAAGATGTTGCGGAGAAAAGTCGTGCTTGATTGGAGGGACAATTCGAGGACGACGACGAAGCAGATCGAGGAAACGGTCTCTTGGGAACGGCGAAATCGTACAGTTTCCTTGTTTGAGCCTTGCGAGTGAAATTCTGGCAATGTCGATGGCATTGTACTGATGTTCTAATCAAGCGAGGAGCCCAAACGGAGCCCATCGAGGGAGACATCGGGAAAAATTCAGATCGCGTTATAGGTACATGAAGTCGAAGGGCGCATATAATAGGTGAAGACGCTGCCGGAGGGAGAGATACAGATGTGAAGACACGGGTATGCCGAACACACTCGAATGGGGTTGATACAAAAGAACTGGTTCAAAGATGCTGCCAACTCGGAAAGTTCGAGGTTCTTTGAAGTTCTGGCAAAAATTCAACTCCGCTCGTAAAGCTCGCCGCACCTTCCTTTCTTGATCAGTCTATCAGGAAGTCTCGATAGACTGTATATACGCATGTGAGGAAGTCTACCTGCATAACAAACAGAATTCAGACATTCATCCTCCCCCTTAGTCCTTATTCATTCTCCTATCCTCGTCCACTCTCCTCTGTGGATCTTTCCCTCTCCATCTGCCAGACCACACTGTAGTTCTGTCTCAATTTCCTCCCTCACGCCACCATCCAATCAGCGCCTCGGCGAGCATGCTTCGCGGTCAAAGGTTAGCATGGAGGACTGCTCTCCGAAACAGTCCCAGTCATATATGTAGGGATTGCAGGCGACAGCTGCTCCAGAGAAGTGGTTTGACCTTTCCCATCGACGCTCGACAACCTAAATCCATCACATCAATTGCGACTCGACAAGGATTACAAATACGTCAATTCTCTTCCCATCCAGTCCGCCGGAAAGACAAACCGCCTGAAGATGACTCCTCACCTCGATCAGAGGGATCGGATGCGAAGGCAAAGAAAGTCGAGAACGAGTTAGACGAAGCACCTCGAACCGAAGAAGTGGCCGAATCCAAAAATCCCCCTTCCGAACACCAGCCTATACCCCAATCATCGAGCGACGGCAAAACTACCGCAGCGGGAAATGGAGGCGACTCATCACCTGGATCTGCACAAAGCTCAGGAGGAGGCGGCGAGAGCACCAGGCGTGGTCGACGAAGTACACAAATTTCCAAACCCACCGTTCCAGAAACATATCCACAAGTCATGGCCATCCCCATTGCCAAACGCCCTCTTTTCCCAGGGTTTTACAAGGCGATAACGATCCGGGATCCCAACGTGGTAGCGGCAATAACTGAAATGATGAAAAGAGGCCAGCCGTATGTCGGCGCGTTTTTGTTCAAGGATGAAGCTGCGGATAAAGATATCATCGAGAAAATGGACGATGTCCACGAAGTCGGAGTGTTTGCACAAATAACAAGCGCGTTCCCCGTACATGGTGACGAACACAGCCTGACCGCCGTGCTCTATCCACATCGTCGAATTAAAATGTCCGCTCTGGTGCCTCCATCGACTCCTGGAGAACAGGGCCCATCGGTTGTGGAAGTGCAGCCTACCAAAGAGGCCAAATCAAAGTCTGATGGTACCGCGGAGAACAAGGGCGATGTGGTTGCCAGTTTCGAGGAACAGAACAAAGACCAGCCTGCCCAGTTAAGTGTGTATGAGCCCACTGCATTCCTTCGCAGATTTCCGGTCTCGTTGGTCAATGTGGAGAACTTGGCAGAAGTTGCTCATGACAAAAAGAGTGATGTGATCAAGGCTTTGACTTCGGAGATCGTCAACGTGTTCAAAGAGGTGGCAAGTCTCAACCAGCTCTTCAGAGATCAGATTTCTGATTTCAGCGTGTCTCAATCCGCTGGAAATGTCATTGAGGAGCCGGCGAAACTCGCAGACTTTGCTGCAGCCGTTTCGGCCGGTGAAATTGATGAATTGCAAGATATTCTCCAGACGATGAACATTGAAGAGAGATTGCACAAGGCTCTCGTCGTCCTCAAGAAGGAATTGATGAATGCCAAACTTCAATCTAAGATCTCCAAAGATGTTGAAAGCAAGATTCAAAAACGACAGAGAGAATACTGGCTCATGGAACAAATGAAAGGTATCCGTCGAGAATTGGGCATTGAATCTGACGGCAAGGACAAGCTGGTGGAGAAGTTCCGAGAAAAGGCTCAAAAGCTGGCGATGCCTGAAGCCGTCAAGAAAGTATTTGAAGAGGAGCTCAACAAGTTGGCACATCTTGAACCCGCTGCGTCCGAGTTTAATGTAACGCGGAATTATCTGGATTGGATCACGCAGATCCCGTGGGGTCGACGAAGTGCCGAGAACTTTGGTATCAAGAACGCCATGACGGTACTGGACGAAGATCACTATGGCTTGAAAGATGTCAAGGATCGAATCCTCGAATTCATTGCCGTCGGTAAGCTTCGTGGGACGGTGGAGGGCAAGATCTTGTGTTTTGTCGGTCCTCCAGGTGTGGGAAAGACCTCGATTGGTAAATCAATTGCTCGAGCATTGAACCGACAATACTACCGCTTCAGTGTCGGTGGTCTGACCGACGTTGCTGAGATTAAAGGTCATCGTCGAACTTATGTCGGCGCCCTCCCCGGCAGAATCATCCAAGCCCTGAAGAAATGCCAGACAGAAAACCCTCTAATTCTCATTGATGAAGTCGATAAGATTGGCCGGGGACATCAAGGAGACCCAGCATCTGCTCTTCTCGAACTACTCGATCCAGAGCAAAATTCGAGCTTCTTGGACCACTACATGGATGTCCCTGTCGACCTTTCCAAAGTCCTCTTCGTCTGTACAGCAAACATGACCGACACCATCCCCCGTCCTCTGCTTGACCGTATGGAGATGATTGAACTGAGTGGTTACGTCGCCGACGAGAAGAAAGCCATTGCAGACCGCTACCTGGCGCCCCAGGCGAAAGAACTTTCGGGTCTAAAAGATGTGGACGTCAAGCTGGACGAGTCAGCTATCGAGGAGCTGATCAACAAATATTGCCGGGAATCTGGTGTCCGGAATCTCAAAAAGCAGATCGAAAAGGTTTACCGCAAATCAGCATTGAAAATCATCCAAGATCTGGGTGAAGAAGCCCTTCCCGAGGCTGAAGCACTGACCGAAGAAGGCAAAGCGGCAATGGAAGAGAGCGAGAGAGACGAGTCGGACGTCAAAGACACTCCGGAGTCCATTGAGAAAGAAACAACCGAGAATCCACGCATTGCTCTTAAAGTCCCTGATTCCGTCCACATCACGATATCGAAAGACAGTCTCAAAGATTATGTCGGCCCACCGATCTTCACATCCGACCGTCTTTACGAGACCACACCGCCTGGAGTTGCAATGGGACTCGCCTGGACAAGCATGGGCGGAGCGGCACTTTACGTTGAGTCCATTCTGGAGTCAGCTCTGTCTCCTTCTAGCAGGCCTAGCCTGGAGCGTACTGGGAACTTGCAACCTGTAATGAAAGAATCTACGTCGATCGCCTACTCGTTCGCCAAACATGTCATGGCCACCCGATTTCCGGAAAACCGCTTCTTCGACCACGCGAGAATCCATCTGCACTGCCCGGAAGGCGCCGTCCAAAAAGATGGGCCGTCCGCGGGCATCACGATGGCCACGTCTCTGCTAAGTCTGGCCATGGGAAAGCAGGTCGACCCGGCCCTTGCCATGACGGGTGAACTGACTGTCACTGGAAAGGTGCTGAGGATCGGCGGGTTGAGAGAAAAGACTGTCGCAGCCAGACGGGCAGGGTGTTCGAATATTCTGTTCCCAAGGGATAACTGGGGAGATTGGTGCGAATTGCCTGACGTAAGTCGACCCGATCGATCTGTTGTGAAAGACTCTATACTAACAATCGTGGCAGAATATCAAAGAAGGCATCCAAGGCCATGCCGTTGACTGGTACAGCGACGTCTTTGACATCGTATTCCCCGACGTAGATCCTGATGAGGTGAATCCTCTCTGGAAAGACGCGCTCAAGAAATCGGATGAGAAAAAGAATGACGATGACGATGATTGAGTTTGATGCGTTGATCATATCTCACCTGAAAGGCGATATTGTCGGCTATGCGATCTGAAGCATTTTCAGCATATGTGGCGCATGGGTGGGTAAATCAGACGGATGATATGTGCAGACCTTGTGTTAACAGTATCTGCCGATGAAAAATCGATAGACTGGATTAGAGGTGGAATACATCAGTCGCTCAAGTCGAGTTATCTTGTGTTTGTCAGATATATTAGAATCTCCACTTTGCCGGAACGGCTATAGGACAAGATGAAACGAGGCTATTACTGCATAGCATTGCACTGTATAGCAGAGCTTAGAGCTTTGCATGGACTCAAGCCATGTTGTTGCAAAAACTCTTGCGCGGATAGCGTATCAACGTTCTGCTTTAATCAATCAGGGTAGTCTCGCGCCATCGCCGTCGTCATCTGCATCTTTGCCTCTGTATTCCGTTTCCCTTTCCTCCTCTCCGTCGGACGATGATAACTGCAGTGGTACTGCATCCTCAGAACCTCTGATACTCGCGTATCGATAGCTGCGCAACAGAACCATTTCATGGGTGTCGAGAATCATTTCGTCATGTCCTTCAGAGGCCCCTCTTTCTCGAGCACCTAGTTTTGGAAGCTGTGGCTCGTCAATATCTGAGCGTGGATCGTCGCCATCGTCACCATCGTCATCCTCGTCCTCGCTTTCGGCTATCTCAACCGCTTTGCGCTTCTTGGATTTTGAGTGTTGTGGTAGCTCCACAGGGAGCAAGGGGAGGTCGCTGTCAACTGGAGCGAGCCCTTGTGATCCGTTGGATTCGTCTGCTGGTTCATGGTTGCTGGTTGAGTTGTCCAGGCTGAGTTGGTGCAGTCCACCAGTCGAGATGACGAAGGGTACAGGCGTGGTGTAGACATTCTTGCGGGCTAATCTTTGTACTTCGGCGTATCTCAGGCCCCCCCCCCCTCGCTTAGATATTTCAGCCTCATGTTCATCATCTGCAAAGTCGCGGTAAAGCATGATCCTCGTATGCACGGTCGTATCCCAGGATTGACTTGCTAATGCGGATTTCAGAGTCGCCTTTTGACCGTTCTTTAAACTCATCGTGGAATTTGTCAGCACCAGGATGGCCACGCTCCTAAGTACTGCCATCTTCGACATGGCGGCCGCGAGGGTCTCTATAATTTGATACCTTCTTCTGGCGATTTTCTTTTCCAATTTCTCCTTGACAGCTGCTGGGATACCGGGTTTCATGGTCCCAGGACTCCTGGAAAAGGATCCGAGGAGCAAGTTAGACAAGTCGTCGACGACCATTAGGCACGTCTTGGAAGACGGAAGAGATGGTGATGGATGTAAAAATAGGGTCAGAAGCCTTGGTAGCGTGTGTGCCTGAAGGTAGACGAACTTCTCCTCGAGGAGCGACTCAATATCGTACGGACGGGATGAGGATGAAGGTGGATGGTCATTATCTGAGGAAGTACGGTCCTCCATTATTTCTTGAAGTCTTTTTTCTATAAGTGGGGAGCCAGTATTGACCCACAGGACGTGAGATTCGGGGTTGTGAGAGTGAAGGGCATTGCTAGTGACCTGAAGGGCAAAGGTGGTCTTCCCGACTCCTGGAGGACCAAAAACCTCGGTCACACAGCCTCTTGGTATCCCGGGTGTGGCTAGGGAGGGTCCATTCGGCAGAAATATTCTGTCCAGCGCCGGGAGACTTGAAGGAATAGCTTTGGTCTTGGTTGAGGCATTCTGAAGGGCTTCAGTACCGGAGACAGTAGGCAGACGGTGTTGAGAAGGCGAAGTGGAGAAATTGTGGACATCTGCACCTTGGTCCTCCATCGTTTCTCTGAGAGAGGCTTCCCGTAGGCATATTGAAATCAGTTGCAAGGGGAAACTTTTCCGTCTGAATGGTGAAATCGCGATGAAGGAACTTCATACCAAGGTGATTGCTTCGAAAGAGGAGGGGGGAAAAAAGGGCCGACCAAGCCGAGGATCATTGAGATCCGTCAGACTGATAGTTCTGAGGCGCGTAGCACACCTTGTTCATGCTCGAGAGGGACACAGGGAGCTCTATAGGCTGGTATAGAAGGAAGACGTTAGTAGTGAGGATGACAACTTTTTTCGAAGAAAGCAACGTTTCAAATGACGGTCATTTTTCCCTACGACAGGTCGAGGCCACCATTACGAATTCCCGCTCGTGCTCGTCACGGTCTGTACCTTGTGCTGGGAATCACCACCATGGATCAAATTGCTACTCTCTTCCCTCCTATTCTCCTGGCAGTCACGCTCATATGCGTGCAAGAAGCATGGAGAATGCGCGACTCAATCCAGGGATACAAGCAGGTGGCATTACGGGGAACGTCTAACATGACTGACGAATACGACGACAAAAGCTCCACTTCTCAGGATGGTTCTGTACAGCCCAAGTGGAAGGTCAAGGCCTTATTCATTCATCCTATCAAGTCTTGCGCTGGAGTTGAATTGGACACCGCCGATATTGACGGCGCCGGCTTCACCTGGGACCGAAAATTTGCTTTCGCAGAGTTAACCAAGCCGCAAACTCGTCCAGATGCTTCTGAGACCGGGAAGACGCCAAAATGGACTTTTAGGACACAGCGCACGCCAGGATTTGAGAGGCTTGCTCTTGTCAGGCCAGAAATTTGGCTTCCGGACGATTCAAAAAAGGCTACCGCCAAGGACCAGGGACGTATGGTTGTGAGATATCCTCATATTCCCTCGGGTCCCCTCGCTGCTCTCCTCCGACTTCTGATTTGGCTTGGATTCATGTCTCAAGAGAGGTCGTTCCGAGTACCACTGGTTCCTCCAAAAGACCATAAATATCCCATGGAGCAAGTCATTATCTGGAAGGACAGTCCTACTTGGCTTAACTATGGTATCCACGTGCCGGATGATTTCCGCATTTACCTAGGGGCCACCAACCCCCTCACCCTCTTCAGAGTTGATCCCAACTCTTATCGAGAGGTGTACAGATGTGCACCTCGAAAGGAAGAACTGGGATACCAGTCAGTGGTAGGATTTGCGGATGCTTATCCGGTGCATCTGTTGAATATTGCATCGGTCCGCGATGTGGCCGGCAGAGTTAAAAGGGACATTCCTCGTTTCTCAGCCAGACGATTCCGATCCAATATCCTGATTACTGGGCCTGGAGCATACAACGAAGACGACTGGAAAAGGATCAAGATCGGCAATCACTACTTTTTCTGTGCGTGTCATACTGTCCGATGCAGGCTACCTAATGTCGATCCTGATACTGCCGAAAGACATCCAGCTGAGCCAGACAAAACTCTGAAGTCGTTCAGATGCATAGACCGTGGTGATCCACTGAATGCATGCCTGGGACTTCAGTTGGTGCCGGCAGAATCCAGCACGTTCCAAATTCAAGTGGGAGACGAGATCCAAGTCTTGGAAAGAGGCGAACACCATTACATCAAACAGTGACTAATCAACAGACCGAGGTCGAGTTTGAGACCTACGATCAAAGTCTAACTTACCAAAGAACTTCGCTTTTTCTGCACCCGACCGAAGGCTGGCACATTTCCAATGCCTGATATTCGCTTGCGAGACCCGCTCAACATAATCGGAATGCGGAATTACCCGGCGCTTGAAATCGTCCAACACCGTGTTAGATAACCTAGCGAGGCTTTGTGAAACCATGGAATTTGGCACGGTGGAAGTTTTAGGCGAACCTCAACTGACTCGCGAGGCGGTAGATGCACTTTTACCCAGCAAGCTGGAACACACAGCCGACGGTGGGGGTCAAGACGATGACTGAATGCTCGAGATATCAATGACGGCTGAATTCTCGAGCGGGGTGACGGCCGTTTTGAACCTTGAAGTTTCAAAGCTTCGTGCCAATACCAATTGGCTGGCTTATCTCGCCGGTGACGGAGCCTGCAAGATATCGACTTGGCGGAGAGCGCACGACCTGAATTTTTGCGTAACAACAGGCGACGGTCCAATCAAATGATGGATCATCTATCGATGAGGCTGCCCCGGCTTCATCTTCTCCGACCGCAATCAACACTTTCTAACCTCATCGCTTGTTCAAGGCTTTTCGATTCCATAGAGGCGTCCTCTACGCGCGCGATCAGGTACCAAGAAACTTTGGCCAGCTCCATAAGTGCTTCCACCCCACCGAAGCTTATGTGCATTGTACAGTGTCCACGGCGCCCTCTTCAACGCCCGGCCCAGGATCCTCGAGATGTTAAGGACTCAAGGTGGAAAGGATAGGCCGGTTCGGGAGCTTGACCGAATCGATTCAAACTACTTTGGGTAGGATACGAGAAGCCCTTTGGATCACTACATAAGCTGCTTGTTGCTCTCATTGTGGAGTGAACCTTGAGCTGGAGCTTTCTTGCATTGCAGTAAGTTGATCCATTCCCCTTTTTTACACCCAAAGCCCCTTTATCGTGGAATTTCCGATCGAGTTCGTGATCGATAACCCAAGAAAGGTTGCTCTTCCCTCTGAGGCTCTGACGTCGTGGAATCCATACAGAACCGGGGACCGGCGGCCTCTTCAGCTACAGTTTGATACACTATTTACGTCGGTGAAGCCAGCAGAGATTGTCAACCAGCATGGAGCCGGATCGCATTGGCCCCGATACCACTCCCAAACGTCCGTTCAAAGACAGGGTCGTTGATGTTCCTCGCCGTATCATCAAAGGTCTGACGACGAGGGAGGGACTCATTGGAGACTACGACTATGCCTTCCTTTTCACCCCGAATCTTCCCTTCATGAAGAGGTCCCGCCAATCGGCACCTTTCTTTGGCCTGAATGACAAGATGCCCATCTTCCTCGCCCTGCTCCTTGGATTTCAACACGCCTTGTCCATGTTGGCGGGTCTAATCACTCCACCGATCATTCTCTCTGGTACGGGCGGGGCCAACTTGGATGCGGAGACTTCCCAATATCTTGTCTCTACTTCACTGATCGTTTGCGGGATTTTGTCTGCGGTCCAAATCACCCGCTTCCACATCTACAAGACACCGTACTACATCGGCACAGGTTTGATATCCGTGGTGGGCACCTCATTTGCGACCATACCCGTTTCGTTAGGCGGTCTGTCCCAGATGTATGATTCAGGATTCTGCCCGAGTGATTCCGACGGTAATAGACTGGCGTGCCCCCAGGGATACGGCGCCATTTTGGGCACAGCATGCATCTGCTCTCTATTGGAAATCGGTTTGTCATTCGCCCCGGCCAAAGCTCTGAAGAGAGTCTTCCCTCCCCTTGTGACTGGGCCGACCGTCGTTCTCATCGGTGTCAATCTAATTGGCACTGGGTTTGAGAATTGGGCCGGAGGTTCCGGAACATGCAGATCTCGTCCGGAGACGGGATTGTTCCAGAACTGCCCGTCAAACTCGGCACCACATCCGTTGCCATGGGGCTCGGCCGAATTTGTCGGCTTGGGATTCAGCGTTTTTGCGACCATAATTCTTTGCGAACGATTTGGTAGCCCTATCATGTAAGCCTCACCACGAAGAAGAGCTCGACACCATCGAATCAAGCGACTTACCACGATGCCTTGCATGAATGCTTGTTCAAGACTGATCCTTTCCCCCAGGAAATCCTGTGCCGTTGTTGTCGGCCTACTCGTTGGATGTATTATCGCCGCAGCCACCAACTATTTCGATGACTCGGGTATCCAAAGTGCGAAAGCAGCGTCGTTCATTTGGGTTGAGACATTTCCCCTGTCGCTATACGGGTAAGCATACGAGAGACACCGGCCTCCCGTGATTGCATTGCTAATTCTCCCAGGCCGATGGTATTACCCTTCTTAGCGGTGTTCTTGGTCTTGATGATGGAGGCCATTGGGGACATCACGGCCAGTTGCGACGTGTCACGGCTCGAAGTTGAGGGCCCTATCTTTGAGTCTCGTATTCAAGGTGGTGTCCTCGCGGACGGTCTCAACGGCATGTTTGCATGTCTCTGCACCATAACCCCGGTATCAACATTTGCCCAGAACAATGGAGTCATTGCTCTCACTCGCTGTGCCAATAGAAAGGCCGGCTATTGCTGTTGCTTCTTCCTCCTCATCATGGGTATCTTTTCCAAGTTTGCAGCAGCCCTGGTGGCTATTCCATCTGCGGTGCTTGGAGGTATGACAACATTCCTGTTTTCGGCCGTTGCTATTTCGGGAATCCGAATTATTTCGACCGTGCCGTTCACCAGACGGAACCGATTTATTCTGACCGCAGCCATGTCTGTTGGATTCGGCGCAACCTTGGTGCCTGATTGGTTCGCCTATGTGTTCACGTACGAAGGAGACAATTCCGCCCTGAGGGGACTGATGAACGCTGTCGAACTGGTCATGGAAACCGGCTTTGCTGTTACCGCCTTCCTCTCACTCTTCCTGAATCTGATTCTCAGAGAAGAGGATGAGGACGAAACGGTCGATGTCACAGCAAACACAGTCGATGAGAAAGATGACGAGGAGGAATGGGAACGGATCAGACGTCCCAGCCAGTTGAGAGCCATGCGGAAGAGTGAGGAGAAGGTCAGGTCGAGCGCCGATGTCGAATCGAATGCCGCGGTGACTACGATGCCCCCCATCAAGGATGAATGATTTCTTGGAAACTAACAGGCTGATACAACACAAGGATATCCGGCAGTACGTACATGGTTGTAACAATGGAATAGGAAAATGAAAGTGACCTGTTTGCCTCGAGATATCCTCGTCAAATGCTCCAGTACTATCGATCCGACCACAGCTCAAATAGGTCCCACACTTAACACGAATGCTCAGAATCCTCTTGACCAATCAATGTCTACTTTATCACGATTTTCTTCCCCCGGACCAACTCTACTTTCCCGAGCAGGGAGCCATCAGAGGGACGACCGGTTAGCCATCAGCAATTTTTATTGGCTCGTCGGTGAATCACGTGCACTCCCAAACATGTGACCGCTCGTTGAAGCCTTCGAGGTTTGGTGCTGCGAATCTCCTCCCCCATCTATTTGGCACTGTGCTCAGGGCATGATCTTATCTCGCCTGTCGCCCATGATACTCATTAACTTCTCGCAGTCCCGCTTCAACAAGCAACGGTGATGAGGCTGAGGGCCGGCGCAAGCGATTCCCCATCCGATCCATGATGAACACAACAAAAACGGTCTGCTTCAAAGAACGAATCATTTGCGGTCAAACACTCGAACCATATGATGAACTTGACTGTAGCTAGACGCAAGATATGGGATGAGATTCCAGGGCACATCAGGACTAATAGTCCACTGTGGCATCATATTGTCAATCTGGGCAGAAGAAACCAAGCATAGACGCATATTCAGTATGTTTGGTGGTCACAACACGCTGTCAACTGCTTCGCCTCGATGACTTTTCTCTGCCGTACTGGTGGAGCTCAATGGTTGGATATATTTTGTATATACGTAAACCGTGAACAAGGCTGCTTACCAATCCTGCTGGGGAAATCACACTCGCCGAAGCCCACAGTTTGATCGACGACAAGAAAATACACGCGTCTCCATCGTCACCATTTCAGCGTCCTTTAAGCGAGCGAATCCCCTAGGGTTATGCCATGGGATGGAGTTTTCGTGATCATTTTGGTATCAACAGTACATGCGCGCCTCCATGTCTTAGAATCTGCCTTGCTCATTCATCGACGAGGGAATAAACAATGGAATCCATTATATCTTACATGCGCTTCGTAATGATCGACCTGCAACAATATCCGCCTTGCAGATCAGGTGCTCAGTCAACCACTTGGCTTAACATCAATATCCCATCAAATATGATCACTATTAAATCCAAGCCATTTAGTTTTCGTGGAGAACCACTTGGCAAGACGCACTGGGAAGGTTTCGCCTGCGCAATGTCGGAGTTGGCTGAACGTCGCTGACCGGAAAGGGGCGACTGGGATGGAAAAGGACGCGGATGCAGACGCGGAGGCCGTTGTCAGACCAGACATGGACACCTCTCGAGTCTTGGGCGTCCTCTGTCCATTGAGCTGCTCAGCTTTTAGCTTCCTTGGGCCTCATCACTGACCAACTGACACCATTGGATTCCCTGTCCCGCGGCGCTACTACCGCTACCACTTACAGTCCCTCCAAAACATGTCTTCGTCGCTGAACTAAATCCAGGACCAAAACCTACACCATCTCAACCTCTCCTCTTCTCATCAGGTCATCCACTTCCTTCTCTCACTCTCGTTCAGATGCCGACTGCACAGACATGAATAACAACGCGAGTTCAGCGTTGTCTCGGACTCATCCCGCCTTTCCTTCTCTCTCCTCTGATCCTCGTCAAAGGTCCTCCTCTCCACCTTCCTAAGGACTGTTAGATGCGCTCGAGTCCTGCCATGGTCGATTACCGTTTCGACGGGTAAACCTCACTCGAGTTCAATGCAACAAGCATCGCGTTCTCTGTATTTTCCTCTGCGATAACAGCTCCAATTTCCGGGCCCTGCAATCATCTTGCAGTCATGCCATTATGTTTCGGAGGAAACGACACCGAGCCGAAAGATGAATACGACCAACTTCCCTTTGGGCTTCGATGGCGCATGCACTTTGGCAAGAAAGAAACTGATCTAGATTCTGGTGAAACAATCATGCGCCTGAGCAATAATAGAATACTCAAAACTCACGGTGCCAATACCGAGTATCAGGCCTTGAAGCTCATCGATCGGCATACCTCGGTACCGTCGTACAAAGTCCTGGCGGTGTACAACAGACCAGAAGGGAAGCTGGTGGAATATGAAGCTTATCCAGGAAAACCTTTACAACAAGTCTGGCCTGGCATGTCGGCGCATCAGAAGAACAAGATCATTGCCGATCTGGGTCGCTTTGTGGACCAGCTGAGAAAAATGCAACCACCGAAACACTGTGTAATAGGCGATGCAACCCTCGGGGCCGCAATGGATCACAGATTTGGTTCCTGCAAAATAGGACCTTTCTTTTCTATTGAAGCGTTTCAGGAATTCGAAAGAAGAGGGCATTCCGTTGATCATTTTCCCGAGAAAGAAATTCAACAAGTTCACGCTCCGAAGAAGCCATATCAACTCAAATTTACTCACGCAAGTCTTTGTCCCAAAAACATCCTTGTGGATGATGCTGGAAGAGTGTGTGCCTTGATAGGTTGGGAATCCGCGGGATGGTATCCGGAGTATTGGGAATACACTCAAATGTGTCATTTGACACCAAAGACTATGGGAGATTGGCTAGATGCCATGACCAAGGTTATTCCTCGATACGATCAAGAACTAGCATGCGAGGAAGCTCTACGTGCGAGATATACGAGCTCGATATATGATACTCCCAGGAGTGTTCGAGCTCCAAGTCCTTCACCAAGTGAATTACGCGCAGAACAACAAGAAATTGACGACAAGAATACTGAAGATACCAGTGGATAAAATATTTGGCAGCGCGAGGAGGCTGGATGATGAGGAAGCTCTATCTGAACAATCAAACCTGCATGAGACATGAAAGCAAAGTACTCGTACAGGACACCAATTGCTGGAATCTCCCCCCCACCTTCTCCTTTCGTCAATATGAGCAATTCAGCGACGGTGAGATTATTGACTCGCGATTTCCACATCTAGCAACTTTTTGTCGAAGGGGGATGGACCCAATTCCATGCCAAGCGGCAAGGCCTGGCCCGTGACAAATCGAAAGGGCAGCACATGCTACCCGTCCTTCGAGTATCGCAGATAATCCTCCAAGACCACAACGCTGTCGCTTATAGAGCGGGATCAGTAGATCTTCTCGGGCGGCGCGCGACGCGGCAAACCGAACAAGAAGTCGAACATCAGATTAAGCTTTGCAAGTCAATTCGACTTGGAAATGGAAAGGAAAGGGTCCGTGAAATCGAATGAACAAAAACTAGCAAGCCGGTGAGATAGACCCGAGAGAGGGGATAGATAGAACAAGGAGCAGCAAAAAAGGGCTCCGAAAGACGAGGCGGCGAAAGCAAAGAGAGTCGGAACTAGTCAGAGTGCCGAAGTCTCATTTCTTCACTTTAGGGTTCAAGGTACTGGTTGCGAGCAACCAAACGACTAAGCAAGCACGTTGAACCGCAATATTCGATACACACGACCTGCATAGCAATGGAGTCATAGGATGACGAGGGATTCAGGACCTGCAGCAGGGGTTGGAGTTGGAAACAGGAGAAGGATAGAATAAGAATCGGACTCCGGCGCTATGCGCTAGATACGAAACCGTCCAGAGCTATTAAATTACCAGTAAATGTCTAATAGAATTTTACCTCTCCGTCTGTCTTGGACACCCGCCTGCCTTCCATGTGCCGCTGGTTTGCGCTCTTCTGTCCTGCCCTATCTTGTTCATCTACAACTCTCGCCATGTTCTTCCCCTTGGTAGAAGGAGATGTCCGAACTTCCTGGTGGAGGGGTGGGCGGAATTAAGATCAGGCTATAGCTGTAATTCCTGAACTTTGCTCTAACTGTGGACTCGTGCTGCTGTTGTTGGGACTGGTGCGGGTGGAGGTGCAGGCACCGGTGTCAGTGCTGGGGGTTCAATCTCTGAGTTCGGATTGATGGTTGATGTTCTGCCGGAGTCAGGATGGGTCATGTGGTGACGATAAAGGCTTTGTATAGTATAAACATAATCGCAGATAACGTTCCCGGGGATCTTCGTTGAGGCTCCGGTGCCGGCAATAACAGCTGGAATTCCGCCCGAATTCGCAGGAAAGGCTTGCGGAGCCGTCAAATCTGAGGCATTTGTTGGGCTCAGGTCTTTCAGAATAGTTTTGCGGATGGAAAGTGGCGCGTTCGAAAATTTCCATCTCAATTCAAAGTCCAGAAGATGCTCCTGATGATATGGCTCGCAAGGTATTCACGGGGGGAAGAGTGTGGGGCGTAGTTTCATGCGCTGAAGATCCGGCACTTCTGCCCTATGGTTGAAAGATACTACTGTCAGAGCTTAATCGAAGTCCTCTCTGCTTGTAGTTCTCGTGAGACATGATTCCAAACTCCGTCGGCCGATGATTCACCTAGCCATCTCGTCATGGGGTTTCCTCGCGCGTCGAGTTCCAATTGGTTCCGGTAGAGAATTTGGAATTGATATTGATATTGAGGATTTCGTCGGCCGCCGGTACTGCCGCTTTTCACGCTAACGGTGCTGGATGGTGGACGGGAGGGTTTGTGTGACGCTGAGAAGGGGTTGTGGTTGGCAGAGGAGGATGAGTTGGACGACGCGGGTGGCATTATTGTTTGATTTCTTGCCGTCCTTAAAATTGAATATCTGGCGCTACGTTGGGCAAGTGTTGATTCTCTCTTCCGTATTAATCTAATTGTTCTTGTATGAGTTTCAAACTTTTCGTTTTGTGTTCGCGAGCCTCTGGGACAGCTATCGTTGTATTTTTGCGTCGAATTCAGGCGCGCTTCCAATGATGACGATTAGTGCGAAGAATTGTTCCCCAAGAAGACGAGGTCCGTAAGGCACCGCAATTCGTATTTCGACCAAAATGTAAAATTGTTGGATGGCTTTACTATCGGCGGCGGTTTGTTCGCTCTCGAATCCTAATCCTCATCCGCATCCTAGGTAGAAGAAATTCCTAACAGGAAGACGGAATTTGTGGGTTCGCAACATCCTTATTAAGTCTTATTCCATCATTCGGCGCGTCGCCTGGCCGGCATCTTTGTCAACGGCCAAAGTCATTCTTACCTGTGACAACTAGGTTGGCAGCTAACAAAGATTCCATGCACGGAAGGGTCTTTGAACAACAATGCGGAAATGGAGTCACCCACTTTTGATGTTTTCAAGGAAATAGTGTACCTCGGGAGGCATGGAAGTTATTTTGGCATGTCAATTATTTATTTTTGCTTCTTTCTCTTTTACTTTGCTTCGACAAAAGTCCCAGGACCCAACGGAAGAGCATGTGGTTATTTTGTAAAGGTTTGTGGTTCCAGGCCCGCCTCATTTTGGGATCCGTCAGTGCTGAGGATGGAGATGTTGAGAATAACACGTAAACGGAATGGGAATTGGTAAGCCGTTGGAGCCTGCCTGAGGCTTCAAAATCTCTAAAAATTGATTTGATTCCTCAAGATTCAGTTCTGGGCCAAGATCTGTAGAGAATTTTGGGGGAACCTTTTGTTGCTCGAACGATCCACAGTGCAGAGAACCTAATCCTTCTAGGGTTCGGGACACTGGGGCGAGGCAGATTTAGTAGTTTTTGTCGTCACGGCCCAGACGGCAAGTGGAGAGGGAATTTTTGTTCTGAGCTTTGCGTACTTGGGAAAGCAAATGAAGTGTGCGGAGGGTGCAGAGCGAGATGGATTTGTGTCTTCTCAGTGGAGGGGAACTACCCGCCCAAGCTTGATCGATAAGTGGTCAGCATACCCCAACCCCCTAGTCAAGCTAATGGGTAGCCAGTCCGAAAAAGCCCAACTGACAAGGCCAAGTTGGGAAGCATAATCATCGTGAACAAAGGTTCACCTGGTATCTCTGTCATCGTCAAGAGATGTGTGAGGAGAGTCCCAACAATTAACGGGGACACGCTGCCTCTAAATCATAGTCTGAAGCGAGAAGCCTGTGAATGGCTGCTGCAAAGATTTTCAGAATTTTGGCCCCCCCCCTTTCATTTTCTTTTTCACTGCAACCTTCCAACTAGCCTAAGGACGAGGAGGAAAAGAAAAAGAAAAACTGAAGTTTTTGGTTGATGTTGCACCCGATCTGGAGGAGGAAAAGGACTTTGGGGGAACTTTAGGACGAAAGGTCGAGGAGCCTGATGCTCCGTCGATCGGCGGCAGTGCTGCCTAAGTTCTCAGGCACAGGATGCAGGTATAGCGCCGGGGTTCGAGGAAAAAGTTTCAGTCCGTAAGGAAGAAAATTGCCACTCAGATGGAACTTTGGAGAGCATGGTGGACTCGTTAGACGGGCGTCACCAGCGTCAGATGCGTGGATGAGGTAAGAAGCGAACAGGAACCTTTGTACTGTATATCAGAGACACGCAGTCGAAAGGCCCCCACTCGCTGTTTGCATAAAACTGGGGCCTTGGCGGGAATCTTTGTACCAGGTACCCGTTTGCTACTGGGAGGTACTTACTACTCAATCAGGCTCCTGTCTGAGGAGCTACCGAGTCGCTCCCTTTCCCTCCCGGCTCGGGCGCCTCTATTCCCTATCTCCCGCTTGACCAAGACCCAAGGCGTCCTCCAGGCATCCTTTCTGCCTCGTTCTATGGCCCATGTCCGCCCCAAGTTTGCCACCGAGCCAACAGAAATGTCTTCTCTTCTCTCGCTACATATGCATGGCAGCCATCTGGCCTGTCGGCACCTTCTGGAGCTTCTAGATTGGCGTGATTCCTCTGCGACATTCCGTGTTTTCTGTCTGTTCTGTCTATCGTTCCTTGCCGGAGCCTGACGGCATTTTTGCATTTCCTATCCCAGATCCAGTTGTGGCTTTGACTTTATCTGCCAGGTGCGCACAACAATGGATCACCCGGGCCCTCAGCCCAGGACGGGGTTTCAAAGAGTCCAATCAAAGTCCACGCGCAATGTTATATTCGGCCCATTCAAGAACCTGATTGAGCAAAAGTATGTTATCGAGGGTTGTCCCTTGAAAGAGATAATAGAACACATCAGGACCAAGTACGGGGTCGTTCAGTCGTAAGCCATCACTTCTTCCTCCGTAATTGTTCTCATGATTGACCCATTGCAGGCCTAAACAGTACAAAAGCCAGTTGAAGACTTGGGGGTTCAGACACAAACTCACACTACAAGATGCTGCCTTCATTCTGAGGCTACTGAACCAAGCCAAGGCACGAGGTTTGGACGAAGTCGTCCTCTTCTCGACCCATCCTCGACGGCGAGAAGACATTACCAAGTACATTCAAAGAAATGTCAAGCTGGCCGATGAGAACGACTTACTCTCATATATCTCAAATGACGACGAAACCCCCCATTATATCAAATTGCCAGATCACCCAATCGAGCAACCCAGAGCAACCTCTTCGCATTTGCCGCCCACTCCTCCATCAGGAGATTCATCAGGGTCGCTGGATCCACCCCCAGGCTGCGCTGAAGTACCTCCAATGAAAGTCCCAATTCCTTCTCCTGAGTCGAGCCCTCGATATCCTGATGTACGCTCGAGTCACCAGGGCAACGGGGCCAGATGGTCGACATCGACCGCTGCTTCTGAACCGGTGTTTATAGATCTGGACCAAACTCAGGAGCAGTTGGCAGCGCAAGAGACAATTTCCGGGAGGCAACCCGCAGTTCCCGACATTGTCGGGCCTTTCTGGCCTTCTCAACAAAGGATAGACCAATCTATATGGTGGCCACAGCGGCAGGACGAAGAATCGACCACACACTGGCCAGCAGATCTCACCAATGCACTACTCTCCGTCACGCCCGCCGCATTAGGCAACCTCGGCTTCGACATGAATAGGTTTGGCGACCACACCCTCAGCCAGCAACTCAACGATGGAAGTTCGTCCGCACAATTTGTGACGTACTGCCTTTTCTGGTTGATCTGCGTCGGCCAGGACGATGACGGTCTCCAAAAGGAGGCAGAGTACTATCAGAACTCGGCCATGTTCTCGTTCCTGTGCATGCTCAAAGATCTGAGCTCCCCAGGAGAAGATTGTCTAGGCGCGCTGAGTGTCGTGACGGTCTTGTTTGACTGCTACGGCCAGACGCAAAGGTTGCTAGATTTGCTGACGAAATGTGATGAGGTGACCAAGAACCACCTTGGCGTCCACAACCCTCTGACGGTGACTATCGCGTTCAAGAAGAACATGCTCCAGCGCAGTGGAGGAAGTAGCCCCCCGCATGACATTGTCCAACTAAGGGACATTTATCTTCAAATGCGATCGCTCTTCCCCAAATCCCCAGGCCCGGCCTTGACGGCCAGGTACAACCTAGCCTGGGCTATGCTCGAGAACGAGATGAAAAAAGATGTCAAAGACTGCGAGCCCGCTCGACGGGAGCTCCAGGAACTCACCGCGCAATTCGAACTTCACTTTGGCAATGATCGCATCGAGACCATCATGGCAGCCGCCACGTGGGCAAGAGCCACGTTCTACTGTGGGGACATCGAGAAAGCCGAAAGGATCCTCGGGCACATCGTCTGCCCTCGCGTGAGGAAGAATTTCCCAGAAGACCATCCATACACTTGGGAAGCCAAGCACCGACAGGCCTTTTTCCTGCTTCAGCTGGCCAAAAAGGACCGTGACAACTCCGCGGGTAGGAGATGGTTTCAATTCCAGCAAGCCGAGCAACTCCTTCGACAGGTCGTTCGGGATCGACACCGCATCTTGGGTGAATCGAACCCAAAATCGGTTCAATCTTTCCATCTCCTTTGGACTGTTCTGCAGGAACAAGGCAAGGTCGATGAGGCAAATTCCCTATGGGAATGGTGTACGAGTGAGTGATGGTCATATTGCGTATTCTGATGGAAGAAAACTTACGACTGGACTCATTATTTCTTTCATCCGCGATGAAGCCAAACGGGCTTGCATCCCCACCAATTCATCTCCTCCCACTCATGGAGATGGACGGTCGAGGTTCTTCGTCCAGCGCCCATCCATAGCCCCCGTTGATTCCAAACTCACTGGTGTCACTGGAAACCGACATGGCGCGGCTTCTCATGCCCGAATCCAACGGGCCCATGGCATCTGATGGACGTCTGGATTGAGTGGAATACTGAGTGGCATAGGAATAGCTATGACTGCTCTGCCATGCCGGGCTTCCAAACGTGGAAACGGGGGAGCCTTGCACCGAATCCATGACCGAACCACTGGTCGAGCTATTTCGCTTGGACATGGTCGGTCTTTGAGGAACCGCGATTGGTGGTGTGCAATATGTAGAACCATTCGCCGTGGTTGATCCATAGGATTCATACCTTGTCAATTGTTGGCGGGGTTCGGTGTTGCCGCGACAAGCACGCTTCCGCTCTTGATGGATTCGACTATCTAAATATCCTTTTCCATTGTGAGGAAAACCGTTATCGACCAGACAAGACGTCAATCATTCTTACTCAGTTGTCTCCGATAGTCATCACTTCCACGCCATTTCAGAGTATCGTCTCGGAGCGATGGGAGCATCGACTATGGATTGATGAGCGGTTCAGACCTTATCACACCATTCAAGAGCACTGACCCGCGGCGGATGCTGAGAAGCCTCGATGACATACCGGTCACCTTTCTGCAAAGCATCAGCATATCGATTGAATAGAATTCTACCTCGAGGTCGGCGGCATACATGACTGTCCACGATCTTGGCGTCCCGCCCCAGATAATAAGACAGGTCAGCCTCGAGAACTTCTCTCGACACATCCGCTTTTGGTAGAGAAAACAATATGTACTGGGGCATGGTCATTCAATGAAAGTGGGTCCTAATTCCCACTGCTGTTGTGTGGTACTATTAAAAAAAAAAAAAAAAAAAAAAATACGACGTTGGAACTTCTGTTCATGCAAGACTCGGGAGGGATGAGAAGGGATCATCGGTGGCAAAAAAATGAAGGAGAAAGGCCGACTCGTGGGGAATGCCGAGTGAAATAAAAAGCTGAAAGCTTGTCGAACAAGCAAATGCGAACCTGTCTTTGAGACCAAGTGGGAGCTTTCGAACTCGTGCAGAGCGAGAGCGGGGTACCCTAAGGACGTCGAGATTCAGCCCGGACGGAAGAGCCTCATATCGACCGGGGATCACTCTGACCGGTGAGCTCTCGCCTTATCACCGGCGTTGGACTGTCGGGGGCCACGTAGCTCGAAATGCAGCTATCAATCCTTATCGACCAATATAAAGAGAGAAGGACGCTGGCAATTGGCGACGAAAACTGTGGGAAGTGGGAGGTCGACAGACCTGGACACGGGCCGAGAGCTGTGGCTTGCAGGTTGCTTGCTGCAGGGCTTTTTTTCGCAAAGCTGAAAGCACATGATTGATGAGGGGATCATTCGAACCAGAAAGTGTCGGTATGGGCGGAGAAGACGAGAAATCATGATATGAGTGATGATGGTTCACTTTTCAGGAAAAATGAGCACTGTATGATCATGAAGAAACGAGGTATATAAAAAAGGAGGTCAGCAAGAAAATGGGAATCAAGGCACAATAGAGATACAAGCAGCTGCAGGATCGGCTGGACCTGAATTGTACCACCACCACTCCTCTCTCCTCCTCTTCTGCAGCTCTTTTACGAACAAACGAATCCACGTTCTGATTCAACCTGAATAAGCATGCAGAGTAGACGGCTGCTTGCCGCTAAATGCTTTGTATCAATCAGAGCAGAGCCATCAGAATCGTATCTAGAGACGTTATAGTCCAGAACCTCTATGCCAATCACCGCAGCGCCCATGCCAAAAAAAAAAAAAAAAAAAAAAAAAAAAAGGTCTCTGGCAGAGTCAGCCCGTGACTCTGGGCATGCGATGCTGCTGTAAATGTATACATGCCAACGGTCGAAAATCCGTATTTTTGTATGAGTCTGTCGATAGGTTGTCGTCAAATCAAGACGACCTCACGTGCCCGGAAACGAGGGTGCGTAGGCGAAATTGCCAAATATAAGTGCTTTACCTGATCGATTGTCTTGTTCCTGCATGAAAGCTTCCACAGCAAGCATCAAATGCGTTGTTCGCACAACGAGCTCTGCGAAGGGGGGTCAGCTTCGATATGGTCAAGCGATGTCAAGACGACTAAATTACCCTGTATTTCAATTGAGAAGCTCATGGGCAAATCATCAAACTCGCAAGGATCCTTGCCATAACAGGTTCCTTCCCGATCTCGGACTGCTACTCGTAATCCAACATTCTTTCGGTAGTCTGTCCAGATAATGTTCTTGTCAGCACCGATGGTGGTGGTCGATGTTCGGTCCATCTCAACCCCGGGGTTTTGCTCTTGTTGCCAGAGTTCTTGAGCACGATCCTGCAACCACTGCTTCCACACCCTCATAACGCCTTGGCCAGACTGCACAATTTCAAAGTTGGTCCAGAAAAGCCTTCGGGTGGGTCCAAGCCTGGTCAAGCTCGGATATGCGCAGAATTGAACAAACAGCTCATCTGGGTCGAGGTTCAGGATGTGAATCACCTTGGAGTCGGCGCTGTCACCTGCGTCGTCACGGTTCGACTGGGAGGGATCGGATGATGCAGGCTGTGACGAAGATTGGGATGGTCCTGTGCTAGCAATTCGTCGTAACGGTATTGAACGCTGTACTCCCGATCTTTCGGGTCTGAATCGACTGTATAACGCGCCTAATTTCGCAAATCTGCCTTGTTCTCCCTCGCATTCCTCGTACAGACTCCCCTCACCTTCGTGCTTTGAACCGAGTCCGTCGGTACCGAGATAAGTGCAGAGTAGGGATGAGTCCCCGTCTCTTCTACTCGGGTGGTAAGCTTCGAGGATGAGCTTGCAGTCTGGCAATGCTGCAGCGAGGAGGAGCCGGAAATGCAGGATCCGCAGGATGATGGAATGGAAACGGCGCGAGACAATGGCCCATGGGAGAAGACTCTGGGTTTCGAATCCGGAGAGGATGGAGAAAAGAATCTGTCTAGTCAAAGGTCAATTCATCTCTGAACCAGGAGAGGCTAATACCTCATTCGGAAGGCTGTATAGCCATGTAGAATTCGCAGCCATGATAAGAGAAGAGTAGAACAACTCGGCCCATTGGAATAATCGGGATTCAGTAGAGAACTGTTCACATGTTTTCGCCTGGATAGGCGCAATCTGTCGTCCAGGTCATGCGACCGTGACGACGATTCCGGATTGCTGTCAGATTTTATGGAGTGTGAGTTGATGTGTGAGAATTTGTCCGATGCCGGCCGATATGCATTTGACGTAACTGCAACTGCCCACTTCCGCCGTCTCTTCCACGAGAACAATCACGCCTGTATTCGGCCGGGAGCTTCGTTCTGGATCAATAAATTCGCAATCAGATATGTTGTTGCCTCAAGTAACCTAGAGTCCACATCAGGTAGCATTGAATCGGACTAGATCCGCCACAGATCCCCTCCACCATGTCCCCCTCCTGCACTTCTCCTGCCACTTGAAGCTGGCTCCCGCTTTGATTTGATCCGGGCACCATTGTGCAGAGCATATAACGTCTCCCGTATCCCGCTAAACAAGTCGATCCTAGGCTTGGTCAGTGTTCAATACTAGATCGCAGAATGCCTGACAACATTTTGGACGACATTTCTCACCGCCGATTCAATCCGCTTCGTGGAAGCTGGGTTCTCGTGTCTCCCCACCGTACCAAGAGACCATGGCAGTAAGAAGCCTGTGCCTTCCAGAGAACAAACCTCTGACTCGGTCGCTAGAGGACAGCAAGAAAGTCCCGGTGTCATCGATCTCCCTGTTTACGACCCCCAGTGCTATCTCTGTCCCGGAAATAAAAGAGCTTCGGGAGAATCCAATCCGAGTTACAAGGACACTTTTGTCTTCGTGAATGACTTCAGTGCTGTCAAGGAATCACAAGACGATTACACCTCACCAGATGCCTCGGGAAGCTTGTCATCCGTTTTATTACAAGCAGAACCTGTCACGGGAAAATGCTACGTTCTGACTTTCAGCGCCGCTCACAACATTACGCTGGCAGACATGTCTCCTGCAGAGATCCTACCCATCGTGAGGACCTGGATGGATATTTACATGGCGCATACTTCCCCCAGTTTCCCTCTCGCGACCTTAGAGAGACCGACTCATCTCCCTCCTTCCAGCCCTCACGCAGATGTTGGAAGACCTAAGGATCAGTATCGGTGGATGCAAATATTCGAGAACAAGGGTGCTGCAATGGGCTGTTCAAACCCGCATCCCCATGGACAGATTTGGATCACGACTTCATTGCCTGAGGAACCCGCCATTGAATTGGAGCAATTGAGAAAATATCATCGTGAGCAAGGCGGTGCACACATGCTGGTCGACTATGCCCAGCTGGAACGAGAGAAGAACGAGCGGGTCGTCTTTCGGAACGAGACCTTTCTTGTGGTCTGTCCGTGGTGGGCAACTTGGCCTTTTGAGACCATGATTCTCCCAGTCAAACACATCCACTCGCTGATCGACCTGACCGACGATGAACAAATGCACCTAGCAGAGGCGATTGCGGAAATCACGCGACGATATGACAACCTGTTTGAAACAAGCTTTCCATACAGTATGGGCATACATCAAGCGCCGCTTGACGGGAGCAATGAAGAGATTGAATGTTCCAGTCTCCATTTCCACTTCTATCCTCCGCTTTTGAGGAGCGCAACCGTCAGGAAATTCCTTGTCGGGTATGAAATGCTGGCAGAACCGCAAAGAGATATCACCCCCGAACAAGCGACGGTCAGGCTTCAAGGTTGCGGGGGGGAACTGTACAGGAAAAAGCTTCAGAAGAAAGGAGAATAAATATACAACCTGCCTGCAACAATGACTGGATCTTGAGATAGAATACCCGGGAAGGCTTATTGAACATAAAAGCCGTATTGTACAATGCTCCACACCAACCCAATCGTAGCAACACTCACGGGAGCCAGCCACGGGCCTGATGGTTGACTTGTTTGGTATACAAACGCCTCGAGACCAAAGTGCACAAGGCCCACCACGTTGGTCAACATCTGCATTTGATACCATGATGCTTCCTTAATGTGATATGCGGCAAAGATCCTTACGATCCCGACAGCCAAAGTCCACGTTCCAAATATTCTCGACGAGAGAGGAGTGACAGGAGAGGAATCTGCGGGCGATTTTTTGTCTTTCGCAGCTGACATAGGCTGGCCGGGGTAGAGACGACGAGTGTAGGAGAGGGTGATGTAGCTTTGAACAGCATTTCCAATCGAGGTAACGGCAACCTGCACACGTCAGTCCATAAGATTCCAGTCCGGAGAAACTTTGTGAAATTCTCACGAAAAGAATGTAGAGAGGCAAGAAGCCTTCGGATTGAGGGAGAATGGATGTCATCCTGGAGTCAGGACAGAATATCTCAGCCAATTGGCCTTAGTCAGAATAGAGCAATCCTGAAAGAGGAGATCGTTTGTAGCGAATCACTGTGAGACAGCCTAGTTGAGGTATTGCAGAGCAGGGAAGTGGCTTACTGCAGTAGCGAGTAGTTTTACCACGTCTTTTTTGTTTACCGTGACGGGGGTGAAACGGAGCTTGTGGGTAGCTTCTACCCAATCATATACGGCGCTCTTCCTGTAACTGTGTTAGTCATACGATAACAAACCCCGGGCCAACAGAAAAGACAGCCTTAAAACAATCCCAACGCCCGCCCAAGCTTCCTCAACATCGCTTTTCTCTTCTCCCCGTATTGCAGCTGGTCACCGCCTCGACTGTGAGAATGGAACTCGACCTTGGACCCCTCGGCAAGCAAAACATCCCCTCTAGTATTCTGATAGGGGTGGGCGCAGTTACAGTCGGATCAATCGTGTGGACCACTTTGAGTGTTCTTCTGAGTACCTTTATACTGCCTGGCAAACCCGTATGTCCCCCCGGCAAAGATCTACATCTGCCTACAATCAGCTCCACCTATCTAACATGCCTTTCACTGTACAGCTTTCAAAGTTCGGTCCTAAAGGATCATGGGCGGTCATCACCGGGGCTTCCGATGGCATTGGGAAAGAATACGCTCTTCAAATCGCAAAGAAAGGATATAATTTGATTCTCGTCTCGCGAACCGCGTCCAAACTAGAGTCGGTCTCCTCGCAAGTCAAGTCTTCCTCGCCGAATGCTGTGGTCGAGACACTGGCAATGGATTTCTCCAAGAACCTTGACTCAGACTATAACGCCCTAGCTTCCCATGTACAAGGCAAAAAGGTGGCCATCTTGGTCAACAACGTGGGTCAAAGCCACAGTATCCCAGTTCCCTTTGCCGAAACATCCCTCTCGGAAATGTCGAATATCATCAATATCAACTGTCTGGGCACACTTCGCGTCACGCAGACGGTTCTCCCAAGCATGTTGCCACAAAAGAGAGGGCTGATCTTGACGATGGGCTCATTTGGTGGATTGACACCCACGCCGTTGTTGGCCACATACTCGGGCTCAAAGGCATTCTTGCAACAATGGTCCAGCGCCCTAGCATCGGAACTATCCTCGTCAGGCATTGATGTTTTCTTCGTCCACTCCTATCTTGTCACTTCCTCAATGTCCAAAATCCGACGAGCCAATTGGCAAGTCCCATCAGAGAGAGCATTTGTGAAATCTGCTTTGGCAAAAATCGGGCAAAGAGGTGGAAGCATCGGATATTCATACAGTGGCAGTCCATACTGGAGCCACGCACTCGTCGCAGCGTTCATCACTGGTGTCCTAGGACCTATGAGCACCATTCTCTTGGGAATTAACAAGAAGATGCATGTGGACATTCGGAAGAGAGCTCTCAAAAAAGCTGAACGAGAGGGTCAGAAGGGAAAGAAAAACACATGATCACCTGACGAATTTCAGTTCTTAAAAAAAATGCAAGTTGCGAATGGGTTGGGTACGACATTAATCTTTCGATGTAACGCCTTAGTTTTTGACCGTCCACAGCTCGAGGTCGAAGAGCTGAAAAATAAAATACAGAATAATAGTTCTATACAAATAATGGGTCCAGCCTGACCGACATACTTCTTAGCGGCATGGAACTATCGTACACCTGGTCGATGATTGGCGGGCCTTTGGCGGAAACCGTCCTATTCATTCCACATACCCCCCTAACTTGTTATTCGCTGTTATCTCCTTGCGCCCAAAATGATTCCCTCCTCTCAGTTGAAGTCTCGGCTTGACATTATCGCATTAAGTGTAAAAGGACATTGTTTCCGCTTAGATTGGAGATGCCACTGCTCACATTCCTCACAAAGGCGGATGTCCCTGCCATCGACTCGATTGCATCATGACCAGAGTTGATCTCTCATTGAGACAGGCGATTCTGTTGAACGACGTCGCTTTGGTTCAACGACTCCTAAGAAGCAACCCCTCCTACCTTCACAATCCTGACTATGCCGACAAGAGCAATACTTCATTGCATCTCGCTGCACAGTATGGCCTCGAGCAGATTGCAGTAGGTAAGCCACGGCTGCAGGAGTGATGGTCCGGCGATACTAAAATACTCTCAGGAATTTTTGATCTCTAGGGGACATGATAGCACTCGGCCAGTCGAAGACTGGATCTATAGCAACCATGGAGACAATCTCGGCATTTCCGTCAACACGGAGGGCCAGACACCTCTCCATTTAGCTTCCGCCTTCTCCCAAGCCGCTGTCGTCGAACTGCTCTGCAAGCATTTCCCTCAAACTGTAACCCGACGAGATCACAAAGGACAGACACCTCTTCACCTAGCTTCATCGTCCCAAGTAATGCCTACATTGAATAAATATGTCAGCCACACCTTGAAACCAACAGCTCGCACACCGGAAGACACCAACACTATTGAAACTCTTCTGGCTCATGGGGCAGATGTAAATGCAAGAGATGATCAAGGGAATACGTGCCTACACAATGCAAGTGCTTGGGGCAATTTGAAAGCAGTCCGGGCTTTGATTCAGGCCGGAGCAGATCCATTGCGCAAGAACAAGGCTGGCTGGACGCCTGAGTGTTACAGCATTACGGTGCAAGCCGAGGTCTATTATCGCAATCTAGTCGCAGAGTGGGAGAAGAGAAAGACCGAAGAAGAGATGCGAGCAACTGAGAGACGAGCCAAAGGTGGTGGTGCTGTCAGACTGGTGCCTCAAGAAGCCGAGAGTGACGAGGCAAGCTCGGACCCGGGAAGAAGCCGGGCCAGCAGTGCCAGAAGTCAACTGACTAACGATAGCGATGCGGGCTTAGGTATCAGTATAAGTTACGTGGATACTTGGAAGTGATTATTCTCGAGATTGGGCCTCTACGATCAAAATATGTCTTGTTTCACAATACCGACCTTACCAGATGGCAGTTGGTTGACAACTTATGTAGAGCGATATAGAAATGGATAGGCTTGAAACTTTACCAATCCTCCTGTTCTTTTGAGGAGTCTTTACGGAGTAATGTTCGATTTGCCGGGGGTAAATTGTGGATCAGGTTGACGCTGGATGACGCCCTTGAGCAATGACCCGCCCTGCACTTTCTGTCCGAATCAGCCACCGTGCTCTGCACTGCATTTGCATGTGTCCTGCCAAACGTCGCTCCATACTTATTAGAACTCTATCTTCACCCAGCCTCCCTCTCCTCCCCTTCTGTATTTCCTATCTTCCTATCTTGCTCTATTCTTGACGTTCCCTGTAGGTCTAACGCTCATTTCCCCCGGTCTCAGTCCTATCCAGTTGCGCTCTCTTGAAATCCTCTCCAATATTGGTCCCTCGCCAAAACCTGTATCTCCGTCTTCCTGATTCGCCGTGACCTCTTGTCTCCTGCCCACGGCAGTCCGCCAGATCTTCTCACCTGATCTGGAACTGATGGCAAGCCCCGCCCATTGCTTCTATTGCTTTGAGACTCTATCCACCAGCTTCGATCACCGGGATACGCCTACACTACAAGGGGTCCTTGATTTGTACGAGAAATACGTATCCAACGCACACTCGATTGAAACACCTGCGGAAGATATAGGAGAGGGAGATGAGGAGGAGGAGGAGGAGGCAGAAATGCACACAACAGAATCCGAAGACGAGGATGAACATGGAGACGAAGAGGACGAAGAGCGCAGCCAGGAAGAGAGACATCGCATTGAACGCCGGGAGGCCAGCAAATCCAGGCCTCAACTTCCCAGTATCTCCCGACTGCAGGCGTCAACATCATCCTCGAGATCATCTTCAGCCTCCTCTCCGTCCATAGTCTCATCCAGTTCCTCCAATTCTCGATTAACCACTCCCTCGAGTGCCACCTCAGTCACATCATCTCGACCATCTTATGCCTCACAACTCTCTATCACTGAGTCTTATCCACTGTTTGTCACCTGGAATACCATCTCTCGATCGGGTCATAAATCTCTTCGTGGCTGCATAGGAACATTTGAAGCGCTCCCTCTTGCTTCAGGCCTCTCTACATATGCATTGACCTCCGCATTTGATGATACGCGGTTTTCGCCGATACCAGCCTCTCTATTGCCAGCCCTTTCGTGCTCTCTGACGTTACTTGCAGATTTTGAGCCGTGCAAGGATGCGATGGATTGGATACTAGGCCGTCACGGCTTGCGTATCAGCTTCACTTACAGGAATCGCAGACATGGAGCCACATATCTACCAGATGTTGCGCTTGAACAGGGCTGGACCAAGGAGGAGACAGTGGAGAGCTTGATGAAGAAAGCTGGGTGGGATGGAGGGTATGGCCATGGTGTGGCAAGACGGCTCTTGAGAGGATCGGCCAGAGGAAATGAGCAACAGACCCCGAAACCTTGGGATGATGTCCAGGATTTTCGAGCGGTCAGATACACAGGCTTGAAATCAAGTGCGACTTATACGGAGTGGCAGGAATGGCGCGCATGGATCGAGAAGAACGGTGAGGTGCTGAAGTGATACGTCGCATGGAATCATTGTCACACCGCACGGAATTTTCACTGTGCAAAGCCGGTTCAATCCACTATGCTATCTGACGACAGTCAGAAGCGTCTACTGCAGTTGTATTGGAGATCCAATGACCGTCAGGCACATACGTATTATACGTGGGTAGGAGAACTCGTGAGCTCGCCGAGAGCGATCTTCGCTATGAGCCAATACCTTCTGAGTGTCAATATCAAGCGTCTTCCCCTTAGAATCGGGCGGTACTACCAGAGAGTCCTTCAAGCAGACGTAAAACGAATCCGACGAGTCCAGGGGAGTCGAAACTAGGTCCTATCGATCCAAGGTGCCCATTCGTTGCCAGAGATATCTTGGAGATTGTTATGAAGTCCTTTGGATATCAACAAAGCAATACATGAAGGCTAGCAGTGTAGATTGGTACGAATCACTAATCGATGAGTTCAAGTCATCTCTCAAGGAGCATTGCCACGAGCGTGACGTATCCGTATCGATGCAGTAAGCTGTCAGCTTGAGAAGAAGCACGGCATTTTGGAAATAATAAAAGAGCTGGCCGTATGGACATAATCGGCGCAGGTAGAGATCGAAGGCAAAGGAACACGTCGGGACGAGACAGCGTCACTTGACGAGATGGGCGTATTCGGGTGCATACAGAGAGAGATCTAAGTTGTCGTATATCTCTTGGGGCTATCGAAATGAATCTGGATGCCATTGGCAGCTTAGCTTTTGCAAGCTGCATACTGCATACAGTAAACCGCGCTCCGCGGGCACAAATAAAAGTCAATTCATTTCCAGTTAATTGCGCAGTTTTCGGCTGCTCTCGTGTCCATTTGCACTGGGGAGCTTCATTCCGCTCAACGCTCGTTTACCAAACAATTTCTGTCAGGCCTCTCTGTTCTTCTGCTTCATGGCTGTTTAATTGGAACCTATTTTCTATGCAGATGCCGACCATGCGCGCGCACATCTCACGGAACTCTGCTCTGGTGCAACAATCTGTCTCAACATCTTCAAGCCCAGCTATCTGCCCATGGTGTTTGACCAGATCACAGTATCCTCGAGGCCGTCCGACAAAACGACATTTTTCCACTTCTCAGTTACGTTCGTCAGCATGGGCGACCGCCGTCTCCAAGATCCAGAATACCGTGGCAGAAATATTACCCTCCCGAACAGCTACGGGGAACATCACCATCGACCCTCTCAAGATCGTGGCCAAAGAGTTGAGGTTTCTCAATAAGAACATAAGACAGCTTCTGGGCTCCGGACATCCTATATTGGACACTGTTGCAAAATATTACACACAGAGTGAGGGGAAACATGTTAGACCTTTGCTGGTTCTTCTCATGTCGAGAGCAACAGCTTTCGCCGCAAAGCAGCCTCGCTACGACGCACAAAGCTTGTCGAGAGCGAGCATTGACACCCCCATATCTTCACCTTCCATTCTCTACGACAACAACCCGGACCGGACCCCTTCTCCGCTGACGGACTCATCCAACGAAGTTCGGTATGCGTTCCCCGACGACACCACAATCCTTCCTTCGCAGAGACGACTCGCCGAAATCACCGAGCTGATCCATACTGCGTCTCTTCTTCACGACGATGTGATTGACCATTCCACTACCCGCCGTTCTGCTCCTTCAGCAAACACTACGTTTGGTAACAAAATGGCCGTATTGGCGGGGGATTTTATGCTTGGACGAGCTTCGGTCGCCCTTGCACGGCTACGGGACCCCGAGGTGATTGAGCTTCTAGCCACCGTCATCGCAAATCTGGTGGAGGGGGAGTTCATGCAATTGAAGAACACGGCGTCAGATGAGAAAACCCCAACGTGGAATGAGCAAGCCATATCGTACTATCTTCAAAAGACATATCTGAAATCGGCGAGCTTAATTAGCAAAAGTTGTCGTGCGGCAGCTCTTCTGGGCCAATGTGCTCCAAGTGTGGTCGAGGCCGCATATGCATATGGTAAAAATCTGGGTTTGGCGTTTCAACTTGTCGATGATATGCTGGACTATACGATCAGCGGGACGGAACTAGGGAAGCCAGCCGGAGCGGATTTGGAGCTGGGACTGGCCACAGCACCGTTGTTGTTTGCTTGGAGAAGCCGACCGGAATTGGGACTTCTTGTGGGCAGAAAATTCTCGGAAGAAGGGGACGTTCAAAAGGTGAGATCTTGATTAAGCTGGACGAAACATACATGCATGGCTGACCGTCGCATAGGCACGAGATATTGTCTCTCAAAGTGACGGTCTGGAACAGACTCGAGCTTTGGCACAGGAATATGCGGATAAAGCCATCTCTTCTATCAACCTGTTTCCGGCCGGTGAAGCAAAGGATGGCTTGGAGGAAATGTGTGTAAAAGTCATGAAGCGCCGAAAATGAATGATCCAACTCCATTTGAGGCGCATCTAGTTCAAGTTTACTGTACGTTAACCAAACATGACATTTCCATGTCAGATTTGCTCGAATGGAAAAAGTGAGACATCTGAGGTGTATATGGCAACATAGACTGTACAGAATAGTAAATGTTAGTAGTACTCCAGCTTCTCAATGGGAGGATTTGCCCAAAGCAGTACGCCCGCACTGTTCTGACTTCTGCCAAGGATTATCTTTATCCCGAATTTCAACCACGACAGAGTGTCACACATCGTAGGCCGATTCTACAGTATGAACAGTTGTTCTGTCTAGCTGCCTCTCTACCGAGCCACCTTCTCAAGCCAAAGGACCGACATTAACAAAATGGCGTCTGGGCCCCACACTTTCGTGACCTGCGTGGTAAGTCCAGTCGTGGCATGCTTTGCATTCGCTAGCCTAGAGAGACACCATATTCGTGGTTTGGAGTGACCGTATTCTGGCGGCGAGCGCCTCGGGGAGTTCGTCGGTGTGGATACGACGGCACCGAGTCTAGAGTCCGTGAATATCTTGTCCAGCGTCTAGCAATCAATCGTCCATTCATTCTCGGTCTACCTTAACGTCTGCTATCTTCTTTGCCCTTCAGTCTCAGCAAAATCTAGAGACCATGACATTGATGATGATAGGTTTTCTCAGCCGAGAAGTTCAAAGGCAATCCGTTGGCGATTGTCTCCATTAGAGGAAATGCTCTCTCACAGCAGCGCAAGGCGTTGATCGCCAAAGAATTTCGATACTCGGAGACAGTCTTCTTGCATGATGCTCCGGGCCCTGGGCAACCCCGTTTGCTGGAGATTTTCACCGAGACGGGAGAAGAACTTCCCTTCGCTGGTCATCCGGTACGCGCTTCTGCCGAATCTTGCCGAATCTATAATGCTAACATGTCTAGGTTATTGGAGCAGCACATTATGTGAGATACCCACTCGGATCCATGGGACAAGATACCTCTCTAACCAATGTCAGATATTTACGTACCTTGAAAAGGTGCATTACGGTGGACCGCCCGACCGTGATATTCAGCAGCAGACGGCCGTTTTTTTGACTAAGGCGGGCCGCATACCTGTCTTTTTCAATCCATATCGCCAAGTTGCGGCGTGCGCGGTGCCTCACAAGTTCCATGTCCATTCTCGTCGAGTTCCCGTTGAGGGGATCATTTCAACCCAGCCGCATGTTCAGATCGTCCCAACCATCGACAAAGAAAAGGACAAAACGTTTCCTCTGGTGTCCATTGTCCATGGGATGAGTTTTGTCCTCATTGACTTGACGGATAACCCCGAAGTCTTTGCCGCCCTTCAAGCCGGCAAATCCCCTGAGGTGGAGCTGGACCAGGACTGGTCACCCAGTTTTGTCGGCGGCATGTACTACAAGCTTTTGGCCAAGGCAGAACAGGCTGGGGAACCCACCATTCACAACGTCCAAGCTCGAATGATCTCACATGGAATTGAAGATCCCGGGACAGGGAGTGCTTGTTGTGCCCTGGCATGCTATTTGGCATTGAACCTGCCTTCGGAACCCAAGAAGCCGGAGGCATCAGACCCGGATGACGAATTGGCGAAGAAGACCGAGGAGCTGAAACTGGAGGAAAAAAAGGAAAGGAAGGTATTTGGCATCCAGCAGGGAATTGAGATGGGTCGAGAGTGTGTCATTGCCGTTGAGGTGGACGTCAAGACTGATGCGGGAGGGAAGACGAGTATTACAAACGTGATCCTCTCGGGAAGGGCCAATTTGCAAACCAAGGGGGAGCTTGTTGGACAATGATCTTGAGGACAGGAGTTGGAACCCTAGAAAGAAAACAGGACATGGAGCTTACGCGCGCGGAGTTGAACTCTTCATTTTGGGCAGGGAGAAAGAAATACGGATAGTCGGCATGCCGAAGGAGGGATCATTTACGGAAATGTCAGAGCCGGATGGAGGAATGGTTGATCGCCCACGTTGCGACATTTATTATTACAGATTCGGTCGCGAGGGCATTGTGCAACGTGCGACGAGTAGTACGAGGAATAAGCGAAGGGTACACTGACCCAAAGGGGCGCCGCTTCAACGGCAGCGGGACCAATATACGGAGGAGTCCGAACCTTTTCTTGCTTCATGTTGAGTCCGGAGACTTCATCAATCGGTAATCGAGACAAGAAAGCTTAACCAAAAGCTTGACCGAAACCAAGCCAGATGCCCTAGCCATGGTTCCAGACGTGTCATCCAAGGAGAAAGGGAATCCCAGTGCGAAGCATGGACGGGGCGTGTCGGGTATATTTTAGGAGTCAGTCGAGGAGATGGTGAAGCGCGGGGGTTGGGAGAATCTGAATGGGGAAAATGAGCAGGGGAGGACTGGGAGGTGCCGGGGATCCGATTACAGATCAATTATTGCAGGAGGCTGCTCTTGAATTCGTCAAGCGGATTAGAAAGTGTTTGAGGAGAAGGCGGGAGGAGGCAGATGGGTGGGACATTGGAGGATGCTGGAGGATGATATGACATTTGATAGGAGGCGGACAGGAGTGGTAGAGAGAGAGACCTTAAAATGCGCTAGTTGGGGCTAGAAACGACTTAACCACCAGTCCAGTCCCTTCAAGGTTAAGCGTATGGCTTTACCAAGACGTTTAGGCCAATTGGTTGCTCACCTCCTACAGCCGCCCGTTTCAGACCCTCGTGTCTCTCACTTATCTTCCGACGCGTCTCGAAACCATCTCAGCTTCACCTTCGTCTCTGGCCTTTCCATCCTGTCTCGATTCTGGGTGAGCTAATTATCGATTCCAAAACATTGGCAATGCTTGTCTGCCCTCATTGCTGGTCTTGCGGCGCCATGTTGTGACCAACCTGTAACCTTCGGGCCTGGTTCTACTGCTTCCACGACCTGGTGCACCTGGAGGCCTTTTGTGTCATCCTCCTCTGCTGGAAACATTTCCAGCCTCAAGGAAATCACCATGGACCACCCACCGGTCCCCGACACTGTCCCGACACTGCCAAGTTCTTCCCATAAGAGGTCCTTTCCCTCCAGCATGCTTCTCAGTTCTATTTCGTCGTGGCAGTGCCTCAACATTCCTTTCCCTCGTGTGTACTCGACACCGCTTTCGATTTTTCATTTCACTCCTTTTATTCTGGTTGGACCGCGTTGACCGCGAAGTCTCTCGTTCGCTGCTTACCAAGAAGAATCATTTTTGATCCTGCACTCCGAATCCAATTTGCCTTTTTACAGCTCGAGAATCATTTGAACAATTCGAGATGAAGGCCTCTCAGATGTTGATCGTGGCGGTGGCTGCCTTGGGGTTTGCTTCAGAAGCCTTTGCTCAACGAAACTTTGGAAACAACGACGACGACGACGACAACCAAGGTGGCGGCACAGATGTTGCTACTGGAAACGGTGGCAATACCACCGATACTACCGGCGGTGACACTGGTGATGACGACGGCGACAACCCTCTTCTGTTGCTCGAAGAAAATGTCCAGGACGCCAGCAACTCACCCGGTGGCGCTGATGGGGAAGCTGGTCAAGCCGCTTCGGAAACGTATGTGCTCCCGGATAGATGGGTTCCCCTGATATTCTAACGAATAGATAGTGACCCTGCCAACTTCATCAACTTCTGTACTGGCAAGACCTTAACCAACGGTGCTCAGGTGACCCAAGGATCTTGCAACGGCGTGGTTATGGGCGATATTCCTTCCAACAACAACATGGTTTCGGCCATTATTGTCTTCCCAGGACCCGGAGATGATATTGACGCCGACACTACCTTCGACATTCAAGTTCAGACCACCAACTTGGTGGCTGGTTCCTTTACCGATCCCATCACCACATACTACTCTGCCCCTCAGCAGTTACAAGGTGGTAACGTTGTTGGCCATTGCCACGTTACAGTCCAGGATCTCAACAACGATATCGCCACTACCGATCCTCCTGATCCAAAGGTCTTTGCCTTTTTCAAGGGCATCAATGATGATGGAAATGGTCAAGGTCTCCTCACAGCTACTGTTACCGATGGTCTTGCTGCCGGTACTTACCGTGTCTGCACAATGAACAGCGCGTCTAACCACCAGCCTGTTCTTATGCCTGTAAGTCCCATGGTCCTAACAAGCAATTTGAGACGGAAAACTGACTTTGGATAGGTTGCCCAACGAGGTGCCCAGGATGATTGCCAGAAATTCACTGTCGGCCAAGGCACCGGTAACGCCGGTGGCGACGATGGCACTGGAGATGCTACCGACACCGGAGATGATGCTACTGCTTCAACGTCGGCTACCGGAGCTACTGCTACGGATGCCACTGGTGGCACTGGAGACACAGACGACGACGATGATGATAACACTGGTGCGGGCGGTGGAGGTTTTCGAGGAAATCGTGGACGATTCGGTCGAGGAAGAGGAAGAGGAAGATTTGCTGCACGAGACTGGATTGCATAAAGGACGGATCGGTTTCATGACCAAAAAAGAACGGCCTCAAATCCCTGATCTGATGACAGGGTCATAGGAGAGGCCGAGAGTGCAGCATCAATTTTCATTCTTTCACGATAGAGTGTATAACCAGATTTACTTTCTTTTGCTTACATCTCACATGAGGGCAGGGGTCATGATATTGTCTGGGAATTCCGCACCTTCCCGTTTCTTTGCGGAGGTGTGCGGGATTGAGATGAGATCCAACAAAAATCTATATATACAACATGTATAGGCGTGGAGGAGTGGTAGGTAGTTGAATGGGAGATTCATTGAAAACCAAGGAAGCGACAAAGGGAACAGACCAAAGGGAGGGAGTTTAGCACATATTCCGTGACCTTTTCTCAGCACTACGGGTAGGAGAGATGAGGTTGAATCTGGCCAATCATTCACCGGCCAATGGCCTCGATGGAGGTCGTGGTCCTTGAAACAGTCTGATACACGGACTATGTGTCAGAACCACATCTCGATACCGTCGCTGTTGCCGCTACTTCTAGCCATCGATTTTCCCCAGTTGCCCTGTCCAATTTGCCCGACGGGGTCCGGATACAGATGCATCCGAATCCATAGCTGTGTGAGCAGCCCTAGCTGATGTCGGCATGTCTCTAATAGCACGAGAACGGGTGTGACCTTTTCGGCCATCTTGACGTTCTTCATCAGCAGAGGAAACGAAACGACCTCAACGGTTGTCCCCATTATTCCTTGAGGGAATTCAAAATTCTCCCGTCGATCGACAGCACAATTGCCCCGTTCTTCCACGTCGGTACGTCCTCGTATTCGCAAACTTTTCCTTTCCTTCGCGTTAGAGCACAACGAGACCCAATGAATTCACAATCAGAATCGATATTAATCAACCCCCCCCCAAAAAAAAGAGTTGTTGATTTATCAGCTTGTCGTCGCGTGGCTCGTGTATCGGCCTCAATATCCTCAGGCACCTCCAGGCAGAACAACTAGGATCATGGCAGTGACAAGACGCCAAATCACCTGATGGCGCGTGATTGCCTGGCCCTCCACACCCGCATTGGTTGCAGAGCGTGATGATGGTGGGCTGGGTTTTGCCTTTTGTTCTCCAAGTCTTCATTATTCAATCCGATCTTCAGGACATATGTATCAATGCGGAAGGAGGCATGCATTTACTTCGTATTCAGAACCTCAATCCCGTCGGGCACGGGACAACTCTGAGCGTTCTGAGATTCGCTGAAAAATATATAGGGGACGGAGAGGCAGGTATGAGATGAAGAGGAGGGTTTTCTTTCTCTTCATCAAGCAAACAAACAACACTTCAAGGCCAGAGCACTCCAAGCAAACAAAATTCCAAATCTCCTGCAAGGTGACCTTCCAATCGCAAATCATCGTTTCCCCCCAAAGTTGAATGTAAATCATATTGTCGTCAACAGACCAAAAATGGCCGCTCCAAAGATACCTCTCCCCTCCTCGCTTCACTTTCTCAACTCACATCCCATTCTAGATCGTCACCCAAGCCGAATACCTTCCCCATCGCCTCTCCCTCCTTGAGAAGGAGAAGGAAGTCACTCGCGCCCGCGACGCCGTCAGCAAAGAACGCCGCAAATTGCCACTTGTCGAAGTGACCACGCCCTATACTTTCACTGCCCTCGACGAGGCGACAGGAAAACCCAAACCAGTCACGCTCCTCGACCTCTTCGCCGGCCGGCCGCAACTCATTATCTACCATTTCATGTTCGATCCTGAATGGGATGCGGGATGTCCAAGCTGCTCTTTGCTAGGCGACACCGTTCCGCCCTTGCAGCATCTGAACTCTCACTCCACCACCTTTGTCGCCGTCAGTCGCGCACCCATCGAGAAAATCACCGCTTACAAGAAGCGCATGGGTTGGTCGTTCCCCTGGGTCTCGTCCAGCGGGACTTCCTTCAACTACGATTTCCACGTCACCGGGGATGACAGCATTGCCCCAGTGCAATACAACTTCAAGAACAAAGCCGAGCTCGAGAGCCGAGGCCAGTCTTACTTCGCCCGCGGCGAACAGCCAGGTCACTCGGTCTTTATTGTCGGTGGACGTCTTGGTGTTGGTGAGGAAGGCAAAGTGTATCATTCGTACTCGACATATTCCAGAGGAGGCGAGCAGATCATCAATACCCTGAGTTGGTTGGATATGACCCCTTTGGGCCGCCAAGATGGGGTCAACGGTGTCGGTGGACTTGGGTACAAGAGACACGATGAGTACACTGAGGAAGATCTCAAGGGTTTGGATGTCAAGATCCAAGCTTGAGGGGTGAGTTGGTGAGGTTTGAACTTGGTGGAAGGCTGTTTGGGGAGGGAGAGAAGGGATCATGGCGAGGTGTGATGGGACGTGATGGTGGTTGGGGTGTTCGGCAGACTAGGTGAAAGCAACGGTGACTCGTAGAGGAAACGAGCGCGCAGCAAAAATTCGATCACTTCAAGCCAATCCTTCTGTCCATACTCTTTTGTTCCATCTTGTCTTCCAGGTAGGCTCCGAGTCTTTCGAATATCTAAACGTATCCTCGACACCAACCTTGGCAATAGCAGAGTGGCCTCACTGCGGTCTTCATCCAGGACGGAACAGAAGGATATGTGTGTGATGCAAGTCTCAGACGGAGACATGGAGAATGCGAAACTCCTTAAACTCTTCCCGTCGCTCGATCATCATGCCGGATATACTTCAGATCGTGTTCTGGTTCCGAAGTATCCATGAGAATTCGGAGGTTCGGTCTCTTGGTCAGTGTGAGTCTTGATATGTTCAACTAGCTCTGGAACGTGAGGCATGGAATTGTTCCGTCCAATTGCCACCAGCCACCCATACGTCTCCGGACAACGTCAAGCAGAAGAGAATGGGATTTATACTGGTGAATGGCGTGCTGAACTTGCCTTGTTCATTGAATGTTCTTCCCATTCGTTGAATGTAACCACTGGGATAGGGTCAAGGCTTCCAAATGATGCTTCGTTTGGTATATGCCACACGCTCGGCCAAGTCCTTGACTTCTAAGGTTGTCGCTGAGAAGTGAGGAATAGCAAAGATGGATATGCATGGCTCGATCATTGTATCGGTCGTTGGACCGTTGAAGTTGAGTCGCCATTATATCCGTGTAGACCTTGATTGCTTGAGCAGCTTCATAAACAAGTCCGGCGCAAATACGATCAACGTGCTTGTAAGAAGAAAACTTCTGGTGGTTGATGAAAGACCCGCTCTCAGACCTGCACACTCGTTGAACCAATCCACATGCACAGAACATTGACCGATTCTCAATCCACACCATTCGGCGAAATAGAGCAGCTCAACATCGGACTCTATAGGCGTAACAAAAGGATCTTGCTGAAATACAACATCAAGGTCGAAAGCAAGGACTCTATCATATTGACTTGACAGAGAATCCATGAGGTCGGCCCAGACTGAGAGACGACGTAGGGGGACAGGGACATTTTCAATCTCCAACCTTGAATTAGGTGGAAGACCTTCCAGGAGAATCTTGGGAACAATAATCTTGACAAACACAGGAGCAGCTAGGTATGACGTAGCTCCCTAATGTGCAGGTGACTCTTCACTGAGGGCAATTTCTAAAGATTGCTTCAAGATGAAAATCTGGTCTTGCCATTGGGGCTGCCGAGAGCACTGAGGATGAGGTTCGGTTTGATGTCTAGATAAGTCGAAAATTTGGGGTTTCCGTGAGATTTGGCTGTGATAGAATCAGTCGGCATGACAACCGCATCCGGAAAAGAAGTTGACGGATAGTGGCTCGAAGGCGAAGAGGACGGACGACCTTTCGCAGCATGTGCGATGTTTTGCTATAAATCTGCTGACTCTGAGTTTCCCTGGATGACAGGTCCCAAACATGAGGATCTCATTGGTATTGTCTTTGCTTTGACTCGTCCATCTCCGTCATGGCCATCACAAGAGGCACAGACCACTTTTGACATTGAGTTTCCTCAGCCTTAATCGGACCAGATGCTGGACAGAAATCCTCGCTTGACCACGCGAAGATGCAACTTCGCTAAGCAACTCTGTTTCCACCTCCTTTGTTCCCGAGTAGACGGCACAATTCTTCCAGCTGTGACATTTCTTAGACGCAAGATGGGGAGCACGGACGTGAGGGTTGCCACGTGGGAGACGAAGGTCAGGTTGACAAAACCTGGAATGTCTCAAAACGTTTGCATGAATCATAGCTAGCCGTGCTGACTTGATGGATGGAGGAAGAGCACTGGGTATATTGTTGCATTTCGATCCCACGTGGATGGCAGAAGGATGACTCGGCGTCTGGAATTTTCAGGAATGCGATGAGGTCTCTGAAGCCGAGGAGCGATTTTCGAGGAGGAGCTGACAATGGCAGAAGAACGGTGAGGGCGGGAGTTTGTAACCGAACTGCGGGCGGAATGCAGGGCATTTGAGGAGGCCGTGCTCGATGTTAGGAGTCGTGATGAAAGATCAACCTTGAAGTCTTCGCTTCCTCTGTCTGCTGTTGAAGGATCGAATCTCATTCCTCTTCCCATCCCACTTCTCACACTCTCGTTCTTGCCCTTCCCCTTCATCCCTTCATATCATTCACCTTTATCATCCTCCACCCGCCGTCCTTCCAGTTATCAACGGTCCTCCAATCCAACAAGACGCCGCTCAGATTGGTACCATTGCCTACTGAGAGAGAGTCAGAGAAAGTCTCTCAATCTCCTCTGAGGAATTCTTCACGCCAGACGATTGAGATCCGGCTCGGACAGATATCTTCATCAAATTCTCATTGCCACTGTGGCTGTCTTTGTTCGCTATCACACCCTGCATCGAAAAATAGCGATCGGGCAGATCGAGTCCTCCGCCTATGGGCTGAGCATGCTCGTCCCAAAAGACCACCACAAGTGCAGCCTCTTGCCAATTAAACCAGCAGGGGAACTGTGTTCCACTCAAAATTTTACAGTCTTTTTCAGGAGAGAAGAACACCGAAAGATCTATGACCTCTTTCTCATCGGTGCCGAGCTGGATTGGGGTCGAAATCCGCTTGAACGAGCTTCATCGCCACGTCGACTATTTTGTCATTGTGGAATCATCTCGGACTTTCACAAATCATCCCAAGGCTCTTCATTTCAAAGACCACTTCCATCGCTTTGAGAAGTTTGCGCCTCAAATCATCTACCGCACCGTCAATTTTGATGGAATGGAGGATAGTTCAACCGAGGAACGTGAGGCTTACCAGTTTTTACTTATTAGATAATGGCTAGACTGATGTCAGATGTGCGGATGTCGTGAGTCTTATCTGCCAAATATAGACTTCCGAGTTGCAAGAAGGAAGGTCATAGCACGTATCTGACGCTGCATCAATTGGTTACACTGTTCCTGACTGGAGCCTTTGTAGGGCCGAAACTGAGATCTGATAGCTGCAGTCTCTTTGGGACGCCTAAGAGAATGATGCAGAACAATTCAAAGATGCTCGCTAATCATCCAATCAACTCTCTGTTCCTGTGTGCCGGTATCTTCTGAAGTCTTGCTCGCCAATCTACCAACCAATATTAGGCCCCCAGACGTCGTCGGCCAAAGAGTCGATGAATTCACGAACGAGGACTGTCGATCGCAGACAAGATAAACAGACGCTAGATGAGCGGTGAGAATTACCACAGTAGGTGAGCGCAAAGATGGGTACGAGTCGTTCAGAGGAAGCTTGGTCCGCATCGTTTGCATCGTCATCAAGTCGTTGAAACAGGGTCACCCGAATGTTCTGCTGCCTCGCGTAAGTGAGTTGTCAGAGAGCGGATTTTATGTTCTTCCGGAAGGAGAGTGATTTGGCCAGCATCAGCCACAGGGAATTGGCGGTGACCAACCGATGCGCTTCTCAGTTAGGCGTGTTATTGAGAGTTGAATGATGATCATTTGGAGCCAACCCGCAATCGAAACTCTCGAGGCCCCAGCAGAACTGCAGTAAGAAGTACGGCTGCGGGGGATCGAAAGTCGGAACAGCTGTGTTTGAGAGATCAACATCAACAGGTGCATTAGATGGAGATAATGCTCTCTTTCCGCGGCTGGCTCCAAATGAGACCAGTTTCGACCGTGGAGACGTTGTCATCAGGTCGGAAGCAACCTTGAATACTATCGACCAGAAATCGTATACGCAAAAAGCGAAGATTTTGCTTCACTCCAGTGGGAGAAGTCGAGAAGTTCGTGAAGCAGCAGGTGGTTCCGCTGGCTGATGCGATGAACACCCCATGCTACAGTGCCGGTGTGCTAGTCATTGTGCCGCACTGCTGGTTGTGCTCGCTGTCACTCACTCCATTCGCGTTGCTAGATGTAGCACCTGTATCGCCGTTTCTCGTGTCAAAACAATGTTGGCGAATGAAGCTGTAACGTCTCAAGAGAGCGTCTTGTCTAAAAAGGTTCGCCGAGAGACAGGGATTAATTTACCCCCCGGCTGGCCGCGTTTTCTGGCATTCTGTCGGCGCGACTCGCCTGGATCATCCGCCGGAGCCACCCAAGGTGAACAACTGCCTTGCTTGGGCGTGCTCGGGGCGGGAAGCCTGAACTATTGGGACTGAATGGGAGGAGCCCATGGACGTGGACCGGCGTCAGTGTAGGGTACCGCAGAGTATACAATATGAGATCTGGGGTTGTCTTATTGGCGACGCTTGCACCAGACAAAGAACTCGTCCACGCCCTTCCTCCGAGTAGGAATCACGACGGGTTTGAGCAACTCGGTTGGCGATATGGCTTCCATTCTTGACGAATTGTCCTTTGTCCCATCACTCGGACGTTGAAGCAGGGTATAGAAGTTAGCTTTCCATGCATAACACCGAGCTGCAGGCACATGTGAAAAGTGACGATGTCGGGTCTATGAAGGCCTATAGTTCCCTTCGGTGTGCTCAATTGCTGACGCGTGCCCCCGCGAATATAGGCCATGTAGTCAAGGAGAGGGAATGCCCTGAATATCCCTCCTGTACCTCAAGGTTGTAAGTGCATTTACCATCCCACCCAAGCCTTTTAGCGGCTAATCAAGACGAGGCCGGATCGGAGTCGGTTGCGAAGCTCAAGGCTGCGGCGAAAAAGTACGATCCGAAGGGGGTGATGTAGTTGTAGATCGACGAGTTCTTGTTGAGAAACGTGTAATGGGGAGTGGTAAAGCTTTCTGGTGAGGCCCAAGTAATGTGCTGGTGCTGTTAGGCTATACAAGATACGTACGATATTCAATGCAATTGGTGCTCCGTACATATACTAGGATATTGAATGCAATAAAGTATCCATTCTCAAGACCATGCTTAGGAACGGCAGGGCTAACTGGGTGGGGACAAGCACGTTGCGAGTGGGACATTCTTTGGGTTCGTCAGGGCATGGAGGGCTCCATCTCTGGCTCCTGTGGAGTCGCTCTCTCCCGAGGCTCGAGAGGCGCTTGCAGCATTCGAAGCTACACAAATCTTGAACGGCCATCCTCTTGGGACCTTGGTCATGGTGCTCAAGCATGATTGGCCATTTGGACGGGTGAAGCTTGACTTGATGTGACCAGAGGCGAACCTGCTCTACTTCTGAGTCTTGTAGAATCTCTACTGGGAGGAAACCGGTTTTGCAATCCTCTGTATATGAAGTTCACATGTCGAGGGAGTACATGTACAAGGCCACGTAGAGAGGTATTGATAGATCAGTATTTCTACTAGTTGATGATAAAGTATTTCATACGAAATACGACATATTGGCCGCAGCCGATTTTCCAGTGCTAGCGCCCAACAACCCCATCAAAACCAGCATTACCGGGGTTGGGAGAGTTTGGTTGGGACAAACGTGATCTGGGGCTATGCTATACATTCTTCTACTCTTCCACCGAGGTACATAGTTACGGTCACCGGAATTCCAGATATGATACCCAAGCCGCAGTAAACTTCTCCCCTACCGTCAAGAGACGCCATTCCGCTGCACAACAGGCCACCCAAGGGGTGTGGAATGATAGGGTAATTTGTGTACGATACCGTGCTTAGTCGATTAGAGTCTCAGGGTCTCGCTTCTAGTTGGCTTCTAGCGCAAGGCACGGTGCCAAATTAGCCTATCAGAGGACTCAAAATGGGCTGGGCGTGGTTAAAGGGGCCCTAGTCACTTTGCTCTGCGTGACGTGTGCTTCCCCAACAAAAATCGTTTTTCGTTGCGAATGCCAGACAAACTATCAGGGCAACGACGGTGACAGCTCTTCTTCTACTGGTGGCTCACGCGGCCCTTGGTCGGGCTACAACGTACAAGATATTCCATTCATCAGGAAACGGTCACTCTCGCTGCTGATCCCACTGCTGCCGTCCGCTATTCAGCATCGCTTTCCCCACACCGCGAACCCAACAAACATATCTCAAACCACCACAACCACCACTAAGTTCCGCCCCTTCATATATTTCGCTCCTAACTTTCGTTCCCGCTCCCTCTTCATCTTCTCTCACCTTCCTAAGTCTCCTCCCCTTCAGTGTCGGTTGATCTCCGCCGTTTCAACATGCCCTCTTCTCAAACCACCGCGGGCCATCTGGCCGTCAAGTCAGAATACCCCAGCTCACAGCCTTCGGCCATTGCGAAACCCGCCGAGCCCAACAGAAATCCCAAATATGATCCCAAGAGGGTTCATATCACCGAGACGCCCATGACCCGTTCCAACTGGTACAAGCATGTCAACTGGCTCAACGTTACCCTCATCGTCCTCATCCCCTTTTATGGCTGCATTCAAGCTATCTGGGTCCCACTCCAATTCAAGACCGCTGTGTGGGCAATAGCATACTACTTTGCCACCGGTTTGGGAATCACTGCGGGTTATCACAGGCTATGGGCGCATACATCGTACTCGGCCACCCTTCCTCTTCGAATTTTCCTCGCTGCCGTGGGCGGTGGTGCCGTTGAAGGCTCCATCAGATGGTGGGCGCGCGATCACCGAGCACACCACCGATACACCGACACCGACAAGGACCCATACTCTGTTCGAAAGGGACTTCTGTACTCTCATATCGGGTGGATGGTCATGAGACAAAACCCAAAGCGGATTGGACGTACCGACATTTCGGATCTCAACGAAGACCCCGTGGTCATCTGGCAACACAAGAACTACCTCAAGGTCGTTCTCTTCATGGGCCTTATCTTGCCCACCATTGTTGCTGGCCTGGGCTGGGGAGATTGGTTCGGTGGGCTCATCTATGCTGGCATTCTCCGAATCTTCTTCGTTCAGCAAGCCACCTTCTGTGTCAATTCTTTGGCCCACTGGCTTGGAGATCAGCCATTTGATGACCGCAACTCTCCTCGTGATCATGTCATTACGGCCCTGGTCACTCTTGGAGAGGGCTACCACAACTTCCACCACGAATTCCCATCCGATTACCGCAATGCCATCGAATGGCACCAGTATGATCCCACCAAATGGTCCATCTGGATCTGGAAGCAACTCGGTCTCGCCTATGACCTCAAGCAATTCCGCAGCAACGAAATTGAGAAAGGTCGTCTCCAGCAGTTGCAAAAGAAGCTTGATCAAAAGCGTGCCAAACTCGACTGGGGTATTCCGCTTGATCAACTTCCCGTCATGGAATGGGATGATTACGTCGAGCAAGCCAAGAACGGTCGCGGCCTTGTTGCTATTGCCGGCATCGTTCACGACGTGACCGAGTTCATCAAGGACCATCCAGGTGGTAAGGCAATGATCAGCTCCGGCATTGGCAAGGACGCCACGGCGATGTTCAATGGTGGTGTGTACATGCACAGCAATGCTGCCCACAACTTGCTGTCAACGATGAGGGTTGGCGTCATTCGTGGGGGTTGCGAAGTCGAGATCTGGAAGAGATCTCAAATGGAGGCCAAGGGCGAGGTTACTCGGGACAGCTCTGGAGAGCGAATTGTTCGTGCTGGGTATCAACCCACCAAGGTGCTTCAAAACACCCCGACAGCGGGTGCTGCATGACTTGGACGATGAGCACGTCGGCATGAGTCTGGTTTGATGACAAGTACCTAGCCGTTAGTGAGAATGTATCCTATCTGGCGTTTTAGAAAGGCGGCACGGGGAATGCGGATGGAGTATGATTTTATGGATAGCTTTTTGTTTCCGAGCGACAGCCATTGATGGACGCAATTGAGCCTCAGAAGGCATTTGCTGCAAAGCATCGAAATCAAAATGCCCGGATCACGTGAAATGTACTGTATCAATGACGCAAAAACTCCAATCGCCCGTCACACCGATTTCTCCTTTATTTTACAAATCAGCGGGTAAGGAGACGTACTCCGCACTCGACGAGGAGAGGCACCGAGAGCTTTGTCCCGAGGCCCGCTGTCCGCGGCACCGGAGGGTACTTACTTCATCTAAAGGTATCCAAAGGCATCCATTGCCTTCTGAAGCTGACTGACTTGCCACAAAACCTCCGGCGTGAAGGTCTTGCGCAACGGTCTTTTGGTTTTTTGCAGTCATGTCCTCTGGCTTGACGTTTATGTTTGTTGCGCGCATCACTCTGCACCCCACTTCAAGTTCTTGTCGCTCCTTTGCCGTGACCTGAATTGGGGACTCCTTTTGAAACCTCTGGTCCACTCCCTCTGACAGCCACTCCGCCATTCACCACGATGTCGTTCCGCGAGCAGGGAAATGAACATTTCAAGGCCGGACAGTTCAAAGAGGCAGAAAGTCTTTATACACAGGCGTATGTCGATTGTTTCGATCAGGGTTTGACATGACTAATCTCTTTGAAGAATTGCTGAGCACTCACGATCCGATCCTAAAGTCTTTGCTAATCGATCTCTCACGCGACTGAAACTGCAAGACTGGCCTGGCGCAGAGTCCGACGCTAGAAAAGCCATTGAACTCTATGGACCCAAGAACAAAGCCTTATCGATGAAATCGCACTTCTATCTCGCGCAAGCCCTTCTGCCACAACGACATGTTGGTGAAGCTCTGGAGGAAGCCAAGTGCGCATACTCCATATGCCTGGACACCAAAGACTCAAGCGCAGAAGTGATCAGTCAATTCATTCTCAAGGCGAAACAGGCGCAATGGCAAAGCAAAGAGACGGCCCGATTGAGAGAGATGAATGAGACCCTTGCTCTGGTCGAGGACCTGTTGAATCAACAGTTGGATCGCGATTTGAAGGATGTTAACGAAAGATTTGCAAGACACGAAATCGGTGAGACCGGCAGAAGCGAGGAGATAATGGAACTGGAGAGAGAAACAGAGACCAGGCGCAGCATCATTCGCAAGGCGTTCCAAGATCCTGCTGTTCCCGACTCTGCCGAAAGGGTATGCACACCCGCTTGGACGCACACAATGACAAACTAACATTGCACAGGTCGTACCCGACTGGCTGATTGATCCCATCACATTTGAAGTCATGCATGATCCCGTCATTACTCCCACCGGGGTCTCTTTCGAGCGGGTCAGTCTTCTGAAGCACATTAAAGCAAATGGCTGCGATCCTTTAACCAGGCAGCCCTTGCATGCGGAAGAATTGATCCCCAATGTGGCACTGAAAAATGCCTCATCAGAGTTTCTGGATAAAAATGGTTGGGCAGCTGACTGGTGAGGATTAGATTTTGGGGCATGGGTACGGTCCCTCTTAGAACCTGATGCTCTTCTTCTCCTGCATGAAGCGAGGATAATTCAGCCTTGCAAGCGCTGGCGTTCAGGATGCGTGTTTCAGGCACCGGTCGTTTCCAACAACAGCACCATTTTATGATCCTCCTTCCCTCTTCCAATGCGGCTATAGATAAACTGTCACGCTGTGCAATTTGGTTTTCTGTCCAATAGTGATGCCATGAGGATGATTGGTTCCCATGAGGAGATAGGGCTATAGCGATGAAGGACATAGCCGATTTTGTTGCTACATGCTATGACCGAAATTCAATGGGAACGAGGTCATGACAATCTACCAGTATATAAATGATCATAGAATTTGCCCCTCCAGGTCTCGGAGTTTGTTGCTGTGCCCTGCCCCGCCAAAATCTGTTGTCCTATTGAGTTGTTGCCAACCACTTCAAGTTTGTTGACTTCCCAAACCTGCCTGCAGGTTCTGAACTCTCTACATACAACTACCCTGACGGTTCTTTCATCGTTCTTCTTTACCTTGTCTCAATCGGAGTTGACAATCTTGGGTCTTAGGTGAGTGGAGTCTACCCTTGTTTGCGTCATCCTTCTAGAAACGCAACTCGACGGCCGACGAACGACAAATGCTCTTCTAAAGCCGACTAACTTCCCTTGATACCTGCGTCTGCTTTGAACCTCGATACCAAAATGGTTTGACAATTGGTCCCAAGACTGACAATTCTATAACATCACAAGATCCGTCAATCTACGACCCGCCCTTCAACGACTAAACTAATACTCCTTTCAACATCCTCCACGAAACAGAGACACCGCAACATCATACGTACTCCGAGAAGCGTATTTAAAAAAAAAAAAAAAAAAAAAAAAAAAGGCGTTCAAGATGCCTTCTGCCGAGTTTCAAAAGGCGGCGAATGAGAGCCGTCAACTCAAAGACAAACCCAGCAATGATGAGTTGCTCGAGGTACGTTCCCTCGCTTCCTCTGAGCATCAAGGTGGATACAGAACGGAATGAGCTAGAAGAGTATTTTCGAGAATGACGGGAGGTAATATTGTTGTCGACATATTGGGGTATGACCTTATGAGCAGAAAGAGGCAGTAGACCCAGGGAGAAGCAAACGCAGTCAACCATGAGGACGGGCATAGAAGAAGTTCGCTAACAATCGGAATTTGACAGCTCTACGCCCTCTTCAAGGTCGCCAACGGCGAGGACTTCTCTAAGGCCCCTCCACCAGGCATGTTCGATCTGAAGGTCCATCCCTCCGCGTTTTCTTGCTGCAAACGTCCACCACTGACCTGCTCTCGAACAGGGAAAAGCCAAGCACAAGGCCTGGCAGAAGGAAGTTGACGCCGGCACCAGCGCCGACGACGCCGAGAAACGCTATATCGAACTTGTTGAGAAACTCAAGGAGAAATACGGCTTTGATCCGGCCAAGGCGCCGGAGCCTGTGGGTGGAAACTGAAACGGCCTGACAAGACGTGGTGCGTTGAAGGGGCTTATCGTAGGAGAATAGAGATGTTTGGGGGAAAGTCCTGAAGCTCCCGGCTATGCGATTGGCCTGGGAGGTCGACTCACTGATCGTGCCTGGAGCGGGTTTCGTCAACTAGACTGCGGAACAAGCGCTGGTCTGTGGAGGATGGAAACGTACATGATACAGCATTTTACACCCTGTCCAGTGTCTGGAGTTACAGACTGGTATGGCATGAAAGATGCTACAATTTCAAGTCTACGCACAAACATTAGGATCGAGCAGGACGGAGGATTCTATGCTCGATATGGTTCGTTTCGCGCTCCTCGAATGCTGCAATTCAACCTCTTGGCCGTCCAATTCCCGACGTTCTCGTGTCTGCGCTCTCGTCTTCAGTCCAGCCGGGTGCCATTATCCGAAGACATTTCTAAACCCAAAGTTTCCCGAGCCTATCCGGTGTGTTGTATGTCCCTTGCGGAGACCAGGGCATGTCACCGTCACTATAGGGAGTCAGCGGCAGGTCGTAGGGAATGCGAAGCCCCACAATTGTGGTTTGATCTCCATCACTGGTATACTTTGAACGTGACGGCGTGTCCTTGCCAAAAACAGGTACCATTCGCACCAAGTTCTGGCTGCATTTGGTGTCCCGCATCCCTGGCTGGAAGGCATTCTTCCCATCGGTCGTCGACTCTCCAGCATCAAACTTTTCGCTGAACAGCTCCGGCCAGACGAGGACACCGATTTCGAAACTTTGAATCACTACCTCTTTATCCTTTTCTCGCAGTGTTCCCCACGCTTGAGTCGATAGATTCGCACTCGTCAGCAACGCCCACTCAATGTCTGGTGTCGGGGTATCCATGGTTGGTTTCTCCCGAAAGCGGACGTACGTCTTGATGTGCGGCGCCGCCATGTCTCTCTCGGCCCGGCAGTCTTCTCTAGGCCCCTGAGTCCACTGGCAGAGGGTTTGGCGTAAGAGGTTGATTTGTTTCAAGTGGGCAGCGCTCTGGGCCTTCGTGTGAATGGATCCCCCAGAAGCGTAGCCGTCCAAGGATGAGGCGACGTTGCTCGGTGTTGGATAGATCACTGAAACGTTGCTCCACATTTGAGCACCGGGTTTCTGCCCGGAGAGGACTGGGAAGAACTGATTCAACCAGGTCATCGGGAGGGTGGCGATAGAGGAGATTTGACAGACAAGATGAGGTCTGGAGGTTTGGGTGGAGGGGAGTGAAGGTAGGGTCTGAGATGGTGATAGAGGTTGAAGGCAACGGGACAACCTTGGGTAACCCCAGAGCTTCTCACTCCCGGTAGTCTCGTTGTCTTGTACTGTGGCGGACAGTTTTATGCGTGATGGAACGGAGGCTACGAGAGCTCCTCGAACACTCTTGAAATCGAAGTCTAGCAGTTGATCCCTGAGATGTTTTGTCTTGGACCCATATGCTGCAAGATATGCCATGAGATCGTGCTTGAAACGCGATCCAGACCCAATACTGCCAATAACAATACCGGGATTTTCTGCGAGTTTGGGAAGCATCGGCGTCATCCACACGGCCTGCGTCATATTCGTCCAATCTTTCTCGAGCATATTCGCTGTGTGGATCACAACTTGCGCCTGATCATCATGAGTGAAAAGAATAAACATCTTGCTATGATGAGTTCCAAACTGGTCAGGAAGATAAGCAGTCACGGCTTCGACATTCAACCAGCGGCGACATGCGTCCTCAATTCCGATCCTGTTCACGTCCTCCGACCTCCAGGACCCGTGAACGATCTTGACCTTGACCAGCGAGCGAATGTCGGCGTCGAAATAGTTCATGAGCCAGTCCACGTCGAAGCAGTAGTTGAATATCCATGCTTCTTTGATCAATGGGTTTCCCAGAATCTCTTGAAGAGAAATTGAGTCGACGTTTTTGGAAAAAGAAAGGTCCTGGATCGAGGTGAGTCTGAAAGGAGATGGAAGAAGCTTCGTCGAAGTGCTGGTTGTTTCTCTTTTGGAAATTGCAGATCTGTCATTCGCTGTGGTTTTCATCAAATCATCTTCTACGGAGGCCTTGGTTCGGTCCGGAGAAATCTTCCCCGTCAAGGTGGTTTTTCCCAGAGCCTCCTTAAGGCCCTCTTTTGGTCGCGGTGTCGTAGGAGCAGAACGGGAGACTGCCGGGGGAGAGACTGATCGGGATATTGAATTGAGAAACGCAGCTCTCTTGGTTCGAATGTCCGTTGGATCAGCCGCTAAACCTCCTAGAGGACCCGTATTCAAAGTTGATAGTTGACCGTCCTGGTCGGACTCGAGCTTAAGGCGCTTTGAAGGTCGCGAAGTCATGATGGTCTTCCGGTTCAGCAGTTTGACGTCGGCGTATCTGGATGGCACAAGGTCTCGGCGAACTATACCAGAGACACGAGAGACGGTGGTAGGGAATCGACGCATCTACCAATGTCACATTGTGGAGTCGGTCTTGCTTCGGAAACAAGGGGAAGATTCTCGGCTCAATATAACTGTGAGGGTCATTACCAGGGAAGTCGTTAAAAGTCTGAGTAAATGTAATTTTAGTTACAAAGTTTCCGGGTGGGCCAAGCTCGGCGAATCTGTGATTGGTCGTCCTGGACGTCCATTTCACATACAGTACCATTGGGCAGTTCCACATTTCACTCACGGCGGGAATTCAATCACATACTTCATGCCTGGGCTACATGGTCATATTTCCCCCTGTTATCTACACTGAAGATGAACAGCGCCATGGTATGCCTCACAAAAAGTCCAAATAGTCCACATAGAGTTTGCATGATCAGCAACTCTCTCATGAGTCGGTCTTCCCGCATTGGGCCCCTCCATACCAGCCACAGATTGATGATTGTGAGATTAGACGTGCTCGATATTCGGTTTGTCTTCGGGTCCACTGTCACCTGGAGCAGGCGCAACTTTCGCAAAGTGAAAAATATTGTCGCCAAGAGTGTGCTCGGGGGTCGTTCAGGCGGCCAGGGAGTCACGCTCGGTTCAAGAAGGCCGGTTCTGGCATTGAATTTGGGAAGTCGATGTCGTGGACAAGGAATGAGTTGGAAAAGCTGCGGGGTACTATAAATGAAGTTGACGATTTGTGGGATCAGAAGAAGCAACAACGTTTTGCTGAAGTGTGCAGTGATAGCCACGACCGCAAAAGTCATACCTGCGACATAGCAATATGTGTCACCGACGAACACTCTCGCGGGATAGCGGTTGTGTATGTACAACGCCATAGATACAGCCAGAAATGGCAAAAGGACGTATAGTGTCAAGAGATGGGAGTCGGTAGCTGGATGTGGATGTGTCGCATAGCCGTTGCTCAAGACCGGATTTCCGGGAAATGGCACGAGGTAGAGTGATGAATTGATGATCAGAAGTCCCGCGATGACCAGTGACTGGCCGACCTCAATTCCATTAATGCCGGCCAGGATATTGATGGAGTTGGGGGCAAATATCGACAGAGCGGACATGTACAGGTAGTAGAGGAATGACAAGTCGATAAGTCGAGCCCCGTTGGGCATATATGGAACAAGAAAGTTGGGAACCACCACAGAAGTGACTCCAAAATCGACATAGTAGACGATGAGAAGGGGGAGAGATGCAATAGCGGGGATGAAGAATTTATGCCTCCAGCGAAGATCCAGGATGTCATCGGCCATTCCCAGAATGGTGGTCGCTTGTAATGTATTCAGAGCAGATTGGTAGGATGACAATTTCGAATGGGGAAATCGATGGAGAAATCGTCCCGTCTCCACCTCGGTGACGGTGAGGACGACGTCTCGGTTTCCGCCACCAGATGTAGCGGCGACAATATCCTTGTAGAAGGCAAAGGGGATAAAAGCCATGAGCGCAAGGATGTAAACGGACGCGGCAACTGCCCCCATAGCCTCTGGACTAAGAAAGAAAATCAGACATTGGATTCAACCCCGTTTGGACGCGTACTTGCATTTCTTTGGGCGTCAACTTGCTCATGTCCCTCCCTTTCAAACCAGCCTTGACAAAAGACGGTCCCGACCACCGGACAAAGGCGTAGGTCATTGAGAATGCCAACGCCGAGAACGCCAGAGAAGACACAAGTGGAGCACCATCAGCTTGAAAAGCATTCGCGATGACTGCGAGAGAAGCTCCCGCGACGAGCAAGAGAGACCATTTCTCTGAATGGCTGAGACTGGAGGACATGATCGGCCGTGGGCGGGACCAATCGATAACTGTTGATGGTGAAAATCAGGTGGATTCTTGTTAGCTGGAGTGAAGTTCAAATTCATCCATTATCGTGCCCAGAGAACTGTACGCTGGCAGGAAGAAGACATGAACGCCACGAAGCAGTATAGAAATAGCGGATCCGACCAGCGGCTCCTAGGAGAAGATGGTGATGAAGGGATATTTTCTTGCGGGTGGACGACAAGCTGTCCTTTTGTCCTTTTTGGGAGACCCGGAACAATAATAATCCGTTCACCATCCAATCAACAACGGCCCTGATTCATCTCTGGGCAACTTACATCTTCATCGGACGTCCTTCATATAACAAGATCTTAACAAGCATTGCAGCCGATACCATAGCACGCTTTACGACGGACCTTACCCTTTCTACTGCAACCTTTGGTTTTAAGTACAGAGAAAACCTTGCCTCCGGCGCTTCTCGTGGCATGACCAGTCCATGATATCTGCCTCGACCACTCCCAGAGAGTCCTAATCTACAATGGCCAAGACAGAGGAGTTCGAGACGGGCCATCATGACCGAGTCACCGTACTCAGCATCAACTTCAACGGTACCAGGATCCTCACCGCGTCCATCGATCACCGCATCAAAGTATGGGATCGAAATCCTAAAACCGGCGAGCGCATGTTGACTGACACCTTCACTGCTCACGATTCTGATATCAGGGATGTAGGTCATGGCTCAAGTTCCTGCCTCTGTGGTCTGAAGAGTTCCCCCCTGATCTCTCTCAAATCCTCTAGGCCAAATTCCTCCATCCAACAACAGGATCTCACATTGCCACCATTGGCAGTGACCTAAAGTTCCATTTATGGACCGAAGACATGTCACAAGCACCGAACCGTGGCCGCCGTTTCCGTCGCATCGCCACAATCCCTTCAACGCCCCGAGTGCCCTTTGTTTCAATGGACATCAAGACAGTCGATAATGTCTACACCACCCTTGCACTCATCGACCGTCAGGGCCTCTTGTCCATCTACGAACCTACAAATCCGGACGACTTCAAGGAATGGACTCTGGTGGATGTCTTCGACGTCTGCGGCTCTAACCCGCCCGGAAGAGGAGAGGAGACCAGCTTCAAGGTCCGTTGGGACCAGAATCCAACCCCTCTAGCTTACGTGAACAGCCTCAGCGACGACCGCAACCAACTCAGCCTCGTAGTGTCAGTGCTCAACGAGGTGAAAATCTACCGCTCTGTCGTTCCCAATGGAGACGTAGGCGCAGGGATTGCCAGCAATGGTGCAAGTCACCGGATCATATTCTACGAGGCAGCAAGATTACCCCGGCACCCGTCCTTGGTACGAGACGTTCAGTGGGCCCCGTTCAGTGTCAGAGGCACGGACCGCATCGCGACTGCGTGTAAAGACGGAGCGGTACGCATCTTCGAACTCGGAGTTACAGAAGGCCCGAATGAGAATCTGAATGGGCAGTCAGGGAACACAGATCCATCCTCCACATCCTCCACGTCACGGAGTATGCCCCCTTCACAAAGGCAGCAACAGCAATCGAGCCTCACGTCCGCCATCATCGGTCGTGCTCATCAGATCTCTTCCAATTCACCGGCTCTCTCTGCATCGATATCTGCTCCTTCTCGATCCGCCAGAACAGGCCACACCTTTCCCTTCTCGACCACTATCCAGTCATCGACGTTACTGTCGAACGCGCACTCCGATGCATGGTCGCTCTCTTTCGACGGACAGGGCCAAGTGCTCATGAGCAACGGATCAGATGGAGTAACGAAGCTGTGGCGGAAGAGTGTGCTGGGTGGCCAGTGGTTGGTCTTTGCTGGGCAGGAAGTGTTGGACGCCGATGAGGAGACGGATGGGGAAGATCGAGACGAGGACGGGGAGGGCGACAGCGATTAATCAGGCGGTATGGCCATATCGGAGTGGGATTGAATTCTATACGACCTTGGACACAAACACATGAGGGTCTCACGAAAGACAGTCTTGATGTCCGAAAGAATAAATCCAAAGACATCTTGAACCTTCGCAAAGCATGGTACAATGCTGTTTCGTTGGCCGAGTCAGCTATTAGCCCTCAAAAGTATGGGCTATCTCGCCTTAGTCGACGAGTCCTTCGCTTGGGAGTTGATCTCTGAATGTCCTTTCTGCTCTGCTTCGGTACTGATCTTGCTGGCTTGTAGTCTTCACCCACTCTTGTCCTTAGGAGAGGACGCTTCTGGGTCATTGGATTCTGCATCGCTATTGTCCGCCGAAGAAGTCGATGGCTTGGAGACAAGATTTCTCGTACGACGTTGATGAGGCCTAAGGGCGGTGACTTCAATCTTTTACATCGCTTCCAAGGCCGAGTCATTTTCGTCTTCTTCAATAGCTGAGTCACTTTCCGTAGTGGACAATTCTACATTAATGTCGTCAACACCATCGCTCGGCGCAGAGGAAAGTTCGGAGCTCTGGAAGTCTTCAAGTTCTCGAGTTGGATCCTCTGTAGCTGCTTTCACCTCCCCTTTTGCCTTGTCTGTCTCTGGTGGCTCCTGGTGATGAACCATTTCCAGATCCTCGGGGATTGCCTGTTCGTCTTCATCTACAAGGAAACCGCCACCAAAATCGTCGTCATTCGTGTTAGGTAGTGCTGGTCCTGGCATGTCATTGTCATCATCGATATTGATCGGCTGATCCTTGCCCAACCCATGGGCATGATCCAACCGATCGTTAGTAACATCTCCATAAGTATCCTGGACGCGTTCCCGAATTCTGAGACCCATGACGAATTTCCGCCATAGGTCCAACACCAATTTTTCCTTCTTCGATTCCTCTTTTCTTCTTTGCTCCTCATGAAATTTTGACCAAGCGTCAATGACAGCTTTCTCATTCTCTTTCGCCACCACAACGCCCTCACAGATTGGTATGGCCATCTTATTCCCAAACTCGAATCCCGTCACCGCTTCCGCAAAATCGATCTCAAGCTTTTTGCATATCCGGACTGTTCCTTTGAGTGGAATGTGTACAGCACCTTTTGGCACCATACTCGGCACGAAGCAATCAATGTTCCCATAGGCATTCTTTGGAATGACGCCATTTTTAATCGGGGGTGGGATGATATATTCAGTCTGATCCCATGAGTACAAGCCCTGCATTTGTTTCTCTCCAGTCTGCCTTTCATGCTCTTCGGCTTCACGTTTTCTGGTGAGAGTGACGGCCCGTACCGGTACAAGCTTCATCGGAGCCTCCCCGGCTTTTGGTCTTCGGCCTTCTTTGTGCCACGATTCCGCAGTGAGACATCTTTCGACATCGCTTCGACGGTAGACTAGCTCCTCCTTCAATTTGTCGCCTTTACCAGACACGAAGACCCTGTCTGGTTTTGCACCGGCCCTCAAAGCTTCCTCACGCCTCAGAAACCGTTCGAGAACAAAATCAGGAGATGCCTTCAGGCTCTGGAGCGTGTCAACGCCTTCCTTGACTTCTTTCTTTTCAGGAAGGAGAGGGACGAGATCAGACGAATCCTCCACGTCGTCCACGGCCGTCCTCATTAGGTCGGGCCGAACATAACCACTCATGACCCGCTTGAACCAGTCATATTCTTCGTATCGTTTAATCTTGCCGTATTTGTTGTAGATTGGGATCTTCTCCGCCGGGTACCGAAAACCCTTCGTCTTGCCTGGCCATATCCTATTCTTGAGATACCTGACAGTCACGTCTTTGGCGGTACCATCGGATGAAAACGCGATAACGTATGCAATCACCGTCTTCGTCTTCTCAGCCTTAGCCCCGCGAGGCTCGAAAGTAGCTAAGGATTCGGGTGTGGAAGCAACAGGCGAAGCAAGGACAAGAGGTGAGACGGGAAGGACTTTCTTCGTGATCGGAGATATCGCTTCGGTCCAATATATTGGGAAGGGATTATCCCGGTCGTACTTCTGTGGACGCTTCTTGGGCAAAGATGGAGTGACATCCACGACGGAATCATCGTCGTCTCCACCTTCATACATCTCAGAGTCCGAGTCAAGATCAATAGGGGCCGTGGTAGTTCCAGGGCTTCTTTGTGAATGCGCCGCTTGTTTCCCCTTTACTCCCCCTTTCGTGCTGGTGATTTCTGATATGGACTTGGAGTCTTCGGCTTCAGATTGTTCAGAAGACGTATCAATCTCTACCGCTTTGGCCGGTTTCCGTGGTAGTAGTTGCTCCGCCTTGGTCCAACCAAAACCACTAGGCTGCAGACTGGCCACTAATCTGGATTCAATTCCAAGTCCTCGGAGCAAGGCAGTAAATAATTGAGCACCGAGGTCTCTCGAACCTTCACATCTCCTTGCCAGCTCACGAAACTCCTGAATATTCCGAATGCGTTCTCCGTGGATTTCATCGTCATGTTCGTCATTTCTGAACGAATAGATCACCTGTTTCAACGACTGTTTAGTCCCATAACCACGTTTCCTCAGTCCTGGAGCCGTGATTGCAAATCGCTTCTTCCAATAGACAGCCAACACTTTCACAAGAGAAACGAGTGGATCTCCATTACTCAGGTCGGTCTTCCCGCTTTCCAGACGCTGACTTGGCCTTCCCCAGTCCCTTTCTTTGCGAGGGTCGACAGCTTGACGCTTTCCCCGTTTCTTAGTTTTTGCTGATTCTGCATTTGCTTCGGGCTCCGGATCCGGCAATCCACTTGCTCGTTTCCATTTGTCGACTTCCTTTTTAATTTGGGGTGGCAATTGCTGAACAAGGGTCTGCTGCACTGTCCTGTCCGAGATCCATCTATTCCGTATTGAATTGTGCCACAGGAGGAATTGAACATGCAGCTGATGAGTTCTCACCCTGGCTTCCTTCTCCCGTTTTGTCGGCCCTTTTTTGCCCTTGCCCACAGTTTCAGCCATACCGTAGTCAATCTCATTGTCGTCTTTTCGAAAGACCAGTTCGATTGGACCATCAGCCAGGGGCGTGTGCACAGGAGCGTCTGCTTCCCTTTTTGCGCCAGCATCCTCCCACTCTATATCTTCCTCATCCTCGTCCTCGTCCTCGTCATGTTGGGCAGCAGAAGGCTGTTTGAATCTCGAGGGCACATCCTCGAACTCGTCACTGTCCACGTCGCTGAGAGATGAGTCAGAGTCATCGCTTCCCAGAGCGAATGGTTTGAGCTTTGTGGAGTCGGAGATATTCCTCGATTCCGCGTCCAAGACATCGGCGAGCTTTGCTCTCTTTGCGGGAGTAGTTTGAGGGGCTGGGTCTGGTGTTGATGAGAGCCTCTTCCGAGGGAGGAATGGCGGCATTGTGATAGCGCAGATGAGGAACAGGCCCTCAACCCAAGTCCATGGAAGAAGAGCGAATCTGGTAAATCGCGACACCCCCAAGAAAATTAAGATGTTTGATTGACCGTCAATAATCCCGCAGGCTGCAGCAGGCCCTGCTAGCTTACAATAGTTAGAAGCGTTCCGAGAATTTTTGCTGCGGGGACATGAGGGTATTTCGTCTACGCGACATCCAATTTCACCCTCATGGCTGAGGGCGAAGATTCTCTACCAAAGACTTCTCGAATCAAAACTTATCATTGCTTATGCACTACTCTCATCCTCTCCACTCCACAAGAACTCGAAGTCCTCCCTCGCCGGATTGAACCCGTGCAAGACGGAGCCGTGATTCTTGCCCCTCCCATTGAAGTCACAAGGTCCGATGAAGTTTCAGCGGAGGGCATCGGGTCTGCCAGTTCTGTGCTTCTCAACGTTGTCCCCGACCGCAGATCTGTTATCATTCGTCGTGACGATGGCTTCGAGAAAAGGTCGCTCCTGAGGTGTGGGAGATGCAAATCGGTTATCGGGTACCATCTTGACGAGGCGCATTTTGAGAATTCTGAGGACCATCCAAGACCAGTGTATTTGCTTCCCGGCGGGTTGATCAGTACTTCGGACATGGCCAAAGGAGTCAGCGCAGAGATGCCCACTTGGGCGCAAAAGGAGGGATGAAAAGGAGACCTGAAACAAGAAAATAGCGACGCTAGTAGCGCGTTTGGCATTGATCCCTGAGATACCTCTAGACTTGGGCCACAGATATGTCTGTGACAGTGTTCTGCAATATTCCAGCCTCGATCCAATTCAAGGACACTGATGCGCCAAGGTCATGGACTCCAACCACGTATGCGTGTCTTTCCACACCAAAATCCATATGCTCGTAATCAACGCCGAAGCCGCTTTTTGATTGACACGGGAAGATTTTTTAGTTTGCCAGAATGGTCCTGACGAGTTCCATGTAGTTGATCTCTCCACTGCTAGTGTCGACAGCCTTCAGCAGCTCATCAACCTCTTCGTCACTCATCTTTTCGCCCAAATTTGTCAAGATATATCTCAATTGGCCCACTCCGATGAATCCAGTCATGTCTTTGTCAAACACCTGAAACCCACGACAGTATTCTTCCGGTTCGCCGGGGTCCCTGAAACCGCCAGGTCGGTTGAGAACTTTGCTGAACGCATCAAAGTCAACTTTCCTCCCGTTAGTCCAGAAGCCGAATATATCCTTAAGAGAAGATTATGTCTTACAATCGCCTCCTACCGTCTTTTCCAAGTCTCTGATCTCAGCGAGGGTCGGGTTCTGTCCACAAGCACGCAGGAGGTCACCAAGAGACCCGAGCGGAACACGGCCGTTGCCGCGCTTGTCGTACAGGGAGAAGGCTTCTTTGTAGTTTGTAGAAGTCTGCGCGGACGATTGCGAATTAGACATGATGAATATGGAATTTGAAGATGTTATCGGATGAATCAAGGCGATCCGCAGGGAGAGAAAAGACGTGAGATTGAAGGTGTTCAATCGTATTGGAGAGAAGAAAGTGATTGTTTGGTTGACCTGAGGTGCGGTGGGCGGGTGCAGCCTGTTCCCGGGGAGGCCGCCCTTATTGGGCGAGTGAAATAAAGAGAACTCACCATCCTGAATCTGAGTAACCAAAAATGTTGTTTATCCTGTCGCCAGTTCACAATCGCTGCTGATCAAGTTGTTGTACTTGAAAGAGTGCTCTGGACTGAATCCTTTCGAGGGCGGTGAGAGAGAAAAGAAGTGAGGCTCTCCTGAAGCAGATAGCAGATAGCAGATGGCGCGTGCGCCCACTTGGGCCGTGTTGACAACTTTGGGTCCTAATCCACCGCTTGTCACCCAGCAACAGGACGAACACACTTTCGCTCATTGTGCTCGCCATTGCCATCACGCTTGAGATCGATCTCCTCCTCCCTTTCGAGCCCCTAACAAGAATATCGCATTGGCAATCGCCAGACAAATCCTAAGGACCTTCCGCTCCCTCTTGGGCATCAGTCGAAAAACAAAGCCCATCTCGCCTAGCTGCGACGTCGCAGTTCATCCTAACGTTGTGCCTCGATGGTTACAATACAGACCAACAGCCAGATCTGTTGAAGAGTGTTTCCTGATCCCATCGATTTCGGATGTCCTCCACGATGCCTAGTGATCTCTTTAATATCCTCTAGCAACTCGTCGATCCGCCTCCGGATGACGAGCTTTATTCCCTCAATACTCGGAAATAGCGGCTGGTTATTGGAACTGCCTTGTCAGCTTTCTATTGGGCAACTTGCTGTCAGATTCCAGTAACGGCTATGTCATGTGTCGGATTTAATCGCGAATTCTAGGGTTCCCATACTCAAGACTCCATCGGGATGGCCGTGATAACACCGAGGACCGGACAAAAAGTCTCATGAAGTCGCTAGTCAAGCCTAGAACAGTATGGTCCTGCAACCCCTCCGCGCAGTTATCAGCTTTCTCGCTGGAACGTGGCTTGGACTGTTGCCCATGCATGAACACCTAAAGTTTAGCCTGTGCCGTCCGGAGGCTAAAGGTTAGGGTTGATTGGAAATATCCGTTGCTCAATGCTACAGAGCAGCAACGAAGGTAGGATTTATCTCGGTCCCCTCATTAATTGCGCCATAGCATCATTTGTTTTCAGAAGCAAAATTTGGAGTCGATTCTGTGGATATAGGCCCATTGATGCCCAGGAAGGTTCACATATCGGCAAGCATCGACTACTTCATCGAAGCATCCTCCCTCCTTCTAGATCATCATCAACCGCCAAATCATCTGTACAATGTCTTCGCAGAGCCCCATTGACAGACCTTTAAACGGGAGAACACACTCATCCTCTGTCTCATCTGTCAAATCCTCTGGTTCCTGCTCTGAGATGCACGAAAAGATCTCGCGGCAAATGCGGACGCAACAAGAACGATGGAATTCCTGGCAAGCCAAACAAATTGGATCGTTTCACGTGGCGGCGTTGGAATCAAAACGCGACTCTTCCTCGCATCGCAGCATCACATCGAAACGACCACATATCCATCTTGACAAGATTTCTTCGACACTACGCCGAATCCGGGGATGAATGAGTCGGCAGGAAGGTTTGGGAGACCACTGTGGAGATCGAGATTTTCGGCGGAAAACTTTCCATACTTCCGTCTTGCGGGAAGTGTCCCAGTCTCGACCCAAGAAGTCACCAACCACATCATGCCCTACAACAAGCCAGAAACTAGTGCACGCGTTGAACTATCGAGGAGCGATAGGTCGCTTGGCGGAATCTGCGTCAACAAAATCCCGGAATACGTATCTATATCTCGACGCGATATGGTCGCTCAATGCGTCCTGTACGATGATGTTTCACATCCCTGGCGTTTTTTGGGGGGCCGTCTGTGGACTAGTGCAGCTCTATTACAGATCACTTTTTATATCAGCCCACATGCTTCATCACATGCCTCTCGGTCCGTCTGCAGAGGAAGTTGTTTTGGGCGTAGAGTTGTTCGATTTATGGATACGCGGGAGTGCAAGCAAGGTGTTTAGCGATTCTGGATAAGAACTGCAGACGTCAATACTGGCGGCAGAATCGTCTCTCAAAATTACATCTAACGTGACATCAAGTTCTCTCTTCTATCTTGTGATCCGCTTTCTCAATGGCATTATCTCGTCATACTTACGACATTTGGACGGACAACTCTCCGAATGGATCAATTAGAAGTCCACGGAGCAGCCCTTCCATGGATTCTACCGGCATCAGGTTCTCGCTACGTCAACAATGTACCGATCACTATGAGCACTACAGATTGAACTTACACCTTGCTAAACTGCCCCTTCCATTGCTAAATTCACTGTACTGTTCCCTTTGCGTGGATGTGTTCTTCCGCCGTTCCTCTGATCCCAGCATACCTTGGGACCCCCTCTTCCTTCTTCGTCACCCCGATGGGTACAAGGACGGCCTCTTTATTCGGATGCAAGAAATATATAAATATGTATCTGTCTACTCACCCATACAACTCGGTCGGGATGGCATGGTGCCAGTTGACTTGAGACGTCCCGTGGTCTAGAATTCAAGCATGCTTCTAATGTTAATGAGGACCATGTCATTGTAGACGGGAGCCAGTGTCATGGGGCGCCAAGACCCAATGCCAAGAACATGTATATAGCATGCGTTATGCATATAGATAGGTACCCTTTTGACGTCTTTACAGCCTGCTGGCGAGCCTGCCCCTGACAGCCAGCGTCCATTCTTCGCGTTCCAGATCCAATGATGGGGAAGTGTATCACGGCGGCCGCATTTTGAGTCCGCTGATGGAATGTTGAAAGAGAAGCGACAGTGTCCCCCCAATTTGTGTGTGGTGAGATCGGACACATGGTGTCCGATTTCTCTTCGCCTGCTGGCACTGGAAGGAATGCATCAATTCGAAGTTGTTGAAGTTTCTCGACCAGTGGATCATGCTCGGTAGATGGAGGGCTAGTGCGATTAGCTTCAATAACGATTTTATGAAGGCCTAGGCTTGTCTCTAGAATGATTGGATCTGGGGTCGTACTTCGTGAGGATTGGTGGGAGGAATGTGGATGAAGCATGGGACGGTGTTGGCCATTTGTTGAGGCTGAATGCTTTCTCGTGGATCACTGAGTTTTGTTACATGCCCTGTCTGGTTAGGCAAATACTGTCGTTGTCTTTGGTATCAGATCCGCCCTAGTTTGTATCCGGCATTTTTGGAAGGGATATAAGGGGCTTCTGATTTTGTTGAGAAATTTTGGACAAAAAATTCCATTCCCTAGTGGATTTTTAGTCGAAGTAGATCATTTAGTGTGGTAGCTCGCAGCTGGAGAGGCGCTCCTGAAGGGCTGCTGCGCGGTGATACAAGGCTGAGCTACCTGACATAGGTGCAATAGCAATAGAAAGGTCATCGCCATCAACGAGAAACACGAATTCAAACCTCAACTAGTACGGAGACCGTCAGAGCAAATGAAGAAGGCCATGCATTGAGGATCCGTTTGTCAGAGACCAGAAGACTGTCAAGTTAAATATATTGTCTACAGCGTCTTGGAATCCTGGCCAAGCCTCAGCGTCACGGCGCACCACATGGCACCCTTGTTGCGCATCCCATTAGCAGGTCGCCTCCCACGGTTTCCAGTGATGAAGAGACTTGTTCGAAGTCGACAATCGGAATTTTCGTACCCATCTAAACTAAAAAGGTAGGGCTGGGGGGCCTCTCAACCGATCCCGCGTATCGACTTTGCCACCTTTGGAATCTTGTCGCAGAACGAAGTCTCAGGCAGCGGTAGCGGGCACCAATGCAACGGGTGGAGGTGTGAAAGATAAGGATCCCTGCACTGCAAAGCCCAAGGCCTAGTGGCCACGGTTCCATACCCCCACCATGGACCCATGTTCATACGAGCTGGTCGGGATTGACCGAAGGTTGTGATTGATCAATCGACGCATGCAGTCCATGTATAGTGGCATCGCTATCATCTATCAGTTGTAAAATTGAGATCAGAGAAATGGGCAAAATAGAATAGAATGGGCGCAGTTTGCAGCTGAGATTTGGAGGTGTTCTGATTCCTACTGGCCTAAGCAAATGCCGAGAGAGCTTGATAAGGCTTATCCGGCTGCCAAGGCGACTCTCCTCGGGCTTTGACGAGCCTGCCGTGCATCTTCAGCCAGATTCGAGAGGCACTGGCTCCCTGTTTATCAAATCATCAGCCCTCTGGTCTCTAGCCGTCCTGTCGCCTCCTCCAACGTCGATCAGTCGTCGGCCAAATTCCCAAGACAGAGTATTATCCGCGAGCTGGCTCGCCCGGGGGGCTGTGGCGTGCCCGCGGCGAACGGACGCATTTCACTGGACCGACCTTATCATTCCCTCGCAAGCAGTTCCCACGCTGACCCTTCCGGACGTGCACTATCGGCTCCCTCCGTGTTCCTCACCCGCTAATAACTTCGAGATTGTTTAGCGGTGGAGCACCAGGGTCACATTTGCGCCCTGGAGAACGGGGCTCGCCCAGTCGACAAGTTCAAATGCTTAACCGAGTCAAGATACGATCAAAGTTCTTGATGCGACGACGGTTTGGATGATGGCTTTTACGGTTTATCATGCTGGAACAGGGCGTACTTAATGGCCCTGTGGTCGCACAAGGTTGAGCCCGGGATCTATCTTTCTCAAAAATCCTCTCTTTTGTCACCATCCAGCAAATCCCAGTCCTATAGGGCATGAGAGGCGTCGTTTCCACAATGGCTTCAGTTGATCCTCCGCCATCTTCATCGCCGGCCTCCAAGGATGTCGACATTGAAAAGCAACCCGGCATCAACGAAACTGCCGAACCAGAAGTCCGCCGTGGCAGTGTCACTCCCGCCTACGAAATCGCAAGGGCGCGACATATCCAAAACACTATTGCACCGCTTCGTTGGCTGAGCAAAGGCGAGACGTGGCTTGACGAGAAAATGGGGATCGAAACCCAGGGTATCGATCGAATCCCTGAAGAAGAAAAAAGACCTCCTCATCTGATAAACACCTTCTTCATGTGGTGGTCAATGACTTGTCACGTCGGCACGCTACCGCTTGGAGTCCTGGGTCCTGAATTCGGATTGACCTTGGGCCAATCTGTTGCAGCTATTGTCGTTGGAACCGTGTTGGGGGCGCTTTGCACGGCATATTGCGGTACCTTGGGACCCAAGACTGGACTGCGCGCCATTGCAACATCTCGGTATTCCTTTGGCTTCTGGGGAGCAAAATTGTGCAGCGTCTTGAACGTGGTTATCGGTGGAGGTTTCGCCGTGGTCAATGTGGTCATTACGGGGCAGATGCTCAGCGCCGTCTCAGACTTCACCATGACCGTGGCAGTCGGCTGTGTGATTGTGGCCGTCATCTCGTACGTTGTGTCGGTCTTTGGCTTTGCCATCATCCACACCTTTGAAAAATACAGCTGGATTGTGTCTTTTATCCTGATGTGTGTCTTAATCGGTCAAGCAGCACCACACGTAGGACCCTCGGCTCCTGGATTCGGCACCAACCTCGAAATTGCCGGCTCCTGGCTGAGCTTCATGGCCATCTGCTTTTCCAGTGCTTCTGGTTGGTGCTCCATTGCTGCCGACTATTACTGCAACTATCCCGCCAGCACTAAGACGTGGAAAATTTTTTTCCTCACTTTGGCAGGTGTTACGATCCCGACCACCTTTGTGACCGTCATCGGCGCATGCATTGGTAATGCCGCTCTGCTGAATGCTTACCCTCCCTATGCGGATGCGTACGAGAATCACAGTCTGGGTGGCTTGTTGCGAGAAATCTATCACCCTCTGGGCTGGAGCAAATTCTGCCTCGTCATCCTCACTTTCAGTGTTTTGGGCAACAACATTGCCATCAACTACTCTTCTGGCCTCTCGATGCAGCTTCTCGGACACTACTTCCATGCTGTCCCCCGTTTCATCTGGTCTTTCTTGGTCGCGCTGGTGGTCGCAATTCTGGCCATTGTTGGAAAGGACCATCTCTCAACAATTGTCTCTGATTTCGTCTCTTTGCTCGGTTACTGGACCATATCTTTCACCATCATTCTTCTAGTCGAAGATCAATGGTTCCGCAAACGATCCGGCGAAGGTTACAACCTTGAAGCATGGGATCAACCAGACAAGCTCCCCTTGGGTATCGCTGCTGTCATCTCATTGCTTGCAGGATATCTGGCGGGTGGATTGCCTGGTATGGCGCAGGTTTGGGTAGGTGGCACTCTTTTTCTCTCCTACGGAAATGATTTACTAATCTCTGTTTCAGTACGTGGGTCCTATTGCCCGTAAGTTTGGTCCGTACGGCGGTGACGTGGGTATTTATATGTCTGGTGCCATTACTTTGCTCCTGTATCCCTCCTTAAGATGGTATGAGAGGAAGAAAACTGGAAGGTAGATGTAACGAAAAAGAAGAGATTCCGTTCGGAGAGAAGCACCAAATAATACCAGATCGGGTATTACACAAGTCTACAGCTCGTTATCATTAATTCGGGTACACGGCAAAGTCATTTTCCGAACAGATGGGATCAGTCTCATGTCATACTCTGGTCCTATACATTCCCGGAGTATCCGACCCGAAAATCTTCGCACACGTGGCAGAACTAGTACCCTGGCTCCGTAACGACGAGCTGGCGCAGGAGGAATGCAGGCCCGGCAGACCAATGGCCGGAGGTATCCTCAACGATAAGCATTGTTTGGGTTGGCCAAGCCATCTCTACAATTTTGCTCTTAGCAGACGTGTTTGGGCATATCTGCCTTCTTGAATTTTCAGCCTTACTGTACGATGTTCGCGCAAGTTTGTCGACATAACCATTTGCCACGATTTCCATAGCGCACGATTCGTGTGGTGTATGCTCATGACTGAAGCCTGGGATGTGACGGTCATCCTTGGAAGAGAGACATGGATACCACATCAAGTTCAGAGAGAATGGTTCTACGGGGAACTTTTGCCAGAAAGCTAGGGGTGCACCTATCCCCTGGTCGATTTGACATAGTAACAACAGGCATGCCGTCAAGCCCAACCTCCCTTAAACTCCATGACACAGGTTCGAGAGGGCTAAAAGACGAGGAGGACATTTGTGATCGTGAGAATTGATTGCAACGTGAGTTGCTTCAGGTTGCACGTCTAGCCAACACATGATTCATTCAGAGAGGTTCGAAAGAGACACTTGCACGCATGGTCATTGATAAATGTCAGCCCTTGGGTGAGCCTCGTTGCCTTTTTCCTTAGGTGACCGATCGGACGACTACATGAGACTGTCGTATCTGGAACAGGAGAGGGAAGAAAAGGGAGAAGGGAATGCCACAACGAAGGTTGACTGAAGTAGTCATCTGTCTGCACATTGTTCTTCCGAGGATTTTTGTGGACGAGGCCGCAGTGGGCTAGTCCCAACCAGGCCTAGTTAGTCTCACGTGACAGAGGCCTGGTATGGATTTCTGCCGAGGGCTCTAGCTTATGCTAATCCGTTTACGGAGCATATAATATGAGTAAAGCGGCCACCCTCAGCAGATAGTTCTAGTTAGCTCATACATTCTCTTCCCGCCGCTACAACAACAGGGTGGAGCCTTCACGTGAGTAGGACTGAGATCGACCTGACAAAAGCCTGAGTGCCAGTCAATTTCAAGTCGGGTTGAACTGGAGCATCACTTGCAGTTACGCTTGGACGCTTTAGCCTCAAACGACTCAACTCAGCTCAACATATATCACGTCCAGCTGATGCTCCTTGGCTCTTGTCGCGCGCGGGGTCATGGCAGTACAAGCACACAACACCTCACTCGGCTTGTTAGTCCGAGCACAAGCCTGCGATCACTTGCACGGAGACACCTGGGTTTCGCGGATATCAATTGCGCTGAAGGCGTAACGAGTTGGCGTTTCACATTCAACTACGCGTGGAAGTGCAGGAAGACTGAAAGAGGGAGGCTACAAAATTGCTTTCTCGACGAAAAGTGTAGGGCAAGATGGCACTCCTCCTGGAGCATTACTCGCACAGGGGAGAGAGATTATGAAGGTGCTATTAAAGACACCAATCCTAAAGAACGACCACATACCAAATCCTACGAAAACGAGCAGCAATTACCCATCAAAAATCCAGCTCCATTCTCGAAAAGTCCTTTGCCGACCAAATCTCAACCCAATCCCTTCGACCCGTCCTCTCCCCACAGCGATCTACAGTCCTTCCGCCTCCACGCCCGTCGGACCGGCCTCTCACCCAGTAGCACAGTCTACACCGGCACCGCCTACGAGTACTTGACGCAGAGCACTCTCCGGGCCTACGGCTTCGGCCTACACCGAGTCGGCCGACCTGGTGACCGAGGAGTCGATCTTGTTGGCATATGGCGAATCCCACGCCTGACGCCGACAGGCGAGTGGAAAGAGGGTGTGAATGAGCACGGTGAAATAGAAGTTGAAGCTGAGACACTGCGCGTGCTGGTCCAATGTAAGCGGCTCGTTGGGCAGAGTACAAAAATAGGTCCGAATTTGATCAGGGAATTGGACGGTGCGGTCACGGCGGTACGAGTTGGTGCGTTGTTCGATATGGCGTTTCCAACACTCGAATCTGCTGCGGGAAAGGACACGACGAGTTCACCAGCTTCGGACACAAGTCCTGGGCCGGCTATTGGTGTGCTGGTCGGGACGAGGCCGGCAACTAAAGGTGTGGTCGAGGGTATGCGACGGTCGACGAGGGGTTTAGTTTGGATCATGATGGAAGAAGTCCAAGACAGCTCTTTCGAAGGAAGCAGTGACGAGAGCGAATCTCTCTTGCAGCACAAAAACCCTGCAGACCGGAATTCGGAAGTTTGCAACGAGAATTTGGTGAGGACTTCAGGAGCAGAGTCAGACAGTCGTCGTGAATCAGATCCAGATCCAGAAGCAGACACAAACCCAGCGCCCGTGACGAAACCACCAACACAGCAATCACCCCTTAAAGGCCGCGTCAAGCAGATCCTCTGGAACCAAGCGGCGCGCGACCTCGGACTCGAAGGCCTCAACGTTGTCAACCGCTACGGCGCCTCCGGGACCGACGAAGTGGTGCTCATGCGCGGAAGACGCGTTTGGGGTGGGTCATGAGTACTGTCCATGTTTTTCACATATCCGTAGAGGTCGGAGGTTCAACGTACCAGACACCAAGCTGAGGACCCGTCGCGGCCGTCACAGCCTCGCATCTGAGGTCAGAGGCATAAAACGGAAAAGGGTCGAAAGGCAATGACGAAGAGAAATGATCACAGGGTGCAAGATGACTCGGAGCTACTTCTCAGACTCTGTTGGGTTATTGAGCTATAATGATCAAAGATACAATTGAAAATTTGAGCTCAAAAGGTCAACTCGGCTGAACTTCAACATATTCAACCCCCCCCCAAAAAAGAGATAAGATGACCAACTGTTCGGTGTTCAGCTGGATAACCACAAGACAAATAGTTGAATATCGTAATGGTATGATATGATGGTATCGTACAACTCGCCCTTCGCCCATGTGGGCGGCCTGATTCCCATCTCCCGTCAGGTCTTGATCTGTCTTCCGCCTTTTCGAAAATGTCGTCTTACGTCTAGAGATATCCCAAGCAACGACCAGCTTTAGAAATTCTATCCCAAAACATAGACCAAACCTACACTTCGTATGCTGACGACTTCTCGCATCGACGTGGAACCAATATGTAACTCACCCATCTCGAGCCCACACCACCACAGTCTTGAATCTGTACACAAAGAAAAAAAGGCCCACGGGAGGATAGAGGTTGGTCATTTCTCACAATCATCTCAGGGCACTTACAACTTGGCCTTCGGCGGCTCAAGCGAAGGAAGTAGCATGTCACGAATATCGTTGGCTGCTTCGTTGAGGTAGAAGCTCATTCTCTCGCAGCCGAGCTTCTTCGAGACCACGTTGAATTGTATACTGTTAAAATAACTCGTGAGCATATGTTATCCATCAAGTTAGGAGGGGGGAATAAGACATACCTGTTTTCATTGATCATATAAGCGATACCCCATCCCTGATCAACGACCTGACTCCACCCATAGCCGTTAAAGTATTCTGAACTTAACTGGCTGGTGCTGATATACCAGGTACTCGAATAAGCGTAGGCAGGATCTTTGAAAAGCTCTGGCACTTCCTCGCCTTCTTGGATGAGTTTCTTGAGACCGAAGAGATGTCTGTCGACGCCATATCCGTCGCCGGCATCGGCGGTATATTGCACGTGCGCTTTGACGGCATCGCGGAAAAGACGTTCACATTCCGCTCGCGACACGGAGGCATCGGCCATGGCATGGCAAAATGCCACGGACTCGTCCGATACCGTGCGTGTTGTCTCCGTCCGACCGAGTTGATATTTTCTTGTCGCTGCTGATTCGTAGGTGGGTCGATTCTTGCCATACATTTTGTGATACGCCAGTTGAATAACCATTTGAACATATGCGTCAGGCGAGCACTTGAATTTCTTAATCAGGCCTTTGCCGTAGCCTTGGTATGCTTGGACGCGTAGATCGTGAGAAGCGATGACTTGCCGGAATTGGGCTTGAGCGGTGGCCACGTCATCGAGAACGGCAGCAGAAGTCTCGAATTTCAAAGGGACAGGGTCGGGGAGGTCAGATCGGACGCTTGGATTGTCGAAGTCAAGTTTGTTGTGCACGATGAGGGCGTTCACGGTGTCGCAGAGGCGGTGGGTGGGGGTACCGTCCATCATACTATGTTCGCCCATGAATCCTGCCGTACCATTGTCGTTGATGATAAATTGAAGAGGCTTGTCATACCATCTGTTGGCTCCGTCGCCGTGCCAGTAGACGTGGGCCCGTTCTTCCAGGGTGACCGGGGTGCTGGAGTCGAGGCAGACCACAAACGAAGAGGACTCGATTTCTTTGAGAATGGCGGCATTCAGTGGAGATGCTGCCAGGAGGTTTTCGCGTGCTTTGGCACCTTGATCGCGAGGGAAAGAGGTGATGGAACCGATAGGATCGGCCATTTGAGCGCTCCTGTATACATTGGTAAACTGTGTTTCCAGTTCCGAAGTGTTTAGTTGTTGGCCAGCGATGTGAGTTTGAACTTTGAAAAATTGGTTGTTTCGCATCACAATGATGTGCTCATTGCCTTGTGCAGGGTATTGGATGGGGTAGTCAGAGGGTATGGCCGCTACTCGGGAGGTATTGAACATGTATTTGTAGCTGCTCATGGCCATGGGCTTCTTGCGCATGTACTCGGGTTCCAGGCTGCACTCATCAACTTGTCGCTTGAATTCCAGGGCAGCAGTCGTGATCGCCGCTGCGCGTTTGGCCGGGTTTCTTCGGCGTCGGTCATCGCGGAAGGAATAGAAGTAGGAAACGTAGGGGACGACAGGATCACGGTATCCGAGATACGCCGCCTCATTCCACCAGTCTATAATCCAATTCTTAACTTTGGGATCATTTGCCCTTGCTAGTAACCTCTCTTGTAGTTTCAGTCCCAAACTTCCGGGTTTGCTAAAAGCTGCTACTGCTTTTTCTGAGGTAGCATATTCTTCTTTGGTCAGGAGCGGGTGAAGGCTCTTGAGGTAGCGGGCGGACGTTTCTTCGAGGGAGGGAACTGGCAGTCGAGGTAGAGAATCTTCGAATCGGAGCATGTTTCCCTTGGTCTTGTCCTCTCGATACTCTGGCCGTATTTCAGCGCCGATTTCTCCCGGGGAGTTTGTTTACTGGTTTGCTCACCTTCGGTAACCCAGAACTGGGGTTTGGAAGAGGCTTTCCTTTTGTTTGCGGGGGCCATGGCGAATGCCTGGGCCGTGTCAGTCTCGAGGTTGAAGTCAACGGGCTGGACACGTGGATATCTCACCTGGACGGCAGCAGAAGTTGGGGAAGCACGAGGGATTGCGCGGAATGATGAGTTTGCTCGACCAATGGCGGACAACATGCCCAGGTCACTCGAAGAAAGAAGAAACCGGAGAGAATAAAAGTGTAAAAAGTAAGACTGATATAGGACAGAAAAAAGTTCAAGCCGAGTAGCAGTCAACGCGACTTTTGGATCGGACAGGATTCGGAGACGGTTAGCGAGGGAAGAAGGATAAGAAAATGAATTAACCGCGGCGAAAGAAAAGAGCCTGGTGAGACCGAGAATCAAAAGTCGAGGACGTGCCACCATCCGCTGAGCCGAGGCAAAACGAGGGTTGCTCCTAGACAGGAATAGACGACATCATCCGAATGGAGCAAAGCGCATGGGAAAACACGGATGTGACAGCATCTTTGTATACCCCCCTATCTCGATGCATATCTCTGCAACGCCTCCCCCAGCCCTTCTATCCGGCCTACCCCATCTTCCCGCTCTCCCTCATGCCACGTCGACATTGTATTCAGACTGCACAGATGTCTCATTGTCGGTCGTCCATGAGGACAATTCCAAGGCTTGCCGATGGTCCCCATATGAGCCACGACCTTCTCCATTTGCTTTTTGGACAACGTCTTGCCGATCATGATGCTGGATCGACATGCTCTCATGGCAAACATCTTCCTCACTTTACTCGGTCGTGGGACGGCAGACTCAGTATTGCTGCCCAGACCGGGCGCCTCAGCCAGGAGCTGGATCAATTCCTCCAGATCCCGCGTATTGAACACAACTTCCTTACTCAACGGTAAGCTGATGAGACTGCATCGTTGTCCGACCATTCTGTCACCGCTGGTGTCAATCTCGACCAGAAACCCGTTCTTCTCGAGAGCCTCGTTGTTCTCAAGGACGATTTCTTCCTCCACGGCCGTCAAATCGAGGATGGCAGGCCGGACTAGTCTTTGATTTCCTACCACCGTCTCGGCCTGGAGTCTTTCAAAGTTGTATTTCTCATCGGAAGCGTGCTGGTCAATGATGAACAATTCGTCTCGGCGTGAATGTGCATTACTGCCGCTGTCGTGAGTACCAGGTCTCACGGCTAAGATGAAGCCGAGATTGAACTGGCCGACAATATCCATATGTGCAAAATCCCCTTTGGAGACTGTCAAGGAAAGCCGTGTTTCGGCATCTTGAAGGGATGGATCGTCCGAACCAGGCTCCATATCCGGGTCTTCCAGGTCCGAATTCGGGAGGTCAGTGTACTTTCCCATTTGTTGAGCCACCAACGAGAGAGAAAAGTCCATTGTTGTTAGAAGATTGGCTGTCGAATCTGTGGTTCGACCGCCAGAAAGTGCTTTCGTGACCCTTTTCAATTTGTCCTTGCTGGGAATGGGGGAATTTTCTTCAGCAGCACGAATGAGCTCAGCAACGCGTGCCTCCTCAATCTTCTTCTTCTTCTCCTCTTCATCGACATAGTCACAGTCTGATTCATCCTCGACGTCTTTTGGGGAAATCGGTGGGTCATCGACGGATCCATCACGTCCTTCGGATGAATCGCTCTGAGATCCCTCTAATTGTTCTGGATCAGAATCTTCTTCTGCATCGAAATCATTTTGGGTAGACTCGCCCTGCTCAACATCCTCACCATCTGAAATTTGAGTGGCTCGGGCACCAAACTGGCGCAACTTTTGAGAGAACTGCGTCGGTGTTGAGCTCTTTTTGGCCGCTCGATCCGATACGTTCGTGGCCCCCGGTGAAGCTTGCGTTCTGTCTTGCGACCTTGGGAATTGTGTACCCAGAATTGTTGTGATAGTCTTGTCCCCGATCGTGACGGTTGCTGGTTCCACCGGCACCCTCTTGGGTCTCATGCGATCGAAAGCATTGGGAACTGCGCCCGATTCCTCCTTCTCTGGCTTCATCAAATTTCCTGAGGCATCAATTCCAGGGCTGGGCCAGTCACTCCCTTTCAGCGAGGAGATTTCGTGTCCTTGGGGTCTAGGCTGTGCCTCGGACATCCGCTGATTGAAGTCTCTCACACGAATCTTCGCCGCATCGTTCGGAAAGGGTTCTTCCTCATCTTCTAGGCCAGCGATTTCCCCAAGATCATCGTACTCATCCATCTCACCCTTTGTGTCTTCTTGCTCGTCTATCTTCTGAGCTATCTTTTCGGCTCGCTGTTCTCGCTTCCTCTGCAACTTTTCAGGGGGCCTTTCATCGACTTCCGGTTCTTCTCTCGTGCTGGTGAAATAGCGAAAATGGTCTCGCATCAATGAGTTTGAAGTATCTTCATCCACTTCAGATTCGTCATCTTGGCTGCTGTCACGGACCATGGATTGCTTAGATAGTAGAGTCCTGCGGCTGTCCGTCCCGGGCGATTCTAATGGCGTCTGCCTCGAGAAGTTCACGTTTTGAAAAGCAGGGAGCTTGGGAGTTTGAAGGTGAGATTGCGGAACAGTTTGATCTTGTTGGTCAAACATATCATTCAGCGCCGATTTCAAATTCTCAATAAGGGCGGCAGAGTCGTGAAGCAATATGGTCCGTTTGTCTGGCGATACATTAACATCGTACGCATTGGTATCCATTTGAAGGTCGGCAAATATAAACGGCGACTGCGATACGTTGAAACCCTTATACACTTCGTTCACAGCTTTTGCGATTTGTGGGAGACCACACGGCCTGCCATTGACGAAGAACATTTGTCGATCTGGAGTCTGTCTGCCTTCGCCAAACACCGGCTTAGAAATGTGGCCCTTGATGTGAATTTCGTTCCTTTCCGAGTCTTTCCGGGCCATTTGTGTCAGAGTGGGTGGAAAGTGGAGTTTCAAGTCCAAGGGCACCAGAGCGGCCAAAGTCTTTGCTCCATACACGTTTGCGATGTTCTCTCGAGTGGTGGCATTGGCCTTCGTCGAGAAAACCGTCAAGCTTTTGCCCTTGGGCATTGCATTCTTGACGGTGAATTTGACATTGACGCAAATGCATGCATATGCATGGAGCAATCCAAGCACTTTGCCATACTCTCTTTTGATATTCTTGATCAACTCCTTTCGTCGGACAGGCAGATTTTCGAACAGGTTCTCAACAGTGGCAGTGGTCCCTTTCTGAGACGCCACTATAGTTGTTGACTTGAGCTGGCCCAGAGCGTCAAAGTCCAGATGCTTGCCTTTGGGGGCTTCGTGGGCTTGGGCAGTCGTCATGGAAAATTTGGACAGGGCACAAAGAGATGAGAGTGCCTCACCTCGAAAGCCGAAGGTCTGCAGGCTGGAAAGGTCATCATAACTCGACAGTTTCGAGGTATAGTGCTTCCGGGCAACGTTCTCGTAGTTGGCTGGCGCAATCCCCGAACCGTTGTCTTGTACCTCGATTGAATCTAGACCGTTATTCTTGAAGCGAATTTCGACGGAAGTCGCTCCCGCGTCGAGACTGTTCTCAACCAATTCTTTGGCCACGGAACACAGGTCGACTATAACTTGACCCGACTGGATCTGGTGAACGGATTTGGCCTCGATGGCCTTGATGGTCGCCATGCCAGCCCATGATTGTTAATAATGGGAGCCGCCAAGTTGGCAGAATGAAAGCTTGCCTCCTCCAGTGGCCTTCAAGCGGTGGAGGGCAGGCATCAGAGCAAGTTCAGGGCAACAAACGAAGAGTTGAATTAGAGGTCGGAAATTTGGAAGTTAGACTGAGGTCGCGGTTTCATTCAGCTACAACCGCAGTGGTCTATCTTATCTGATCGCCAAGCATGACGTCAATTGGACATGGTTAAAGCGGCGAGCGGACTTTGTATCAGACCCAAATGTGGCGCCTGAATCTGTTTTCGATTTTTCCAACATTGCCATCAGTTGAAGTCTCTCAAAGTCGGAATCGACAGCATATCAAACCATATATTTTCATATCAACTGCCATGCTGCAAGATCTGCCTGTCGAGGTCATCGAGCAGATCGTCGGCTACCTACCCACAGCATCATCCGTCATCAACCTCTCCCTTACCAATCGCAAGATACATGCCATTGTTTCTGCTAATAACTATGCGATTTTTCGATCGTTTGTTCGCAGAGCATTTCCAACTATCGATACACCACCTCTATGGAGAGATGTCGCCCGCACGTTAACTTCCCGATCCCGAGCCTGGGAACGTCGCGCTTTTCTTGCTCGGGAATGTTATCCGCCGGCCCACGACATTGACGATCCACAAGGTCTCGGCCGTGTACAAACAGTTGGCTACCACCCAGTCATCGATAGCTATGAGGTTTGGCAAGGTGTCTCTTGGGGAAGTCGAAAAGAAGTCCTTGCTTGGGGAGCAGCAGGCAGATTGCGAACTCGGACCGTAAAAGATGGAGTATCGACCTGGAGTTCTTTTAGAATCCCTGATGATCACAGACAAGATCTTGATATCCTCGATGTCCGACTGCTACGAACGCATCAGCATCATTCCACAGATGGCGAATCCATCATACTGAGAAGGGCAAATCGAGAGATTATCCGTATCGAAACTACACCTACTCCTGACGTCTTCCGGCCAAAGTCGAGATATGTCATTAAATCGGAAGATATTTCCTGCATGGACGTCAGCAGGGGTCCGCAGCCACTTCTGGCTGCGTGCGATCCTTACTCCATTCATCTATTCTCCGTCAATAGCCCAGGGAGCCACGTTCTGCCAGCAAGCTCAGTTCTGCTCGAGGACAAATACCGCATTCGCAGACGTCAAAGATGCGCCAAGTTCCTGTCCGAAACAAGATTGGCGATCGGAGTCCAATATCTTGAAGGAAAAGACCGAGCGCCCATCAACATATACGACATCGGCCAAGCCGGAGTGTCGCCCACTCCGCTGGCAGAATCACTGTCCTATTCCGAACCCAACGCACCGTGCTCGAGTCGACACAGCGCCCACGTCATTTGCCCACTAGATGACTCTGGCCCCAACACTTGCTCTCCCGGCCAAATGTTCTTGTCAGGCTGGACTGATGGCGTCGCCAGGCTACACGACACACGCGTCCTCCGAAAACCCGTCGCAGAATACGTCGACTATGTAGACGACGGACAAATCCTCTCCCTTCTGCCAATTGGCCGCGAACGCTTCTTGGCAGGAAGCCATCAGAACGGATGCTTGAAGACTTTTGACTTTCGCATGCCAGGGGCGAAACCCTACTCATACCTCGACGCTCGACCACCAATAGACCCTCAATACGGCGAACCGATCCCCTCCCTTCGGCAACCTTTTGACCGGAATGAAGAACCCCGGCAAAGAGACATTAACATTTTCCTGACACCGTTTGTCAACCGATACCAACGCCTCTGGCAACCTCTCCCAACTGACAGACAGCACCGCGGCATGAACTACCGAGGCTCCGTCTACTCCCTCTCAAGCCCCTCGCCCAGCTCGCCAACCATCTACGCTGGAATCGAAAACCACGTGTTACGCCTCGATTTTGTCGCCACTGACGACTATAAGAGCGCCAAGCCTAATCTTCTCGACCTAGTTCTAGGCTTGGATGATAAATCAAGCCGCATCTTCGATTTCTCATGCTACGAGCGTCAGCGGCACGGGCATGAGACTACCGATGCCGTCCTGCTACGGAAGCAAACCCATCTGAGTCCCCAACTTAGAGGTAGAGGTGGACAGATCATGAGATGGGATAGCGATCCCGATAGCTATCCTCATCGTTGCTGGGCGGAAAACGGTTGGGATGAACGCTGGAAAATGGAAATGTTTGACAGACGAACTCCGTGGATGGTGGCCTCGCCGCGCTGGCGCTCGAACGGGCATGCAAAACAGCCGTGGAGAACGAGATAATCCACTGACTGGCATGTCCATGTCTGAAGGAAAGGGAGAACATTTTCGGAGAGTTTCATTTTCGAGAACGTAACGGAAGGAAAGATGGCAGTGTAGTAACTATAATGCATCCGAATACTAGTATGCAACAGTGGTCTATGAATTGAAGGGCATGTCCGCGCACTCGCACTCGCTTGTCAGCACATATTTCACAACGAGAGCTTCGGCACACTCTCATTACTAGTAGTATTTGCATGGAGCAAGACAAGGTCGACTTCTCCGGCGCTGATTTCAATCGGCACTGACGGAGGCCCAATACTTTCTTCCACTTTCCCAACCTTTTGCAATCGATGGCGTTATTACCCGTGTACAGATCGACGTAGGTCCCGTTCCAGTTTTCGGAGCGTAGAGTGTTGTTTCATGGGTGTCAGGATTGACAAGCATACCTATTGAAGAGCCTAGATCTCTGTCATGAAATGACAGGATTCTCAGTCTTTTTAGGGTGTTCACCAAGGGGTCGAAGCTCTTTCCTGACAATGGTTATAACAGACCGCCGTTGTCAGATGCTGGTCACAGGTGGTCGTCAGCGTAGTCAAGTAAATCCAAAAGGAGGGCCTTCTTGGTCGAGTTCGCCGGGCCGTGGCACTTCCCTAGCTAAAAGCAGGCTCTTTCTCCCAATCTGCGCCAGGGGTCTTTCCATTCTCCTTCTCTCAAGGCAATAGCTGTTGAGAGTGTCTTCGCCGAGTCAGATATATGTTCGTCCGAGTTTTCGGCTACGAGTTGACGGATAGCATTACCTGTGGAAGTCGTTTGCAGTCGAGCCTTGCCGTCGACCATGGTGACGAGGACGAGGGTTTGCTTGTCAGAGTTGGCTTTGACAAAGTGGAAATTCCAGGTGTTCATGGAGGCTCCAGGCCATGTGGAGGAGCTGACGTTGTCGAAGGGATTATTTGGTCCTGTTCGACCATCCAAAGGGGGATTTAAACTGGCCCATGGGACCAATTAATCATCTCTTGTGCCATGCAGCACCGTATTTCACCAATATTTCGTCCAGAACTTCGGGCTCGTATTGGATGTCATAATAGCGATTGGCAATAAGCGGAAATTGGTTGCAAATGACGAAAACCGCGTTCTGCTCACAGTACACACCGAGCCAGTACTCCCCCTCCCAAAAAACAAAAATTCTGAAGTCATGATCTTCTTGTTGTCTAGTGTTTGAGTAAGAAGACTGTTCGGCCCCAAGTGTAGAGAAGACTGGGTCCCAGTCAGACGTGATTGATCCGGGTTTTTTGAATTCATCGTCATTGAAACGCATCACATACAAACTTGCCGTGAGCATCAAATGCACAGTGTACATAATATTTTCTGGTACAACAGGTCAGCCCAAGGTTTGCGAAGCACAGTCAGACCAGGGTCACCGCTGTTTCCGGCTCTGGGAGGTGTTGAACCAGTAGTTCCAGAGGCCTCGGCGAAGCATTGGATAGATGAGGCAACGGATAAGGGCGATTTTAAAAACTTCTCAGAGTGCTGGGAGACGGTGGTAATGAGTCATGCTCAAAGCATATGCCATACTGGCGATCCGGTACCTGTATGCATCGAGGAGCTCTCGACCGGTACCTTCTACCTCCATATGGTTCCAGGAACCATCCTGTGGACTTGACCAGTTACGAAATTGCTGTCAATGACCGGCATGAGGTGTGTTTCGAGCAAGGCTCGGGTTTGTTCAGTGGCAGCGATTTTAGTGGCCATTATGAAGAGCCCGAAAGATGTTGAACATCATGCTCAGAGGAAACTTACATCTATTCTTCCTCAGAGACGACCATCTCTTAATATGTTCAAGCATTCAGCAAATTCTCAGGGACCAAGCTACATACCTCTAGCAGGTACCCAGGTATTATAAGGGTTAGGGACTCAGCCCAAGGTATAACTATTCCAGCAGTAAGAGGGGCAGACCAGCAGGCCTCCTTCGGTGTCGGATGCAGAAAAATCATTGACGTGTCCGAGATATTCTGTTCTTTGAGAGCCGCCGCGCATAAAGGAAGTGAAAGTGACGGTGCTGGTTGGTCCGATAACGCCGCCAAACTTGCGCTAGTCCCAATGCTAAACGTTTCTGCAGCAGAGTTGAATAGACACGCTTATGCCTGGGCAGAGGCGTTTATCAACAACACTGACCCTCGTCTCCATCTTCCATCTCCTATACGACATAAGACACCATGTCTAGCAGCACGAAATCCCACCTGCGGTCCCTCTATCGGCGCGTGCTGCGCGAACTGCCTCCTCTTCCTGGCCCACGGCATCGATCTCCACGTACGCCAATCCACGCAAGTATCCGCTCGCATTTCTCCCAGATCCCTGCAAACAGCAGCGAAGAATACATGCTCGCACGGCGGCAAGAGGTAGAGCAGTTCGTCGCATATTTACGTGCGCAACGCATGTACGGGACGTTGCTCGCGCGGTATAATCCTGGAATGGGCATGGATGAGGAAGAGAGAGTGCGCTTGACGGCACGAAGAGTCGGTATGGAGATGCCAGTCGAGTATGAGTGGAAGTTGAAGCGGTGAGGAGCGCCAAAGAAAACAGATATACCGTGGAGGAGCTTGTATGGAGGAATTTGGTGTTTGTCGAAGATGTCTGATCAGCCCAAACGATCATCACTCCATCACGATCCCGCCACAACTTAGCTAATACTTTCCCGCCCCAACAAGTGGACAATGTCAGGCCAGCAAGCGAAAAACAAACATGCACTGTCAAGGCGTGTTGATGTCCAAGTTTCAGAGAGAAGTATCCTGGGAATGACAAGGACTTAGAACGGCCAGCATGTCAAATCTTCTGTTCGTTCACTTATGCCCGAATATGTTTCCTCAAAGGAGCGAGACCTGAGCCAAAAAGCATTCCGGTCGAACAAGATGATGCCATAAATGTACCAATCATATTTGTATAACATCTCAAGAAGATAGAGACCTTCGACAAAAGATGAGCGTTCAACTGGATATCACTAGAACCATCAACCTTCCCTTTACCGACAAAGCTTGAGCCTTGCTCTCCTGGATTTCTCCAAAACTCCACGCTGAGTGGTCGAAGATACAACCAATTGTCAACCTCATTTCCTCTGATCGGACGAGGTCACCCACAATGCTTTTTCCGTCTTTCCACGCCGATCCTCAAACGCATCCCAGTCCGGTCCTGAATGTCTTAAAGCTTCCCCATTGTGCAATATTCTCCCAATTTGGGACGCTTTGGTGAATTGTAGTACATTTGCGTTGAGCCTCTTAGTCTAAGCCGTAAACAACGAGACTGTTGTTGGCATGCCACCCCTACATCCGAGGGGCCACGCCTGAGAATGTCAGGGAGCTGTGTGGTTCTTTCTTGAAGGCTCTTGAATTATCTCCGACAGCTTCGCGAACAAAAGTCGACGGTTCTCAATACCAAAACGATTGCTCGTAGTGCATTGTGATATCCTCTCCCTGTAATGGCCACCAATCCTTCATTTCGTCGCAACCAGAGGCGCCCAGATCAAGATTATTGACACCGCTTTCTGTGTCGAGAGTCATAGGTACGATGTCAAGGTCCCCGTTCATGTCTCCGATGTCCTCGAAATGGCCAAAGTCAATATCGGCATCCAGAACCGGAAGAGAGCTGATATATTTCTCGGCTGCTGCGAAAGCCTCAGCCGGTATATCTACGGAGGGTTCTTCCACGGGTTTCGAGTCTTGAATTTCTCCAACATAGTCGATGCCCATACCAGTATTTGAGAGGTTATCCCCATACATCCCTGCGCGGCCAAAGTCGTCGAAACCAAGATATGTGGAAAGACCTTCCATAGGAACTGAAGTGTCAAGTATGGTGGGCTCGTTCTTCGTTTCGAGCATTTCATTAATCCCGTTGCTTCCCATATGCGCAGATGAAGCGCAACTCGAGGACCCAATTTCGGCTTGAAGAAAGTCTTCAGGTTCGTCTGTGTCGGTCGGTGTGTCAATGCGCCTCTCATGCTCTCGGACGCCGATTTTCCCATCGACGGCGTCAGATATTGCATTATTCACTTCCCATGGCGCAGGTCGTACCGTCTCTCCTCTAGCTCCTTCCAAATCCAGCAGCATTATCTTCTGCTGAAGACCCGCAATAATCTCTGAAGCATCTCCATCTGAATCTTCGTCGTTGGATGAGCTTTCCGAATAAGTTTCAAACTTTCCAGTCTGTCGACGTAAATTTGCCTGCGCCATCTTCAAAAAATGTAATGTCAATTGACTGGAGGAGTGTTCGGGTCCGTCAAGCATGGCATAACCACGGTAGACTTCTTGATACCACCATACAGCATCTTGATGATCCGACTTCCACTCATAGACACTCGCCAGAAGCTCCATGGCCTTGACCGTGACCCAACTCAACTCCTCGTCAAAAGATTCATCTAAGCTCACCAAGTAGAGAAGGTCCCTCTCCGCTTCATCCAAATCACCTTGATGCGCATGGACTTTTGCGGAGCAAAGCAGGAAGTCCCTGTATTGTTTGTGATGTTCACCGAGTATACTCCGGTAGCGTGGTAGGAGAGCTTGACAGAATGCATTGGCGGCATGGTATTGGCCATCCTCAATCAAGGTCCTCGCCATCCGCCTTTCCAGAAGGAGCACTCGGTCTGAGCATGTGTACTCTTGTTTGATTGCGATTTTGCGCATAAGTTCCAATATTCGATGCGAAGACTCGGCCAAGCCTCCAGGCCGCCTCGCCAGATCCAGGATCTTCGGAACGGGGTGTATCTCCCCCAGGAGCTTTCTGGCTAAAGCAGCCAGATAGGACAGGAGGCTGGTTTGTAACAGAGACGTGCGACCAGAAAAACAGTGCCGGCATCGTCGCAATAGGGTCACAATGAGATCAGGATGTTGTTGGCTGAACAAGTCTGGTATCTTTGCGCAGACATGACTAATTGATGCCTGAGCTAATTCCCAGGCTCCGGCATCAAACGCATTCAGGCCATCTGACATTGCGTCAAGGACAACATCTATATCATAGACATAATGTGTTTGATTGTGTCCGTGATCCTTTCGTTGCTTTTGATAAAAGTAATCGTATCCCACGGTAATGCGCCATTGGTAGTAGTTGTTGATTTGAATCATTGTTGAATAAAGACCCTGCATCTCCTCCGACGGGTGAAGGAGAACCATTGGTAATTTGGGAAGACCTTGTCGACGGGCAATTTTCTTCCTTGGGTAACGATCCAACCTCGTGGCTCTTTTCGTTGGAGCGGTTGATCTATTCAATTTTTGAGGGCCATTCTGCTGAAACGCAGCTCCAAAGTGGCGCTTAACCCGAGTCTCCGGGACATCTCTGTCGTTGACACTGGCTTTTGGAGGCTTCAAGCCAGCCTGGACAAACGCCTCGGTCGTCTTTGCCACAGCTTCTAGCTCTTCGAGTTTGAAATTCTTTCTCAAATCCCAGTTCTTCATGCGGAGCTTATACATAGGCATTCTTTCCACGTCAGTGGAGGGAGCTGATAGATAAGGAGACTCACGTTGCGTGAAAATTGTGGCCTGTCGCCAGGATATCCATGACCTTTTTTAGTGGAAGTCTCTGATTAATGTAAAGATCCTTCAGATATGGTTCAATTCGCTCCCATTCGTCTTTCCTTGGGGCCCGTCGCCGAGTGCGAACACCCTGAGTGGTCGCCATGGCAAAATCTCGTAAAATTGTAGCCTTCAGCCTTGCGAGGGAAGTGAGCTGTAAATGTCCGCACTATCTTCCGATTGAAAAGAACGAAATGACGCTTCATGGAGACGTGGGGAATGGGAGAGGTTATAGAGGCTGCAAAGGGTCCGGCCAATATGTCGGGGAGCTGGGACTGAATATAAACGGCCAAAGATGCCAGCATCGAAGCAAAAGTCGTTACGGAGAGAGCCATCCTGTATCCGGCTGGTCGGCGGGCCGAAAAAGACAAATGTCCAATGGGCGAAGAGGAATGAGACCGGCATAAAAGACTTTTGTCGTGGCCAACGAGATCCTCTACAAAGGCTGTGCAATACTCGAACGCCTGTGACGAGCGTGCAAGTCGCCAAGGCCAAGCGATGGAGGGTCGCTTGACCGACTCTGGGACAAACCGGACAAACAAGGCAAAACGCCAGTCGCAAACATCGTCATCCCTCACAGTTGGAGGTCGTCAGGTCATGAACATCTCAAGTTGCGGCCTACCTCCCCAGCGTCTTTCTGTGCGACCTGTCCATCCTTGTATATTTTTTCAACTCCCTCATCCAGCATCCCCCCACCAGACACATTAGACTTCGACTATAGGACTCTTCGATCGTTTTCTTCTACAAACCAACCCCACCCCACCGCGCCTCACCAACATGAATCTTCTTCACTCCGCCCTCGACAAAGTTCGAGATCGGTACGCGCCTATCAGGCACTCCTCGACCTTCCGATCTACGGGGCAAATCACCCCGGAAGAATTTCTTCTGGCAGGCGACTATCTGGTATACAAGTTCCCTTCCTGGTCTTGGTCTGACGCCTCCAGTCCCGCGCGACGTGTTAGTTACTTTCCACCAGGAAAGCAGTTCCTCGTCACACGTGGAGTTCCCTGTCACAGACGATTAGATGACAACTTCGCTGGCGGAAATGGTGCCGCAGACGACTTGGTCCGAGACGGTTTTCTGGGCGGACCTGACGATGAGACTGCTGGTGAGGATGAAGGATGGTTGAGGACAGGGGGAACGACAGAGAAAGAGCAAGAAGGCTTGAGAGGAGAAGTCCGAACCATGAGCGAGAGTGGCCAGTTGGGTAAGAAGGCCAGTGAGGAGGAAGACGAAGAAGAGATTCCTGACATGGAGGACGAGGATGACGATAGTGAAGCCATTATCCGTGACAAGGGTGAAGGAGCTTCAGCGTACGACTGCCCCTTCCGCATCTCTTTTTGGGCCTACCTGCTAACAAAAAGTCTGTGTATAGACCACTCCGAACCTATACGCTTTATATTACCTACACCCCCTACTATCGCACTCCTCGAATGTACCTTTCAGGATACCTCTCTCCCTCCGAACCGCTTGCCCCACACCTCATGATGGAAGATATTGTTGGTGACTATAAGGACAAGACCGTGACACTGGAAGATTTCCCATTCTTCGACACCACCGTCAAAATGGCGTCCATCCATCCCTGCAAGCACGCGAGCGTCATGAAGATTCTCCTCGATCGAGCGGACGCCGCGTTGAAACTCCGCCTTCAGAAACAATCTGTTCCAGGGGCTGCTGCCAATATATCTGGGATGGAAGGTCTCATCGACGACACGGCAGCACTCAGCATCGACAAACAAAAGGAAGAGCAACGAGGCCACGACGCCGGTGTCAAGGCAGCTGGCGGCGCTGGAGGTGATGAGTGGGAGGTCCTTGATGAACAAGATGCGCACAAGGAGGACGAAAGCGACAAGGTGGCTATTCGAGTCGATCAGTATCTGGTCGTGTTTTTGAAATTCATGGCAAGTGTTACACCGGGTATTGAGCATGATTTTACCATGGGCGTTTGATTTAGAAGTTGGTTCAACAAATACCGCGACTTAGGGTATCCAACCGTGATTTCCAGAGGGCCGGGACAATGGATAGGGCACGCCAGGAACGAGACATGATAATTCAGCGATGCTTCGAGTGGCACATGAAAAACACACATTGTCTTCGGACCACAAACCAATATTCAATATTTCCATTTTGTTTCCAAATCGCCAAAGCAAGGCCTTCTTTGGCGCTGACCATTGCAGTTATCAATACAAAATACGAAGAAATCGTCAAAACATTGACTGTTTCAGACTTCCTTGTCTGTGCTTGGCTCGCTTGCCATGCTCTTTGAACACCAAGGGCATTTCTTCCCTATCCTCGCTCATGGAACGTGCTCTTATAAACACAGGCCGCTTGCAACCCCTCCCCCACCCCCCAAAAACGTCAGACCGAAATTCCAATACACATGAGATCCATCGTTCCACTTTGGTGGTACTCTCGATGGAAAGTCGGGAGCCAGGCCTCCTTTTCTTCGGGACAGAACAAATCTGGTGCTCGCTGAATGCATCATATGCCCACTGCCTTCCCGGTATCTCCGACCGATTTTGGAACTCCATCAACTGGCCCGGTGACTTTAGACGTGGCACCAACAGATGAGGGTCGATTCGCAGCATGCTTCCTCTGGTGTGCCTGATTCTCTTTCCCCTCTGCACGGTGCTGAGCACTGTTCGTCGAGCCCTTTTCGCCGCTCTTCGAGGGCGTTTTCTCATGTTGTGTCGGAACTGGGGGGTCTGCACTCTCGCCCTCCGCCCCCAGCGGATTCCCATTGATGCCAGATAAATCACTCGGTCCACTGAACTTGGCCAGGCCGCTTGCAACATCTGAATGAATACCTGGCACCTCCTTCTGATTGAACCATTTGATGATGAAATACGTGCCGACGCCCCATAGCCAGATGAACACTGCAGCAGAGGTAGTGAAGAATAATGTGGGAAGAAATATGATCAAAGCGAACCCCAGTACCACGACAACAAAGAGTAATGCTCCAACAACTCCGACCAAGATACCGGCGAGGAACGCAAAAATCAGTACGGTAATTGACATCACGCCGAATAGGACAAGAGGAAGTCCACTCAACGCGATCTGCGAGAGCAGAAAGGACGCCACGTACGGTCTCTGCGTGGCGAACTCCGTCAACCAGGTTTTCCACCGCTCACGCTTCTCCGGCGGGAAGAAGCGGTCCAGGTAATTGGTCCCTAGGTTCACTAGATTGTTGATGCTGCCTTGGAGTGCTCCAGTCATAGTTCCCAGGTCGGAACCCGTCATGCCTCCGCCAGCCACGGATGAGACTTGTTCTGCCGACATTACTGCTCTCCTCTACCCGTAGACTTTGTAAGGGGATGATAGGAGCTTTTGACGCGTAGAAGGCTCCTCAGCTGCCTGTGGTTGGAGCAAGCAGCTGGATGCTTGTAGCAGAGCCAATAGAACTTCCTGCCGAGTAACTAGACAAAAAATGTGTAGAGGTTCCTCACGGTTTCGTATTTTCAGTGTCTGAGACGACATCGGTAGCATGGAAAATTAAATGCCAGACGCGTGGTTAATTAGAAAAATCAAACCGCATAATGTTGTGACGAATATGTGGCGTATGGAAACCTGTTTTGCTGAAAGTTGGGGGACCTCACCATTACATCACTTGAGATCCACCGTACCATCTACGGCGGAACATTCCAAAAGAAATGCAATATCTTCAGTCCCGAGCTTTACCAACACTTTAATCAGCCTGCAAGAAGTTCTTTGAAGCACCGTCTCGATGAGATCCTCCAATAGAACACCGAAGAAATCATCGGTCTAAGCGGAAGATGCCTTAATATCTACGCTCGCCCGTCTGAAGATCAAACTAGGTATTGAGATGCAGCCTCTGGCCTAAAGCCATTGCCTCAATTAACTTGACATAATTATCTGCGAAAAGATCTAGCACACATTGACTTCCTTTCAGCTCCCGAATATTCAACAAGACCCCGTTACCTAGGCCAAAGGTCCTCGTTCGAAATTACCCGTCCACAACCTGACTTCTCCGTTATTCGATAGATAGGAGTTATTCGGTACCATGACGGTCCGGGAGAGACCGTCTTGTACCGTCTTCTGCTAAGCCTAAATCTGGTGTATAGTGATTGGTCAGACTGCGGTATCCAACCGGCAACACCAAGACTCGGTGATTTTCCTCTTTCGGACATGGGACCTGGACGTTTGGCCCGTTCTTCTCTCGCTCTCCAGGTTCTGTTCCCAATTCCCGGCCCTTCGTGGCGACAAACAAAAGAACACAAGCACAATTGGCTTCCAGGTTCAAGTTGAAGATTCGATGATCTTCCTTTCTGAAATTCAAAAGTCGCCCCCTTTCAGGCTGCGGGATGCTGTTTCGTGAGTGTGGATTCCCGCTGTAGCTAGTTTGAAGGCATTATTTTATGTTTTCCGAGCCAAAAGAGATATGTGCACATATGAGTTACGGGCTCTCGAAGCCATTTCAATCAACGTCAAATGCCAGGCCCATGTCAGAAGAGACCGACTTCCGTCCGTAATACCTCAAAACATTACCGCTCACTCAGTCAAACTTTGAAAAAACTTCAACACCAGCTTGTTCAAACTCTTTCATGATTGTCTCCACTCTTTTCTGCGAACGGGGGATGATTTTGCATGGAAACGGCTTCGTGCAGACAAGAAAACCTTCGCTGTAGCCCGTCTCGTAACTTTGGTCTGGTTCCATGACACGACCATTGGCATCGACCTCCTTTTCGAACGAGAAAGCCCAGAGCAGTTTGGACATTCCCAGGAAAAGATTCCGCTCGGCGAGGTGGATTCCAGGACATAATCTCCGTCCAGTACCTTGAAAATGAAACGGTCAGTCGATTTCTTCAAAGAAGATGCCGTGTGCGATTGAGACTGCATCGTCAAGCTTACCGTACATATAATGATCGCGTGATTCATAATCTGCAGACACGGCATATTCAGGAGCCAGCAATGTACGGCCGGCGTATCGGTCGGGGTCGAACTTGTCAGGATTGGGAAACCTGCTCTCATCATTGTGCAGACCCCAAATGTTGAGGATGACAATGCTTCCCTTGGGCAAGAACATTCCCTCATACCAACAATCTGTGAGAAAACGAAGACCCTTAGAAACGAACTCACTCAGCATTCTCCATGGACGTGTATTGACTTGCCTTCAGTAAGAGCATGAGGGAAACCGAGGGGACCAACAGGTCTCCATCTCATCGCTTCTTTAACCACTTGGCTAACATAGGGAAGTTTTGAGTAGTCTGACCATTGTGGAGAACGGTATTGATCCATCACAGCGTCGATTTCGGCCTGTGCTCTCTTTTGCACTTCTGGATAGCAAGTCATGGCTTTGAGAAAGGATAAGATGCAAGATGACGACGTGTCAGACCCGCCTTCCATCGCAACTCCTCCAAGGAAATAGAGCTGATGGGGGCTAAGGTTGAGTTTCCCTTGTTTGTCGAGAACCTTGTCCATAAATGAACCCTTGCTTCCCTTTTCTTCCCTCCTCTTTATGACAGATCTGACCACATCGCCGTAGAGCGAGTCCATTTCACGCTTTACTTTGGTGGCTCGCGAGACCCAATGTCCAAGAAAACGTTCTGGGACCCACTTCAAAAATGGAAAGAAGTCCACTGGCGGTGTTGCACCTATCTCCATGACTTCCGACCAGTTTTCCAAAAGCTCATAGAGTCTGGTCATATGAGGTGTTGTGTAACTGGGTGTGCGGGCTCCGAAAACTAGAGTGAGCACACACATAGATTTAGTCCAATGTCAAAATCAGTGGTGCTGTATCTGGATGACTTACGTATGCTCATGACTACACTGTTACTGAACCGCTTCGGATGCAGCATGTAGTGCTCTGGTGCGTTCACAAAGTCTCGCAGCATTTGTACGGCCTCGGCCTCCTGGATTTTCACATATTCTCTTTCACAAACAGACTCTGCGAAATCTTGATGGACAAGCTTCCGAAGTTCTCTCCATTTCGGACCATAGTCCATAACAAGTAAATGGTCTCCGCTGGTAATGATATCCCCCGAGACATAGGACGTGGGCCGACCGCTGAAGATGGAGCTTTTCTTGTCCAAGAGCTCTTTAACAAGTCGGCGATCGGTCAAGACAATTGCTGTACCGGGACCGAACTTGACCGAATAGATTCCTCCATATTCTTTTGCCCATTCTGTGAATCTAAGAGACTTGTTAGACGTTGGCCGAAGACCAATTCAACTGGTCGGTCCTACCTGATATGTACTCCTTTCGGTGGAATTTGGTGAGCATTTCCAATGATCGGAAGTGTGGGAGGCCCTGAACCCAATCAATCAGATGCTGAAGCTCTCCCACATCAAGACTGGGGGCTTCAACGTTACCTGGTGGGAGATAGCGTCCTCTTCGTCCTACAAAGAGAAGGAGGTATATGCCGAATCCAATGATGGCAAGAATTGCAGAACCGGCCACGTAGAGAGCCATACTTTCGAGACGAACAGATACTCTATCCTGGTCCTGCCTAAATGTTGCAGGAACAGCCCAACAAATAGTCTGGATGCAAAAAGGCTGAATCCCCCCCAATAAAACCCCATGGGGATTTCCTCAATATCCGTACCCACTCTCCGTCGCGTAAAAGTGGGTGCGGGGATTCTGGGATCTGACCAATCGGCAATGCTGATCAAGTTCAGAGGACTAGAGAGAGATTTTGTCGTTCTGGGCCACAGTAGTCCTCCACATGGCACGGTCATATGCCAGAGGCGGGCCTCATATTCTTGCCGAGAGGCCGGGCTCAACATTGGGAAGATGTTCACTCTTATGTCAGTAAGATAGATGGAGCATAACTCCTCTGGGCGATTCATCAGTACTATTTCGTAGGCTCGGAACGAGGAGTTTGACCAGATACATTTGAATATTGCCCACAACCACTATCTGCTTCCCTTGTAGATCCAGGCCTGATTAGACAATGGTTGTGGCAATGAAATCACGCAGAGTTCAGATAGAAGGCACCCCACAATCCATTAAGGTTGGGAAAGGGACAAATGCCCCCCTAAGCCCCGCAAAGGTCTGATGGGTAGCATCATCACCGCTCCTTGGTCGCAACCACTTTTCAGCAATGCATCAATTTACTTTCCCATCCTTTGCGATGGTCTCTTTGATCCCGTCAATCTTTAAATCCGGCTCGCGGAGACAATCTCGTCATGGCCCAGGGTATCCATATTTCACCTGGCGAATCCTTCCCCCGCCTTCCGACGGTGAATAGAGCATGTTTAGCGTGTAATAGGTAAAGATGGGCGTAATGCGAGTCTGAATCACTTACTAACATTTGTGCGCTGTAGGAAAAAGATAAAATGCAAGTTCCAATCACCTCCCTCCTCGACCAGGCTTCGGTCACATGTTGACTAGGTACACCAGGTGACATGAGACGACCGACGTGTGGTCTCTGTGCAAGAGTTGGCATGCGATGCACCTTTCCCATTAGACAGAAGCCTATTCGAAGCCGCGGGACCTCAAAAAGAATCGCCGAGAGCAAGAATTCGCGGTCAAAGTCCAAGGTCCCAGCTGTTGATTGTGAGTTGTTCACGCTGCACGGCAAATGAATCTGAGGCTGATGCCCGACTTGCCCGGTTTATCCAAGTTCTAGACTCCGACTCAATAGGCTTGACAGCTGAAAATCGATCAACCAGTCAGTGGAGCTCCATCTGTCCAAACTTTCAACTTATGGATTCGTATTGGCAGGACGATATCAAAGTGACCCTGCTCTCTCCATCAGCGACAATAGTCAGGACTCAACAATGTCTATCCCGGAATCCTTGGACTCTGCGCCGGGTGAATCCTTTCTGAATCCTCGGGAAGAGCCGTACAGATCAAGGACGGACCAAAAGCCGTCCTCCAAATTCGATGTTTCCCCATCGAGTGAACCCTGGCCATCACTTTCGACTTCAACGGTGGGTCAAGAGGCGCACGCGCCAGATCTCGACTCATTTGAAAATGGCTGGAACCTTCCAAACGAGACAACCGGTGAACTGTAAGTGCCTAAAACAGTTTGAAATGGGTATGCACGTTTCTCACCATTCACAGAGTGGAACTTTTCTTCGACAATGTCCAAAGTTGGCTCCCCATAATTTATCGTCCATCGTTCGACGAAAAATTCATGCGGCTTGAAGCCCCAACGAAGACGGTTGTGAATGGACAGAGCATCGATCCTGCCGAAGTCTTCATGATTACCAGCATGTTTGCAATCGCGGCAAGATTTTCCACTTCGCCTTTCTTCAAAGATATTGCTCCCCCTGATCGAGGGGACGTCTTTGCGACGCGGGCGGCCACCATCAAGGATGGAATCATCAAGACCATCGATGAGCCTTCCCTTGAATTCGTCAAAGGCCTTGTGATCCTTGCTTTTTATCACTTCGCCGCAGGACAGTTGGCACCAGGATCTGTCTTGACCAGCGTCTGCGTTCGCTTTGCATACGACCTTTCACTAGATGAGGTTGACGAGGATCAGATCAATGATGACGGAACTCTCAACGATGACAGTTTGGATGACGTGGATGCTTGGGTACGCAGAGAAGAACTTCGCCGGCTTTGGTGGTCAATATGGGAGCTTGACACATTTGTGGCCACTCTCTCTCGTCAACCATACGGCATCGAAAGAGGTGAAATGAAGGTGTTCCTGCCCGTTTCCGACCATCAATGGGTTTCTAGGACTCCCATCAGGTCATCACCCGTGGCGTACCGGCCAGACACGGTATGGAAGAGTCTGCAAGGGTCTCCAAATCAAGCTGCTCGAGCCTGGTTCCTTGTGACCAATTATCTCATGTCTTGCATAGCTCATGCTGGACGCCAGCCATCCCGAATCTCTCCCGATACCAGAGCGGGCCTGGAAAGCGCGTTATGCTGTCTGAAACTTTCCTTACCGACAGAATTTCAACTTCGGTCCCTTTATATTGGCCAGAAAAATTTCCCCGAGGGAAATTGGATCATCTCAACACATTTGATGATTCTAGCGTAAGTTCTTGCTGTCGCCAACATGGCCTCCTTGTTCCTTCGCTTATCCCAAGTCACAGGAGCGAGACTATTCTGGAGAGATCAAGATGGCCCCCGAATCGTCGGATGGAATCTTCAGACTCAAGCCCGGATGACGCTGCTGCGTTGTTCAATAAGCGCATAACATCATATTTAGTCAGCATCGGCCAGGTCTGGCCACCCGAATACATACCCCTGAGTAACCCGATAATGAGCTGCTGTGTTGTTGTCCCAGGAAGTACGGATGTTCTGAAATTGAGTCTTGACCGGCAATTTGACGTGTCGACGATGGTCCTGCGTCATTATTCAAAATATTGGAATCTAGGCAATGCGATGCTTCGTGAGTTTCCTCGTCCTTCTTCTTTCTTATGATGAGAGAATCCCCTGAAACTCACAGTCTCTTCTCGTCTAGGACTCCTCGCAGCCATCCGTCAAGGCCTCGATCCAAACTCCGCTAAGCCAGGCTCGAAAGAGCGAGAAATGGTCAAGCGATTCTCCGTCCTTCTGCCAGCAGCCGCTCAGAAGCGAAGAAGATCTATCCCTTCGGACACGGACATTCATCAGCAGCGATCGAATGATAATAACGAATATGCACCAGGAACGTTCTCGAGCCCCGAATTCGACAACCTATGCAATGTTCAGGACTTGCAATGGTCGTTCGAGCTGTGGTCGAATTTTGGGGACTTCGAAATGGCATCACTGGAACAGCCCGGCCCACGGCAAACCTGAAATGACGGAAATGAATGGATATCCACCAGAATGGACTAACAAAATGAATCGGACGGCTCAACAATAGACCACAATCTGAACGCCAGTGGACAGGCGGATCCTTTTGTTTTCGCCCACTAGTGCCAGGATAATCACAGAAGCGCTTGTTAGCATCCGGCCATAGAACTCTCATGCACCCTGTATGTACAGGTCCATATATGATTCTGATCCCGTGTCGCCATTCGCCATCGCCTTGTAAAACGCATATCAAACCGGCTTGCCAGCCGTTTACTGCCTCTCCACCGAGCATAAGATTTCACACACGAACAAGTCAACAAAGCAGATACGGGATTCTGGCAATACCCGGGATTATGCCAGAAGCGCAACAATGCCAGCTAACATACCCGCCGCACTCAGCACGAGTTCCCCACCGCCCAGTCGTTTCTGGCCATTCGCCGTATTGGTACTTCCCTCGCTCGTGGTTGCGGCGGCACTGGTGGACGGCCCACTCCCGCTGCGACTCGTCGTGCTTGTCACAAAGCTGCTAGCAGTACGCGAACTAGTACCATTGACTGCCGGGGAATTGGTGGCATCACTCCCCGTCACCGTTCCAGACATTGTAAGCGTCGTAATACCCACTGATTCAATCGACGCCGTCGGAACACCCGTCGCGGTATCTGTCCCCTCTTGCTGCGTAGACCTTGCTGATGCAGTGGCGGTACCGCTAGCGCTAGCAGCTGGAGTCGCGCTCAAGCTGAGCCCCGTAACCTGCGCAAGCATGTCTCCATCATTAATGGCCCAAATCTCGTACTCCGATCCCGACCCTGGGTTCGTTATCGTGTTTGCAGGTACGGTATATGAGCCTGCGTATGCAGCTACGCCGGTTGCGAGAGACATGTCCGTATCGGAGTTTGAGAGCTTTAAGTCGATGAGCGACGGATCGGTGATGGATAGGGACCATGATATGACGAGGTCTTTTGTTGGGTCTATGGTTGAACCGGAGGTTGGGGAAGTGAACTCGAGACAGGAAATGGTGGAAGCGAAGAAAAGAGCCGCCAGGCAGTAGGAGGCCGAGAGAGCGAAGGAAGAGGAGTAGCGCGACATGTCTCTATTTTCTTCAATTCGTAGTTCAGTTCGATTCCATTCGGAATCGTGGTTCGAAGTCGAAGGTTTGAACGCTCAAGATTAACTGGCTGACTGACCGGCGCAGGAAAGACAGTATTTGAGATAAAGAAACGTGGACAATAGGTGTTGGTTGAGCTGACCAACGCCAGGGCGAGAGCGAGTGCGAAGACAAAGAATGTGATGTAAAGAACGGGTGCGCGCGGCTGGACGCTTTTGCGCTCTTCTAGGAGCCACAAAGCAAAAGGCTGGCTGGCGGAAGGATTCACAGAACCCCCCGCGCCCAGCTACAAGAAGGAGATGGAGATGAAACAAACAGATAGACGAAGGAGAAAGTGTTGGCGTCCGGGCCGGAATGTGGATTAATCGAAGTCTGGGGAAGTTTACGGTATGCGGTATGCGCTGTCCGTCCTCCTATCTAGCCAAGTTCAGACGTAGGTCTGAGTGGCGTTTCCCATTGGGTGCTTGAAGGAATGCTCTCTCGCGCTGCTTAAAATAACTGGGACAATGGCACATATCCGGCAGCATCACAAGGCACGTAAGTGACCCAGCAGGATGCTGCTGCACTCTAAGATCAACGTTAAGGCGAGAAAATCTAAGGTTACCGCAGGGGACGCAATTATTTGACCCCACCCAAAAATAAAAAATCTTGATAGGGATAGTTATGCACAGGGCAAGGACACGGTCTCCAATCAACGCCCTATCGAGAAAACAGGCCAATATATGCATGCACACGGGACAATTTCGTATCATAAAAAGGAAAAGGCTTAGAAGCGGATAGGGACCGTCTTAACTCCTCCCCGAAAACACATGAAACAATCTCATGATCTTCCAACCAGACTACAAGTCAATAAGACTTCCACCCTGCTGACCGACCGGTCTGCCTCCAAAAGGATTGTTATTGGTTTGTCCGAATCCTCCGCCAAATGCTGGTCCAGTTTGAGATGGAACTTGTTGACCAAATCCCGTAGCTTGCTGTGAAAAGAATGGATTATTTCCAGTTTGTGCAGCGTGAAGACGCTCAAGACCTTGTCCAGCCGAATTGACAAAGGTTCCAGGTGCAGTGTGTTGGGCTGGAATACGCAAATCACCAGTATTGCCAAACGTATCTTGTCCTTCACCCGATGCCAATAAGGCGTTGAGCTTCGCGTGTTGCGGATTGACCGGCTTCTGCGATTGCTGTTGTTGGAATGACGGTTGCGGAGCTTGGTAATTCAAAATCGGATTGGGTTGAGATGGCTGGCTAAATTGTGTGGTAGGTTGTGACTCGTAAAGAGTACCCAGCGAAGGCTGAGCGTTTGAACGGGAAAATGGAGACGGGGAGGCCGGTTGCGTCTTTTGAGCGAACGGATTGTTCGATCCCGTTGGTAGGGGCTTGAGCGCATCAACAGGTTGAGGAGACTGTGTTGACCAAGGGTTGTTGCTGCCGGGTTGGAGGGTTGGCTGTTGGGGCGATTGTGCTCCGAACAGGTCTCCGCTTGGTTGGACACCATATGGATTATTGGTCTGGAAGGCAGTCTGTTGTGGCTGGATTGTATTTTGTGGTTGAAGGATCGGTTGTTGGCCAAACTGGTCATATCCGGTAGGTTGAGCAGGCTGAAAACCATTGGTGAAGCCGTTTTGAAAGCTAGTTTGCTGTGGTTGGGCGTATTGATTGTTTAAGAACCCCGTGCTCTGCGGTTGTTGTTGGAGTGGGTTTCCATACCAATCGACGGCGGGTTGTTGCTGGTAGCCTTGGTTGTATCCGGTCGGCTGGCTCTGCGCCGGAGCAGGAGTTGGGGTCTCATCGAAAAGCGAGGCAGCATTCTGTTCTTCAAGTTGGCGAGCACGTAGATCCGCTTCCTCTTTGCTCAGTTGGATCGCTCTTTTGACGTCAGGATCCATCTCATCTTCTTCCCTCTGGGATTGTCGTTGTCTATGGCGAGCGTCATCTTCCGCGGACTGTTTGCTGGCTTCTATCGCTGCTTGCAGTTCGTCCCTCTCCCGCGCCGATTCGTCGTTATATCGATCCCGGTGGCGGTTCGAAGGATAATGCTGACGAGGGATAGGACCTTCAATCGACTGAGGGGCATACTCATCGATGCCGGTAACGCGAGTTTTCCAGAGTTTTCGATCAGATCGTTCACTCCTGAGACGGTCTTCATCCAAAATCAGTGATGTCAATTCCTTTGCAGAAGTGCGAACTGGAGGGGTTAGCACACGAATTCGCCGTGACAGTTGGCGGGGACGCAAACCGTTTTGTCCAACATCGCGACCATCTTCATCAATGTATTGGAACTCTCTCAACGTCTTAATGATGTAGATATTTTTTCTCGCCCAAGTCACCACCAATTCCGAACCTTCGTGCAAACAATAATCAAGGACTTTCAACGACTTCAAAACATGTCGCCAATTTTTGCCTTTATCATTCAACCGCTTATCGAGCATGTCCATGATCTCGTAAAAGTCGCTGGGACTGGTAGATACTGTTAGCCGAGTATGCTGGGATAAATTCCGTTGGAACTCACTTATTGAATGTGAGGGCCGCAATTTCAGCCATGTCTGTGCCCGTCGGGCCCCACGGATCATTGGATGTCGCTGTTTGCACTGCATTAGTACGGTCGCCAGCCTCCAGGCAAATCGTACACTTACCATTTCGCACCTTGACCTGTACACTACTGTATCCTTTGGTGACATTTTTGACACTTCTTACGACCTTCGACATACTTCCGCCTTTCCTCGAGACGGGCGCAGTTTCCAGAGAGGATCTTCGATAGATATTGTCGGAGGTCTGCTGGCTGCGAGAGAATTGAGAATCGTCTAATTCGTTTGAGAGTCCGACGACGGTCCGACGACGGGACGGTGGATAATCAAGCGAGCGGCTAGGCGTATCAGTGACCGAATAGCTGCGTCCGTTTCGATCGGTCACTGTGCGCCGTGAAGGGAGGTTGTGATAGAGAAGAGGTGAGGCGAAGAATGCCAGCGCGACGACGGGTAGATGAAAGTTCCGGAGAAGCCTTTTAGGTCAGTGGGACCGAGAGGGTCACATAAGATGCGCAGGGTGGGCAAGGAGGCAAAATGGAAATCATTCCAGCGTTTCCACGTTTCCACCTGCGCCGTCCGTGCTTTTTTTCGGGCGCCTAGCAGAGGGAGATGCCCTTGTTCAGTGATGTGATGGCGTGGCGCAGGTTGCGAGTGTCAGTGGCTGGTGAGGATGATCTATTGAAACTCTTCAATCATGAAGCAATGGCTATGGCAGTGGGCAGTGATGGCAAACTTGCAAAGGATGGGAGGAGACAACTGCGAACAATAGCGATTGAACTTGTCACTTGATCAGTTGCTTCGAGGTGTTCGCGCCATACACTCTCTTCTCTGGCTGGGGGGAGCCTGCAGTCCCCTGCACTTTTTCTCTCCACGGCAGCCGCGTCAAGCTCGTTCTTGGCGCAGTTTCTGTGTCAGCGCACTACCGAGACACCCGCAGCCCTCTGCAAAAACAGCATGCTAACTACAACGCCGCTCCCCAGATATCCAGCAATAAAAATGCCTCGTGAAAGCTTGACTCTCTTTCAAGCCACAGATGACTAAATTCTAAAATAGGGTTTTGTGCAAAGTCATGCTCGTTCTCACTTCAGCGGATTTCCCAGAGGCACCGCGTGCTTGATATCAGCTCCATCAAGATGGTTCCTGATCTGCTGGTACCTCTCGAATCCCTCTGTCCTTGCAAATGCAAAATGCTCTTCAACGCTACCCCACCCGGTAAAGAGAACGAATTCTTCCTTCCTCTCTCCCTGCAATGATGGATCGAAACCTGTGTCCAGCCTGAACCCTCCGACCACCTGATCCGCTCCCCCAATGAAAGACTCAAGTTCGTGTTTGTTGCGAGCGAAGGTGGCCTCGAATGCCGCTTTGTCTCCGTCCTTGACAAAGTGTCGACCTATTGCCACCATTTCTTTGCCCAATGGAAGAGGTTGTATCGTTTGATCAATAGCCGAGTGAAACATCCATTCTACACTGACTTGGTCTTTGAGGAGAGCCAGCATTTCCTGATTTGGTTGGCCAGGAATGAATTGTTCCATATGGAATTCGACTGATGGCCATGTACCAATAACATAGATGACCCGAGGATCTTCAACGCAGTGGTAATAGTGGAATTTGAAACGACTGGCTTGTTCCATGACATTTTTGGCTTTGGCTAGATTTGCAAGTAATGACGGAGATGAAGCTTCGGTGCCAGCCAAGAGGCGAAGGAGAGCGAGTTCAGTGACGGCCATGAAGGATGACGATGAACAGGCTTAGGCCAGCAGTGTCTCAATTAGATCGAACTCCTTTTCCGAGTGTCAGATGCAGATGTTAACCAGGATGTTCGACGATAACAACGAACAGGACTGACGGTACCAGATCACTCAGTCCGTCTTATATCCCAAAGCCTCGTCACTTGTTCTGCCTGAAGCCTGACCCCTTCGGGCAAACCTCGGAGACTCCGCCCAGGTAGGTAGCTGCGTCCTGCAAAAGCTTTGCACAACTTCAGAACACCCGAATACCGCGATACTCTACGGAGATAACGGGTGTGCAGATATTTCTGATTACGTTGGGCAATTCTGGGCCGCTATGGGAGCATGTGATTTCGCATTTGGTCGTGAGGGAAAAAAAGAATTTATGCTACGGTTAGAACAAGGACGGAGTATAATCTGCTACGACTCACCCAGGCCTCGACGCTCTTAATGCCAGTCACCCACGGCCCTCTCGACGGAGATCGAGGATAAGGTGGACCCATTAGTGCGATAGAAGGGGACCCCACTTTTGACTCTGCTGCTGTCAGCATTCATTCCGTCAAAGCGCAGGAATCGCCGTGGAAGCGGTATGAGAAGGCTTACGACCTTGAACTTGATGGCTCCACTGAAATGGCAGTTCGGAAAGCACCTTCGATCGAGCTCGAACATGTTAGGGTCTTCCCGAACCGAGGAGGCGAAGAGGCGTTCCATAGATCCTGGTATCTTTAGCACCCTAACGTCACGAACCCGGGTGCTATCCAGGGTAGTCTGCATTGCGCAGACGCTGGACCATGTCAGACCATTTCGATGAGCTGAATGATCTTCTCGCACTGCAACCGATCCTCAGCCGAGACTGCACCTCACGCTTTCATTGCGATTGGCAAGAGATCGGGTGATGCGGGAGCATCAAATTTCGGCCCAAGCAAACTCATGAACGTGGGAGAGCTTTTCCGTACGAGGAAGATGATGCCCGAGCGTGACCGCCTGGCAAAGAACCTATTCGAGGAAGGGAATCTTCGTGATGGAGTGGGGATGATGGTCATGGACGACCTGGTTCAACTCCTTCAAGCGAAAAGTCACAGACGTGCTGTCGAGGCTTGAACCAATCTTTCAATGAGTATAATAGTTGTCAGCGACGACGGAGCCGGTATGCGTCCAGCCGCCCTTATCACATCTCTCTAACACTACTAACTTGACGACTGACACCACCCAGCAACGTGGTGGACACATGTTTACTGTTATCGCAAAGCCCGGGCGAAAGCAGAAGGCCGATTTCAGGAATTCTACTTCTTGCGCTTTCAGTGGTTCGATGGCCAGGAGTCCTGGAAATGTCATGCCGCCGAACATCCCCGGCCCACCGGATGTCCAGGCCCGCTGCCGCCGAGATGTGATCTGGTCCGATTCCGCCACAATCTCATTCGGCCAGCCCTGTATCCTGAATGTCTCGGCGATGCGATTGCGACCGAATGGAAAACGCACGTCCTTCGCCATCTTGGCTTTCGCTGTCACCAACCGCGCTGCCAGAGGCTTGATAAACATGGCGAATTGGATTAACGTTTTTCACCGTCTCGCAGACATCCATCAGGTACCTTTCAGCGTCGCGGAACGAGAGGAAGCGGAGCGCTACGAGACATTTTGGCATACTTCGAAAAGGGCTAAAATAGGTGGTGCTTTAAGAGTCAAGTGTTTTCCCGCTTGCCATGGTACACGTCCGTTACGAACCAGTTTGTGTTCAACTGCTATTGAGATAATGGTCTGTCTAGTTACGTAGATAATATACATCTCGGCGCAAAGTATGGCCATTCATCACCTTAATGATGGTGCTATCAGATGCCACGGTGCTGCTCTCGGCGTACATGTGAGCTACTGTACGTACGTGTACCTTGTAAGGGGTAGGCTTTATCTATTGAAGCAGGAATCTTCATTGATCTAAAGATGCTCTCTAGTAGACGGATAGTTTAACATATCTACTTCTTTAGTCACTCTTTACTCTTGACATAGGTCTGTAACAACTTGGCGAAGGGAAACAGGAAGGCTAATAGTCGGTCCTGCCCAGTCTTAATCAGCAAATCACATCTAGAAACAAATGTAAACTCACCATCATCGATTCCGGCAACAGCCATATGGCGTAGCGAGCAGACACTGCGCCTCCGCCCACCCAGTATTTTCCTGTCCTACCCTTTTCGACCTCTCGGACAACTTTGACACCAAACTGCTTCGATGTGATGCCACTGGCTTGTAATCTGCCGTCGCATAATTCTTCGATATAGCCTTTGATCCCGTAGTAGTATGAGTTCTCGGGTATTTTCGTCGGCTTGAGGTTGGTGAAGACATTGGATTTGACGGCGGCTGTCACAAGAGTTATGGTCCGAACCCCAAGAGGCGCGAGCTCGAGACGCCATGATTCGCTCCCGAGGAGCGCAGCAGCTTTCGAGCTGTTGTAGATACTCCCAAAGGCTCCAAAGGGAACGACCCCACTGACAGATGTATTATTCACGATACAACCTTTTGCTTCGATCAAGAGCGGAGCAAAAGCCTGAATCATGGCGAGAACTGCCCAATAGTTGGTGTCGAACAGTCTCTTGCCCTCCTCAATTGACGAATCCAAAGCCGGCATGACCATCATCGTGCCGCTGTTATTGACAAGGACATCGAGCTTCCCGCCAGTTACTTTGGTGACGCTCTCAACGGCTGCAGCGATTAATTCGGAAGATAACACGTCAAGAGTCAGAACGGTGACATTCGGTGCTTCGGCGAGAGATTGTGAGATCTTTGATGGTGTACGTGCTGTTGCGAAGACGTGATATCCTTTTTCATGAAAGGCTTCGGCCAAACCTCCACCAATTCCACCTGCAGAACAGCCGGTTATAAGTACCGACTTGAGTCCTGGAGCCATTTAAAATATCTAGATCTCGTAGTCTTTTGTGGGGCTCAAAGCCGTAGATGGCGACCGTTCTCGTTCTGGAGAAGATGTAGGAGAGCAGAGACGCCATGCTGACAGAGAGAGTCACACTACCTTTATACCTGAAGGATATCCCAGTAGCAAAGGGGGAGTGCCTGTCGGTTGGACTCGTAATGTGTTAGATAGGTGAGCTACGCAGGCCTCCTCGCACTCCGATAGTTTGGTAAATGGGTTTGATGGCTTCAAATAACCAGTGGCTATACCTAAAATGGCAAACAATCAAGGGCTTGGCACGCTAGATGCAATATCACTGCATTCGTTTACGCAGCATATATAAGTAAAGCGGCCACCCCAGCAGATAGTTCTAGTTAGCTCGTACATTCTCTTCCCGCCGCTACAACCTTTTCGCCCACATCCAGAACCTTTATAAAGGCAAACAATCTAGAAAGCGTTACCTTCATCAAGTCCAAGAACATATCTGCCGCAAAGGAATCTGGTAAGCCTAAGTCCAAGTCGGTTTAGTTCTTCTCTCACGGGTGCATTCTCATCTTTTACCACTCATTGTTCAGTAGGGATGCATTTCATTGTCACGACAGACGTCAAGAAGGCGGATCCAGAGACGAGGAAGCTCATCAGGAGTCAGGTAATGATGGGGCAAAACCGCGGCAAGTCTCGTCGTGCCAAACAACGAAGAGCAACAAGTTGGGCAGTTATGGTTGATTCCAAACGAGGTCCACCGGAGCCATTGGATACATTTGTCGACGCTTACCACTCAGCTATTCCCGGAAGAGTCGGTTCGGATCTGTCCTTCGCCGAGTTTGCTGCTGAGATGGATTCGGCGGCGTTTGGGGATGTGATGAGATGTGGGCCACCCTTGCTCGACGATTGACAGGGGCTAACTTGACATAAAACTAGTCTTTGATATGGCAGCGAGAGCATCGTTCCCTCTGGTGATGGTGACTGGGTTCAGCAACAAAGACATGGCATGGCTTAATCCGCTGAAGTTCGACGCTGCTTATCTTCACGTAACCGTGTTCGCAGCCGAGGTCTTCATGGACAAGGTATTGGGTCGACAATATCCTACCACTAACCAAGATGCCACTGTGCATTTTTTGAAAGGAATTCAAATCCTACGCCAAAGGCTTTTACTAGGAGACGAGAACACCAAACTGTCAGATTCTACAATAGCGGTGGTTTTGACCTTGGCCATGAGTGCATTATTTATGGGCGAATATGAGACCTTCAGGCATCATATGGTGGGCCTTCGCAAGATGGTCCACCTAAGAGGAGGCATAGCTGCCTTCAGAGGTAACAAGCTTCTCACAGAAATGTTCAGGTAAGCAGCAGCCATTGCCCGTGTTAACTTTCTCCGGATCCAGAAGCGCCTAATTCTCGCACAGATGTGATATAGGCATGGCAATTCAAAATGGATCAGAGCCTTTCTTCTTCAACAACCCTCTTTCAGAGCCCGTTGTGCCTTATCCAGACCAGGAGCTGTTGTCAATTCGAAAGAGCGTTGGCGTCACAGGATCTCAGCACAACTCAGAAGGCTTGCTCCGCAAGATGGATGAGAATCTAGCCGTAGCCTGGAGAGTCATGCAGAGATTCTGTTCAATCGTCAATCTTGCCGTGGAAACCCAACGAATGCTTTCCCCGAGACTTCTCTATGATACCATGGCTTCGGTCATGTATCGCCTTCTCTATATGAACTTTGATCCTGGCTCGGTGGACGAAGCAGTACGGCTCGGTCTATTAGGCTTGACTTATCATATTTTCTTGCAGTGGCAATATCTGAGGTTGCCCTATGTTTATTTTCCTTCTGTTTACAAAAATTGCCTCCTGGACCCCAAACTTATGGATGGGGCCTCCTCCCAGATCATGCTTTGGTTTCTGATGGTTGGAGCCGTTTCGGCATTTACTCCTTCCGACCACCCATGGCTGAAGGATTGTTTGCGAGAACACATCGACATATGTCAAGTGAAGTCGTGGAACGAGATGCGGGGAATCTTGAAATCTTTTATGTGGATTGGCCTGCTACATGACAAGCCGGGGAAGGATGTCTTTGATTCCGTCTTATCATGATCGTCTCTTCCGACCGCTCTATGCTGGGAATCGACATAGTTGCTGGTCCATCTCGACCACCCCGGAATCGAGTTCATATATGGGATGGCAATGGGACAAGAAACTCATCCTGATTGGGACTCCAGGCTCCAATAGTCCCGGAAATCTTGTGTCTCCTCGACTTCGACCTCTGGAAGAGCTAAAAGTGGCTTGAATATCTCCTGTGTGGAAATTAACACAAGGGATTGTAATTGCAAGTCACGTCTAGTATACAGACATTACCAGAGCGATGGCTTTTCAAGGATTATGCTAAAAAAGTGGAATCGGAGCCCTCGGCCACAGCAATTAAATCTTCATTCCTCCCAGATTCCAAAGCAGCATTTCCCATTTACAGGCATCATGGGCAAGCCACAAGACGTTGACCCCACGCAAGGAGACGCGGGTGAACATCGATTGATCTTGCGCTCTCTTTCCAAAATCTCTGTACTCTGCGTCTATCACTGCCCTTCCCCCAGTCGCTGGGTCTGATACCGACATTAGGTGTTGCGATCATCGTCTTGATTTGGGCAGAAGCCTGCTGTGTGGCTGGGGGTCTGATATGTGTGCCGATCTAGAAAATCTGGGACCAGATTTCGCTGGACCGTGCTTCAACATTAGCAGGTTCTGGGAAGGCATCCAGAACCCGAACGTCGTCACAAGATATCGCAAATTTTATCATGCCTACCTTTCTGATTTGCCGGCGGTGGTCATTAGTTGCAATCTTTGGTGTTGGATTGCTGCATGTACCCCTTTTACTTCTGCTTCGAGGGGCTGCAGGACAATTATATATGACATCATTCGCCTTGTGGTCATGATAAATCTCCCCAAAGGAAGATGTTACGTATACGTGGCTCCTTGCTGTCCTTCGTCATACGAGAACAAGGGCTCACAGCCGCAGTGGCACAAGTGAGTACCTCAATCTGAACTTGTGTTGAACCTGCTGAGGATATTCTTGCAGTATGCATCTCCAGTATGAAGCCGCCTTTGAAATATCCTAGCCCGTAAGTCATGGAACAAGGATCAAACAAATACTAGCAGAGATAGCTACGGTGAGTTGCTGAGGACGAACCACACAATTACATTCGAGAAGGCTGACTCGGTCTCGAAAGGAACTCCAAAGTGGACCCTTTACCAGATAGTTAATCGATCCCGGTGATACCTAGGGCAGGATTGGTCAAAGGTCGACGAGTTACAGCGCAAATGCTGTAACGCCTGTGCAACGAGATTGGCGTTTCTAACTACAACCCGAGCCTATTTCGAACCAGCCTTGTGATCAGCTGTAGCGATAAGGTTCGTTAGCATGCTTGCCCCTAAATCATTTTCTTTTGAGATGCACACATACCTCGATCGTGAATTCTGCAGCGGCAATTCCCGTAATTTCAGCTTGATCCAAAGACGGGAGGACCTCCACCACATCGACCCCGACAATATTCAACCCCTCCAGTCCGTCGATGATGATCTGGATAACCTCTCGTGGCGTCCAGCCTCCAGAAGCGGGGCCAGCAGTGCCAGGAACAAAAGCAGCATCTAGACTATCGACATCGAGAGAAATGTACACGGGCTCACCATCGTGGGGAATGACGGCACGGATCTTCTCGATGACACCCCAGACACCGTCTCGCTTCAGCATATCCGAGGCTGGAATGATAGTGAAGCCCACCTTGGAGTCCAAGTCGATGTCCTTCTCGGAATCCAAGCTGCTCCGAATCCCCGCGTGGACGTTGTTCTTGGTGGTCAAGAGACCTTCCATGCCTGCCCAGTAGTACGGAGTTCCATCGGCAAACTCCGCTTGTTTACTCGCAGCATTAGCTCCGGCGAAGACCTTTGGAGACCACGTATCGATGTGTGCGTCGATATGAATGGCCGACACTTTTCCATAGACCGTGTTCAAGGCTCGCAAAATAGGCAGTGAAATACTATGATCGCCTCCCAAGGCGACAACCTGAGGGTGTGCGCGGCCAGTCTATGAAGCTTTTGATCAGCTCATTCTCCCATTGATCAAGAGTTAGGAGCCGAATTTACCTTTAGGGATCTGACACCTTTATCCGGAGACTTGACTTCTCGCCACAACAGCCTCTTGTACCAATCTTCCATCTGAGCAAAAGCTAGACCATTATCGAAGGGAGAAATGGGAAGATCTCCACAATCAACCACGGATATGTTCTGAATGTACGGATTGATCGATTGGCGATAGTTGAAATGACCACTATGATAGGAGAAGCATGAGTTTCAGCGTTCAAATGCAATGCGTACAATACGAAAAGAATGCAAACGTACGCAAGAGAAGCAGCCCGAGAACCTTGTCGAATGGCATTTGGTCCGAATCGTGTACCGGTTCTGTACGATGTTGCAGTGTCAAATGGGAATCCCAAGATCAAGATATCGTCGACCGGACCAGTTTCCGTCAGGCATTGTGCTTGTGGAAGTTTGGAAAATGTGGTGATGCCGGAAAAGGCAAAATTTGCCGAAGGCTCAAGATCATAATCCTCGCCATCGCCTTTGCGCTGGTTGTAAGATGCTAGGCTTGTCTGAGTGTATTCATAGGTGGGAGCTGCGAGGATGCCCGAAAGCTGGGCGGCGGCGATTGTGAGGATGTCGATGTAATGAGGGCGCATCGTGATGTGGAAATGAGTGAGAGAGGACTTGGAGAAGGAGGTGCTCCCAGAAGAATCCGGAGAGGGAGTAATACAAATACCATCTATAGTCTGAGAACACAATTCCGGGGATTTCTCGAGCTATTTCAAGGTGGAAACTAGCTTCAATTTGATACTCAGAAGTTCATCCTTATATCTGTGAGAAGCACTGGAGTGCGAAATTCTGAAGAGCGTCTAATCGAAGTAGGCTATAGTTTCCCTGCACGGGAGGTTAGCTGGTCTCACCGGATGCGATAAACATGATATGACCGACAGCGCTCATCACCGGTAATGGATCTCTGGACTAGTTGAAGTCCATGTCTCGGGAAAGGAGAAAGATCAGACGGGATAGGAACCGTAGAAAAGGTCCTAGCATATTCTTTCCCTATTGGGCATAGGACGATAACTAACTCCGCTTTTTTGGGCTCGTTGGGCATTCTCACCTTCGTTTTCTTTCAATGGAGTCAATATGGAAGCACATCGTTATCTTCGTCTGGAAACCTTCAGCCACCACGAGCCCTGCTCTCATGGATAGTGAATCTTACCTTGCCATTCTTGGACCACGAAAGGATCCGAACTCGCCTGGATCTGATCTTGCTGTTTCCATAATCTTTCAAGCAACGTTTGACATGCTCGGACATTACCCATTCCAAAGTTCATCCATAGGGTCTTCAAGAGACGGCGGATCATCTCCCTGTCTGATGGATTAGAACACAGACAACCCGCCGCGAATAATGGAGGTAAAGCGGCCACGCCAGGACACGGGCTGGCTTGATACGTCATTGATGAAAGGCACATCAGGATCCTCTGTTTGCTCTCCTCGATTAGCCGACGAGGAACGCACAGTGCCCCACGGCGGAAAATCTGAAGTATCGCCATGTGATGGTAGGCTTCGTCGAGCAAATATAAGTCGTGATAGACAGCCCATGGGAGCTCAGCGTTCTGGATTGTCTTTACCATCTTTCTTGTTGCCAATAATGCTCGGACACGATCAAACAGGAGGTGGGATTGGTGCTCGATTGGCGAAGAGCAGTCGAAATGAGGTGGATCAGGAGGGTCATCGTAAACGAAATTGGAGATTTGTTCTTCTCGAGCTCTCTCTAGATCATTGATTCCTTTGAATATTGGTAGCAAGTGTGTGGAATATCCGGCTAGGTCGTCGATCCGAGCATCCGCTCCGCAAGAAGGCGAAAGTGATATATTTCCGGCGTAGCTTCTTGAACCGCATGCCAAGGCAATGGCTTGTAGAGCCTGGTATTTTCTTCTCAGAAAGAGACTCGTGGAGGAGTGGCCCGTTTCGTCGCCAGTATTGTGACGCTGTGCAAGCAAGGCAGAGGCACCTTGGAGATGTAGTCTCCAAGAAGGCATGCTTGAGGTGGGCGAAATAATCTCGGCCATGCACAGAATAAGCATTGTTGCAAGAACCTGATCGTTCGCAGATGGGTCGAAATAGTTCAAAGCAGATCTCAACTGTTTCAGGCTCCTGCCTCGCATCAACTCAAACTGGCAATTTTCTTGGCTAAGGTCGGACGATGGCCGGTGTGCAGCGGCGAGGGCAAATACGGCTGACATGAGGTGAGGGACTTGCAAAGCCATGGGAACAATGTTCGAACAGATGTTGTCTTGAATGCCTTTATGGCAGGAAATTGACACGGTCATTCCGTGGATGAAGTAGTCGAACAGAGAGCTTAGGTGCGGAGGAACAGAGGGCGCTATACTAAGAATATGAAGCTCCGGAGTAGGCATCAAAGAGGAGGACGGTTCATCGAGATCGTTGCGCCCGATAGGCTCAACCCCAGTTGCGGTGAATTTTGGTATCTGAGAGCCACTGGTTTGCAAGTCGCTCCGTATCACATTGGGCGTGGTTATGATGGCGCTTTCCTGACACCTAGATTCATTATATACCGGGATCGAAGGAACACCATAGACAAAGTCCTTGCTTGTAGCTGTGGATGCAATGCTGATGGCCGTGGCACCCGAGTCAAGACACTTGCCGAAACGTGATTTCTTGAATGGCCGGCCACCCCAGGAGAACTGGCGAGAGTAGACGCAAGGTCGGCCTACACTTTGGCAGTACCCACAAGAGGGTTTGGCCTCGTTGCACTTCCAGTGACGCCGACGACATTCATTGCAGCCTTTGCGGGAGCGTTTCTGGGGCAAAGCCGCATACGATCTCGAGTCCGTCATGGTGCGAAGATGGAGAAGGAGGGGAGAGAAAGAGAAAGGATAGCTTATGGCGTACGTTAGCCCAACACTGCTGGGGCGAACATAAATAACATGACGATAAAAATCTTTAGTGCACAGGGTCTCGCCGATATCGTGTGTCTCTCACGCCGCCGGTTCACACAATCTTCCCTCTACCTTTCGTGTTCATAGCATCATGAATTCGTGATAAGTTACTGTATCTCAATCAAGAGGTAACCGAGCGTGGGTATGGCCCCAGCCAAGGTAGCCCCAGTCTGATGCAATTTACCCCACCCCCTGGCGCGACACGTCAATCTGTCATGTTCGAGATTTCCCTGCCCGATCACCTCGGAGCCGACTCTGCTTAAGGTGTTTCGCACTGTGTTCATGCTCCTCCAGACATTGCTGTTCTGTCGCTATCGAATATTGTCGAGCTCGGCATCGTTAGAGTGACAATACCACTGCTAGACGAACCCTCACGTCACTTCCGGATACAGCACGTTGAATTTCGAACAGCGGGAATGCTGAGTGGCCTAGTATCGAAATCCAGGGATCGGATGGAGGACAAAGGGGTGATGATGCCATTGAATCCGCCGGCGGTCCCTTTTCATGGCGGACCTCATGGCGACCTTGAGACCGTTCCGCGGGACCGGACATATGGAACTATGAAATGCGGCGATGTCGAAATCTTTGCAGTAAGCATAATTACCTTCAATTATTCCCCATCATTCGCCTGGCGGATATTGATTTTACAAAATCTGGCACGCTCCTGAACAAAGGCTGTCAAGGAGGGTGCTATCTCCAATACGCCCGTTTGACGGAGGACCTCCATGGTCTCTCTGAAATTTGTACTTGTTTGTTATTGGCTCAGTGGCTTCTTCTTTAGCTCTTCTCGTGGGCCAATTACTTGGACATACAAACAGTTAACATCGAAAGCAGAAGGATGCAAAGACGTCCCCGGGGTTTCAATTTTGCATTTCAAATTCTACGAGACACGATGACCTCCAGAAGACGGGATTACATACTCATTCCAGACGGCTCGCTCTCGGAAGTCTCCTTCTAGCGTCGCTGTTCATTTTGCATAGCTTTGTCTTGCAGCCATCAAGCATTGGATTCTGGCAATCTGTGGTAGCACCGCAAGAACAGCATATTACGCCTATATTACCTCCATCATATCCACTTGCTGTTCGATCGCCGTACCTCTCAGGTAAGATATGAGATCCGGGCTCCATTCACGTGCGCTGACGTTGAATTCCAAGCTTGGCTCCCAGGCTCACACGTTGTATCAATGCCCACCGCACAGGCGGAGTTTTGGCAGGGATCTCCCTTGGGATGGTCGATCGCTGTACGCGTAAACGGTACTGCGTACAGTCTTTTTGGGAATCCAGGAATTGGCACACCAGCCGTGCTCGACAGTGCCGAGTATAGTGCCACTCATTCCATCTTCAATTTCTCTGTCGGCCTGGCGATCTTTTCTTTGGACTTCTTCTCCCCAGCCTCTCCCCACAACCTCCTCCGGCAATCCTTACCCTTTTCCTACCTCACAGTGTCTGTGACCCTCCCTGGCTCCGGGCAGATTCAAATATACAGCGATATCGATAAGGCCTGGGCTGGTCCAAATCCTGCGCAGTATTCCCACTTCACTTCGGCCAAGAACACGGAATACTATGAGGTCTCTCCGGTTTGGCCAAGACTTTTCCGAGAATCGAGAGACAGAGCTTTGTGGGGTCAGGCAATCTATGGGACTCGTCCAGTTGGTGGTTCCGTAGTGACCTCGCAGGTGGGCCGAGCTTCTCTGGTGCGCAATCGGTTTGCCAAGTATGGAAACTTAAGTCAAGTCCATGACGTCTGGAACGATGATGGCAGTGTCCTCGGCTTTTCTCACGACCTAGGTGCAATCCAGGAGCGCAAATCCGTCACGTTTGCCATTGGACATCACCGGGTTGAGTCGATCAATTACCTAGGTCAGGTCCGAACGGGATATTATCGGGCGGCGTACCCTGATGTGGCATCTGCTCTGGTCCATTTTTTGGACGATTACGGCGATGCTTACGCAGAAGCTGCCGAAATGGATAGTGCCCTCACGGACAAGGCATTGAACATTTCGCAGCATTACGCAGACATTGTTGCCCTCTCCGTCCGCCAATCATTGGGCGCTGTGGAATTCACGATTCCTGAAGGCGACCACAATGTGACGGATGTGATGGCCTTCATAAAAGAAATCTCCAGCGATGGAAATGTCAACACACTTGACATACTTTTCCCCACGTTCCCGATCTACTATGTGACGAACCCCGATATCATCAAGTTTCTGCTCGAACCGGTGTTACGTTATCTCCAGGCGGGGAGGTGGCCACACGAATGGGCTATCCACGACATTGGCTCCAGCTATCCCAATGCCGATGGTCACGACACCGGGAATGCAGAACAAATGCCGCTGGAGGAATCGGGAAACATTCTTCTGCTCGTCTACGCCTATCAAGTAGCCTCTGGTGATGCCACCTGGGCCCAGCAGTACCAAGATATCCTCAAAGGCTACGCTACCTATCTGTCCAAGCATGGGTGGTATCCCGAGTTTCAGCTCGCGTCGAGTGACGAGGCTGGCCCGGCCGCGAACCAGACGAACCTGGCGATCAAATCCGCGGTCGGCATGGTCGCATATGGAAAATTGTTCTCGGACCCGTTCTTCGTGGCCAACGGGACCGCACTGGCAGATGCAATTTATGCCTCCGGTCTGGGGACCGACGCCAACAAGAGCCACTTCGTGCTGTCCTACCACGACGGTGACACATGGTCCGGATGCTACAACTTGTTCTCGGACAAGCTATTCGGCTTCGATCTTTTCCCACCTGCCGCGTACGAGATGCAGGCAGCCTGGCTCCGTGGCGAAGTCCGCTGCACCGCCGGCGTTCCGCTCGATAGTCGCGTCACCTGGACTAAGTCTGACTGGAACATGTTTCTGGCTGCTGTCGCGAGCGATGACGTCGCCAGCCAATACGTCAATGACTTGCATGCTTATGCCTCGAACGGTCTGAATGCTGTTCCATTCAGCGACCGCTACTGGGTGGAAGGAAGTGACGCCGGTCACTTCTTCAATATCAACAATCGACCAACTGTCGGTGGTCACTTTGCCCCAATGGCCATGTTGCACGGCCCCAACTTGTTCTGAAGCATCTCAAAGCGATGTACCACAATTTAGCTTGCATAGTATGGAATGGGCGCCTTAGGCTTAGAAATTGAGAAATTTGTGACAAAAAATCAATTAGAGTCAAAGATCCCCTCCTGCTCTTGATAACAGCGTGGCACAGCGACTCGTTCTTGTCGAACGCGCACAACTTGCAGATTTGACATATCAATTTCCTCTAGCCCCTTCCATATTTTACGAACTTTGGACGCACTTATATACGCATTCGGAGTCCGTTTAGACCTCGTCGCCGTCGCCCCTATGGTGAAGAACGTGTTTCGAGGGTTGCAGTACGTTCGGAGACTCCAGAGGCAATTGCCATCTCCTGTCTCAATGTTCGGAGGCCTCGACCGTTCGACAAGTCGACTCCCTACTTTGCCTGATCGATCGTAAATGGTAATATATGATCATGTCTCATCTTGCCAGCGGTGGGTTTGAAAGCAGCGCAGGTTTTACTTTCCTTTGGCTGCGAAAGGTAAAATATGAGGTAGGTTACACCTTCCCCTTCGGGCTTAGCGCTTCATCGTCTTCCCACCCCGCTTTTTATCGCTGACTTCTGGATTTCAAACTTCTTTGCGTATTTACATTTTGCAAAGGAAAGCTAGCACTGGTCATGTCCGATAAAATGAGAATACGGAGAAGCCCTTGGGTTTCCACCGTCTCGCCTCCTTCTATTTCAACGTGACTGTGTTCAGAGAATAATTAGGGCAAGGTAGGAATATTCCTCTGGTGCAGTATTTTCTGGTTTACTTCCTGTGGCCACCTCAATCCTCAATTTTGAAGCATTTCCACTGGGTCTAAATGGCTTCACTCGGCCCAGATGAGCGCTCATCACTTCTTCCAAGGTCAATTAGTCCTCCTTCCAACAAAGATTTCACCTTTAATATCTGGCGAGACCTTGGCCTGCTTACCAGACGAACAATCCCTATCTGTCTTTCGTTCGCCCTCCAGAACGCCGTCCAAGCTATTAGTGCGGTGATAGCTGGATCACTCGGGTCGTTCGAGCTAGAAGTCACCTCGTATGGTTTCATGTTCCTCTCGTGCACGGGTACGATGCTGGCCATTGGAGGAAGCACCGCCCTTGACACTTTGGGCGGTCAAGTCTTCACGTCCGAAGCCGCCACTGAAAATCCAGAGATCCTGGGACTCTTGTTACAGCAATGTGTGCTCGTCTTGCTTGTCATATTTGGGATCTTCATCATTCCCCTTTGGGTATGTTCAGGGTACATCTTCATGGCCCTTGGTCAAGAACAGGAATTTGCTTTTGCAACGGGCCGGTTTATGATTGTGATGATTCCTGCGGGCATCTTGCAGGTCCTCGCCGAGTGTCTCAAGAAGTTTCTTCAAGTCCAAGGCGCCAGTTACGCCGTTGGATGGGTTACCCTGACGGCCAGCACGGCTGGTGTCGTAACTACTTTGCTCATTGTCAGGTGCATGGAACTCGCCCTATGGGGGGTACCTGCTGTTTTTGGCATGTATCAACTGTTCACAGCTGTCTTGTTACTCTGGCAGATCTTCCATACACCCTCGATCAGAAATACTTGGCGAGGGTCAATAGCTGGAATGACGAAAGGGTTGCCCCGCTTGTTTTCCTATGCCGCCACTGGCATCTTGACAATTGCGACTGAATGGTGGAGGTAAGGCTTTACCTTCAAATGAACTACGGAAATAACACGACATTTCTATCTAGCTTTGAAATCCTCGCCATGATGGCGGCGCGACTTGACAAGGATTCTATCGGCGCTCAAAGTGTATGTCTCAAAGGCTAACTGATCAATGACCAAAGCTAACATCACATCCAGATCCTGATGTCTTCGGACCTACTTTTCACGACTGTCTCTCTCGGAATCAGCGTAGCAGCGAGCCATCGCATCGGAGGTCTACTTGGAGCTGATCAGGGTTCGCTGGCGAAGAAGGCCGTTGTCACCCCATTTTTGCTATCCTTGATCATTGGGTCCCTTGAATTTATCGTCATTATGCTCGTACGAGGTTACTACGGTCGCCTCTTTACAGACGAACAATCGGTCATAGAGAAAACAGCTCAGGTTCTTCCGTTGATGGCCGGGTTTCAAGTCCTGGATCTATCTAACGGCGGTGCTGGAGGTATTCTGCGCGGTGCATCCAAGAACCATTTATCAGGCCTCTGCAATCTCATTGGTTACTACGGAGTTGGCTTGACCTCTGCCTGGTTCTTGTGTTTTCAAAAAAGATATGGTCTTTTCGGTTTGTGGGCAGGTATTATCACCGGTAGCGGTGCACTTCTCGTCCTCCAGTCATGCTGCATCCTGAGTATATCTTGGAAAGAACTGAGCAGAGAGATTTCTCACAGTACATAGCGTTCACAATGATAGGAGAGTTGGAGTTGTCAATAGCTTTGGTGTGTCCTCGTCGCGGATTTGGCTATGGTGTTCAGCGGTCAACAAGGCTGTATTGTCGTCGCGTCATGGACCTTAAAATGGCCCTCAGCGGTGTTTCATCTTCCCCCGCAACTCAGACCCCCGCTGCTTTGGCCATAAGCTTTTGGTTGACAAGCTGGGTCACCCTTGATATCTATGCTCTCTTTTGAGAGATTAGATCTTGAGGAATCCCAAATACCAGGACACTATCCTGGCGCGGAGTGCAGACGAAAAACCTGCGACAAAACATGCTATTGACCTTGGGTGACTGGGGTTGGAACCTGCTTTCGCTTAGTTTTTGATTGCAGTCACCCGCAAGTCATCAGGATGATGCAGTTCCTCCCTCAATAATCCTGCGAGTGGTCCTCCTTGAAGATGGGAAACCGCTCACTGAGATCTCTTTGTTGAGGTCGGTTTCTTAAGAAATTGCGACACCTCTTCCTTTTAAATGACTACTTCAATGGTAGCTGCCTGGTCTTGCAGAGCTCCCAAGGTTCTTTTATGCCTTATTTTCGCATGCTATGTGCAAGCTACGGCGACCGCGTCGAATTTCACCATTGTAAATGGTCAAATATACACACCAGGCTTAGGCATTATCGACGCGCCGCAGCCATTTACCCCGGAAGGAGGTGGTGAGTTTGTGGTTGGCCCCTTGAACCATCTGACGGTTTATGATGTTATCTGCGGTGGATATGTCTCTCGATGGAACCAAAGATTTGACCTTGGTTGAGGTGACTGACTGATTCTCGTGCGGTGTTTAGACTTCCTCCATGTCGCAATCGACATTTCAGGCGACGGCCGGATCCCTCAGCCTCCCTACCCTTCGGACGTCGACACCGGCATCTTGAACATCACCATGTTCCTCTTCAGCTACTCGACTGGCCTCAACCTGACGATCTCGAACGGCACCAGCGATGGATGGCTCAACGACACTTCTGCTGAAGCGCCGGAATTCCATTGCAACTCCACGACCACTCAGGGTTTCCAGAATGCCGGCTGCGAAGAGGTCATGGCGCAAGAGAGCGGCAGCACAGTCAAGCATGTCAATTGGGCATGGCCCGACTGTTTGGTAGGAGATGGAGATGCAGACAAAGATACGGAGAATGGTACAAATTCAACAGCCCGGGGCTCATATAACGTGTGTACAGCTGCTCGCTCTTCACTCGGACTTTATTGCAAACATAAGACTGACCAATTGTTTCGGACAGGTCTCCATCCACCAGTCCTTCCGAATCAACGGAACCGGATATTACACCATCTTCAATCTCCCTATCGAAGTTACCAACTCGATCCCCAACGACACACAGCTCTCCGCGAGTAAAACTCGCCCGTTATGTGCGCTTCGCAACAACCCGCTGCAGAATCAAACGAGCCAGGACGCTAGCGCATCTACACCGTCCTCTCAACCATATCTCGGTGGCAACGTGAGCATTGGCGGCGAAAATCAAAATGAATCGGGCGCCGGAAGTCGATCCGTTGATTGCGCGATGACAACCGCGGCTCCAATGCTTCTTATGGTGGCCCTTGTTTCCATGGTACTGATGTGATGAAAATCTATTTACAACCTTGTCGAGGTTTGCACTTGCTTCCTATCTTGAGAGTGCCATCCACGTCGATTTAGAGGGTATGTGGTTTTATGTCTGCCTGTCCCTGTATATTCAGTATATATCATGATACCCGAGTTGAGAATGACATCTATATATGCTCGCAATCTTTTGGTCGGTATCGTCCTCCCCCTTCAAACATGTCAGCGACAAGTAAACCCAAACAAACTCTTCCTACCAGGACCATCGAGTTTGTACTAGCCAATCACAGGAGCAAGGTTCCATTACTTGCGGGGGACCCATTATAAATGCTTCATTGATCCATTATCAATTAAGTAGGTTACTTCATCCCTTTTTCTTGCCTCGAACAGACTTCTTTTCGTCGCGCGAACATGTATGTACAGCTTCACCCCCCACCCCTCGTACTGTGTATTTACATTTCTTCCCGTTTCGCACATATCTCGTCACGGCATTCAAAACAAGGCCGTCAAATAGCGCTAATGATCTGGTCTAACTCCCCTGCACAGAGCTGGGAGTCATCTCGTAGTAGTGAATGGCCCCTTTCGCTTTAGCGCAGCTGGTGTTAGGAGTGGTGGCGTTGACAGGGATGGAGTTGCCTTCTTGAGGACGTCCGACAACCTGTGAATCACAGTAAGTCGGCTTCTTGTCTCGTCGCCTTGTCAACCGAGCTGTCAGGAACACTTACATGGCTATAATACCAGACTTCACTGAGGACGGTGCGGCCACCGTCGTCGCTGCCCTCGCCGGCCTCGGTGGTGTTGTATCTCGCGCCACTACATCCAATGTACGGTGTGGCGCCGTATTTCTTGGCCAAAGCGCTCTGGATCTCGGACAAGGAGTAGGTGGTCTTGTTCGAAGGGACGATGTCGGCCTCGTTCAGCCACTCCCACGTGGGGAGGCGCTTGTAGTACATGATGGTGGTCTCGAAGAAGTCGACCACATCTTCGTGCTCGACGTACTCCGGCCCGTAGCAGGGAATGTCGAAGGTCGAGAAACATGTGGCATGCTTGCTGAATTCGTGGGCCCAGAAGTCGCTGTTCGGAGCGCCCTGGTTGATCCAATACGTATTCATCCAGTCGAGCAGATCGTAGCGGCCAAAGGGCTTGAGGAAGGTCCCGATATTGGGACCTGTGTAAGGTGGAACGAAGGTGCCGTTGGGGAGACCGTTGGTTGTGTTGGGTGAAGGGACCGGGTCATATTGTCGAGACAGGTCGCAGTACTGTGTGTAGGAGCCGTTGCAAAAGTCGGGCCACAGGCCGTGCAGAGTCCAGGTGTTGGGGGGCAGCTTTTGGCCTTTGGATTCAAGGCCGGTCCAGGTCGACCAGAATTGCGTCGATAGCAGCAGGCCGCCGAAGGTTTCGGTGCAGCAGGTGTCGACGCTGGCTGGGTTCGCGCGGGGGGAACATGAAAGGATAGATGGTTCTCGGGTGATAGGTCAGTCTATGCATTCGAGACCTCAACTTGGAGTCGACCTCTATAGACTCACCTAAGACACAAGTGTGATTCAATTTGGTTTCGCCGTAGAGCGAGGCCTGCACTGAGCCCAGCAGACTAGCAGCGAACGCGGCGTGTTTGACAGACTTCATGATGACCTTTTGGATTCAACCGTGAAAGAAGCAAGAGACGTAAACAACACAACCACAGCGCAAGCAGCAGTTCGCAGCTAGGGTCCAGAAGGAGAGGGAGGGGGGAAAAAAAATATGAAAGCTCTTATACTCTACCTTTAACCTCATAGCGTGCAGCGATCAGCTCCACGTTTCTCGTGGAAGTTTACAGCTCTTTCGCTTGAGAAATCGATCTACAGGTCCCCTCCACAATTGGAGAACTGCTTATCAACGAGTCGGATAGCATGGTTGAGGCACCTGTCCGAAAAGTTTCCAGTCCGGGGCATATTGGTATAGATTCCATGATGCATGCAAAGGTCAGGGTAACAGTGCGAACGGGGTAAGATGGGAAACTAAAAGAGTACCTGCACGAAACCTTTTACTCGTGCGGGACTGATTGGAGGACGGGAAGTGGAAGGAGTGGTGGGAAGGCAATACGATATTAGAGAGGTTGCAGTCAAAGGACATCATGATCTTGGGGTCTGTCGCCCGGGCCTCGCCGAACCCGTAGAACGAGATCCAAGGCCGAGATTGGAGGGTGGGATACACACTTCGAAAACGAGAATTTTCTATGCAGGTACGAAGGATCCTCTGATGATCACGACAAGTACTCGAGTTAATGGGAAGGACGAAAACCGAGATTCAATCCCAAAACTATATATTAATCTCCTGGAGGCTCGGCCGATCAAAAAAAAAAAAAAACCCCCGTTACTCGTCAGGTCGATAATCTGTCTGTCCCAGCATCTCCTGTCCTTTTGGAAGATTAGGCACATTAGTCGTGGTTGGCTGAGTTGGTACTCGACTACTTGCTGCGTTCAGCCTTTCATCTAATGCTTTGAGGGCCAACGCTCGTCGTCGTTCCGCCTCCTCCCGCTTGCTCATGCCTCGTGCGCCACGGGGTTGCTTGTTGAAACTGGGCAGTCCAGCCTCGCCCCTTGCTGCAGCTTGCTCATTTCCTGTTGCGATATCTTCATCGGAGAATGGGGTGCATATCTTCAATTTGCATAGCAAGATAAATATTTGGTTACAGAATGCCGCAATAGGTGGCTGAATCACGTCGGGAAAGAAGGTCGCAAATGCAAAGGTCTCACTGGCATCGCCCTTTAAACCTCGACCGTCGGTGTTTGTGGCTGACAGATCGGGTTGGCTTTTGTAGAATCGAAGATATGTCCATGTCGTGATCAATCCATACCAAGCCAGGATGAAAGCAGTGTCGGTCCCTAGAATGATGCCGGACAAAGTGTTGACAGCCAGGAATACTGCGGGAAAATGCTTGACGCGCATTTTGACCATGCCCTTGTAGATGCTCACGGTATGTTCGGGAACGAGTTGTTTGAATGCGACAAGGAAGGCCGCCTGTGTGGTTATGCCGCCATTGATCGGAGTCAGCGCTCTCTCGGGGTTGCCGGTCAGGGCTGCCCATATGATGTACGTAGGCACAACCAGGAGATTGGGTATTATTGAAGAAATGAGTATGACATGTATGAAGCCTTGAGAACCCCAGGCTCTTTCCAGATATTTGCCGCCAAAGAAAACCGTGGCGCCATTGATGAGCAGTGTAAAGATATTTTGTTCCACAAAGGTGGCGCTGAGTAATGTCCAAGGATACCATAAACACTGCGATGGGATAAGAGCAAGATAAGGAACGATAGGCCGTGCGGGAGGAGTTGTTGGTGCGGCTTCGTCGGAAGAAAGCCGCCATCGAGCAATGTTGTAGAGAAAAGTCAGGGTAATAATGACGGCGAGGAGGACTCGGGAGACAGGTGGAAGATTGATTCTGAAAGCCATTGCGCAAGAGAAAACCAAATCACATCCTGCGATTGTTCGCACGCCTGGTGTGGAAGCGTGTTGAATTGAACTAGGAAGGATGCGTTGTCGCTGGTTCTCGTGCAGCAGGAACAACGGGGAGGTGTGAAGTATCACGATGACAATAACGAGGTCCTGGAAAATATTGAGTGAAAAGCCAACTGCGTTTACTGAGGCGGCTGCTTCCTTAGACGCTTTGGATGGATCGGCTGGATAGACGGAAGAGGAGCCTGCGCCACCCGAAGAAGGAATTAGGAGAACTCGGAGGATCGTGTTAATGGATAATCAGAACCAGAGCTTGTACCGTAGCACACGATGGTGCGCTGGCTGTTGCATTAATGGTCCTTTGTTTTCTATCAAGGCTGATCACCGGGCAAACTTGGGATTTTCAATTTTACGTTGGTGACCTGGCCTTGCCGAATTTGGGTCACGAGATGGCGCAGGGACTGAGGTTGTAGGCACGGTACTTTGGTGGAGCATACTAGGCTTGGCTTTAGTTACTGGCCTCCCTTGCCTACCCTTTCGGACTGGTCGCATCCTATCATCGTTTCCACTGTTAGGCTCTGACTTGAAACAGGTTCGCTATTCACGCCATCATCTCCAGCTTCAGTTCCATTTTCCATTTCCATTTCCATCCCCGTTCGCCACGGTTTAAACAACTTACCATCTTTTGTTCGCAATCGACAATTCGACCTTGCATGCCCTCCCTCGTGGTGTCTCATGATCACGATTCACTGCATTGGCTGTCTTCTCTTCAGGTCAGGTGGTTATACGCCCTCCTGTGGCTCCTGCATTTTTCCCTGCATCGCGGTCCAGGTTTTCCTTGATCGACCACTCGATCCAAACACCTTGCGCAAACTTCATTCGCGATAAATTCGGAATCCAATCATCTCTCTGAATCGAGTCCATCATCGCATAACTTTTTCTGTTTTCTATTATTTCGATATCTCCATCTCGACTTGAACACGAAGCAACCCCCTGCCCGACTGTTCTGTCGAGCGGAATGTCGGCATGGAGACCGACAATGGCTCGACCTTCAACGCAAAGCCACCCCCACTAACTTCTGATCAGCTTAATTATCTTATATGGAGGTGTGTTCACAGTCAAATCCCCTCTCTTTGCGCATGGCGAGGTGCTGACCAAGGCCCTTTTTTCTTTTCTTTTCTTTTTTCCAGATATCTTCAAGAGTCGGGTAGGCTGCGCACGAAATCCAGCCGCATTTCCCTGTTCTAACATTTTACCAGGATATGCTGAAGCGGCTGTTAAGCTTCAACGCGACTGGAAAGTTGACGCCGAAAGTCTGCCATTTGCAAAGGCCATCAAAGGCCATGCGCTGGTTTCTCTTGTTCAAAAGGGCCTCCGGTACCACCACTTATCGTTAACCATTGACGAGGTATCCTCTCCTGCTAGCGTGCCTCACATGCCGTATCCTGGCGCTAACCCCAGTTTAGAATGGCCGACCTTCTAAACAACTCAACCCGTCCATGTTTTTCTTTGGCCCTGAGAACGAAAAGCCTCCGCCAGAACTTCCAGAGGAACTTCTTCCACCAGCCCCGTCACCCGATCCATCCGCTACCGCTCGTCGAAAAGCAGTTCGTGATGTTATTCCCAACGGTGTGCCGGAGGTTCCCCCGCAGCCAGCACCCAAGCGGGGCCGAAAGACAGCGGCGAGCTCAGAGCGCAATGGAAGTGCGGCGCGAAAACAATCGTCGTCTGCCAACCAAGGGATGGATGTCGATATGATGAACGGCCACCCGACCTCTTTAGCGGATGCGAGGTCCCCTTCCGCAACTGAAGCGGGAATCGATGAAAATGGTACCATGGTCAATGGCACCAGGATGGATGAGCGCATGGATGTAGATGAAGAGTCCCTGACGGCAGATCAACAACACCACGAGGTGCATGTTGAAGTTGTGCCACCCCCCATCCATACCCTAACGACTGGCGCTAGTATAGGCGTCCAGGTCGCACCAGCCAAGGCCGCGGATCTCACACCATCAACCAGCGTCCTTCAAATCCCCTCTCCTGCAGGGGTCGAAGAATCCAAAGCTCTAACACGGGTTTGCTGGCGCCCCGGAGACAACAATATCGTTACAGCCATGGGAGATAATTTCTGTGGAGTGTGGAATACGAGTGAACGTTCCTCAGATTCCGATTCCGTACCGAGTTTCCACGAACTTGTTGAGTCGACAGAGACAAATCTGGTGAGTGCGGTAGCTTGGGAACCTAATGGAGAAATGCTTGCTGTGGCAACGTACACCAATCACTCAGGCCAGATACACCTGTTTGATGGGCAAGAACTTACCCTGATGGAGGCCTTGCCGGCGTCGCAAAGAGCCATCACTTCCTTACAGTGGCAGGATCGAGGCTTGCGTCTCCTCGGAATTGCGCCGTACGACTCCGAAAATTCAGAGTCTGACCAGGACGGAGGTTCGTCGATTCTTCTCTGGGATCTGTCAAAGTCGCCCAATGTTACCGGGCCCATGTCGATGTTTGTGCCCGAGATCCTGGTGGACATGGATTGCGCATCATTCGGGGGCAATGCCATTGTCTGCGTTTCAGGACAAAACGCTGTCTACCACTGTCGAGCCTTGTTGGATCTTGGGATTGAGCAAAAATGGACATCCAATTCCGCCGATAGCGATCAGTGGACTTTTGTCCGATGTGCCTGGCGCGGCACTACCGATGCCATCTTGTTGGCTGCTTCTGCCGACACTGGATGTTTGTGGATGCCTGCCCAGGGTATAATGAAACAGGATGCGCATGAGGCCCCTATCACTGGCCTCGAACTCCGACCTCGGCTACGCAACGCGTTGAATCCGTCACTGAAGTCAGAATTCGCTTCGTCATCAATGGATGGAACTATCAGAGTCTGGCGATATGATGAGGACAGCAATTCCATCATTTCCATCTGCAAGCTTATCATTGGCCATACGTCGCCTGTCATGACATTGTCATACTCTCCAGATGGTTTCTGTCTTGCGGGGGCTAGTTATGACACCATCCGTATTTGGAACGCTGAGCATTCGCACAATCACATGGCAACGTGGAAGGGTGAACAAGATTCGTGGAATGGTTCACGACTTAAAGACGACGATATAATGAGTGTGGGCGGTATCTCCAGTATGAACGGCGATGCGCTTCAAGCGAGTGCCGATCATGCTTTGACATGGGATGCCGAAAGCAAAAAGCTGGCATTCGGCCTTGGGTCCCAGGTGAGTTGCTCGACACTTTCTTTGAACAACGGTCCAGCTGACGAATATAGGTTGCTGTTGTTGACTTCCAGCGTTGAAATCATATCTCACATGGCCCGATGGAACCGACCAATCACGTGGAAGCTGTAAATCTGCTGTTAACAGCCTCTTGCGACGCCCGTGTCGATGAGTTTCATGCACAGGATGCCCGATTTGGATTACTGTGGGCGCAAGATACGACGCTCAATTGCGCTCGAGGTCGATAAAGCAACGAATCGGAACCAAGGCGATGGACCACATAACCAAAATGTACGATACCCGCTCCCATAGGAGCTCTGATAATTAATCATGTCCTAGGGGCGCTCTCAAACTCACCCCGTTCGTCCTCCGTATTTTCTGGGGCATTCTGTAACACATTCGATCGAGGATTATTCACGCTCTCTGAAAATCTCAATTCCTCCTCCACATCTCGAAACCCACGAAGCCAAGCTGTCACGCCTTCGTGTAGGACCTTCACATCAGAAGCACCGTCAGAACCATGGCCTTCTGGTCCTCCAATTGGCTCATCCACGTAATAGCGACCACGAAATCTTCCCCGCCCTCTGGTTACTATTCGTCGAGGAGTTCTATTTGGTGTTGGAGAATTATTTATCCATCCTTCTAACCCAGCGACTGCGCTCGACATGGCATTGACTGCAATCTCCTTCTTCGCAGACTCCGACCGGGTCTGGTCAAGTTGACCTTTGACTCTCTTGTTCTCTTCGGCCAACAGTCGATTCCTGTCCTTCCACAACACAATTTCTTCGGAGAACTCCCGCAAACGCCTCTCCTGCTGTATACATCTTTGTGCGACCGCCTCCAACTTTTCGATTGTTAACTGGTAAAGATGGCGTTGTTCCTGCTGTCTCATACACATCGAGTGAACGGTGGAGCTTAGACGCGTTCGAATGTATTCCAGTTCATGCTCGGCGACGGTCTCACCGGTGGCTGTCGTCGACGAATGTTTAAGGTGGGCTGTCTCAGCATCGCTTTCGTCTGATGAACGCGAATCATCTTCTAGAGCGGCTTCAATTTGGTCCATGGCTCTCTCGAGCTTCCTTCTCTTGTCTTCACGAATGGCGCCATCCTGCTCAATAGCCCAAATTTCGGAGACCAGGCCGTTGAGACGATCAGCGATTCCAGACTGGGTGAGCGATTCATGTGGTCGAGATGAACTCATGCATTTGTCCTGAGGTCCCGGAGTACCCGTTCTAATACTGATCGCGGAATCTGCGAAGAGAGAGCTGTTGGTCCAAGATGAACCAGGTCGGGTTGGCGAACCCACTCCAATGTCGCGCTGGTGATCCGCTAGCGACATGGTCCCAACGTGTTGTGATTAGAAGTCGTATGCTATTGCGTGCGTGTAAATCTCATTCAAGTGAGAGGTGACGATGGGAGTGAAGCGTATGAACCGCAGCCTAGAGCTGAGAGCAGCTTGGAGAGTATGTGGGGAGGCACCGTGTGGCCGGCCCGATGGTGGTGGCTGGCAGACTGGTCACGTGTTGACTGCCAGGCCGACCAAGCCATTTTTTCTATGGAACAAATAACCAATCAAAATCTGGGATATCCACACAGGAGAATCTCGATTGTGTGCGACATGCAAGAGATTTCAATTATAACCAGCGGTGCGGTGCCTGATCGGGTTCATCGGTGGAAGGGGTTGTGGGGGAGAGCCAGCGTTCACGGCGGGATGAAGACGACCAGTTCTTCCGATGCTTCTCAGGGTGCGTAGGCGGTGACTCAGTTGTACCCAATATTTCCTCCACTCCATAATGCTTACCGCAAACTGTCCTGTCATGCAATCAAGAACCATAGCTTCCTCTTTAATGGAAAAATCAAGGATCCTCCGAACTGAGATTAGCCAACCTCTGAACTAATTCTCCACTGCGTCGCCGTTTCTATTCGGCCTCTCTCTTCATGGTGATTTTTCTTCATTCCCTCTCTATCCATTCCAATGGCTAATACAACCCAGGCACAAATTCAGCCTTCTCTAGAGGAGGTCGCCTCTGTCCTCTCGAGATCGAAGTCCTCTCGATACCCACCTAACCTCGTGCCGCTTTGTGCTCAAATCCCTGCCGATCTTTTCACTCCCACACAAGCATATTTGAAAGTCTCAGATGGCTCTAAGCTCTCGTTCTTGTATGAGAGCGCGGCGACAACAGGAACCATTGGCCGATACAGTTTTGTTGGAGCCAATCCACTCAGGGTCATTAAGTCAGGTCCGGGTCATGGACCTGAAGAAGATCCTCTACCACGCCTTGAACAAGAGCTGTCACAATACCGAGTAGCAACTATACCTTCGCTCCGACTTCCACCTTTGACTGGGGGTGTGATTGGATATGTCGGCTATGACTGTGTACGGTATTTCGAGCCCAAGACGGCCCGTCCTATGAAGGATGTCTTGAAGTTGCCGGAAAGCTTCTTCATGCTCTACGATACCATTGTTGCCTTTGATCATTTCTTCAATGTCTGCAAAGTCATTACCTACCTCCAAGTTCCCTCGTCGGGCTCTGCTTCGGATCTTTCCTCAGCATACAGCAAAGCATGTGAAACGTTGCGGAAAATGGTGTCAATCCTGCAGGCCGAACACATCCCACTTCCACATCAACCTCCCATAGCCCTGAATCAGTCTTCAAAGTCGAACATAGGAAAATCAGGATACGAAGCCCACGTCACACAGTTGAAAAAACACGTGTGCAAAGGAGACATTATTCAAGCCGTCCCGTCGCATCGGATAGCACGACCCACCACTCTACACCCTTTCAATATTTATCGTCATTTACGAACAGTCAACCCGTCACCTTATCTATTCTACATCGATTGCGAAGCTTTCAGTATCGTTGGAGCATCGCCGGAATTGCTGGTTAAAGAGGAGGCTGGTCGAATCATCACACATCCTATTGCAGGCACCGTCAAACGAGGTCAAGGTCCTGAAGAGGATGAAAGACTGGCCGAGGAGTTGCGCAATAGCATCAAGGACAGAGCCGAGCATGTCATGCTGGTAGATTTGGCAAGGAACGATGTGAATCGAGTCTGTGATCCACTATCCACGCGAGTCGACCGACTCATGGTGGTGGAGCGATTTAGTCATGTGCAGCATCTTGTCAGCCAAGTTTCCGGAGTCTTAAGAGACGGCGAGAACAGGTTTACCGCGTTTCGAAGCATTTTCCCGGCTGGCACAGTCTCTGGGGCACCAAAAGTCAAAGCGATGGAGCTCATTGCCGAACTCGAAAAAGAGAAGCGAGGAATATATGCGGGCGCTGTTGGATATTTTGGTTTCTCCCGGGTCTCAATAGATGGATCCAAAATCGAAGATGACGGTGCTATGGATACTTGCATTGCTTTACGCACGATGGTTGTGAAGGATGGCGTCGCTTACTTGCAAGCCGGCGGCGGTATTGTGTTTGACAGCGAAGAGGAGGATGAATGGATTGAGGCCATGAACAAGTTGGGTGCAAATATCAGAACGATTGAGGAAGCCGAGAAAAAATATCTCGCTCTAGAAAAGATGGCAGATGGCCATGCCCACGCCAACGGTGTAGTTAGATAGGGTCTGGATGCAGCCCGCTGCACAAAAGCACCTCTGAAAGGAAAATTGTGAGTTGTCGAAAGGCTAGCCAATCACATCAGTTGGACTGCTTCGGGATTAGCGCCTTAATTCTTGGCGCCATTAGCGTTCGCACCACCCAGACTCCCAAAAATTTGTTGTCGGTCGCTACTTTCATCAGCCTTTCATCCATTTCTCGACCATTCAATCGCTGATTTCTGTCAGGACTTCTCGCTCAGTCTTGACAGCCTCGATCGGCCAGTCGCCAAGATGAAGTTGAATATCTCCTACCCGGCCAATGGGTCACAGAAACTCGTCGAAGTCGAAGATGACCGCAAGCTGCGCGTCTTCATGGAGAAGCGAATGGGCAATGAAGTGCCAGGTGACAGTCTTGGTGATGAATGGAAGGGCTACGTATGGATTTCTACGACCCAGGACAGTGGAAACGAATGCTGACGGCGATATTAGATCTTCCGCATCACCGGTGGTAATGACAAGCAAGGCTTTCCCATGAAGCAGGGCGTCGTACGTACTATCCCCCTATGCTTGAAAGCGCCAGCGAGAAAATGCGTTCGCTGAGACTTGATTCATTACAGATGCTCCCAACCCGTGTCAAACTCCTCCTCTCCGATGGCCACTCTTGCTACCGACCTCGCCGAACCGGAGAACGCAAGCGCAAATCAGTCCGTGGCTGCATTGTTGGCCAAGATCTTTCCGTCCTAGCTCTGTCCATCGTCAAGCAAGGCGAGGGTGACATTCCAGGTCTGACCGATGTTGTCAACCCCAAGCGTCTTGGTCCCAAGCGTGCCACCAAGATCCGAAGGTTCTTTGGCTTGAGCAAGCAAGACGATGTCCGGTATGGTTCTACATTCTCGATCAGATGACACAAAAGATTCTAATACAGTCTCCTACAGAAAATTCGTCATCCGCCGAGAAGTCGTTCCCAAGAAGGAGGGTGCTAAACCATACACCAAAGCTCCCAAGATCCAGAGACTCGTCACCCCTCAACGATTGCAACACAAGAGACACCGAATTGCACTGAAGAGAAGACGTGCTGAGGCATCCAAGGATGCTGCCAATGAATATGCTCAATTGTTGGCCAAGCGTGTTCACGAGGAGCGTGAGAAGAGAACAGAGCTGAGAAAGAGACGTGCCTCTTCGATGAGAAAGTAGAGGGGAGGATAAGATTTCACAACGACGGTGACAAAAATCAAAAGGAAACCAGATGTCACGGGACTAACCGGGATGTGGATGGCAGATGCATTTGCCAGTTAAACTCTGAGCCCACCTGGCAAACACCGGGCCTTGTGACTGGAGGGAGGTGAGGAATGTGCGTCGTGTCACCACTTGATTGATGTAGAACGAACACTACATCACGCATGGCAACTAGTACAAAATAAAACAAATCCAAACACTCGACTGAGTATGGCGACCTCTATTTTTTTTTGGATCCTCTACTCTTCTATTTTTCTCCCTCCCTCCAAAGTCATTGCCAATTCAGAGTCTTCAGCCAAGCCCCAAACGAGCCGCACGAAAGTTCAACTGCTAGTGAAGAGTGTGCCCAATACAACCAATAAGAGCCCAGCAATATTCACGCCACCCATTACCGGCAAAGCAAAAATTTGTACCTCTCAACCTGCGCGGAGCTCTATTCCGTTCATTTTTTTTTGTGGTGGGGGGCCCTTCGCCTTTATGAGCAGCAGCAATTTTCCTCCCTTTCATTCTTCTCGTCGCAATGTTTCTTCGGTGACCAACTCTCCCTTCCACTACGCACACATGGCGTCAAACTCGATCAAGCTCTTGACTGGCAACAGTCACCCCGACCTTGCCAAGGCTGTGGCTGACAGGTTCGTGCTTTGCAACCCGCAAGAAAATGAGCAAAGAGACAATCCCTAACCCTGTCGTATGGCTCTAGGTTAGGTATTGAACTCACCAAGATAATGGTCTTGCAGTATTCAAATCAAGAGACCAGTGTGACAATCGGTGAATCTGTTCGAGACGAAGATGGTACATATCCTATCCACCACCAGCCTACCTTCCCACCCTTACCCATCCTACAAACTTCATGGTCTGTTCAGCGTTACCTGACAGAAGATCGATATAGTTTTCATTCTCCAGTCGACCCGACCTAACGATATCAACGATGGCCTCATGGAACTCCTCATTATCTGCAATGCCTGCAAAACCGCATCTGCTCGTCGAATCACGGCGATCCTCCCCAACTTCCCTTATGCTCGTCAAGACAAGAAAGACAAGTCCCGGGCACCCATCACGGCCAAGTTAATGGCCAACATGCTCCAGACAGCTGGGTGTAATCATGTTATTACCATGGACCTTCACGCATCACAAATCCAAGGCTTTTTCAATGTCCCCGTCGATAACCTCTACGCCGAGCCCAACGCGGTGAAATGGATTCGAGAAAACATCATGCACGCCACTGAGACTAATTCAGAGGTGAATGGTGTCAAAGAGGACTGCGTTATAGTCAGTCCCGATGCAGGTGGTGCCAAGAGAGCCACTTCTATGGCCGACAAGCTCGATCTTCCTTTCGCTCTCATTCACAAAGAACGTTCTCGACCGAATGAAGTTAGTCGAATGACACTCGTGGGTAATGTCCAGGGAAAGGTCGCCATTCTTGTCGACGACATGGCCGATACTTGTGGAACCCTTGCGAAAGCTGCCGACACACTGATCAAGCACGGAGCCAAAGACATCGTTGCTCTTGTCACCCACGGAATCTTGTCTGGCAAGGCGGTGGAAGTCCTGAAGAACTCGGCGCTCTCAAGACTGGTGATCACGAATACCGTTCCCATTTCGGAAGAAAAGATTGACGCTCTGAAAGTTGAAGAGGGACAAAAGGGCTGCAGGCTCGAGTTTATTGATATTGCTCCAGTTTTGGCGGAAGCGATTCGGAGAACCCACAATGGTGAGAGTGTCAGCTATTTGTTTAACCATGCCGTGTCATAGAGGATGGCCATTATTCAGGATCAACGGCAATTTTACTCTGGCGTCTATCACGTTTGATAGGATTGGTTATCGGCCTGATGGACGGTAAAGGGACAAAGGCTAACCTGAGCTTGTGGTTCACCCTCAGCCGCTTTGCGTGTGAGCTTGGGAATCCCCAAAAAAACGCCTGAGGCATCTTTCTGTGCCGAAGTTTCTCTCACCTTTCACACTAGATCCACCTCTGTTGCCAGATACTGGGTGTCCGCCAACCTGGTTGTCAAGTGGGAGACTATGGCTATTGCCAACTGACAGCACTAAGGTCGCCGCAGCGCCACATTTGTGTCCTTAGGGATGATGTTCACAAGAGCCACGATATATGGCTTTTCACGAAATGCTGAATGACCCTAATTTGGCGAGAGGGATTTTAAAACAAGTCTTTTTTTTCTCCCCCTTGCAATCGAATGAGGCGACGAGTTGCCCAGTTCCTATTTTAATCTGGCAGTCGTAGTGGAGTCTCATGTCGGTAGTGCCCAGCAAGGTTACACAAAGCAATCACCTGGACAGTCGATTGGATGTTCCTATAGGTGAGGGATATATACATGTATATATTATCCCGAATACTTGATTGGGCGGGGGCTGTCCAGTGGCTGCCAGTTACAAACACACACGCAAAGCCTTGTCCACCGGTCCGGGATTCGGCTCTCTCCCTCACTGTCATGAGCGAGAAACCAGAAACTCCCTCGATATTGAAGATGTATCACAGAAATGATAGGATCAGGTAAGCTATTGATCAAGCTGTAAGACAGTCAATCAATCCATTAATCGGCCCCTTCCATCCACCACCATCCCCTCTCCGAGCTCTTGGAGCGAACAGAGCTGCTCGGAAGTCTTCTTCCCAGGTTTTCAGCAATTGGGTATCAGTGGAGGGAAGGAGACCTCCGCCATCCCTACTGCCGCCATCAGACACATGACCACTAGATGGACATTTTCTCTTCTGACAAAGACCTCTACGCACTGCGATTCACCACATCACTCTGCCGATTCAGACAAGGTCTCGACCTCCTCCAAGTGGCGAAAAAGAACTTTACCAGATCTCACCGGTGACATCTACGATATCATCTTGAGGCAGATCTCCAGGAGCCCAGCATCGCAGCTATAGTTACCGGGAATTTCCCTCCTCGCAAACTTGCTTCAGTCAATGTATCAGTCGCTGCTCATGCTAACGAGTCCATGCTTCGATATATGGCAAAGACATCCGCGACCTCTTGCTCCCGCTACGCCTGGCAGGCTATTTTGGCATCCAAGTTCAAGTTCAACCGTTCCACCATCAACGACGCGACAACGATGTGGCATCTCGATCATTTGTAAGGCCTGTCGATAACGTCGTTCGACAGTACGTACTATTCAAGTCCCAAACCAGTTTATTTCGAAGACAGAGAGCAGCCCAATGTAGTTTGGCTTCTTCAACATTAGCGGACAAGGTCTCTGTTTGACGATGTGACCTTCTTGTTACACTGGCACCCCATAATCGACGCAATCTGGCCATATCTCAGCTACAATACCCGTCGACTGAGGGTCCATTTTTCCAACGAGGAACGAAAACAGTGTGATGACAATACGCCATGCTCGGCCAGTGTCACCAAGAAGGCAGAATGTACCAGAGATCGCGTAGAGGATGGCCGCCGAAAAATTGTATGGCATAGGAAAATCGAACAGTTGGAATCCGACCGCCAATTCTGGCCTCAAGTGGAAGTTATTTTCGCTCGGATCAGGAACAGCGCCTCTCGAGACGGAATCGTCAAATGTCTTGATGCCAGTTTTCCCAACGGCTAGCCGCACAGAAGATGAGGAAAGTCGCAGCAGGACTTCAACACGACAACAATCGCCCTCTTCACAGAAGCTTCGTCTCCATGTCCACATCCATCCGATTTTCTCTGTCCCTGGTGAGCCATGGGTGCCTAATCCTCGTGATTATCAAATGAAGCTCTTCGAAATATATTATAATATTAGCCAATACCTTTTCAAAGATGATACGTCGAACAAGATTTGCACTTGGGAATGATCTGACACTGAACAACCAACGGGACGGGAGAATCTATCCATCGTTGCTGTTGGGCCGAGAGAAGATTGCAGTTCAACGCAGGGAAATTTCCCGCCGTTCAACTCGAAAGCGACGGGCGCCTTTGACTACATGACGCCTCGAGGACCTAGAGGGACCGTCCCTCTGGATTTCCTCACGCTGCCACACAGAGAGGACCTTGTCCGACCTTCGCAAAAATCGACTCAAACTGCATCAATCAATCAATCAATCAATTAGACCCCTCTCAGCTACAGAATGAAGCCAGGGAGACGTCGAGGCGAAGTTCGCGCTTCTGTGTCTGCTCCTACTGCTACGCATCCTGCTCATCCTTGGGGCTTTCTACTTCCTCTCTCCTCGATGGGGGTAATTCTTGCTTCCCCTTCCTGCATTATGGCCTCACTCTCTTGCTCATATCTGAAGTTTTCATTAATTTTAGAAAACACTCTATTTCTCTGGGAGAGTCGATTAGTGTTCTCGATCGCGTCGTCGATGGATCTAGGAGATCCGGATGTCATATCCGTCGCTGATCAGTGGCGGTGAATGTGTGAATCTCTTCATCGTCGTCGCTGACTGTTGTCACTTGCAAAATGGCTAATAGTCAATCATCTCTTCCCTCCACTGTGTCAGCCAACCCCTCCCCATCTTCCATTAGCTTGGTGTCGCCTCCCTCACTTAATCGCGGCCCAGAGACACTTACCTGGAAGGGCGTCGAATGGATACGGGTTGATCATGCACCAAATAAGAGGAGGGGTGTTGCCCAGTCCCCAATTTGGCAGTGGGGGAGTGATTATATCAATCTTGCGCTGCCGACCCGCGCTGTGGATTACTCAGCAAAGAGGCGGAGGTGGAAGGGCATACCGCAAGAAGAAGCTACTTATCCCGATTAGAGGCGACAGCGAGATCACGATATGATACGATATTCATACACCCTGTGCGGGCTGAGCCCATAGGGGAGCGAGATCACAAACACCATGGGGGAATGGACGGAATGCCCAATTGGGAATGCCGAGAGCGCGATCGAGTAATTATCTACTAGATCTCGATCGCGTCGATGGCGGCGATCCTTGATCGCGAGCGATCTAGTAGATCGGAACACTGGAGTCGATCGGCCAGAGCGTTGCGCGTTTGTATCGCAGCAAAGAACCGCTCGCTCAAATCTGTAGCCTTCAAGTGCTCTAAGCAGCCGAAGATGGTATGGTCGTGTCCTCGCGAATGGATAGCCCACAAATCAGGTTGCTCTCCACTTTCGCTGTGCATTACTTGGACGGGGGGAGTGTCAGCCGCACTGCTTCTGACCACCCCTAGATCGAAGAGTAGGAACAGGACCGGGTTCGCCATTTGAGCGAACACAAATTTCATCGGCTTGCAATCGGAACTCTTCGCCTTCAATTTGCCCGAATTCGACGTCTTCGGGCTAACATTGATAAACTCCTCCCCGAAGATCTCTCGAGGCGTTGTGGCATTCTCCCTATTCTTCACCTGTACTACGATGACTCCGCGATTCGAAGGGTCGAACGTCTCATTCTCCGTGCCATAATACACCGGAATCAGCAGATCGTATGTTTCCTGGCTCCAACATAGCTGCATCGCAGCGCTCCGGCGTAACGGGTCCCGACATAATGCAGGAATGTCCTCGGGAGTAAGTTGTGTATCAGTTGATAGAAACTGAGTGAAGTTCATTCTGGCTTCCAGTATCCCCCTCAGGTATCTTTCGAATTGAATCGTGATGATCTTTAGCATGTAATGCCGTGAGAAAGTCGAACACCGTAAAGGTTGGTGGAAATACTGGAACACGGGTCCACCGAACCCAGTCGTGTGCAAAGATCAACACTAATCGAGCATAGAGTTCTCCTTTGCGCCCCTTTTCGATCAATCCTTTCCCAAGAAGCACCTTACAGAGCGTGAGAATGCTAAACGACCAGTGGCCTTCGGTCTCCTGCTGGCTGGTGGGCTCGGGGATGTTGACTGGCCGCTTCTCGCGCAGGAATGACAGTATCTCTTTATCAGGTGGAAAGCCAGAAGTTCCAGGCTCACGAAGAATGAAGTTGATCATAGGAACAGAATTGGCCGAAAGCATCCGCTAATCTTGATTTGCCCGTACCGTTGCTCTGAACGAATACCAAGGTTTTTGCATAATACTTGCTCACATCGAGTAGCTGGTATCGCCGAATGAGGTCCCGTAGCGCAATTAGGAAGTGCGGAAAATAGGCATTCTTCCAATCATTTTGCAAAGCATGGAAGATGGCTTTTTCTGAGGGGAGGTCAGTACGTGGGAGACGGAATTGGTGGTCTCCTTCGCCCGACTTGGGAGCTGCAGCTTTTTGTACTCTTCCGGATCGTTTTCCTCCAGCCACCTGCACAGCTCGTCTGTACTCATATCTTGTAACTCCTCTTCCCACTGTTTCGGGTAATTTCTCTCCAGGCACTTGTGCAACCTGTTCGTCTCCCTTGTATTCAAATTATTGGCTTCTTTTTTGGTGTAACGGCTGTACCTGCGCGGCTTGAGAGCCTGGCCAGATATGCGCCATGTTCGGCGCTGGAGGGGTGCTCATCGTCATGCTATCTAGGATGGCCGGACGCGACGAGAAGAGAAGCAGAGAGAAGGCGAGAGTGGGAGCGGTAAGCAACAGCGGCGGCAGAGGTGATGGATCAAGCGATGAGAAGATGGTTCAATCCGTTGAATGATTGATTGACTGGTCTTGTTCATCTATCCCAGAGCACGAAAGGTGGGGGTACAAGCTGCCTCAAGTGACATTGCAGGAGTGACACGATGGTTGACACGCCAAGCCAAGAATAGGCCCCGCAGGGAGTTGACACGACAATATGTGACACGCCAAGCCATCATTCCCACCGGTAGGCTTGGCGAGTCACGTGAGACGACTTGCACCCTGGAGCAATCCATTCTCAGGACTCCATCAGCCGCTCGACCTGTTGGTTATGAATTCCCATGCAACAGAATGGCGCACGGCACGAGTTTCATTCTCGTTGAGACGCTTTCATCTACCCACTCGTTCGCATCATGGCGGCGAAACCACTCCGACCGAGGTCCCGACCTTCTAATAGTCGTTCCCCAGGGTTGTGATTGCCTTTAATAGTGCCAACGGCCCCCGAGGTGGTCCATAGACTGGATCCAATGAGGGTCGTAAAACGGATCTGGTTAAATGCTCTGGTTAATCACCCCCCCCAAAGATGGTCCGTAGACTGGATCCGATGGGGGTTCTTAAACGGGTCTAGTTAAAGTGTAGCGTTAGCGAAGCTTTTTTTTAGACTCCGACTCCCAGCGATCAATTTTGTTCACGTGACTTTAGTCGTTCCTGATTGGCTAGAAAAAAGGAAATTCACATGATCTCGAAGGCTTGGCAATCCCGACCGCAGCGACGCCTGGGGGTTGGGGGCCTAGTTTAATCGCACATGATCACGTGCCAAGGATCACGTGTTCGGCACCCGCTGGAGGGGTCCATGGATTGGATCCCAAATAGTGTGGCAACTGCAGAGCCACATGGCCAGCTTTGAATGGCAAGGAAACCGTTGCCTGGCTCCGAAACGACGACGAATCGATGGGACACTCTATCTTAGCCAAGGTGGGATGAAGGAAGGCTCCGTCGACACTTTTCATGGTATGACAAGTGGAAGTGCTGTGGGACCGCATGCTATTCATTCCATAAACAATTACCTGTGCCTAAAGGCCCGAAGCCTGACTATATCAGTAAGAGCCTGCCGCTCAGATCAGCTAGCGAAGGCAACGCGATCTCACCAATTCCACCTTTGATGCGCCCTCTCATCTTTTTACAATCACATGGATTACCTCCCTCTCCCCCAACATCTGGTCCTTCCGCCTATTGAGGTTTCCTTCTACGATCCCATTGCGTATTGGTACGACGCAGACTGGCAGGAGTACATAGATGGAAGGTACTGGGACAATTTCCCCAAGCGATACGGATATGAATTGGACGACTTTTGGGAAGACCTAGGTTCGTACTCTAACAAAGCATGGGCACATGGGGATTTCCACACATGGCTCATGCAGAAGCCGTCTGAGGAGCTGGAGGCGATGGCCGTTGCCTGGCTCTTCTTTGGCACGCTTGCTGAGGTCACCTGCTGTCATTTGGATATCGCCAACTATCTCAAAGTGGCAGATAATGGCAGATTTGTTCTTTCAATGACAAAGGCGTCTATGAACGCTATTCTGGACAGGTGGTTTATCATCCAGACCCATTTTAGAGGCTCCGTATGCGTTCGCGGTGTCCCAGAACCGCAGCCTAGCGTCATGATGGATCGCGCTGCAAGGCTAGCAGACAAGGACGGGATTCAGACACAATATGACACACCGTTACCACAAGACGACCTTCCCAGGGCAAAACTCAACGCCCAAGGGAGATCACTACCGTTTGAGCGAGCCCACAAATGCCTCCAAAAATCGAAAGCCATCATAGGTCTCATGTGTGAAGCGATAGAACCCAAAACAGTATTCGTTATCGCCAACCTTCATGAGTTCCTGGCACATGCATTGACCAATCTCATATTTAGAGGCGAGGTCGAAGCGGCTTACGATATGCTTGGAGGATACTCCCTTGGCATGTGGACGGGTGGGTCGGATTTCACTCACTACACCCGAGGACTTTTGCGTTCTCTTGGATGGTGTCCACGAACGACGGCGTCTTAGGAGACGGCACACGAACCCTGGCGGTTGATCATTTCGCAGCTAATCTCGAGTCGTCCCAAACGCCAGAAGACCATTCAAAGTGCTCCGAGGACATGTGTTGCGCGTACCAGCTGCCGTCAAACAGTTAGGCCGTCTTCAAAGAGTAGTCTTGACAACTGTTGATGAATTGAAGTGGAACACAGATATTCTTGAATCAAGGCCCGCCGACGCCACTCGCGGAGACAGAAGAGCAACTGTAGATCGTCTTGAGATTGCGAAGGATAGACCATGCTAGGAACTGGCAGGGATACACCTGCAGCAGGCCATTGAGTGTCCAGATACCACTCATCGAGAGTACGACTTGAGTAGAGAATGACACCGGTTTCGAGTTGGACTTCGACACAGACAATTCCGAAACAAATCCATTAACCGTGGAAGAGCAGCAAGACACTAATGCGCCAGTGTGACTGACCAGCAAAAAGCTTCCAGCATGGCTGGACTCCTCAGGGACGACCTCAGCGGTGTGGAGGACTGCGCAAACTGTTCAACTGTCATCTGTGAGCGGTTTTCTAGACTTCTTCATGGCTCGCGAAGGAATATTGGGGGATTTCAAAAATGTTGCAAAGTTCGTTGATGGACCGAAGCTAGTGTTCGCCCTTTGGATCGGGTTCATGACGACGAAGAGCCCTCCGCCAAAAATCATTTCTGCTGCCGAGGTAACTAGTCCCTTTATGGGCTTAGGATATATGGACAAAAGCTGCTTTCCAATTTACTAGTTCCTGCAGGCCTCCTTTCAAATTCTCCCTCCGCAGTATGAATGTTCATGAGGACGCGGAAAGACCCACAGCTGTAGCAAAGAGGAATTTGGCATGGCTTTGTCAGCATCCACTACGGAAGAATTACGGTTAGGAGGTTTGATTGGGTGGAGCTGAAACCTATGCGCCGGGTAAAAGTAGCTGAATCCCCACCCACTGCTAGGAAAGGCGATCCATAGTTCCTAGGACCCGCCCAGGATCCACTGATAATGACCAATCCTACATACGTTCGGGCTGCCCGATTCTCCAGTTGTTTGACTGGCCAGGGTCGAACGTGGAACAGGAGGTGCATTCCGGGGATTTTGCGCGCGAGAAGGCCAAATCACCTTCTGTAGGGCGGATAGAGAAATTGGATCTTGCGCCACTAGAAGCGGGGCAAGAGCACACACTTGTGAACTTTTGCCATTTTATCATCTGATGTACCCTTCCACGGACGCAAAATGCCGAGGACCGCATGATCTCGTTCTGTTGGCCATGTACCATACAGTTGTACGCTAGCAACCCAGCCAAGTACTTAATATTTCACACAGCAGGACACAGAATTGTTAAGTGTATAGACAGTACTAGTCCGAGTGTAGTAAGTGACAATGGAGGCACATGCAGGTAGCGTCCACATAAGATCGGTATACACATTGATTTGATAGAGACAGAATCCAATACGTTCTTGACGTCCTAGATCACACCAAGTCATCACTGTTGTCTGGCAACGAGAGAAGACCCATTTCCTGTCAACCTGCCATCGCAGGTTGGTCGACTTTGGTCTGCCACCCCAAAATTTTGAGTAGGACGTCTCGCAATGTGGCCAAAGCCGCCAGGCCAAATTGATCTGGACAGACCAGGGACCACGCCGTTGTTTTCAGGCCCCCCAGAAAGGCGCTAAAACTGGCCGACAAGGGTAGCCTTCGTTAGCAGGGAGCTTTATCACGTGGCTCTTGGCAGCCTATCGTTATAGGATCAATAGGCCTTTGCCTTGAAGGGATTACTTAGCTATCGTTCTCTTACTTAAGCAGCACTGAAAGTTAAGATTTTGGGGGCCCACTTGGCTAGGCTTCAGCTATCGGCGCCTGGAGCTGCAGTCCTCAGATCACGTGCTGCTTGTGCACGAGCCAACGAAAGTTACCCTCATCCTGCTTTCTCCTTACATCGGTTGACCCTTCTAGCGATGGAGTCGATATCACATAGGAATGTCAATTCCATCAATTCCTCATTGAATCACACTTGCTCTTCTACACCTTGGCATTCCTTGATAGTTGCCATTGACGTCTCGAATCCTGATAGCAGTCCAAATAGTCACATCCGAAACGTATGCTGTAGCACGATAGGTTGAGACCGAGGCCAGAGGTTTTGGCGACCGTTGCCGCAGCTTCTTTCCAAATGTCCCCTCCGGGCCCAATCAAGAGGGTGAATCACCCGTGTCCAGCTAGATCCAGCGTTGGCACAAAGGGGCCTGCCCACTGGAGGCGACCCAGATGCGACGTAGATGAAACCTAGGATATGTTGAAACCACATCTTTCAGTAGATTCAAGACCGAAAAGTCTGGTTTTCGATGGTTGCGCTCTATGTGAGTTGCCGGAGAGCCGCTATAGACTTGGCTCATCTTTATTCCAAGGGCTCGAACCTCAACATCCAAAGTTTCTACAGCTTTTATCGATTCTTTTCGTGCGACCGGACCTGTAGCCCTGGATCTTCTAGTCACAAGAGGGCTTCTTGTCGCGCTTCTGGAGTGAGACAGATGAGAGACCAGAGGTGCGGATGCGCATCCATGCCGTGTCCACCACAGGTTTGCTGGCGATCGTTAATGTTTCCAACAGTGCGGGGTGAGCTATGCCTCTCAATACGAATGCCAACTTCTACACCAGATTGAACGCATCTGATATGCAAGTATTGCTCCCAAACCCGTCGATGGGCGGATGCCGGTGAGTGGCTTCACCAGTGGACAGTGCACGTCCTTGGTGCCAGGTGCGGGCGATCTGGTTATTGATCGTCCACGTAAAAGGGAGAGGCATCCTCCTGACTCTAGAGACAGGGTGTATAGAAACCACCCATTCGGTCCACGGCCGAACCATTCTAAATTCCCGACAGCTGACCAATCCGCCGCGTCAGGGTTCAAGGTCCAGTTCAAGCCTCCAGGTCGATAACGAACAAATTTCTCCAAATCTGCTTTGATGTGGATGTTAAATACTGAATTCAAATGGCTTCCGTCGATGGGAATCCCCAGTGCATGGACTACAGCACTTTGTATCCCACCACATCCAACAGTGCAGTTGGGGTGTACCTCGCTCCTGACCGCCATCGCCTTGATACTTTATCTTGGTCGTGACATGGTCCGCATGCTGTTCTAAGCTGACGAACTCTGGAGAATCGGAACTTGACTCCCAGCTTTGCGACTTCCTCAACCAGGATCGGTTCCAGCAAGCCCTGGGGCAGATCACACATGCTGCACAAGCTGGACGCTTTGTAGGATCCTTTCTCTGCCGGTTTGTTTTCCCACGCCCAAAGCCTGGTGTATTCTCCTCCAGCAAGTCTGTGAAGAAACGAAGAGTGTGTCACGTCTGGGAATTCAAATCCGCAAGTTAGCTATTTTGAAACTTGTGATCAAAATCCAACGCCGGAGAATGAAGGAGGAGCTTGTCTTATTAGCCTCCTTGCTTGACACTTCTAAGCACCTTTGCTCCAAGCCAGCGTCTCGAAGAACTTCCATGGCTTGTTGGTTGAAAATGTGTGCTCGAGGAGTGTTTGCAGAGCCTTTGTGTCGCGATATCATGAGGGATTTGGTACCCAGGCGAGTTAGGTGAGGGGCTGTCGTACCACCAGAAGTGCATGCCCCATATCACGAGAATGGGAACTCTCTCAGCTATCCACTTAATTTTTAAACCACCGTGATGCTGTCGCGGAATGGGATCGTCAAAAGATGCCGATTCGACACTCCTCCGAAACACTGATCGTGCATTCAAGAAGATAGGATTCCTATCACCTCCCGAAAGCTTCGACTCATCCCCGTTGAACAGCGGCGTAGAGAAATATGGGTTCAGTGACGGAACTTTGGTCTACACGGTCCAACGAACCCTTATCTCGGAGACAAGTTGAGCTTTCCACCTGTCTCACCACCTGGTGCTCTGAACCACCCGAACTGGACTGTCCACCCGCCCGGACTACTACTCTACCTGGCTATGGTCTGCCCAGGTGATCAGGTTCCGTCGAAGAGTTTTTGCCGCCCTCGCGTATCTTGTACAGCCAGGAACACATTCATGCCTTTTACAGGTGGAAGAAGAATAGCCTGCCACAGTGATGTCGAGGGACGCCTCATTGTCTCTCGCCTCCGCCTTGTTGGGTTCCGGGACAGAGAGGCGTCTCCTCTTCCGCCTCCCGGTGATGAACGACTTTGCCAAGAAAGCCTGGGTTTGTAAAGATCTTCGCAGAGTCGTACGCTTCGTATACACTTCAAAAACTATATGGTCTGACGGTCCCTTGGACCCCTTCGAAATAGGACAAGTCCTCCGTAAAATCACCGGTGCCAGTGCTAAGGAATAAATGGGACGTGCAAGGTGTATGCTAAGCCTATAATCCTCATGCCTTTGGTGTGCGCATTAGTGCTTGATTTCTTCTACAAGGAGCCCAATCTCCTGAAGATGTGGATAGAGGGCGATCCTCAGGACTGGATGGCGTTGTTTCGACTGAAGTCTCTGGGCCTCTTGCCAACCTAGCATGTCATCAGGAGGGCCGATGGTGCCGTTCTTACACACGATAGTAAGAGAACGGTATCATATTTACCTCGCTCCGTGGCCTATTCACAGCTTTCTCAAAGCTCCTGATTGTTTTCTAGACAAAGTAATTACCGCCTAGACTCAGAGGATTAGCATATTTTGTCCTGACATGACAGGACCACATGCAGAATGCAAAATGGCACTCAATGTCTCTTCCGCGACTTGAGACATTGTCGACCATTGATGGCGCAACTGCTGGAAATACAGAGGTATCGCACAAAAAGGGGATCAAGTCCCGCACCTGGGCCCAAAATCTCCAATGTTTGCGCTGAATGTGCACTTAGCGGTACAATTCCCTTCCGCACACATCGGACTCCACGGATACACTCGAAAAGATCTGGCAGCGGATTCATGTATCAGAGAGCCAGTACGACTGGGTTGCTGTGTCGTTGTCATGGGACGGCCCCTGACAATCATACACCTCTACGTTGACCCCGTTCGAAAACCCACTAACATATAGTTATCGACTTGAGTCAACTGGGGGAAAGAAACTGAAAGAAGTGTAAAGTTAGGGACGCCGTCATCAAACGGGTCAGTCAGTATGTAGAGCATCATAGGTTCCAAGAGATTGGCTTTCGCGGCTTTGACTTGAGCAGACCGAGATGATCGATAGGATGAATCCTTAAGTCGAGAGATGCTTGCGTCGTGCGGACTGTCTAGAGCGTTGTTGTTTCTTCTGCAACCGCCCTTTGGCTGAACTCCTGGATTGTTATCACAAAGGTCATGTCAGCTTCGGGTGCTTTCTCGCCCGAGATGCTAGAACTGGCCGGATTGAAACATCTAGAGCGATGAGGAGTCGCTGATCATACTTTGTATGCTTTGGCAACGTCGGGAATCTCCTTTTTGGAAGAAAAAGGTAGACAACAGAGCTAGGCAAATACCGATGGTGTTTCCCTTGTTCTGCCCGACCTCCGGAAAAAGCGCAGATAGCATACTGGGTCAAAGACAGCTGCGAGAAATAACGGCTTTGGTCGAGCGCGAGACACCATGCCGATATTTGTACTGCCAAGAAGGATTGTCAGCCCAGCTTGGTCACAAATAATCTTACGTTTCCGGCCCCTTCAGATGCTATCACCATATCTGGTGGCTGTGTTTCGGCGGCGAGGGAGTCGCGATAGCAGGCAAGAAGATCTGAAAATTGGAAATCGGGTCCATGGATCGATGTTCTCAACGGGTACCCACTCTCCTCATGAGTTGAGAATGGTTCAACGCGCATTAGGCCTCATCGGATATTCAAGCATCGTCTGCTTTATGCAGTCGGACATGACGAAGCGAGCGATAACAATAAGGTGGGGAATGCGATCGGAATCAAGGTGCGTTGACCACAGCTTTCTCTGGCGCATTCAATGGCGGTCGGGGCTTTGGGATCCCCTGCGATGCTCCTTTTCCTATCTCGAAAGCGTCAAAGCGGATTTTGGCGAGAATGGAATGGGAACCTTTTCGGCTAGTCTGCCAATGTTGGGATAAAACACTATAATCACGGATTACTTAGAAGGCTATTGCATACTCGAAACAGAGTGAAAACAAACTTTATGTAAGCGGTAGCTAGAGGCGCATCCTGAAGTGTCGAGAAAGTCTAATTGGACATGCATTTGACGGATATGGGTGTTCCTTGCGAATTAGGCCGCCCAATTTCCGCCGTTCAGGCCCCCAATTGGCAGGGGAGTGTCTGAGGAGTTCCATTGTTAAGCAGGCTTCAGCATCTCGTTAGTTCGTGACGGCCGCCGCGTACTCCATAATAATGGCAGATATCATTCGACATTTGATGTCTCCACTGAGTGTACAGTATGTGTCGATCCTGAGATCGCGAGAACCCTAAGGGAGATTCGCCCAATGAGCGTCGCCAATTTCAGGAACAAAATCCGTGGAAGTCAATGTTTGGTTGGCCAGCCCCGGTCTTTTATTTGGTGGCCATTTGAGGTCGGGGAGGTGCAGCCTCGCCAAGCATCGGCCATTTCTTATTCCAAGTTTTCACCCCCGCTCGTTACCTATTGAGACGCGAGAGACCCTAGTTTGATCTTTCACTCTGTGTTCGCTATGGCGCGATGAGCCTTTTCCGGCCCCCAGACATACATCCACTAAGCACCTGCTCACTGTAGCCTCGGAGACATTTTAGTTCGGTTTAGAGAAACGACCAGCGAAACTCGGCCGTTTGCTAGTCTAGGCGGGTAGCATCACCTGGCAAAAGCTCGAGACTGAGACTTGGCAATCAGATACTGTAATAAACCATTTCGCTTCACGGTGCGAATCTAACAAAAGGCATGGCTGTGCTCCATTATGGTCGCTTTGTAACATTGCTGCTCCTTCTTGTCATGTTTCACACCAACGTATGTGGTACCGATTACGATAGGGATACCGCCAGAAATAGCAACCAACCGGAGTAATGTCCTGCGGACCTCTGCTCAAGGTTGGTAGTTGACAATGGTCAGTACAAAAGGATGTCTTATTCCCGCATTTTAGAAGCACATTTTTGGTCAATCAGTCTACCTTTGCGTACACAATCTCTGACAGTTGTCACCACTGTTCCCTTTTATTTTCAAGCTCCCTCCCCAGGCATTCAACTGCTAAAATGTCTGACGAACTTCCCCTTCCCCCAGACCAATGTGAGAAGGACGCAGAATGTCTTGAAGCATATGGCTCGCTCCACTATATCCCTAATGCGCCGCTCAACTACGTATCCGTTGGTTTCTTTGCCGCGATCTTGATCGCACAGATCTGGCTGGGTATCCGACACAAAACCTGGGGATTCATGGCGGCCATGATTGGTGGCACGGTCCTCGAGGTCGTCGGTTATGTTGGGCGTATTCTGATGATCGGCGATATCTTCGACCAAAACAACTTCATCATCTACCTTGTCGGTTTGACCATTGGCCCGGCCTTTTATGGTGCAGCCATCTACCTTAGTCTGTCACGGATCATCACTGTGTTTGGCACCGGACTGTGCTGGTTCAAGCCTCGAACAGTGACAATTACCTGGATTGGGTTTGACGTCGTCTCGCTTCTGCTGCAGTCTGCCGGTGGAGCTATTTCTTCAATGGCCGACACACAAAGTCAGAGTGACCTGGGAATCAACATTATGATTGCCGGTCTGGCCACTCAAGTTGCTGCCACTACGGCATTCTGCGCTGTTTGTTTGCAGCTGTGGTTGTGGGTCCGTCGATATCCTCAGAGGCTGAGCGTAGAGTACGCCCCCTTCCGCAAGAGTTCCAAGTTCAAAATGTACTTATGGGGTAAGTTTGCTCTTCACCTTAACCACCGTGAATGATGCTGACTGAACTTGTTAGTCCTTGGTATTGCTGTCGTGGCCATTCTTGTGCGATGTATCTTCCGTCTACTTGAATTGTCCGGCGGATACGACAGTGAATTGGCCAACCATGAGCTCACCTTTGTCCTCTTTGACAGCCTCATGATGGCTATCATGTGCTTGGCGCTCACCATTGGTCATCCAGGGCTATTATTTGGGGAGTATTGGGACCGCGCCACCTTCTCCTTCCGTACCAAGAAGACGTCGGCAATGGAGCCCTTCAGGAAGCAATTTGATGATGGCAGCCGATCAGGCTCCGAGGTCAACCTCCACCAGCCCGAGTTCACGCCTCTGCAAAACAACCTCCACCAACCCGAGTTCACGCCTCTGCAAAATCTCACCGAATATCAACCGGGATACCAACGGGTGTCGAATGCATGAGCAGGATGAATTTGATACGCAAATCATTTCTCAGCCTGACTTTGGTTCTGGATGCCCCATGAACCAAAACATGAACGTATGGTGCCTGGGATGGAATCCAAAAGGTGGAGTTTGCGGAATTCTACGGTTTGAATGGCGCAAAGGACGGGTGGCAGTCCTAGCCTAAGGTGATCGAGGTGGATGGCGAAAGGAGTCTGAAAAATATATATCCTCTTCAAAGGATAAAGTATATCATATCTGCACCTTCTGCTCCTGAGGTGAGGTATTCTGAGTTTTGCATTGACGAGGTCTGGCTGGTCATTGTATACGACTGCGAGTAAGCCAACTTAAAATCATGCTCGGCCTTAAGCTTCAAGATATAAATCAACATGGAAAGAAGAAAAGAAGGGAACAGCTCAATTGATGCGTTTCCTACATGAAGCTTTGCCATTGAGTAGCATCCAGTTTCTGCTAAACGATGGTGTCAAACTGGGGAACAACTTGAGATATATTGAATGCTTTGTCTACCTCACAACCGGTCCTGCTAGGTTGCTGGTATATATATACGCGGGTTTGACCCCTTTTCTTCTCCTATTTCTACCCCTAAATCCTACATAGGGGTGATAACCCCCTTTTCAACAAAAGGGGCACTTGCTACTATTCGGCCGTTCAATGAGACCTTGTTCGACAGATGGTCAAGCAAGAATCACAACCGAATGGGCCAACCTCTTTCATGTAAACAGTTACATATCAAGATCGGCTCTTACAAGAACCCATTTATCTCCCTAGGAACCCTGAACTGTGTTGTTTAACGGGCGACTGTCTCGTCCATTCGCCAGTCCACTCGTAAACCTGCCTTCCGAGTCCATACTGCCTTCCTCAAAGCCAGGGGGATTTGATGTTCTCGCCGACCGCCGCATGGTCAGAAACTCGGTCCACATAGCAATGCAATGTGTCCGGCCGAGTTGTCTAGGTTGCGAGCTCGGAGGCTCACCGCATGGCGCAGTACTCGAAGACACCTTTGATTACCACGTCACAGCCCGGAAATTTTTGGTCCGGTTCTACAATCAGCCACTGGCTGGAAGAGCGCTGAGAAAGGCTTTGGTGAAGTTCCAAGGAAGAATTAATCTCTATCGATCTAACGATAACTCGCAGAGTGCGTTGATCACGCTCTGCAACACTTTCCTTCGTGGAAAATTTCCAAATTGAGGACCTTTGAGTGGATGCATTTGACCAAGCAGTAGGCATGAGCCACCGCGGCCTCTACTTCAGTATTGAATATGCAGTAAGTACACTCTCTTCCGGAAAATAAAATTCAGGATTTGGACCTGACATCGACCAGGCGGTAGCTGCAAAGTCCAAGACCCTTGTCAGCCAAGCTCAGCTCAAAAGGGACCTAGGACTTGACTGGGTCAACCAATCAGTCGTTAGCTTCTTTGAGAACGAGGCATCTAAGAGTTTCCTCGAACTGCGTAGCTAGCAAGGCATCATCTCGATAGGTTTCGCTCCTTTCTCAAAACATTTTACGTCGCTAGCATTAGGCAATATTTATCCAATCGAGCTGAGAAACGCACATATCACAATCCCTCTATTTAGTCCCCGTTTTACAGGTCCAGTGTCGTCTAGATCTGTGGAAATAGATTATGGCTCGCGCGATCCTCCATCTATCACTATACTGGCAATATAGGACTTAGGGCAGAAATACCAAAAAGAACGGCTCCCCTCCTATAGTTCATCTCTGACGAACTTATAGATGGGGCGCCACAGCCAGTGAAAGCTTCAGCCACACAAGTTCAACTGCAGAAGAATTTGGAATCAGTGACCTCCCAACAGTATGAACAAGACGACATCATCAACAATCACTGGCTGGAGCATTACGTTTACCCATCTAGGGCACCTAGAAACACAATGGAGCTAGGCCGGACAACCCTCTTACCTTACCTATGATCGAACACTAGTAAGGCCCCTCAATTCTATCGGTTCGACTAAAACCTAGTGTGCCCACTCGGTTTCGTCCTTGATAGGTCAACCACGATTTGGTGTCAATTTGGAGGGAAATTCTGCGAATAAAATATAAATCTTAACCTTTTTTTTTAAAGTTTTGGAATCACCTAGTTGTGGTTTGGCGTTGTGCGGCGACGCCAAGACCCATTGTGTTGGCCAATCATGTGGGCATTCCCCTTTGCCGCACTATCATCGGATCCAATCCGTGGACCATGTGCCCGAGGGGGCACCCTACTGTCGATATCGAGATGGGCCATGGATCGGATCCAGTCTGTGGACCACCCAGGCAAGCTCTACAGATCACATTCGAGATGACTCGTATGGAGCGTTAACGAACCAGCCTCGATATCGACATGGTCCATGAATCGGATCCCATGATATACCACCGCCATCGGATCCAATCCGTGGACCATATTGGCAATCTGGTAGGACCAGCTGCCAAACAGACAGAGTACTCAACAACATTCAATGCAGGCCTGCAAACACATCAAATCGAGCCTCGAATTTGATTTGATTTGGATCTATTTGGATATCCGGATAGCCCCGCCTTTCTCCCAAGATAATATACATTGCGCTGCGTCGATAATATCCACTCGAAGTCGGCTTCTCTGATCTGTGGTCCCTTTCTTGTATCTTGTATTCGTGTCAAACTTCTCTTATTGAAAGAATGCTCTGATCGAATTCGGTCAGAGGGTGGCATTGAGCCTGTCTATATATCTATCTAACGAGTGTACGTCATCATTGTTGCCTATCAATGGCGATACAGTCTGGTGAGCGAGTGTTGCAAAATAACCCGGTCTGTCGTGAACGATAGACCACCAATTGTTCAACAATTCGTCCTCCCAGCCTCCCTACATTCCTCCATAAGCACGGTGGTTAGGTTAGTGGCTGGACCCTATCGGTGGATGGATGTCACACTATGGTGCCACCTGAAGAAGAATCTGCTATCTTGGCGAGTTGGTTTGCCATTATATACAATGCTTTTCAAAAATCCCATGGACTGGATCGGATCAGGCTGGGGAGGCTGCGCCGTGCACGCTGCCGAAGGAAAGAGAACACTGCCACATATATAGAGGATTGGCTGACCTCTTTTCTACCCCTATGTCCTGAAAATAGGAATGATAACCCCTTTTCCAATAGCAGGGCACTGGCTACTGTTTCAACAACTTTTCATCTGGAAGAAACAAACATAGCCCGGAAGCTGAGAGCAGCGAAGAACAATTCCGTCTAGAGTTCAATCATAATGGCTCGTGGATGCTGGCGGATCTTTCCTCAAATAGCACTTGGGTCGATCAAGACTTAGTGGCATCGAATGAGCTCATGGTCATGCTCTATCCAGAGGTATCCCGATAGGAATTCGCTATCGCCAGATTGCGCTGCACCAAGACCAAGTTTTTGCCCAGGGTAATGGGAAACATACATGCTATTCTGTGGGAGAGACATCTTCTGTGAACAAACGATAACCTATCGTTCATGGCAAACCTACTCATTTTGTAACATTCACCTCCTAGTGTGCAACACCATTGATAGGCAACAGTATACATCTCGTAGACAGATATATAGATGGGGCTCTATCCCACACTCATTTGAAGAGCTCAGAGCACTCAATACATCTCGAGTTGCACCCAGTTTGACATCTTCTTGCCGGAAAGCGTGTACAGGGTCTTACAATACTGAAGATTCTCTGCCCCATATTGACAGCGGAAGCTTTGTTCCAGTCCGAGTAAGAACAGAGACTGTTCGCGAATGGCGTGGTAATTTTGTCATACTCGGTCAGACTGCTGCACCTCCTCACCAGCTACGAAATTTTGCTTTAGGAAGCTACCAACCTTATACACAACGTCCTTCCTTACTGTCGCCTCCTCGAGAAAATTATTATCGCGATTCATTGAGTTGTGTATATTCGTTAAGTTTCGGTAGTATTCTGACTTGGCCCCGTCCGATTGCTGAATATTGGTGTCATTTCAAAGTTCGCCGCCGGACTTAGTCCGAATCCCGCGGTAATCTATTCGCGAACGGCGGCGTTCTCGCTTGGACGTGAACAGCCGCATCTTGTTGCAAGCAGATCGTTGCGGGCAGCAGGAAGATCTTCGGAATCGATGGGGACATCGGTACTATTGGGTCGCGACATTTGCACCCTGGCGTTAAAAAAAAAAAGGCCCAGTGGGGGGACGGATTCCCTGACAATGGTCTTGGCATGTTTGTGGATTCTCACTTTAAAAAGTTCTTGCAGCCTCGTCCACTTGCTGTCCAGTTCCCCAACGTGGTTTTTTTGTCTGCAATTAAAAGGAGTCTTTGATACGCTATTTGCACTTGTTCGCCATAAAGTTCGCTCTCGCGCCGTGGCCATGAATCCGCCTGCCGCACCCCTATCGCGTCCTCGCCGGCCGGCGGCACAGAAAGCTCTCAATATGATCCACAACACTTACAGCGTTGGCACCAAAAGACCGAGGAACACATCCACTCACCAGACAAATAAAGCGCAGAAACGCAAGCGTGATCACACGCCATCTCAACCCCCTTCACAAGGTGATGACACTTCTTCCCAGTACAAACCGACACCTACTCACAAGCGCATGCCCCGCTGGTTTGGTTGAGGAAGAAGATATCGTTTATGTCGATGAAATAGAACACCGAATTTTGGCCGAAGCTCGTGGAATCACGAGGAAGAACATCCCCTATGATACATTCCGTTCGACCTTTCTGAGCCGCTTCAAACACAAAGACAAACGACCTCAGCTCAACATCCAAGACATTAAGAATGTTGGTGTCGGTAAATGGGAACAGAATTCGTTCTTTCAGCGATTGCAACAAGCACTCCCTAAAAAGGTTATATATATTTTGTTCGAAGTGTTTTTAGAGATCTTCTGTTAATCTAGTTAATAGGTTCTTAAAGGCCTCAGCTTATCTAGCTCTTTCTCGAAGACGTTACCCGGATCCAAACAGAGCAAGGAGCCGCTTTCGCAACCGGATTTCTTTTTCCATCTCGGAACGGGTGCTGGTTGGGCTCATGTGGAACTTGTTTTTGAGCATACGCAAAGCCCCGTGCAAAAGGCCTCTGAAAAATTCCTGCAGTGGTTGCGAAGTGCCTGGAACGTATTCTATCATCAGCCCTTGCGCCACTATCTCTACGGGGTTCTTTTCCTCAAGTCGTACGCCTTGATTACCTACGTTGATCATGGCTGTGCCGGGTACTCTGAGCCGCTGGATTTTGTGAAGAAACCCGAACATACTCAATTCCTCGCGGATTTTCTGGCGGATTTCATCGCGGACCCTGAACACCGTGGACGAGATCCCCATGTTACGGCTCACCAACAAGACGGCTCGATATTCATTGAGTATGCGGGAATAAAGTGGGCTGAAGTGCCCGATAGCTTGCTATGCTACCGTCCCTGCGTTTTTGGGAGACATCTTAGGGTCACGCGAGTGCATCCTGCGGACTCCCCGAACGATAAGTGGGTTATGAAGGATGCCTGGGAAGAGAAGGTTGAACACCCATCGCCGCCGCCGGAAGAAGAGGTCATCAGCATCCTTGTCGAGGCAAACGTACGAGGCATTCCACAGCTCCATGAATCGTGCCGTTCGACTACAGAAGGCAGTGACAATGTGGAGGCGTCAGGCGACAATATGGAGGTGTTGACCAGCGAGTTCCCTCCGAATTGTGAAAACGCACTCGCGGCAGTAACTAAACAAGCCATGAGGGCGGTCGAACCCAGCTTCGTATCTGGGCGCACTTCAAAATCCCGTTCCTTCATCGTACCTACAGACACGACAGGCCGAGAACTTCTTCAGCAAGCCAAAGGGAAGAGAAAACGTTTTAGTGAATGCACCGACGTGCGCAGACGACGTGCCCGCCTTATCATCTCGTATTGCCAACCGTTGAAAGAGGCGATGCGCAACGCTCGACCGAAAGAGCTCATGCGAACAATCCGCGACGCTATGATTGTTTATTACGAGGCGTACAAACGTCCCGAGCATGGCTTCCTTCATGGTGGTAAGTTTACGAATATGCTAAACGATAGACGGCACTAATGAATTATTAGATATTTCGATTGAGAATATCATGGTTCCGGTGAAAGAGACTCAACTTACTGGCGGCCTTACCCACAAGACACTGCGCGGTACTCTCATTGACTGGAATCTATGCTTCACCACCGACGGGAGAGCATCCAGCAGAAACATTCGAAGTGGCACTGTTGCATTCATGGCGCCGCGTCTTCTTCTGGATAAACCAGTTGCTCGAAGAACCTTGGGACATGATATGGAGTCGTTCTTTGCTGTCATGCTTTGGGTCGCATCACTCGACTATGACGATGAAATCGCCTTTCAAAATAAGCCTCTAGTTGAGCTTATGATCGATACTAAGTCCCCTACCAAACTTATTGCAGGTACTAAATTGCTTTTGTTCAGTAATCCAGATACTTTCGACGAGTCGATAATTGATCACTTGGAAGAGCCATATCGCGAAGATGACGACTTTATCGATTGCATATGGGACCTTCAGACCATCTTATACGAGCGGACTTACGACAAAAATGTATTGAGGCATAATAGAAAGAGGCATAAGACAAGGAGGCCAACGAATCCCAAGAAGAAGGATGATGATGATGACCCAATGGAGGAGCGCTTGTTCAAAGACTGCATGGC